GGGTGGTCATATCCCCGTATGGATTATTGCTTTGAACAAAGAATTTGATGTTCCAATAAAAGGGCTACATTTGATTTTGACCCCTTCTCTGCTAATTGAGATCCAGAGGGATCCACGCTTCATGAAATTACAGGTGTTAAAATAGTTGTTAGATGTCCGTACCAATTTTGGGAGACATGGAAGAAGCATAAGTATATATTTTAGGCATTTTTCTAAAGGGGTACTTTCTTTTGGCTAAATGATCAAGCAGTTGTACCTGAAAACACTGTACCACATTGTCAAGAGTCACACAACGACTCACAATAAACTCGACTGAATACAATTCATTAGTGACAAACTGATACTGTATGTATTTTTAATGTGGTGTGTTCATGTTTTATTGTGTGATATGTTCAAGTCATGCGTGTATTGTATCAGTCTAGTGTGTATTGTAGTTGTTTGATACACGATGATCACATACTATTGCATTGGTAATACATGGTATGGATTGAATACACATCATGATCACACAGCTCAGTCACGACCCAATTGACACAAACAGTCGAGTCGTGTAGTTTGGGTTCAGCTCGACACATTTGTATTGTCAATCTCGGACAAAACATCAAAAGTGAATCAAGGTCAACTGGAACAATCAACAGACTGGATCTAGTATGTGTAGTCGAACTGGGCTGCATATACTGATTACAGTAAACAACTCGAGTGTCGTTTTACTGGTTGTGGTTATGAGGACATGCCAGTGTTTGATGTATACATCGTTACAATGATGGGTCGGCAACAATGTGATGGAACTGGATGCGTAATATCAAAACCATGCCCAGAATACGTGATATAACAACAACTTGCAGCCATATTGACATAAATGAACCACTAAATAACAGTGTTGGTGTGAAATAAACAGTTGCATTACTGACATGTGTCATGATTGTTGTTGAACTAGATTGCAATCGTATTCGAGATTCAGAATACAACAAATGAGTGTACAGAGTTGTATTGACAATATCGACAGTCAAACACAATACATGAATGTGGGTTCAAACTTGATGATCGTATAATGTATGATTACTAAGAGTGCACAAAGTGTAGATTCAACATTATAGTCTGATTGTGTGTCATGATGATAGTCGTTGTATATCAAACACACAGTTTAGTCAATGTGTAGTAATCATTGTATATTGCAATTCAGAATACAGTCACTGCATGATGAATACTGGAGTGATCCATTTGACATGAATACAGTTGTAGAAGCAAAGCGTTTGCGGTTACACAACACTCATGAAGGGTGTGCTTTTCAAAATACCTGATCAAAGGGTCGTAAAAGCATAATTCAATTGACATGATCATCAAATCAATCAATATGATATTATGGATAGGGAGTAACATGCTGTCTAGTTTGATAGTGACCCACTACAAGCAATCAAATAGCCCTGTATAATTGGTTAACCTAAAAGGGTTAGGGTTGGTTTAATATACAAAAAATACAAATACAATCGATTACGCTCAGTCTTATAATCGACACCAGTCTCGACACTCTACTTTGTACTAATCGTTTAAACACATTGACCAATCTGATGAAATTGGTTGATATTTTACTTGTACTGACTGCGGCAGCAACCGCTAATGCAATACTGACACCGACTGATAACAATGGCTCACCACAAGCATCAGGCACTTCTAGTCAATTGTCTGGTCCAACCAATGATCTTAATCCACAAATTCCCGACCAAGACTGGCAAGATATAATGGATATAATTAATTCAAACACATCCAATGAAGACCAACAACAGCCAATGGATCAACCCAGTCCGAGCACTCCCAAACGAAGTCGAAAACGGCCAATTGATGAACACGGTTCAAGCATTTCCAAATATGATCAGAGACAATCGATGAATCAAGCCGGTCCGAGTGCTTCCAAACAAAGTCGGAAACAATCAATTGATAAACCCGGTCTAGGCATTCCTGACAAAGACTGGCAACGCCTAATAGATGAAATCAATTCAGACACTTTTGAAGACTGGCAAGAACTGTTTGATATAGCTGGTTTAAATACTCCCAGTCAAGTTTCTGACCCAATTGATCAAGTCAGTCCAAACACTTTTGACAAAGACCAACAACCAGCTGATCAACCCAGTTCAGGTATTCTCGATCAAACTCAGCAACACCTAATGGATGCAACTGATTTAAATATCTTCAACAAAGATCAGCAACAGCCGATTGATCAGTCCAGTCCAAGCACTTCCAGTCAACACCAGCAACAACCAATGAGTGAAAGCGAGTCAGACAATGCTGTTACAAATCAAGTTATTGTATTAAACGAACAGGATCAGAGAACCTTTAATCGCATGAAGAAAAGGCTTGTAGAGTCTAAAATAATACGAAACAACAAATGGCAAGAATATCGTAGGTATGTAGACCTTGAATTCGAACAATGGTCGGCGTTAGCAATGGGCAAAGAAATATCTGGATCAACGTACGATCCAAACATTGAAGAGAAATTAAGAAAAGAGTATAAAAAGTTAAGTACAAGAGTATACGGTATCAAACAAGAATTGAAGATTTTTATGAAAAGGCGTGGTTTGAGATTCGAAGAACCGGACTCGGATTCAGATTAATGATCTGTCGATGATTTTGAATAAACTCTCAGCTTTCTGATGTGTTGATATTTGTCGAGTATTGTGAATGGATTAACAACCATATCATTTATTGTGTATATTGTGTTTGGTATTACACCAACAGTTATTGGATTGTTGATTGATACATTGACATGGTTTGTTCCATATACATCAATGACATGATAACAACCAGTGTTGATTGTAACTATCAGTCATACTTGCAATCACTTGTCAGTTGTGTGGTTGCTGGAGTGTTGAGATATGAAATCTGTTGACTTGCACTGTATGTATGGAACCTTTGTATTTAGCTGGACTGTGATCACCAGCTGTGATATTACAGCCATTTCTGATGAAAGAATTATAGTAAGCAGGGATTCAAAATAATGATGGTTGAGCAATGACCCACATAACCTATTCTGTTATTGTCCACCGCTCTTTCATCTTATAAAGACACTTTCATCGTTCTTTAATAAACAACGCAATTACTTATCGATTCATTCCTTTGTATCTTTGATCTACTTGCCAATAATAATGAACATCAACATGCCACCATATGTCTGCGATCTTCATTGAGTCGATATGATATTGCTTGGAATATTGCAGTCAGTTCAGTTCATTGGTTGACAGGAACAATCCACATCCACTTGTCAGATTTGGATATTTGACGACACATTTACAAACCCAACAATTGACTGATTAGCACTGAATGATTAGTAATGATGGTTTTCAACTCGGTAACAATCGAATTGTACTGACCAACAATCCAAATAGAATCTAAACATGTGTGTATAGACAATCTAACAGTGTTTGAATGATCATATAATGGCTATGTAATCAAATCAGTCATGCATACAAGTCTGATATGGTTGTGTCAAGTCAAGACAATGGTTGCATTACAATCAAACTCAATCTGAATATTGAATATTGAAAAATGATAGTACTGACCAGTTGGATTGAAACTCGACTGGACAATACAAGTGAATACATGACAAATGCTTAAACACTATTCAAAGCATGTGAATTTGTCTCACATGATATCGAGTTTTGAATGTGAGACAAAATCACGTTTTGTTTGATCTTTTTTCTTTTCCTTTCTTTTCAATAACTCCAGAATGACTAGGTTTTATATTCAATACAAGGACAACTCTCCAGTATCAATATTCACTTATTTTGTTGAAAAACAAGTGGAAAAAAAAACACTCCTTACTGTTTTTGATCTGGTTTCAGCCTACAAGACAACGTCTTTTTTGAAGAATACACCAACCGAATTACTCACCATCTATTCTGTAGTGGATGGAGTGGAAATGACTTACAACTCTTGGGATCCCATTTCTGCTCTTGGTGAAAATGGAACCACTGAGCTCAACCCGCTTATCATTAAATCAAAAAATGATGATTACGATTGGAGCCATTTGTCAAGCTTTTTTACTAGCGAGTTTTCTGATATTAACGAGAACATACAAGTTGTTGAGACAGACCGTCAAGTCAAATTCAAATCAAAAGAATTGCGTATATTTTACAGTAATCAATGGCGTTTGGAAATAGGTCGCCTTCCAAACTTGCAGTTTCAAGACGTCAATTTTGAAACGGACATCCAAAAATGCGTAAATTCATTCATGGATGGAAACAAATTCCTTGGTCTTTTAATAGGACCTACAGGTTGTGGAAAAACCCATGAGATTATCAATAGGGCAAAAAAGCAATTCACAGTCTTTATTGACGCTCGATCTTACCCAGCTTTAGATGACTCTGATGATGCCTCACTCTTCTCATTGAAAGAAAGTTTTAGAAGCATCACTTCAAAATGGAAAAAACCGAATCAAGACCTGCCACAACTTCGTACTATTGCTTATGCCTTTCTACTATCTCGTGTTCTGTTTCTCAAATATCTCAAGCAAAGGTATCCTAACATAACTCCAGCACAGTTTCTCATTCATCAATTGTTCAACTCAAGAGCTATTGAATCATGCTTTCTGAAACTGAAACTATTGTCTTTGGACAAATTGAACGACATACATTTCAACTATATTGACAATGATTTGCGCTGCCTCTTTTGTTTTGATCAAGCTCATGTGTTGGTCGAACATCTTGGAAGCACGATTATCTCGTCAATGGAGGGAAATCACATCCAACAAAACGGAGATGTGAATGAAGATTCAAAAAGAGGAACACTCTCAGTCTTGCTGTATGTTATCAAACGTGAGAGATTTGCCAAAAAGGTTATTTTTGCTGGAACATCATCAAAACTACGCAACATTGACAACTTTGGATCATTTGGAACGAACCCTGTTGGTCCTCTTATTCTCAATGAATTCACAACTTGGGACTGTGAAATGGCGTTGGACTATGTGACTGCTTTTGTCGATATTCATCCGGATATTCTCAAGACTGTTCTTACCGACAACTATCGACCAAGAATTTTGGAAAACTTTGTATATGACTTGTTCAGTGCTGGAATCAATGACAATGACTCGGCAACGGCACAACGCATACGACTGAAAAAACAACATGCCTTTTCGAATATCAATGATATAGTAGAGGAATCTTACAATGCGGTAATTGATCGATTCACTCGTATGTCAATCGAACCTATTGCCAGAACCATCAGGGAAGATTCGCACACACATACTATGCTAAAGCTTATTTTATCATCAATGATGAAGACCAATCATGGACCAATACACTGCCAACTGGATGAAAATCAAAAAGATTTTTTCATGGATACTGTTGGATCCATATATCCCATTAATGAAACTGGCGAATACTCTTTTTTTGAAGGATATGTGATAGATTCGCTTTTCACGTTATTCAAAAAAGAGCTTGAAGAGTATCATTAGCACAAAAGGTAAAAAAACTACAGCCAAAGGAACATCACTTGAAGTCGTTATTTTGGCTGGTATGATCCAACAAAATAAACCATATCTTTCAAATGTCCTATCTAGTTTTGGTGTTTTGATTGCTGGTCTTGATGGTTTACAGTTTTCAACAATAGAGTGTAAGGCTGAAGATGGTACAATCATATCCGATAGACCAACAAGAGTCCTTTTTCGTCCTTCAAGCCAGTTTCGACCAGACATTTTCGCGTTTTTATCCAAACAAGTCTGCGTGTCATTTGGAATCAAGCTATATACATCAAAAATTCCTTCAGCAGTGTCTGCCGATAATCTTGAATCTACAAATCCAGACTTTTTCTTTATTAAAGCAGATCGGCCAACGAATAACGAAGCGTATTTGAAATGGCAGCAGAGTATATCTGATATTCTGCCAGAATTTTAAAGAGCGTTATTGCTCAGTAAATTTGATGAAACTCATCATTTCGCGAAACTGTCTGTTCATTATACTTTGACTCTCTTATTTAGTGCCCCGTTTTGCGTCAATACGGTGGTAAATAAAAGTGCTTTGTGGAAATACATCCATTAGCACGACTGCTCAACTGTGTATTAAACTACATCAGTCCGTTGTAGTGAACGGTAGTTTTTAAAAAACATTGAAACTATTAGTGTTTTCAAATCTAACATCAATAGTAGACATTTTAATAACTGAAGCAAGTCTGTAAAAATAGCATATCCATTTTTGCTTCAAACATTTTGTGAAAAAGAGATTTGCAGTGATGGATTTTTAATGGACTGTTTCCCATTACTGATTAGACACGTTTGCCAGATTGCTATTATCTAGCCATTCATGGTTCATGCACTGCCTTTATCTACGGTTTGTTTTGAAGACAACTCTAAGCTAACAGATATTTGATATGGAGACATTAGCAAACATGTTAAATATGTAGCAAAACCACCAAACATTGCAGTTTGTAGCAAAAAATCGGAAAACAAACGCATTGGCTCAGGTGGGCCAATTTTTATAGATAAAGCACGAAACAACTTTAATCACTCTATTACACCTGATTCAAAAAGCGTTTTGCTACCAACTATTCAGACTTGTTTTGATTTTCACCTGTACCCAACTCTATCACGTCTTACTGTGATAACCTTGCATCTGCTATTTGATATCTCTTGGTAAGTAGACTATTATATGTAAACTCCTGCTTGTGTGTATCTTTTTATAGCCTTCCTTATCTAGTTGGCTATTTTAAGATATACTTGACCTTTGTACTCTATCGCGCTCATATTGCAAGTTGCAGATACGCGAAATATGCAAAAAACACTACATGAAACCTTTCGAGTGATTATATTTCTAACTTGACTATTAAATGCATCATTGTGCTTTTTTGTAATCTGCAGAATCTTGAATTTTGTCAGTCCAATATTAAATTATAGTCTTTCAAAAATGGTATCTTTTGGAACTCGTCAAATGTTTGTCGCTGTGGTTGCTTTAGCTTTGCCTTTCCAGATGGTTGCAGCTCAGTCCTCATCTTCTTCAACATCGCCTGCGGCTGGATACACCTCACCAACTACATCTGCAGCAACCACGGTTGCTTCAACATCGCCTGCGGCTGGATACACCTCACCAACTACATCTGCAGCAACCACGGTTGCTTCAACATCGCCTGCGGCTGGATACACTTCTCCAACTACATCTGCAGCAACCACGGTTGCTTCAACATCGCCTGCGGCTGGATACACTTCTCCAACTACATCTGCAGCAACCACGGTTGCTTCAACATCGCCTGCAGGTGGATACACTTCTCCAGCTGCACCTGTAACAACTACAGTTGCTTCAACATCTCCCGCAGGTGGATACACTTCTCCAACCACTTCCCCAGCTGCCATGTCGACTACTTCGCCAGGTGGTTACGTGTCACCTACACCAACTAGATCAACCACAGCAACCAGTACAGGTGTAGTGAGTGCAGCTACAAGTTACAGTGGTGCACATTCATCATCGTTGGTAATTGCACTTACTATCATCACAACTCTTTTTGCGTTCTTTTAAACTTGATATCGTGTAAATGTCCAGACGCGTTTTCAAACCACAAATTTACAGTCGTATTCACGTAAAGTGGGACACTTGTATTTATCCTGCAGTGACTTTTTTCGCTTCAGAATAAACAATGGTTAAATATACAGTTTTTTATTAGAAATTGACATGAATGGACATTTCTAGCTTTCCACAGCACGTTCATTGGTGCATACAAATTATAATTTTGAACCTTTTTCCTCATCTTTGGTACAGCCATACATTGTACAATCATCAAAATCACCGCTATATTCATGTAAAACACTAAATAGGGGTGTTTAATAAACTGCCAGTCTGATGAAACGATGATTTTCACCAGATTGACTGGACAATATTGTGTTTAAAGTCATTGGCAAAAGAGGTGAGAATCAAGGCTATATTTCGTTATTTTCAAGTGATACATGAAAACTATTTAATTGTTCATGTCAAAATGAATATCTTGTATATTGATCATCAAATAGATTCCAGTCTAAACTTGACAGTATTATGAATGCGATGGTAAGAATAAACCAAAAGTGACTACTAACACGTGATACAAAGTCTTAATCATGTGACAAAAAGAATTAGTGAGAATTTTGCATGCAAGCCAGTCTGCCCGTCACTAACCTTTTATAACAGTACAGATGGTTAGTAGAATGTATGATCAAGGACTGCTCCAAGTAGCATGCATCCATATGACTGATGTGCTTTTTGATCGATGCATCCATATGGCTGCTCTGCTTTTTGATGGATTGATACAGTTGAACGATGCATTGAACTCGACTAACACTCGATATTTTTGTTAAACTGCTCTAGTCTGCTCGTCCAGTTGTTACCGTATTCTCTGAGAAAGGCTCCACTATTGGAACCGTCACCCTTCCAGCTGTCTTCACGGCACCCATTCGTGATGATATTGTCAACTTTGTTCACACCAATGTTGCCAAGAACAAGCGTCAGGCTTACGCAGTTTCTGTTAAAGCTGGTCATCAGACTTCGGCCATCTCTTGGGGTACTGGTCGTGCTGTTGCCCGTATTCCCCGTGTAAGTGGCAGCGGTACTCATCGTGCCGGTCAGGCTGCTTTTGGTAACATGTGCCGTGGCGGTCGCATGTTTGCTCCTACCAAGGTATGGCGCAAGTGGCATGTCAAGGTTAACCAGAACCAGCGTCGTTTTGCTACTGCATCTGCTTTGGCTGCATCTGCTCTTCCTTCCCTTGTTCTTGCTCGTGGTCACAAGATTGAGCAGATTGATGAAGTTCCTCTTGTTGTCTCTTCTGCTGTGGAGGCTTTCACCAAGACCAAGGCCGCTATTGCCTTGCTTAAACAACTCAAGGCATACAGCGATGTTGAAAAGGTCGTCAACTCCAAGAAACTGCGTGCTGGTGTCGGTAAACTCCGTAATCGTCGTCATACTCAGCGTCGCGGTCCTCTTGTGATCTACGACAACAATGAAGGTATTGCTCGCGCCTTTAGCAATATTCCCGGTGTTGAAACCTGCTCAGTCAATGCTCTCAATATTCTTCAACTTGCTCCTGGTGGCCATGTTGGTCGTTTTGTCATTTGGACTCAGGCTGCTTTTGAAAAGCTCGATGCTCTGTATGGCACTGCTAGCACTCCATCTCAGCTTAAAAAGGACTATACTCTTCCTGTTTCGATCGTCTCCAACCCTGATCTGCCTCGTCTTATCAACTCTGACGAAATTCAGGCTGTTGTTCGCCCAGCTGGAACATCTCGTCCCAAATGTCCTTTTGCCCAGAAGAAGAATCCCCTCAAGAACATGGGTCTTCTCAACCGTCTCAATCCCTATGCTCAGACTTTGCGTCGTCGTGATATTGTCAACGATCTTATGCACAAGGAAGGCAAGGCAGTCAAGAAGGTGCACAAAAAGGTTCACAACAAGGCCTTTATTGCCAGCCTTCTTGAATAAACCTTTTGAATGTGTTACCACATGACTTGGAAATTGTGAGTTTATAAAGTCATTCATTGCAAACTAAAATAAAAAAGTAGATTGTAGGGATTGATAACCTATAAACTACCATTTCAAGACTTGTATATTTCAAAAGTCTGAATAGAATTGACACTTGTTGAATTGAATTTGTGTGCATTCAAAATACGAATAGTATAAAAGCAGACTTGAATGAATAATTAAAGCAATAGTATATTTACAACTATATTCACGTAAAATGAAATACTAAACTAGAATACATGATAAACGGTCATGTTTGACTAATACCAATCTTACTGGACAACATTGCTTTATAAACTCTTTTAGTTCACTCGTCTCCATGCTCATTCTTGTACAAGAATACAGAACGAATATTCACATTCCTGTTTCAATACATTTCACGTCCTTGACATATTTTCAATCTCCAACTTTACTTTTCTCAGCAAACATTTGAAGTGGACATTGCGCGACCGGCATGTATAGTTGCATTCCCGAGATTATTATCTTGAATTAGAACGTATCTGACATTAGAATACAAGAGTTTCAATAAAAGAAATATTGAATAACAAAGAGTGTTATTCCAGAGCAATCATTACAAGATGAATACAAAAGTGTTGTTTTACATGAATACGACAGCAAGAATGCAAGTTCATATCAAGTATTCAGTAAATTTGATGAATTGACAGTTTATTCGACACTTTGTGTTTTGCGTGAATACAGCTGTGATTGAGATTTAACATGCCAGACTATAGTCATCTACTGCCTACCAACTGGAAACTTCAAGTGTCATCATGGCTTGATGAAGACACTCCTACATTCGATTATGGCGGATTTGTTGTTGGTGAGACGGACCAAACTGCTGCTCTTTATTGCAAGGCTAAAGGAGTTCTTGCTGGAGTTCCATTTTTTAATCAAGTCTTTAGTCAAGTGGGATGCAGGTCAAGCACACTCGACTTATTCCAACTGATTCAGTATCGTTCAAACTGCCACGATGGGTTAAACCTAACTACTGATTTTATGTATTGAAAACAGAGTCGAATGGCATGTAGATGAAGGAACTTTGATTGATCCACCACTCAACGGCAAGGTTGAAGTCGCTCGAGTTTATGGCAAGGCTCGACACTTGCTTTTAGGAGAACGACCTGCTCTTAACATGCTTGCTCGTGCTAGTGGTATTGCTACCAAGTAAGCCAACATCCGATTGATCTGATGATCAGTCAACAGTGGTTGACCCAATGATTATACGTTTGTAGAGCTAGTCATTTGAGAAAGATCAAGGATGACAACAACTGGCATGGTGTCATTGCTGCTACTAGGAAAACTACTCCAGGTAATCTTGGTATGATGATCGTGCTGATCTACGTATTGATCTTTTTTTTTACTTTATACCGTTTAGGGTTTCGTATTGTTGAAAAATACGCTAGCTTGGTCGGTGGGGTGGACACTCATCGCATGGACCTTTCTTCAATGATCATGCTCAAGGACAACCATATCTGGGCAACTGGATCCATCACGGATGCAGTCAAAAAAGCCAGATCGGTCGGTGGATTTGCTTTGAAGATTGAAGTGGAATGTGGTTCCGAGGCCGAGGCTACCGAAGCTATTCTTGCTGGTGCTGACATCATCATGTTGGATAATTTCAATGGAGATGGAATTCACGTTGCTGCAAAGAATCTAAAGCAGATGTTTGGTGACAGTGCCAGTCCAGGCCAAAAACGCCAGTTTTTGATCGAAGGCAGTGGTGGGTTGACTCAAGATAATGTCAAGGATTACTTTTCAGAATATGTCGATATTTTAAGCTTTGGTGCCATTACTCAAAGTGTTCCACATATTGATTTCTCTCTTAAAGTGATTCCCAAAATCTAATTGCTTTTTTGATAAGCTCTTATATTCTCCAATTCTCTAAACATTCAAACTAAAATGAATCGACACTCCGCATTGGATGGTTATCTATTCATCACAGTATCGCATTGCAAGATTGAATATAGTTTGAAACTCAAAGCAGAATATCGTCATTGTCGAGTCTGATAATTTGGGCATGGACAGTGGCCAGAAATAATGGAAAATAATCAAAAGGCTTTTTACAAGATCGATCCAAAGACTTTGTTGTAACGTGCAATACTGGGTCCGTGCTCTTCGTATTGAGCTTTGGTGTGACAGTAGCTAAAGAATTCGGGCTGACATCAAGAGTTAGAAAATTGCTCAATATATTTTATAAAGCAAATACCACTTACAGTATCAGCCAAAAGACTGCCACCAAACCATACGGCATATCGCTGCTTTTTATGCGAAATCACATTGACATCAATCTGCTTAGCCTTGATTTGGGATTCAGCTTGCATATTAACCTGCGAAGACACTTCAGAAGCCTTGATGCGGAAATCCACCATTCGCTTAATGTCACGCTGAAGTCGCTTGCTAAAGTCCTTGTACATGGTAGAACCACCAGAAAGAACAATATTTTTGTAAAGACCACGACGCACATCAATCGGACAGGATTGAATCACTTGATCAACCACTTCAGGCAAGGGTGTCAAAAAGTCGGAGCTAACGATTTCTGGATTGAAAAAGATTTCTGGAGCCATGAATCGCTCAAACCCAACATCCACCGAATACGGCTAAAGTTGAAACATGGCATGGTGAGTGGATTGACATTAAAAATGTAGAGTTCAATTTTACCTTTTTGGTTATACTGTGAATAAAATCAGCACGCTTGATCCATTTTTCACCTTCTGTTTCATACTTTCTAAACTCCTTGACAATGTCTGGACAGACATAGGAATACATTTCCTTGATTCGTTTCGCGACCTCCAATGATTCTTCTGGCGGGATCGAGTTTTCACGCTCTCGGAGCAGTTGCTGAACAAAATAGGTGATATCACGACCAGCAATAGGAATATGCTTGATAGAAGAGCCAATCACGTACCCTTCCGCAACAGGAATGACGTGGGTTACACCATCTCCACTATCAATGACGGTACCAGTGAGAGTCTGTTCACCTTTACCGCTCGTCCACGATGCAGCAAGAGCAAGAACGGCCTGAACAGCAATATAAATTCCCTTTACACCAAAAGACTCAAAGAAAATCTCGGCAGTGTATTCTCTGTTTTCCGGAGCATTAAGTGGTGGCTCAGTCTACATTCAAAACACATTAGATCGAGTCGAATCAACACAACCAACAATGACTTACTAAAAGAAAACAATGATCTTCAGGCTCACAGCGCAAGTATTGGAATAAACAAGCTTGATGAAACTTTTCCATCAAGTCCCAGTTGTCCACTTGGCCATGACGGATGGGCGAGGACAAGGAATATGTTTTTGAGTTTGCAACAGCTTCATCGCCAATGTAATAATCAAGATCTTCAATGCCTCGTTTGGATGAGACATTGTTTGTAGCACCGCCAGAACCGCCCATACCAGAGCCTGCACCACCTGAAGCAGATGAAGATGAACCACCAGTTTTGGAAGACGAACCGCCCACAACGTTTACATCTCGAGTTGCAATACTTGTTGGAATGATGAATGCAGGGTCGTTGTTACCTGAATAACCCATCTTGGTATATCTAATAAGAGTTCAAGATCCAGAACATGATCAACCATGTAAACATATTGAATCAGTATCAAGAATTGGACAAGATAGCATTGAATGTAACTTATAAAGAATGGACTTGTTTTAAAGTCCATTCAGATAGACTGAATCCTTGAGCATCGAAACAGAGACAATGTCTGCAAGAGTTTACTGTAGAATTCAAGTCTAATAGAATAATATTATGCAATATTCTTGGTGTGATATTTCCATCCGACTAGATTCAAGCCCTGGACTACGACTGGACAGTCATGACTGCACATTCAATATTCAATAGAAAAGCAATTCACTAAATATTATCATACAAGTCTTACCCAGTGCCATTGTCAATAACAACAGTGGGAAGTCTGTGTGCCATGGTCGTTGAGTTGAGGGTTAAATAGCGACAAACTGGTAAAAACTTGATGCTCAAACCATGACAATTCCATCGTATTTGATATTGCTTTAATCCTTAATCTATATCAAAACTCTTATTTATTATTCACACATTGAGAGTAATCCTTGCAGCATCCCAATCTGCTCGTCATCCACTCTGCGGCATTTTAATTCATCTCTCAATGTCAGATTCTCTGCTCGTAACTGTTGAATCTCCGCCAACATGGATCCTGCTCCATGCGACGTCTTGGCTAGTAAAGATACTGGCTCGTCGCATGGTATGTTTCGCGTAGTTGTGTCAGTAGGTGACTCGGGTGTGATTGCGTGAGCTGATGGATATAGATTAGTTAAAGCAGTGATCTGTGCTTGGATCGATTCTAAGACAGTTCGTGCCGAGTTGACTTGCTGTTGGAGAGCTTCCAATACCAACGAGTGTGTAACACGCTCTTCATTCGTTGATAGAGTACTCCGTGTCAAAGGCTCGTCCATGCAAGTGCAATGATGTGTATGCCCACAGGGCATATCTACAGTCTTGGTCATACTCCCCAATACAGTTTGGCTTGTATGTGGAACTGTCGAGTTATTTCCAATCGTATAGCTTGATGGTGTAGGAATGAATAGGCGTGAACCTTGTGGATACAATGCTACCAAAAATGGGTCTGTTTCTGTGTTGGATATTGCAATAGTACTCGATGCGGCAAAAGATTGCAAGGATGCATCGGATCGATCAGGCGATCCGCTCGAGATTGCCAAATCTAAATTGCTTTTATTGTGGCTCATTTGAGTTTCAAAAGTGGTTACGAGTGGATGCGGAACAGAAAACTTGGATTGAATAAGCTTTTGTTGGCTATGCATGTGTTGATACGGAGTATACTGGTGCTGGTATCTCCTTTGATAAGGATGAGATAATTGTCGATTATACAGATTTTGCTGTTCGATCGAAAGTGGTTGAGTGGGCATGGCTAAAGAATTAGTAGAATGTTCAAATTGATCACCAATAGATTTAGACTGTGTGTCGTACAATGTTTGTGGGCTGGGCTGCTGCAACGGTGGTGGATGGGGAAGCAACTGGCCAAACATTTGGCCTTGATATGGACTGGGAAATAATGAATTCACGCAAGAGTGAATTGTAGGTAAACTTATGGCAGATAAAGCCGTAAATGATACAGATGTGGACAAGGTAGCAGTAAAGGCATTGTCTGCATTACTGCTTCCGTTGGATACAGCAGTGGTCGCAGAAACTGCACCTAACGAGGTTTGATAAAAAGAATCGCTTGCTAGCTTTTCACGAGCTACCCAGATTGAAGATGACAGGGGGCCATCAAAAATTGGGTATCGTGATGGTTCGGCAGCTGGAGCAGCAGAAGCCGATGACAAAGTAGTGGCAACTGCTGTTTGAAATGGTGTAGAGGAAAATCTAGGCGAGCAGGGCTTGGAATTAAAAACAGAAGACGAGTGTGCGTCCCTCGTGCTTTGCTGGTCAAACAGACTAGATTGAGATGCACGATGGGGTGATGTCAGCGCAGATGAAGTGATATCAACAGTAGTTGTAGTGTTTTCCACATCGCGATCGACTAAAATTTCACAGTCGGCAGCAACAGATTCAGGCAACTGAATGCCAAAATCAGAAGATGACAAGCATGAAATCTCTTTACTATTTGATATACATTGTGAGCCAGTTACGCAAATGGCTTGATTGTTAGAATCAAAAGAATCTAGCTGGTAGGTTTCTGTACTGGTAGCGGAAGGTGCGGGATCAAGAAATGGTAAGCGCGGTAAAGCAGGTGGCTTAATAAGCGTAGTGTTGGAAAGAGAAGTTTCGACTTGAGCAGCCAAGCTTTTCTGGACCTGCTCAGGCGGCTGTTGCACATGTGGGATAGATTCATAGGATGTCTTTATAAGGGCAGTGTTGGCTTGTGCGTCAGACTGAAAAGTGATATCGGTATCAACCACTAGTGCACTCCCATTCACTCGGCTCGGCTTACGCTTTCCTCGCGAGCCGCGTGTGCGAAATGGCTTCTTGCTTGTGTTGTCATCTGGCACATTTGAAAAACTGGCAGTCGGTGGATTAGGGTTTTGTTTCTTGGAAAATATAGCAGTAAAGTTGGTTGTTATGTTGATGGTATTTAATGCTGCTGAAGCGCTTAAAGTATCAAAAAAATACACTAAACAAGATGCCTGATAAAACTGGGCATCTTTAAACCCTTCAAAAAATGAAAAAAATGCATAAAGATCGTCGTCTGTTGAAGTCGAGGGAAAGTCTGCTACACGTACAATCGAATTGACGGCTCCAATGGAAGAGTTGGAGATGGCATGCAGTGTGTAGTCTGCACGGGCAAAACTGGCCTTCATGCGAGTCTTGAACAGTACTTCTTCAATAGCATGTGATGCAGTTTGAATATCTTTAAAACATACAAAGCAGTAATCTGGATAAAATGCAATCATGGAAAATCCAGTAAACGCTTTAAACATTTTGTAAAGACCCGCCATATCCTTGTCAATCTGCGTAACATGAATAGTGCATTTCGGAGACCGCTGTGATATAATGTTTATATTTCCAGAACCAAACCCTTTAGATAGAGTGTTGGATTTGAGATTACCGCAAGATTGGACAGTGTGGTTTAACGTAGATGACGTAGTGCCACTATCTATGCTACAACTTCTTATTGAAGTCGATGCCGAATTGATATGTCCGTTTGAGTCGTTCTGACAGACAGCATATTCCGTCATGGACGACACAGGATCAGCCAATCCGGTACTTTGTAATTGAGCATCAGACTTGGGTATGAGCAAAGATGAAGCATTTTGATCCGATGGTATGTACAGTTCGTTGAGAGCAGAGTTGGTCTCGCTTTTTGAATGTGCAACTGAATTGTTAAAGTTGCCCGACTCTGCTCCACATCGATTGCCTTTTGTAGAAAAATTGGCAAACAAATTGGTGTGCGAGTTTAAGCTTTCCAACGCATTTGTTGCATCTTGGACGCTCTTGAATCGAACAAGAGCGTGGTTGGGGAAAAACCGACAACTAAAATGTAGTCGAATGGTAGACGGCATTAGATTAGATACTTTCTAGTACTCTCAACAACACAATTCGATTGATGATGATGGTATTTCAAAATCAAAATATAGATAGTCCTTGACCTCAATCACTAGAAATAAAGCATCAATACGTACCTGTCGTAACCCGCATAGGTTCCAAATATTCCTGCAAGCTCGTCCTCGGTTAAAAAAGGAAATAAGCTAACATACAGAATCGAGCTAGGAGGAACAGGAATGGATGGCTGGGAGTGGCCCAGTATACCACTTTTTGCATGAGATGCCTGCATTTGTGTCTAAAAATTGAAATCAAGATCAAACATGTATCAATTTAGAACTGGTTTGTAAATCCAATAAAGCATGCAAGTGAATGGTAAAACAGTCATTGCGTCATAATTCAATACACTGCATGCATTATGCAAATTTTGTAGCAGCAACCCCATCAGCCAAATATTAAAAGGCAGAATATTATAAAAATAACAATATAAAGTGACCAGTATGATTCTCCGACTTCAAGGCTGGTCGACCAACAAACAAACCACATTTCGAAGCCACGCGCAAAACAACCGCCCGATAGCGGCGGAACAGCAGCAAGTAATGCCTTTATCTTCCAAACATAGAAAGACTTGATAAATAGCTAATACAACAAAGATGACGAGATGCTGAAAAGAGTGCACAAGCAACGACATCTTTGACGTATATTCAGGCAGATTCAGCATTAAAAAGTATATTTTGCCTTTGTAGATTCAACCCCAACTACTGCAGTTGTCTTGTCATCAGAATGCAATACACCATCAACACCGTTTTTACAAAGACAGCATGTACACTGTACAAGGGGAATAGGAAATCAAAGCTTACAATGGAGTTGCTAAGCCAATCTACCACAAATTCTATTGTTGATGGAAATTCATAGAAATCATATTTCAAGCATTCGCCCCTAAAACGACTCGATTATATTCTCCAACATCCCACCAGATTCGACACATCTAGTAACAATACATGACTATAGACCCACCTTGGTGTGAATAGTGTTGATGGCTTGGGTTGCAAAAGTCAGATCCGAGAAGCAGACGAACAAATAGTCTGAATGAAAAGCCATACGACGGAATCCAGGCATGGCTTCAAACATAAGTTTGAGACCAACCTTTTCCTCTGAAGATAAATTAGTTACATGAATGGTGGTTTTACTGAGTGGTCGGGGCTGTTGTTGGGGCATTTTATTTCATAAAAAGAGCTTAAGTTGAATAGACTACGCAATGTTAGATGCAGCAAGCTGAATGGTTGGAGTTCTGAGGACGTGCAGACGATAGATTAAAGAATGAAATGACTGGGAATATCCAATGAGTCTTGAATAGAACCTGGTCAAGAATGAAGCAGACTAGATTTGGATTGATGGCTACCAACTCGCAACCTGCAAACCGAATTCAAAATTCAATTGGAAACGTTGGGTAACCACGACAAATTCTAATCGCTATTCAAGTCGGAGTTTCTCTCCATTGGTCGCAACGGTTATAAAATTCAAAAATGTATTACGAAAAGAAATAGAGATTTATTTATATCTTAAAATTGTATTCAATTAACAAAACTCAATCAGTTTCTATTCCTTGGCAAACTCCAACTTCCATTTCATGGTACGGCCTCTCTCATCCATTGTAAAAACGACTTTGGGTCTGGATTTAGATTTACACTTTCATCAGAATCTCTAACATCGTGACTTTGAGCTCGTGGCGGTAAATCATCACGGTCATTATCAGCCTCTAAAGCAGCCTTTAGCATTTGTAAACCTCTTGTAGCTGCCCGAATCGATCCACCGCCAGTCTGTCTACTCACCGATATCTGGTCACGCACAATCACAAGTGCTTGGGCTTCTGTGATTTTACTCTTCATCCGCCATTCGGCTTTAAATAGTATACGAGATAATGGAAGAAGATGTCGGTGCACCAGTGTAAGTGCGTGTAACCTAGAAATAAACAATTATTTAAACTTTGATATACTTACAAAAAGTAGCACAACTAAAATATAAAGCAAATACACTTTCAGCGATACGTACCAGCTAGAAAGCCGATCCCGATGTTTAAGCTGATCGTCAGTAGGAATACTCACGTCAACACAAGCATCAATAAGTAGTGGTTGGTCAAGTCGAAAAACAAGCTTAAGTGCCGGATGTAACGCTTCCTTGACAATAAAGTCATCCATGTCATCATCGGTTCTGATTCTACGCTTATTGCTTTCGTTCTTGCTCATACCTTGACTGACAGGTAGTGTGGCCAAACTAAGCAGGCTTCCATACACTAGGCCATCGCCATATAGCTCCGAATAATTAATGGTTTGCTTTTGAATAGTATCAAATACAAGATGGCGAAGTGCAAGCTCCATGGCGGAAAATAATCGACTGCGTACAAGAGGGTTGGCAACCAGATCGGTGCTATAAACTACAATAGAGTTGGATATTGCAGGTACATGATTGTTTAACACATCAGCTTTTGAATCAGAATTAGACTGACGTGTTTTTGAAACATTGTGTGGCCAGAATGGTATAACTGGAGTAGGTATATGTGGACGAACAATTTGAGGAACTTCCAGCGGGTTTGTCAATGGGGAAACTGTAGATTGATCAATAGACGTAAAATCTAGATGTGATTGAGATTGGCCAGTCATTAGTGCATGTGAGGCTGAAAAACGAGATTCACTTCCATCAGCTAAATTTTCAGTTGGGTATTGTCCTTGACTAAATTCATCTGCATTAGCATATCCATATGTCGAGTTAAAATTATTCGGAATAGCATGTTGATGATTTTTAAGAATAGGACTTGTGTCACGCCCAAGAGTTGTAAACGCAGAAACTGTTGTGGTAAGTGCTGGATCATCAGAATCAATAATAATGCCATCACCCAAATGACGACCAGTTAGCACTTGCTTTTCTTTGTACATCGTGCCAATATTTTGATAGGGCAATGGCATGGCAGATGGTGCTAAAAATGAAGTTCCTGGGTTTTCTGTACAAGCATTGTTAATACGAGAGGGTGTGCCATTTGGAGAGTCGTATGGATCATTATCGCCAAAATTAAGATCTTCAACCACCATAGATCGATCAACAGCTGTATTTTTAATAGGTAAATGACACGTATCATGCTTAGATTCTTCAAAGTTGTGTTCTTTAAACGAATGCTGATCTAAACCACTCATTCTCATTGTATGGAATAAAGCAGCAGTAGGGTGAGTTTCTGGCATGACGTTGGGTATTCTGGGTTGCAATCCATCTTTTTTTTGATCTTGCAAACCTGGCGCGTCAGTATCGCAGACCTCGTCTTCAAAATTCGGCCGAGGAGAACTGATTGCTGTTGTGTTTTGCAAAAGCATGTTTGCTCCACGCGTATTGGATGAATATTCTTTTAAAAGTTTGTCACCTTTTGTCATGCTCACTAATGGTGTTGCTGGCACAACAGAATCAAATGAAAGCATGTCTTTTGGTGCATCAAACTTTATCTTGTCATCTTGCACTTCTGATACTTGATGTTCAGCAGCCGCCACGTTAGCCCACACAGCATCGGCAAACTTGTAGTTTGTATCAATCAAAGTGAGTTTATCGCGCTGTTCAAGCACAATATCATCCAAGATGATCGAAAATCGGTCGTTTGAAAGAATTTGATTTGATTTATCAGCCGAATTGAATTGCAATGAAGCAGTTTTAGTAGCATATTCTTGTAGTAGTGTAGAATTAATGTCTGGTTGAGTCTCCTTTCCAATATTATCAATAGTAGCAGCAAACATGGCTGCATAATCTGCTGATATATCTCTATTCGTCTCTAGATGTGGAGATTGAGACCAATCCAACAAATTTGTGGAGTGGTTGTGAGAGTTGTTTACAGATTCAAACACAGTAGGGTTTGGTAAAGTCTGAGTAGATTGGCTTGCCACATCACAAGTGGGCTTTTTAGCATCATTGGTTTGTTCAATAATCGGATTTGGAAGAGGTCCAACATACAGAGCCTGGCTCTTTTGATTCTCTCTAGAACCAATACTCGCCTTTTCGAATTGACGTTGCAAATCTGCATAAATCGATTGAATGATTTCGGTATCGGCTGGATCATCCACTGAGTTGAAAAAATTTAAAGTGGGTTTAGATTGATCTTGACTTGATTTAAAGGTTTTTGGGGCGGGATGGCTTTGTGCTGCTAAAGTGGATAGCAACGGTGGGGTAAAATTAGGCATTGGATTATGACCGTCTTCAAGTGCCGTGCTAGGCAATGAATGTTTCATTGATTGAACATGCGTAGACTCGGATGTAGCATGCTCGTTTTTAGGCTGATGTCGCGTATCAGCATCAGTATCCTCTGACATATCTACGGGAACAGGCGGGTTGGGTACTGATGTATTTTCTTGGCTAAATCCTTTTTTAATAACGGTATCGAGGTTTGAAGGCTGAAAAGCATTCAATGGACTTTGAATATTGTAAAAAGGAAGCAAGTGATATCGTCTTCCATGCGTCACCACAGTCTGGCATAATTTTACAAAATTTGGATCTTGATCAATATCGTCAAAAGGAAATGGATTCATCGCAGTCATGGTATCTCTTCCGTGGGGATTTAAATTAAAACAAACTAATCCGTCATTTCCGGAAATGCCAAGAACAATTTTGTATAAGCCATGTAAAAAGGGAAGATCGGCTGCATTTGGATCCTGCCATGCAAGCGATACTTTGGACGACGGTATCAATATTGACTCATCTTTAACTCTATCAGTCTTGGCATTCACCAATCTAGCGCATAGCTCGACACATTCTGTGCGTACAAGGATACTTGGATCGTGTCGTAACCGTAATAACAGTGGGGTAAATGCATCTAAAACAATAGCATCGCAGAATGGCGGTGTGGGTCGTTTTTTCAACGATATGTTTTCAGTCAACATCCAAGAACCTTCTAATACACCAGAAACAACACACATGATCCCACTACGACGAAATTGGTCTTCATCCACCCCACTGATATTGCTTCCAGCGTTGATGCGTTGATTAGAATACTGAGTCGATTTAGTAGCTTGGTCTTGCAATTTCACGAGACGATTAAATAAATCCAATGCAAACCGCGCAATCGATCTTTGATTAGCACACGCAGGTGTTTTTAAAAGTCTATCGCAAAAAACAGGACATTGAAACATAATGTGTCTAGTAATATAGTACGCCCACAACCCAATAGTTTCCATTTCCCGTGGTGACATGGCCAAAGATTTTTGCCTAAAGCATCACCAGTTTAGCAATCGCACTCAAAACGTTAATACAGCATCACAAATACAGTCATGCGGTAGATAATATAGACATTACCCAAAAAACATTTTGTCCAAGTAGGTTAAAAAAAATGAGTATGGCGATGCAATACGAGGTCGACTAGCTGTGCCACTTGATTCCATTTTATTTGAAGTCATTCCGCAGTTTCCGTATAGTTCATGATAACAAAAAGTATGCCGTGGATCAGATGAGCGTGAATTGAGTCCCACAATAACCATGACTTGTGCAATATGCATTCGAATCTGATAAGATGGGTCGTCAAACAATGAAATCAAACAATTGGAGATCTGTATTAAACATAATTTGGCATTAGCCATCAATTCTAAATTCTAGTTTAAAACGCAAAGGTATTATTGCTAATCAAATACACTTGCCGCGCTATCTATCGGAAGAATAAAACCCAAAACTCGAGCAGCAAATATACGTATACTGACAAGTGTACTCGGACAAATAAGTTTGGAAGAAATTGTGCTAATCTCTATTTGTGCTGTATCACTAGTAGTTTCATTCAGCGAGCGATGACAAGCAAGTGTCACTAGCCACTTTAAAACGCTTTCGCGTAGCCATGGATTCGATGCTAGTGCAATAAAAGATGGATCATGATTAGTGTTGGTATACAGCATAAATAGCTTGAAAAAGGCGCTTTACAACATTAAACTCACCACTTGATGTTTGATGATGATTCTGAAATGCAATCATTTCAGATATAGAGCCTTCTTGCCCAAGAAAGCGTAATAAAAGTTGCTCACATACTCGCCAATTAGACTCTAGTCCAACCAGCTGCATGACAAAGGGTAATAAAAACACCTGCACAACGCGATAGGATGAACAGTTCAACGCCCATGCTGCCAATAATTCAGCAGATGAAGATTGCAATACAAGAAAATTTACACTTGATACTGGAGTTGAAGATGACATATTAATTGTGCTTGATGTTGAAATCCCCGCAAAGCTCTTTGCACTGTATTCATTAGTGCTGTTTGCGCCAGTGTAAATGGCATCAGCAATAATTTCAATATATTCACAAATTTCCAACAGAATATTTGTATCAGTCATGAGTACTGGTGGATAGGCACTTGAATCGGACCTTTCTTTGATATATTTACGAATACTAGCAACAGCTGTTTTTAAAACACTGCTGGCATGATTACGTAATGTGGGATGCCAGATAGCCAGTCTACAAATATGCGTTATTGTGTGCTTCAGAATCAGCAGCGGATGAAGTAAAATTTTGACTGTTTTTGGAGGCAGTCGTGTATGAAAAGAACTAGGTATAAAGTGCATACAGTCACCATACACTGACAGCACAATCTATATTTTAATACCAATTTAGTTAAATATATCAACTGAATGCATTCAACAGGCTCAAGTATCCTATATTTACTTTGAGTTGATCTACGTTGTTCAAAGTATGATCAGTACTACTCAGATACTTTAAAACTCGCCGTATAAAAGACTCGGCAATGTTCAGAGCAGTACGATCTTTGTTTTGATCGTACAACCCAACAGCGTTTCGCAGTACAATCATAAAATCTCCAAGTTGCTCACGAGCTTTTGATGCCATGTGCACAGACCAGTTTTGACAGACTGAAAGTGTTGAAGATACAGAACTTTTACCAAATACATGTGATTTGGTGTGTGGGCAGATGATGGACATGAATCCTTGACATACAACATCGGTCACAGTCGACATGGACCATGCTGAACTGGTGTCCGCGTTGACATTACGTAAAATTGGAGTCATGAACACTGCCAACAGTTTGTTTCTGTAATTATGGTAAAACATATTAATACTGAATCAAATATTTTCTAGATATACATTGCAGATGGATCACAAAAAGCCAACCTATCCATACGACGACTTAAAAGAACAAACAGTGCAACGAGCAGAATCCGTATTTTTCCAGCGTGTATTTTATCTTGACTCAGTTTTTGTTGCAATAGGGGATCTATAGGCAAGATAGATTTTAATGCATCTCGATGCCATGCAGCTTCAAGACATATTGCATAATTGAGTGCAGATATACATGCTTGTGCAGCCTGGACACTCCGAGATGCACTTTTGCTAGTAAAAGGATCAAACAGCGTATCCATTACCCGAGTCGAGTCCGATAATTTGTGATGATTGTCTGATTGCAAATCATTTTCGGACTGCATAGCATTAGAGCGATCCGATGATGGGAATTGCTCAACAATAATCGGAAGCAACTCATGAAGCAAGCTTCGATTCACAGTATGTATAGTGACAAGAGCAGCAGACGAAGATGCAGTTGATGGATTGGAAAATAGTCCGGATCTAGTTGGAGAGCTAACATCTGCAAACCCATTCAGACTCTTATCCAAGTGCATCAGACTATCACACAATGACACAACTAAATGAGAATGGCATGGATGCCAAAGTGAAGTAATAGGCTGAATCCTATCTATACCAGCAGTTGTTGAAAAACGAGAGTCTGGTGTTGCTGGTTCTGATGATTTACTATATGTATTATGATGGATATGCTCTGAACCAAGGGATGGATCTACAAATCGAATATTTCTTATTGTTTTGCTGGTTACCATCCAATTATGATTACAGTTGAAGACAGTGAATGAAAAGATGAAAATATTCTATTTCAACTCAATTTCGTCATGTTTTGGAAACATTTCAATATCATCAAACAGATTGCTGTTGTAGCATCCCAAACGTGGATTCTCTGCAAAACTGCACGATTGTCTTTAGGTTAATCCAGACCAAGTGGAATGTTGAACCTCTCGCGTCAGACCAAGTATCTCGTCAAAACATGATACACGCTAATGGTTGTCGATAATCTCCGTCTTCATTCATATTGTCACCAACTGTGAATGGTAGAATAAACCATGTGCTCAAAAGTCTGAATAGAATTGACACTTGTTGGATTGAATTTGTGTGCATTCAAAATACGAATAGTATAAAAGCAGATTTGAATGGATAATTAAAGCAATAGTATATTTACAACTATATTCACGTAAAATGAAATACTAAACTAGAATACATGATAAACGGTCATGTTTGACTAATACCAATCTTACTGGACAACATTGTTTTATAAACTCTTTTAGTTCACTCGTCTCCATGCTCATTCTTGTACAAGAATACAGAACGAATATTCACATTCCTGTTTCAATACATTTCACGTCCTTGACATATTTTCAATCTCCAACTTTACTTTTCTCAGCAAACATTTGAAGTGGACATTGCGCGACCGGCATGTATAGTTGCATTCCCGAGATTATTCTCTTGAATTAGAGCGTATCTGACATTAGAATACAAGAGTTTCAATAAAAGAAATATTGAATAACAAAGAGTGTTTATTCCAGAGCAATCATTACAAGATGAATACAAAAGTGTTGTTTTACATGAATACGACAGCAAGAATGCAAGTTCATATCAGTAGTTTGCCTTGGTATATTCCAAATCATTCAAGGTTAATATTGATTATTTGAACATATCAAACCCCAATGTTTTGATATTAATTTTAAATCTACTGTTTGCGCGTGTTGAGCCCATTCACGTAATATCATAACGAGCAGCAAGATCTGTTCGTCCTTCAAGATCTTATCACGTGTCTTGTTGGGAAACAACCGCTATCTACAGTTTAGTTAAAACTTGTCCAAATACGTTGCATTCACCTCGACAAAATGTTACTTCCTTCATATCGACGAATTGTTTCTAGATATGACCAAAAAACCTTGAGTAATTTCTTTAATTGCCTGACCGGCTTTGGAAACCCAAAGCATAATGCCAGCAATTATCAAACCACTCAAATTCATCGAATTCCACGTCGATTTATTGGTGTTTTTGTTGTTCTGGCTCTCCTAATGACAATGTACTTGGCCATGTACATAAACATAATGGTCTCGCTCCAACCTTTAATCAACAATTCAAACTGGTTGGCGCAGAATACTCAGCTCAAAGACAATAGCCATTCTTGCGCTTGGAAAACGCCATCTGTGGCCAATACTGCACACTTGAAGTTTGCTCGTATCCCTCATGTACTTCACCAGTCGTGGAAAAACAACACACTGCCTCTGGTATTGTTTGAATTGTTTGAAACTCTGTAATGCATGTTTTTTTCATTTTATTGATAACATGTTAATTTTGGGAATGTGTTTTGTTATCGTGTTTCTTTGCAACCGCAACATGCTTTGTCAACAAAATCCATCCAATTAGAAATTCTCAAAATGGCAAAAAAGCTGGCTGGATCTACATCAAGACTGGGAGTATAAACTATGGACTGACAATGACAACATGGAGTTGTGTCGAGATCACTTCCCTTGGATGTTTGAGCGGTTTCAAGAGTTTCTTACAAACATTAATCGCGCTGACACGGCTCGATACATGTATATGCACTTGGTACGCTCATTCTATTGTTTTGTCCAAATGTATTTTTAATGCCGACGTAAACTAAACACTTGCTATTCTCACCACTTTACTCGTGCAATATTAGTATGGTGGATTTTATGCTGACTTGGATGTAGAGTGTCTTCAGTCTCATGCACCAATTGCATCTATTGGTGGTGTAGTTGTTCCTTTGATGTCGCGCGACTACACCTATGAGCACAATATTCCTAATCCATGGTTGGGATCAGCACCCGGCCATCCGTTTTGGATCTATCTTTTAGAAAAAATTAAAAACGCTACATTGAGCTCACAAGTCGAGGTATCAACTGGCCCTGTAGTTCTCTATAAAGCGCTAAAGGAGTTTGAGCAGGAAAAAATGAATGAAAACATATTGCCCATCACATACATTGCTCCAGGTACCTGCATCTATCGCCTATTGATCGCACTCAATAATTTGAAAATTGTAATGTTACTAACTTTACACTATTGATTGAAAACATTAGAAATGATTCTGCCATACGACTGGCATAATAATAAAGGACTGGGTCACTTGTGTTCTGCACAGTCGGGAGGATTTGATCCTGAAGAATGCAAAAAGCGAATTGACCCAGACAAAAATGCATACGCTATTACGTACTGGTCGCATACCTGGGAAGGAAAGGAAGATCAGGTTTCACAGCCATTTAAAAACACTAAAGCGGATCATGTGGATGCATAAAGCATGCCCGCAGTTGTTTAAATACAAATCAAATATATATTTCCAAGTAATTGGACAGTAATGAAGTTGGCCATTTATATGATTAAATACAATATTGATCATGCAACACAAAATTAAACTATAATTAAACCTCCCTTTACGCTTTCGGCATGACCGCATAGTGTACGATCGCCGGATTGAAACCAAACATTGAGTTCGATTGCTTTCAAACTCATGTGCTTGGGCTCTAGTTTAAAACAACAATGGCTACACATCACAGGAATGCAACTATTGCTCCCATGTCAATCACTAACGTCTGCTCTTAATGTCAAGGATATGAGATTTACTGAAACTGGTATAAACACTCGTTTAGCTTTTATACAAAATGAGTAAAAAGTCCAAAAACAATGCTGTCTAGTAAATTTAACGGCACCATCATTTCAGGAGATTGACTGTTTATCAACACCCTTATTCAATGTTTCATTTAACGTGAATACGGCAGTGAAAAATCGTACCTTGGATTTTCTCTAGTAACTTCTTATTCGACGCAGAAATGGCATATCAGCAACAATATCCTTCTCAGCCAGGCATGCAGATGGTAAGACTGAATTTTTCCATTGCAGTACACTCATTGTATGAATTGTTAACCCGAAATGGTTTATCTGGCATGAATGTTATCTAAGCAGTATGGTGCTCCTCAAATGAAAAAAGAAAGCTTCACTCATGGCTTATTTGACTGCTTTGGTGACTTTGGTACTTGCATTTTGTCTTGCTGCTGCCCTTGTGTTACCTATGGCCAGAATCTACAGCGTGCAGAAGGCAAGGACGGATGCTGCATGGTAAGCAACTACACAATCTACTTGAACAGCAAATGATGTTTGCTATACCTTGATGCCTGACTGGTCTTTGAAATAAGCACTAGAATGTTTTCACTCGATGACGCCTCATCGCTATACTTTACTCATCATTTGTCATGCATACCATGTTGCAGTATCTAACTGATTTTTATTCTTGCTATGCTGCTTAATAAGGATGCAACCTTTTATCTTTTCACCATGTTCTGTGGTCTTCATTCTTGCTGTGGATGCTATGGGCGTGGCCGTGTCCGCCATGCAACCAACATAACAGAAGGCTCTGTTGGCGACTGCTGTGCACATTTGTTTTGTGCTCCATGTGCTCTCACACAAGAGAAGCGGGAATTGGATTCATGTGGCAGATAGGCTCTTATTCTATGGCTCAATTGGCAATGAGCTGAAGTAAAATTTGGCCTAATTTGGAAACTATAACCGCCGTATTCAAGCAAAATGGACTCGTTTGTATTCAACTTGAAATGACTTTTGCTTTGGAATAAAGTGGTTGAATGTCTGTTATGCTTTTCTACTACAGGTTGATAGTTTCAACTTTAAATACAATATTCATCATACAACACAAAATTAAACTATAATTAAACCTCCCTTTTACGCTTTCGGCATGACCGCATAGTGTACGATCGCCGGATTGAAACCAAACATTGGGTTCGATTGCTTTCAAACTCGTGCGCTTGGGCTCTAGTTTAAAACAACAATGGCTACACATCACAGGAATGCAACTATTGCTCCCATGTCAATCATTAGGAGAAACTCCAGCCAACTAGAGTTTAAAAGACATGGATGGTTTCATGATACTGCTTATTATCATTTTGTCTTGCATTCCATTCTGCGTGAATACAACTAGAGCAAATACAAAGCATGATGGTTTATTTACATTCAAATTGCCATAAAACACAAGATGTGTATCAAATAGACCAGCTTATCCATGAGAGCTTAAATAATTGGATAGAGAAGTATCTGACATCATGTTTGCACTTGCACTTGATATATCGGCATATGATATAGAAGGATGGCAAATATCAGGTTCCAAGTTATCACAACTTTCTGCAAAATGTGACGATCTAGCTAGGATATGATTATTATCATTTGTAGCGCAAATGCCTTTTTGTAAAGGTGTTTTTATCCGATTTAATTGTGGTGTAAGCTGCTGATTAACAATAATACTTGGTGGTTGGTTACATCCTGCATCCGATTTGGCCAGAGTAAAGTCCCGTTTTGTATCGATATGAACCGCTGTTTCATTTTCCCTAGACATTCCACCTTGTGATGGTTTGATCCTTTTTTGGTCCAAAAAGCTATTGTTGGTTACTATAGATGACATATCGCGACTTGGAGTGATGGAGACCGAGTGCATAGTATATGAATTGTCATAGAGACTCAACGATGTATCATGCATAGGTGCCAAAGTCGTATATGTTGACTGAACACCATTGTATTCCTGTAACGGGAGAATGATATCACGATGCATCGTATCCGATTCAGGCGTTTGAAGTGACTCGTTCGACTGCGAATAAGCCAACTCACTGGTTAAATGATGAATAGACTATTGAAAATGTATTTCAGTTAAAGAATTATACATAAAACACATGATTAGGTAGGGTAGATTACTTGGCAATCTTGAACTTGTGATGACACATTCGGTAAAGTAGTCTTTTTTCTTGATCGACTTTCTAGACTATTTGATTTGAGCTGTAAAGTAAACAGAATTAGCAATAATAAGCTTTTACACATTTAAAAAATACGAGACATACATTTTTAAATGGCCAGGCATTTCCCCATGCCATGGAGAAACAAGGAGTACTGCCATTAGGGTTGCGCAAACCAGCACAATCTACTGATGGATGTAATCGTTTCATATACCATCTCCGAATCACAAGATATACCATCACAACCACAGCAATACCACAGGTCAAAACAGATGCATAAATAGCCAATAGCAGCGGGTTGCCGTGTAGAATGGTAGATGGACTGGCTACATTGGTCAAGGGACGGTTTGTGGAAACAGCAGTTGTATGTTCTATATAAGTAGAAGTCGGCGGATGATAAGATTCAGATGACTTGACGGTCTGAGATGAGAGAGTTGGACGATACGATACTGAAATGGATGATTCTGTAACATTGGACAGTTTGCTGGTTAACACAATACTCGTATTTGAACGGGTTAAACCAATCCTGACAGTGTTAGATACAACAGTAGTCGAGTCTTGAGTAATTAAAGTTGAATTGGTTCTCATTTCGACTGTCCGAATTGACGATACAAGACTGACAGTAGTATTTCTGCTAAATATGGGTTTTATAAGCGAGCCCAAGACATGAATTCAATTACAGTTTATATGGTTTGGAATGTCAGATTCGAGCTATCAGGGAATTTATCAGATTTAAAGCAGGATGGTTTCAAGGGAAAGAACAAGTTTGTTATACTTGGAATCTCAATCAGATAAATGAAAGACTATAACGATATACCGACTATAGAATAAGTCGAGACGACATTAAGAATTAGAACGCCGCAAGGAAACTCCGCCTAGATCCAAGCTATTGCTAAAGCATGAATGCATCTGAAAGACTTGAATTGGCTTTCAAGATCGACTATGGAATGGATTTAGCTTTCCCGTTGAATCGTCTGTCATTAACAATATCCAACTGTTAAGCAACAGACGACTTGATAAATTCAATTCGTCAAACTGTCAAGTCACAATCCATCAACTGTTAGCCCAGCTAGCATCACATTGGGGTTTGCTTGACTCTATTCTCCTGTTGCTACAAGTATTCCAACCTACTCTTATCAATACTCTGCTCAAAGTATGCCTGTGAGCTCCAGCATTGCAGAAAAGCATCATTACACTCCAGCCTATTCAACTACGTCAAATCAGCTCTCATCCAGTTTATTGCTACTGCTCATAGTCCTTGTTGCATCCTCTGTTCCAGTATCTGCTTCTGTATCGCTACCACTCACAAATACTTCATATCCTGTAAGTGTTTCAGTTACTGCTTTTGCTCATATAGTGCTTTAGTGGATTTGCCATATTTCTGGCGTGAATGAAAACATCCATCAATCTGGCATATTGCCATCAAGCAATTGCACTTGTGTTGTCCATCTGTCCATACTAATCTTTATTTTTAACTATGTTGTGTTCAATCATAATAGGACAGGGGTGCAGCCTTTGGATCTTTGATTGGTCCAACAGGTAACTGGATATCAATTGCTGTCAGCTCAATCTGCACCTTTAAACTAGTTTTCAATTACTCACGCAAATCTGTATTTCAATCCTAGGTTTGGTTGGTATACTGATTCCAGTAAATGCTATAGACTCTAAACATTCAAGATCTGGCTGTAAACCTATTTCTTTTGAGTCTGTCCCGCCACTTACTCAAGCACAACTGTCATTCAATCTACATTCATCAGCCCACTGGATTGCTTTGGTTGAACGTGGCGAATGTAGCTTCGCCGACAAGGTTCGGGCAATGCAACAATCTGGCGCATCCGCCGTTATTATTGGCGACAACTCCTTTTTTGGCGATCTGATTACAATGTACTCTCAAGGAAACGTTAGCGACATTGTTGTTCCCAGTGTGTTTATTTCAAAACCTTCATATCTAGCTATTTTGGAGTTGATTGGTACTACAGATAGTAAAGATCCAAATGATGATAAAGATGCGCACGTTTTTAAAGAAAACAATGCCGATCTGAATGCTCAACAACCTGTCTTGCTCAATACACTAGGCGATGCACCTGATATAAAAGACTCGTCACTGTTATTATCAGATCTTTCTACAAATCCAAAAAAATCCAACTTGGCTCATTTTCTTACTCGTACGAGTAGTCAGTACAATGGTTTTGACTCTATACCCATCCAAAATGTGTGCACTTATTTCCAATTTCCTTGCGTATCAGCTTTTTTACTTCCAGACGAAGTCAGCATTTCTATCATGGATATAATCATCGTCACCATCATGTCTGCACTATGCCCTATTGTCATCATGTTTTTCATTTATTCAATATGGCTGCTTTTACAATTTAATATGCGACAAAAATCAACCATCTCCGTTTTAGACTTGTCGCGACTGCCCATCAAAGTATATTTCAATTCGAAGCGGCATGAAAATGACCCAACTACATGTGGTAGGCATTCAGTCAAATTATTTGGACAAGGACAATCGAGTAGGATGAATAACCGTTTTTTTGATTGGATGTTTAGCTATTTGCTTGGAAGATTTTGTTGATGAAGACACACTACGCACACTAGTGACATGTCGGCATGAGTTTCATGCAAGTTGTAAGTTGTCATGTTTGATATTTCATTCAAGTGGTATGTATACTCAATGCATCATTGACTCTAGGTATTGATCCATGGCTAAGATATTACAGTAAGCTATGCCCCACATGCAAACAAGAGATCTTACTCAATGAGAATACACCACTTTTAGCACGTACACAACAGCCAGGTTTACTTGCAAATTTAAGAAATGGAGCCAGTACATTGGCAGAAACGACTAGTTCTTTGGCGTATATTTCGGATAGCTTTGATTATGCATAGTGACGTTGATGATACGACTGCTTTGACTGTTGTTTATATATCATGTATTTTGCAAACCATTTTTATTATGTGGTAGACCACATTTCACTCTGAACAATAAAGACCAGTATTTTATCCGTTAAAATAAATCATTTCAAAATATTTGAAACTTTGTTTAAAAAGGTTTATTGGTTAAGAACATTTTTGACAATACATTCAAGAAGTAAGCAGAGTAGAGATATATTTAATCGCTGGACTTGGATCATATTAAATATTCTAGCAAGCCCAACAGACGCATTTTGCTTTCCAACGACTCTAGCAAGAGTATCCAATTTAGCTTTGATGGGCGATGGAGAAATAGGATCTTCTTCACCACCAACCATCAATACCGACTTGGCTGAAATACGCGTATCTCTCTTGTCGTCGTCATTTCTAACTTGTGGAGAAACTCCTTCTTCATGGGTTATATTTGATCCCCAAACTCTTCCATCGGGCCATAAAGCTCCACTTATGCCATCAAGACACTTGATTGCGCTTTCTTCAGACATTGCTCCTTCCACTTTTCTCTGCATCCAAGATGAAATGGTGGACCCATACGTTTGGTACAACACCACACGGACAACATGAAGCGACTGCTGTCGAATCCATTGCGTTGGAGAAGTAAGTTGAAACACCTCTTCAATAGCACTAATAGTGCACTCGAGAATGACATTAAGATCACTTTGAGAGAGATGCTGTTTTTCAGGAAGCGTTTCATGGGATTTTAAATGCTGGGTGTTGGGTTGATCAGATTCTTCCAATAAAGTCCATTCAGCATTTACAGGCTGCGCGACGTTTAATGTTGGAGTTTCAGGTTGAGAATCAGATTGAGAATCAGATTGCGCAATCGTTGGATGGACTACACTAGCAACAGAAGACTTGGAGTCTGTAAAGGATCTGGTATCATTACTTAACGATTGTGAAATGGTGCTTAAAGTCCCCAAACTACTATTACCATCTCCCACAGTAGCAACTTTTTTTAATGCAGATCCTGCACTCTTGAATGCTCTGAGCATCATATTCCCCAGTTCACCGTTTGAGCCAACATGTCGAAGCGATGCCGAAGTAGGTGTTGCATCCCCAGAACTATGAACAGATGCTGGCTTACTGAGAAATGTGATCACTTGAGTAGATAGTCTTAAAACCGTATCTTGAACCATCTGTTTCAAATACATCTCCAACTCGCTTGCAAGATGCTTACGTGCATTGATCCGTAGAGTGTGTCGCTCTATTGCATCGGCAGCATGGCTCGCTGTGGAAAAAGCTCCACCAGTGAAAATAGACGCTGCAGTAGATGTCATGGAGATATCGTTTGAAATATCAACCAAACCTTCAAGTGGAGGCCGAGCTGGAAACGTAATCGCATTTGCTTTGCTAAAATGAACACATAACAAACGATGAAGACGTTCAAATTCTTCATAGGTCTTGACTAGTGTCCATGTATCATCTTCACGAGATTTGATGGTCACAATAAATTCAAACGCAACAAACGGTGTCGAGGATGTAGAATGACCACCACCAAGATTAGTGGATAAAGTTGATGCACCTAGGGTTTGAGCTGCTATTACTCCAGTGGCATTAATAATGGATCCAAGACGAAGGAGACTATCGGATCGTCCAGGTCGCTGCGTAAGTGTAGTAGCAGCTTCATCTACCGCATCAACAATGCCAATAGAAACGCCATCCAAATCAACAAATACAAAAGAGTCAAGACTGTCAATGGGCTTAGAGCTGGCGTTACTCGTATGCTTACCCTCTAAGCTTTCGTGGTGAAATTCTTCGTCTGATAGCATTTCCATCAAAGAATCAAGATCAGTTTGCAAAGCAAATTTCGACTCCAAAAGTGTCTGAAGCGTGTCTGGATCTGCAGTACTTATGCTCTCGCCAATGACAGAAATACGATCTCGTGTAGCTTGAATTGCCGTCTTGATGTTGTCTCTGCGAAAATGTTTATGGCCAACATCCAAATCAAGCGAGACAGGTAAGCTCGTGTCACTATTGTTTAAATCTTTGCTGGTCGTAACACTAGAAAAATCAGAGTCGTCTACAGCTTTGATAAATAAAGGATCTTCAATAGGTTTACATTCACTCGTGGGTTGTACTGGTTCTACGGGTTTTAATCCATCATTCTGCACAAACTTGATAAACGTTTCAGTTTGTTTGAAAGTCTCGAGCATAAATGAATCCAAATAGGCTTCGATCCGTTCCTGTAGACATTTGAATAATTCTGGATGAATTTGAACATCAATCTCTTTGCGCACCTTATTCAGCGTTTCCAAATTTTCATTCATGTCGCCAAATGATAAGGGTAATACGTCTCGTGTGATGGCACTTCTAATATCGGTTACAATTTGTAAAGCCAAATCGTGCAATTCAGTAATGGAGGTATACTTGCTGTCTACAGAATTCGACATCACGCCTCTTGCTGCACGCTCAAACTCTTCCATTTCATGATAGATTCGAATGTGTCCTGCATGTCCACCTTGAATAAGAAATTCTGTATACATTTCCAAAGCACCATAAGCGGATCCATTTATATTGAGAATGTCCCATGAAGTGACAGCAATGCCACCAATATTGGAAATGGATGGAGCAAAAGTAAAACTGTTTGCATCATTCATGTGTGCAAATACAGTATCAGCGCGATCAGAATGATCAGTACATCCCGCTTCGTCTTCATCATCAGTTGATTCCAGATCGTCCAACATATCCGTGTTGATGTAAACAGCTTCTATCAACATTTCGGCATCGGTAGAAACAGCCAGACGAGATCGAGTGGTGTCGATAGGTATCCAGGCTCGTTTGATTCGATTGGGCTCCAAATCATTCAGTTCAATTCGTACTGTACCAATCAACTCTCCTGTAAATATGTTTTTTGTGCTGATGATATCCACCACAATACAGCGAATACTAGCATCCATTACATCGTCACCCGTTTCTTCAGGAACACCAAACCAACATGAAAAGTCCCATACTGGATTAGTCTCGGCCGGAACTTTGGAAGATTTGAAAGACTGGGTGCCAACAGCTGCTGTGCAATATACCTGGTGGGTACTTATAACTGGCAGCTGACGCGATTCCAACACTTTAACGTGGATCTGAGTTTTGGTGGTAAGTGCTGATGATGTGGAGCTCAAACTCAATCGCTTGAGTGAGTTTATAGATCGTATGGTCATATATTTTAGGCGCTTTGGTAAGGATATGGAATTTCCTGAAGACATTGAAAAGGAGATTGACAATGGGCGTGTGGTATCTAAAACATGTCGTGGCTGTATCGATGAAGGTCCCAAAGACGTTGTTTCTGATATACCTGTTTCTGAAAAAGAATCTTCGATACTTGCTGCACGCTTTATTTCGCCTGTTGTGATGGATGCTGTATCAGCACCTGTATCAACAAAATCCGTTTCATTGGCTGTGGGTGCTGGCATATCGTTAGAAGGTTTTGGCTTTAATGCATTCAGCAACGTCATGTTCAGCCAATCTGGATCGGAAAATTTGTTTACAACAGATAATAGTACTGTAGTAGCGAGTATTTCTCTCACAATGCCAAACACGACCGAGCTGGAACGATCTGCACGAGGAAGAATATGGATCGATATTCGCATCGAAAGATCTCTTAGATGCTCATTGACTTGCTCTGGTGTTGAGCATCTACAAAACACAGACTTGGGATGCTGTTGAATGTATTCATCAAGTGAAAGCTGTGTGGATTCAAAATGCTTATACTCTCTCTGATATAAATCAACAAAGCGTATTAATAACAGTTTCCAAGTCACCAATGGCAACCCATGGGATTAAATCAGCAAATTGCTTACCAAGTGCGTTAGAACAACACCAATCACAGCCAGGACCAAATTGACAGGATTCATTTTACTAGCAGACAATCCCAGAGTAACAAACGCTTCTCTCAATGAAACATGTATGGCTTCAGGAAACTCTTGACTGTTGGAGTGGTTGAGCTTCACGTACCATCCATTGATAAAATCACGCACTATATATGAAATGAGTTTGTCGATTGAAGCCATGACCTGTAAAGACACTGCTGTTGGAGAAACTGCGCGACTCTGGGCAGCCGATTGCTCCTAAAATGCATCAAAACAAACCCGAATGAGTCAGCCCATCATCTATACCACCACACTATAAGAGCAGCATGGAGGATGTTTTAGATCTACACCACATTGCAATAGCCACATGAGGCGTAGGTTAAAATTGAATCAACTGCCATTCACATACTTGGTGAAAAAGTTGAACGAGCTCATCGTCTTTTGATGGTTGCATTTTTATAATAGATATAACTCGGCTTGCACCAGATTCAGCCGGGAGTTGCATTACATCCCAGATTCTTCCCAGTCCAAATGCAGTTAGTAAAAGTACGAGGATTAAGCTTGTTCGAGGTGCAATGGCTATACATGTGAGCACAACAACAGGCGATGCCGCAAGATACAGTGGAGGAGTTGTTTTAATCATGTCTTGGACTGGTTCCGGAAGCATTGGACTGTATTTATCCATCATGGATTGTAGAAACTCTGACATTGAGTATTCAATGCTGTGTTGATGACCTGGAATGATTATCAAACGTTTACACTTGTAAAGCCTTGTACAGCAACAATGATATGCCTGGTAGTGTGTATCTAGTCTGAACTAATTCCAGAATATGTCGACTAGTTTTGCTGGATTACAACTGTTGGAATGCTTTGACTGCAGTCAATCTCCAAAGTTGGAATATGCGTTCTTGAACGTTTCAAAATGTTCAGCATCAAAATACACTTTATTTGTCAAGACCAGCTAAAACAAACCCATTCGTAGTTTACTCTGAAATAAGCCATGGAAAGTTGTAGAGTTGTGGTTCATTGACATGAATTTACGATGCAAGTTGAGTGCAAATACAAGAAATTAGAATAGCCGCTAGAAAACACATCAAAGAGATCAAGTCAAAGGTTATTGAGCAAGTTGGATCAGTCAACCCGTGGTGCTTAGTATCGAGATTCGCTGATAAACTTCATCTTCTTTGATGCTGTATTGACTTAGTACGGTTAGTACAAAAATGATCGACCGGATTGTGTGTTCCACAAGTTGTATCCGAGAGTGCATTTTGGCAATTTGCCAGTAAAGCTGGACTAGTAAAATGGCTAGGTGTTGTGCTGCGCATGGAGAGATATCGATGTGGGAGAATCTGGTACAAACCACGATCTCACAAGATTAGGAACTGTGCTGTTTTGATCGTTGCAGCTACCTAAGCTTTTAAACAGTGGAACCGAATTCAAAGGAGCGTAACCAGGTAGCTGATGAAGGGGTTCATGATACAAAACGGTTCTAGATTCGGGTAATTTGATACGCCAATTCAAGATTTGGTTTGTATGCCAGCCCGCACCTACAAACGGCTGGATATAGCAGCCAAGATTGATAGCATCGTTCCATGCACTACGAAGTCTGGCGACACACATATCCAGATCCGATGAAGATGGTGTGCTTTGAAGGGATGCAAATGGATTGAATGAAGCCGAGGGATCTCCTTTCTGTTTATAACTCCCTTTAGTCAAGCAAATATCAATATATTCATCCGAGTGTACTGTAGACTGAAACTGCGATGGTGTGAGTTGTATTTCTTGATAGGTTGGCCCTGGTGTAGCATTTAAAGGTAAGGTCAAAGCTGGCATTAATGATTGGAATTGACCAGATATTTTTCTGTCGGTCTCTGTTAAACTGTTGCTCAATTCCATGCCATTGAGTTCAAAACGATGCGGTGGTGACATCAAGGTATGCGGATCAGATTCAGCACTTGTGAGAGAATAAGATTCAGGAGGATGAACAGATACACGCTTGTCGCGATGAGCGAATAGACTTTGTGATTCTGTAGCCTGTAAATCGCAGAATATGAATTCTTCATTAGCTGTGGCTGACAACATGAGAGGTTGATTGATCTGTGGTTCAAAAGGTTCCAGCAGTTTAATACTGGTCATGCCAGATTGGGGACTGTTTACAACTGGATCCGAGTCACCCAAGGCAATGCAGGTTGTTAATCCAGCTTTTGAAAAAGAAAAAGTTGATGCATTGTCATTTGATTGACAATGGAATAACCTTTGTGCCACATACTGATGATTATTGTCAAATGGATGTCGGATACGACGTCTATCAATCATGCCTGGACTTGTGGCAAAATGATTTTCAATGGGGTTTGGCAAAATCACTGTTGGATGCTTGATAGATTTTGGAGTACAAGGTATATCGATGAACCCCTCAATAGTAGCAGTGATGTCATTGGCTTGATTTAGTATTGCAAGTTCGTCGGGATCGGTAAAATGATCAAAAATGAACGAGTCATTCAATTTGTCTGTAGTATGGAATTTCAAAGGCGAGCTATTTGAATTGTGATTTGGTAGATCTGTATATGGAGTAGCCATGGATACGGCTGCACATACATTCAAGGGTTGAATGGAACTTCCGATTCCTTCCTTGAATGGTAGATTGATTGATACATCTGAAAATTGATCAAAAGAAGTATCGTTTGGAATAGTTGTGGAAATATCAGATTGATGGTTGCCACCAATGAGAATGGACTGGGCATTACCCACTTCCACAGAGTTGCTTGTAGATGATTGCAAGAATTCAAAAGGCTCAGACTGGGTAGAGATTTTTATGGGTGTAATGGGAGACGAAAATGGAGAGGATAAAGTAAGATCATCTGAAGCATGAATGCAGCTAGAAATTCTCGTGGTATTGATGTTATAGCTTGGGGATGAAATAGGACTTGTTATGACGGCAGTTTGTTGTTGGCTCCAGTCATATGTTGAGCCATCAAAATCGGAAAACAGGTCACTGCTTAAAGGCAGTGGTTTGGCAGCAGTTGAATGGCATGAAGTGGAAGTATGGCTTGTTTTACTGAGCGTATATGCACTGGAAGGACTACTGGCACAAGGTGGATAGGATTCATTGGTTACAGATGAGCTTTGAGTCAAGCCAGCAGCAGCTTGATGCTAATCAGATCGATGCAGAAATCAATTAGTGGATGTGAGACGCAACAATAGAATGCGAGTGACTCACAGTTTTTTCTGAGGTCGCAGCGTCATTGGAGACATCATCATGAGGACCCGGCTTACTGAGCAGTGGATCGGTGTCGGATGACTCAGTGTCCTGGTCTAAAAATGTATGCAATGTAGATTGCAAACGATCCCAAACATCAAATATGAATTTAGGTGAGACAAATGCGGGATCGCAAGAGCCGATCACGTTGTCCCATAACAGTACGAGCTCAGAAGGTGATCGGGTGCATTGTTTAAGTGTGCGGCACAGTCGTTCCTTGTATGGAATCACATGAGCCTTGCAAATGGTCTGAAAATAGTTTAATTGTCATGTGAATCAGCAATCATGGCATGTGAATCACTAAATAGCAAGTTCCAGGGATCTGGAATATCTAAACAAGGGATCTATACGGAACGGCAGATAATCATGACTTACAGTAAGAATGGGCCAACAGTCCATCAATCGATAGACTTGTGCACGAGAGACATCCCACTTGCTTAGAAAGTAGGTCTGGAGTGAGTCGTATCCCTCATCCCGATACAGTTTTCTGCAGATGATTGCCCTTATGGCTGTCACTGTCTCCACAAACTGTTTTTGTTTCTGTTCTAAAGGAATACGTGCATATTCTTGAGGTGTGACCATTTTGATTACTCCTGGACAGATCTGTGTTTCCAGTTGCTCAAGTGAATATACTACATAGTTATTTACATTGGAATAAAAGTGCAAAGAAAGTGTGTTGGCATTCGTGGCTTGTTGCCAATCCATGATAGGCTTCTTTGATTCAATCTGCGAGTCCGGTAATTGCGTAATTTCATGTGAAACTGCCGTGGACTCACTTTGACCGTCATCCATCCTATCATGACACTGAGTGCTAGATGTAGCTTTCATGATCTGCCTAACAGTAGTGTATCTTTCAACTTGTTCCTTTCCTAAAATACAACTTGAACTATGGGTCATGGGCTGATTTGAGAAACCCCAACTTACAATATAAAGTTTAATTGCAAGCTCAAGTCTTGCAGATTTGCAATCTCAAACTGGATCGGTTGCCACGTGATTATTCACTGGAATCCAATTAGCTTCATTCACGTAGAATGAAACTCGAGTTTATTCTGCAGTCTAATCAGAGAGTTGTTTTGCGGAATGGAATATTGCATATCGTTGTTTAGAAGGTCAAAATATTACAGCCTTGACAGCTCCTTTGATTAATCTCAAACGCATTGACCATCATATGATTACAAACCATAATTTTGAAATGTTTAGATCTTGCACTTTCACTCTTGTTTGCATAATCATACATTGTATGATCGTCAAATTCGTCTATTTAATTCAAAGATTTGGATATTGTCAATAAAACCTGGAAACATCGTTTGTTGCCAATCTGTCACTCACAAGAGTTGGTTTCATGACAATGAATTTTGACATGAAAGTAGAAATCCATTGTAAAAACATGTTTGAGTACTGAGCCAGAAACTGTTTCTAAACAATGATTTCAAGATATAATATTAACCAGTAAGATTGTCACTCATCAAACATGACTGTTTATCACTGACTAGCACTCCATTTTACGTGAATAGAACTGCAAGCATTGCTTATTCCAAAGCCAAATAGTCGCTGCAAGATAATCACAACTATCCTATTTTACGTGAATACGATAATAAAACTATGACTGTTTGTGAGTTCTTTGTATCAAGCCAAGGCTGCAGTTTTGGTGCCAGCTGTCGGTTTGCTCATATTTCTATTCCTGAGCAACCAGTCTTGACTGCTAGCACTTCACACTCTAGACAGAGGAGCAATCAACCATCACTTGATACAGGCAATGGTTCTGGTTCAAGAAATCGACGACCAAGGCTAAAGAACGCAAAGAATCCTCATCATTCAAACCAGGTACATCAGCAAGGCAGTACTGCTTCATCTCTAGAACCCCTCCAACCAAAACAACAGTCTGGCCGTTCTTCCAATTTGCCACAACACAATTCGCAATCTGATGATGTCAATCAAGGGCAGCAATCAGTGTCTAGGTCATTCAGCAGGGGTTCAGATCAAACTTTAAAAGGGATTGCCACAGCTGCATCAGGTAGTAACTCTCAATCAGGATCGGTGGATACTCACAATATGGATCAACAATCTGTATCTTTTGAAAAACAAACCCAGCATCAGCCTGGTAAAAGTAAATCTGGCAAACAAAAGGGCAACCGTCGAAATAACAACATCAAACCTGGAAAGCATCAGTCTAATCTAGACAGTTCCAACAAAGTATCTGATTCTTTAGCTCAGACCGAGTCTAAATTAGCAGCTGTAAAACTGGTTCCTCAGCAGCGACATCCTCTGCCATCCCGACCTGCATTTCCACGACCCACTCCAAAGTCTCTTCAGGATCGACTCAACGAAACAACCGATCCGATCGATCGAATACATATTCTACGCAATCTGGAACTTTCTCAACTCGAACGTCGATTTCGTTCGTCAGGATATATTCAAAGCACTGCAGATCAAACCCTAAACAGCCAGCATACTACTATTCATTTTGATCTTGTTCCCACTGATCCCGACTTTCCGTACGATCTCACTGCGTTACATGTTAGTATGCTGATTCCTGATCTGTTTCCAACTGACCGTGCATGTCGATTGGTTGTACAAAACAAAGAGATTCCTGCTCATTTTTGTCATAATATTGAACGTGCTTGGTTCAAAAAAGTCATGGCGTGCAAACTGAGCTTGTTGGATTTAGTCAATTGGCTTGATCAAAATTTGGAAGGTTTATTTATTGAACGTGATGATACCATCATTACTTCGTTTCGAAACAATAGTGGTGGCGGTTCGCAGACACAAGGGGCAACAGTTCAAGACAAAAATATTGACTCAACCGCTCAAGATGAAATAACCAAACAGGATATGGACAACAGTGAATCTGACGACAGCGATGAAGGCAGTGCAGATGGAGACGGAAATGGAGATGGAAATGGTGGTATTCATGCTCATGATGGAGCTGGGGATACTGATGATCTGCTAGAATTGAAGGAAGCATCTTTGTCTGATTCAGACTCTTCTCTACAATCCAAAGCTGATTTGACCAGTACTGATATTGCAACTTCAGAATCCAATTCTACTGGTATCTACACTGCCAGCCCACAAAAACGTGGAACTCAAATTCGTCTTTTGGAATCCCGACTTGACAACATCTCACTCTTGCATTGCACATCGATTACAGTAACAATCCGCTGCACACGATGTAGGGACACGGCCCAGGTTTCAAATCTATTGGCTTCATTGGTAGAAAACCACCCAGATTATCATTTTACTTGTTGTAAAACATGTCAATCTGCCATGTCTGTTGCGTTTCGTCGTGACTTTATGCACGAGTCTTCGCAGTGCTTGGGATACCTTGACTTGCACGATTCAACAGCGTTTGATTTGGGACCAAGTGTATATATTGCCACATGTACCTCATGTAACGCGGAGCATACGTTCAAAAGCTTACCAACACTCACAACGGTGACTGTACATTGCCGATCTTGTCATACTGCTCTTACGATTCAACTCGGACAAGTGAAATTCACATTGGTGGGTGGTGGAACCACTACTGTACTGCAACCCAATTATAAACAGCTTCACAAGCGTGGTCTTGCTGAAAAGAAAAAACTGCTTCAATTGGGTATATCGTTTGGATCACCCTTGCCGCTTAACGGAGCAAGCTGTGCTCATTTTAAAAAGTCATATAGATGGTTTCGGTTTGGATGTTGTGGTAAAATATACCCCTGTTCAGTATGTCATGAGAAGCTCAAGGAAGATGGACATGAAATGATTTGGGCAACCAAACAGTTTTGTGGATTTTGTTCGAGGGAGCAAGTGTATTCACCTACCAAACCCTGCGTTTCATGTGGAAAGGATCTTACCAAACGCAGTAATGGAAGTGGTTTTTGGGAGGGTGGTAAAGGTACACGAGATCAACTCAAACTGAGTAGTAAGGACTCGAGAAAGTTTCGAGGATTGGGCAAGACGATCAGTAATCGAGCCATGAATAAAGCCAAGTCGTGATTATCTAATCAGTGATTCGATCTGAATATATTCCAGCAGTAATGTGTAAAGCAGTTTAAACCATCATTTCCATCTAGATTCTCGTGCCTTGAACACATTCATTTGTATAGATTCATTCAGATGCGCATGCAACAAGACTACTCATGTCAAGAAACCAAATAAAAATGTATAGTCATCAAATCAATAGTAACAATCGGATAGATATTACAAGTATAAGAATACTGCAAATTAGAGTATAATGAATAGCATCGAGTCTGACACTTCATGGGTTGAATTTCAAGGTTAGCATTGCTGTTTTTACACTTTTACTGCAAGTGATTTGAATCTAGCTTAACACTGATAGCAGAATATGGATTTCCTATTTGGGTCTCGCAAGACCCCTGCAGAGATGCTTAAACAGCATCAGAGAGCACTCAATAAAGCTCAAAGAGATCTGGACAGAGAGAGAACCAAGCTGGAGCAACAGGAAAAGAAACTCATTGCTGATATTAAACGTACTGCCAAAGCTGGTCAAATGGTAATATTACACTCCATCCACCCTGAACAGCACTTTGAATACGGCATATCATGTATAGTACTCAGTTTGGTGTATTGCATTGACTGTAGGGAGCATGCAAAGTCATGGCAAAGGATTTGGTTCGTACTCGTCGTTACGTTCAAAAGTTTTATCAGATGCGCACTCAACTTCAAGCTGTTGCACTCAAGATTCAGGTAATTCATCTCAATTTGGCTTGCATTGCTTGTTATCCAGTCATGAATCACCCCTTTGATTACAAACTGCAATACATGCTGTTTTAGACACTCCGATCTACTCAATCCATGGCTGATGCGATGAAAGGTGTTACCAAGGCTATGCGATCCATGAACAAGCAAATCAATCTACCTCAAATATCCAAGATCATGATGGACTTTGAGCAAGAATCTGAAATGATGGACATGAAGGAGGAAATGATGAATGATGCAATTGATGATGTAATGGAAGATGGCGATGAAGAAGAGGAATCCGATCGTATTGTCAATGAAGTATTGGATGAGATTGGCATTAGTGTAAATCAATCGGTAAGTTTTATTTTTACAGCAAGTCGAGTGACATGGTATTAACTTGTGGTTGTGTAGTTGGCCGATGCTCCCAACAGTAAACTGAACGCTAAAGCAGAAGAAGTACCCGAGGACGACTTGCAAGCCAGACTCAACAGTCTGCGACAATAAGCTTTTCCTTATTTTTATTGTAGATAAAGCTTTGCTGACAAGTATGGAGTCAAATGGTATGATCCAGTAGATGTTGGTCCATCTCTGTTCAGCCGGTACACAATAAATTTCAATCAAAACAAAAACAAACAAGAATTAAAGTGATATCCATCCAATTCAGTTTATTCAGCCGAGGCTGCACCAGTCTTGACGGGCCGACTCAAGATCTCAATCAATTCAGGATCAACCACTTTGCATTCTGACTTGATCAGTTCCTGATCCCAAGGAAGAGTTACAGTCTGAATCTGTTCAGATTCCAACACCAAGACAGTAAACATAAAGTGCGCGTTATCAATGTCATTTTTTTCATGGAGAACTGGATAAGGGGTAACTAGATTGTGTGATGTACACTCTAAAATACCCATACGAGCCTTTTTCTCGTTTTCAAAGTTGCGTAGCGAAAATGCCATGGTGCCATGATTCCTGCGGATTTCAGAGAAAATAATACGAGAAGTTTGCATCTTGAGCTGATAGGTTTGGTTGGGACTACGCTTAAAAACAGTTGTGCGAGTGTCGAGAGGTCTGGATTTGCCTTCACCCGACTTGACCAAGATATCAATAGAATACACCTCACCCGCCTCAAATACAACATTGGAAGCGTTCTTTCGGGAAGTCTCTGGAGGATTGAGAACAATCTGTTTGGGACCATCAAGAATATTTCGAAGAACCTGATGGGTGGTCATGCCTATTGAATGCATTCGAGTTTTTTAAATGAGCACAGTTTGTAGATATAGATTCAAAATCAATCCAATGAAATGTGCATACCTTCGACGGCAGTGCAGTTAAACTCCTTGGCAATTTTTGAAATGGAGTCTGTGACCATCCGACTGTCGTTTCCAGGTCTAATCAAACGAGCAGCAAGCTCTGCAGCAGAATATGCAGCCTGAATGACATCGGCCTGACGACCCACTACAGGGTTTTCCTTGGTTGCGCCTACAACAAATGTGTGGGCAGCCTGGGCAATATAGCCATCGATCTGTACACCAAGCTCGACACGAACCATATCTCCGTTCTTCAAGGCGATAGTAGCTTCAGGATCAGAGACCAGAGGAGATAGATGACAAACAATCGAAGTAGGACAAACACAGGTAGGAAAAGCAATACCCTTGCTCATTTTTTCGTCTTCGGTATAGACAGTCTTGAGCAGTGACAGGATAGTAGAGTCACCAAGAGTGCAGAGAGAAAGGACAGTAGCACCTTCGACACCAGCAGCAACCACAGTAGACATGACCTCTATCAAAGTATATACATCACATGTGTTGGTACAAGAAACAATAGATCTAGCACTGATAGGTTTAGCACCAACGAGATCATGAAGTAAATGATCAATGTGATGACAAAGATGCTATGATGAGTAGATACACATCAGCAGCATGTGGCTATTCAAAAAGCACAAGAGATCGATCGATGCAGTTTCAAATCAACCCAACATGGAAACGGATGAATGCAATCAACTCACTGGAAGCAATTTCACCGGCAGCTTGATACTTTGAGACATTGGTTGGGTTGAGCTCGTTCTCGATCAACTCATCCTCAGAGTCAGAGTCAGCAGCTCGAGCATTCTTGTTTGCAGTTTTCCCAAAAGCCATTTGATTATTAGTTTTGGGTTTGATTCGATGCAGAAAAGAAAACTGACGAATTTATCAAGATACGGTCCAGACCCTTAAATAGAGTACACACTCTATATCTCATGGCTTGAATTGCCGCGTCTGAGAATGATTTCAAGTCAACTTTTGGAATGAATTCTTCGATTCCTTCTGCTGGTAAGTGCGTGTCTGAAGACTGCTTTATATTGACTTGCAATCATCCGTATCGTACTGCTTGATGTGCACTAAAAACTGTTTTGTTGGGTTTAATAGTCGAGCCTGTTATTCCTTCCACTGCTGTCAAGACAACTTTGAATTCAACCACTTCATTAGAACCTTTTATTGCCCAGACAGCTGTCACTCTGCCTCAGACTGTACCACTCTTGACAGATGTTCCTCTACATTCTGCGTTAAAACCATCCACCACGGATCCTAGTCTGTCTTTGTATGGCATTCGTTCATTTCCTTCTCTCGCCCAATCCGCTCAATTGGAAGACATGGCCATTCATAATGCTGCTGTTGCAATGGTCGGTTTGGAATCAGAGTCTTCATCCACTACTTCATTCATGATCACTCCCGTTTCCACGACTGTTGCTAGTCCTAACCTCCATTCTCACGCTTTATCTGAATCTAACACCACTGGCGCTACGTCAAACTTGGCTACTCACATGCTTAACAAGTCACAATCTGGACTTGCAGACTCTACTCTCGAGCATGATGAGATTTTAGATTCTCACCAACAAAAAGATGTCGATTCTGCCGTTCCTATCACTGCCGAATACATCAAAAATCATATTTTTAATCATGGCAGTAAAACCCCTTCGAATCTCTCAAAACATGCTAATGATACCAGTCTGGACGAACCAAAGGAAAAAGAATCTCAACTTTCACTCTCTCTGAGTTCAGAACACCCTAAAGTGTTGACAATCGATGCTAACATTGAGACTATTATAGAACAAGGCGAACCTGTTGTCATTGAAACCGCTTCTGCTATTACTGCAGATTCGGCAAAAACGCCATTGAATGAAAATAATGCAATCGCTGTTACTGTGAGCACTGACACCGCTGGCGCTCCTGCCTACGCGTCCATTATCGATGATTTGGATCAGAGTCATGCTGACAAGCAACCATCTAATGATGAGTTGAATCAACCTCAAACCCTTTCTAACCCTGACACGGCCGATACCAAGCAACTCTCACAACAGCATTTATCTGAAAACAAAGACCATGAAGATTCTGGACAGGTGCTGCGTCGCTCCTACAACCAATTTTCGGGTGCTTCCGATCCACTACAACTTGCTAGTATGCATTTTGCTCTCTCACAAAAATTCTATTACTGTGGATTTTTGTACAAGAAAAACGAGCTGGGTGCGGACGGTCGACCCATTCTTTCTACCGATGCAAATGGTCAACCCACTCGTGGTGGAGAATGGTCAAAATGTTGGATGGAGTTATGGGGTCCCATTTTGCAACTCTGGCATGTTCCTGACGATCTGGCCGAGTATGCCTATTCGCAAGGTCTTGGCATGAAAAAGTTTATTGCACATGAAATGGATCCTGCTCAAGAGTTTCTTTCCGCCATAAAATCTACTCACACCAGTCCAACTTACATTAATGTTACAGATGCTATCACTGAATTGTTTCCAAACGATTTTCGGCTTCCTGATCAAACCCTTGTACGACCTCCCCCAACTCCATACACATCACTTTTTGCTCTATCAAATGCTGGGTCTAATCTAATTCTTTTTTCGTGTATTTCTGGAATTCATTGTAATGAATGGATTGCAGCTATACGTTTGGTTGCTTTTGAGCTTCACAAATTAAACCAGCTATTTACATATAGACTCTTGAAGCGTCCTCAACATGTTTTGGCATGGGAAGCAGCAGGAATCGCACCCTTTGAGTCCCAGTCATTCCGTGGTGAAGTAAAATACGAAGGGCCATTGCAAATCAGAACAACTTATGCTACTAGATGGAAGGCTTATCATGTCGTGGTCACATCCCGTGTAAATTTCGACTCGGCTCCAAATGTATCCACCTCTGCATTGCTTACAAAAAAATTGTTTGGGAAGCGCAGTACAACAAATTTAGACTTTTCGAAACGTGGCAACGTTTTGTTTTTTGAAAGCAAGGCAGATGCCAAAAAAGGACGTAGACCGGCTTTTATATTGGACTCTTTACAAATGGTACAAGCTCTTTGGCCTGAGAAACCCGAGCTGATTGAAATGGGGTTGGTTTGTATTGCCAAATTGGTGGGTACCATTCACGCTCCGATTGGAAACGTATCCCGCAATATTTCAAACACATCAATGGAAACAGAAGAGCAACAGAAGAATATGGGAGGTGCAGGGTTTGGCACGGCTTCCACTTTTGGAGGTGCACCCATTCTCTCTCCGCAAACCTTTACTAATTATACACACGGATTTCCTGCTGTAACTAGTATCCATGCTTTGCATGATATAATTGATGGGTTAGATCCGCGGCCTCTACCACATCATGTACTTATTCTTGCACAAAGCACAGACGAACTTGCTAAATGGATCACGTCTATTTATGCTGCGTTTAGTGTTGATACGGATCATATTGAAGCGGATGCAGAGATTCAAGAGATGGCACGCACTGCATCCATTTCAACTCCCACAGGTGGCCAGGGAAACTCTGCCTCCGTATCCCTAACTACTACTTCAGCAACATCAGATGATCCCCAATCTTTTATCCAATCAGCAGCTTCTACGGCAGACATTCATCAGATTCAGTGGCCAACCTCACTTTTTCTTTCCACCTCTGAAATTGCGGGTATATTGATGTGTAGTCCTGTTCCTTTCAATACCCATATGCAATTTAGTCATTATTTTTCCCAAAAACTGTCTTGCTCACGCAACAATCGGCTGAGATCCTGGTGTGAATCTGTTGCCAAGGGAGAATGGGAGCGTAGTCTTGCTGCTCGCCATATTGTTGAAGCCAAACTAAAAATACTATTCAAATGGGTAGATAAAACTCTGGAAGTACTAAAACATCGTGGAATTGTTTTACCTGATAGGGAAACTCTTGACGATGGGCATGCATCCATTGGGCCCAAGAGCATTGACAAAAATGATGAGGCTGTTTCTGAACAATCCAAAGTTGATCCAAAGCAGAAATCGGTATCCAATACAAAAAAGGATATTGTCGAGGGGATCGATGGTATCAAGCTTACTGATGACAGCGCTACCAAAACCAGTCATGAAGATCATTCCATAGATGACGAAAGCGAAGAATCTGCAAAAGAAAGTCTGAGTACCAGTGATGGAAATGGAAGTGTCAGTGAGGAAGAAACTTCAGATGAAGGCAGTCAAAGCGAAACTGAGGAAGAACAACCCATCATACCGATCTCGGTAAGTTTTTTGTTGCAAGTTGTTTTTTCATTTGGCATCATGTCTTGATTTTAACATGGGTGATACTTAGCTGGTAAATCCTGCGTTACAGCCAGAATTTTATGCTCGTGCTCCAGATGCCTATGATAACTTGGATGAATCAGACCAAGAACCCGATTTTCAGATTTATGGACAAAACTCGTTGCTGGCTCAACGACATTTCAATGAATTGGCTAAAGGCGATCGTCATGGTGATGGCATGCCGGGCGAATATCACAGTGGCTCCAAGGTAACATTCTAATTGTGCACGATTCAAATGATGTGTCGCACATGCTTTGAAGATGTGATTTGACTGTTTATTAGATGTACGCATCTGAATCCAATCTAGTTAGGACTGACCTTATGTTTTGGATAAATAGGGGGATGGAAAACGAATTGAACTTCTTGGTGTCGTATCCCAATCTGCTCAAGCCCATGTGTTTCAATCCAATTCACTTCTCAGTCGTACAGATATGCCACACACAGGCGGGTTAAATAGCGACGGTACACCTCAACAGGGATATGTTCGCTCGACTGGTATCGACGGACCGCTTCTTGGCAACGTCCAAGGCGAAGCCAATCAACACAAGCCTAAACTGGAGGGTGGTTTGTTGGGAGAAATGAACCGAAGAGAAAAAGAACGCGAATATTTGAAACGATTGGGATATTATAAAGCTACTGGACCTACTGGTGGAGTGATTCCTCCTTCATTCTATCAGTCGCCTATGAATATGATGGGTGGAATGCCTGGAATGGGATATTCTGGGATGGGAATGCAAGGAATGGGATATCCCGGAATGGGTATGCAGGGTATGGGATATCCCGGAATGGGTATGCAGGGTATGGGATATCCCGGAATGGGTATGCAGGGTATGGGATATCCCGGAATGGGGATGCAGGGTATGGGTATGCCCGGAATGGGATATCCCGGAATGATGTATGGCATGCATAACCCAATGATGGGATTTATTCCTCCCGATCCTACTGATGATAGCCCCGAAGATCCCGTCATTACCCAACACAGAGAGATGGTCCGTCAGCAATGGCTTGAATTGGAACGGTAGGTTTTTTGATAGTTTGGTTTGTAAAAAATTTAAATGATTATTTATTTTGACATTGACACATGGATGGATGTTTTTGTAGATCAAAGGAACGGCAAAGAAATGTAGAAAGAAGTACCGAAACCATGCAAGGAGCAATGGGCATAATCCCAGGCATGGGTATGAATATGGGAATGCAACCTTCAATGCATTTTCCCAACTCTTTCAATACACAGAATCAGGCTGGTTTTAACGAACAGGGATATGGCATACAGCCATCATCGTATAAGCCATTTGTACAGCCCAGTAGCGACTTGGAAAGCTCAGACGAGAATGTCTTTGATGCTAACCGACATAAGCGCGATGGTCACCACGCCTCATCACAATCTTCTTCTGATCAAAGTCACGACGATCAAAAAATAGCTAAAAAGAATAGTTCAGATACATCAGATACTGAAATGTCCAGTAAACCGAGCCAGAGTGGCACTGAAGACGAAGATGGGTCTCAAAGTGATCATCAACGACTTGCTAGCGGAACAGAATCGGATGAAGATCCCAGTGACGAATCTGATGAAGATGTACCATTACATGTACTTGCTGCAAACAAAAAGATTCGTACGCGACCCGCACCTGCACTCAGACCAACTGTTCTTCGTGGTGCATCAAGTAGTGAATCCGATGCATCGCAAGTAGAATCAGATGATGATATTCCACTGATGGATGTAGCTGCACTTGGGAAGCTAGGAAACTCTAAACGGCCTTCTGATGCTAGCAATAGGGAACTTAACACCCATTCGGAAAAGGGAACCATTTCGTCTCAGTCGATGAAGTTGGAAGATGATAAAGAGTCCGATTCAAGCGATGAGCCTCTTGGTGCACGTATCTTACCAGCACAGTCCCATCAACAACCTCTTCATTCAACCATTTCGTCTGCTTCTTTGGGATCTCATTTTCATACCGGATTATATGGTACATCGGGTGGTTTTGATAGTACGATGGGAGCTGGTCGAATGATGCAGTATCCTCAAGGTATTCAGTTTCCACCAGATATGCCCATCACACCACAAATGCAACAGCAAATGATGCAACTTCATCAACTCCAAATGCAGCAAATGCAGCTCATGCAGCAGATGCAAATTCCAATGAACATGGGCAATGAAGGTGCTGGACAGCCTAAATGGATGTCACAGGGTATGCCTATGCATCCGACGCAGCAGATGCAACAGATGCAATACCAGATGCACATGCAGGGTATGCAGCAACCGCGGTTTATGGGTGCGCCAAATCCCAGACAAAATCCACTACCATCACATATGCCCATCTATTCCCAACAACAGGATCCACATCCACTCCAGCAGCACAATGCAGTGTCTTCCAATATCACCTCGCTGCCACAACCCGTCATACCTCCACATAAACAACACCGTACGAAACAGAGACAGTCACTATTGAGTCGCGAACCACATGTGGATACTATACCAACATCTACCAAACCTGTGAATCCACACCCTGCACCTAAATCTACAAATACGACTCGTGCTCAAAGTGCCAGTAAAAGCGATCAAGGCAGCATGAGTGATGATTCCGGATAAACTTTCATTCACTCGTTTTTTAAAAATACAAACTTTTTTAAACATAATTCGCATTTTGCAAACAAGATTGTTGATAGGGATTGATGTCAACGATTTCTCTGCTGTAGAATGTTGACGTGTACATTTGAATGTTGGTAGTAGTGTGGGCTGTATGAATAGAGCAGTGATGGTTTCTGACACACATGGAGTGGTTTTTATTGTCAAATGTATCTTCAACTGTTGATGCAACTCATCAATATTTGCAATGGGGGTTCAATCTCGAGTCATTTGTTTAAAACACAAATGGAATGAATATATACGGCACGATACGACAATACTCATCCCAGTCGGCACCGTACTTTTTGCTGCATCGTTCCATGTCTCGAATAGTACGATGAATCATGACGATTAAAAAGAAGAAGAAATAAAAATATGGAATCACACTGCTGAATCCTGTAGCAAGACCCCATGTGAGTGCCATGGCCAGATCTGCCGTGTAATGGATCTTTCTTGCCATGCCCCACCATCCAGAAGTGAGAAGAGGTGATCCTCGTTCGGTTGTAATGTATTTTGGATTTTCCAGAGTGCTCCAGGGAAGCTGGGGAAATGTAGCACGAGGAATGTATGTGCCTGCGATACTCATACGGAATCGATTCTTTTGGGAATTCGCGGTATCCCATATATAGTAAGCAACAAAGAGCACAGCGAAAAGAATGATGATAAGAGTGATTGGAATATGTAGATTACGCCCTGCCTCGGTTTTTACCAGATACAGTGCTGCATAGCAATATGTGAATGGTACTCCTATCATCACAAGTCAGCATATTGGTTTCTGCGTGTACTACACCCCAACAATTTATCTTACCAGACTTGAGTGGTCATACAATCACAATGAATCAATCAATCAAAAAAGTTAGCACGAGACTAAAAGCTTAATTGGAATCAGTGTCCTACCCTACCATATTCCAAAAAATCAGCATGAATCCCCATCTAAATCAAGGGAAATTGTTAGTTTTGCGGAAAATATCCAAGCAGAATATTGGCAACAGATCTTACTTTTCATAGAATATATCCCATGTTGTTGGAATGCACTCCTCACCCTTCATGCATGCATTGACATACAAAAAGTGTGCAATAACCATAAACCAAACACTAGGTGATGCATAACCTTTCATCTGGTACTCCTTCATCAAAGCGGATACAGAGATATAAAACAACACGACCCAAGGGATGCGAATTTCGGAAAACATTTTTAGATCCAACGGTCCTAAACGTGGATTAAGCACAGCACCCATAAACAGATCGTACATGAAATAACCCGACATGCGAAACTGCTTTTTTTTCATGATTGTAACTGTGTAAGTGATGAGGGTGATGGCAAAACCAAATATGATGGAGATAGTCATGAGTTCACCGATACGATCAATGATGGATTCGAGTGGAAAAATACCCGTAGTGTGTAAAATGACGCTGTAAATGACAAGTTTTAGCTGTGGGAGTATTTGAATAGTTTAGTAGATCAAGCTATTACCTTGTTGCTATAGTCACGTAAAATGAGGATAAACCGTTACACAGATATTCGAGCTGACGGTTACCTAGAGAAGGTATGGGTAGACCCTTGACAACTGGACCGGGCATGGTGACAGCCAGAACAGCTTGAAAAGCCACTAACATGCCATACACAGTAAATGCCCACCAAGAAGGAGCAGCACCCATTGCCACATGTTCAATCATTCTGAATAGAAAGGGTTGCAAATCATCCCAATTGGCAGGAGCAACCAAGACACCGTTGTAATACTCGATACAGATCCAGAAATAATACATGAGCAGCGGGAACCCACCCATCATGAATGTCACTCCGACTGGGCCTCCAAACTCGAAAATAATATCATGATCAGTATTTGAAGGCATGTGAGGAATGCTAGACATGGACTCGTTGGAATTGAAGTTTACGCAATGGTTTGGTAAGCCAGTAAAGATGTTTGCTTCATCTCTGGCATGTTGAACATTGCAACCAACAGTTCCAACATTCACAGTAGTGGACTCAATGTTAGAACAAGCATTAGTGTTGGAAACAAGATCAGGGCGAGAAAGTAGTGGTGTTGATAGTGATGTTATATCTTCGCGATGCATGTATCGAATACTGAAACCTAGACAAGATTCAAGAGTGATTTATAAGTAAAATCTAATAGAAACTCGACTGGTCGGATCTCCGACAAAACTCCGAGCAAGTCATTCATGTTTACGCACAAGACTGTGTTGAATTCTTGCGTACAGAATGGGTTGTCTTGACTATCGTATCGAATACTAATCAAACTGTCCTTGTAATATAATAATTTCATCCTTGAAATACACAACTTTATTCACTGTACTTTCCTAATAGAAACTGACTGTTGAATAGCACTCTCAGTTCAATCCGTTCATCATATGATGCGCATGCAGTGGGTTAACAAAGATTGTATTTATCCACTTTTTGCAGTCATGCATTGACAATCAGGTTTGAAACCAAATATTGAGTTTTAAACTCTACTTTGTGGTTTACGCTTTAGTTCAAGAAAACTCACATCTTGAATGGTTTTATGTGCCATTCATCAAAACATTCAACAACAATCTTGACAAAACTCACAGTCACTGTAAACTAGTTTTATTTTACATGAATACGGCTGTAATATCAATCCTATTGCTGTAGTTCAAGGGTTGTCGTCCTTTGTCCACCCTAAGGTTTCTCATTGAATACATTACAATCTTGCTCAAGTTTTTATTCACACACTTTCCATCTCGTTTCATCAGCCATCACTTTAGTCAATGGATTGCTCCATTACTTCAAAACCTCTTGCATTGGTAGAAACTTTTTCCGATTCTCATTGGAAACAGCATGACTTGCTTCCACCATCGACGTCTAGTCATCCACCGCCGTTGCCAAGAACGATTGTTCGTCCTGCACCGTCAGTCACCATTAAACGTAAAGGCCAACACAAGAAACCGTTGGACCAATGCTCGCTGGCCCAGTTGGAGCAGATGCTCAAAGCCAACACTCAACTTCTCCACAACCAGTAAGTATAAATCTGTCACTATCTGATCATCCACTCTTGTCGCATTCACTAACATTGAATAGGCAAGTCTTGCAAAGCTTACCTGATCAAGGCAAAGCTCTTGAACAGACAAACAAGGATATACAAATGTGGCTTGAAAAGCGTCAGAAGGAGTCCGTCTTATCACAAACTCAATTGTCTGCAGAACATAGCCAGTCTGAATCAACTGACATTACTCTTGACTACCTTGACACTCGAATGCAATCGCTGAATGTCACGGATACTCCACTTCCAATCATACTGACTAAACGCCAAGTAAGGGATCAAGCAACCTGTCGTGCTGGCAACTCAAACAGTGGTCGAATGGGCCACATTTCTCTAGCAGAATCAATCGATATCCAAAATACTCGACGTCAAATTATCGAAACCCAGAGATTAAACAGTGCAATGGAAAAACTGCGTAAATCAGCTTCCATTGCATCGCTCACTAGTGAGTTCTTTAAAGGTAATGCTGACTCCTCTGCTTCGTTGGGCGAGTTTATGACTGGTGCAAATGGATATCGGGATGGTTCTGCTGCCAACTCGGAGCTTGATTTTAATGATGATTTGTCTGACCTTTCATTCGAGGACGACCAATAAGATCTGCTTTTTGTTCATCTTTGTCAACTGCTTGTTTCCTGCTTCTAATAATAGTTCTAGTACATTTTCTTGCTTTGAATAAAAGATAATCTACCCTTATACAGTGTTGATCTGATGATTGTAAAAAGCTAAAACCAACCCACTCTATCAACCATCTCGTTGAGAATAAATTGGACTTGTTTTTTTAATCAGATCTTGGTACGAGGAATGCCCAATTCAAGAAGTTTGGCATAGGCAGCAGCAAAATCCTTTGAAAAGGCTTCCTTGTCTTTGGCATATAGATGGACATACTTTGCAAATGTCGGATCGTGTAATAAAGCCATATCAGTAGGCAGCATCATGAGTTCATCATCAGGGTCTTTGAATTGCTCTGGCCCATCCCACACTTTCTTGGTCCATTTCACAGTTGTTAATAAAACAAAATATTGATTGGAAAACCTGGTTGGAGTGTGAGTCCACGCTACAGTATAAATACCAGGTTAACTACGCATCAACACCGGAAAGTTAAAGATTTGAATTCAACATACGTCCAGAAAAACCACTACGGTCAGCATGGCATCTACCCAATGCATGAGCACCACTGAGAGCAACAATCTCCTGATCGTTGAAACCCATACGATAAAAGATATCACGAACGTGATGAGCACCCTGGGCAGCATCAGGAAGACGACCATTTGGAGGAATATCTTTTACAGTAACCGTCTTTGGATTCTTGTCAGATCGACCTAGATGAATAGAGTTGGTATAGATAGATCCATGCAGATTTGGAATTCAGAATACAGAGCAAACTATTGTGTTTACCTGGTCTCCATGCAACCTTGGGTCCATTCATGGCATGCAAAGCAACCACTCCAGCAAGGGTCCACAAATCAGCATAGGTGATCCAAGGGTGTTTGGCCTTGATGGGTTCAAGGAATCGTCTGTTTTAACAAAGGATAGACCGTCAGTGTATACACACATCCAGATCTGATATCGCAACAATGAAAACCATGAACAAGACATCCAGACATGGAAATGCGACAGTATGGATCAATACTTGTCTATCGAATGAATTGAGTGTAAACAGCAATGATGAGTGAATGCATACCGAGCATGTTCAAGACCAGCATTAGCATCGTCAGTGGACTCGGGTGCAAATCGCATGGTTGCACCATTAGAACCACCTGTTTTTGTCTTGTGGTCATAAGTACCAGAAGCATGCCATGACAGACGCACAAGTACAGGACCTAAAGAACCGTCATCCCAATCCTCGTTTTTAAGAATACTGCGAATATCATCAGCAACAGCGTCGTAGTCATGTAGAGTCATCACAATCGTGTATTCACGTAAAATGAAACGTTAATAAAAGTCGGAGTGCATCATAAACAGCCAATCTTGACATGATAATTCCTATCAAATTTACTGGAATCAAACCTGTCGAATCCAATCTGAATTACAATGAATAGATCTGAGATTGTACATTGATTACAAAAAAGACAATCTGTTTAAAATTATACTTTGTAAGATGAACGTTAAAGTTGAAAATACCAATCTTCAAACTCTGTTTATTCTGAAGCAAATCATTGTTGCTGGAGTACAAGTGGTTCATGTTACACGAGTAGGTAGTAAAACTAAAGACTCGCTACAGTCCACGATTGAAAAACACTCGCTCAACAGGTTTCCCATTTGCATCAACCAATCCTTTGAATTGCGGTTCAAGTTTCTCCACTCCAATAGAGGCAACTTGAGGAAACAGAGCAATTGCACAAGGTAAAGCAGCCAATAACGATCCCGCAACAGTGATCAAATTGAAGGGTGCAACTAATCTTGGAAATCGTTTAAATAAGCTCGTTCGTTCCATTTGCGACATGATCAATCCAGGAATAAACAGTGCTGGTGCAGCAGTCACAACTCGACTCACTGCAACTTGTCCTATAGCATGAGTTCCAGCAGTTTGAGATTTACCAAGAATCGTTCCTGTAGCATCTTGCACTTGGATGCCTTCTTTGAGTTCCTTTTGACGCATGAGAAAAACATTGAGTGTACCTGCCGTGGCTACAGCTACAAAGGGAACTCCACGGGATAAAAGAGTAAGAGTACTAGGCGATAATCCTTTGGATCTAGCTAGCCATTGGCTTAGTCCCACTGCGATCGTACACGATGCACCTACCGCACCAGCATACGCTCCTATTCACACTCCAATCCGTTAGATCCATCATTTCCATTTGATTTTACAGTCATGACCTACCAACTGTTTCAGTCGTGGACATCTCGGTTGTCTTGTTTGCATTACAATAGTTGAAGGCAACATTGGCACTCTGATTGATCCATTGCCAGAAAATAATAGCAGCAACAGATGGGTTGGGCAACAACATGGCAGCAATAATGGGTACGTTAGTTGGCACATACGATGACATACGGAAAGGAAGAAACACTTTTTCGCCAGTATCTGGATGAAACGTGCTATCGACCACTGTATTGAACATCAATATCCCAAACACAAGAATTTACAATCAGTAAATGATGTCACAACACTACATCAACCTTGTATAGTTCATACACTTTTTGGCTTTCCAGAGTTGCTCTTCAGTGACATTGGGCGTCGAATTGCCTGCTTTGTAACTCTGTACGAGCGTTTTGGCAGCTTGCAGTTCCGTCTCGCTAGCAAACAGATTGCGAGGATCGGTAATCTCTGAAAAGTGACGCAGACGACCCATATAAGTCGACTGATCATATCGAGACTGCGACAAGTCAATTCGTTTAGTCAGACTTTGTTGAATGGATTCTGACATTTGAGTACTGCTGTTGGTAAATCTTGTTGAATTTCAATTCAACCATTTTATTGTTGCATTCACATAAAATTCACATTAAATAAAATATTAATTTACTGGATAATATTATTCTCTAAACTCTTCAACAGGACTGCACATTCATTGATTGAACAGAGTTTGTCATGGTTGATTCCAAAGCAAAACAGTATTTCATTTTACGTGAATACAAATGATAAATCGTTTAGATTGAGTTTAAAGAACAGATCTACTCGATCCAGTATTTCTTCAACCTTTTTTTTGTTGAATGCTTTTATTTAATTCGGTATTACCATCCTACAACTAGATCATAAATGCGACTGAAAATTCCAGCAGGTTTGGCAGCAAATGCAGAATCATCTTCCTCGGATGCGATTCCACGCATATCGCCACGATAGGCATCAGATCGAACAGCAATATGTTTTACGCCCAATGCACTCGATTCAGGCGAGGCCATACCAGATACTCGGTTAGTTTCAATAGGATGGGTAGGAGTATTGTCATCTGTATCGACTAGTCCAAGTGTAGAGTTGGAAGGTTGAACAAACCGTTTCGACGGGTTGGCTAGAGTGGATTGAACATGAGCAGATGATGGCAGATTGCGTTGATTTAAAGACAACGATTCACTTTCAAATGGACTGATACTATCAAGTTCTAATGACAATGACTTGATATGTGGTTTTGAATCAGTACTGGGAAACGTTGATGTTTTGGGACTATCATGAGAGGCTTCAAAGACTCCGACCAATCCACCTGGTTTGTGCGAAGCAAGCGTCAAGGATCGATGTGAATAAGCTGTGGATCCATGCTTGCCACCACTGGTTCCTGTAGCCATAACACCAAACACATCACCAGGTTTTACCACCAACATCCACGACTCTTCAACCACTCTTCCATCTTCCTCGACAGCTCGTTTAGCAGCAGAAGCAAGCGTGTATTGAATCACGATCCAATTCCCAACATTCTTGTCACTTGTGCGAATGGCTTGAACAGTTCCAAAACTTTTAAAGTGATCAATGACTTGATTGGATACAGCAGATGGGATTCCGATTAGAGTAATAACATTTGCATTCGCAACGGGTGGTGAGGGGGTATGTGGAGCAGGAGAGTACGACACGGGCGAATCGACAGCCATGGGAGAATGATGTGTAGACGAAAAGGCAGATCTACCTCGCAGTGATGGAGAAGCAGAATGAGCCGACTTGGATTGGGAAGATCCAGACATGGTTATAGATTTAGATCGCTTGATACCAGCCGAGTCTGTCGAGTCCATATTGGATGGTTTTGCAGTGTTACTATTAATTCTAACCGAGAGTTTGCCTGGCACTATACCAAACAGTGACTGAGTGGGTGGAGCTTCATCATCCAAGACAGAAGACCCATTTCCTGTATAGAGTTTTCCCATACCATGAGTAGGAGAATGAACTTCACCAAGTCCAGATGACCAATACGTTGGTGGAGGAGAGCGAGAGCATGACTGATTACGAAGCCGAGATGCAGACATGGGAGTGGAGGCAGACATGGGAGTAGACGCTGGAGTGTTGGAGTTCAAGTGTCCACTGTTTCCATTGTAAGACTGTTGTCTGTTGTGTGGATGAGGAGGTGTTTTACTCACTGCAGGCCTTCTTCCTCCACCCAAGGCATCTAAAAACAGTGATGGCATGTATGCACCATGACTACTATCATTGGTGGTTCTATTGTTCAAATGAGTCGACTGTTGTGTCGAGTAGTCACTGCCAACAGCAGGACTTATTCTACGATTCCAAGACATGCCAACTGTACTGGGAAGGACAGAAGACTGACTGTAAGGATTGTTAGCAGAACTGATGCTGCTATTGCTGTTGTTGTTGACTTTGCCTGCATAGAACTCGGGACCATAAGGACTCTTTTCAAGAGGTTCAGTAAGAATGCCATTCCTATTGGCAGCACTGGGAGTGGTTGCAAATGCAGACCTTGCACTTCCAGCCTGTCCAGAAGTGGATGAAAACATTGGACAAGAATCTAAATTACTCTTCAGTTACACAACCCAACTTTACTGTCGTAAAAATTATATTTTTTAAAATCAACTTTCATGTCGTAACAGAGTCTGCTTCTCCTTGATTTTCAACAAATGATCTTGTCGCATTGCTCCTGCCAACTCCATTTTGAGTTCTTGAGAATGCTGAGCTGCATTTCTTTCACTCTCTGTCATTTTTTCATAGAGTTCATGGCGTATCCTAGCTTCTATGTAGCAAGTATACATTGTTGGTTGATTTCATCCGACACATGATATAAATTAAAAAAACTTGCCTTGGACATCATCAATGGATGAATGAGCCTGGGCACGAATGGCATCCAGGGCTTCTTTACGACGAAAATCAGCAAGATCTTGTTTGAGTTCCATCATTTCACCTTCAAGGCCATGTTCCATTGCCAGTAAATCATTGATGGATGATTTACGTGCTGCCACTGCTTCCATTCTAGCATCCACAATAGGACCATAAGGATTGAAGCTCATGATACTCGAACCACGTAGATCTTGAGTCGACGTAGTAAAATGACTACTTCCAAACGACGACTCGGGAGCATCCGTCGTCTCCAATGTCTTGGCCAACTCGTTCACTTTTTCAAGATGTCGACTATACGCTTCTATTCACGTATACACGACCAACAGTGTTAGTTCACTCCTCATCCCAATCATGTCATCTCAACTCAACTTGATACATCCTCCAAAGAAGCGTGAGCAGCATTTCGTTTCTCTTCTAGTGCATCTTTGCGTAATTCTACTGCATGGTTTTGTCGACTTTCTTCGATCTTCATTTGTTCATCTAATGCAATGGCTCGGTGCTCTTCCATGTCACGACGACGTTGAAGAACCGCTTCGTGTCTATCTGATGCTGGCGAGTTGTGTTCTGGAGGTTGAAACAAGGCTACATAGGTAGAAGGAGTAGCTTGAGCAGTATCTGAAGCTGCAGTTGCTGACGGTAAATGTCCGAGTTTCTCTGTAAGCTGGGCATGGCGTAAATCCTCCAACGACTGACGTTTCATGGCTGCTGCTTGAATGCGCTCATCCACCGTTTCAGGTAACTCGGCAGTAACATGGCATGGAATAGCTGTCGTCATGATGCTATAACTAGTAATAAATACTTTAAAATACTTTAAAATGGTTAAACTTTGTTCAAATCTGACCTTTTTGTCTGTCATGATGACGGAATTCAATGTTTGTATAGTTTATCACATGGATGCGATATTGTTAAACACTAATCAAGCTTAGCTAACCAAAACCCTTTTGCTTGTCCTTTAGACACCTAATCCAGCTTCAATGTATTAGGTCTGAATGGCTACAGGATAATTGTTGTAACCAAACACCATCTTCACGTATAATGAATAAAACCATAGTCGCAACAGTCACATTGAATCAATGAATTGGAAAATAAAGGCAGACGGTGAATCTTTATTCACAACGCTGATTTGCAGGCTTAGTGATAAACATTCAAGCAGTCTTTTCAGACATTAAACGCTCAATCTGAACCTCAAGTTGTCGTACACGCGCTTCACGTTGAGCAACAATTCCCTTGAGATCATCGTTTTCTCGACGCAGGGTATGGTACGCATCTTGATACTCTTTTTCAGACATGGCAGGAGCTCCAGCACTAGGACTGTCACACGCAACAGCAGCTGGGGCAGAAGTAACAAACTCCTTGGGTGCTGCTGCAACAAAACCCTTTTCGAGACTAATAAGTGTTGGCGCTTTGGTCTTTCCGCCAAGCCATTCTGCAGCTGACATGGTGGGGTCGGGTCCAATCGTGTCTGGATATAGATCGGACTGAAATGCGTCTGATTTACGAGGAACTTTGAAGGATATAGGCTCAACAAGAGTGGGGTGAACTTTGTATGCACGGGAAATTTCAACTTCATTAATGGCAACAGCACGCTTGGGAAGAAAACTAATACCGCGAAGTGGATCTGAGGACTTGTATTCGGAAAGAGGAAACAGACCTTTATCATCGTCAGACCATTCGTAGTAACGAATGTTACCATCACCTTTTCCAGCAAGGTAAAGCATACTGGTGTCTCCATCATAGTATGGAATCAGCATTCCTGAAGCAGTGTCAATCTGTTCTTGCTTAAGAGGGGTAGCAAGGTTAGCAAAATCCCAAATATATACCTGACGATCACTAGTTCGACTGAAGCCAGTGGTGACAATGTTCTTTGAGTTGCCCATCCACAGACCACGAGCACCCTTGATGCCTTGATGGCAATTGGCTTCCTAAAGTATTTTAAAGCATTTAAAGTATTTTAAACAGGGTGGACATCAAATGAATACAGCGCGACACTAAGCCACAACCAGTCAATCGACATAAAAGCAGCAAGTTTACCTGGACAACAGTCTTGGAACGAGCATCATAAACACGAAGCTTTTTATCTTTGCAAGTAGTGGCAAGCAGATTTCCTTCCCAGTTCCACGAAATGGACTGGATGATTTCACCGTGTCCAGCAAGTTCCATTTTTTCTTGACCAGTGGAAATATCCCAAATCTTGACTAAAAAATCGGCAGATGTGGTGGCAAGAATATTATCAGCAACAGGATTGAAGCTAACATGTCCAACTTTGCGTCCATGCCCAGTGAGAGAAAGAACTGGTGTTGAAATGTTTTCAGTCAGGCCGCCTTCAGGAATCTTCCAAACCATAGCCTACAGGTGTATAACAAACGAGTGAGTATCAAACTACAGTAGTGATTTAGCTATGCACGACTTTTCATGTAGCCATTTTACAATAAAAACAAGGGAATCGAACTATGAATATGCATACCTTGCAATCCTCAGAAGCAGATGCAATAATGTAGTCGTTGAAAGGATTGAAATCAGTATCAAGAACAGGACCAGTATGTCCATTGAAGACAGGTAGGTTATCTAGTAATTTTCCAGTTGTAGCATGAGGAATAACAGCAAATGCTCCGCCTTTTCAAAAATTGAGTTTAAGAATACAACATGGAATCTGTATTAGAATGACATGATTTAATCTGGACATAAACAAGCATGATTGAATGATAACATAAGCGAATCGCACCTCCAGATGCTTCCAAATTAATAGAGACGAATAAAGGATTGGCACTAACTAGGTTAGTGTCCCATGCATTACGAGAAACCTGAAAGTTGAAAAGAGTTAGTATACATGAAGAATCCAGTAAAACAATCGAGTTTTGGAAATCTCGATAGATTGGAATATAGCACATTTTATAATTTATTGCAACCAGTGATAAGCACCTTTAGGTTGTCGTAGCATTGATCGCGTTTGTTGGCAGTTCCATAAACATGACGATCTAGATATTGTAGTGACAGACGTAATGAGTAGATTAGTTGATTATCAAGACATCTGAGACGGTTTGCATTGAATAGATTGGCAGTATCAAAGTGAAGACAGGATTATGATCAACACTGACCAGGGAAAGAGTGGTGAGATGGTGACAAGACATGTTCTAGTAATGAGAAAATGCAGACTAGACTGTAGCATGAGGCAAGTATCTCATTGGATAAGAGCCGTATAAGAAGACGCAGCATGAGTCTCTATACTTGCCTCATGCATCTCTGCAAGAGTTGATTCATACAAGACCAAGAACACACTCTAGATGAGCTGGGATTAAGAAAAGGAAGACAGATAAGGTCATGCAGACACTATAACACAGACAGTAGTAGACAGTGACACTGTTTCTATCGAGTTTGATCCTATCATGTACTGCCAACCAGCCATTCCTGTTGAATCACAGCTCTCATTACGCTTGACAGAATAAACAGTTTGATAGAGAATATTGTTTCTGATAAGCAACAGCGTAGATGACACTGCTGACAGTATGACTATGACTTACACTTTGAGGCTCTTACAAAACGAGACATGGCGCTGAAGACTTGCAACTAAACTCCACAATCGGCGCGTTTGATAATTTGTACGTTCGTTATTCACGTAAACGAATGCCAACTGCCCGTCTCGACACTCGCCGAGTGTCATTTAAATTCTTTAATTCGCTGTTTTGATACTGTTTTGTACAACTGATCAAATCTTGTCATTCATTCGAGTCATTCTCACTTGAATTAATCAACAATAATCCAGATTCAATCTGTTATAAAGTGGTGAAATGGTTGGAAACTGCCAAATCATTAAACCTTGACTACGTTGATATCGAGATTAATGTTTGGAATCATGTGTGGCTTTGTATAAACACTCATGAAATAAGACTTGGATATGCAATCTAATGAGTCGAGTATTACTGTCTAGGTCAACATTTTTATAAATCTACAAATCAATAGTATACTTGAAATCAAATCAGTCTAATGTGTAGACTATCAAGTTTATTCCCATTCAATGGTTGCAGGTGGTTTGGAGGAAACATCATACACAACACGATTGACTCCCGACACTTCGTTGATGATGCGAGTGCTAATGCGCTTTATAATATCATATGGCATCTCAAACCAATCTGCAGTCATGAAATCTATGATAGAATGAATAGATGATATGTTTAGTGACGTCCATCTCAAAAAAAACAAATGTAACATAGATTACCCTTGGTTTCTACTGCTCTAAGAGCAATAACTTGCTCATATGTGCGGGCGTCACCCATGACACCAACAGATCGAATAGGCAACAAAGCGGCATATGCTAAATGACAACACATTCTGATTATCAGTCACATTTATATCAACTAGATTTGATACAAGACAGTTTAATAAAATAGTACCTTGAGAGATTTTGCGGTACAGTCCGGCTTTTTTGATTTCTTCGATAAAAATAAAGTCGGCATGACGAACAATATCAACCTGGGATTTGGTTACTTCACCAAGAACCCGAATAGCAATACCAGGACCAGGGAAAGGATGACGCCAAACAAGGTCTTCATCGATTTCCAAAAGAACACCAAGTGCACGGACCTCGTCTGTAATGGGTGCAAATTCAGCATGTTAATATGGTGTAGCAGGCATGACAGCTATATTAAAATTAACCAATGATTCAAACAGTCATCAAAAACAAGCCAGTACCTTTGAAAAGCTCACGAAGAGGCTCAATCACTTTAAGCTTCATGTCATCTAGCAACCCACCTACATTCTATAGATTCAAAATGCACTTAATACCACTCATTTAAAAATAATGATACAGAAAATGGTAAACTTACGTGATGGGTTTTGATAGTAGCGGATGGGCCCTTGAATGAGATGGATTCAATCACATCAGGATAAAGAGTACCTTGAAGCAAGAATTCAATCTTGCCTCGTCCTTCTTGCTCGACAGCAGCTTCAATTTTTGTACCTTCAGCCTCAAATACCTCGATAAAAGTATTACCAATGATCTTGCGCTTCTTTTCAGGATCTGTAACCTATTTATTGTAGTAATGGTCAAATAGTATGAGTTGAGAAGCTTATCCAAAGTCACGTAAATAGTTTAATAGCAACATACCCCTTTGAGTCTGCCCAAAAAGAGCTCACTGGCGTCAACAAGTGTAAGATTAATCTTTAGGTGCTCCTTGAGGGTCTTGACAACAGTCTCGCACTCATTAAGACGCATAACACCATTGTCTACAAGAATGGCATGGAAACGATCACCAATAGCAATGCTCATAATTTTGGCTGCAACAGTACTGTCGACACCTCCACTAACAGCACCAATTACTTGGGCAGTAGGACCAACAATGGATCGAATTCGCTCAATTTCCTTGTCAACAAACGTAGCCTAAATAGATTCCCACATACAAACAGGATTGTTGGAATTCATGCGAATAAAATCAGATTTGCTAAATCCAGTAAAATTAGACAAACCATAGTCCATGTTGCCTTGGCACCGCAGATTCCAATGGCAAAGTTTTTGAGAATATGCGAACCTTGAGGAGTGTGAGTGACTTCGGGATGAAATTGAATGCCATAAATGTTATTTTCGAGACATTCGACTGCAGCAAATGGAGCAGTGTCAGTCGAAGCAGTGATCTTGAACCCTTTTGGAATAGCTGATACTTGATCACCATGGCTCATCCAAACCTATTAAGCATTCAATAGCAAACTAAATATATCATTGTCCAAAAAATAAATCAAAATACTAAAAAACCAACCTACAGTGAGTTCGGTATCAAGACCTTGGAAAAGTTTACTTTCGGGAATAATAGAAATGTTGGCCTTGCCATACTCTTTTTTATCCGAAGGATCGACTTTGCCACCACGAGTGAATGCTATTTCCTATTACAATAGTTATCAAAAGAAAGCAGTAGTGATTTATCAATAACTCATAGTTTTTAAAATACAAAGACTAAAGATAGTATTCAACACTCGTTTCAATGCACATTTGAAAAATAATCGCAATCCAATTACAGTCGTATTTACAAAATAAGACATTAAATAAGGATACCAAAGTGCATCATATGATGAATGTTTAAAGGAATCGAGAATGTCTAGCAAGACAACTTTCAATAAGAAAGCGTAACGAACATTGAACACTGATTATTACAAAGCAAGAATAGTGGCTGCAAGATGAATAGAAAAATATTCCATTTGGTGTCAATGCAGCAGTAATTCGAATTTCAAAACCAGTCGCTTACCTGTAAACCATAGCAAATACCAAGGACAGGAACCTTCAAGTCCCAAACAGCAGGATCAACATGAGGGGATTCCGGTGAATAAACTGAATAGGGACTACCAGACAGAATCACACCTTTGGGCTTGAATGGAACATCAGCTATTTTTGTAGTGCAAGCAAGCAATTCGCAGTACACACCGAGTTCACGAATACGACGAGCAATCAAGTGAGTAAACTGCGAGCCAAAATCTAGAATAAGAATAGTGTCGTATAGCTGCGAGACAGGAATTGAAGTTTGAGGAGCCATGGCTGGAATCAATCTGCAGGTTTCGAGTTTCTACCGAGTAAGAAAAAAGGTTTAAAATGAATTTAAACATCACACGACTGAATATCCTCACTGCTGCATTCACGTAAGTGAAACACTAATAAAAGTTGAACAGTCAATTCTATGGCATGACAGTTTATTAGAAACTAGATTGAATTCTTGATTGTTTATTACTTTTTATACAAGATGAACAGTCAAGAATTCAATAATAATCGATGAATTTGCACCAATCAAACGAGACTGTTTGTCATGTATTTTGACATTCTTGATGGTTTATTTTGTATGAATACGACAGTAAACTCAAATGCTACGATCGACTAAAACCACTCATACAAAGACTACTGAATCTACCATATCTGGTAGTCGTCCTAGTCGCATCAGGCCTTCTTTTTCAAAACCACCTGCAGACCATAGGTTGAAATCACTTCAAAAGGTATACTTTTATCCATTCCATCTCTTTGCAGTACTATTCAGCTTAAATATGCACATGAACTAGCTGATTCAAGCCAGTAGATCCAATGGCAGACTCAATATTTCCAACTTGGAACTTGAAAGTATTCCTGACGAGGTTTGGGGCACGAATGCTGCTGCTTGCCAAAGTACAGTTCTCGACGTATCTTTTGATAGACCGCTGGACCAAGGAAGTTGGTGGGAGGTAATTCAACTCTTGCATTACAGTGCAGTTGTGTCCATTCTAAACTGTCATGTTGTCATTTGGAGAGTAGGTTTGCGAGCTGAAACGACTTGTTGCCGCAGACAATCATATTACTGCCATCGATCCAAGAATTGCTGATTTGGGTGCGCTAGTCATGTTGGATGTAAGTTATGCTTTACTCGCTGCATGTTTGAATGGCTTGTTTAACAAGTGTTAAACTGCTCTAGTTGCACAATAACCAAATCTCTTCAATTCCCGACGTGGTTGGATCACTTCAAGCCTTATCAATACTCAATCTATCATTCAACTGCATCACTTGTCTTCCAGACTCGCTGTTTCAACTACCGTTGGTTGAGTTACATGTTCAAGGAAATGCTCTTGTGCAACTCTCTGATGCCATTGGAAATCTGTCTCGACTTTCGCATCTGGATTTGTCCGATAACAAATTATCTGCACTGCCACCATCCATATCTAAAATGACTTGTTTGACTAAACTAAATGTATCCAAAAACCAGCTTACCAGCTTGGAATCTGTAGACCTAAGTGCTATTGTACAACTTACAGAATTGAACTTATCCTACAACTTGCTTGCTAATCTTTCGGCATTCAGCATAGATACTATATCATTGCCAAAGCTTAAAATCCTTGATGTCAAGCATAATCGATTGAGCTCTTTGACTGTCAAGTTGACGTGTCCAGAGCTTGTTGATCTTTGTCTTTCTTTCAATAACCTATCATCCATAGCACCAGGTGTCTTTTTCGATCTGATTCAACTTGAAACTCTTGATCTGCGCGACAATGCTCTGTGCGTTGTTCCTGACGATACTCTTCAGCTGCACAGATTAAAGCGTCTGGATCTTACCAACAACAATATCTCTCGTTTGCAGCCAGAATTGGGCTTGTTGCATAATCTGACCATGTTTCTGGTGTACGGAAATCCTATTCGTGGATTGCCTACTTTAGATAGCACCGTCAAGTTACTGGAGCATCTACAGAAGCGCATTGTGATTCCTGCGTCTTCACACCAGATCCAACCCAACGCAAACAATGCGGTGGTTTCTCGAGGTATTGATCAATCTGATTCTCTGCCGCCTTTACATCATCTACAACAATCTTCTGTTGCACCATCTCAGCAAGAATACTCTTCTCGAATCATGAATCTATCCAATCAAGGACTTGATGTGTTGGGCGGCGACATTTTATCAAATTTTGATTTTGCACCCTCGACAATCGATGTATCACAAAATCGACTAAAGAATCTTCCAAATCACTTTAATGAGTATTCCAACAGCGTCGTGACTCTGATTGCTCGTCAGAATCTGCTGACTGTGTTTCCCAATATTCCATTTGGGCATCTCAAGGTACTATAGACTGATGTGACATTACCAAACCTTGTAATGTATACATTCCAGTAGAGTCATGTCAACAATGTTGATTTCGTTATTAAACCCATTATTATTTGATTAGATACTGGATTTGAGCAGAAACAAAATCACGCAACTATCCGAATCACTTCCACTGCTTCCCAGACTAGACGAACTTAACCTTTCTTTTAACCAACTCGTTTACCTTCCAAGTCAACTTTCTTTTCCCAACCTTACTGTACTTTTGGTTTCCAACAACCGACTTGAGGCAATTGATCCACATATGTTGATTCAATGCATACCCGGTATTCAAATCTTGGATGTATCCAATAACTCAATTCAGACCATTCCACCCGAATTGGCACTGCTTCCTTGTATCAAGAGTTTGCAATTAAGCGGCAACATGTTTCGAGTTCCTAGAGCGTAAGTCTATTCTGGAAACGTTTGAAAGGATACATTGTTTACAAGCTGACGATTTCTTGCAAATTGGGTTGTGTATCTATTTAGAGCTATTTTACAAAAAGGAACCGAAGCTATCTGTGAGTATCTCAAGAGTAGGATTCCTGTTTGAGATTATAAACTTGATATAGTTTGATGTTTCAAATAATAAAACCGTGAGTGATTTAGTTTGATGTCGGCAAAATCTTTTGTCAATACCATCATATAGCAAGTGTCAGCGCAGCACAAATGTTTCATTTCGTATCTGAATGGTTAGAGACCAAATTTGATAAAGAACTATTAAAGATTTAACTCCAGCCCAACATCTCGCTTGCATACATTTAAATGTTTAAGCGAGATTCGCAACAACGTCTACAAGATCAGCCTCAGAAACCAGCTTATATCCGTTCTGAGCAGTAACAGTGGCAACCTGCACATTTGAAGCAGAAATCTTTTCCTCCATGACTTGTTTAAGAACCTTGAGCGAGAGACTAACAGCCTCTGCAAGTGTAAGAGACTATGTGATGATAGAGTTAGACACCGTGTTTTGCAACATTATCATGACAGTGATATGCTGTACCTTGTGGAATTGCTCTTGAAGCTCAGTCTGTGCACCTTCTGAGCCCGACCCAATTGCCTTGGCATCGTATTGTGTCAGAGTACCAGATGGATCGGCATGGAATCTATCGTTTCACAGCATGCAACCGACGATCAGTATCTTGACAATCACCACAAGCATTCAGATTCAATCACTCACAGCTGAGGTCCTTTCTCATCAACACCTCCAATGAGAAGCGCAATACCAAAAGGACGAGACATGAGAGCATCTTCACCATCAGCACTTTCACCAAACCGAAGTGCAAGATCGCACACGGCCTGTGAAACACTTTCAACCTTGATTTTTTCGTTGTATGTGAACCAGTGATTCTAAAAAACATCCACACGACTGCTTTAGTATCAATGATTGAAAATACTGAAGCGAGTTTGGATCATGAAATAGTACCTGAGCTTCTACGCGAGCATGGTCGATCATGGTGCGGGAATCTGCAATCAATCCAGACATGGCACAACCAAGATGTGAGTCAATCTCCATAACCTTTTCAATGGAGCTTGACTCGAGCAAAGGAGAAGTGACTCGCTTTTCAACAGCAAGCACAACACCCTCGGATGTTTGGATACCGACGGCAGTAGATCCCAGCTTATAAAAGTATAGGTTGTCAATAAAACAGTTGGATCAGTTCAATGTATGTTTTATGATATACTAGTAAGCTATTAGCATAGTAGATGTAGCAATACATGCTGCATCTACACATTGAAGCAAAGTTTGTCGACTTTGATATTTCAAGCGGAAACAGCTTGGAATACTGTAAAAGCTGCAAGATACCTTAATTGCCTCGATGGCATATTCAACTTGGAACAGACGACCTTCTGGACTAAAAGTGTTGACTCCTCTGTCGTACTCACTCCTATTGATCCAGATCCCCATAGCAGTCAGACAAGACAAGCAGGATCCATGAGTGGTTTGAAAGGTTGTCAAATGATAAAGCGGATTCAAGAGAAACGATGGCCAGTATTGATATACCACCCAAAAACAGAGCAAGATACAAGTAAATGGCATTAGTAACTGGTTTCAGCAGCACAACTTTAACTCTAGCAAGTCCAGGGTTCGAACATGATGGATCTTGTTCAGACTTTATAGACCAACAAAGGCAAGAGCTGTCCAGTAAACACCCATGTGTAGCACACATGCACTAGATTGCATATCCACTCTTGCATAATGTATCTACAGTGACCTCTTATCCTAGACCAAGTACCTTGTTAAAAACATATTGTCTGATATGGAAACTCGATAAAATTTTGGCTGCGATTATTGTTGCATTCACGAAAATGGAGCGTCAAATGGGCCAAAATATACAACCAACAGCCAATCTCATGGAATGTCAGTTTGCTGGACAACATTGTCTTGTAAACTCTCTAGTTTACTAATTTCCTGTTGACTGGCATGTATAGTTGTATTCCTGAATTGTGGAATCTGTTCTCTTGAACTAGAGCGTGAATATATGATATTTCAGGCTACAATAAAGACAGATTTGAAGTATTAAAACAGTCAAACTTGAGATCTAGATTACAACAAATAAATTTAGTGATTTATGATTATGCCAAATGAAAACAATTACAATTTAAAACTAGCTTGTGTGCATCATATAATGGACGCTGTGTCCATTGAAGAATTGACAGCATCTAATCAAGCCAATGTGTAGTAGAAAGTAAATATTTAATATTATTTATTTCCAAAAAAAGGCAGTCGTTGCAAGATGAATACAGAGGTGCTCCATTGTGAGTACGGTTGTAGATTCAATAAAAATCAGTTGGATATTTATAGTGGGGCTATGTTTGAAAAAGCATACGTCGCTCCCATGCTCAAACGCATTCATCCTAGTCCAAGTATCATACCATGTTCTTTTCTACGACATTAGATTCTGAAGATGAATTATATTCGTTTTCGCCTACTAGCATGCGCATTAGTCGATCTCTTATCAAAGACTCGGCCCATATTATCAGTGACATTATGGTAAATATAGCCAAAAATGCTATCACCCATGCAATTGACATTCCTGGTGTTTTCCTGATATCCATCAGATTGGCGAAAAATCGATACGGGAAGTCAATGTCAAACCCATACTTTGCTAACCATACCCATAGGGTGTACAGGAAAATTGATAGCAAGGTAAATCCAATACTCAGTAGGGGCAGCTTAATCTTGGTTAGCCAGAGTTCAACCTGCATCATAACGAGATTGGCTATATGAGGCGTCATTATAAGGAAAAGTAGCGTTCTGTCTGATGTGCTCTCCAATATATATTGAAGAAGCGCCCAGAAAATGGTCAAAACAATCATTGCAAGAGTTTGTGTTGTCGAAAATAGAAACTGGATCGTGAGTGCAAGCCCCCGTGGAAATTTGGTTTTGAGATCGGCGTCTCGGTACACAATGGACACAATGGACATCATTCTGGATTGTTGGAATTCGAAAATTAGGTGTCAGTTGTAGATAAAGATAAATCAATATATACAGATCATATGTAGTCTTGAGCCTCGGCATGTATGCAATGAAAATGAGCACATTTGAGAGTCAAGGATTACAATGAGGCTGTTTCACACATGTCGTTTCACTGAAAATACACCCCACAATCTGGTTGTTATTCAAAAGACTTGAACTTACATAAAGTAAATGGTAATACCCGTCCATGAAATAGTAGTGAGATAACGAAAGTATTCCAGTTTGTCAATGCACAACTTCCAAATCATAATCATCAGCGAGAATGCCGCAAACAGGATTCGAACGACAAGTAGCACCCAACGGGGCACCAGGTACGATGATAGAGCGTCGTTTACCAACATGATATACAGGAACTAGTACCGAATAGCTTGATAATTGGATAATAGTTATACAAAGGAAAAGTATGTTATAGCAACCAAACAGACTTGGATAAATAAAATCTGAAACCAAAAGCAGTTTTAAAAAAGGAGTTCAAAACATCATTTATGAACCTATCGTAGCTCAGTGCCTACTCATGTTGTACACAGCTCACGCCCTTTAAATGCGGTGCAGCTTTACATCGTCCTTGCGTGCATCAAGTACTGCAAATTCACAGATATCGGCGTACCGGTGTGTGTTACACTAATTCAAGCGAGAACTTGCAAGCCATACTCATAATTAAACTCCGCCATAGAACTCGGTTAGACTTTAACGGCTTACATTGTTACATAATGGCTTTGATTAGCTAGTGGAAATTTACAGTCCACGCAACATTCGGATAGAGTGCTTGAATGTATTGTACTAAAAGCCTCCAATGAACTTTGAAATCAATACATTACCGTCAACAGCGCATCACTTTATTGATCAAGTATATACATATTTTTAAACTAAGCTTTAGCAAGCCACATTGTTTTTGGTTTCGCCCCATTCGTAGTATCAGCCGAGGTGATGTGTATCATGTACATGTTTAAGCTCGACTATGCCTTCAATGCATTCTAGTCTCGTGGTTCTCCCTGGACAAAAGCGTTTGAGGCTGATTGTATACTCAGAAATTCACAGCCGTATTCACGCAAAATAAAATACTCTTGCAGTGATTGCCTCTTGCTTTGAAATAAAAAGTGGCTAAATGCTCATGTGCTTTCCTACTAAAATTTGACTGCTTTTCAACCAACATTCTCAATTCTTGTTTGAAATCGCATGCTGTATAAACCCATCTTTATCAAACAACTTTCAGCAGAGATCAAGAATGAACAATATAGAGCTCTGCCTCGCGACATTGTCATTTGTCAAACAGTTGGCAAACCATGTCCAATCAGTGAATTTTTAGCTTTGCGGAATGGTATATTGTTTAAAATCAAATGGACATTAAAAATGTCTTGATATCATTGTTCGGAAAATCCTAAAATATCAAAGCACTCACAGCTCTTTTAATCAATTTTGGACACAGCGTCCATTATATGATGCACACAAGCTAGTTTTAAATTGTAATTGTTCTCATTTGGCATAATCATAAATCACTAAATTTATTTGTTGTAATCTAGATCTCAAGTTTGACTGTTTTAATACTTCAAATCTGTCTTTATTGTAGCCTGAAATATCATATATTCACGCTCTAGTTCAAGAGAACAGATTCCACAATTCAGGAATACAACTATACATGCCAGTCAACAGGAAATTAGTAAACTAGAGAGTTTACAGGACAATGTTGTCCAGCAAACTGACATTCCATGAGATTGGCTGTTGGTTGTATATTTTGGCCCATTTGACGCCCCACTTTCGTGAATGCAACAGTAGTGAGAGTTTGAAGTCTACTGGTAAAGATACGTCTCAAACACATTACCAAGCGCTGGTATAATTACCCTAGCAAAACAGCATCTATACACAAGCTTATAACAATCTACTCTTGCCATTGTAAATATAACTAGACAATGGCTTTTAGCATTGCCCCTTCTAAGCTATATATCAAGCTTCTAAATTCACTCGGATCAAAGAGCTTAATGCATTACATCATTAGTCTCATGTCAAGCTCTGCTTTCCATAATACAAACAAAACGTAATTCAATATGATGGCGCGTTGGCACACGATTCTGAACTGCTGACGAAAGGGTTTGAGCATTTATAAGGATGCCCATATCTTAGCAGCAAGGGTGAAAGGCAGTCACCTTGTGTAAAATAACAAATGCCTAATAGATTGTTACCGGCTAAATGGGGCAATCACGGGGCTGATTTTCAATACAGGCACTTTAGCACAACTCGAGAGATCACCAATAAGGGTAAACACTGATATAGGCCAAAGTGACATGTTTGGATTGGCGGACAAGTCACATGTTGGTTGCCCAGTAATACAATACTATTTTAGGGTCGAGTTGGATTACAAGTAGCCGTTTATTGACTCGAGTTTGTAAATTGTTATCGCTTCAACAATAGGATGTTGAGCCATTCAAAAGCCACTAGCTATTCCCGCGTTTAATAATTTGTTACAGGACTAATTTGCCAATTTACGCCCCAATTTCCGTGTAAACATTTCTTATTTAGTGCAAGTGCTTTAAAAGGCATTGGGGCTCGAGTGCTACTATCTTGATCCGTAAAACATTTCAATATTGCCTTGAAATATTCACATATTCCTGATTTATCTAGCTGCCACTTGTCCAGTATTCTTTATCCGACTCAGTGATCTCTACATCAGTCAGTTATTTGCTCTAATTCACTGTTGATATCCAATTGTGAGTAAAACTATAAATTTCGAACCTGCGTATATTTTCTCGAGCAATGTCGGTCCAGGACAGCCCTATCAGCATTGTAGCCAGTTTGGGTCCATGGGGACCTATGGAGTATGGCAGCCTAATATATGGCCTCATTCTAATTGGAGCAGCAATCATTAGATTCGGTATACTTTGCACAAAGGGATTCTCTGCTACACCACAAAAAGTATGGGGCACAACTTTGGTTTTGATCTTGGCGCTCATCATACTTGACATGGTTCTTACCTTTGTACCAGGCGCACTTACTCCTATTTCGCAATGTATTGCCATTCTCTTGCTATGGGTCATTGTTTCCGGTTTCTGGTATTGGCAGGCACGCTTTTTTTACAACTTGCCACGATCAGTGCGTTATGTCAATCGAGAATTTGTCACTGTCATCACATTTGCTGTAGTGTTTATCAGCTTTGAGCACTTTATCTTGGCAGCCTCATGTTTTCCGCCACTTTTGCAATATCAACCACAGTTGATGATTATGAGCATGATATGGCTTGGCATCATTGCCATCTGCGATCTCATTCAAAGCATTCTACTGTTTAGATTTCTTGCAAAAGGATTGGATATTCCTCTCCCTCTCAAGGTGCGATACACCTTCTTTTTTATCGTTAGTGCTTGTAGCATGATTGTCGGCATGTTGATCAGTCCTGACCGCCAATATGTTACATTGTACATTGGCGATTTATGTGTTTGCGGGTTTGCGTTGTCCTCCATGTTTTCACTTGAAACTATATCCGAATGTAGCGCCTTGAGAAGACAGCCCGGATCTCATGTAAAATCCAATGCCACATCCTCTCATCAACTGTCTAGTAGTACACTTATACTGCCACCTCAAACATCCCAAAAATCACTAAAGATACCACCCAGTGCTATTCTCAACACATAATAATCTTTTACAAATATATTTGGCTTTATATATAGAAAAATAAACACGCTAGATTTGATTTAATCGATGAATTGTGGCTTTTGAACTATATCGCATTGATTTGCTCCATGTTTGCTAAACCTTGAAATAATTCTAATCTCAACAGTACGATTGTAGATTAAATGGATGTTGCCAGTCAACGGCATCAGTTTTTATCTAGTACTTTAAGCGGTTTTGATATACCCAGTCGATATTGTTTGAGCTTCAGTGCACTGATTAAACATTTGCAAACTGCACTACCAAGTATTCATCCATATATCACAGTGACATTGTAGTGATGACCTTTTACATTGTATCTTGTAACGCCATCTGTGCATTAGCTATTTTAAAGTATATCTATTGACTCGACCAAAAGCAATGGTGCTTTATTATTCAATAAAAAGTTGGTATTGAATCTTGTTTAATACGCTATATCAATATTGGTGGTATGCGTCGAGTCATTTTTCCATGGCGTCAATCATTGAAAAGCTTATTTTGTCTGCAGAGAGTGGTGAATTTTACTTTAGTTTTCTACACTTGCAGTGTTTTATGCAGACCTTACACCCACCACACAAAACCTATGGCGCTGATCGATCTAGTCGACAAGTATGGATGAGCCGCAATGATGCAGGTAATCATAACAAGGGCCAAGAGTCTGAATGTGCAAACTATAGTAGTTTTGTAAAGGGATCTGATTGCAAAAATGGGTTTGCTAGACACCATATAGTATGGTATACTTATTTTGATGTATTCATATAGACAGCGACACTGCTTCTGATGCCAACTTATCTTCAAGATCATCTCAGTATTCAGAACATAGCAATGATACGCATGTTCGAACTGAAGTAAAAAAACTCGATCGTGAGTTGCGTAGAGTAAGATCAAGCATATACTCATTATGGTTGTCTGAGAACACCATGTGAAAACCATGGCTAATACAACTATATATTACGATTTAATTGCAGATGGCTGAATCGAGCACTGGACAAACTGATTCTGCTTTAAAAGCACTAATGAATCAAACAACAGACGTTTGGTTTAGGTACACCAACCCAATAGGGCTGTATGTTTCAAATCCATGCATTTTGTCATGACATGCATTGGCTGATATCATGTCACAAACTATAGACAACATGTCCAATCGCACCAACCACCGTCACGAACTATTCAAAAAAAGATTGCCATGCATTGCCAAACTCCATTCCAATCCACCCAGCATCACTATTCAGCAACTTATTTGAATTCAATGAATCCAACCCCAACTTCAAATGCTAATCAACATCGCATCACTTGCACAGATTCAATCCTTCACGATCCAGCATTCTCTCTTGTAGGTCTTCATCCAGACATCAGCATCACTGACCAGTTGAATCTTCTTCGTGCTCAAGAAAAGTTTTTTCTTATAGAACAGTGGCGGACTGCATGGGATCAAGCACGACCACCTGTTCCTAGATGGTATATGCTGAAAAATAAACAGTTTTCGACCGAGGCTAAACGTGCGCGAGTGCTATTGACTTGTGCTGATCAACAAGAATCAGAATACCAGACACGCATGAATATTTTGTATTTGCATCGTGAGATGTGCAAAGACTTGGACTATCAAGTGTCGGCCATTGATCAATCAACCATGATTGAATCGTTCAAAACCACTCAATACACGTGATTGTAGTGTTGTTGATGTCAAATAAAAAATGAGTTCGAGTTGATTACTTTCAATATTTCAAAAACAATTCAACAAGACATGGAAGTGGGTAAACGTAAAAATGCTGGTAATGGCCGAGACGGAAAAAGAACAAAGCATGACAATTACAAAAAAGTACATTCCATCCATTCGCATACGTTTTGTAGATTCTCATTTGCAGTTTAAATACTGAAGTGTTATAGATTCAACTTGGATTTCAGTGATGCTGATCATTCACTGTAATACATGTTATTATGCATGTTAATATATACAACAAAGGGAACCAGAACTTCTGACAAGTCTTTTACCGTTGAGCCTGGAATGGCTGGAGTCTTGTTTTCTTGTCATCGAGGAAAAGAAAAGCAATCCACTAGCGAAATCCGAAAACTGTTCACTCAGGTACACCTTTCTAAACTAGAGTCTTGATTTGGTCCTGACTGTATTTTGGTGGCATAATGCTTCCATAGCGATCAGTGAATACTTACATTGTAAATTTTAAATAGTATGCCGAAGATGTATATCCTGATCATGGAAAAAAGGTAATGACCGCCGAAGATGGCAACGATGAAAACAGTCAGGATCCAGAGCAAAGTATTGAAGACGCATTTCAAAAAGAGATCACAGAGCTTAAGGATCATGAAAAAACATACTTGTTCCATTGGGAAAAAACCAGTGTCGAGTGCCTTGTTTTTATGCGTGTAAGTAGTTTCAGTCAATATTGCTGAAAAAATTATTATGGTGATACATGGATCTAATAATGGCTTGTTGATTTCATTCAAGACGGCTGCACCTGTTCAACCAGAGCAGTTTGTTACACATATTCTGGACGACTTGCTTACCAAGAATTTAAAACGAACAAGGTGATGCTAAATGTAGCCCATATCTATACCCGACTTGCCAATATCTTGCATTTTATCTAAACTATCTAATACTGTTGATTCAATGTATAATAGATTCACATCGAGAATAGTACCTCTTACAGATACATGTTTTGCTAATGTGCCAGATATGACTGCGCTTGCCAAAAAAATCACTGCACCATTTTTTTCAACCGACGCATCGCAATCCGTTTCTGTAAGCCAATCCATATTCAAGACGATATCCAACGATTGAATCTGTTTACCGTTTTTGCACAAACTAATCCCGTTTTTCCAATCTCACAGTATGCGATCATTCCCAAATCGCGCAACAATGATAAAATCAAAAGAGATGATATCATCCAAGTCGTAGCAAACCTGATTCCCTCACATCACAAAGTGAATCTCGACAACCCAGATATATGCATTATCGTTGAAGTGTTTAAAAGCATTTGTGGCATGTCAGTGACAAAGGAGTATTATAGGTTAAAGCGGTTTAATATTGAGAATTTGGATGATTCTAGTACAATCGCTGGAAAGCTGGCCAAAAGTCGGCAAGATGTCGCTGCAAAGGCTGCTGTTGAAGTGGATGTCGAGAGTGAAAGTAATGCTAAAACTGATGCTGAATAAATACCATCTCTTTAGATATAGTTTGATTGTTGAAAGAACAAAACTAAACAAGACACCTGCACTCATTTTATCAAGTTTAATCTACAATTGTTTAAAAACAGGTGTATTGTATGTTCATACCAATAAAAAACAATAAGATGTGCACGACTAATGTATTATTATTGCTGTTTATCCAAGTTTTGGCTAGAATGACTGTCGCCAGCAGTCCACTCCTGATACTGCTGATCTAGAGCTTCCAGCTGGCTTTTGAGAACCTTGACCTCAATATCTAGCATTTGTCTATCCTTCAACAACTCTTTGATTTTCTTGTACGCTTGGGCACTCAGTCCATCAAACTTTTTTTTGTTGTCATCCATGGCCAGTATGATCCGATCTTTAGAAACAAGTGTGGCCGATAGTTCTTGTTGGGTTTGACCAAGTTTGTGCGTGAGCGAAACGTTTTTATCATGCATGCTGGCAACTTCGGTTTCAAGAGCCTCGATGCGTTTTGCAGTTTCGGCATCAAGACCAGAATGTGTTTGCTCTGCATCTGTTTGAGTTTGAATCTCGCGAAGTTGAGTGCTACGGGTTTGAATCTGAACATGACGAACTCGACGTTTTCGCTTGCTATCTGTAGCAGATGATGTGCGAGGAACAGGGGAGATTATGGATGCATCTGCTGTGGTAGTGGATATCATTACATCCCCTGCTTCTGATATGGACGCGCCACGTTGGGGAGATTTTACACTAACTGTTCGCTGAGGCAGCCCAGATATCATTTCGCTAGAATGTGAGCGATGCAAAGCCATAGAATTGCCTTGAACATTTAAAGTGTTAGTGGATATAGATTGAAGATGTGGGGGTTCAGCATTGTTGCTGGAAGATGCAGTCTCGGAGAAAGGCTGGTGCAATTCTGGTGATGTTCGCGATGAAACAAAAGCGGAGTGCATTTTGATCGAGTTGGAATTATGATCCGTTCCACTGGCCTTGGAATTTTGCAAAGGACTAGGGATCGCATCATCGATGGGGAGCGGGGAATAATCGCTAAACAGAGGTGATGACGAAAATGCAGGCAATGTGATGGGGATTGTATTGTATACAGGATTAAGAGGATTATTTTTCGCAGAATTGTCCCCTCCACCAAGAATAAATAGCATTGGATGCGTTTCATCAGCCGTAGTGGCAGTATCCGTTTGATCCATTTCAGGGGATGAATCACTTTCTGCATCGTCGTATTGAATCTCATTAGCAACGTCATCAAAACTGACCACCAGATTGGGACGACGAGGCACTTTTGAAACAATCGCATGTAAATCAATTCTGAGGGTTTCAAAAGTAGAGCTGGCATTGAATTCTGTATTGTCCATCAATTCCTGATCCATCCAATCAAATTCGTCTTCCATATCAATGGACCCATTGTAGTCCCGCGAAGCTTCTATTGTGCTTGTATTTATTGTAGGCTGAGCATCTTCATAGTCATACACAGCTCTATTGGCATTGGTACTGTTGGGACCGTACATATCAGACCCAAGCATTTCTCCAGCTGGTTGTTCCCAATGAGTGGCCATGGGTTCGAATGATGGCTTGCTATTGTTTTCAACATAATTGTTTACACTATAGTGCTGAGCTGAGTTGGGACCAAGAGATAATGTTTGCAACTTGGACTCGGCATCAGACAGTTCTGTAGATGGAGCGAGTTGACCATTGCGAAAATCAGATTGAGAGTGTTTCTGATTTAGTTTGTGATCATTCGAATGGAGTTCAGTATATGATGTTTTTTGTTGTAATGACTGCGCATGTAAAGATTCCGACGACAAACTTTGATGTTGAACATACTGCTGGTGTTGGAGTGAGTCTGGAGATGGCATCACGACTGAGCGAGTATTTGGTCCAATGGCGGATGAATCTTTTTGATAGTACGGGTCGGCATGATTTGGATTTGAAAGTAAATTTCCAGCTGCATCCTTCAAGGGAAATTGTGAAGGATGAAAAGCAGCAGAGTCAGGGTTTACAGATGCAGATTGCAGTAGATCTTGCGATGCATTCGAGTGCGATCTAGCCAATGGAGAAACTGAATCAGTTGACGCGTCCTGTCCTTGTAGTTGATGAATGGGTACAAGAGATGGAACTCCAACCGCTGCCATCTTTGCCCGTTCATATGCAGAATAATCACCAGCTGGCCCTACTCGTGCTGCATTACCTCCGGATATGCCAACACCTGCTGGTAAATGCGATACATTTGAAGCAGCGGGAGGAACATGGGACTGTCTAGACTGCCCTACACGCTGCCCGGGGAGACTCTGCATGCGGGGAAAGGCTACTGTACTTGACAACTGTCTTTGAAGAGCAGTTCCATTTGACATACCACCTTGCAAAGGATTCTTTGAAGAATAAGATGCATTAAGTGGTGGCTGCTGTCCAGCATAGCTGTATTCATCCTGCGAAAAAGGTACCGCAGTATCACTTGCAGATGATGTTTCATGTCTCGCTTCTTGTGGAATAAAGAGTGCTGCAGCACTTCCGCCAGAAGAATTGTTTCTAGGCTGATACACTGGTGGGTAGGATGAATAAGGCACTTGCTGTATTGGAGCTGGCGGCTGAGGTTGTGGTCGAGTAATGACTACAGGTGGCTTTTCACTCTTGTCAGTATCTGCTTCCTGCTGCATACTCTTCTTTCTACCCCACCCAAAAAACGATCCCGCACCAGTCTGTCGTTTCGCCTTTTTCTTTGTCGATGAAGAGTCCATGCGTAGATTGGCCTGTGAACTGGATGGAGGGGATGGAGGTCCAGTATTTCGTAAAAAGTCTGCAAGGATTTGAGTGTCACTAGGACCCTTGGGCCGAGCTGGACGGTCATTCATAATATCATCCAGCGATCCACGGCCAATAGGTAGCATGGGCATGAAAGAGGTTGGAGGAGGACTATTGACAGTAGGAATAGCTACTGGAGTGTTGTACGAATCCCGATTACGACGAGCAGCGGGCATGACCTGAGTAGGTTGAGGATAGCAATAAAGTTGCTGCTGGGAATAGTAATTATCATCAAAATCAAATTCTCCATTGGAAGGCATCAGTAGATTAGAAGGCTTCTGTACCAATACTTTTGTCGAGTTGGGGGGGTGTGAACCACCATGAGTAGACGAGGGGTGCTGGTAGGAAGAATTGCTGTTGCCATTGTACTGCATTGGATGAGGTGGTTGCAATGGCTTGTATGATGAGGGCGAATAAGTACTGCTCTGGTACTGTGAATTCATGTATGTACTGATACTGTCAACAAATGCAGTGATCTCAGTTCAAGAGTTGGATGCGGTCTGCAAGTATACCGAATACAAGACTTGTTGGTTCTAAGGCTTGATCCTTGATACGTCAAATAGACTCAACAAACGTTGATGGAGCAAAAGAAAGAATCAGAAATCCAGCAATATAACTGTTTCAGTCCTTGTTGATGAGTTGATTGCTTTTCTGGTCAAGTTGAAGTTCTGTGGCCAGTATGGGTGGCGATGGCGTATACGACAGATTGTATCAGATATGGTCAGGATTAGTTTCAAACGACTTTTGGTTGCTAATCGGTGTAAACTGCAGGCCAGAGCCACTTGTTTTGAAATTTTACGCTAGCGACAATGCGATCGCTACTCGACCTGTATTGAGTAGAATAAATATTAGTCAGTACTTGAGTGTACTTGTGGGATCACGCTCTATAGAAAGTGTTGGTTACAACTAATGAATTTGATTCACAGCCAGTTGTAACAAATGAATTCACAAGTACAAGACAATTCAATCAAGTGAATAGACTGTATATTCAAGTATTTAGACTGAACACTCTTGTGATTGTTGTTGGGGCATAGAAATGGCAGTATGGATGATGCAGGTTTGATATTAAGTTGTGCAAATAAACGTGGCGTGTGATGATTTCAGTTGATTGAATATGCTGAACTTGCAGGTATCAGCAAATGGATGCAATCTCTGATGGACAGTTTCACAATAGGCTTTGCAATAAAGTATAATTAATGCCTTTCGGCTTCAGTCTTTTGTACCTACACTGGTCGACCTAAAAATGTGTTATAATAACAATAATGAAAGAAAAACAAGTCCAAGTATTCTTTTCACCGCCGTATTCACGTAAAATGAATTACTAAATAGGGGTGCCAAAGTACTAAATGGCCAATCTCTGAAATGATTGGTGTTAATTTACTGGGCAATACTGTTTTCTAAACCCCTTGGCAGAGTTCCTTAATCTTTCTCATCTGTGCTCATTTTTGTATAACTGAATAAGTATTTACATCAGTTTCAATGCACCCCACACTTGTTCAATCTCCAATTTTTGTATAAAACATTGGGCAATCAGCATAGAAACAGCAATTACATTCCCGGGATTGCTCTTTTGAAGTAGAACGCAAGCATGAGCTTTCAAGATACATAGCGAGCTATACAGAGTTGTATCAGAATTAAAGTCGGCTTTTATTAAAAAAACGCAATGAATGCTTGACGATTGCCTATTTCAAAACAAGAGAAACTGCAAGATAGATACAGGTGTTCCATCCTACATGAATATAGGTGTGAATCAAATCAAGGGTATCACGTTTGATATCAATATAAACGGGTATCTTGATTCAATATCACTATCTTGACAATCAGCAATTTACAACAAAAGACAAAAAAAATGGAGATGTTTATATTTCAAGTCGGGTTTGTTTAATAGACACTCTGATGGCATCAAACAGCTTTTTAGAAACTTGATTCTTGAAAACCGCACGATTGCTGCCATGGTGCAGTTTTAAAGTGTTGCCATTCAAACCAACAATGTTTGCAAAACACCAAATCGCACTTTCATGTGAAGAGTTACGCAAGCACCTCCAAACACATGATGTCACTGATGATAATTATGATTTCTTATTTTACTTTTATCCCATTGTCGTTGAGGGTCAATACTTTGAATACTCAGTTGGTTCCTTGGTAAATGCTGCACTTCTATCGACCTGTGCAATCTGCATTGCATGCCATAAAACGCAGAGCAGTTTGTATTCCGCCAATACGCTCGTTCTCTGAAAAGTCGGCGTCTAGCATTATAGGTTAGCTAATCTATGCATTAACACAATTTTGGGTTATGACCGTCTTTACGCAATGTTCAGTGTAGATAAAAACGATTGTTTTGTGATGTAGCATCCAAATCAGAGCATCCTCTTGCAATCCTTCATCGACTTCATCCATCTTATTGTCGTTCAGGAACAGTCCATCGCAAGTGGATGGATGTGTTTCGTGAAAAGATTAGAACTACTTCCACTGTGTCTGTGGCAAATCCGACTGGTTCCGATGTCAAGCCTATTGCAAAGCGTCCCTTTGACTCCTATGTCGAAGTATTTCTTAGATTCAGCTCAGATCCTAAAGCTTTGGAAGAATATATTAGTACATACAAAACCATTCGGTGTGTAACTTGTTTATGGATATTCGCTGGGTATACTATTGCACCCTGGCTGTTTTCAAATCTGTTGATTCATTGTAAATTGCATGGCTTTGGCTCGTGCTATTGTTTTTATTTCTAGAATTGGCAAGGTTTTAGAAGATCTTGATGCTCTTGCTGCTGCAATTTCATTCCTCCATGTTGATAGCTTTGAACCCGAATCCCCAACAGTTGTCACTGCAAGTGTGGATCGTATCGATATTATCCGCAGAATTCCAACTACAATGGATGTCAAGATGAGTGGCTTTGTTACTTATGTTGGAAACTCGTCCCTTGAGGTATCAATCACAATGGAAACATGTCCAGATCAAGCCCCACCGCCTGGAACAGAAGGGTTTGGATACGATGCTGCTATGGCTCCTAAACACGCTTCGTCTGAGCGGATCTTGACTGCTAAATTCATCATGGTGGGTAATCTCTGGTTTAGAATTTGGTGTAAAGGCTTTGAATCCTTTTAATATCAACTTTATCAACTCCAATTAGGTAGCACTTGATCCCAAGACGTTCAAGCCGTGTAAAGTTCCACAACTGCTTTTGGAAACCCAACAGGATCGGCATTTGTTCATGATGGGAGCAGGTTTGTTTAACATGTCTCGGTATCTCAAGTCATTGACAACAGATATCTTGTAAATTTAGCTTTTAATTTAGGACAACTACTAAAGCTTTAACCTTTGGGTTTTATCCTAATATATAGAGCACAAATTATCCAAAAAGAAAGAAGATGATATTGCATTAAATAAAGTACCACCAAAAGTTGACGAAATGCTCTTGATCCACGACTTGCATCGCGAGCATCTCAAATACTCTGGACCTGATGCAACAGCTACTCTTCCAGAAAATATTGTATGGATGAAGGATGCTGTTCAGGAGTCGCTTACCGTGTGCATGCCCCAAGATAGAAACTTGCATCAGAAAATTTTCGGTACATTGTAATACTTGGGTCATTTATTTGAAATGGTAAATTATAAGCAACTCTGACCGTTTTTATTATTTATGCTATACTAATGTGTAATAGGTGGATACTTGATGAGACTCGCATTTGAACTTGCATATGCCAATTCTCTAATATTTGTCAAGTCTCCCATTCAATTCGTTGCACTCGATAATATCATCTTTCGTCTACCAGTCAATATTGGCTCTCTGCTCTCTCTACGATCACAAGTTGTTTATTCTTCTGGCGCACCATCAAAAAACTTTCAAGTGATGGTCATTGCAGATGTGCTTGATCCACTCTATCGCAATGGTCGACTCAACTCCAACACGTTTCATTTCACGTTTTCTGCGCCATACTGCGAGAATGTACCGAGAGTGATTCCACAAACGTACGAGGAGAGTATGAAGTATATTGAAGGAAGGCGTCACAAGCAGCAATGGGAAGATCATCAACAAAAGTTTTAATCATTGTATATGCGTTGGTTTTGTGACTTGTTGATATTGATTAAAGTATACGTGCTTTCTATCTGATGCCTAGAACCATTTCAAGTTTGGTTTGCATTCAACGGCTTCTTTTGGTTTAAAGCTAGACTTTTAAATAAAGTCTTTATTTCCACATCCAGTAGCTGTATGAAATATCGATACCTGCTCATCGACTATAGATTGATACAACAGTTTTGTGTCAAGATATTAAAAAGATTTATTGATGAAATCTCCACACTCCATCCCAATCCTCTGCCACTTCGTATTTTCCATCAATGAATCCCTTGCATCTCTCAATAAAGGTTCGTGGTGGCCGGTCGTCAGACAATGCAATTGCCTTTTTAAAATGCATTGCAGCAGCCTGCCAATTTTTTGCACGAAACTCTGATAATCCCAACTCGAAGCAAATCAGTGTCTATTTTTTGAAAACCCAGATTAGTAAATGTGCATTTAATCCACCAACCATAATAGTATTGGCCAAATCAAATTGGGGACTAACAAAACACCTACCGTCATTACATCATGTTGCAAATCATGATCAGAGCTAGCCATGATCTCGTAAAGCGTGATGGGACTGTTGATACCTTGTAATACAGTCGCGTCGATTTCTCGTGAGTGAAATTGATCCATCACTTCTTGGCGGGTAGATTCAGATGTCATGATCATCACACCATACAACTTTCCAATTTCCTGTAGCCTGTGTGCCACTTGCACTGGCTCTATACATTGCAATAGCAGATTTGAGTCAATTACATTGCAATCCTATATAGCACGACATGTCATGTACAAGTTTACCTCCTACAATAGTATATGATTGTGCACGGGGTGGCCCAATGATTGCCGACAAGACGTTGCCAGTAGCAAGACCTATTCCAACCCGAATTCCTGGAAGGTTACCTGCTTCATGCTGTTTACTCAGTTCTTCAACAGCTTGCCGTAATTTCAAAGCTGCCATGGCTGCATTTCGCGCATCTTCTGCATGGGTATAAGGTAGCCCAAATACAGCTGTAGCAGTGTCACCCGAAACAGATGTAATCATTCCACCTTCGTTTTGAACAACATTGGCTACTGTTTCAAAAAAGTTGTTGAGGTAGTTGACCGTGTTTGATGGTTCAAGCCCACGTGTGGCAGCATTAAATCCCCTAATATTTGCTACCATTACAGTTACTTTCTGCATCTTGCCATTTAATTTTGGTGAGTCACTCATAAGCTTATGCATGGTAGCAGGCTTCATTTGTCTTCCAAGTGATTCCTCTAGACTGCTTTCAGCCGTGATTTCATCCAAAATGAGCATGATGCCTGTGACAGTTTGCAACTCTATGGTGTCGGCCTTGGGTTGCTTTTTTTTCAAATGCGGGGTCGAAAGACGTTTTGTAGATGTAATGTGATGAAACTCCATTCGCTGGTCCACTTTGCGATCATATGCTATATGCTGAATCAAATAGTTTACATGGCGTATGGATTGATTAGGAAGCTGCAACGCATAGTTGCGTCCTGAAATTGGACATAACGTGGCTTTCACTCGAATAATATCGTCAACAAGCTGAGAGTTGTCATGCCCTAACCAGTGCTCAAATGATGTTAAATGCATTGTGTGCAGTATTTCATCCAAAAGAAATTTGTCTGGGTTGTTGATAAATACCTGCATATAATCAATATGTGTATCAAATGTGAGTTGAATTATTTTGAATGTTATATGTAATAATTGATGAACGTACCAGACGACCATCATCATTCAGGCCTAGAATTACACTATTTAGGCTTTGAATCACTCCAGATATGTAGGTGCGTGATTGTACTGTTTTGTTCAAGCTACTGTACAGATTCTTAAATGCACGTTGCTTTTCAATCGTCGATGCAGCTTATCAAATTGTAAATACAGTTGGTACTTTATCAGTTGATTTCCTACAACATACCATCAATATGAATTTGCTGTAATATAATTACCTAGAGATGAAAAAGAAGATAATTGAGTTTCGTCTTCTTTGGTAAAGTGACTTTGTTCAGGTAGTTTGTTGATGACTTGTGTTACGCCAATAATATCTTGGTTCTGATCAAACATGGGAATACACAGGATATTGCGTGTGCGAAAACCAGTTCTCATATCGATTTCTCTATTAAATCGACTATCCGCATAGGCTATGACAAGAAAACATGGTCAAGTCGATGGTTTCAAACGTGTCTTTAATTAAATGGATACACTTACCGTCAGAGATATTGAGAGTTTCTCCAGTCATGGACACGTGTCCAGCAATACCTTTGTTCATTGGGATACGAATTTCCGCCGATCCTTGGGCTACGGTTGACCATAGCTCTTCTTTCTCTCTATCAAGCATAAACAATGCGCATCGTTCCGCAGTCACAAGCTCTCTAGCAGTTTGCATAATCACTGGCAGCAAATCTAAAAACGCGCACAATACAACACTAAATCAACTCGAAAACAATAGCGATTGCACTCATAAATATAGCCGACTCTGTTTACCTCCCGTATCAGCCTTTTCACCCGTCATCATAGATGTAGTATTTAAAAATACTTTGATATCGTCAGTCTTTTTAATTGCATTTTGCTTGATGCTGGCGTGATTAAACAACAATGTGCCTAGACTAGCCAACGCCTTGATCATAAACTCATCCTCTGCATTAAAATATGGGTTTCCAGATTTTTTGTTGATGACTTCAATTAGTCCAGCAACTTTCATACCGTCACCAAACACTGGCGCAGAAAGAATGCAGTCTGCATCGACTTGGTGATACATTTCAGCTATAATGTCCGTATAATACTCGGAAGTTTTGATGTTGTATATATTAACGCTTTCTCCTTTGAAAACAATTGATCCTGCAAATACCTCATTGACTGTAACATTTTCCCTTGGCTTGACCCAATTGGAGTTTTGAGCAATAAGCTTTCCATTTGCTGCACCTGTGAAATACAGACATGCGTGTTTGGCTTCTGTAGCGTCCATTACACAACGAAGAAGCATGTCCATGGCTTTTTCCATTTCAATTTCCAACGAAATCTCATACATGGTTTGAAGAATTCCCTGAAGTTTTTTGCATCGACTTGAAAGAAACGACATGAGAAACTTTGTTCCTTCCGGACCAGCTTTAAACAGTTGTTTTGAAATCAAATCAGCATCTATATTTGAATTGAGTAATTTGATGTAAATGTTGGCGTTCATGTATGTGTTTGGATCTGTTGTAGCATATGCCAAACGCTGTGAATCATCATGGTGTAAATCACTATTTTAATGGTTGAAATATACGTTATAATTGGATTGTGTTATTCAACTACAGGTGTGCATCATGATGTGGTGAGTAAAAGAATACACTTGCCTTGGTATTTCCCGATGTTTATCCAACTTGATTTTTGAAAAACTTGGGTGTTTTGTCATGGTATGTTTTGCATGCATATCATGGATAAACTCTTTGGATTGCTATAGGTTCAAACCCAAATTAAAAAAATCAGATCCGAGTCTTATACGCTACACGTCTAAATCATGCCCACCTCTAAATAAACTTTACTTGACCCAGTTTCTGCAGTACGAAGATTTAGACAGGTGGAAATGACTTCAACCTGTTTGGTGGAGCATCGTGCCATTAATCCTTTGAGAAGTTGGTTGCGTTGCGCGTCTGTCATGTTGGAAAACATGGACCAGGTATGTTGAAAAAAACCATGAGGGGTATCGTGTGAAGTAAAGGCAGTAGACCCCGTATCTGCCGATGCTGCAGCAGCATTGCTAGGCAAAGATGCAGTCACAGAGTGTGCAAATTGCAGATGAAGCGGACCTGTGCCTAGTTTGGGAAGGGTTGGCGTTGTAAGAGATTTGAGTTTTGAGGGTAGCGGTTGGGTTGTTTGGCGTGAGAAGGCTATATCTGATGAAGGGTCTGCTTTAAATGGGAAAACAGACAGGTTACGGTTGGATTTATGAATGCCATCAAAGAATTCCAAAGTGGTTCCGCTTGCTACTGTGTAGTCTGATTTTCGCGAGTGCATTAACAGGCTTTAGTGGTTTAATTGTGTAGGCTATAGTTTAAATTGGACAAGTTTCGCGACTTGAACTTGTTCAATGCAACAAGCCAACTCAACTTGCAGTATGCCTTTATCTTGGTCACATCAATTCATATATTCATACCATTCACTAAAGTATAACAATAACACTGAGGTGCCAAGGCCATTTCATTGAAAAAATAGAATCTGATTTCTGCAAAAGCGCTCATACTGTGCCCAAACCAATCAACGTCGGTTGACCAGTCCAATGTCAAAACATCTCTAAAAGATTAAAAACGCCAGGCAATAGAGCGCTTATGCCTCGCTTTCAACCACGGCGGCAACACCCATACCAATACCGACACACATCGAAATAACACCAAGCGATTTCTTTTGGCGACGAAGTTCAGGAAGAAGTGTAGCAATCTGGCGAGCACCAGTAGCACCCATCTACAACAACACGTATAAAAATTAGGTTGACAGTAGTTTAAATCAATGCCAATTTGACAAACTGCGGATAGTAAACTTACAGGATGGCCAAAAGCAATGGCACCACCTTTGGGGTTAACCTTGTTGATATCAATGCCAAGTTTCTTGACAGAGTATACTGCTTGGGATGCAAAAGCCTCGTTGATTTCGTAGATATCAATATCTCCTGTTTTTAAACCAACTTGGGTCAAGACAGCGGGAATGGCAAATGCAGGCCCAATGCCCATGATCCTGGGGGGAACACCGACAGCAGAAAACCCGAGCCATCTGGCAATTGGTTTGAGACCGAGCTTTTCGGCGACACTGCGACGCATCATCAACACTATCAGACATGCCAAGTTAATATCAAGATGCAAAACAGGATAAACATTCAAAACCAAAATGATTGGTTGCTCACCAGCAGCAGCACCGTCTGTCACCTGCGAAGCATTACCAGCAGTAGTAGTGCCGTTTTTGTTGAAGACAGGACGCAATTTTGCAAGACCTTCTGCCGTAGTAGCACGGATACCATCATCACTATCGACGACAGTTCCGTCTGCAAGTTTGACAGGAACAATCTCTTCTTTAAACAAACCCTCCTTCTGAGCTGCTAAAGCCAAACTATGAGAGCGAAAAGCAAACGTATCCTGCTCGGCGCGAGTTACACCAAATTCGGCAGCAACATTTTCAGAGGTAACACCCATGGGAGTCAAGACATCTGCGGCAGGACCATAGTTGAGAATTTCTTCGTTAAGGTTAGATGGCATAGCTCCAGGACCATAGTACAGAGTCATGCTTTCAACACCAGCACCTAAACATGGTACACATGTGCAAAGGGTTAGCATACTTGAAATAAAGATGGATTACGAATTAAAAGACGACAGTTTATTTTACCAATGCCGACATCAATGTAGCCAGCCTTGATTGCTCCAGCAATGTTTGCACACGTAGCAAGACCGCTGGAACACTGTCGATTTACAGCACATACTGCGGTGGATTCAGGAAAGCTATTACAACAATTCAATCCAAGTTTAGCTAAACGATCGCGCAGGATCATATCAACAAGAGCATTCACAAGTCAACCAAAACTCTACCCAGCATATAAAGCAGCCATACGAGACGTGGTCACACCAGCACCAGGCATTAGTACATTTCCAACCTGAATATCTTGAACTAGTTTGGGATCAATGCCAGTTTTTTGAATTGTAGCCTATAAATGGTAATTCAATAAGTAATATTAGCAAACTCAACGAGCTTTAGATTACGTGAAGCCATTGATGGCTTGGAATGCAATCAAATCTTGATCACATTATAAGATGCAGATTCATCAGTGTATGATCTGGTAGAGAACCCACCTTGAGAACAGCAGCAAGTAGGAACTCGGGTTGAGTTTCACGAAATCCACCCTTGCCGCCCTTGGTCAATGCAGTTCGCAAGGCACTAGAGTTACCAATGCATAGTTTATCGATAGAATTGATAGTGTTGAGTACAATAGATTAAATACACTCCAACAAAACAAGCTGATCCAAGTTGATAGTACCTGATAATCACTACATCGTCGGGACTCTTTGGAGCATGAGCTATTCCATTGTAGTATAAAAGGTTGCATCAGAGGAATGAATAGATAATGGAATTAAAATTCACAAGTATATACGATGATAAAGAGTTGTATCAGTAATCACAAGTCTGTCATTATAATAATCACGAATTACTATAGCCAGGGATGAAAGCATACCAGAGTATTTCTGCTGACTACCAGTAGGAGCCAAATGAGCAGCAATAGAAGCAATACGATGTTGAGAGGCGGACATTTTCAATTAGTTATTTGTTGGTAAGAGTAGATTCAAGATTGAAATGATGTTTAAAAGTTGTTTGAATTCCTTTTTTATTTAGTCGTATTCGTGCAATACTTTTATGCAATGAATTTGCTTTGAATAGAAATATTCAGTATTTTCCTGTTAGAATTTGATTTTATTTTAAAACAACGCTCACTATAGAATATACATTATAATGTTCTTTACTTGATTGCATTCTAAAAACTCATGCATTCGCGATCTAGTTCAATAGAACAATCTCAAGAATGCAATTCATATTATTATGAAAATAACTCGATGAAATTTATTTAAAATAAACTGTTTTAAATTCGAGTTTATGCAGTGTTGAATCTGATTTACTGGTCTTGAAGATTGGTTTAGTTTTTGAAAATGATAATTTAAACTGTTTTAAAACTCACGTTTTTACTCAAGTTTTGATAATCTTCAACTTTGTCACGCTTTAAACATCAAGATTATGGCAGATGCACAACCACAATCGCCCTGGACAGTGGGCGGAACGCTGAAAGCCATCCCACTCGGAACATTGATTATCATAGGAGTATCCTTACTACTGTTTATTGTCAACATGCTTTCTGGTGGAGCTGTTACTGGCGCATGGTGTTTGGTTCCAACAAATTACACATACTCTCCAGTAGTTGGATGTAGGTCGCTTACTTGATCTGAGCTGCGGTCTGCTGATGCTAGTGTTTCAGTTATTATCAATGCGTGCTGTTCTTTGATGATCCAATAGCTTTATGTAATGCAATATTCTATTTTAATCTATTCAGTGCCTCGACTCTTTGGCTATGGACTTGTTCATTCAGGCATCGTTCATTTTATTGTGGCCATGGTTGCATTCCCATTAGCAACCGCTACGTTGGAATTCAGTATAGGCACTTTGCCGTTTCTTTACTTGTTCTCTATATTGGGCATGCTGACTGGATTCCTCTACTGTTTTGTCATTTGGGTGTTTTCGTTCATCTGGCCTTCGTGGGGCTTGTATCCTGTCAATGGAATGGATATCCCGTTCTTTACTTTTTTAACCATCGAAACTCTTTCCAAAAGAGGCATATTTAAATTTGCTAGGTATGCAAGCTCGTTGGTGTTGTTGATCGATGTCTTGTAAATAACTAACGTCAATGTGGTTTGTATTCAACACCTTGTAGTGAAGCAGGCGTGCAGCTTCCAGAGATCTTGTTTCCACTCCCTTTTGTCGTGGTGTTTTTGATTATTCTTCCATATTCAAGTTGGATTTCGCATCTGTGTGCCATGTCTATTGGAATTCTATGTATGTATTCTTGGCTGAATCTGTAAAAAACTTGATACTCACTTTTGATTTAGACTTTTTGGGTGTGTTTGAAACTATCATGATTACAAATGCACGCACACACACACTAGAAACATCAGGCATGTTTGCGTGGTTTGTTTCTCGACCAGGATTTGTATCGGCTCCCGGAGCAGTTGCTCTTCCATTACCAGGAGCATATCCAGATCTCATGTGAGTACTTTCCCCATTTCTGGTGTTTTACACACATGCTTTCAAATCAAACTATTCAACTGAATTTTCATCTAATTGATTTGAACATCAGGAATCCAAATGAGCCGCTTCCGTCTAATTCATCCAACCGAGGATCCATTGTTACTCGAATTCAAAACGTATTCAGTGCATCTAAATATACACCACTGGGTGAAGGGGGTGGATATCAGGACGCTTTACATCATGATGTAGATCCACTTTTATGGGATGAAGAGGATGACTTGGAGGCCAGAGGTACTGATGATCTGCCCTATGTAGCAAGCACTAGTGTTCAAGCCGCATTACAGCAACCCCAAGCAGCTTCACCTATAGCCACTAATGCAAAAATTCCGGGTGCATTTTAAACTATACTTTTATTGAAATGCAAAGATGAACAAAAATTATTTTATTCATATATACAATATCTTGAGATGAATCCTAATATCAATACTATCTCATTGATCTACCGAATGGACATGAATGTAAACATACTGCGTCAATTGGTTTTGATTTCAATGATGCTAGGTGGGTACTCAACCCTGACATGTATCAAACAGTCTGGTTGCGTTTTACAGGTTCAACTCGTCAAAATAGCTACATCTGTTATGGGTCCATTTCAATCAGTTTATTTTAGAGTAAAACAATACATTTTGACAGCAACAAAAAAGTCAATGCAACGTGTACTCCTCAAGACAAACTATGCCAAGTAATCGCTATGAATGTCTGACAAGTTTTTGAACTCGTTCCAGAGCTTGACAACATTTGGATCCAGATCAGGAGTAAAGATCAATACATCTACAGTGTTTTTGATTTGCTCAACATCTTCCTTGAACTGGAGTCGCAGTCAATCACCAAAAATAGAAAAGGTTAGGTTGATTGATTTTCAAAAACAGTAGGTTTGCAGTACAACTTACTGCTCGAGAGACTTCACGGAAAAATCCAACCACCCATCTCCACCATGATGTGCTGGTCGCATCAGTACCTTCAGCAGCACAATTTCGAATCTTACTGCTTGTTAATTCAACATATTTTTGAAATACCATTACAAAGGTTTCTTTTTTCTCTCGCAACGATGCCTCCATGGCATTCTCAAGTGCTTGAATCCCATCCCCTAAAAAATAGTTGGTAAGATATGGGTAGATATCAACCATGTTTTAAAATAAACGTACCAGATATCTCCGAGAAACTTGTAGCATTGGATTTAGCATCCTCCAGTTTGCGTGAGATCTGTTCTGCCTTTAAATTGACTTTGATCAATGTGTTGCGCAAAATTCCCCACATGTAAAACCGACTATACTGCGTATCAAGAAATTCGGGTCGAAACATCCACAGAATGACAGTTTGTGGATCGATGATACGATAGTTGGTGAGCTTGTCAATAACAATTTCAGTAAATTGGGTATTATCTTTCCAAAATTCTGCTGTAACATGTAGCGTATGCGCGCGATCTTCCATTGTTTCGTTGCATTTTTGAAGGAGAGGTAGATACCTAAACGCAGGGTGCAGTCACATGTTATACACTTAAAGCATCACTCAACATACTGGTTGTAGATGTATTTACCTTTCAATGACGTTCAAAATATGACTAAAACTTTTGCTACCTTGAAGCATCACACAAGTGATAAGCATCTCTCGAGCTGCATTTTCGGAAAACCCGGTAGTCATGCCTGGTGTAATGGATTTCCCTTCCACCTCAACAGTCTGGCCAGAAGCGTATTTTTCTACCTTGACAAGAATCTGCTCAACTGTAGCAGCGTCAGCTCGCACAGAGATGCTCTTGTTGAGCAGATCGGCTAACAGGAAAAGCCCTTCATCTATCAACAAGAATCACATACCATGAGTACATCTAGGCAGCACAAGTAAACATTCATTTCAGTCCGTCTTTTAAAACAAAGTATTTACTTACCTCCGCACTTTTCAGCTGTCTCGTATTTGTAGTCGAAAGATGGTGCGCTTTGAGGAAAAATCAAACCATGTTTTTCAAAGTTTTCCGGAATCACATTTTTGATTCGATCGTAGTAAGAAAGACGCACACAATGCTCTAGAGTTTCCCGAACAAAAACAAACTGGGCAGATAGTGGGTCTTTTTGCAACACAAAATCCCTATGCATATCAGTTATGCATTAGTATGGGTCAGCAAACTCTGTTTTGGAAACATAATGACACTGCACGCGATTCAATAGATCAACACACTTACCAGGCTTGCCAGTTCCATTGAAACCCAAAGTTGCTTAGATGGTGGGCAAACAGTTCGGCAAGTCTTCTTACACCTTCTACATCCATTCCATCTGTGATTGTTTTTTCAGAATCTAGTCTCATGAACAAGGTTTTGATCACTCTTCCAAACACTATAGGCACTTTATCCAAGGCATCCTTGCATAGATCTACAATCAGCGTTTCGTAATAAACAATACGCTCTTGACTTTTTGGAAAGCGAAGCAATTCGGTAAAAAGACATTCAATGACGGATTCGATAAAAGAGTACTCGTATTTAGAAAGATAGGATTTGTTGAGATGAACATCAAGGTGGAGAAGCAGCAGTGAGCATTCTTTGTGGTTTAGTGAGAAGATGCAAATAAGGTCTGTAATGGCATCATCCAAAATAAATCTACAAATGTTATTTGTAGGCGGCAGATGAGCCCATCTGGTCTAGAACATTATATTTGAAAAATGCACCATGTAAGATTCTATGCACTATGCCAATGATGGACCTACAATCAAAACAATGTATGCAGTTACCTCGCCAATAGCAAGAGAGTCATCAAACACCCAGATCTTGGGCTGATAGTTGAACTTGATGCTAGTTAATGTAGATGGAATGGAAACAGCTGGGATATCGTGTTGAAGACCCTGACTTAGAATATCTTCAAAGTATTCATGTACTTTGTTGAGAATTGGGACCTAGAAAGTCAAAATATGCAAAACGTATAAGCATGAATCGAGTCCAGCAATACCATTTGAGCACTTGAATTTAAATGATAGTACTACCTTCCAGTTATCGGATTTTAAATTTTGGACTTGTAGCCATAAAAGATCAAGTTTCTAAAATCAAAAAGTCAATACATGACTATACAATACGGCTTAAAAGCCAGTAGTCAAGCAAAAATACTTGCATCCATCTGTATATAAGGCGAGTCTACTTTGGTCGAGTACATGGCCAGTGCGTCAAACGTTTCGACTAAACCAGTTTCTGACCTATGGAGTGCACGAGTAAGAAAGCGCGCATCTATGCCATTGAAAATCATGTTCAATTGATCAGGAGCACGATCGTTTAATCGTGCAGCAACCTATTCATATAAAAATTCCACCCATAACAAGTCGGTTCAGATTTCACGAGTTAGTTGAAACCATTGTTACCATGGAACATTTAAACCTTGTATTTTATCGACACTTACAAATGGAATGGTTGAAAGCACAACAAATAGGAATGCATCTGAACGTTCTTGGCGGACTTTTGGTTCAGTGGTCACTGAAAACAAATCGCTCAGCAGCGACACAAATTTCTCTGGAAGCAGTACGTTGGAATTGACACACTCGGCAAAATACCGAACCTATTCGTAATTATAGTTGGCAAAAATACAAATATCTGGACACATGGTATACTGACTGAATATACAAAAAATGAACTTACTATAAGCTTAACACTTCTAAAATGAACCTCCATAAAAGCAGTGTTGAGAGCAGCTGAAACAAACAGCACAATCTCCTTTGCAGTTTCAAAATTTCGAACATTTAGTAGTCCAGTAACTGTTGCGTAGATACCGATTTTATGCGGAACTCTAATCAAACTATATATCAAGATCAAGCCAAAGATATAAACAGTATAAAGGGTGATTAAACGACTGATTCAACTAGCCGAAAGATGATAGAATCTAATTAGCATTTACCAGATTCGAAAGGCTTCAAGAAATTGAGCTTTGTGATTGTAAAATTCCTTTTCGAGAATAGGAGTAGCCAGCTCCAAACTACGTTTGATATCGCCCTAGAATACAAATATGGATTGTCAGATGTCATGTATTTATCCAGAATGTATAGCAGAATAAGCGAGAAGATCAGACTAGATTCAGGAACGGCCAGGTTCCAAACATGACATTTCAAATCAATAGACAAGATCATGGACTGCATTGCAAGATATACCTTGTCACCCAGTTGATACAGAATAGACACAATGCGGTTAGTCGTCTCTTGTTCTGCAGAGTAAGTTGGGTTAGCCATGCCGTAATCTTCATCGTACTCTTGTCGACGAGAACTGCCTCGACCATTACGGTAGGAAGAATATTGCCCTAAAATCAATAATAAATTGTAATTATTACCACAAGTGTTGTATAAATGCTGATAATATAAGTGGTAATGCACCATGAACTGGTAGTGTTAATCACTTACTGCTGCTCATAATTAAGTTTCTGTGAAAAAATTCAAAACTGATTTTGTCGATTTGTAGTTGATTTTCATGCGTATTTACACTGCAGATTGACTGTATGTTCACAAACAGTTTTTCTAGTTTATAAAACAATAAAATTGTTTGAATTGACAATTTCTTTAATTTCTCAAACATTCTTGTTGAGATTAGTGCGAATGCACACTTGTATTGGATCAAGATTTGATGAATATGAGTAAACTGTGCTGTAAAATACAAACTGTTGTATTGGATTATTTATAATCTGTAAAACAGTGCTAATTATGTTCTGGTAGTGTATGAACATTGCAAGTCTAACTGTTTGAGATATTAACACGAAAATGGTTATATTGTTTCTTGAAATGCGTGCTAATCAAAAGAATTAGTTGTATTGTTGTCAAACTAGACTTGATATGCTTGCAATCTAGTTCAAGATTCCAGGAATGCAACCATACATGCTAATCAACCAATTGTTTAGTTCAAAAACGGGCTTGGTAATATTTTTCAAATATCGATTGTTCATCAACCGATTGAATGCTATCAACATCTATTGTGTCTGCTGGAAAACAGTGACAATCTGGCTTGTTTTAATACAAAAACTTCAGTATTCCACTCAGAGTTTTGCATTAAACTAAATCGTACAATTATACGAATGAACAATTCATGTTTTCAAAAAGCTGATGCCATCAAAATGGTTTCAAAACATGCCAAAATTAGCCTGAAATATAAATGTTTTTTTCTGCCTTCTCATATCTTTTGTTTCCAGTTGTAAGCAAGGTAAAGTGGCCATCAATGTCAATCCACTTCACTGGTCGTTCTATCCTCAATTCATCTGTAGTTTGGTTACTTCATGCAACATGCTGTTTGGAACTGTTTTTATAAATATTCTTCACGTTGTTGACACTGTTCACCCACTTTGAACAGGTCATTCTACACCATTCTCATATTCAATTCAATCCATAAACATGACAAGTTTCTATGACGAGATAGAAATAGAGGACATGGACTATGATGAAGACTCTGAGACGTATTTTTATCCCTGTCCTTGTGGTGATAAATTCCAAATTACCAAAGCAGACCTTGTTTCAGGCGACGAAGTAGCACATTGCCCATCTTGTTCACTCATCATTAGGTAAAGTCTAGAATGCAATGAATATAAATGAATATACTAGTTTGTTTATTCAGATGGGTACATTTGTGTTTTTCCTTGATTGTCCAATTGTAGGGTAATTTATGATCCAGATGATTTTGCCGGAGATGACGACGGAGAAACTATCGACTTGTAGCATTGCCAATCATTTATTCAATTGCAAAGAAGCATCCAACAATTCCAATCGTCTCAGTTTATCCATCACATCGATCGTATCTATCACATATCCCGTGCATATTATATTTTAGTAATCCATCATCATTCATAAATACAGATTTCTCAAAATGTATAATCCATCACAAATTTAAAAATACTGGTATCAACATCTAAAGTGATGCCAGTACATTACACCGTGGGACTTTAGTTTACTCGGATTCATTGACATACCTAAATCTAAAATTGGTTGCGGTGTATCGCCTTTCAATGCCGAGATGGCCAGAGCTGAATCGCCTGCAGATGCATTCAATTCAGGTTTATTTTGCAGTACAGGACTCCAAGCTTGGTCTGTTTGAACACTGCAGTCCAATGTCGGCATTGGCATTTCGGCCAATGACAATCGTTCCAATAATATCCGTCGATCTGTACGTAGATTATGCAGCTCAGTTTGTAACAGCTTCAACTGTCGCTGTTGTGCATGTTTATCCTTTTTCTCTGCGTCCTGGATCACTAGAGCATTCGGCAGTAAATCAACAAGTGTTATTCTTTATACTTTACACTTTTGAACAAGACAGTTGCCATGCAAACCTCGAATCATTTGCAATCTGTCGATCATGTATGCAAGTTGCTGATTCATTATATTTAAACGATCGTTGAATAGTTTGGAAAGCAAATTGATTTTTTCCGTTACAGTGTCGAATCTATTTAATTCAAAGTACAATACAAATCAGCCAATTTGACGAGATTCATGGCATAATCTATTGCCGTTTCAATTCAACTTACTCGTGCAATTTCAAGTGTGAACGTTCCAGTTGTTGAGCTGCATTTCTTTTGTGATTTTGAACTGTCTCCAATGCATGATTTAATTTTGAACATGATTGTTTTAGTTCCTAGCATTCGTATTCATGATGAGCTTTGTAATATCTATGTTTGGAATACTGTGCAACAAATGTTCAAGTTGACACCTACATTATTTTCCAGAATGGAAGCATTATAGTTTTGCTGCAACTCGAGCAATTCAGATTTCAGATTCATATTTATTCGATGCATTTCCTGTTGCCTCAATGTAGATTCTTTCAACTGTCAAGCAATAATAGATTGACGTTATTATAAAGATGATATAGCTTGGCGAATCAGTAATGGTGATTGAGTTTATTTACCTTTGACTCTGCTATATCTTTACATCGAAGGTGCTCCAGCTCAGCCCAGTTACGTTGCACCATCAATTCCCATACTTTTTTACGCCAACTGTATAGATTCAATCCCATTTGTATGTATTTCAGTTTAATAAAAACATAGTAGATCCAAGTCGACCAAAATGCTTACTTTTCTAGCAAACACGTTGATTTAGATTGACTTGACGTGGCTGAATAAACATCCTGACCAGATAAAACACGATCTTGTATGCGTTGAATACGATCATAGGCCTCGAGTTGTAGTCTGAGCATGTCCATGTTAGTTTCAGCATGTCCAATCTGTACCAATAGAATTGCAGGTTTTGATGAATAATAATACGATTTGAATGAATTGATAATGCGTTACAAAATATGTACCTTTGGAGCTGAGTTGTGTTGTACTGATTCTAGTGAGTTGGGTTTAGGTTTCAATGATTTTTGATTCTGGTCAAGCTCAATAGTATTGGATAAGCTCAATTGACCGGAAAATTCATTTTTGTTTTGTGGAGAGAGAGATCTTGACATCAATAGCCTGCGAGGAGTAGAAAATGATGAAGTGGAAATAGTTTCTGATGCAGGATTTAAAATGGGAGTTGTCAAAGATGATGATGGAGGAGGAAAGAATGTATGTTCGGACGACTTGGACATTGACTTGTTTGAATTTAAATAGTTGACGTAATATTGCTTCTAGTTCAATATCAAACTGGATTTCAATCAAGCAGAAATGTATAGAGAAAGCAGTGCTGAATGGCAGTTGAACAAATCTTGGTGTTGGATTCAAGGCAGCAAAACCTTGACATTCTGAAATTTAGTTTTTATCAACTTTCCAGAAAGATACGATCATGTTCATATCAAAGCAATTTACAAAGACGCCGAGATGCATTCAATCGTTGTTTTGCACTCCAAATATTAAAGTGTTGACTGCACTTTGTATTCAGCAATCGTCACTTCAGACACATGTTGTCTCTGCACATTCTTGCAAATTCCATCAATCCGCTACTCCCTTTGATGCTTTGCATAGTCGTCCAGGTGAATCATGTTCGATAACCCGATTTTTGATCTAGAATAACAATTTAAATATGTCCTGGACTCTAAACACCTTTGAATATAACTTGAAGGATGTCAAAGAGTTTGAAGTGGATCTGCTAGTCAGTAATGTGTAGTTTCAAGCTTTGTAATCGAGAAATTTCGCCTATAAACATGTTTAATCTCATACATCTTATTGATAGCTGCGTGCTAGTACAATCCGTGAATGCTTCAGCCATTCATCATTTGCTAGTAACAAATCATCTACTATCAATGATGATCCCACCTGCAGACTCAAAGTGCTTGTTCTTGAATGATTGCTAATTTATTCATCCAACACTCCCTATCAACCTCTTTCCTGTTCAATCTGCACATCATCTGATCTCTTGATGATATTGATTTAAACCCGCTTGTGTGTGCTTGAATTCAGCCAGTTGGATCTTGTTTGAATTTCTATCTTTACTTGGAATACTGACATCTACAATGACTCGTATTACTGATGCTTCTACAGACAGAGTCATGAGTCTCGAATCCATCAACCAAAAAGTTGTTCAGTTCGAGTATGCTGTTCGAGGTGCACAAGCCATTCGTGCTGAACAACTCCGCAAGGTACTGTACTTGAAAACCATGTGCTCTTGTTCTAATCTTTGCTGTTTGGTTGATTTCTACAGCACATTGTTTTGGATTGATTTGAATGAATTTGCTACTCTATATACTCATGCATCTACTTGCAAATACATTGGGTTGGTATAACTAGCAACTTGTCGAAGGTCCAAATGATTTGCCTTTTAAGGAGATTGTCAGCTGCAATATTGGTAATCCACAACAGCTCAAACAGCTTCCCATCACTTTTTATCGACAGGTAATCGCTTTTTGTTTGAATCAATTCAATGTTTGTCTAGTCGGTCAGTGGCGGAAAACGGTCAAGTGTTTAGGCAGATCAATCAATCTGTATTTGATAACAGACATTCCCATTTTATTTTTTTGATTCTAGTTGGTTTCACTAGTTTATCTCACACCATTACTTGGTCATTCTTGATTTTTGCACTTGACTGCACAACCATTAGGTCTCTGCTCTTTGTGAATATCCAGATCTAATGAATGCAGCCAATCTGCCCGTCACCAGCAAGATTTTTGCCAAGGATGCTATTGAAAGAGCCAAGGAACTTCTTACTGCCATGGGAGGAAGCACTGGCGCATATACTCATTCTCAAGGTAATTTTCAGAAATTCCTTTTATAACTTGATTCAAATAGAGTCTTGACCATCAAATGAACTGTATGTAGGCATTCCACTTGTTCGCCAAAGAGTTGCCGAGTTTATCGAAAAACGCGACGGATTTCCATCGGATCCGGATTCGATCTTCTTAACTGCTGGTGCCAGTCCTGGTGTTCAGATGGTTCTGCAAACACTGATTTCCAGCGACGACGTTGGAGTAAGTTTACAGATTGATATTATATTATTCAATTGCATAAGATGATTTGACTAATTGGCTGTTTTGGATCATATTTGCTTAGATTATGATTCCAATTCCTCAGTATCCACTTTATACTGCTTCCATTTCACTCTATGGTGGAAATGCAGTGCCATACTATCTTGACGAATCCAAAGACTGGGGTCTGACTGTAAGTCATTTAAGTCGATTGGTTGGACTGCTTGATAGAGTTGACTTTCCAAACATTCAATCGCTAATTTAGACCTAATTAAATGAATCATAGCTGGAGGAACTGACTCGTTCTATCAAGGATGGACGCAGTAAAAACTATCAAGTTCGTGCCTTGTGCGTCATCAACCCTGGAAACCCAACTGGACAGTGTCTTCCGATTGATAGCATGCGCCAGATCATCGAGTTTTGTCACAGAGAAAATGTTGTGTTGATGGCTGACGAGGTTTATCAGACCAACATTTACAAACCAGAAGAGCTTCCCTTCCACTCTTTTAAAAAAGTCCTCAAAAGGTATGTATGGATTGATTTGAAAGTAGATGACTTGATATGTGATCAAATCTGACTCTCAATAATTTAGCATGGGCTCCAAGTACGAATCTGTCGAACTCTTTTCATTCCATTCTGTTTCCAAAGGAACCATTGGTGAATGTGGACGTCGTGGCGGTTACTTTGAGTGCACCGGCATTGACTCTTCCGTCAAAGAGATGCTGTACAAGATTGCATCTGTTTCTCTGTGTCCTCCTGTTCAGGGTCAATTGATGGTTGAGCATATGGTGCATCCACCTAAATCAGATGGTGATAGTTATGCTTTATACAAAAAGGAAAATCTAGCCATATACGGTATGAATTGAACAGTATATATCTTGTGACATGCATTTGATGGTACTTACAGCTGGTTGCTATTTATTTTAGATTCTCTTCGCCGCCGTGCTGAAAAACTTGCAAGTGCATTCAACTCGCTCGAAGGTGTAACCTGCAATAGTGCTCAAGGTGCCATGTATCTTTTCCCTCGCATTCGACTTTCTGCCAAGGCTGTCCAAGCCGCCATGGATGCTGACCAGGCACCTGATGCATTTTATTCAATGGCATTGCTAAACACCACGGGAGTGGTAAGAAACCAGCTTTGTACTGTATTGCGTTGATATAATTAGAATTAACCATTATGACCGTGTTTTCTATTTCCAGTGTGTTGTGCCCGGATCTGGATTTGGGCAGGTTGATGGTACATACCACTTTCGATCCACTTTTCTGCCACCTGAAGAGCTCATGGATCAATTTATTGGCAACATCAAAGCTTTCCACAATGAGTTTATGAAAAAATATGCTTAATCTGCTTATTGTATGATTAAACCATTATTCTCAAAAATAGTTTAGATTCTGCTTTGATTATTTGGGTGTAAAATTCAACGGTAGTTTTGCAAGCTCAATACTTTAGCGAGCTTTTCAATTTTAGATATAATAACCAATACCCAACAAGTTTTGACTATCCTGGGTTCAAGACTATTGTAGTGCCATATAGATTCTGACACGCAACCACGAATTGTAAGGACGTGCTAAACTGCCACGGTGTTTCGTGGCTTATTCAACTCGTCAATATTGTGTTGGTAAAGTGAGGATGTCAAGCAATCTAAAAACTGCTGCAGTGTCATGCTTTGTTGGCGATGCAGCCAATTGCCGCAATATTGTTAAATTATACGCTTTATGTCAAACAAACCGCGAGATTGAATTTACACAAGCGATTTAGTATTTTGTTCTGGAGCACTTTTATCAACTTAATTTATGACTTGGTATTAACCAGTCTATTATCTGAACAATTCAATATTTGATTCCGCTCAAACTGTCAATAAAAGTCACCATTTTGCTTTATTTGGCAATGCTTTATTTTTTGTATTCATTCTAGATCCTGTCCAGTGTATATTAGTACTCAGTCGTGCGGACTATCGTATTAATCAAAACAATGGCAACGTCACACTAACGCATATTATTAGCTTTGCTTTCATTCAATAGTTTGCATCAAGGACGCTGGACATTGTTTTAAGCTACACTGAAAGCAACGAATCCAAACAAAGACCACAATTCCATTGTTGAGTCATTTCTATTTGTTTGGTTTTGGTTGAATAGGAAAAATGGATGCTTAAGTTTATAATTTTGAAAGACTGTTGCTTTGCATTATAAAGTTGCTGAATGCATTACATTTCTTATGCGACTACTTATTGATCTGGAAGGCATTGAGTATGCAAGTGTTCATTTAGGCTTGCATAACTAATCCATCACAAAATTGTTTCATATCTTTTAAACCCAATTCGTGAATATGGAGCATAATGGTACTACACTAACTGAATCTGCTCGACAGTTTCTAGCCACACCTACTAGTGCTGTAGTAAGTACTACAGCCGGAACCATCATGAGCATACTACTGATTCCCGCGATTCCTATTTTTATACACGAGCGAAGCCAGCCTATGATTAAATATAGATCATGGACAATCAACATTGTCGCTTGCATCAGTATCACAATGTGTGTTGTGTTGGATACATTTCGACATGTCGCGTATATCTCATACGAAGCATTTCCCTATGTGCAGTTAGTCGAGAATCTGTTGTGTAAGTTATGATATCAATTATATATATTACAATATTTTATTAAAAACCTGCTGTTTATGGTATCGTATTTGTGTCACCAGCCAACTCATGTTGCGAAATCGTATCCTGTGATTTGAATAGATATTATAACAGCATGCTGTTTTTTGCCGATTTATCTCAGACACTATTTTCTACTACGCCTTCCTATCTTGCAGCAAAATTTACTTAGCCATAAGACTATGCTAGATCCAATCAAGTACAGAGAGCTATCCAAGGCATTGGTTAAAACAAAGTTTTTGTCAAGCGAAAAAGGAGCATGGATGTTCTACTTGGTCAATGTCGTTCCGTGTCTTGCAATGACATTTTATTTTTTTACAATCAGTGATAAGGATATGGAAATATTGAATATGCCAACACCCATCTCATTATATATTGGAATTATGCTTTTCATACAAATAGTTCTTTCGGCAGGTACGTGCATGATTCCATATTTATTTCCAGTCAAATGTACACATGTATTGATTTAAACTTGAAATGCCAGGTTTTATTTTTTGGTATGGACCATGGTCGCCCAAAGACAATTTTCAAATCATGATTCAGTTTTACTTTATTACTGGGACAACACTTGCAAACGTGTTGGTCGGTTTGATCAAGCTATTATTTCCCAATCCTTCCGTTGCCAAAATATGTTTGAATCTACAGACTGTTTGTGCCTGTCTGGCAGTGTGTATCAATATTGTGATGCCACTTCAATTTATAGTAAACAAGCGTAATCACATGATTAAGCTATACCATTCCTCTGATCAACTCTCCATCAGAAGCAAGTCCAGTTTACTTCTTACACCCAGCGAAAAAATAAGCAGTATCAATTCTCAGAAAATAAGCCAGTGTCTGACTGATGGCAGAGATTTAACGTTAGTTAACATAGGAAAGTCTACACCGACCCCACACATCCATTTCAAATCCAATTTGCAGAAAATTTTAGCTGATCCGGCAGTTTATACTGCATTTTGTACGTTTCTTTCTCGCGAGTTTTCCTTGGAAAGTCTGCTTTTCATCGAGGCAGTCAAGAATTTCAAGATACAGGTCAAGGACACATTGAATATCGAAATGGTTGAAATGTTTTCTAACCAGATCCAAGACAACTTTATTCAACCTGACTCGGTCAACGAGGTCAATTTGCCTAAAAAGATTATAAACCAAATCAATTCTACACTACAAGATATTTTGAAAGGAGAAATTTCAATTGAAAGAGCTGTTACTATATACGATCATGCTGCCGATCATATCGATCAAATGCTGACTGTCAATCATTTACGGAAATTCCAGGCGAGTGATCTGTATCGCGGCACAACTGTATCCACCTAAACTTTGAAAAGCGTTGATACATTACAGCAACGGCTAAAGATTAGCCAGTTTTTTTTTATAAATATATCATTGTCAACATTGATTCGTATTGGATTGTGGTGTGATTATGGGAACATGTGTGAACATGTGTGAGCTTTACCAATACGTATGTGTGATTTTGCAACATTGAGATGCAGACAATAGTATTCAACAAGTATGATCAAGAGTGGATACTTTAAACATAGTTTTGATTGAAACTAATGACTCTAGTTATTCCGCTAGCCTTTCGATCTCCCTGTCACCGTGTATTCATGTAAGTGGAGCACTAAATAAGAGTATAATAAACAGCCAGGTTTGATATGATTGGTGCTAGTTTACTGAATAGCATTGCTTTTTGTACTTTTTGACAGAGTTGGCTGATCCCTGTGTTCACATTTGTTCAGTACATTCACGCCTGTTCAATCTCCAAATCAAATATTGGGTAATCGGCATGGAAATAACAGTCGTATTTTAAAAATATATGATTTGTTTTTTGAACTAGGACGCGGATGTAAGATTAGGATACAACAAAAATAAGCTTGTACAGAATTTTATTGAGTAGTCAAGTTCAATATCTGAATTGTAGTGAATGAGTCTGGTGATTTTACAGTGCATGGCAGTAGTATAGATAGGCACCCGATGATACCAGCTTTTTTAACCGGTACTTGCAGTCAAATAAGATCCAAAGTTGTCAAAACATAAAGTATTCAAAGAAATGGATTCAAGTCAAACACTTTAAGATTGAGCAGTGTAAAAGTTGAAAGGTTGAGTTGTTGGGAGCGTTTTGTCAGACCCATGTTTGATTCTTTCAGTGGATACGATCAATATTTCAACGAAACTGCTAAAATATTCAAAACTTGATGACTACCAAAATAGAAAAGTCTGGCAATTAGAATTAATCAGAATGTAATCGCCTCATATCATTAGTGTCTTTCAATTTGACACACTCGGTATGAGCAGCTTGAATTTTACTAGAATATCACTTATGGGAATTCTTACTGACTAATTGTTGTGCGTCAAAAAGTTTTTTTTCCCTTTTTTCTTCAATTATCCAAAATGAGCGAAAGCTACAAACGACTCGACGCTGTGCAGCAGGAGATTGAAGACTTGTTGAAGAAGGAAACAGAACTCAAGAAGAAGGAGAAAAAGGGCCAACTCACTGACGAAGATGAAGTTGACTTGGAAGGAGTCAATAAACTATTCGACGATTTAAAGAAAGCTAGAAAATATTGGAGAGAACAGGTCGATAAGGAAAACCAGCCGGAAGAAGAATCAAAGTTGTTTGGAGAAGCTGATCTTAAATGGATTGCAAGCGTTACTGGAATTGACTGCAAGTATCGCCTATGGACTTCTTTCACTTCCGAACTGGATGAAGCTGTTGTTCCTTCTCCTGGATTTCAGCAGGCATATGAGAATGTGTCAAAAACTTTCCATATGCGAACAGGAGCAGGACGTCGTATTTTCCTCAACTTATTTCTCAGTGACATTGTCCTTTTACCAGAATTCAAGAATACGTTGCTTATTTTCCCTGGAATTGAAATGTCTGTTGAATCAAAAGGTCCCAAGAAACGCAGACTCAATGGGAAAACAGACTACACTGTGGGATTTGGCAAAGACGTAGACATTTTTGATAATACTCCTCCTCGTGAATTGCATCTGGTTGCTATTGAAGCCAAGAACAGCAGTTTTGATCATGAGGATTTGTGGCAATGCGTCGCTGAAACAGCAACTCTCTAAAAATCCAGAAAGGATGCTGGTAAAGCAAAATGCAGCGTATGGGGAGTACTCTCAAATGCAACTGATTGGAAATTCATCCACATTGATGAAGGGAAATTATGGCGCTCTGAAAAGTATATGCTCAACCTTCGCTTGTATAATCAAGATCAAGTCACATTTATCTACCGCATGCTTCACTTTGTTATAAAGCGCTGTTTTGAATCCTGCACACCGAATCCAACACCCAGTTCCTCATCTGCACATTTAAATGAATAAATTAATTATATCTCACTTATTTTTTGTTTGCAATAGTACGAATATTTTTTCAGTTGTCGAGTCAAAGTTTTAATATATTAAACTTGTTAAATAGAGAGTCTCATAGTTAACCTAATTAACTTTAAGGACGCTAAATGAATTTGCAATGATTTAGCCTTTTGCAATAAATTACAACTGTAATGTCTGAAAATCATCGCATGGATAAGACAAGTTGCTAAGAAGAGCTCGAATTATTCAACAACACTCTATCAATGCATTTGCAAGAGTCATTGGACGTATCCGTTGTTTGAATGTTGATTCTCATACATTCAGTAATGTAACATACAAAGCTTATTACCACGCAGACACGATCAATGTATTACTTTCTGTTGGATAGGCTGTATCATCTGTCATCAATTCAGACACACTTGTCAGTCCTGTTCTGTCAGAATTTTAGGAGCTTCGTGATTTGTTCTCTTCTGATAAATACTAACAGTTACAGATTACATTTAAACAAATCACAAATCACGAAGCCCCTAAAATTCTGAAATATACTAGTCACATTTCCAAGAATGGAGAAAGGGATAATATCAGTTCAAAACTATAGTTTATTGTGTGTATCATATGATGGATGTCATATTGGGAACAAGAAGAATTGACAATATCCATCCAAGAAGCAGTGCAGTCAATTTTTAATATGCACGCGAAATGAATAGTTGACCATTGTCTACTATAAAGCAAAACAGTGGCAGTGACTGCAGGTGTTTCATTTTATGTGAATACAGTTGCAAAAGCTCAAGCTTTTGGTGTAAAGATAAATATTCAATGTCGCTATTTTTGAGCCAAACCAAGTTTTTCATCTGACATGCTTCAAAATCGCTCAGCAATTTTGGTTCTTGAGCTTATGATTATCAACATAGTTGTATTGTCACTGAAAATGTATCTACTTTGCAATTTCTCACAATTATGTCGCACTAGCACCTTGGTTTTTGCACCTATGACACTAGTTGTAAAAACTATAACTTCACTTTATTTCTTGATATTAAAGCAATACAACAGTAACCAACATACAGACTAAACAAGTCAAAGGTAAATAGCGGGGAAACAGGATCCTGTGTGTTGGCTATTGATAAAATCCGTGATACCGCAAATAGTCTAATGAAATAAAGATGCTTTGCTAATTCAGATATGCTTGATAAAAAATTTATGGCTGGGCGGAATTTTATATGATTTTTCAGATTTTCGTTAATTGGCTATCCATCAAAGCCATCATCAAACTTGACAATTTAAAGACTATGATATTCAAATCCCTAATGACATAGTTTGTATTGATGGACGCAAGTTTTGTCAATGTGATAAACCTACTTTCAAACTAATGAAGCTTGGAAATATTGAGAAATCAGTTTCACCTGAAAAAGCCAAGCAGGTTCATGGCCATGTGGCTAAATTGCCGAAATGATATTGATTTTAACCGCTTTGTATATTCCAGATCAATGCAATTGTACATGATTTTACTATACAAACGCGACACTGCATTATGTAATGGCCGTATTTTAAAGGAGATCTAGTGAGTACAATGCCAGTATATTTATTTTTGAGGTTTTAACGACATAATCATGCTTGTGTGAGGGAACGAACATGCGGAATCGACCTTATACTATTTTGTGATAAGCATATTATTCAAAGTTGTGTACAAGGCTAGCTATTGTTTATTTTGCTCTTGTCTTGATTATATCTGATATAAAGCTTGCAATGATGTATTTTTAAACATAAATTTTGAAAACTATATAGATACGACGTGCATTTTAAAATTGACTGTCATCGATTTTACTGATACATATTGTCTTTATTTCTCCTAAATTACTTCTAATCTTCAATTCCTACCTATTCTCCGCTATAATATAACGGAATACTAAAATGTCTTTCAATGGTACGATGCCTTCAGGAGGTATGCATGGGCCAAGCACATATCACAACTACTTAAGAGTGGTGTTGACGTCAGTCATGGTGTTTATGATGATTATTGCGACTCCGCTTTTTATTCGCGAACGGAGTCAACCACCAATAAAATATCGATCTTGGACAATTAACCTATTGTCCTGCGGATGCTCGGCACTGTGCCAATTTTGGAAAGCCTGTTATGCTACGGGAATATATCCCAGTCGTAATATTTATCCATATCTTGAAATGGTTTCAGACGTTCTATGTATGTTGATTTACAGCCTTTTGAATTTGTATATTTAACCTGCCAAGAATTGGCATTGTCATCGCTTCTAACCTTTACCATTTAAACTATACTATTATGATGCGCGCAATGAATATTTGTAGATATGGTTGTAATGTGTTGTTTTCTCCCCATCTTTATTCGGCACTATTTTCTGCTGCGTCTTCCTGTACTTCAAAAACAGCTACTTAGCAACCAAACAATGCTTGATCCGGTCAAATATAAGCAGTTTTCGAGAGAACTTGTCTTGACAAAATTCTTTTCTGGCGAAAAAGGAACTTGGATGTTTTTTGCAATCAACTATATACCATGTGCACTCATAACGATTATTTTATTCTTCACCACTGATGTAGAACTAATCATTACACGTCAACCAAATCATTACTCAGAGTACATGACAATAATGCCTGTTATCCAAATCTGTATTTCTCAAAGTAAGTCTACGTGACCAATATCCCGGTATGAAGTTGCACAATGAATGATGGTTTACTGTATTGACAAACTGTTTTATCTTGGTGTATCGACAAAATATCAGTTTTTCTGCTATGGTATGCTCCAAGAGCTCCAAAAGACAATTTTTACATCAAAATTCAGTTTTATATTGTTACTGCAATCAGTCTTGCCAACGTGATTGTTACGCTTGCATTGAGCATTGTAAGGAGTCCGGGTATGATGCGAAACTTTTTTTTATCGACTACTATTATTCAGTTTTTGGCAGTGTTCATTGATCTCGCCGTTCCACTTTGGTTTATTTTAACCAACAAGCGCTATGCAGTAATGGTCACCAAGTACCGTCGCTATCGATCAAGCAAAAACTCAAAGGGAGTGACATCAGGCGAGCTTGATAGCAAATCAGTAGCCCAAAGTTTGATGCGCTCTACTCAAGTAACAAGTGGGGAGATAATATCTTCCACTGAAACAGGTTCAAAACCGGAGCATTCTCAAGTTGGCAATCCAACATACAATCTCCATTGTATTCTTGAAAAACCATCAACGTACGCAGCATTCTGCACTTTTCTTTCACGCGAATTTTGCATGGAAAGTTTACTGTTTCTTGAGGCTGTCCAAAAGTATAAGAACGAGATCAAGGAAAACTTCAACTTGGCTTTGGTCAAAAGTCTTTCGGATAAAATCCGTGTAGATTTTATTGAGCCAGGCGCCATCAACGAAGTCAATCTTCCAAAAAAGATCACATCAAAAGTAGACGATACACTCAAGGGAATCACGGAAGGAAATATCCCATTAGAAAAAGCTAAAAAGATGTATGACCATGCTGAAGAGCATATTGAAGAGATGCTGATTCTTAACCACTTGCGCAAGTTTCAGGCCAGTGCCCTGTACCGCAATGCAAATGCCGTCGTTTAATTGTGTCAACTGTATGCAGATTTTTAAAGTACTGGTTTCTATGTTACACCAATACTTGGTTTATTTACCAATAATAGCCGATGATGTTGTGGATCAAGTTTTTAAAGTTTTAACAAGTCGATTACTGCTTCCATATATATAGCAATATATCGTTGATAGCATCTAGCTATTATTTGATATAAACCAATGTAGATCTATTTGGATTTATGCTTATTCATATACAGCTGTATTCACATAAATGGAACATTAAATAAAAGTGTCGGTGTATAATAAACGGTTTTGTGAAATAATGGGTGTTGATTTGCTAGATAGTATTGTTTTGTAAACCACTTATGACTGACAACAAGGGAATGAGAATAGAGTGATAAAATAAAATGAGATTGTTAGTAATTATCGTCATGTTTTGAAACCATTCTGATAGCATCAAACAGCCTTTTGAAACCATAGATTCTCTAAACTGCACAACTGTTTTAGATCAATGCAAGACTATATAGATGGGACGCTAGAGATCATGGCAGGACAAGACCAAATGAGTGATGTTCTACATTGGATCAGGAGAACAGCAAGTGGTAGAGTAAATTGACCGTGTCAACAGGCCAGATTGTTGCCATGGTACAGGATATGCAAACGATAGATGCTACTGCCACTTAAATCAACAGATGAACAGTCTACCAATGTTTGCAAAAGAACATCATCACCAAGAAAGCAACCCGCAAATGTAAATTCGTCTTCTTCAAAACCTCCCTCAAACCTGAAAAAGCATTATTGTTTTGATGCCGACCACTAGGAGAAAGGTTAGTGAACCTTGCTAACGAGTTCAAGGGCACAATATTGCCCAGTAAATTGGCACTCAAGATAATATGAGGCTGACTGTTTATTATACTCAGTATTTCATTTACGTGAATATGGCGATGAGAAAATGCTCAACTATTGTCATTTTATATTCATCTATTGTCACGAGTTCGATATTGCTACGCAGCAGCCTTTTTATTGCTATGTAGCGCTTCAAGATACCCGTAACGGGCGTCCAATCACTAAAGTCTTTTGACCGGTTTTTGTGACATAATTGCGGCGTGGCGTAATGGTTTGGCTCTTTAATAGTTCGTGCCGAGATCTATAATTTATAACTCAGTCTCTTGTTCTAGCCATTACAATCACAGGCTAGCTTGATCATGACCAACAATTCTACACAGCTTCATGGCATAATAAAGACTACATCTCTCACTTCTTGGAACGGGATTTTGAGACTTGTATTTGCCTCTCTAATGGCTCTGATGCTCATTCCAGCAATACCTCTTTTTATCCTTGAGCGAAAACAACCCATGGTGAAATATCGAACCTGGACAATCAATATTGTTGCATGCATTAGTGCCACATTGTGCATGCTATTTGGTGGGCTGGAAGCCATGGACAGCTGGGTTAGCCATGAAACTGTATATTACCTTAATTTCTGGTCGAATATATTATGTAAATCACAAACTGCTTAAATGTTACTTGAAGCCATTGTATTAAATTCTATTTTTTGGTATCTATATTATGACATTAATTTTGCCAAACTATTTTTTAAACACTAGATACCATTGTCGTGTGTGGCTTTTTACCAACTTATCTTCGCCACTACTTTCTCTTGCGTCTTCCTGTCCTTCAGCAGGAAATGCTTAATAATCAATTGAGATTTGATCCAGCTCAACATACCCAATTTTCTAAAGATCTCATTCGAACCAAGTTTTTTTCAAGCGAAAAGGGAGCATGGACAATCTTTGCAATCAATGGTATTCCATGTATGTTCATGACAATCTATTTTGCCTTGAAAAGCGGATTTATCACGGAATTGGAAGAGCCACAATCACCCATTTCCATGTACATGGGGATCATGCCGTTGGTCCAAATCATTGTGTCAGAAGGTTTGAAGTTTAACTGTTTCGGATATTGATTGATTTTATTTTATAGCTAACAATTCTATCTACACTTTTAGCATTTCTGTTATGGTATGGACCACGATCACCAAAAGATAACTACCAGATCATGACCCAGTTTTATGTTATTACTGGTCTTTCACTTGCTAATGTTGCCGTTTCACTGGTTACTACTCTATGGACAAATGAGGTCTTGCTTCGGATAGGTGATGCTGTAGTCAGTATCCTCACATTTTTACCAATCTCCATCGACATCATTCTTCCACTTCAATTTTTGATAACAAGCCATAAATACGTTACGTTATCAACCAATCTCCACAAACGAAGCTTTGGTGACCATTTGAGTAGCCCAATGAGTTTGTCCAAAGAAAGATACATAGGACAGGAAATGATACGTACTGCCCAAGTCACATCAGGTAAAGGAAGTACTTCATATGGCTCGCCACTTAAACCAGGCGCATTCAAAATTTCAACAGCATCAAGTAGTCTTCAGCAAATACTTGAAGATCCCGTTATATATCCAGTCTTTTGTTTATTCTTGTCTCGTGAATTTTCAATGGAAAGTCTTTTATTTATCGAGGCCATCAAAAAATTCAAGATTCACATCAACAACAATCCGTCTATATCACTGATCAAATCATTATACAAGAGAATCATTTATGAATTCATTCAATCCAACGCAGTAAACGAAGTCAATTTACCGAAAAGGATCATTCTTCGAATTGATGCATCCTTGGAAAGCGTATTAAACGGAGCTATTGCCATTCGAAATGCCGCCAACATATTTGACGAAGCATCTGAACACATAATGGAAATGCTTGCTTTAAATCACTTGCGCAAGTTTTTATCCAGTACTTTATACAAGGAAAGTTGTTGCTCATCAAGATTGTATCGCTCATGATAAATCTCGGCGTTTTTATCGAATTTTATAATATTATTTTTTGCTTTTACAGCTGTCGACAAAAGGAATGAGAATAGAGTGATAAAATAAAATGAGATTGTTAGTAATTATCGTCATCATGTTTTGAAACCATAGATTCTCTAAACTACACAACTGTTTTAGATCAATGCAAGACTATATAGATGGGACGCTAGAGATTGTGGCAGGACAAGACCAAATGAATGATGTTCTACATTGGATCAGGAGAACAGCAAGTGGTAGAGTAAATTAGTCGCGGTACAAGATATACAAACGATATATGCTTCTGCCATTCAAATTAGTAGTCAGGTAATTTACTGATATTTGTAAAAAAGCAATCAAAACAACAAACCCAACCACTTACAAAAATATAACCGGGTAAACTTTACGTAAATACATTTCCAAATACATATACACACTAATGATTTCTGGCAGTTTTTCATTATTCTCTATTTAATCTCATTGTCACCAGTTATAAGTGGTTCATAGAAAACAATGCTGTCTAGTAAACTGGCACCAATCATTTCATGAGACTGACTGTTTATTATGCATCTTGGCATTCTTATTCAGTGCTTTGTTTACGTGAATACAGCGGTAAGTATTTACTTGATTTTAATGAGATGGCCGAGTAAAAAGGCGTTTTGTGCTTTTTCCGTCATATTCAAACTTTATCCATTCATTTTCCAATTTGACTATAGCCATCAATATGGATTACAACGCAACACACCTTCATGAACTGGCTTTAATTAGATTGACAGGTTATGAGAATGGATACCTAACACTTGCTTTATCACTGGTAATGGCGATAATGCTTGGTCCTGCAATCTTGTTTTTCATTCGCGATCATCAACAGCCAATGATAAAGTATAGAACCTGGACACTAAATATTTTAGCATGTATCAGCGCAACGGTTAGCTTGCTTTGTATGGGTCTAATAAATATAGGAAATTTGCTCGAGTACAAATACGTTATATTCTGCGAGGTATTCTCCAATATACTATGCAAGTATTGCTTATTATGACCATTTTGTAAATGCCAATGAAACCATACATTTTGATTACCGTGTTTTCTGGACATTTAAACTATTCGATTCAATATTGCAGCTCCAACTAACAGATCTGATGGTTTATTTTACTAGTTACTATTGTTGTCTGCTCTTTTTTTCCAACTTATCTTCGCCATTATTTTCTTTTGAAACTTCCAGTACTACAGCAGCAACTATTAAATAGTAGTACATTTTCAAACCCAAAAAAACGTGCAGACTTTTTCAAAAACTTGGTTTGGACCAAGTTTCTCTCGAGCGAACGAGGAGCGTGGACTGTTTTTGCAATCAATGTCTTGCCATGCCAGATCATGACAATTTACTTTTCGATAACAGCCGACTATGACAAATGGATCCTCAACATGCCAAACGATCTATCAGTCTATTTGGGAATAATGCCTTTGATTCAAATAGTATTATCTCAAGGTATGTGGTGTCTATGCACAGTTGTATTGTTCTGATCGCATAAAGACTAAAACTAGCTCCTCATTTTGGCGGTATCTATTGTACCTGTTACAGTGTTTCTATTATGGTATGGACCACGATCACCAAAAGACAACTATCACATCATGACGCAGTTTTACATCATCACTGGACTGACGCTGGCAGATGTCATGGTGTTGGCAATTTCTAATACTCAAAATTCGCATGCTGTTTCTGAAATATGCAACTCGATATTTAGTATTCTTACATTTCTGGCAGTCTTTGTTGACATTGTAGTTCCGCTCCAGTTTTTAGTGACAAAAAAACGATACGCTACAGATTTGTCAGATAGCTCGACCCATCAATTTAGAAGCCGGTCAAAACCACATTCCTGTAAACCAAATAGCATCAGCTCCAGACCAGAGGTACTAGGCACAAGTAAACTGGGACTTGATCATGAATCCACAGTAACAGATGTACCATCAAATCAGACCGTACCACTAAACACAAGTCCCACACATATGCTTCAAAGTATTTTTGAAAAGCCAGAAATATACTCTGCATTTTGTACATTTTTATCACGAGAGTTTGCCATGGAAAGCCTATTATTTATCGAAGCTGTTAAAAGATACAAATCGCAATTAAACGAAAATCTAACGTTATCTCTAGTAGAATCACTGTCTGACAAGATACAGCTGAGCTTTATCGAGCCAAACGCAGTCAATGAGATCAACCTACCGAAAAAAACAGTCGATAAGCTAAATGCACATTTGCAAGACATCATCAATCAAGTATGTCCAGTTCATAAAGCATTAACAGTATACGACGAGGCAGCTTCATATATTGAGCAAATGCTGGTTGTAAATCATTTGCGAAAGTTTCATGCAAGCACCTTGTTCCAAAAAGCAGCGACTTTGTCATAGTCATTCTATGGTAGTATCAATATTTGTTTGAATGATGATCTGGCTAGAATATCAATGATGAATGAAATAGACTAGATAGATATTGTTCATTTACACATGACAATAGCACGCACTTATTTTCAAGTAATCTGTAAACAGTTTTAAACTAATAATGGCACATTTCAACCTTGAGTTCATTAAATCATAGTTGTATCCACGTAAATGAAATGCTAAATAGGGATTTTAGAGTTGTATTGAGAATACTGATTCAATATTTGGATTACAATGAGTGAATCTGACGATTGTGTAGTGCATGGCTATGCCAAATGAGGACAATTTCGATTTAAAATTATACTTTGATTATGTGCGTTGTATGATTGTTGTATTTATTGAAAGGTTACAAGTGTTTATTCAAGTCAATTTGTAGTAGAAAAGCATAACGGATATTCAGCCATTGTCTATTCCAGAGCATTGACTGCAAGACAGTATTTTATTTTACGTGAAAGACGGCTGTAAATTTTCAGTAAATTTCAGTAAATTTCAACCAATTTCTTTCTATTCAATACATCTTCGACGATCCTTGCTGGAACTGTTATACTACAACTTCAAATGTCAGGCAGATTTTCAGAATCACTTCAACCAGTAAAAAGGTTAATGCAGGAGCTATCTGTTTTTCCTAAACTGAAAAAGAAACTTTTACTTCAAAAGGCAAGTCATGATTCGATTCATGACCACAATTCATGATTACTGTTTATTCGAATCAATGTCCAAAAACTCTAGGATATCACTGTTCATACCAGAAACAGCTTCTACAGTTCAAATAACACAATCTGTCAATACTATCAGGCTTTCCAATATATATTTTTACTAACTGCTATTTTCCAATTGTCTTAATATCAATACAATGATCTGGAATCTAACAGAACATGGATTCTGTAAATGTCAATGGTGTCGGCTCGTTTGTTCCATCCATCTGCCGTTTAAAAATATTTTACGAAAGTCCCCGTATAGGCGCAGGTGGAACTTCCCGCAGTATGGTTGATTTTCTCAAACACAACATAACCTCCTTGGCTCAATCTCGTCCTTATATTGAATTCAATGTGGTTCATCGTCGAGGCGCACCCGAACTTGAAGCCACTTATAATAACGGATCGACTCGCAATATTATATGCAGTAAATTGAATGCCAAGCAAATTAAGGAAAAGACTGCCGAACTATGTGATGGAAGTGGATCAAGCGCTACTGGGAGAAAGTTTGCCCAGCCTGTAAAGAAAGGTGCTGGCAGTCAAAGAGATTTGGTTAATCCAACCTGGAATCCATTTCATTCCAAAGATGTTTACCGGCCGTAGATATGTTTCCAACAATAGGATCTCATTTCATTTTTTGAATGGACTTGCTTTCACTAGTTTGTATGTTTTGAAGCTGTGGTTATTAAAGCTACCATTTTTATTATGTGCTTTATTCCGTCTATATATTGCAGTTTAAACCCTTTCAGAATATGCTATGACTGATCCAAACCAAATGCTGTAAATTAGCGTTTTGGGTTGAATGATATGAAATATCTGGCAGCCAGATCTGAGTATCCAAGACCATGTATGCAAGCTCACTGGAAAATCTGACATGATTGGCGTGACGGTCTTTGCTCATTTTTGTATGGCTGAACAAATGTTCACATCAGTTTCAGCAAATCTCATACTTGTCCAGTCTCCAACTCCCGTTTCATACAATCCTTGTTCTTTTAAACGCATCTGATATTTTAGGATATACCAAAGTGGAATTTGTAGAGCTGTATTGATAATATTTGAACCCAACATTTAAATTGCAATGGATGGATCTGGCGATCGTGTAACGTATGGCTATACCAAAAAAGGAGAGAGCATATTCAAGCTATAGTTTGTGTGCATCATATGGACATTGTGTTTATTGAAGAGTTGAGAATGTCTATTCAAGTAGTCAATTGTTAATATAAAGGCACAATGAATATTCAATCATTACTTGAAGCAAAATAGACTGTCATGCAAGATACTTGCATTTTACACGATATTTAATTGTAGCCATGAATAGTCATAGATCTTGATAGTTTTGAACAAGGAATTGGTCCAATAGTAATGCAAACATCCAAGAATATCATGATTGCACTCATGATATGATGACATCGCACTCCTGCCCAATGCTTACAGAGAAACTGCACATGGTTTTATTTTTCTCCTGGTTGTCTGGGAACTCGTACAAAATCCCAATCATCATCGTCCTTGGCCAAATCCTTGCATGTCGATATAAAAATAGAATGAATGGCAAGGTCGGTCATGTATACATATTGAATCTAAACAATACTTACAAAGTAGATTTTGCGAATATCGATTGGCTCAGCATTTTTGAGTCCAAGCTTTTCTCGTTTTTCCGACTGGTGTACCAAAATGGATACAATAGGATCAGACTAGTAGTTTTAAATCAAAAGCCAGCGCATACATAATTTGACATGGAGCAACTTACAGTAGTGTATTTGGCATCAATATAATCATACTTTACTTGGGTGATATATGAAAATCCGTATGAAGCAGCAACGATCATTCCCATGAATGGAATTCCGGCTGCTATAGGAGATTTTTTTGCAAACCGCTGCACTCTTTTGAAAAACTGCGACATGAGTGTCGGATAAAGCAGGATTTGCTGTGGATTGAATTCAACTCACAATCGATCACGTGATGTAACTATCACTTTTACACATTGGAGATCAGTTGAAAACCATTCATAGATTTAAAGATGGAAATGGTGCCATGGTGTTTATTTAGAGAGCTTTCCGCCAAAACTACTGCAGGTGTGAGTAGTAGAAGAAGGAGGTAGACATACATACCAATCTCCAATCAAGCATCTGAGATCCAAGTCTCGAACACAAGGGCATTCGAGTGGAGCATCGACGCATATGTCATTATCGGGACATAGATACCCAGCACACGCTATGAATCAAGAGAGAATGCAAGTAGTTCAATAGTTAGTGAATGAATAGATAAACAAGAGTAGCAGAACAACTCTGATTACCAGTGGATTTGGGTTCGTTGGTAAAAGGTTCTTCCTTTTGTTGTTGATGCTGGTTTTGAAAGAATTCAAAAAAAGCCAAAGCATTAGACACAAACAGCAGTAGCACAAGAAGAGAGTGAGAAGATCCAGCAAGCATAAGTAACGAGTCGCAACAGTTTGTATTGTAATGGACTGAATTCAAGTGGAAACCATTCGCGATGGCAAATTTTCACTTGCAACCGATTATCAACTGCACATCTAACCAGTTCGTAACATGTCAAATCTAATCCTGACATCAACTGAAACCCAATCTAAACATGAATACATAACTGACGCAATCAAATGTGGCTCATTGATTTCAATGAGTTTTAGAGAAAATCTGAATGAAATTGATGACAGTAAATATACTCGAGCAGTGAATCGATATTCAAAAAATTAAAACACCAATTCCATTTTTAGTCTTTTCTCCATTCGTAAAATCTAAAACAGCTCGAATGCAGGAACTCAACGATCTGGTATGGTCAACAAACACTAATGGCAACGTTCGTCCTATTACTACCACTCAGGGAATGCCATTCACACCATCCACTTCTCCGCTCCCTCTCAAACCACAATTGTCGAATGCTCCTGTAAGTTGGATCCACCGTCACTATCTAGCATGCTGCATACTTGTAGCATGGCAAGCCCATATTCTAGCCTTCTAATGACTAATTGATGGCTGTATTGAATACAGGTATACAGCAATGCAAGACCTGCAAATAATGGTGGCAGTCAGCCAGTGAATCGCAGTGGTACATCCACCCCTCAGAGAACTGTTGCAACAGGACAGCCATTTGGATTAGGAAAGTCATCATCTCTTACTGGATCTACAGCCAATAATGGTGTCGGTAGTAATAGCAACAAGGCAAATGCGGATGATGTTTTTGGAACGCTGGTGGGAGCATTCGGAGGCGCATCTATTAGGCAATCAGCAGCTCCAATATTATCTATGGACGAACAAAGAAAGCAGTCACAGCAGCAGCTATTACAGCGACATCCGCAGAATCTGTCATCAGGAAATGCATCAAACATTGTCTTTCCTGTAAATACTGCTCAAAGCTTAATGATATCACATAGCACTTCCTTGCAACCGCTGGTTTCGGCTGGAAAACCTCCATCTCGATCGGGCTCGCCTTCATTGGTGCCTGTCAACGCATTTGATGGCTTGGGATTGACCATGGGAACCAGCAATAGTCAACATACTCGTGCCATGTCCAACACTGCTGGACCAACTGCCCAGTCCCTGACTTTTAATGCAGCAAATGGAATATCAACTCAATCAACTGGAATCATGCAGTTTGATGGCATTTCCTCTACCTCTCGTTTATCCCCAGCATACCCTTCAAACAAGCATCAAGACTCTACATCCAATCTTGATATTCCAACACTGCAGCCTCATCAGCTTTCAACCAACAAAATCCGTTCTAAATCTCCATCTGCAACCAACTCGTCCAAACAATCGGCTCCATTTGCAGATTTACTCTCTATTAAACCATCCGCGTCAAAAGTTTCCCAAATGACGGTTGCATCTCAATCTGAATCTACCTTGCCTCAAAGTAAGCAAACGGGAACCATGGTGCAACCACCCAAATCTGCAGAAGCTTGGGGAAATATCGATTTTTTGGATGCACCTGGACCTGCTAAACACACATCGATTGCTACAAGCGGAAATTACACTACTGTCTCTGATACACATCTTGTAAATGGAGATATTTTTGATGCCTCGTTTCTTGGCTCTCAGTTTTCCAAAGAAACCAAGGTGTGCAAGCCTGTAGTAGATGATAATCCACTTGGGTTACTAGCAGGTCCTGCAACTCAATCGCCAGCTTGGGAATCTTTGACATTAAAATCAACTCAATCGACATCTCCAACTCACTCTCTACAGTCAAACAGCCAATCACTACCAATTTCTCAGCCCACAAAAACTAGTAACGATCGAAATATTGCACAGATTGTGAGTATGGGATTTGATGCTGACAGTGCAGCTGCTGCTTTGGAGGTATCCGGACAAGAGGTAGCTGCCGCCATTGACATTCTTGTTCAGAATCAGAAAGCGGAAGCACAGATTCAGCATTTTTCTTTAGCCAATCAGGGTATATCTCCTACCAAATCACAACGTCAAACAACATCTTGCTCTTCCAATCGACCCGAGTCAAAATTCAACTCTGACAATAATACAGATGAATACAAAGGCTTTTATACCGGAAGAGCGCGGGACGAAGATGATATTGAACCAGGCTCTAGAGTCTTGCCTGACACCCAAAAGATTATAGAAAGCGCGTCTGCATTTGGCATGTCTGTGTTTAAAAACGCTAAAACATTTGTGAGCTACTCCAAAAAAGCCATTACGCAAGTGATTGAAAAAGCTGGTGCTGATGTGTCTGGAACTTCTACGGGAGAGACTAAATCTCCTGGTGGGTATGATGAAAATAGACATGCTGCTCAAGAGTACTCCCAATGGAATGGCAAACCGTTTAAAGATCATGATGATGGAGAGTATGATGACTGCTACGATGCACATGATGCACCCAAAGAGTCCAAGTTTTCTGATGGTTTGAATACACAGAATGGTCATGGGTGGCAAAACGATACGACTGATATGAATATGAGCGTTTCATCTGATGAAGATGTAGATGTTTCGGTCAAGAAACAGACTAATTGCTTGAGTGCTATAAAATCCGAGGGCTCATCACAGCAGGTACCCAGTTCTAAATCAGACAACAATCTGATTGATCCTGATGAATTTGTAACAATCTCTCCACCTGCACCTAGTATGAATTCGACGATGCAACAGTTTTTAGAAACTGAACTGTCACAGCCATCAAAACAACAAACTTCATCCCCATCAACACGACAACAACCCAAACTACAATCAAGTGCATTAACCACATCTCCACACTATATCTCGGCAGAATCAACCAAATCTCTTGGAACCGAGATGTTTAAAAAGGGTCAATTCAGTGATGCAGTAGTGCATTACACGACTGCAATTCAAGCCTTGCAGGCTTTGAGTTCATCCACAATGTCAACTGATCCAGCATACATGTCACTTTTGGTAACATTGTTGACTAACCGGGCCTCAGCAATGCTCAAAACCGGACAGTATCGCGAAGCTATTGCTGATTGTACACAGGCATTAGGTATATCCAGTAATGATTTGAAGGGATTGCATCGTCGTGCATGTGCTTATGAGGCCATAGAAATGTGGACCGAGGCACTCAAGGACTACCGGATGGTAATGGAAACAGGTGGAGCAAGTAAATCAGTGTCAGAAGGAATAGTCCGGTGTAACAAGGCACTTCAAGGTAGCGATCGTAGCACATTTGCATCCGAAACCAATGCCATCAACTCATCTGCATCCGTTTCTCAACCAAAACTGGTCAAACCATCAAGCGTTCAAGTTCAATCTGCAGTGGATGCTGCAGTTCAGAAGCTTCGTCATCAAGCGATCCAAGCAGAGCAAGAAGAAACCGAGAAATTTGCGCTTGGAGATGAGATTGAAGCCAAAATCAACCACTGGCGACGCAACAAAGAAGATAACCTTCGAGCATTGATTTCCACGTTGAACATGGTATTGTGGCCGTCATTGGGATGGAAACCAGTTGGATTAGGAGAGTTGGTGACACCACAACAACTAAAAGTTCGATATATGCGAGCGGTTGGAAAAGTTCATCCCGACAAGCTAGGAGTAGATGCAACAGTTGAACAGAGATTGATTGCGAATCATGTATTTTCTACTTTAAACAAGGCATGGGATTTGTTCAAGGCCAGTAATGGAATATCTTGAAATGAAATGGAATGTTGTGTAAATGTTGGATTTGATGGTCGCAGAAGGAAATTTCGATTTTTGAATTATGAATCGACTTGACATTTGTTACAAACTTTACTATGGCAGAGGACAGCGAAGCAGTCAATGTGTTGGAAAGCCATGAAACGGCTGAAGAGGAGATGGGGGCAGATGAGTGGGACGACAATGTAGACTATGAGTGGGAAGGTGATAATGAAGAGTATTCGATCATGGAAAATGCTGGCCAAGACGATGGGGAAGAGGTTGATGAGACCACTAATGGAAACGAACAGGAAGACACTAGCATTAATGATACAGCTACAGAACAACAACAGCAGAGATCGTCACATACGCATGGAAACGGACAGCACAATCCTCGATGGAGAGGTCATGCACCGGCTCGTGCTGCGAATGGCGGCAACAAGCAGTATTCTGCCATGTAAGAGTTGTTACTGCCGATATTGATGACTGCTGGTTTGCTACTGACTATTATTCTGACTGATTAGATCCAGCAAGATCTACATCAACCCTTCTTATGTACGCAGGGGAGTAGTGTTCCCTTTCCCGCTACCCATGCATATTCAAGCCATGGCTCCATCTGCTAGTATGCCCCCTATGACCAACGTAATGATGCCTCCATATGGAACTCGTGTGTCCCAAATGATGCCTATTATTCCTCAAGCTCCAATTAACTGGAACTTTAATGCTACTGCGTTTGTGAGTTGATTGCTATTGAACCTGGAAAAGTAGATCACTAGACCATCAGTAATTCACTCGACTAATCTTTTATTGAATGATCAACTCGTAGGTGCCTGGAACTGCAATGCAAATGGGTGCTCGGCGGCATGAAAACATCAACTTCAGAGGCAATAGTAGCCAACAAAACAAACAGTCCATGTTTCAATCCAACTCATTATCTAGTACTCACAGATCTCAAAAATATCCACAACAATTGGCTGGACAAAAGCGATCGGCTTCCATCATATCGGATTCAAGAGATACTGAAAAATCTACTGGCGGAGATTCTGCAACTTTATCCCAACAGCTGAACCCGCCCGATTTTCATCCTGGGAAACGGATTGCAAAAGGTGTTACCAAGAGCGTTGCAATAGTGGAAAACTTTGCTGCAAAAACTACTGCCAATTTGCTCAGTCAGATTGCTAGTCAAGTTGCCCAAGTAACAGTATGTCCATCTCTTTATTTACATCCGAATGGACCATAAACTCATTTGGCTCATCTGTAATGTTGAGCTTGACTCATTTGTTTTTACCGTGTATTCTAAATAATTTTTGATATTGATTAGAATGTGACTCTCTTAGAAAACAATACTAAAGCCAAGATTGAATTCGCAACAGATAATGGTGGATTGTTATTTAGGCGTAAATTCAACAAGTATGTGTTTCATCTCGTTACATCGTGTCATTAGTGTTTTCAATATTCTCGTTCAAACCCTGTTTATACTATGCTTATTTTTGTATACTTTTGTGTAGGTCAAGTCTCGATGGGGCCATGCTTACTGTTACTGTACAGCCCTTGTAAACTGCCACAAAAACCATGCCTATCAGTAATTGGCAGTGGCATGGTTTATTCAAACTATAGGACTGAATGCAAAATAAACACGCTTGTTTTAGTTTCAAAGGGTTAAATTTGTTGGTCTGAAAGTTTGTGGAGTGAATGGATGCAAGTTTGAGTAGATATAAATATCTGTTTTACTGAATCAGTTTATACTCGGCAACATTCTGCTATATCCTATCCAACCTTCAAAGCTGCAATCCAATGAAATTTGCTCAATCTACATTATTGATGTTGGGCTGCGAAGCTATATCAGGCATGCTGGCTGTTTCTGCTTCCTATATCATGTTAGCCAATTCTCAACATATGTCTATGAAACATAAATCCATGATCAGCAGTTCTACCACTACTACTTTAGCAGTTACGTCTACATCTACAACAACGCTCACTGCATCACTTCCTACAACTCTAGCTCGCGTATCCGTACCAAGCCATAAAAATCTAACTGTATCTGATATGACATGCAGAATTCTTGAACCAATTATTACCCAAGTCATCCAAGGAATCAATAGTATAAAAACACATATTGTCCCTCACTTCATCAACACTTTGTATCCTATCACGGACACGATCTTTACCAATCTTCAAAATCAGATTACCTCAGCATTGAATATAACAACCCAAACTACTCTTATATATGCTTTAAATCAAAACGTTTCCATTACTCCCATCATACTCCAAACCGTGTTAGATGATGCTACTCTGCGCGTGGTAATGGATATCACGACCACCAAAAAGATTGTTACGGCTCTACACAATGCTACTACCGGTACTATATCAGCGTGGATTGCAACAAGTCATGTCGGTGATGCTGTTGGGACAATGTTGGGAACGCTTACACAAGTGGGTAATCCAGAGTTTGCACGATTCGCACTTCTTCAGGCGTTAGATGTAAACATAGTGATTACCACTAATACCACCATACCGTTTACTGTCAAGAATATTTCTGATATACTAACTGCAGTTGTATTGAGTGGATTTGATATGAGTGGAAGCGTGACTCGGTCAACTTTATTTGCTGCATACTTTGCAGCCAACGACAAAGGGAATGAAGCCAGAGAAAATAAATAAAAAGTTGTCAGCAAGCATTACCATCAGCGCTCTACTCAGAGTTTGCATTAACTTGAATCGTCCATTTTCACAAACTGAAAATATGTGTTTTTGAAAGGCTACTATTGCAGCTTGCTTAATTCTATGAACTCTTAATGGATCAATGAGATTGTAAAGATTTGAATTTATTTGAAACTTTAAAATCATGAGCCCACATCACAGAAAATTGAATATAAATCATATCTGGATTCTAAACAAACCAAGACAACTAAAAAGTAATTCAAACATCATTTTAGAAGAATTGAAACGAATCGAATCTTGATTGTGTAGTGTTATCAATGAGTGATTTTGACTCGACAAACCCGTCAACGATTTAAAATGAACCTAGCATTTGGGGAGTGCCCAACAGAATACGGCTCCCTCAGCACTCACAGAAACCACATAAGATCCATTGGGAGAAATTTTGACCTTGGTAATATCCGTTGAATGACCTACACCAACAAATGCCACATCTCCCTCTTCGTACCGATACACCTTGACCAATTTATCACTCCCACCGATAACAAACAACTTTCCATCACAAGTGATATCCAATCCGTTGATCGTGTCGCTTTGTGAGACTTCAAGCTCTCGAATCAAGGAGCCGTCAAATGCTTCCCAGTAAGCAACCTTTCTATCAGTGCCACTTGTAAGGAGTTGACTTTCGTCTGGATAGTAACAGACAGCTTTAAAAAATGAAGGTGCAAATAAGACTTGATTTCGAACGTATCTGGTCAGATCCCATAAAATGCAGGATCCGTCGCTGGAGGAAGACACGCATTCGAGACTGTTTTTACGAATTTTTATACATGTAACGGTACCCTTGTGTTCCTTCATGGCATCCTCAAGATGTTGAACCTGCTTTGTGATTCTCCACACACGTACTTGCCCATCTGGTATCCAACCATCCCAAAAAAGATTCATAACCGTCAAATGTATACATCACACAACTCATCAGTATAAACATGGTAGGTTCAAATCATGGATAGCATGCACTTGCCTTCACCACCAGAAACAACACGAAAATCTCCTGCGGAATTGAACGGTTCAGTAACGGCTAGAGCAGTTACACAGCGTTTATGCGCATCATTGATTTCGTATTGAAGACGACCGCTTTGTGGACCGAATGCACGAATTTTGCCATCGTTCCATCCAGAAATCAAAGAAGATCCATCTTTTTTAAATGTAATGCATTTGCATTCAAGATTGGCAACGGCAATCCGTAGCAGCTCGGTAGATGTGTGTGCATTCCAAATACGAATATCTGTATCAGACGCCGTGGCAAATACATCCGAGGACTCACTATATAGGTTGGATAGAGTGGTAACATTTCGGTTGTAAAAGGTGGAAACCCCATTGTAAGCATACATGTTTAAACTCTTTGCACACATCAAATCAATTCTCGATTTTGGGATGGTATTCATTGCCACATTGAATTTCAGGGAACATGGGATATTGAATAGACTTACGTTGGAAAACAAATGTCGTTGATGGATGCGTAGTGGCATGTCGACTTTAATGTAGGAGAAAACTCATCCAGCATCACTGTGTATATGTTCGAGTAAGCCGTGCCAGCAAAAAACTGTTTTTCGTCATCAAAGGTAATCGAAGTGACGCTGCCATTGATTTTGGTTTTTCTGTCGAAAATAAAAACAAGAACGACGGGTGAGTTTCAAAGTTTAATTTAAAGCATAATTGGACACTTACTTGACAATACTCAATTTGGGTAGCGAAAGCTTGGCTATCACTCCATCCCCGCAACCAACAATCACCTCGTCGCCTTTAGGTGTTAGTGCAGCTGAAAGAATTCCCATAGAAAACAGTTCCTACATATTCAAATAATCCAGTAGTATCAATGCATGAATTCAATAACGCATGAGTAATAATTTGACATTTAGAACTATTTGAAAACAAGTACACCTTTTCTTTTGGTGGTCCAGAATGCTTAAACAGTTTTGTACGCAGATTCACTTGCATAAGGTCACCCGTCGTTGTTCCACAGTACATAAACTCGTCATTTTGATCAATGTCAATACATTTGACGACTCTTTTGATTTGGCCCGTTTGACAGTTTGTAGCACGAATTTTTCTTTGAGAAACGTTGAGCTCCCAAACACGCAGTGTGCCAACCCCGCCCGTGACAAATGAAAAATCGTCATTCTGAAGGTATGCAAGAGCAAGAGTAATGCCTGAAGAGTCAGTTGAGGCTGGAGACCCACATATTGCAGCGTATGTAGATAAATCCCAAACAATCACCGCGTTGTCGTCTTCTCCTCCTAATGAAGCCAGATATGCACCTGAAGGAGAAAATGCCAAGGCTTGCACTTTGACTTTATGCAGGGTAAGACGATGAAGAAGAGTTCGATCATGAAAGCTCCAAATGATGATGTCTGCCTATTTTTACAGAATGGCCAAAGTGTGGTTAACATCATGTCCAAGTTGTATATGGATGCTTGAAAATAAACGCATGTCGAGTTTATAAAAAATACCTGAAATCCTTTATGAGTAACCTGCCCAGACGCAATATATTTGCCGTCTTTGGACACGGCAATACAACTCACAACATTTGTATGCCCCTGTAAGAATTCTTGCATACTTTTTTTTCTCGAATCGTTGATGACTACAGTAGAGCCAAGCGAGTAGATCGTATGGACTCCATCTGGATGCTTAATCAAGCCGCCTGGCACGGTACCTACATGATTATTTTAATGAAAATAGATTCGAGTATATTTTTATAGTTAGAACATGATAATCTACAACGTATTAGAAATAAACGCTACATGTTTGATAGACTAATGGCAGTCTACTGATGGATGAAGTTGCTACACAAGATATGCCGCTAATACACGACACTACAGAATACATAAATAGTATATGTAGTACGACACGATATTTCTTGCTTGTATAAATGTACTCTCATTGAGTTCAAGATACGTTGGCAGATATACTCTGTAACCACTAGACACGTCGAGTTTTGACAAAGCTTGAACCTTGCCAGTTGAAACTATACAATACTTGTATATAGCATACCTCCAAATCCAATAATTGAGTTGAGCTTCAAATTTTGAAAATCTAGAGTTTCTGTCATCTATTGCAAATATATACTATCTTTGTACTTGTAAAGATACAAACAGCAATTATATTGTAATGGCTGAACAATGCGTCACGTCCGAGTTTGTAATATATCACGTGCTAAACGTGATATATTACCATTAGAGTTTGAATTGCACATCACAATTGATGCTAAATGAAGCTAGCCAGAGTGCTGAGATTTGGAGTTGCCAAACATGTAAAACGCCGCATTACTATTCTTACATCTGAGTTTCTTCAAATAAAAGGCTACTTGATCGTTTAGTAAGTTGGAATGTATCAAAAAACACATTTCTATTGGCAAATGATACTTGCATATTTACAAGTCCTAGTTTGAGTTTATTTGCAGCTAATTCACGTAAAATGAAACACTTGTATTTTACCTCGGAATATCAAAACAATATAGTAGCAAACCCAATAAAAATATCCAAAGAAACAATTCGAATTTATTGGCGAAACAGTTTAAGCCTTCATCCTCAATATACCAAATACCGATCTTAATCCAGAAAATTAACTAATGGCGTTGGCAACACGAGCACTAATATCAGCATCTTGACTCCTAACACAAATCTCCATTGATACACCGGAAGAAGGATCAAACGCCATTCTAGCTTTGGTAAGAACTTGGACTCCATTAACAAACGTGCCCGCCATCATCATTGCGTGTGTGGTAGCCTTTTCACTCACATTGTCACAACCATTGAGTGCCTGCATACCAAGCATGTCGCAGGTGCTCTTCACAGCTTGCAAAATTCCTTTGACGGCTGTAAGCGCATACGCTTCAATAACTTGTCCGGCCTCGCCAGCATCATTCCAAGCACGATCAAAATCAGCAACATACGTTGGCAGCATGTAATCACTCAATGTGATTTCCACATCCTCCAGCAAATACTCATCGTCGAATCCTTCTTCATCAGGCTCGCCAGTATTGGGATCACAGTCCTTGACAACAAACTTTAATGTATTGGAAAAGTATGCTGTGGGTGTAGCATTATTCAAGCGTTGATAGACGACGTAGATTGACGCAGGAACATCGTATACAAGCTTTTCAGCCGTAATAATAAATTCAGGCTGGAGCTCATGGATGTCTTGACTATCGGATGATTGAAGACCCATAGATACAGAAACATTTTCCAACATCGAGTCATCAAGAGTGTTTTTGCATTCAAATTGAAAGACAAAATGCTGAGGGAAAACATGCTTGACACACGTAACAATATATTCAGTTTCCGCTTCAGTGAGATCGACAGCTTGGGATGATTTGTACAAGGGACCAAGTGATGCAAGCTGGGGAATATTGCTCATAATCGTGGCATAAACAGATTGTGCGTCAAATGCACTGCTGGCTGCACCTGCCGAACCAGAGATGGCAGATATGCTGCTGTGGGTTGCTGCAGCACCATTCGAGACACCTCCAGCACCAGCAGTTGACTGATCACGAGCAGCATCCTTGACACGCTGACGCTCAACCTGGTCTTGCTCTTTGCTTACCACAGCAACAGAGTTGATATCAAATGGCTTGTCATATCCAGCAGGGGTTTTAAGATAATGACTCAAATTAGCCTCTAGGGAAGCCAGTGCAAAAGTGGAGTTGTTTGCAATGTACTTGCTTGAAAGATCAGGATTATTCAAAATACGTAAAAAGAGAGCGGCTCTATCGCGTACTTCATCATCAGAGTCGTCGGTGCATCTAAACCAAAAAATGAACTGATTGTTCAGAAAGTAAAAGTATCATGGGAGAATAGCAATTAATTGACACTACCTATCCAGCAAAACACAGATTCTTGGGCGAGCATCTTCTAAATGAACTGCAAACTGGGCCAAAGCAGAAACCGCAGCAGCTCTGACAATGGAGGTTTCCAAAATAACTCGATTATAGATAAAACGAATATACTTTGTAGGATTCGAGGCATGTGGTCCCTCGGCACCAAGCACATGAAGAATTCTAACAGCAAGTTTGGCAAATTCGCAGTCTTCAATAAACTCACAAAGGTGAGAAAGAGCAAATTCTTTGGATTCAGGAATAGAATGGATAATGTCAAACATGGCGTCAACAATAGCACTTTTGAAAAAATAGCCGCCGTCATCACGAAGTACTCCTGAAAGAAAATTAAGCATGAGAGTTTGTTTTGAGGGGAACTTGAGGCAGAGAGATCGTACTGCATCAACAACAATAATTTTAAACTCGTCGGAAATCTCGGACATGAATCCAGAAATCTGCTTCATGAGTCTGTCAACACTTGCTTCATTTCCGGTCTAGCATACATTACAATCAAGTATGAGTTGATATGTGTTAGTATCAAAGATATTACAAGTCAGTCAAGTAATGATAATACCTTGAGAAGAGTGGTAATGGCAAACGTGGCAATAGATCGATTAGAATCGGTAATCAGGTTTTCCATGTCCAAATTACAAGGGAACACGGCATTAGGATGAATCATTGCCAGCCTATTGAGTGTTCGAATAGCAGCAAAACGAAGAGCTGGCTTGTGATTGACAATCATAAGCTGAAGAGCTAGTGAATATAAATAGAATAAGATTCAGAAAAAAGTATATATAAGCATTTTGGTCATACAGTGCAAACACGATATCGAGTTTCTGTTTACCAGAAACAGCGGGAAACAATTCCTTGGGGGTGACGTTTTTGAGACTGCAGATTGCACGAGCAGCTTCATAAACAACCATGTCATTTTTATGACGCAGCCAGCTCTCCAGGTATTCGTAAAAAGCGCGTCTATTGTGCATTCACGATTTAAAATAGAATACATCAAGGATATTAGCCAAAAAACAGTGTAAAAGGCCTTGAATGCTTAGTGCAGTTGAATCGATTGGTGATACAACTTACGATGAAGAATCTTCGTCCTCCATGATTTTCCAAGCATAACGAATAAGCATTACAATTGCATGGGGTGATCTTAATGATCCACGAGCATAGTTTTGAACCATCTTGATAACGGCCATACGATCGTGTTGACGCATGAGATATAGTAGACCAAGCGCATGATATTGAGCAGTGATACCTTTACTGCTGATAGCCTCTTGTGCTTCATTTGCCCAACGCTTTACAACTTCCTTGTTCAACTGAAACAAATGGATAGAGGAAACAAGAGCAGCACTAGATACAGCGACATTTTTGTCTACAATGGCTTGCTTGATAAAACGCTCAATACCTTGCATCATAGAAGCCTAATTGTCAATGCACGAGTTGAATTGATCAGTCATAAGATGGGGAATAAATCACAAAGTAGATCATGGAATATTATACATCAGTGATTTTGCAGAGAGCACGAATGGAGTTGGGTCTGTAGATTAAGTCAGAGCGAGCATTCATGTCCTTTGTCAGACTCGAGGTGACGACAAAAACATCCTGTGCAGTTTTTGCCAGTTCCTTGATTGCCAGATAAACCATTTGTCGAAGTGAAACCTAGACATGTGCAATTTACTAATGTCAGTAAAAGTTGGAGCGAGTCTAAAAGTATGAAATGGACATTATTCATCAGTGGAGATCTGAAGACTTTAATCCAATGCAGCCATGCCAGGGTGAAGTGATGATAAACTAAAATCATGCATCATGGCATGATTTTAGTTTAATACGATATTATCCAGCAGACATGGCTGCACTCATCATTATCCCAGCAGTCATGTAACAGTCCAGTAACAGTCCTATAACAGGAGCCACATGTAGCAGTCTGTATCCACACTCATAGTAGTCAATGCATGACATACATCAGGATTCTGAAATAGTTTTGAGATGGAGAAAAAGGCATCAGTAGCCTCTTGCGACTGGTAGGTTTGTCCCTGGTGCAACAGATACACAATCTTTGTGATGATGATTCGACACTTTTTTGGGTTGATGGGCGACTCGTTGAATGCTCTTGATTCCTGCAGAACAGTAGACTTGTCCAGACTACCACCAAACAGTCCATCTGTAAAAGAGAGCGGTTAGCTGTCTGCAGTACTGTCATGGTGTAATTCATGCTTACCAGTATCTTCGTCATGCTTCTTGCCCGACATTGCGTGAGGTTCAAACCAAGATCCACAATAAGTGCTAAGAAATCAAACCAATTGTTTCCAAAGTCTTTACTGTTGATTTCAATTCTCTTATGTTTTCTGGCACGTTTTGACTTTTTGCTTTGTTTCTTGAATTCGGTCGTTTTGCCATTTTGTTTCTTTTCCTTTTCACTTGCTAACCAGTCATGTTTGTTCCTGCTGTCTATCGCACTCTGTCTGCTGGAAGATCGTCCTCCCGTCTGGGCTCCTCTGCCACTGCAATGCTCAACCCCATGCGCACAAATGTCTCTCTCATCCCCCCCAATGTCTCTTCCATGCGTGAGCTCGGTCGTCTCCAATCTGCCTATCCTCAAGCCCATCCAGAGATTTTTGCTCGTATGACTGCCTTTTACAAGGCTGTTCCCAAAGGACAGGCCAATGCTGTCAAACCAACCACCTTCTGGGGAAAGTACTATGAGAAATATGTCGAAAATGACTCGCTTTATCCCATTCTGCATGTCATTGGTGTCATGATTCCTATCGGCTTCTATATCCAGTACTACGCTGGTGGTGTAAGTCATTGCTAATCCATGTTGAATACAAACTGTTCAAGAGTGTGGTCCTTGAAAAGTAAATGTGTCTAGCGTCTGGATGGTAGAGGTTGAATGGCTAGATCTATATTGGCTGTTTGACCTCTTTATCTTGATTGCATTCTCGCTTGACTCTGTATCTCATTACTATCACTACTAACAACTAATGTTTGTTTTTTATTCTATCCTGGAAAAATCAACCATGTACCCTATGTGATTAGCACTGTAAGTAATACCTATTTACATCAAACTGATTGCGATCGTTATTTTTAGACCACTGCAGATAACTAACTGATGTGTTGTATAACTAGATCATCCATCAAGGGAGTTCCATTAATTGCTGAATTCTAGAAATGAACCATTTCATGTTATTCCTTTTGAATTGCTCAGATTACATTGGTTTGTTGAAGTTTTAGAGAATCTGTGTTCAAGTCTAAACTGATGTCAATCAAATGTATGTGACAGATTTACAATCTACATTCGTATTCACCTGAAATAGAACATGGAGTGATAAACAGTCAACCTCGTGAAATAATTAGTGCCAATACTACTGGACAACTTGTGTTCTTTTGAATCGTTTTTGGCTTTAGCATTCAAAACATGTCCTTTTGCGTATGAATCTCTACTTTTTTATGGAAACCTTTTATAATATATTGTCATCAAACACATCAAAGCTACAATGTGTGTGCTTTATATGATGGTCAGTGTGTTTGGAGATTAAACAAGAGAGCTGTCAAGATCGTAATATTGACTTTCTAAACAATAGCATGCAATATTTTCAAACACGTATCTGATTGAAACTACATACTGTACATTTTTGAAACCTGCAGAAAATGACTCGAGTATAATAAAGAATGAATGTGTACGTCGAGTCATACAGAAACTGAGTTGATTCAAGTTGATCTCTAGTAGAAACCAATGACGATTCAGTCATTTCTATTCCCAATCAAACGGCAAGATAAATTCCATTTTACACAAACTGCGATCTAAACGCTCAATTGGCACGGGATATACACGTGACAACTCATTTGGTTTTTCCTGGAAATACAGCCAAAACGACACTTCAAATCAACTGCAGGAAAGATGTTCGCTCGTGCAAGCCGTATTGCTAATGCCACTACTCGCTCTACTGCCTTTGCTCGCCCATCTTTGCAGATGCAGCAGTTTCGTAGCAACTGGAACTTTTCGTCTGCTTTGCCCAACCTCAAGGGTATCAATGGCCAAACCACTCTAGGTGAAGTCTGGGATCGTGCTTATGTCAAGTACCAATACAAACTCATGTATCCTGTATCTGCCTGGATCTTGTTCCTGTGGTACAATCTCTGGAACCCGTAAGTTTCCATCACATCTGTTTGCTCAGTTTGAGATTGAGCTGTAGATGGCTCTTGTACAATCTGTCTGGTTGGATGAAAATCCAATGCACATCAGTTGTAATGCTGCTTGAATCAACTTGAACCCATCTCTGAAAAGTTTGGGTCAAGACATGAGTACTTTTGTTCGACTTTGCTTTTCTTTACATTTGCAATGGGTTTGATTCATGCTCAATCTTTCAAGACAGTCCAATTTCAACTGCATGGCTAACTATTTTCTCTACGGATTTTGATGATAGATATGCTCCTACATCAGAAAAGGCTGAGAAAAAGGCTCGCTTGGATCACCTTAAAAGCCTCGAGTTCCATCAGTCCCCTTGAGAGATTCAACCTGAATCTGCTACATTTCTGATGGTCCGATCTAAAATGTCTAATGAATTTTACAATGAAAGATCGTACCATTTGGCATTTTTTATATTATGGTTGGACGTAGATTTACATTATGACGCTCACTTTTACAGCCGTATTCACGTACATGGACCACTGGACAAGAGTGCCGAAATATATAAACCCGCCAGTCTTGTGAATGATGGGTACCAATCTACTGAACAATATTGTTTTATGGGCTTTTTAGTTGACTGTTTTGGTAATTGGCATGTACGGTTGCATTCCTGAAATATACGTGTCTGCAAGTTTTAGAATACAACAGACGAGTTTGTATAGAATTTGATGAACAACACCAGAATCCAATATATGGATTGCAATGAATGAATCTGGAGATCGTATAATGCATGAAACATTTCCAAGTGCACATCTTATTTTGGACAACATTCCATTTCACAAACCAACTCTCATTCGTCATGGTTTATCAACTGCTCAACAGTAATACCACAAAGTAAGCCTTGATATTACCCATTCTTAAACCCTGTCAACAAAAATGGTTTTGAGCAATTTCAAACAAGACTACAATATACAAAATAGCGTTGGATTTAAGTTGGGTTGCCATAAGTATATCGCTTTCGACCTTCTCCGTATATTCCATTAGAGACTCTCTTGGTAAATGATCCAGCCACAGCATTACTGTTATTTTGATATCCACGATCCAACAACTCGGCACTCATCTGTACACTATCATGTCTTGAATCCACTCTTTCATCACGCCCATACGTTGTATTTGATCCGAGTGAGACAGATGGCAAAGCATGCTCGCGAGTTGCAGTATAATCATATGTCTGAAGTGATGGTGTGCTGGAGTAAGGGTTTGTCAAAGCGGTGCCATGCCCTTTTGCCGATACTTTGGCACTGGCATGAGAAATCACTGTATCTATAAAAGAGTCGATGGTGGATATTCCAGCCTCACTTAAAACCTGTGTAGACTAAATGTATGGTAGATCAAGTTAGTCCATTTGACACATCAAGTATTTGGATTCAAGCCATGGATGTTGATCCATCATTTGGTTACCATATGGATAGACTGCAAGCCATACTCGTCAATAATGGATCTGTTTTTTAGATAAGAACGATGGTTTGAGCCTGGGATCAGAAAGGAGAGATCAGGAATGAGTTTAGGTGGTAAAGGAGACATGTCGATCATTGTGCCCACAACGAGCATTGGGATAGAAACTGATTCAAGATGACTGGTGGTATTGGATGGTTGAGATGCATGGTCTTGTACTACAACTACATCAATGTCTGTTTCTCGAAACGAATGAGATGAAGACACTGGACAGAGTGTCGATAGTGACTCGAGGGCCTCATTCCGCCATGAATGCAAGGAAGACAGCGTAGACTGTAAGCGAACGTCATGAACGAGAATCAATCCATGAATACCAGAATAGAATGGACGACGAGATAAACAGTTGTTGGATCTACCAGCAATATCGACCAACTCTACTGTGACTGGTGAGTGGAGGGTAGAAGGATTGTGAGTCTTGACTGATAGAGTGCAACCTCGAGTAGTGGTTGGAGGTCTGCCAGACTGCAAGAGAGGAGATCCAGTGCAGATGAGGTTGGCAAGACTAGTCTTTCCTACACCAGAATCTCCAACAATAGCAATACGAACCGAGCTTATTCCACCATCGTGTATATTAGTTCTCCACATTCAACCGTGCTTTAAAGTTGATATTCAATCAATTCAACATTTTATAGCTTTATTCAGAGAATAGAACACTATCGAGTTGGATTGCTTTAAACCAATGACTAGATATGTATTGTCTTACTACAAACTGACGTAGTGTCAATCTGAAAATACAACCATCATACAATACAAAAGTAAACTAGTTTTGAATTGAAACCACATCTTTCTCATGTTTTGGTTCAACTATTATACACTTTCCAGATTCATTCATTACAACCCAACGTCTGGTTCAAACTGTTTTCAATACAACTCTGTACAAACTTTTATATTCTAGCATCAGATACATTCTAGCTCAAGAAACCAAAGGTTGGATGGTTTACATGACAATCAGCAGTCAATCAACGAATTCACAAGATAATATTGTCCAGTAAATTGTGGTGAGAATCGACTGGGTTTATATTTTAATATTTTTATTCCATTTTACGTGAATACGGTGGTGAACCTCGACACATTCAAAGTTGCTGAGAACCATCTATTGTGGATTATCATCACTACTATCATGACTAGGTGGGTCAGGACTGGGTTTAAATAGACTGCTTGAAAATGCATTGACTGTTTATAATACCAGCATGGACTGAACAAGTCATTCAGAATGCTGAGTTGATCCATTCTTACTGCTGCACTGACTCGTCAGTCTTGGATTGATTCATATGTGGCTCTCATATCCCTGCAGTCAAGCTGTTTTAATTATGGAAACCAACACTGCATGAATCTAACTGTATTTCAATGATTTTATATTACAGTGACCTGGTCGATCAACTACCGCCTCAGCTGGCGGCTAATGTGAAGGCTCTAATGGATTCTTATCCACCCGCTACAGATGTCCTAATGGCTGTCCTTCAGCACTATGCTTCGACTGTATCACCATCTTCTAGTAATCCATCCACTACTACAACTGGAAAATCAGGAGACCATCCATCACCCTCAGCCATGTCCGGACGTGCATCAACACAACTGCAATCACTATCTAGCCAACTCGGCTCACCCATTCTCATCCTACACGATCTATCCATATCATCTCCAATCCGAAAAAAACTACATTTATGTATCTACTCTACTCACATCATTCTCACCTCTTTGCTTTTATCCACTCAATCATCAGACTCTGAGACTCCTTCATATGCTGCCATATTTCCTATCCATCAATTAAAGCGCATCATCTGTCTGCCTACACCTGAAAGAACAAAACCTCATTACACATTTATGTTTTTGTTTGATGACGGATCAGAGACGCAGCAACTTTTTCCAAACTGTATTGCATTGGGTGTGGATGAAAAAACAACAGTAAAGATAACACGGCACGAGAGTGAACCAGAGACTCTATCCATATCCAATTGCAAAAGTGTGTTGTGTAAAGAAATCCTTGATGCAATGTCACAAAGTAGTGGTTTAACTACCGACTATGCAAACTCAATCGATGAACCCACCCCACAGGTGTTTAAATCAAACGAATCTAAAGCAGGGCGTACAGACGTTTACTCTGTTGCATGCCACATTCGAGCCAAAAGCGGGTAGGTGTATACTGTTTTGCATAAACGGATTCGTGTAATCTAACCTTGGTCATGTTTAGTTTTTTGTACTTTCTTGAATCTGGAATTTTGTTTGGGTTTAAAAAACCTATCATCTACCTTGATGTTGCACACATACTACGCTGCGATATGTCAGGAAGAACGGGTAGAACATTCGACTTGACTGTGCGCACACTTAATCCCATTGATCCAGAGCTTCCTGCCACAGTCACATCGTTTGAAATGATTGACAATGCCGAAGCCATAGGTGTTTCCACGTATATGGATTACGTTCATCAACGCGTAAAGAAATTAAACCGTAGTGGTGTAAAAGTTTCCAAAGGCAAGATTGAAATGAATGCAAACAGTCTAGGTACAAACGTGTCGGCTATGGATGAAGATGAAGATGGCGATTTCATGGATGATGGTCATGCGGGTGATTTGGATGTAAGTGGATCATATTTGTCCAAGTACTAGAAACGATAAAGCTAAACATCCCAATGTGTCAACTTTGGTCAGTTGGCAGAAGAGTTTGACTCGGAACATGAGACAGATTCCGAAAAGTCGTCGATTAGTGTTGGGTCAAAAAGCGATCAAGACGACGAAAATGGATCTGATGAGAATGAATCTGACGAGGACAGATCCTCAAACAGTGATAATGAAACTCAAGAAGCCGAGGACATTGATCTTGAGCAAGCCGAAATCAATGATATATCACCCAGCTCAATTCGATTATCTAAGCGAAAAGCTGGTGATGAATTTATAATGGATGATGATCCAGATATCAGTCAAGACGAGATAGCCTTGCCATCATCACGGTCGCCCATCAAAACCACATCAATTTTAAAGCAGCAAATGAAAGGATCAAACCTGAGTGATAATCTAGGACACAAGCGTGCTCGTGGTGTATCGAATATGACTGCTCAATTACAGGTCATTGAGAATGAGCGTGTTGGCCGATTAAAACATGCTTACAATGAGCAAGAATCAAGTAAGTTGGTTTCTATAACTATACCTGAATAGTTTGCTAACTATTTTTGAAATAGATACCAAACCATTAGCGGTTTCTGGCGAAGTTGATTTAGCAGATACGGACGGTGATGAAGAAGAAGAAGACGATGAAGAAGACGATGACGAGGACGTGAATGATATCATTGATGACGATGAGATTGATCCTGATATTGAAGATGCGGAAATGGAACAGGAGATTGAGTCGGATGCTATAGATGACGACGAGGAGGATGACGAGGGGGCAGGTGACGATGATGATGAGGATATTGACATGTTGAAACAGGATGGGCTGGAACTGTTGGAACCCTCTGCTCAATCAACACATCCTGCTGAAATCGAAGATACAAGTGTTGCATTAGATGTGTCTATTGGTGATTGTGATATTTTGACCGTGGCTGCTGGTGAGAGTGCTGGTGAAACCAATATTCAGCTGGATGATTTACTGGGATAAATTCAATCAACAAATTATTGTAATTGTAGTTGAAGTAGTCCAACGTTTGATTAAATAGACTATTTCACTTTAAGCAGTCAGATCTGTGTTAAACTGACAAGTGAACTGCACTATTGACTGCCTTGTTTTCAACCCCAAATTTGCTATACTTTTACGTTAATTCTAAATGCCTCGAGAATATTAGTGTACTACTGTTTGTTTATTTTCAAGACATACAAACCAGACTGTTGAAACAATGAATTGCATTGATAGGTTTATGTTACTCGAATTGAATGGATCAAAGATTAGCCCTGTCTTCAAGTTGTACGCACACAATACAGTGAGCATTGAGATGAAGTCAAATTCCACAAATATATCGATATGTGGTCATTCCTGAAAGCTTATTGGTAAAATCACAACCGACGCAATGCCACACTAGTAATAGTCTGACCGACTGCACCACCAAATTTAAAAACAGGGTATTTGATTCGATCCATAAACTCAAACAGAGAATGTGATGAACCATCCTTGACATGTATCGTTCCAGCTTTAAACCGATCAAGAATCTCTGCCTCGGTCCAATTGCATGATGTCAGCAATAGCACACCACCTGGCTTGATCATTGCTGCAACAGTCTCTACATATGTGTCAGCGGGCGATTTTTCACCCGTTTTTTCACATAGACTGATTGCATCTAAAGTTCCTTTGTCTAAAGCAAGAGTGTAACGGATGCGATGATCCATTGTAGATGCGTGTACCGCTCCTGATATATCATCTAGATTGAGAATATCTAAACAAGCAAAGGATGCCTTTGATGGTGGAGTGTGAGAGGATCCGATTTTTTGAGACAGATTGATGGATTCCTTCGAGTAATCCACTCCTGTTAGATTGACAAACCCAAGGTCCTCCTAAAACAAGAGTATATTGTTATATTTAACCGCCATTCACGGATGAATCAAGGACATGATTGTTGTAGACATACTAATCTAAAGAGTAGATGGCCGTTGCCACATCCAAGATCAATCACTTGAATAGTCTTGTCATCAAAGTTGTCTTGAACCTATTCATGTGCATTAATTTAGACAATCCTCATTGTTTCATCAAGAACTTTAATAAAAGCCATGCATGATACTATACTTGCCCAAGTCACCATTTTGTCAACACTATCTTCACCAAACCATATCTCTCCTTCTTCGCCATGATCAACAAAGTTTTCTACTTCAGTATTGTAAACGGAATCCCAGCTACAAGGTAGATGTCACAGTTGAAGATTGGATTAGTTGGGATAAAAAAGCCATGATTGAAAGACTGTTACTCAACTGTTCTTTTGTGCCAAGTTTAGAACTGCAAAGTTCTGACATTATCACGACTGTTGATAATATGAAAAGATAAAATGGGAAATAGCAATTATCACTCTTGATGTTTTGAAAATATCGGTAAATTGTTGATTTGAATGGCAAGAGCATTGATGGCTCGTATCTTGTACTAGGATAATCTGACTTGTCGACACGATCAGCTTATTAAACAATTAACGGACAATCCATGAGTATCCTAAAACATGATAGTTACTGACATTCTTTCATTTTATTATCTCCATTCACATTCCTTTTGTCTTTAGCTCAAGTACTTATTTCAAATTGAACGATGTTTTACACCCACACGAAGTCTCGGCATTTGGATTTCCAACAACCTGAAAACTTGATCCAATCAATTCGTCGACAAAATCAACAGTAGATCCGTTTAGCATGTCCAAGCTCATAGCATCGACAAGAACTCTAGCTCCATCCTTTTCAAACAATCTAGCATGGATTCAAAAGTGGCAGGCGTTAATTTGATATTACATATTGAGTATTGTGTTGAGATTGAGCTAGCTTCAAAACAAACTACACACATGTCGTCTGGTTGTGATTCTTGGGTGAGCTCAAGCTTGTATTGAAATCTAAATCCAAAGCATGTTTTAATAATACATTCAAACCGAATCGAATCAGCGTCAAGGAATCCAGTAGTGATACAACTGTCAAATTACCCATGACAACCGCCTGAATCAACAAGTACTCGTAGTGCCATATCTGTTTGATCGTTAAGATTGATTTCCCGGATTCTCTATTATTATAAATCAAAGAGGATCAGATAAACAGATCTCGACGATTGATGCAAGAGCAGCAGATTGACTAAAGTATGTCCAAGATAATCAAAGCATGCACCAAGCATCAGACTTGCCTTTGCAGCCTGTTCAGAAATGGCTACGTGGGGTTTCCCAACTGTGTGATGAGAGCGAATACCTGAATGCATGGCAGCATCTAAATCCAGCACATTCTGTTTTTGTAGTAACCCACCTGTTTGTCTATAGCCAGTCTGCATTGTAAAACTTGTCTGTAATGAAACTGACCCATAATTTGATTTGGCAGTCTGTCTTGAGTGTGAGTAGTTGCAGGAATATGAATACATCCAAGTAGGCAGAGAATCCATATGAGTTGATGCCAATGCTTTACAGAGTATGGGGCTAGATTTGTGAGAGAGCCTTGTCAATCCACCCATGATACCTGTGAATAGCGACTGTCTTGCTATCATTTTTCATTGACAGAAGAGAATTTTACAGACTCGAGAAAGCTCTTTCAAACTGATCGAGGCTTACTTTTGACATCAGTTTGCACTCCAATGAAGAAGCATGTTTTGTTCTAGTTTGAGGATGTGTCGAGTCAACTGAAGTTGATAATACCATCAAAGCAAAAATGTTGGTCTCAGTTACTGGCAGGAATCTGATGAATGCGAATGGATTCGGATAAACAGTGGCAATCGAGAACGAGCCACGATCGCAATTAGGTTTACCAGATTGACTGCGAATATTCCAGAATACTCGTGCATGTTGACGCATGTTCATGCATGTTCACGCAACAACAAAACTATAAAAACAAGCTATTGAACGCATGAGCGCTCGACTATACAATATCAACTGCAATTTCTTATACTCAAGCAACATGTCTTCTCTATTTCGAGTGTTTCCTGAAGCTAGAAGTCTAATGGATCCCATGTCCAACAGACTCTCTACACCATTTCATGGTCCTTCCTATTTAACTCATCATCCCTTTTCCCGCCATATGTTCCCACTGACTCATCCTTATATGTTTCCTGACCCGTTTACTCTGTCGTTTCCTCCTTTTGATCGTCAAGCCATGCGTCATCCACTAATGGATGTCGAGGAAACAGAATCGTCTTATCTGGTCAGCGCTGAAATACCAGGAGTCCCGCGCGAGTCGCTCGTCTGTCGAGTCGAGAATGGGGACACTCTAGTGATAGGCGGATCGGTATCTTCCAACAATGGCACTGAGCCTGCTAATGTTACTGGAACTGAATCAACAGATTCTGCTGTTATTGCTCGAGATCCAAAGGCGCAACCCAGTGAGCGCATGTATGGAACCTTTCAACGATCCATTTCATTTGGAGTCAAGATTGACCCAACAAAGCTCAAGGCAGGCCTAAAAGATGGAGTGCTAACTGTTGAAATACCCAAAGAACCCAGTGCAAACTCGGTGGACATTCCTATTATCTGAGCCAACTCAGCTTGCAATACCCAATCAAATAAAAACGCTTTGCATCAACGAATAGAAAATAGAGTGGGTGGAGGTTGCTAAGCCAATGCAACTTTAGACTTGCATTCGGTTTGAAACTTTACTTTGATTTTATTAAAAATTACAATTCGCAGGCCTTTAAAATGAAAATTGCCTTTGATGTTGGATGTTTGAGGGATCACCTGTATGCAGCCATCGCTGTTCTAGTTGGATTGGTAAGTAATTAATGCCGAATAGGCTGTTCGTACTGCTGGCTACCAATGCTACTAGCAGTACAACATTAAGGGCTTCATTGTCGCACCACTCATGCTGCAATCTTTAACGCCTCATTCTTGTACTCTAGTAACGAATCCACACTAACCATTGATACTCGTACCAACTCTTCTATCCCATTATAGTTTGGATGGTTTATGTCGTTTATTGGTCTGTGTCTGATTGGTACTACCATTGCTCCGTTTGCCAATGATGTCAAGCGCAATCGAATCAATTGGTTTTATACCTTCTTGCATCTGTTTGTGCTGCTAGCAGTTTCTGCCACCATTTTCACTCGCACTGTCCGTCCTACTCGAGTAGCTGTAAGTTGTACCAATCTCAATGACGATCGGTACTATTAAATCGTACTATTGCTGCTTGAAATTCCATCTAAAGCAACATTAACGCTTTGCTATGACTAGGTTTCGGGCTTTTTGTCCCTCTCTCTTGTGACGCTATTTTTGGGTATGGACTTGGCTATTCTGGAAGCTCAATTTACTAGTAGTATTGCTTCTGCTGCCAATGTCAGGGCTGCCGGTACTTTTTTCCTTACTGCATCCTTTGTAAGTCTGCACTGGTGTGACTACTAGTATTCAATCCTCACTTGAAGCACTTGCACCAAATAGTTTGGTTTTTCATGTTCGGATGAAATCAAACTCATCAAGCAATTGCTAAGCTGTAGCTTTGATGTGTTCAAATGCCGTTTTATGCAATGCATGCATACACCTATGCACCATGAATCTACATGTCAGTTTATCGTTTTAATCATTTAATGTATGCAATTCAACTTTAGGCTATACTCTTGTGCTATTATGGTATTGAATGGGAAACCATTTTTGACAATCAAGATTCTGGATATATCAAGCCCAGAAACAGTACATATGGTCCACCGATTTCTAGTGCTGCTCCAAGAAGTGCTGGATTTGCTCTCCCAACAATGAACTTTAACGCTCCTACAAAGCCTACCCAGTCTGAGCAACCTACAACTTCAAATCCTAGTCAGTCGCTTATTTCTAGTGCAGTTCCAATAGGCATGGCGCCTGCTCCCACAAGTCGCGCTAACATGCTCACTTCAAATACAGCCGTTGTAACTCAGAACAATACCATAGGTGGACAGTCTCCCGCTATGCCTGCGGCCACTGCTACTCCTGGATCGCTTGCCTTCAAATCTTCCGCTGCGCCAAGTTCTGCAATCTCTAATGAACTGAATACCGGACGACAAGTCAAAGCGCTCTATGCATGTAAGTCAATCTTTAATCCTGTTTGTATACCAACCATCAACTAACTCTTGTAATGCGTTTGTAGACACTGCAAATGCTAGTGATCCTGCCGAAATCTCGTTTGTCAAGGGAGAAATCCTGACAATTATTGAAACCAAGGGCAAATGGTGGCGAGTCACCAAAACCTTGGAAAATGGATCCAAAATGGATGGCATTGCACCCAGCAATTACTTGCAAATTCTCTAACCCCCTTTTAAACAAAGATAAATGATTTACCATGGCTCTTGCACACATACATTCCATATTCATGAAACATCTGTCGCCTTGTCAAGGCTCTTATTTTGTAGCTGCCTTAATTTTATCGTTTTGGAGACCGACTTTTTAAAAAGCTGATTAAACTCTGATTTTATGTCTATTCTTTTTATCTTTGCAGTCATTAAAAATTAAATGATTGGGTTTGGATCTTTTTTGATGTTTTGGACTACATATCTTTAAAATAGAGCACACCAAGTTTAAACTATCAGTATGTGTCATCTTTAGCCCGTGTCCATTGAAGACCAGATTTAAAATGAAGAACATCTCAACCCCTTAATTGGGTTTGTAATGATGTGAAAGTGATAAAATAAACATCTACACCACAAAAGCTTCAGAGTCTGTAGTTGGATCATTGTTTTAAAATGTAAGCATATATGGTGGTTGAGTCAAGATGTAACAAGTTGCATTGCGATATAAAAGCAGGCAGCGCCAAGTACTGCATACACCATTGCAAATCCAAATGTCTATTACGTATCACAATACATTCACACCATGAGTAATCAAGTCAATAAAAAGTGTATACTATTCGGTATGTCAATATGTATGCATTTTACCTTGAGTGAGGAATGTGCATGAAAGGATGTCGCACCACTACTTGTTTTTACCGAGATATCTTTACGTTTTACAAAAGACTTGTCATCCGATCCATTAGTTTTGGCTGGCTTTAATTCAGCACATTCCTTCAAATCATCATGAGATTTATATTTTCGTCTACGCTGTGTAATGATGCCTGATCTACTTTCTTGGCTGGGCGTGCTGATTTCATTCGGTATAGCATTGGTTAAACCATGTTCGCCTACAGCATAATTAGCGTTGAGCAATTTTTCAGCTCGCTCAGCTCGTTCACGAGCACTGGCAGCTACAGTAGAAGCTGTTTCAACAGATTTCTTCATCTGTTCGATTTCTTTTCTAAGTGAAGAGATTAATGCACGCATCTCATCCATGTCGTCAACAACTCCACCCAATCTGGTGTCAAATCCTTTTTCCATCTTGATCACCTCACCCACTTCTTTTTTGGCTGAATCTACGATAGCTTGAACACGCTCAGACTCGGTGTGTTGTAGTCGTGTGTGCTCCTTGATGTTGGATATGGCTTTATCTAATCCCTCCAATCGCTTCAATGTACCAGAATTCAAGGTTTTTATCTCGCTTTGCAATTTGGTTTTCACTTCCGCCAACTCTTTGGTTGTTTGATGTGTCGACGCAGTTACTATGCCATTTGCTTCTAAACGAAACTCATCCAGTTGATGCTGCATGCGAGTAAATGCATTCAATTGTGTGTCCTTGAAAAGGGTTGTTGTATAATCTAGACGCTCATCTACAGCCGTAATTTTCGCCAATGCTAGACTGGTGTTTTTTATGCATGTTGTTAATGCAGCTGCCGCATCAGAGACTGTCGCATCAGGTGTATCGGCTTCAGCTAAAGCAGCTACAAGTGTATCAATTGAAGTGGACGTTGTAAATGAACGCTGCGAAATTTCAGCAACTGATTCCTGTACTTTGGTCAACTTTGCATCGTGCAATTTCGTATCTGCATCGAGTTTCGATACTTTGGCAGCAAGTACATCGTGTTTTGTCGCAATGTCATCCACTTGTTTGATATACTCTGGTGAAAGTTGGGATTGTATGTGTTCTGAGCTCAAGGCCATAGATTTCGATATCGCAATGTCTTTTTTGGCTATCCCAAGATTTATTTGGTAAAGATTAGTATCATGTAAGCAGGGTCAAAATGCTTGAACAGTTTGATTTTTATATAGCACAATTATACATAATCCTACCTGAAATAATCTCTTGGGTATTGGCAGCAGTCAAAAGCTGAGAGATGCCACCTGATTCATGTCCCTCGGCCATCAAGGTCCTATGTTCAGGTTGAGTCAAGGCTTGTTCTTCAATCAGTTCAAAAGATTTACGAATGTGTTTTAAAACATTGGCCGCATTGGAAGCCACACGAATCTCATTATCAAGAATGGTATGGGCTTCAGCAACGACCTTGGCACTGACAAAACGAGCATGTTGATCTTGCTGATCGTGCTGGTTCTGAGTGGATTGAAACTGGGCTTGATCAAACGAAGTCATGGTGGTGTTTTTGTTTGCTCCAAGAGAGGTATTGGACATGAGTGCCCAAGAAATAGCTTCAGCTGCATCTAAAATGGATACTTTGCACGACACTTTTTTGTAAACGATCGCTAACAATAAACCATTTCAAGTTAAATTTTCGAATCATCTAAACCTGTCAACCATTAGATCAAGTCGATTTAATTCAACAGCAATCATGTACTCACTAACACCATCGTCATCAACAATATCAATACCAAACTCTAATTGGTCATCATTGTGTAACTCAAACAATGCACTGGTAACACCTTCTTCGCTCAACCGAGTGCCGTTAATAAAAGTACCATTGCTAGATTTTAAATCACGAATATAGACTGTGCTGTTTTCAAATAGTATTTCTGCATGGACACGGGATAGAACTTTGGCATCAAAGATGCCATTGGTTGGCTCAGCAAGGATCCTTGGATTCACTTTTCGACCAATTTTTATAGGTTGGGATTGCGTCAAGGTAAGCATTTTTGTTGTAAAAGTGTGATTGAGTGATTCAAGACGAACACTAAATTAGACATTGGTTAGAATTTAATACATTAAGTTGGGTTGAGATTCCAAAAGTTATCAACCAGAAACATAATGGGTAATTGATTCGGTCAATAGTTTGCTTCTAAAGTTCGATAACGGATACTCTTCACAAGTCTAGTTCATCCCTTGTCATGGCAGTCCTCAGCCAAAAAGGAATTCTGAACCAAAGCAATGCAGTTAAACCCTCGATAACAAAACCACAGTATACTGCTTACATGGTATTTCTGCTGGAAGGCATGACAGCAGAATTATTTGTGCTGGGAACAGAGTCTTCAGGAGCAGCCATTGTTAATCTTGTCCAGATACAGTACAACAAACCAATTTCTTTATTTTTGTGCAAACCTTCATCTCGTGACTTGTCTACAGACGATTTAGATTGCAACTGGACAGCGTGTCGCTTATGATCAACTCATGAAGTTGGCTTCAAGTAGTGGCAAAACACATGTTCACAGTCGCATTGATAAAAGTATCCGAATTTTGGAATAGAAATTGAAACTATGCATCAAGTAACCAATTTCCAACAACATTGAATGTTTAACCATTATTTATTCCAAAATAAAGGCAGTCAATGCAAGATCAATACAGAAAAATGTTTCATTTTACGTGAATACGGCTGTAAATGACGATTTGTTTAAAGGCGGTCTTGTTCTTGCAGTTGAAAAACGAATGAGTTTGGTAGGTTGGAAAAACCGTTCCAACCGTGACCACATTATATTTGAAATAGTGAATGAAAATAGAGGATGGGTAATGAATATATGGTTGGAATGGGTGCACGCTGCCCGATAAAGGAAAAGATGTAGAGCAGACTCGAGGACTTGCAAAAATGAAAAATAAGACGTGAATTTTTAAAATACGATAATAGTTATATGTTGACCAACAACAGTACCAAGAATAAAAGATAAGAGCCAAGTAACAAAAGATATAAGAAAACAAATGCTTAATGAATCAACTCGATCGCTACTTGTTGAAATTAGGAAAGACAGTAATAAGCTAATTAATAAAAGGATCAATGTACATGACGAAAATCCTGCATGGTCATACCGCCACTGGAAATAGCAGGAATGGGAGTAGGCATGGCAGTGGAAAGTGTGGATGGGATATAACCGCCTAGTCCTCCAATTCCAGCACCCATCATGCCAGGAACAACTGCAGAGCGGTTCTGGCGAACGCCGAGCGGGTTTTTGGAGTAGCTAAGACGAATGCCGCCTTTGGTAGAGTTGGACAGATGATTGCCGTACAGTTGGAACAGAGCAGCAGTTGCGTAGTCGACACTTTCAAACTCTACAAAGCACATGGGACCATTGGCACGGGTGCGGAAACAAAGACGCTTAAAACCTGATTGAACAGTAAATATCTGGCGCAGTTCTTCCTCTAATGCGTCATGAGGAAGATTGCCAACATACAAAGTGTTACAGGGTGGATTTTGATCCATGCCGGAAATAAAAGGAATGGCTCCAGCATTATTGGTCGCCATGGTAGTGCCAGGAAAGCTGCTAGAGTAACTGTATTGTGACTGGTTTCCATTCGCTCCAGCAGTACGATCCGAGGAATGAATGGCATAATTGCCAATGCCATTTATCATGCTATTGCCATTATTATGATTGTTACCAAGACCATCACCAAGATGAAAATTTTGGAAACGGCCAGTGAGCAGACTATCGCTGTTGTACAGAGCAGAATTAAACCCGCGCTCACCAATAAAGGCAGATGATGCAGATGTGCCAAACAGCGAGGATGAAGTGGCAGGAGCATGATCAAATGCATCGTTATAGTCGCAAGGCACGTCAATAGGAAATGATGACTGGTAAGAATGCGAGATATGATTAGAGAGAGATGTGTTGCTATTGTTGTTGTGAGTTGTTGAAGGAGTAGTGAGAGATCCCAAAAAGCTGGCACGAGTAGTAACATCAAAGATGTCGGGAAAGGGAGACATTTTATCATCGGTACTGAGTGAAGCAGCCATAGCAGCAGAAGATCGACGAGCACCATTGATGCTAATTCCAACGGGACACTGTGCAGAGGAGTCGTCACTGCTGTTGCTGGCACCGCTGGCAAAACTGTTACTGGTGTTGCCATTGCTGGAAAGCAGTCCAAGATCAAAACGAGATGCGTTTGCTTCGGAGATGCTCATCAGACCACTGGAAGCAAGATTAGAGCCATTGCTGTTGTTTTGGCTAGTGCTAAGCGGCAGATCGTGGATGGCAAGACTGCCTAAAGCATCAGCAGACAAAAGCGGGCCTTGATGGGACAAACTGGGACCAAATGCAGCAAACATGGCAGTGTCTAGTAGACTTGGCTGACGTTTGGTGGTAAAGTTTTTGAGATTCTTTTTTGCAATCTCGGCCTTCAAAATTGCACCACGATCTACATCAATGCGTCGACCATTGAGAACATCACGAGCTTTGACTGCCTCGCTGCGAGTACGAAACTTGGCAAATCCAATCTATGGGATTGATAATCAGGTTAGTTACATGCTGAATCGGTCAAGCCAAAGACGATGGGTAACAAATTGAATGTAAACAATCCCCACAGCAAACTTAATTTCGGTTGGCAAAAAGCATTGAAATCAATACAAACAAAAGCACAAAAAGTCGATTATGAAAACTGTAATTGGCTGCAATATATACCACCAAACAAGATTAACCATCAAGGGCTACGCCAAATATATACCAATCTCAGCAGGTGCTGTTGGAATGGGTAAAGATAATGATTTGAACCAAAGCAATGTAGCAGATGGAAAAGGGCATGTAGATCAACGAGACTGAAAACACAATGACCAGACAAGACTTACAATTTGACGTTTAAGTTGGCCCGTCTGTTCGTCCAACTCCCCTGGCATGGGAACCTTGAGAGCAGCAGCTTCAAAACCAGTAGAGAAAATAAACATATTTTGAAACTCTCTGTCGCTCATATCCTCTGGAAAGCCAACGACAAAAATGGTAGTGATTTCTTCAGAGGACTGAGACAGCTGTTGCTGCTGAGACTGTTGTTGCATATTAAAGGCATGCATAGTCATGGACAGCATTTGTTGTTGAAGAATAGCAGTGGGTTCAAGGGGCAAATGGTGTTGGTGCAGGACCGACATGGCATTGGTGGATGGCATGGACAGAAAGATAACAGAGTCACGCAAAGAGAGGGGTATTGATGGACAGCAGAGTGACACAGATACAAAATATGGATAGCAAATGGATAGCAGTTGCAATAGATGTCCGCAAGAGTTGGAGCGGAGTATTTGAATTAGAAACGGTTTAAAAGACGACACGCAGCAATGGCAAATCACGTGCAGATTACAAGAGCGGAAACAATGAATTCAAAAGGCGTGTTAGTGACTGGTAACAAGAGTTGAAGATCAGCATGGCTGTATTGGCTAGTTGGCTGTATTGACGAGTTGGTGCAGTCATACTAATGATGACTGCACAAAGTGCAAGCAAACAAGCAAGCGGTCAAACAAGTCTAGAATGGCTGTGTAGGTCATTTTTGCAAGTGCCCCAACCATGGCTTCATGTGACCAACTGCTGAAAGTCCTTCCCTCAATCCCACTTGCATTCCATCGATGCTGTCAAGCAATCTGCAGTGCAGGTGTTGGGTATAGATGGACTTGACCTATTCAGGCTGGCAGTAGTACATATACCACATGGGTCAATGTGCCAAGGACTGGTTGGTAAAATATAAACTGGCTGAATGATCAAAATGAGTTTCTCGGATTCGCTTTTTCCGAGCCGGTCTCACTTGACCAACAATATTGCAAATTCGACTTGTCAGTTTTGGAGCATTGCGTATTATCTTGAGCTACTCCCAATCAATAGATATGGAAAGCACCAGATAAATGCTATCCAAAGTCTGTCCATAAACACTGATGTATACCAACACACTCATTGCATCTGCCCTATTCAGGCATATGTTCCAAAGGCAGAACATATCCAAGCCAAAAGAAAACTGCCTGCCAAATAATGGCACGGTTGCTCAGTTGTTGAATAAGAAAAGTGTCGGATAACTATCCAACAGCATCAAAGTAAACAGAAATAATCCAGAATAGTATCATAGATGTTTGGACTGACCTGCAGCGATGCCATAGAGGCAACACCCGGCATCATGGTTGGCGAGTTGTAGGTTGGTTGTAAAATTTGTTGAATAGCTGGGTAAATACAGAAAATTAGCGTGTCGTGTGAACCTGGCTCGTTTATAATTCATTTTTTTCTGTTTTGCAGTGTTACGGCCATATTCACGTACAATGTAACTTTATCTCGCAGCAACTTTGCTTTGAAACAATGATTAAATATTCGTTGTACTTTTATTATAAATAGGTTTTTTCAATTGTCATTCTCAATGTCTGAAATCGCATGCTATAACCCCCATTTTTTATTAAAGTGGCTGCTGGCAGGATTTGGGAATGAACAGTATAGAGTTGTGTAATCCAACTAGGCCTCACAATATTGCCATGTGTCAAACAGCTAAAAACCCATGTTTAATCAGTGAAGTTTTAACCTTGTAAAATGGTATATTGTCTAGAGTCGAATGCACTAGGGAATGTCTTGATGCTCACAATCCTGGAATATCAAAGCATTCACAGCTCCTTTAATCAACCTTTGAACACAGCGTCCATCGTACGAAGCACACAATAGTTTTGAACTGGGACTATCCCTTTCTTTTCTTTTAGCATAGCCATATATTGCATGTTATCCAAATTCATACATTGCAATCCAGATTTCAAGTCTGACTGCTCTGATAGTGACAAACTTTGTATAAACCCCTGCATCTTGAAAACTCGTATGTTTGCGTTATAGTTCAAGAAACCAAAGATTGCACGTCTCGGGAATGCAACTGTTGTTTCCATGTCAGTTATCCAATGTCATAATGATCGAGTTGTAGATTGAGCAAGTGTGGGACTCGTTGAAACAGATGCACTCATTCAGTTCTTGTTAGCGTTGCGTTTTACGTGAATACGACTGTAAATTACATTTCCCTCATGAAAAACTATATCGAGTCTTTTCAGTCCCAAATCACCTCTTGGCATAGTCTCAGAGTTGAATACTAAAACAATGGCGAGATCAAGTATTTATATAGGAGATTTTTAGATTCCTGTTCTAATCAAACAGTTTTGTTGGCTAGTAGTTTGGCATATGGCAATCCATCGAGTTTATGCACCGTAACGGGATAGTTGGTTAGTTTTTATAGCCGATATGAACACAATCGAGTTTCAAACAGACTCGATACATAGAACCAAGTACGACAAAATGATATTTGAACTGGTATACAGCCATATTCGCGTGAAATGAGTCACCAAATCAAAATACATGATAGTCTCATGCTTGATTGTACCAATCATACCGAGCAGTATCGTATCTTTTGAAGTTGTTAAACCCCACTGATCCGACATTTAATCTTTGTTCTTTTGAACTAGATCACAAACATGTAAAGTTTTAGGATACAACAGAGTCTTTGTACAATGAATATCTAACCATTGTATCTTCCTGGAAAAATAAGACTGCGAGACAAATACAGAAAAGGGTTTCATTTTACGTGAATTGCAATCTAAATGCTCAACTGGCACGGGATATACGGTTGTAAATGCTAAATAAACCAATATTCAACGTAGAATCATTCAAGCTGGATTGGAATCTTTGTGAGTCCACGAATCGTCACTGAGAATTATCAACCCAGACGTACTACTCGTGTTGGAATATGTGTTGGCTAATTGAATTGGCTCTCCGTAAGACACATGTGCTGCAGGCAATACACTTGGCGGTGTGTGTCCATCAATAGTACTGATAGATTCACGCAGTGGCGGTGAAGAGTAATATCCATTAGCCATCCTACCACTTCCATCCAGACTTTTTGTTGGGGATAGCGACATAGTATTGGCACTGTTTCCATGGCTACCACTTAGACTTGGTGAAGCAATAAAAGTACTTTGGCTTCTCCCCTGACAGCACAGAATAAAAATAATACAGTTGATGAATCCACCAAGCGAGTTGCAGATTGCCTGAATCACGCCCAAAGTAAACACATAATCCCCAGTCACAAATTGGTGAATTCTATTCACTGTTGCTGGAGTCCAAATCACCATAAAGGCAATCACAAACAGCATCATACGCCTCACTAATACTGTCTGATATTTTTCTGATTGAGGTTGGGCCACAGTTGAGGTAACAGACATGCGAATGAGTCCTTTTATAGGGTTTCTGTTTGGCAGATTAAGCTGTTTCATCAAGCCAGTAATGCGAAGCCACGTTGCTCCATAGGCGATAATAGCACCTACGAATACAGCCCAAACCTCCAGGTATAAAAACCAGATGCGATACTGTTTATGATCTGCAGAAATCCAGCAATACGAATCTGCATCTCCGACAAGATTATTTGAAATGGATGTTGGTGAATACACAAGAATCGTCAATGCTAAAGGTAGTGCTACTATAAAACATAGAACAATGAGATAGGGCTGCATAAGCTCCAAGGTCTTTGCTGAGCCGTTAAAATGAACAATATACACCATGGTAAGCGACATTAATAAGCAGATGTTGGCAGATGCTGGCGAGAATTCTTGAATCATGAATGCTTGAAGTTGACACCAAGTGGAGTTGATGCCACGATCAATCGCCCATCGTGCAGCAAATCTAGCCACTATTAATGAGTTTACAAATGCAGGATAAATTCAATAGTCAGCAACCCAATATCATAACCAGTGATGCTGAATGCAATAATCCTGATCAGTGGCCATCAGCCCAATATGAAAGGTCAAAGGCGCGATTTCTGCCGATGTGCCACAATCTATAAACTTTGAAGTAGCAGGTGTGGATCAGGTCCAATAAAAAGCAGCACAAATAAACCAACTTACAACAATCAAACCCGTCAGCAACAGCCAGTGCCAATACAAGGCTTCCCATTGTGTTTGCAAAGAGCTTGGGTCGGAATATTCGAAGCTGTTGTGATATGAACAATCCACAAGTTGAAAATGCATGGTGTAGTCCATGTACAAGTTTGGAACAAAGTCAATGGCAAGATGCGTAGTAAAATAACATTTGTCATGAGTTGCATTTTGAAACAATAAACTGTCAGTCAAATCACGTCAAGGCAAGCATATCAAAATAGGTGAATTGAGGTGTCAGGATCAACTGAATCCAGTCCTATCCGTATTGGTACAGCAGACATTGTAGAATATAAACTTACAGAAATCATGACAATAGTGCCCAAAATTGACAGGGATGCTGAAAACCGAGTAACATTGGATAGGATTGCCAGTTCTGAAGGATGAATGTTGGTCATTAATGCGAGACAAACTTGGCGCTATACAATGAGCTGCAGCAAAATAACAGTGCCGAATATATGATACTAGATGTACAAATGCAGCGTTGATCAAACTGAGCTTGAGTTGAATGTGTCTTCAACGATCAATTCAGCTTGTTCGGTATGTATTTTGGTTCAGTTAATCAGCAGTGCTTTAGTTGCGTAGAATGAATGAAAAGTTTAAACTAGATTTTTGGTATAAGAATAAATCCTGTCAAGTGGAAATAAATCTCGAGTAAATTAAGCGCCAAAGCCGACTTTTTCTCTTATTGATATACAGCAAGCAGGCAAGGTCAAATGAATTGATGTCAGTACGAAATTGCTTTTGAATCACTAAACAGGGGGTAAAAAGACAAAGCAATGCAGAATTAAAGGTTATGGTATATTGGTGGTGTATACAAATCAATCCAAATGTGATTGAAAAAGTGAGATGCTTTTTAAAAAATAATAATTGAAAGACTTGGTTGTCAAACGGTGGTGGCACAAACCAGACGCCAAAAAGTTGTGTTAGTGGCGACTATTTACTAGTTTCGGAGAATTCACCTCCGAGTAGCTCTCAAGTCCCAAATTATAAATATCAACAGTCCATCAAAGCAATTGCGCTTGATTCAACCATAGCGCAATCAATTGCGTCATTTTTACCTACAGCATGGACAGTCAAAATAAATATCGTCAGCATATTAAACTGCTTTGATCGAGCGCCTTTCCAACAGTACAACTGCATTCACGTAAAATGAATCACCGAGTTCAAAATAATAATAAACCGCCAGTCTCATGACATAATTTTCACCATACTACAGGTTCTTTTGGTGATTGATATGAAGATAGTAGTCACATTTCCAAGACACGCAACTTTGTTTTCTTGAGCTAGATTGCAGATGTATCCGAAATTTTAGAACAGAGCATTTTTAATGGCATGACTGTGTGTAGACCCAACGTCTCTATACAAGATATAAACTGATGATGGTTACTGACAATTGCTTCTTTATTTTTTTGCCAATAACCGTTAGTGATTCAAATTCACAATTTGGCACAGATCATTCCATGGGATTAACTGTTTATTATATCTAGCTTGGCGATCCATTCCAATATCAGTGTACCTTTTAGATTGTGGCAACACTGTTTATCCTAGCATTGGCAACCATGTCTTTAAAAAGCCAATCTCGAGTACGACACAGGAAAAATGGGATCATAAAGAAAGCAGCGGTGGAAAGTATAACAGCTAGAATTGGCATAACAGTTCCATAGTGAACAACTTCGGAAAAGAATGGGTACGGAAAAGGCAGTTCAAAACTCCAGTTTACCAGCAATACCATGACAATATAAGAAACAATGCAAACAATCGGCGCTACTACATGGCGAGGATAGACAATGGTTCGGGTAAGAATCAGATCGACTAGAACAACAACAAGAGCTGTGATGTGGGTGTTGATCACGCTGAATTTTTCTACTGAGCTGTTTTGTTCAGATACTTTATGGTTGAGAAGAGCCCAGAATACTGATACAGTAATAATAATAAGTGTCACAGAGTTTGCAAAAAGATACGGCATAGCGCGATCTAATAGACAACCTGGCATTAATCTGCGGTTATAATAAAGAAAATTATGTGCTACAGCAGCCTAAAGTGGTATTACATAATCAATTACAAATGGCATAATTTAGTAAATGATTTGGATATACTGGACCAATTGACATTGCATATTCAACGATACAATAGACCTACCGTGAGATACAACCATAAAAAAACCCAAGACCAGTTGCTGAGGTAATACAGAAATTTAGGACTAACGGTAAGGCGCCACACAATAATGCATGTAGAGTATATAAGCATAACCACTCGGATGATGAGCAAAGTTTTACTTGGAATCAATGCAGACTTTGCCGATAAACATCGAAGCACTGATGGTGGAGTTTCCCGATGAAACAAAAAATCAAACGTGTTTGTCTTGCGTTCAACAAGAGCCGACTCTCTAGATTCGAGTTTATAGCTTATGTCGGACTCGGGATAAAGCGTTGACTGGCTGCAATACACAGGAGATAAATTGGAAGTAAAAGTATGTTTTGTAGGTGGAGAAAGTGCTGCTGCTGGCACAGCAACAGCTGTTGAATTTGGAGTAATCACTGAGGCTCTTGTTGGATTCTGAGGTACAGTTTTTTGACTTTTCAACTGATGCAGTTGTGCATGCGTGGAAAATCGTGCTGGTGCGGGTGATGAAATCGGCGCTGTATTCCTATGATCATCATGTGCTGGTAGAATCATATCAGAAGAAGCAGAGATATTGTCTATTGGGTCGGACAAGGGCACATCGATATTGGTTTTATGACAGTCTTGAATCATGGCATCAGCAGATTGATGAGAGCTCAACAATGGCTCGACAAACGACACGCTCAATTTGCTTTTTTTAATAGGCTCGACTGCTCCATCCTCGGAAACTCTATCCACAAAAGTATTGATTTTGTCGATATAGAGGATAGTGTCTCGGTTCGACTGAGTAAGCGATCGATTGGAGATGATAGTGTCTCTGTCGGCTGGCTTGTTAGAACAGTTCACATTGCCAATCGAGCCTACAATATTGACTTTGTACGATATGGGACTGTCCGACTCTTCAAATAAGGGCGACAACTCTACATGTGACGATGGAAGCGGTGTATCTGCCATCTATTCTACTGGGCTACTTTGACCTAAAGTAGCTTCTATCTAATTGCAGAACTTGAAATCAAAAATCAAAAACCAAGGTACCAGAGCAAGCAAAGTTGATGATACTAGAGGTGTATAAAGGATTGATCCACAAACACAAAATATATTCTAGTTGAATGACAGTGTGTCTTCTATAAAATAGGCTGAAAGGGCGACGAATGAACTGTGTTTTGAAAAAAAAGGGACGTCAAGTTTTATTATATATCTAAAAGTCAAAGGTGCATTTGTGTGACATTCTAGTGGTCAATTGTGACAGATCAGCAAGCCATAATGATAAAAGTTCAAGCAGGCGAATAGCTTGGATTGGAATATTCGGACCACAAAGTGGGCCAGTCATCAGAACGCGGTGCCACAACTCGTACACGATAGAGCTTGATAGGGTGAAGCCATTTGCTCCAGAGCCTATTTCAACTCCAACAATGAGTTCAAGCACATTAGATATTTATGCTGCCAACTTGAGCAAACCGTGCATTTGTATTGCTGCTTCGAGTCCAAAAATTTCCAAATTAAACAGTTTTATCCAAACCCATCGAACAAGTGTGTACATGATAAAAGTATGGTCAGCATGTTGGGATTAATCCAAAAATCAAAACCAATTTTATTCTCCTAGCTCCCATCAGCAAAAGAACCGCCCACACGGCGTAAATGAGTGTCTCGCTCTTCGTCATCATCATTTTTGCAATCACAGAGCTGAGTCAAGGGTGATAGGTCCTTCAATGCCCAATCACGTATCAGATGCACTAGTTTGATATATGCAACCACAACCAAAATGATGACTCCCATAGAAATAATCCCAACAACAGCCATTCCAGTATGTTCAGTGATGTTAAAAAAGGTGTCCATAAAAAAGTATGGCCATTCCAGGTTCAATATGTAGTGATAGATCCAAACCCAAACTATATAGAGTGCACCAAATAATATCGGAGAGACTGCGTCCCGAATTGAAACTTTGATACGATTCGCAAACATGTCAATCAGCAAAAATAGCAGTCCAAGAGTGTGCTCCATAATAGTAGTAGCAATGATCCATCTGGTAAATTCGGGTTGACTAAAATCTTGTCGCAGCACAATCCAATACACAGGAGGAACAACCCAGTTCATAGTATGCGCAGCCACATACAACCACATGAACAGTCGAGGCAGAATCTCGAGTGCAATACGATGCATATTTGCAAGCCTTTTCTGGCTTGCAGTGTAATGAACAGCTTCAATACTACAGGTCGATGGCGGATAGACTAATGCCAAGTAAGAAGCATAGCTGGATACAATAAAATACAAGTTCATGCCGATCCAAGCATAATTGGTGAGGAACATGCAGTATTCCAATAAACTAGAAAACTGAGTGATGCGAATGCCAGTAAAGACTATTCCGAAAATAGAAATGACGATCCTGCATATCAAGATGCGGAGAGTAGAGGATGTGGAAAAGGAATAGGTTGCTTGATTGAGAAACACATGTTGGTGCAGTGGCTGTTGTGTATTATAACCAAGTAGCTGGTCGTTGTCCAAATCGGAAGTTGGTTCCAGAGGAGACAGTTGCATACAACTGACAGCAGTCTCATGAGTGAAATTGCTAGCTGAATTGGATTCAGCCATATCAGCAGTGATAAACTATCCAATAATAGCCGTATTCACGCAAAATGGAAAACAATAAGGGAGCCAAAGCACAAGCAGTTTCATGAAACGATTGGTGTTGGTTTACCGAACAGCATTGTTTGAACTCGACAAAGTTGATGATCTTTGCGATCATTTTTGTATAAAAAACTGAACAAATGTTCACATCACAGTTTCGTTCATTACACACTTGTTTAATTTCCAACTCTCATTGCAAATATTGCATTTGAATCAAGTCAATCTGCAGGGTTGAACGCGCTTAATATTTCAGCAGTTTGTAGTTTAATCAATATCGAGTGCTAACTCTGATGTGTGTTTAGCATTCTATTGGAATAAATTATTGTACAGTATTTGTGCATATATACAGATCAAGTTTAAAGCAGGCACTATGCTTTTTTGACAATCAAGTAAAATAATTGACAAATTTGTAGCAATCCGATTTCTATCAACAGGATCAATGTTTTATATATTTGCTGTAGTTTTTTCTAAATTAGCCATCCGATCTCATTTTGGTTGTGTTGAAACTGGAGAGTAATGTCAAGAGCACGTTGCAAATACGGGATCAGATCAAGTGATGTATCTCAAGTCGCACATTGTATCAACTATAAAAGGACCAATGCCATTCTCTATTAACAGTCAGGCTTATTACGTTTATTTTTATAATTTTTATAATTGAGCAATCCTGAATACCTCTACATTCCAACAGTTTATACAGAGTTTGATTTTGTAATCATTGCATGACAGACATATTTAAAGAATTGAAACTCTAGTCGGTTTGTAGAACAATTGTTCCAAAACAAAACAGGGATTTGATAATCATTCATTTTACGTGAATACGATGGTAGAGTTGCTTTGCTCGACTAAAATTGGAATTCAATGGCAACCGTCAAATTGGTCACTACACCCGAAGAGTTGAAAGAGGCTCATCGAGTCAGATATTTAGTGTTTGCTGTTGAGCAGGTATAACTGAGAATGAAGTTGTTGGCATTTAAACAGAAATTCATTCGATCATACTGAATCAACTTTATTACAGGGTTTTGATGCCAGTATTGATGTGGATGAAATCGACCCAAAATGCACACACTGGTTATTATTACCAGAGGAAACAAGTGCTCATGAATCCAGTACGACTGCATCAAATGTGTCAGGGAGTGCCATGGGCACAGTGCGAATGGTTCCTACAGAGCCATGTCCCTCACTAGGACGACTGTGTGTTCTCGAAACAGCACGAGGAATGGGCGGAGGTCTTAAACTAGTTCAGGCAGTGCATGAGCATGCCAAATCCAAAGGATTTGATCGATTGCAGATCCACTCTCAGTATGACAAGGTGGATTTCTATTCAAAGGCAGGATACAAGGTTGACGATCCCGAGCCCTTTGACGAAGAGGGTATGCCGCATTTCCATATGAGCATCGATCTGGTGTGACGTACAAGGTTTTAGTTGAGTCGCTGTTGACAGACATGTAGTGTTGGTTGGGAGTTGAATTGGCTATATGTCATGAGGTGGTTACAGAACAGAGCTTGTTGAGTTACCCCTAATAAAAGAAACTTGTACCGAACCAGTTGGCCTGACAAGCACCTATTATAGGGAGATGCAGTCGTCAAAACACACCTCCGACGACAAGAGTGGCCATGAGATGGTTGCTGATAATAGGCAAGACATGCCAGCTGCATCTGGTCCAGTTACTGACCTCTGGGTATGTGTGATACTGATGTGCATGGAGTCGATGGCTAGTGTTGGCAGTTGCATTCGTTGCTGACCATGTGGGTTTGTTATTTATCTGCTCATGTGCATTCAGGCATCTACAGCAACTGCTGCTGCAGACCATGATGATCCATGGGGATTTGGCTCATTCGATGCCACTCCAACTCTTAGTAGAAAGGATCATTCCATGACCACTGCGAATACCAGCAGTAAGACTGAGCTCGGTCTTTCGTCAATGGGCTACCAAAACCAGGACGATGATGACCCTTGGGCTGATGCATCCTTGGCTGCTGTGGCTATTCTAACTACATCTCCTGATTTAAACCTCAAGGACGATACTGGCCATTCTACTCGCACTAGTAGCTTTTCTAAACACTCCAATACAAGCAGAAACAGTCTATCTGGCACTGGTGCTACAATCACTCCACTTCCTCGCCACCAGAGCTCTAGTGCAATTTTGGGAATACATCCACCCACTCCTACTCTGATGGAGGTGAGCTTCCTACCAATTTGAACCTACAATATCCCACTATCAGGCTTGTTTAACCTTTAATTCGTCAAAACGTAGTTTATGGACATTTTGAACAAATACGAGTCTGGCCAAGATGTCGATCTTGCCGCAATGACTCATCCACGACACATTGAGTTGATAGGAGTAACCGATCCTTCAAACAACCACGACAGTGCTGATATCACCGATCACCTTGATATCAATGCAAGTCTCAGCAGTACAGATATGCACACTCATGGTCTGTATAGTCGTCAGAGCGAGTCCGACTTGAGCTCTTCCATGTCCGAAGATCCAACCCGAAGCAACTCAATTGATACACGGGGTAGTATTGGCGATGGTACTTGTACTCTTTCAGTTCCCCAGCCAGATATACCTCATCGAAACCAAGGCTCAAGAGGCAGCAGAGTTGCTTCGTCTTCACCTAAAAATACCTTTCATCCAAACACGTTTCTTAAACCTGACGATGAGCGAGGAATCACCTCATCCAAATCACAAACCATTTCAAATATTCAAAGTGTTTTTACTGACACTCAAAAAATCGCCTATGTTGGTTTATGCTATCTGTGCATTTCGTTTTTTCGTAAATCCCGTCTAGCAAATTTTAAAAAAGCTGCTGCTGCTTATGATGTATGGTCGGATCAGTTTATGGAAAAACTATACGTATATCTAGATTTGCTTCCCGAAGGTAATATTTTTGTGTATTTGCAATTCTACAGCCCAAAAGTACATGTATTCTAGTTGATCTGTAATCATCCCGCCATCAAAGTTGTGGCTATTGAATAGCCATGGTTGTGTTTGCTATTTCAAACTCATGCAAACATGATTTGACTATTGTTATCAATTTATTAGAACGCATGATGATAAAGAATCTGGCCGAGCATGGTTTACTTCCTTCAGACCTTTCTACTGGATTGCTAAATGATGCTAAAAAGGCACTTGCAGAACTTGAAAAACAGCAGCAGGAGGAGCAGCAGGCTGAGCAACATGCACTGGATAGTGGGTTACAACCATCACTTTCCAAATCATCCGTTGCTGTTTCAAATAAATCCCAAAGCGTTTCATCCAACGATAACTCGCCATCAGACGTGCGCTATACCATTTTGTCTCATCTCTTTATATTGAGTATTGCTGATGGACGATACGATGCACGTGCTAGATGCATTCTACGAAAGATTGCTCATGATATGGAAATCCCAATGTTGGATCTAGCCAAGTTAGAAAATGTGATTGCTGATCAACTGCGGATTTATGAGGATCACGAAGTAGTCAAGCCAGATGAGGAAGTGGTTGATCAGCGCAATAAGGTCGATGGCAGGAACCGATGGCTGCTTGCTGGCATTGCCACTCTTGGTAAGATTTGCAATGCTTGTATTGATAAAGTCCAACTATTGACGTTTGGCTGATATGATCTGGTATAGCTGGAGGTGCGGTCATTGGTGTTACTGCTGGTCTTGCAGCACCTTTTATCGGCGCTGGAATTGGCGCGGCTTTGACAACTTTTGGTATCACGGGTGCGACAGGCCTTTCTACATTTATGGCTAGTACTGGTGGTTTGGCCATTATTACTGCTGGAGGTGTTCTCTCTGGAGGAGGCATGTCAGGTGTTAAAATGATGAGGCGAACCCGTGGTATTGAAGAGTTTGAATTTCTTGGATTGGAAGATGCTCTCAATATTATTAATAAAAACCGTGAGCAGCGAAAAGCAGATAGGCGAAAACGTCGAGGGCATGAATCTCGAGTCAAACCAGGAGAAAAGCAACCGCAAGAATCAGACGCGGCCGCCAAAGATGGAGCAAGTGTTACTTCAAGCTCAAAGGAATCACCTTTGATGTCTTCATCTAAACTCCCATCAATCTCCACACGGCCTGGAAGTTTTTCATTCGGAGATGCCCGTTTAGCCAATAACCCCAAAGCGGATGTTCTTTGGGAAATTTCGTCTGTCGCCGACTCTCATGTTGGTGAGGATACCCAGACAAAGCGTGCTTTAAATGTGGACGAAATTAGTACTGGCGATCAGGATGTAAACACCGGAAATGATGAACCTGCACAGATGGGCATTGTAAATCAAAAAGGGAACAAGTCTAGACAAACCAACGTGCTGATCACGGTTGCTGGATGGATTTCAAATGGAGCCGATGATCACACTTTTCCATTCTCTACTCTTGAACCGGGTCACAATGGTGATCAGTACACGCTTATTTGGGAAACCAAAGCACTCCAGGAACTCGGATCTGCACTTCGTATTCTGCTGTCAGAAGTCACTAGTTTTATTTTACAACAAGGAATTCAAGCCACACTTTTGCCTGTGCTTATGGCTGGTCTCACTGGCCCACTCTGGATGATTAAGCTCACATATCTTGTCGATAATCCATGGGGGAATGCACTGACCAAGGCAGAAAAGGCAGGCCGCGTGCTTGCAGATACTTTGATGGGACAGGTTCAAGGCAACAGGCCTGTTACTCTTGTTGGATTTTCACTTGGAGCTCGAGTGATTTACTTTTGCTTGTTGGAACTTGCTGCCCATGGTGCACATGGTATTATTGAAGATGTTTACATGTTTGGTACTCCAGTTATTGGGTCTCGCAAAGCATGGGAAAAAATCTCATCCATTGTCGCAGGAAAGGTTGTCAATGGATACACTCAAAACGACATGCTATTGGGTGTTTTGTACCGCGCATCTCTTGCAGCTTGGTCTGAAGTTGCTGGACTTCGTCCTGTAAACGATGTTCCTGGTATTGAGAATATGGATCTTAGTGATACTGTCAAGGGCCATTTGGACTATCGATCTCAACTCCCCATAATTCTCAAGTCCTGTGGATTTTCTATCAATGCCGAAAAATTTCAAGACCAGGATACCGAGGAAGAGGAAGAACGGCTCGAGATTGAGCAAGAACGACTTGAAGCAAAGGAACAACGAGAACGAGAACGGGAGGAGCGAAACCAAAAGCGCTTGGACGAGGCTTTGCAACGGACCAAGGAGAGACAGATTGAAATTGAGCGGAAACGCAAAGAAAAAGAGGATGCAGCGATTGCAGCAGCGATTTTGGCTGCTCGTAAGAAAGCAGAAGCGGCAATGGCGACTACGCCGACTTCTTCGTCTTCTACTGGATGGTTTGGTCCACGAAAACCATCGACTGCTGTAAAAGCATCTGTAAACGCAAGCAAATCATCGGCTGCCCACCTGGCACCCGTGGCTCAAGATCAAATTGTAGCAGATGAACTGCGTCAAATGTCTGAATTGGAGGATATGATGCAGGTTTATTGGGAACCACGCGAAATTCAATCCACATTACCACCATTGGTTATTGCTCCAAATCCAGATTCTTTAACGGCAATATCTGCTTCGTCATCTCAGCCTCCATCTCGTGTTGCTAGCGAAATTATACATCATGATATGACTAAAGATTCTGCCAATTTAAGTGATGCGGTCAATCAAAATCAATGTGCAACGTCACACAGTGTTGACGAGTCTATTACTTCAGAAGATGCCTTGCAACTCGATATGCTCCATCAGCAAATGAATGATTTGGATGGAATTTAATATCGAGATATAAGCATCTTTAGCCAAGCACGGATATTTACACATTATATTATAGTAAAGATTGACGTTTCCACTTTTAAAAATAAACACAGTTATTACTTTTAGCTTTTATGATTCTTTTCAAGCTTGGGATCAAGTTTGACACCCAACCAAATGATACTAATGTGACCGAGACTCTCACGACCATGACATTGAACAGTTCTTTTATCCTAAAACCCCAGATACGTTCTAGTTTTTAAAACAAAGATTGCACGTTTCAGCAAATCAACCATTGTTTTAATGATGATCACTCCATGTCATCCTATTCGATGTGTATCAAAACAAGGTGAAAGACATGCCAACGAGGAAAGCTGATTGAAACCTCGTGGTTCAAACAAGATACAAATCTAGACACGAAAAAAATAAGCTCTAATCATTTGAATATTCTTGACCCTACACACCACGACACCAGTTTCTAGCACAGTCAACCCAACATGGCATCAGCAATGGCCAACATGGAAGAATATTTCCGAGTCAATGTCGAGCGAAAACTCTTCATGTAAGTGTATAGCCTTATCCCACCCAACACATCACACTAACCCCACTGCATCAATACCTATCGAAGCAAGGTTCCAGAACAAGAAGACCATGACCTCACTCCAGCAACAAAACTTCTTGAACGTCGTCGAGAAATGTTGGAAGTCGAGACGGGATTGTTGAAGCAAAAAGAAGAGTTTGCCATGAAGATGGAGTCGCTTACTCAACGTAGGGAAGAGTTGGCACGTAAAGAGACTCAATTAAAAGACTCGTTGTTAAAATTCGACAAATTTTTAAAGGTATGGAATGATATGGTTTGGATCTTGATTTTTTACTCTAATAGATTATACTTGTGAATAGGAAAATGATGCAAAAAGAATGCGTGCGTTGAAGAAATCCATGGATGAGCGAAAAGTCCGTGAGCAAAAAGAATCTGAAATCGATATGCTTAAAGTCAGTATCACAGGTTTGGGGGATAAAAAAAACCGACAGGGAAACGCAGTAGAATCAAGTAAAGTCATGCCATTTAAACCCATTAAACTCTATCTATGGGCTATTTGATAGCAGTTCAGCATATTTAAAACGATTCAAATGCATAGTACGTGCCGAGATGAATAGGTAGACTAAATTTGGCTTGAACATCATTTTTTTAGATCTGTGGTTTCAAAGATACCTTGAGGGTGTACTTGAAAACGGCGACGAGTTTGCCGAAATCAAAGATATCATTTCGAGATTTGATACACTCTCTGCAACAAATACCGAGCTTATAGATAGAGCTCGTGCAGCACAAGAAAAGACTGAAAAAGATCGACAGGACTTTTTAGCATTTTCAGAGGTAACTTTGAATCTCGACTAGCTACCAAAGTAATGGCTGCTAAAATTGTGAATATATGCTGCAACAGGGAAAAAACAATGTTATATTAAACAGAAACAATGAGATAGCTCGTTTACAAACAAAGCTTGAGGAGGCTCAATCAAAAGGCTCCAAATGGCAACTGGAACTCGATCAGACACTGAAAAATGCAACACAAAAATCGCTTCTTTTGGGTCAAGTAAAAATGTACGAGTGATTGACCATGACTTGAGATGGTTTTGTATTGTCAATCTACTTGGAGGTACTAACTTCTTTGTCTCATGGTATTTTACTTTTTTAAAATTGTGTAATGTCAGGGCCACAAACAATCTGTTTAATGTGGTAAAATTACACTTGGATAACCGGCTGAACTCGACATCCGACACGCTATCCCAGCTAGATAAAATCGGACAGTTTATCGTGGATCTAAATCAAATTACTTTGGATGCACAAAGTAAAGAATCGGCGATTGGAAAATCTACCCGTTTGGGATAAAATAAAGCTGCTCAGGGATTACATACGAGACTAGAAAATAGGAGCCTATGTCTGAATGAGTAAAACTCGTCATAGTGGAGCAATGCCAGTATGATATGCAAAAGTCATGCTAGCTAATCACATTAAAATTCACAGCAAAACAATCCATATTTATTATACGACTCGGTTAGATTAACAGGAGGCCTATTGAGTAATGTGAATCAAAAGTTCAGTAGGAAATGAAAAATATGGAGGAACAAGAGTTAAAACCAGATGTAGGGATAATATCAAAATTTTGTTAGACGGCCATGCCAACAAAGAATAGTGTAGCGAGAGTCACTATCAAAGATACCACACGCCATTGAGATGGTGAATCGGCGCTATTTCCGGCACCCTTGGCACTGGAACCAGAACCAGTGCTATTTTTGGGAATGACTTTAGCTTGGCGAGCAAGGTTGACACAAGTACCGGATATAGGGTTCCATGTTCCGCCATTGGGACATCCAGCGCTGGGGATAGATTTACGGGTACGTGGACCAGTAAAAGGAACTGGATTGGTCACATTAGGAATGGTAGTAGGACAACCAAAACAAGAAGTAAAACTGGCTTGCAATGCTGGATAATAACAGCTTTCTGTTAACCCTTCATCGATCTGGCCATTGCCATTGTTATCAATACCATCACAGACTTCTGCATTTGAGGGATTGACAGCAGGCATTAAACAGTCTAGAGCAGGATTAGTAACTGAGCCAGCAATATCAGTGGGATTTTGCATCCATGCAAGCAGCTGCTGGTTAGAAACCCAGTATACATCATTATGACCACTCGATCGAATCCAGTCCATGAACATACGCACACCGGTAATATAGTTGGGTTGAGTCACAGCAACGGCAGCATGAAGATAGATGCCCAATGGAAGGCGAGTCGAGGTATATCTGTTATTGAAGTTGGTTTTAAGCAGATCAAAGATATCCGAGGCAGGCATTGGGCCAGGAGTAGCTTTTGGGAGAGGATCAGGATCCATGGCAGCATTCTCCGTTCCGTCAGCATTAAGTAGCATATACATGGGAATCTCCCACAGACCTGGAAAGTTGAATGGAGCAACACAAGTACCACCACTACACTGAGTGTATGGTCCATTGTCAAGTGTGTAAGGCCAAGCTCTAAACCAACACAGTGGTTAGACAACAGGATTCCAGTACATAAATGCGATGTGATCCAATACATAAGCTTACGGAATAGCGCCATAGTTCATTGGCATCGACGAATCATACTTGAAAGTGCCAGCAGTAATCAGATTTGCATAGGTATTACGACTGTACAAAAGAAACGGAGTGCGGAATCCAACCAATTTGGAGAGCGGAACACCGCCAAAGGCACTGACAGCTTGGACAGCTCCAGACATTTCACCAAGAGGAGGATCGCCAACATGATTGATGGTGTGAGTAGCAATCTCATGGCCAGAGCTATACATACGGTTGACATGCCTATATAAACATTGATTCATGGTTGATCAGCAATAGAACCACTTGCTTATCACCAACAAACGCATTAGAGGCGCAATAGATGGACACGATGGAGTAGATGCCGATTCAATGAATCAGCAGTTTTCAAAGTTGTACTCATTAACCCGTTGAAATGACCATTCTGGGATATATTTCTATTCAAAAAAACACCAGAACGCAAAGATAATGCAGGAATGTTTCAAAAGCAACGTACCAGAAATCAGTATACTGAGTTGAAATAAAGAATGTAGCAGCAAGAGGACATCCGTTTGGATTGGTATAATCCGAGGTATAATTAAGAATTTGTGGCAAAATAACTTCATTGATAGAATCATCAAAAGCTAAACGGTTGGATTCAAGCGGCAAAGCCATGGAGCCGTGCGTGGATCAAAATAAAATTGCATTATCGACATAGCATTAAAAACAGTCAGTTAAGGGTAAACGTACCAATGCAAACACTCCGCATTGGTGCATTCATTAATGAACAAACAAATACCAAAGAAGACTCATTTCTTCGGCCTGCACTCTGCCAGGTTTCAATCTGACCGCAACAACACTTACTTAGAGTAATCAGTTGGGGAATGTTTTTAGGATCCAGACCACCTGGAGGTTTAGTGGAAGGACAATAGCAAGCAGGCAGTTTGCATTTGGCGGGGTCACAAGAGTAACCTGTAGTGACTGTGGTTGGGCCAGAAACTCCAGCTCCCTCTTGAGCCAAGACAAAAGGATCAGACAGTTGCAATGCAGCAATACATGCTATGGCAATAGTGTGTCTGAGCGACCAGAAAGAAATCATCTTAATGTCAATGTTTGAAGTTACAAGTGAAATGCCAAATATCGAGTTGCTGCAATAAAAGCAATTGGCGAAGCGTAATCATTATGTCATAGTGCAGTCTTATTCACGTCAAGTGAATCTCTACATAAGAATCAAGTCTGGTAATTCCATATCCTTGGCATTTGTCGAATCTATAAATCAAATAGTATGACTTGGTATGGAAACCAACGATTGCAATCTTTGGTTTCTTGAACTAGAACATATCTGATATTTAGGATAGTCCCAACATGATCATTTCATTATGTAAGCATTACATGATGGGCGTTGTTTTGAAGAATTGAGAATGTTAATCTCCAACAAGTACATCACATATTTAGTCATTTCCTACTCCAAAACAAAATAAAACTGCGAAATATACACAGGCATTCTACGTGAATATGACTAAAATGAACCTGTTCATTCCTAAAATATAACTTGTTCACAAGTACAGACTGGCTGCAAATACAATATCTCTCTTGATTTTTGCAATTCCTATAATAAAAGCAACTGGATTAGCCAAAGAATATTAAATACATTCAAAACTGTCATAATACCTTCAGTGAATTTGGTTTCTAAATCAGAGTTTCCAATACTCTTTGAAGCTGCAACCATTTGCCTCAACAACTCTTCCAACCGCCTCATACTTCTAATAATACTTCCTTCGAAAATATCCGTCATTCGGCAAATATCAGCAAACCGGGCTCCCTGGCACCAGCTCATCACAATTTGCATTAGATCGGGCCGGAAGCTCTCCACATACTCTTTTTCGTCAATCGTCATTTTGCTTTCCTGACTGACTTGCGCAATCTTTCTCGCTGTTTCTCGAAGAATGCGCAAGGGTTGTTTAAGTGTGTCAGGAAATGATACTGTAGGATCTTCACCACCACTACGTTCGCCAAAAGTAAAACAACTGAGAAGCGATACCGTTTGATCAACTGTAAGATCTGTAAAAACACCATTGAAGAGCAGCTCAGTCAAGACAAGCTCATCACCAGCAGAGATCTCACAAGCAACACGGCCTTTAATTTCAATAATATCTTGCGCATTGGTATATCCGAGTCGGCGGAGAACACGTCGACGAGCTTTGAGTTCGTCCATTTGAAGTACAGATTCAGCCTGTGTGATTTGTCGTCGAATATCCTTGATTTTCGCTACAAGAATCATTTTAGATTCATAACTGGAATACAACTCGGGTAGCCGTGGATCATTGTGTAATGCATGTTCGTATAAACGAGGCTCAAGAACATGAATTTTGCTCACTAGTTTTTGAAATAAAGCGTCTTCAATTCTCATGTCCTTTATAGGATCAAGTATTGGCACCTTGTCCTTGAATCTTGATTCGACTTCTTTGATTGTAGCCAAACATTGTCTGCGCGAAGCCAGCAGTCGCATATCTTTGGGCATATTGATGCGCACAGATGAGATGCCATCAAACGCATTCAAAAGACACGGAACAATTAATGCACTGCCACGTTTGATATCTTTTGGGCATGGCTGAACACTGGTAGATAGTAGGCTGCTTGCACTGGAATCATCATTCTCAGCCGGAGCACAGTTGAGTAAAACGTCAACAATATACTGAGGCTCTTCAGTCAGAGTCTTAATATTGCCTCCCATTTTGGCTTTCGGTTGCTGAGGCTTCACAAAATTAACAATGATTCCCCATCCAAAATCGCCATTGGGATTTTCTGTCGTAGATTCACGTGCAATCCTGACTAGACGACCAGGCTGAAGAAAAGGAACGCTATATGCTGGTTGATTGAGAACATCCCGCATATCCCGTCTATACAGCTCCAGCTGCGATCGTATTTGGTAATATTCTCCAACAAGCTGCTCGTCCTCAACCAAGATGCCATCTCGACGCTTTTCAAAAATATCCATATCCTTGATGAGTTGAGGCACACGAACAGAGTTTTGGAATTGAAAAAAGCTTCCTTGAAGCATATATTCTGGACTCACGCCCTCAATACGCAATAAGTTTAGAATCATCGTATAGGTAAGATGGAATGCAGAGTTGAGTGGGTCAGAGACACCCTTGAGCATATCTTTAGCAACATTGGGCTCCATCTTTTCATCAATCATGAGAATGACAACACCACGATCATCAAGACCTCGACGGCCAGCACGGCCAGACATTTGAATGTATTCACCTCCACTGAGCCAGCGTGTTTCTTTGCCATCAAATTTGCGTACTGCAGTAAAGACAACCGTTTTTGCAGGCATGTTGAGACCAATAGAAAAGGTTTCAGTGGCAAACAAAACCTTGAGCAACCCTTCCTGGAATAAAATCTCAATCACCTCTTTCAAGATGGGTAAAAGACCAGAGTGATGGATTCCAATTCCGCGTTTTAAAAGTGGAAGAATATGCTCAATTTGCGGTAGTCCACGGTCATCTTCGCTAAGAGAAGTGATTGCATTTTCAAATACTGACTTGACCAGCTGTTTTTCATCATCGTCGTTGAAATCCAATTTAGACAGTTGAAGCGCATTGGCTTCACACTCTCGTTTTGAAAAAGAAAAAACAATCACTGGATGATAGTTTTTAACCATGATCATGCGCAGAATCTTGAACAGATCACTAGGACCTTTGGTGCTGCCGTCTCTTTTTCGGGAACTTCCAGTGGATTTCTTGATACTTGCACCAGTAGTTGGGTCAGTGGCATCATCACCCAATGCGCTGATTGCTTTTTGGAAATTGGCTTGTCTAAACACAGACTTTTCATCTACTGCAAGGTAGATTCCTTCGCCACCAGAGGGGAAAAGATAGTGTTGCAAGGGAGTGGGACGGTAATCTGTGTATACAACATGGCAAGGCTGCTTATGAATTTTGCAAATCCATTCGGCAAACTGCATTGCATTGGGGATGGTAGCCGACAGAAACACAAATCTAACCTTGTCAGGTAGCATAATAAGCGTTTCTTCCCAAACAACACCTCGAGCTAAATAGTTTGAATGCAAAGCAACGCATCAACAGGCTAGAGTTAATACTTGCTAATGCGTATACATGAAGGATGCATGGCATATTTACCTTTATCACGCATGTAATGAATTTCATCAAAAATAACCCATGCAACTTCGCGCATGACCTCGCTACCACGATACAACATCGATCTAAGAATTTCTGTAGTCATGACCAAACAACTTGCACCAGGGTTAATTGTGACATCACCCGTCATCAAGCCAACATCTCCAAATTCTTGAAGCAACTCTCGGTATTTTTGGTTTGACAATGCCTAATTGGTATTCATTTTAAATCATACAAATAAAACTGTTAGGCTAGTGTTGCAATAGTATACAATCCAATCAGAATCTTACCTTGATGGGACTGGTGTAAATCACACGCTGTTTTTGAAGAAGACTTTTTGCAATGGCATATTCTGCCACAACAGTTTTTCCAGCACTAGTATGAGCACTGACTAGAACTGATTCGCCACGTTCGATACTGGTAATAGAGGTTGCTTGGAAAGGATCGAGTTTGAATGGATATGTGCGTGCTGGATTAGCTGGTGGTTTATCATGTGAAAGTGGAGTATAATCGTATCCGGTTGGAACAGCGACTTGGTGACGAACCTATTAAATTGAATGCTAAATTAGTTTTTGTAATAATGCTCGGATAAGATCCAAAGCCTATTTTTTCAAGTGGTAATCCAACTCGCGATCTAGGCGGTATGGGGTGTCAATGCATAGTTTAACATACCTGATGGCTAATGACCAACTGCTCTTTTGTAGAAACAGCACTACCATTTGCATCGACTCCAGTGGTTTTATCAGATGAAACAGGAACACCATTTGCATCAGTTGTAGCAGACTCTGTACTTGGAATCAAGCCATCAGCATGAGCGTATTCCAGATCTACATTCTGACCAAAATCATCAACAATCACCACGGAAGGCTGCTCATCGGCATTTTCAACCTCCATGGCAGTATCCTGCAGTCCAGTACTATCATGGGTTGATATCTGATCGAGAGGCAAATCCAGACGTTGTCGCTTTGTGATGGAAGGGTCATTATTAACAGGATTTGACGGTAGAGTAGAAGCAGGTTCAAGTCTTTTAGATTGGATTGGAGCAGGAGCAGAAATTAGAACATCTTCATCCGAGTCAGAAAAGGCACCAAACAAATCTTGAACTTCAAGTTTGTTGGACATTGAAGTGGTTTGGATCTTTAGGTTAGAATTGGCTAATAAACCAAAACTGGTTTCTTTAAAAAATCAGTGTGTATGACTGTGCACAGTTTATTAGATGCAGCGAGATAAAACCTTGCAAACTTCAAGGTTTGAATTTATAAAAAAATGAAAATTTGAGCGTTTCGATGGAAAGTGAAATAAGTGAATCACGTGAGTATAGATTGACTTTAACACCACGTGAACAGGGTTTGACATTTGTCTTCAACTGCAACACACAGAGTTCAGCTGTCATGGAATCTGCTACATATCAACCAGTTGCAAGTGAGACTAAATTAGCAGCTACTCAGCACAGTAATAGAAAGAAACAGCTGTTAGAAAGAGATACTTTACTGTTGAAACCCAACACTTCAAAGCCTCTACTTCAGTCTCCAGCACCTGTTGTGACTTCTAAAATGGGATTGTTGAAGACATTCATACTGTGTTTAATAGTTTCTGGATCTACACTGGGTGGACTAGTCTTGTTGATCAAGGTGAGAAATATTGTAGTTTTGAAACAAAACTGATGAAGCCGATTAACTTTATTCAATCATAGAGAGTCTGGTGGAATCCATACCAATTGATTTTTCAAGTGTATAGGAAGCATGTATCAAAGCGATCTAAGATGATTACAGCATTTATGCCAGCACTGTCATCTTTGTTAAAGTTGTATTCAAACACCTCGCAGAGTCGATCAGAACCATCGGACTCTTTGAAATCATCACCCAGCATACCCGAAACACTAAGGAGATCTGTTGAGATGTCGACAGCCAAGATGAATCAAGTTCATAAACTATTGATCGATTTGCTTGATTCTCGCAGTTGTTCAGGATCAACTATAGTATCAACAATAGACGCGAATATGGCAGACATTGGGAGGGTGAATGTAAACCATCGAGGTTCTGATGGGTTGGGGAATGTGAAGCAGTCATTAGGAGATATGGTATTGATGTTGAGCGGAGAGTTGTATGGAGGAAACACAGAGATGAGCCGATACTATGGATACGGAAAGACGAGCGATTGGACGAATAGTTTTTGCAATCAAGACAAAAACCGGGAAAGAGAAAAAGTGGAGCAAGTGCGCAGTGAGATTCGTGGACTGAAAGGAATGTTGATTTCAAGACGCAATTTTCCAAGTGCAATGCAAGCGTAAACTTCAAGTTGAAATCGGACAAGTAAAACTATTGCCACAACAGTTCAACTCATTGTTACTATCCAAGTCATGACTCCCTCCATACCTCCGTACTTGCTACCAGACTACGATCCTTGCAAGGCCACTATCAATGAACTTTGTAGCGTTCTTTCTACCATGAATGTTGCTTTGCCTGCTTCTAGACAACTGAAACAAGTCTACATCGACTTGTTCAACAAGACTGTCACTGCTGATACAAGACCTCTGCTGGTCGATAGAGTCTTGTCTGTGCGTCCTTCAGAAGTGGGAATAACACAGTTGTCTAAAGATGGCATTTGTGAGAGACTGCTGGCCACAGACATTCCTCCTCCTTCCGTCGCTGTCAGAACTCCTGCGAGAGAGGACGAACAACTGCTTGAACCATTCGAGTTATCCCCACTACCACTCAAGCACAAGAATAAACGGTCCATCACTACCACCACTCCTACAACTGTCAATCAAACTGCTTTCAAGCAAACTGTGACCTTTGACAAGGAAAACACTCGTCCTCTCCATGATTCGACCTTGTCCGATGATCACCGCCAAGTGTCATCAGAAGTGTCTTGCAACAACACCAAGTCCACTAACAAGCTGGCTGCTGCAGTCCATTCTGCTTCAACTCTTTTACGTAAGATTTCAATTCCTCGAAGACGAGGTCATCTGTCTAGTTCAACCGATGTCGATGCCACTCAAGTCGACCTCAAACAAGTGCACACACAGGATGCATCAATCCCCACTGCTGCTGAAACCACTAGTCCTGTGCAATACAAACGCACTCGCATTGTTCTTGGCCATGCAACCGAGGAAGATCCTGCCAGCAATGATCATACTGACACTCCCACCACTCCCGTCAAGTCTTCCCGTCGTATTACTCGCACTACTGTTGTTGGCGGAACTTCTCCCGTGGCTGCTGGTGGTTTGACTAGCACTGATCATGACTTGACTAAACTTAAATCCAACGGTTCAACTACCAAGTCTCCTTCAAAATCCCTTGGCTCAGACACTGAAATCTCCGCTCGCTCTACTTCCTTGCAGCACACATCTACCAAACTGCGTGTATTCAGTAATCGGACAACACCATCTCGGTTGTATGCGTCTTCAAATATCCAAATTCACGACATGATGGATTGCAATACTGCAAACTTGGACAATGACTCTCGCACTGTTTCTACTACCAATGTATTTGAAACGGGTGACATGGAGCAGGATATCAACACTCCTCTCAAGTACCGTCAAAGCACTACCCAAGGCACTCATGGAACTAAATCCGTCAAGGCTACTCAATCTCCTAAATCCAAAAATGCCAACTCTAATAATGATCATCTCGAAAAATCTCCCAACAGCACCATGTCTGCTCCCTCCAGATCAAAATTCTATATTGATCCATTTATGCCTGGTGTTCGCTCCAAAGTTGGTGGTGCTGCTCATTCTCAGTTTCTTTCACACTCTAACCAATCGTCATTGTTCTCTCCTGATGCCGTTACTCAAAATGCAGAGGTAAGGTCTTGACTCTTATACTTTCAGTGCTACAAGTACTGCTTCACATGCGTTTTTCAGTCCATCATTAACATTCGCTACGTTGTAAACATTTGCTTTGAATAGGATGATCAAGTGGAATTCAAGACACGAAAAGTTAGTGATTTGGCTGCAGAATGGACTCGCAAGATCCAGATGAGTGTTGAGGAAGCAAAGGCAGCAGCTGCCGTTACTACGTCGCTTGCTGCTGCTCATAATAGAGGCGCTAATAATATGCTCGCCGCTTCGGCAGAACCTCCTATTGTTGAAGCGTCCTCTAAACTTCTTTACCCTGATCTGACTAATCGAGCCAGTAATGATTTGGTTCAAACTAATGACGCTGCTCATTTAGATTCTAAAAAATCTTTACCCATCAAAAAGAACCCATTCCAGAAACACTCAAAAAGTACCTTTGAGCAATCTTCTAGTCGCAAGTCAAGAAACCCATTCAAAAGCATGGATGCTGATGAGGATTGCACTGTTACCGAGATGGATGACAGCGTGTCTGAATGGAGTCAAGCCGACGGTGGCATAAATGATTCATCACATCTTGCTTCAGAGGTATATGACGAATCAACCTTGATTGCCAAATCATCATGGGTTGCACCTTTTTTTGGGGTTCTTTTTGTCGCTGCTATGACGATTCTTGTTGGTCTGTATTGGCGCGAACTGGTCGTGTTGGCCAAGACACCCTTTGATGAAAAACATCCCATTATGCTTGCCTACGCTTATGCTTTAAATATGTACGCCAATCCTCAGATTGCCATGGATCATATCTATGAGTTTTTAGAACAATCCCATCATGCCATATCTGAATGGTCTAGGATTTCTTATTTGCATGCAGTCTATGCATATGCTTTGCTTCGTCAATACATGCTCGAGCTGATGGATACTGTTCTCACTAGTTACGGACACGTGCGGCCCATTTTTATATCATACGCACATACCACTAGCGCCTCAGTCTTTGCCGTGTATGCCGATCTGCAAAAAACTGTACTAGCACACTATACATCATCCAAAGAAACATTGGTACCGAATCTATTGATTATTTGGCAAATTATTGTCGACCGACAGATTGCGTTTGTCCACGAGTGTGCTACATACTGTATGACTATTTATACATCAATGAGCATGACACTTGTGCGTAATACCATTGATGCTATTATGAGTGCTGTTGACGCAGCTGCACATCGTGTGGCCGAGTGGAGTCAACCCATTCTAGATCCACTCATGGCCAAGGTGCATGTCTTTTTGAAAAGCACTGAAACTGGTGCATAAAACTGTGTTTGAATGTGCTCGTTTTTATGGCATGCTGGGTGGATAGATCAGAGCTTGGATGATACCTTTTTATGCTTGATAGATTCTATTTATTACATTTTAATGGTCTTTGTTTTGATCTTTTATAGTTTTGCAATGAATTTGAAGCTGTTTTGGGGGCTTTACATAAATCGATGGTTTTGAGTTGAAATGATAGATTGGAGTTTTGGTCGTGCCGCCTTGTGTGCTGAATGGCTACATATATATCGCGAATACTGAGTGCCGTACGGTGATTGTTACACTGCAGATCCTTATTGGTACCACACAGTTGGCTAAAACAGACTTTTGTTTTCAAGATATAATATTTTAATCCGCCCTTTTACAAAGTACTGATCCAGCCTTTATTCAATGATCGTAGTATACTTGCTAGCCAGTCTAGTGGCAATTTCGAATATTTATGCAACCCCACAAATGCCAATAGGCATTTCTACATCACATATACCAATGAGCACTTCCACATCAACACAGTCCAGTTTGCCACAGTGCACTCAGGTCCAGCCCTACTCACTTGCTTTACCGTCGTGTATTTATGTCGATGATCAAGCTCCTATCGTTGAATCTCAAGCCTATACTTTGCAGGCCAGTGAATCCACCAGCGTAACAGGCACTCAACAAGTCAAACCTTCTACAGCTGTATCAACCGTGGCAATCAGGATTGCAACCTATGCTTTCAAGCAGTATATGGATAGTACGCATCTGCCTGGAATTTCAATCACTGGCATGTCTGTGTCACCCATTTCAAAAACAACTCTGCGGCTCTTGATAAAACATATGAAATTCACGTCTGCAATGTGTAAGTTGATTCGAGTCTACTTTGAATTGGCTTGTTCTTTTAACGATAGGGTTGAATTTTAGACTGCGATCGTGTCAATATGAATGGCAAATGGGATTGTGGAGCTCTTTGTCAAGGTGAAACCTCGCAACTTCAAATCCTATCCCTCATCAAAAGCGATAATACAATCACACACGGCTCTTCTGTTGGGTAACGTTCATATTTCACTCCAAATGGCCAGATATAAAGCCCACATCCAAATCCAATTGCTCATTGTATGATTTTTACCACCATGAATTGACTTTTAGGATGGTGGCTTTGCAGCATCGAACTAGATCAATTATTGTTACATTTCGTGGTATGATATTTCCAGGGGACTGGGATAGAAACCATCGGCTGGTTCGCATAGACTTGGAGAAATATCGTTTAAAAAATAGAGCAGTGGATATTCCCAAAGAAGCAAAGGTAAATGGTTGTAAAATCTGCTCAAACCTAACTCTAGCATTTTACTTGAACCATTGATGATTGAATATGATAGATACATGAAGGATTTCTTAAAGCATATATGAAGCTGCGTGATCAAGTGAATTGGTCACTTCAAATAGCTTTAGGCTTGTATCCCGAGTATAGCATATTTTTTTCTGGGCATTCACTCGGAGGAGTTGCTGCAACTCTTGCAGCAATAGACTCTGCAGTGTATTTTGGCAATGAGATTACCAATCGGATACATCTCTTTACTTTTGGATCGCCGAGAATAGGCAATAAACAATGGGCCACATGGGTGACTGAAATTGGGTTGGCCAGTGTGTATCGTGTTGCTCACATCAGCGATCCAGGTATGTAATCTGCCATTTTTATAGATGTAGTTTTATTTAGTAAACGAGTCCATGAATACAATGTTGCTCATATCGAAATGTGTCCTGATCAATTATATGACAAATAGTACCCCATATGCCCTCCTCGATCATGGGGTATCAGCATATATCTAGCGGAACAATTATACTTTCAGACAAGACAAATGCATTGTGTACCACACTTGGCAATCCAAGAGATTCAGCCAAATGTATGCAGATCGCACTCGTAAATCCTGACCCCAAAGTCCACGTCTCGGGTTACTTTTGGCCATCGTAAGTGATTATCGACTTTTGTAAGTGTTGTATACGCTTTTTAACTTTTAATGATGCAACAGTGACTGCAGGGCTATAAAATAAACAAGCTGTCTTTTCAATCCATTCGGCCCATCCACTGCCATACAACTCCTATCTTTAGGGTATGGATTTTAATAAACTATTTTAAACGAAACATTCAAGTTGGATCAAGTGTTGGTAGAAAATACTAGTGTGGTGATTCTGTCGTTGGCTTGAACCTTTGTGAGGTGTCTCCTTTTACAGCCAAGATCGTTTAGCTTTTGTCAACGACAGTGTACTTTGAGGCAAAGCTATGTGTATGGACTCGAAATTGGACACTAAACGGTACCTTTCAACAAAGTGATCTTTTATTTTCTCGACAACCTTGTGTTGTACACAAGATTGTGTATGCCCAGAAAACAGAAAGAGCTGTGAAGAGTAGTTGAATTGGTGAAACAGTGTCTATAAGATTGCGTAAAAGGGTGACAATGCCAAACACAGTTTGCAATTACATATATTATAAAGCAGCAAGAACAAAGTTTGAAATAAACCGTCCTGATTTATTACGACAAGCAAAAGTGTATGTATATGGATGGTTTATTGTATGGAATTGAACTAGTGAATTGAGATTGCGGATTTAAAAGATGGACTAATCAAAATTTAAACTTTATGGATAACAGCTATAGACTTGAAGTTTGGTAGTTGAAAAATATCAAGAAAAAATGTTATTGACATCGTCTCTTTTGTCGGCATCCGTAATATATATTATATCAGCATCGCCATTAGGATCTTCCGACACACCTCAAGATGCTGACTCTTCTGGTTTAAGTCGACTCTATTCAGCAAAACCCTCCAAGTGGAGTATACCCAAAAGCTTCTTTGATGATGCCCATACTGATGATGAGGATCAAATTTACAACATAGATAATGAGGATGGCGACGTTTTTGATGGTGTGATGAGGGATGATCCTGATCAATTGAATATTTACCACACGCCCGACCATATTGTTGATACAAAGCGCGCAGTTGATCTGACATTGGCCCACACGTTTTCGATCTACATGAAATATGCTAGCTCAATCTGTAAGCCTTTTGTTTGGTTGATCTTCAATGTAGAGCATCTTATAGGTAGAGTTTATTAAAAGGCAGCTAGACTCACGATTTGATGCTTATTTAAATAGACTGCGAAAATGTTAGTCTAACCAGAAAATGGCAATGCGGTCCATTTTGTCAGGGTGAGAGGTCCGATTCAAAAGTGCTATCTGTCCTCTATGATCAAGCATCACGCAAACATGGAGCAGCAGTTGGGTAAGCAGTGTCTGCTCAAGATCAAATCATCAAATATCATTAGTAATTTGAATTTCAATCTACTAAATTTAAACAATTTGTATGCATGCTGTAGAGCCATTGTGCTACACAAGCAGTCCAAGTCAATTGTGATTATATTTCGAGGGACTGCAAGTAGCCATGAGTGGAGAACCAATTTGAATTTTGCCAAAGCCAAGCTGAGTCCGTTGCTGTTCACTGGGAGTGTTGGAACTATTCCACCAAATGTTATGGTAAGCACAATTTTGTTATAATTTTGTTTACAACTATAGTTTACTGATTGCCGAGTATACAATGTTTATGTATACCATGCAAATATCGCTATAAACGATGCGATGTATGTAGCTTCATAGTGGATTTCAAAAAGCATATCTCAAAATTCAAGAGCAACTCCGTTTCAGCTTAAATGTCATTGTTTCCAAATTTCCTCAATATAAAATCATAGTGACTGGACATTCACTTGGTGGAGCACTTGCTAGCATAGCTATAATGGATATTGCCTTGCATCATAAAAAGCACATGGCAGCTCAAATGCATTTGTATACCTATGGTATGCCACGAACAGGAAACGGTGCATGGGCTAATTGGGTTAATAAAGTTGGTTTTGGTTCAGTGTATCGTATAGTCCGAACCAACGATCCAGGTATAGTTTAATTTTGAACCCTTCATTCACACTACCGATTACTGACTCGCCATACCTTTGATACCTGTTAATGTATGGCGATGGAATTAAATACGAGTTACTAGTACCACATCTTCCAGTAAATCTTATTGGATACAAGCATTTTGGAACTGGAGTTGGAATAGATCAGAATAGTGTTACTGTCAAATGCAGACCGACTGGAGATGCAGGCGAAACGAGCGACTGTGACCATTTAAGCAAACGATCTGCAAGTATCATGGCGCATACTCAGGGATACTACTATCCATCGTAAGTGTCTTTTATTTCCAATGTATACTTGATGTATAACTTACTGATCTGTCTCGAGTATTCTAGTGGATGCCAATTGCGCAATACAGAATTGTAGTCGCACCAGACCATTCTATTTACTGCTAACAAATAAATACCTTTATCAACTTGAATGGCTAATGAATTCTTGGCTGGTAATAGAATTTCAAAATAGTATGTTGTAAACAGGCCTAGCGTATTATTGGAATGCGACCAGTAGTATTTTCAACTCGACCAAAACAGATGATGCCAATTATCACCAGCTAGCTGTCTGTAGTTTTAATGCTGGCTGCATTAATGCTTATATTTTATTAGCTAGTTTGTCTTGTGAAAGCTAGATCACTACCATCTTTTGAGCAAGCTTTGTCGCTATATTTACGAAAAGCACATTGAATAAGGGCGTTAGATATAGTAAGCAGCCAGTTCTATCGAATGGTAACTTCCATTAAATTGACTCGACAGCATTGTGCTTTCTAAACTTTTTGGCGGTTTAGTCATCAAGACAGTCGAAGCCAAAATCTGATTTTGAACCTGGTGACTGTGTACTATATGGCTATGCCAAAAGAAAAGGGCGAGTTTAAAACTAGCTTGATTTTGTGTATCATGTGTGATGATTGTGTTTGAAAAAAGTCGCGTGAAAAAAGGTTCGGCTAATTCCTAGTATACACTTGAAATGGATATTTAATCTTCCATTTCAAAGCAAAACAGCGAGAATCCCTAAAAGACAAGTACGCACAGATATTTCACTTGTGACTGCGGATGTAAACTATCAAACTATCTCAATCGACAGGGATCTACAAAGGGCTTGGCGATTCAGGATTTTCAAAGCTACCAACACCAACTCAGGCAGCCCTTGTAAAATGTTTTGAATGATGTACCGCATCTCATTCGAAGCTCAGACGCACTTGTATAAAAGAAACAGCTTAGGAATTGACAATGTCTACTAGTCTTTACTTGATTGTCACTGCGTGTATAGCACCAGTCGCTCATTACGTATGTTATGGATGTTTTGCAATGTATAATTATTCCATATTGATGCTCAAGCACAATCAAATAGGACAGTTTAATTCAACTATTCCAATCAATCAACAAATATTTGATACTAACCTAATCATGCTCACATGTTCAGGAATATTTCAAAAAATCCTCGTATAAAATGCTTGCTACCTTGGGATTCCTCTATCTGTTGGTCATTCAATGTGCCCAGGCTCAAACTCGAGTGAGCGAAGAAACCCAAATCTCCATGCAAACTCCATCAACCGAATTGCCCGGTACCAGTCACCAACCACAAGTTAAACCTAAAACGAAAAAATATCAGGTGGTTAAAGTCGTAGCACCATCTCTTGTAGGTTTAAACGTGGGCTCGTATCAAAAGTCGATAAAGAAGGTCTGGAAATCTCACACTGGCTCAGACAAAAAGGCTGGAACACTTTTATCGCCCTCATCGGCTACCACGAGCAAGATGGCCAATACTTTAATAGGATATACCACGGAAGAACAGGATGAGATGAGGCGTCAATACATGTACATGGTAGAAAAACTCAGTGCGGAGCTTACAATTGAGTTTCAATCTGAACAAACCTACAAAGGACCATCCTTTAAATCACTAGCAAAATTTAAGAAATATGCCGATCGCTTCAAATTGAAAAGTAAAAAAGTACCTGAAGTGGTTGATGGACGTCCCGAAACATCTCCAGAACCCCTCGCCAAGTCACTTATGGCTCAGTATGCTCAGTACAATCTTTTTGCATCTGCCGTTTGTAAGTCATTTTAAACTGTATTCACGTAAAAATGGAACACTTGTATTTATCTTACATCGACTGTTTTGTTTTGAATGGAATATGGTTGAATGTTTGTCGTGCTTTCCTACTAGATATCGACTTTCAATTCTTCCAATCAGCGTTCATCATATGATATACATAGTCAAACTATGGTGATCATTTTCGCCTCATTTGGTATGACCATGTATTGTATGATCACCAAGTTTGAAACCAGACTTGACTGTTCTGATGTTGTCAATACAACTCTAAACTCCATCTTGTATTTTAAACCAGATACGTTCGCGTTCTAGTTGAAGAAACCAATGATTGCACATATTAGGAATGCAGTTGTTGTTTTGATGTCAGCCATCCAGTGGTTGGATGAACGAGTTGGAGATGAATACAACAGTGATGTTTGCATTCATTCAGTTATACAAAAATGAGCAAAGATCAATGGTCTTGTCAAACAGTTCAGAGGACACAAGTTGTTTAGTCAATTGGTATACATCAAATGAGACTGGCCGTTTATGATGTATTTTGAATCCATTATTCAGTGTTTCATTTCACGTGAATACGATCATGAATAAGACTAGTTTACTAAACTCGATACAATGGTTGAAATTGCAATATGTAGCTTGCAAAGTAGTCAATGTTGCTAGCAAGTGGGAGTGTGGTCCACTTTGCCAAGATGCTACGGCTGGAACTCAAATTGTCTCACTAATCAAAGATCCAACCCGAAGTAGAACAGATATGAGTGTCGGGTAGGTCACAGATTGTATTGAATAAGACTCGGTTTATTTGGGTTTATATTGAATACTAATTTTTTGTTTTTAGATATGTTGGGATTAATAATCAGTTGAAAACAATTATCGTGTCGTATAGAGGGACAATGGGGTCGGTTGATTGGAGACAAAACCTTCGTGCCGTGACAACACTCATTCAAGAATTATATGAATATCCAAAAAAGCATATTTTCAACGAAGCTCGGGTACAGTTATTTTCCTATTTGAATATCAAATGTTGGCATTTAATCCTTTCAAGCATCACATTTGAACATTCAGTTATATTGAATACAATAATGATACTGTAGGTTCACGCCGGGTTTTTAGGCGAGTTTATGCGAATTAGAGACACAGTGGCTCGTGCTCTACTCATGGCAATCTCACTCCATCCAGAATACAAAATTCACATAACTGGTCATTCCAAGGGTGGTACACTTGCTACTCTAACTGCGGTGGACCTATACATGACTCACGATCTGCCCAACATTGAAAAAAAAGTGCATTTGATTACATTTGGCACGCCACGTGTTGGCAACAGGGAATGGGCAGCCTGGTTAGATGGAATTCCATTTGCTGAAGCTATTCGTGTAATCCACCAAAATGATCCAGGTAAAACAAATGCGCCTACACATACAGAGAGTGGTGCTATAAAGTATTTACTAACTGCTTTCCGACGAGGTAATTTAGTGGTACATTTACCACCGATAGCTATGGGGTACCAGCATACTGGCGTTCCGGTTTTGGTAACAGCAGATCGTCATGTTGTAGGGTGCACCTATTACAAGGATAGATTGAGCGATGAAAACTGTCTTCCTCACAGTCCTGAAAAATCTTCTCATACACACAACTACTTTCACAAAACGTAAGTCTTCATTTTTTAATTCGACTTGTCATACTTGCATGCACATTTCAGTTTTTTTGAGTCATACCATCACATTACATATGAGAATCCTAACTGTCATGGATTGTACGTAATTTGAATTAAAGTGGATGCCGACTTTTGAATGAGCAATTTGACGCAATGAATTCACCCAAAAAAGCAAGAGCGCCTGCGACATAGGACTATTTTTCTGGGCTCATGGCCATGTCTGCGTTTTACCATTAGATCTGAATACAAGTTTGAATTAAACATGGCAAGTTTCGCCTAGCCATGTATAAATGGGGGTTCATGGCAATTTTATGGTAAATCTACTTTATTCAAAATGATTTCTGTTTTAAACTGCTGATTCACATGCCATTTTATTTTTAGTGCAAAGCAAAACTATTTCAAATAAACCAAAGCCATTCTGATTATATTTTGTAGTATTAAACGTTTATGCTTCCACTGTGCTCTCTTCAGCAGGTGCAGGGATTTGCATCAACGTATCAATTTTTGAGGATAGACAATCCATGTCACCGGGAAGTAAAATTTCTTTTCCATCACGAAGTACTTTGGCAGGGTTGTAAAGCATATCGGTTGCACAGGAAGTGGCAAGTTCAAAGTGAGCAATATTGTCCTGTGCTTCTTGTACGGTAAGGGGATCCGTATCAATGTCGTTCATGTCAACATCGTTATCCTAAAAAGACAAAAATGAGCTGAATAAAGTAACCATGTTACCATTAGAAAGCGGAGTTTACCATTTCATCCTCGGCACCTTCTGTGCCACAATCGTAATCATCATCAGCATCATCCTCACTCTAAGATCAAATAGCAAAGAGTTATTGCCAGAGTCAAAGTAGTGAAAACAGTATTGCACCTACCTCGAACGTTTGAGCAAGAATGCTGTCTTGGATAGTATTGTTGATACTCTTTCCCTTGCGTAAAAGACTTGGCTGCATAGGGATGGCAGTCATGACCAGATCTGTAATCTAAGATTTTGGATTGATAATATGAGCGATAGCAGGGATAGTGACAAAGCCAGGTATGGTATGTACCTCTTGAACAGGAATATCAGCATGATGTTCTTCTGGATCATCCTTGAACGATGACAACCAATGTCAGCTCAACAATACATGATTGAATAAAGCAATAAGCCAAATACATACTTCATCTAGATCACCATTGTCTTCATCAACAGTGTCAGTGTGATGACCCTCAACGGGTAGAAACTCGTCATCCTCTTCGTCATCGCTCTGGAACGGATAGAATATCGGACAAGATCAATAAGTTACAGGATGCAAAAAGAGATAAAGAGAAGCAGACATACAGGCAAGTGACCATAGAGACAAGTGGTATCCATAGACTGCTGTTTGATTGGTAAGTCGAACGGAACGACAGTGTCTTGGGCAGAGAGCATCTTGACAATTAACGAGTTGATGGTTGAAAAGGAAAGATTACGGAATCGAATGAGATAATGCGATGGACACCATGAGATAGTCTCATGCAAGGCGACGATGAGCAATGTGTACAAGCCATCCTTGGACTGTTTGTAACCAACCCTCGTTTCATACAGTTTAAACTACAATGCTGATGGACAACACTGTAACTCCTGAAGCAACAGCAGACACTGTTGCTGCTACTGGCTCAACCAGCTGCTCTAGTCCAGACGCAGTTCATGCTTCTGTTGCTGCATTGACACTTGATGACTCGGTTGCAAGAGCCAAGAGTCCAGTTGCCAGTGTGAGCAGTCATTCCACCAGCAATAGAAGAGTGATTGCTGCCAACAGACACACTGTTCTACTAGGATCGCATACAGTTGCTCATCGTCCTCATATGCATCACAGCCAGTTCAGTCAGCTTCGCACTGCTTCGCATTCGTCCTTGATGGGAGCAACCCAACACTATCGACTGCAGCATGCTGCTGGAGTGGACCATTCCACCACTACTAGAAGAGAAGCTCAAAGACCTTCTTCTTACCAGCGAGATCCTAGTCTGCTGTCTTCCACTCCCATCATTACGAGAGGAAAGTCTCCCGTTCCATTCGACTCTTGTCAATCCAGCTCTGCTGTCAGTCGTTCAATTACCATCACTTCGGCCACTCTCACCAGTCCCAATGCTGCTGCTGCAACTACCAATTCTTCTAGACTACCTCAAGGTGCTATTCGACACAGGTTCTCATTGCCTTCTATCAATGTAAGAGACAGTCTATACCAGCAAATGGAAGACAATCGCAACTTGAGAGAGTCTGTTCGTGCTGCCAAGCCTCAGAATCCTGCCACTACCTTCAAAAATCTATCTAAACTCTTGGAAATCGAGATTGCTGTTATTGGAAAGGTAAGTCATGGTTTTGTATTGTCATGCACACTCTACTTGATTGCTCATCACTGCTTGTCACTGCTTGTCAACCCTTTGACTTAGCCTCTGATTAATGGCTACCGAGTCTACATTCGTGAAGACCAGGCGCAAGACACCGATCATAATCCTGTTCGTATTCTGCTGTTCAACGATCTAGTCGTTTGTGGTCCTTCCATCCCTTCCGGTCCTGACAATCGTCGTATATATGCTGCTCAAACCCTCTGCTTCTTTGAACGCGCCTTTGCTATACAAAAAGTTGGACTACAAGGCGCTCATCTCATGGCTGGTAAGGCTTCTGTCAGTCTTTTGTTCCAGACAGAAGTCGCTCGTGACGACTGGGTCAATACTGTCTACGCTGCAATGGACGCTCATCGCGCAGTCCTGATTCGCAGAGCTCGTCGTATGCAACAGCACATGCAGCGAAATGGAAACACTGCTGCTTCTGCCATCGCCAAGGGTAATCATGGAAGTATGCTTGCCGAGCACAATCTGAACCCTATTTGGACTGCTGGGCTGGAAAGCGGTGGCAATGGATTCGAACATGATTACTACGGATTCGATTTTACTCACTCTGCCAAAACTTATAATCCTAGTATCTCCACTGGCAGATCCTCTCGTTCCACACTGGCAACCACCTGGATTCCAGACCAAGAGGTAAACAGATCGTGTAACTGCTATGCAACGATACATTGTCCCATATCTAATGAATTGGAACCATGCTTACTCGGATTTGATTCATTTATTTAGGCTACCATATGTATGATCTGCCAGACTACAAAGTTTAATGTCTTTGTTCGTAAACATCACTGTCGGTAAGCCATTTACTAATCTTACTACTATATCATCCTTTTCAACTATTGGTTTTATGTACAGTGATCTAATGCATTCGTATCCCATACTCATCTAACCTTGCTATTTAGGCAATGTGGTCGTGTCATTTGCCATAAATGCTCAGAGTTTAGAACCGTTGGGAAAAAAGAATCACAAGTCCGTGTATGTCTAGAATGCCATGGCCAATCTTTATCAAGCGATTTCTTTGAGCCAACAGAATCACTATATGGTTCGCCCTAGTTTTCCTGCAAGACTTTCATATTCTTTATCCTATTCAGGTTATCAAGAAACTGTTTAATTACACGCAACAAAAACCCATATTAGAATGTAATGAAATAGCAAAACCACCGACACATCTCAATCCAATTATAACTTTGCATTCATCACAAATGTCTTGAGCATTTCCACCAAATATTATTAAAAATGGACTAGTTTTGATATAAATCAGAATTGAAAGTGTAGATTTGACTGCAGGGCAGTAGAGTCATGTGGGGTTTTAAAAACAGCTACGTTTTATTACATAGAATACATGCTTTGCTGTACCAACTACGATCCAGGTGTGGCATATCACCTTTGGCAAGTTCAAAGGTCTTGAATGTTTCACTCAAGCAATCTGAACCACTCCCAAGTCGATCTTACTTTGGGCATCTCTTAACCTTTTTTGCAGCTTCAGTTCTCTCTCCATATCTCTCAATGCTTTCATTCCAGGATCCATTTCTACGTCAAGAATGGATGTAGACATTTTATCCAGTGCATTCGCTTCCCCGCCCAACTCTATCCATCGTGCTTGCAATCCATTCAACTCGGCGCGATAAGTATCCATTTCCGTAGCATATATATCCCATACACACGTCTTGCATCCGCCCATGCAGCAGTCAGTACTTGATGGTGGATTAGGATGAGTTAGTGTTTGAAATTTAAGCGATATGATTGATAGAGAGTTTATGTTTGCGAATTGAATTGACGGTTGGGAATCTATGGGTTGGGATCGCAGTGGATAATCGGTTGTGGTGGATGATGACTGATGAAAGTCTGCTGATGATGGTGGTGAGTCAAGGTAGTCTTTTCTATTTAAAATGGCTATAGGCTACAAAGTATTGGATTAGTCAATTCCTGCCATTCTAAACTATAAACAGCCAAAACTGTTCAAAGTATATGAATGGCTCTAAAAACGTATATATTAACTGATTTGAGCCTACAGTTTCAAGTATCAAGTCCCAAAATCCAGTATATCGACTCTCCCGTACTGCCAAGTCACCCGTCTGACTGAATGGCCGGATAGAATACAAGGATGCACCAAAACTCTTTTGCGGCAGTAGTTGGTGCGTATATAGCTGCTGTCTAATACATCTGAAAGCCATTTCAAAAGAACTGACAATAAGTCGAATATAAATATCAACAGAAACAGAAACAAGAAAATGATCAAAACCAATACGACTTTAAAGACAAGTCTTGACTGATCGATCCAATGCTGCGATTGCTTCCAATATCGATGCTAAAATGGAAATTTTATTTGTCATGTAAATTATGGCGTGTGCATATTTGGACCGTTATTTAGAAACCGACTTTATCGCTTTGTCTTGCAGGATCAGATCTCCGATAGAGCTATAGTATCAGAATGTCAAAAACACATAGTTGGGCATTACAAAAAGTGCAAGAAAAAAGGTACATGCATTGTTCCCAACCCCACTAGTAACCATTCCATATTTGTATGCAGTCATGTAAACGATTACAGATGCAAATATACTCGCATTCGTGTATATTACAGCTCCTAAACATTAAAACATCAGCCATATTACTGGTTGCATAACACTGTGTATGGCTTACAACATTGCCTATTCTAAACACCATTTTACACATCTACCATGTAATTCACAATAAATACAACCAGTTTGCATCGCAATGATATGATCACAATCAATTCACGTCCACCATGGCTAAAATTTATTCCACAGAATGTCCAATCTTCAGATCCAAGTACAACCAGTACAGCTAATACTTGTAGCATCAAAGTGTTCCCTAGAACCATTCAGAATCACGCCAAAGCTGCCCATCTTGAAACTAAGCTTGAAATCGATATGGTACAAAGGCTTTTTTCATTCATCGTTTTATTCAAATCTGCATCAAAAACATACAGGCTAACATCACTCTTTAAACATACAATATTTATTTTCATTTGCTTAGATGCGTCAATTTACTGGTTTAGGCAAACCTCAGCGCGATACACTTTTACGAATCATTGACAAAAATGCACGAATACGTCAACGAATGGGATTTCCCATTGGTGTTTTTGAACTAATGCAAGATGATACTTACGATTATGCATTTAAATTCCCACAATCAAGTCATTTCAGTAAATCAAGTCAGTCCATTTCCGCAAACACAGACACTGCTCCACATGCTCGATTGAAAGAGTTTCATCCACTGGACGTGAGTTTAGCCAATGTGGGTCAAAGTACATTGGGTGATGGTTTACCCAGTATACCCCAAGGGATTGTCGTGACACCTGCTGATGATAATCATCCTGCTTTAAAATCACATTTCCCATCCATTTACTTTCAAAACGCAACAAGCAGCGAGCCCACCCAACTGAGTAGCAGCGACTATTCTGACAATAGCATCGTATCAGAAAGTATCTTACGCAATCAGGCAACTTCAATATCTAGGCTTGAAAGTATCTCCGAGTTTCATCATTTACTCAAACACGACGACAGCATGTCAGAAGGAAACATCACAGACGATCTAGCTGATCTCGAATTCCCTATTGAAGAATACAGTACAAAAAGCAAACTCAAAGTTGACGAAAGCGACTCAAACGATGATCATGCACCGTCAGGTAAGGTTGAGTATCCAACGAGTGAAAAAGTTGTGATGGTATCAAAAATTTAAACTTTATTTTACTTGACCTCCATCTCTAGCTTCATCTAAATCCACCCTTGAAAAATCACCTGCTCTTACTCCAAAACAAAAATACTCGCATCTGGTGGATATGGGGAAAAAAGGGCTAACAGTTGGTCAGCGCACTGCAACAAAGCAGGATCTCGAGTATGAAGCCATGATGGAGATGAAACTTGTCAGCACCGATTTACAAAAATGGGTAGTTGATGTTATTGATAATTCCGTAAACTTGGATCCAGATATCTTGGCAGAAGTAAATCGTATGAGTGAACTTGCTGCTGCTGCAATGACACCAGGAACAGAAAAGCATGCTGTAACAGGAAGTCAACAGATTAAATCCCTTCAACCTACAGCAAAAGCGTTGTTGGCGCTAGAAAAAGTGGATACATCTGGGTTTGATGTGCTTTTGAATGCGTGTAAGCCGTCTATACTCGAAGCTAAACCACCAGTAAGGCTTAACGTTGTGCATGAAATCAACCCTCCAGATGCTCTTGTCAGTACCCTTCAAAAGAATCTAGGCATGAGTATCATTGATAAAAAAAAGGCCGGAGCCGGTAAGTCGTAAATCACAAAAATGCCAATCCAAACTATGTTGGTACTGATCTTTAGCATAATGCATTGTTTAAATGATAGATTCTAAAAAAAAGGTGTTGCCAGAGATTGAAAGCAGTTTCACTTACAAAAGAAAATTCTGCCGCCAAAAAACTCGTTATGGAGCGTGGTATGTTCCGCCAAAAAAATGGAATGAGCAAAGTCACAGCCATACTAAATCACCAGAAACGAATCAAGCGGATGATTTTAGTCATCGACGGTTTGGAGGTATTGTCCAAGAAAAACTCGACGAGATCAATAGAAAACGCGAAATTGATTACGATCACTTTATGCGGGAGCTGGAACACGGCAACAATGGACCTGCTTCTTCTGGATCTATGAATGGATCCGCACCATTGGCTGAAAATGCTCTGATTTTTCCTGCTGTATCATCTGCACAATCAATAAATGGTGGTAGTACCGTCATTAGTTCAATCGGTACTGATATTGACAAGATAGGTCAGACGGAAACTACAGCAGACGGGAATCAAACAATCGCTACCAACAGCGAATCAAATGGAAATACAAAAGGACCTCGCATGAGCGTTTCGCGTGGAGCAAGCCAAGGCAAACCACAAACAGCCTCTCGTAAAGCATCTACTCAATATTCAAAAAAGTCAAACTAATCGCAATCAAAACTGTTACAAAATGCAACTTAAACATATTGAATCAGTTAAAAATGAAAACAAAAGGGTGCATTTGTGATATACGACTATGAAGATGTGAGCGGTTTGGCTTTGCTTTATTTTTTAAACATACTTTTTCTCCTCAATGTGATAAAATAAACTTGAATCAGAAAGAGGGTAAAGAGCCGGCTGATTTTTGAGCTAGTCTACCTTGATCAAAAGCCTTTAGTTTGTCCTGCATCATTTTTTTCGACTCTTGCCTAATTGCACAATACAAGTTTAAAAAATCATCAATAAAACTATATGCTGCACCAGTTCAAAAAAGCATCATTGCATCACTCAAATAAAAATATACGTACTGTTTAGCAAGGTCTTTGCTAAATAGACGAGAATCTGCCAGTTCAATCTCCTCGGCATGCCAGAAAGATCCAGCCTTATGACGAGCTCCCAAAATTGGATCGCTAAACGTATCACTTACGGGAGCAACAGCTTCGCCAGTCTTGATCTTTTCAGCCATTTCAGAAAGACTCTTTTTATGTGCAATTTCCGCGTCGTCATACATTTTGAGTTCACGAAGCTCTTCCTCCTCTCGAGCAGCATAGAATTCAGTCAATGCTTGCTTGTACGCCGTCGATCGAAACGATTTTCTATCCACAGATGTCTTTGTCCGCTTTTCCTCCTTGATAGCCTTTAACTCGGCTTGATTCAAGAGATACATGGTACGCTGCACAACACTAAGCAATGATGATAGATGAGCGGATGGATTCTAAAGGCAAAATCCCACGCAATCTAGCATCTACAATAAAATCAAGATGGATCATTACCTTTCTCCAGATAGAGGAACAAGTGCATGTCCTCCATGGATATCGACCCATTCAACAGCAACACTAAATTCCCGTTCGACAATGCACCGGGCACGATCCAACTCGAATGGATGTCGCTTGTAAAACACTCGACGTATTTCATCTTCGGGATAAACAATATCGGGCACACTGTAGGCCAGACTGGCAGCAAGTGCAGCATCACCACAGGGAACAGCAGGCGATCGGTTTTTAACAGCCAGCACTGCAGCAGCAGTGGATGCGACCAGCTGTTTACGAACAGAGAGGGTTTTAGGTCTGCGACGGGCAGAGCGAATTGCTATTGCCAGCTGTTGTTGATGAAGAAGCAGACGGCCATTTTCAGGTTGAAACTGACCGACTTCGGATGGAATGACAGATTGAAGAGGTTTGGGAGCAGGAGGATGCAGTTGCATTGCAGCATACCATGCTGGCAATGCATTGATTTTGCCTGCTGTCTGCAGATTGAGGATCTGATCCGGCAGTTTGAATGGATTGTGTCGTAGTCGAATGGGCATTTGTTCAACTGATACGCTCGTCTATACACTAAATCTCGTCAGTGCATTCATTGCATTCATTGCATTCTCGACTCAAGTCCTCACCTGCTTCAGCACGCCAAAGTTGGGTCCAAAACAGAAAGAAAATTCAGAATCCAGCCAAACTGGCAATCCAACGCAACACTCCAATTCTACCATAAAATCCTATTTTATTCATCACTGTCTTTCATGTCACTATGCTGGTCTTTCAAAGACATCCGTAGAGATCTGATCTCGTCCGCTACCGACACGCTGGGATATCGTTTTTTGATACACTCGGAAATCTCCTCAATCATTTTGGGATCCATTTTAATCGCTCTAGATAGAATCGTACCCCACATGGAAAAATTTATCATATTAGGATACTTGATTTCTATCATCTGTATTGCATCCACTGCTGATTTGATGTCATTGTTGTTGATATTTGCCCAGATCAAGTGTATACTTTGATTGTCAGAACCTCTCAAATTGGCATGTTGCATCCTATCAAGAAAAGTCTGGACAGTTGCTACATCTCCCAAAGCAGAGTATCCACGAATTAAATCTTGCAAGATACGAAAGCGAGTTAATCTGTGTTGCATTTCCATCCGAGTAAGCTTATTGAGAGCCTTGGGTGTAGTAATCGAGCCAAGTGCTTTAACCATCGCTAACCGAGCACGCATACGAACCTGTCCAACATGTACATTGTCAATATACGCACTCCACATGGACGGAATATTCCCAAGTTTAGCATAGGAAATAATCCGTGCAGCATGCATAGTATAGCTCAATGAAATGCCTTTTTTGTTTGCATCATCTATCATTTTTAGCACCACATCATGATTGCCTATTCCAGATTCTGCAGCAATCAAGGTAGAAAAAAGCTCCAATGGCATGGCCCCTTCAACTGCTATAAACATTTCAACGTGCTTCTTGGCTATATCATACTTTTTCAAGCGAAGATAAAACTCGGCAATGATTTTGATTGAAAAATCCGTGACTTTGACGTTGGATAGCTGCATGCGCTGAAGAGCATTGAGTAATCCTTTTTCGTTGTCTGTGAAAGAGTATGCTCGGAGAAGAAACTCGAATTCGCGAGGACCGGGATCGTTGTGAGACAACTGATAAAAGGCTTTCAGTCCTGCAATATCCTCACCGCAAAGAATGTGTGCTCTACACATGACTGTCTGAAAAGCAATGTCTTTGACATTCACGCCATATACTTGCGCTTGCTGATAAGTTCTCAAAACTTTATCATAATTACCCAGATGTGCATAAGTCAAAATAGCCAACTTGGTAATAGTAAAGTCTTTGTAAATGCCCAATTCTTTCATAGCATCCAAAACCTGGCCTGAAATTAGAAAACGATACATTACAGGCGTATTTTTCATCAGCATATGCTTGTTATAGCAAATCTCCAACAGAATCGATTTCCAAAATTGACTTGGAAGATGTTTAAGAGCAAATAGATCCGTTTTGATTGCTTCTCGAATAAACTGCACGGCAAGATTCATTTGATCGGTTTGAACATAATGCATGATGCTCTTGGCAGGGTCTAAAGAGTTTTCCAAGGAAACTGCATTGTCACTTTTGGGTTTTTCTTTAAACCTTGGAATGCGATCAGTATATGATTTCTTTGGGTGAGATTGAAGAGCAGCTATATTTTTAATGTGAGAATCAAAATCAAACGACTCGAGTGTCATTTTGGACTTGATATTAGATTCTGAGTCTGAAGTAGACGATTGATGTTGAGTGGGGTTTTTTAAAGGATCAAAGTTATATGTAGAAGTGTCTGTATGAGTGTCTGAAGCATATCGTATATATAATCTAGCAGTCAATCGAAGTCGAGGCAAAGGGTTGAAATTAGAAAATAAAAGTGTATGTTTATAGGAATGAACAGACACCAGCCTGTATGAAGCAGCATTTATCCTTGTGGTTGTTTGTATCATCATCATTCGACTTGTATTTACAGTTGTATTCATGCAAAATGAAATACAAAGTGAAAATACATAAACAGTCGATAATTGGTTTTACGGCTATATTCACGTAAAATAAAACACTGATTAATGGAATCAAAATGCATAATAAACAGTCATGTTTGATGCCAATTTACTAAGCAACCTTGTTTTTTAAACTCTTTAGTTGACTGTTTACTGGTGATTGACATGGAAGCAACGGTTTCATTGTTGAGATCGTTCTCTTGAACTAGAACGTACGAGGTTTTAGGATACAAAAGGTTTGTCGGCAACAGTCGAGCTCTATCTGGATTGTAATAAATAAATCTGATGATCGCAGTGCGTGGTTATGCCAAATAAGGCTAATATCTGTTTAAAAATATAGTTTAACTGCGTCATATGATGAATATTGTGTTTATTGAATCGAGTGTCTATCCAAGCCAATTCCTAGCAAGTATAACAACTAGTCGACCATTGTCTATTCCAAAGAAAAATAGCCAAGATATTTTATTTTACGTGAATACAACTTTAATATCTCGTTCATCCTCACTTTCAATCAATCTCCTTGCTTTTTCAAGTGAATCCTCAATCAGTATCTCAGGATACTTAAACTGTATATGCTCCTTCACCCAATCTACTTTTTCAGGCTTATACCTCATCATGCATAGCAACACCGTGTACCACAATGAAAATTTGATGTCTAGATTCTTCTCATCGAGTGATTTCGCATACGCCAGACAAGCATCTGCATCTTTTGAATTGTAGTGAGCAAGAATAGCACAATGATAAGCTTCAAATGGAACTGTTTGAAATGTTGTTTGGAATTGGTCGATAAGAATAAATATAGATGCTGCATCTCCCTTGATGGCGTATCCTAGCATGAGATCAAACAAAATAGATCGGAATGGAACTCTTTGACTCCGAACCATTTCTTTAAGCTTGTAAAGACTACTTTTTTCTTTTAACGGTCCTAGGGCTTTAGCTATTGCAGCCATACTGGATTTATGCACGCTATGGGTTTTGCACAATGTTAGATAGTAGCTCCAAACTGCTGCCCAATTGCCTAGACCAGCATGAGCAATAAGCCCTTCATTTATGGTGGATGTGTGCGGTAAAATTTTGGCAGCGTAAATCTCTTTGAGAAACAACAAGGTAGCCTTATGATCGCACAAGGCATTTGAAGCACGCATCTGAATGTTGAACAATCGCTGATTCATTTCAATTCCATCAGATCTGGCTCGGGATATGTACTCTTGAACTGCAGTGTAGTTTTCGTTTTTCAAATACATTGCACTGACAATGGCTATGGTGATTGCGTTTGGTTTTAATCCAGCCTGTGTTATTTTTTTCATTGTTTCTAATATGGCATTTTCGTTGTTGACTTTGGAGTAGGCGGATAGAAGAAAATTGTACGTTCGTATAGAGTTGTCAATGCTCAAGAGTTGAGAAAAGTACATCAAGCCCTTTTTTTCACGATTACCAATGATATATGCTTTACACATGCGAGAAATAATGAAAGTGGTATTGACATTGTAGCCACGATCGCATATGAGACTATACGTCTTGTCGAGCGCAACCACGTCGCCCAGTTGGCCATAAATAATCAAAGCTATAGCATATGTATTAAAGTCTGCATTGACACCAAGAGTATCCATAAGCCTAAGCATATCGACTGCAACCCGCATGCGATGCGAATGTTTGGTTTCATTGGTGAACTTGTATTTGTTGGTGATGACAGCATTCAGGAGCGAGTTAAAGCACCAAGTGGAAAGGTCAATCAACTTTGCAGGATCGGTGCGATTGATATGTTCGTATATGTAGTAGGCTGAAACCATGTCGCCTTGCTTGATAAATCTAGTTATATTCAATACTGTTGGATTAGATCTGGCCATTTGTCGTTGGCGAACGATTGAGATGGGTGGATAAAAAGTGGTACTCTGCGGTGAAGGTATAGTCTGAGGTAAAGATTGCCTATTTGGTCCGTTATGTATAAACGTATTGGACTTGCTGTATTGGTTATGGATGGATGTTTTGGATTCTGAATCCAAATTGGTCCAACCCGAATCCGTATTGTTGTAATAGTTGATAATTGTTGTAGAAAATGGCAGTGTTTGATTGCCTTGTCTTGAAACCAGCGAGCATGGTTTACACTGTTTGCATACAGTCAAAATACTCTTATAAACAAAAGTTCTAATCAAGCTGCTACACATCAAGTCTTGGATGTTTTTGTAAGAAACAAAAATCTAAAATGTGATTCCATTTTGATATTCCAAATTCACAGCTCAATAAAATTCATTATGCATTAAATATATTCGTCAAATCCACTCCTCAGCTCTCGTGAGCCTTTTATCTGCTTCTTTACACGATCCCACATTTCATCCATAGAAACATTTGGAAAGTTGTTTTGAATATGATCAACTATCTTCTTGACTGATTCGGGTGAAAATTGTACAACGGCAACCAAAACTGCAAACCATAATTCTGGGCTCTGGCTATGATTCCGTCTTTCAATGTCCAATACATATGCTAAAGCAGATTCAGCATCTCCAGCATTTACATAGGCCCAAACGACATGTGCGTATTCTTTTAGCCGCAATCGCTTGACTCCGACCTTCATTTGCCGCAATATTACCTTGACAGATTCAGCATCTCCTAGTAAAACGTATCCTCGAACCAATTGCTCATACATGTGTCGTAAATCTATGTTACGAGTAGCAGCTACCACGATAACCTCGGATAAGCCGCTGCTGTCTGTAGCCAATGATCCAATCGATTGACACAGTGCAAATCGCATTGCTTTGGTCAAGTTCAATCCAGAAGCGACATAATCCTTATAAGCTGACCACATGGCATTCACATCATCTAGATAAGCACAGGCAATCAATATTTCACTCAATACCGATGAAGTGGTTTCAATTCCTTTTGCTTGCATCTCCTTGTGGTACTTGATGACATCTTTATAATTACCAAGACTGTTGGCCATTTGCATGAGAATCACATACATCCCTAGAGTCAATACACCACCATTGTCTTTAAATACACGTAAATGGTTGTGCACCGTTCCAGGATCACCTCTGTGCCGATATAACCGACACAAAGCAGAGATGGATGACGCATCGGGAGTAAAGCGATCATTCAGCATTCTTTCAAGTGAACGCAGCATACCCATTTCGTCATTATTTAGTGAATAGGAGATGATGAGGAGATTGTAAGATCGGGTGGATCGGTCAATATGAAGAAGCTGAGAAAAATACTCTTGCCCTCGAGATTCTTGGCCACAAAGAATACATGCCTGACACATGCGAGCCAATGTCATTCGATTCATATCAGAGAATTCTCGTTGCTGAATTTCGGCAAATACACTGTTGACAGCAGAAAAGTCCTGCATGCGGCCATAGATGTATAGAGCAGTAAGAAGAATGGCATAATTGGGTCGAACTTGGAGTTTACGCATAAGTTCAAGGATATCGGATGCTCGATGTAAACGATTGACGAGTTCGCCGCCAATGGACTTGTGTTTTTCTCGGACGACGATATCGATGATTTTAGAAAAGTGGTAAGGTGGAAGACTAGCTAGCAATGCTGGACTCTTTTGTTCAACCTCTTTAAACATGGTATATGCATTGGCAAAATCATTTTCTTTGATAGCAGTCTTGATGTTCTCTATTGTTGGATGATTTGGAGTGGTAGAAATACTATTTTGTTTATACTTCCTCTTGGCTTGATCATGAGAATAGTCGCTAAAGTATGTTCTAGAGTGACTAGATATGTGCTCTCTGGTATGACTGGCTTGTAAATCTATAGGACGATCGATAGTTTGCATTGGTAGTGAATGGGATGGATGCAGAGAAGCTGCAGACGGCAATGTTGGATTGGCATGATTATAATATAGTGCTGTGGATAAATGAGACAGTGAACAAGTTAATCTGTCCAGTCTTGGCTCTAAAATGGATGGCCTATATTCCCGAATGGCCGTGCCTGTATACTGATGGATAATGCATCTACTCAACATTGAGCAAGAATCGCTGTAATCTGAAATTCAAAATTATTAGAATTCAAGGAAAACGGACTAGTGTATTATTCTCTATTCGACAGATTCCTTGAACTCATAATCAATCTTGTCAATCAGCTTATATGCACGATTTCGTGCATCTTCCACAGATATATCTGTGTATATCTGCTCAATATGCAATATAATCTTATCAACAGCATCGGGCAAATACTGGATACAGCATACCACTACAGCAATCCATACATCAACCGGAATTGTATTTCCATATACACTGTCCAAGTACTTTGCATATGAAATGGCACCTCGAGCATTGCCGTTGCGATGGTACGCCCAAATAACACTCTCATACTGTTTTAGCGTGAATCTCTTGTCAGAAACCTTTTGCCATTGTAAAAGCTCCTTGACACAGTCTGGTTTACCAAGCAGTCGATACCCGCGGATTAGATCCAGCAAGACTTGTCTAAAGGGCATGGCGGTATGCACGGATACTGTCCGTAGATCCGATACGATGTTTGTGTTGGCAAGTGTGCCCAGCATAGTTGCCATGGCCATGACAGTGATGTTATCTACCCTCCGTGATCTTGCAGCCAAAAGATACGTATCCCACATAGCATCACTGTCCCGCATCCCTGCGTAGGCAATAACCACTTGAGCGTAAATATGATCTGTTGGTTCAATTCCTGCATGGCGCATCTCCTGCAGCAGTGCTATTGTTTGCTGATAATCGCCAGTATGGTTTGCCACCCCCATCAAAACCCGATACAGTCCAGCATGAAACAGTCCTCCATTAGATCTAAACGCTTCAATATGCTTTTTTACCAACTCGTATTGTTTCTTTTTGGCGTAGTGATGACACAGCATTTGCATTGTGAATGCATCGACAGTTAGGTGCTCCAACTGAATCTTGGCCAGCGATTTCAATACCCCAGCCTCATTGCCCATCTCAATATAAACCCCAAGAAGAAAATTGTAGGTACGAATGGTGTGGCTATTTTCAGAGAGAATATCAAAGTATTCTAGACCAATAGATTCGTGGCCACAGAAGATGTAGGCTCGACATGCGCTTGCAGTAATTCGATTGTTGTCCAAATTGTATCCGAGGATTTGGATATTTTCCAAAGCATCTTCAACCTGTTCAAGATTTCGTAAATACCCATAAATATCGATTGATAGTGCGAGGGCTTCGTAGTCTCTTTGAATACCAACAGATCGCATCACATCTATGGCTGATGCAGCAAATAGAGCTGCTTTTGCTTTGGGGACCACTCCAAGCGCTCGATTCTTGTTGTGGTAAATGGCATGCAAAAGTGTGCTGAAATAATGTGGTTGCAGAGTAGATAGCAACTGCATATTATTATTCTTGATGTGATTGAATATGATTATGGCTGCTTGATATCGCTGAGCATCAAGTGATACTGAGAGATGGGCTATAGTAGGTGCAAACCGTTCAGTCCAAGCCTTTTGAACACTGTCATCAAGTGAGAAAGCAGCACATGAGTCGACTGCAGTGTTTAAAGAATTGCCAGCAGTATGCTGGATCAGTTGGTTAGAGTCTGATGGTAATTGCTGATTGAATGGAATGGGCTTGGTTGGATGTCTGACCACACTGTATACTCGACAGAAACACACGGCAATCCCAACTATTTTAAATATATATAAACTAAATGAGGAATGGATGAGCGGAGTAGATCCATGTACATTAAACCCCATCAACAAGGCCGGTGTTCGCTTATAGCATTTGGCAATGGCATTCATAAAGTATTGAACTGGAAAGCAAAGGCCAAATTTGGACACTCGAGTCCATATCTCGAGAATAACTTTATACAGATGTCAAGTGCATGCATCGGAACAAGACATTTATTGTGACGATCCACACATCTAGTGAGATTTGACAAGATTGGAATATTTGACTTGTACTCCCGTCCGCAACTCTTCCTCGCCGGCTAGAATAGCAGCTTTAATCGGATAGTTTTCAACTCTCTCGAGAATATACTTGGAAACTTCCTGAATTGCCTCGGTACGATACATCACAGCACATTTGAGAATAGTAAACCAGATCTGAGTTGTAACTTTATCTCCAAACCGATCATACAACTCTTTAGTGCATTTCCATGCATTGTCAAAGTCCTCGGCAATATGGTACGCCATTACAAGATGTCGATACGTAGCCATGACCACACGTTGGTCCCGTTCCTCCAGCCATCTAATGAGATACTTTATAGACTCTCCATCGCCCAAGTTTCGGAATCCATTAATCAAATCATAGACAATGCCAAAGGGAGAAATACCTGATTGGATGGCTGTGGCAGTAATTTGATCAACAGACTCGACAGATTTGATAGATCCAAACGCTTTCGCCATGGCAGTTTGAGATGTCGGCGTGACGGTATGAAATTTGGCTGCTAAACAATACTGCTGAAGCATGGGCTGAAGATTACCCAGATTAGCATATGCAGTAACTAGCTCGGCTGAAATAAGGCTGCTTTGTTCAATTCCTGCAGTGTTCATTTCTTCAAATAAATCAAGTACTCGTAAATGATCCCCCTTCATATTCTCGCACTGCATAAGTAAATAATACAATTGAGCGTTCATCTTGCCATTATGCTGCTTGAACAAGTCGATATGTTTATAAAATGTTTTCAAATCCTTGCGCTTGATGTAGAACTTGCACAGCAAGATCATGGTGGCAGCATTGGGTTTGATTTTGGCATTTTGCATAAGCTCTAGCGTCGAAAACAGGCCTGGTTCATCTGGGATGCATGCATAAACACGAATAAGAAGGTTATATGCTTCAATGGTACGGTGAGCGTACCAAAGTTGTGAAAAGTATTGCAATCCCTCAGACTCTTGTCCACATTCAATACATGCCTTGCACATGGTTAGTATCAACTCTTTGTTGTACTCAGTCCAGCCCCTAGATCCCATCTGTGCATACACTTGTCGAACACGCTCCAGATCTTTTAGCTGGCCATAGGCATAGATGGCAGTAAGAAACGTTCTAAAATCTGGCTCGACGTTATACTCTTGCATTGTACAAAATACCTTGACTACGTATTCGGCTCGCTGTTGGGGTGTCATGCCAAATGCACTGCTGTCTAAATTATATGCTATAGCTCGAATGACAACTTGGTAGACCATAGGAGAGATCATTTTCAACTGATCAGGCTGTTCCTTTTCGAGCCGTCTAAATGTTGATATAGCTGATCGATACTCTCGATGTTCTACTGCCACAATAAGACCATTGAGCAGTCTACCATACGAACAATGCGAATTAGGATCATTCTTTCTATATGATTTGTAAATGTCGGATGATAAACGATGATTATTCCTCTGTAATGAACTGGCACTATGGCTGTCCAAAGTTTCACTCTTTTCTCTCCATATATAACTAGGTTTAGAACAATCATTAACAGTGAATGATTTTAATGGCTTGCATGGCAGATGGCTTGTGGTCAGGTTGTTGGAGTTGTAGTATAGTCTTTTAGACTGTGGATGTGAAATGGTTAGGTATTGAAGAGTGATTAAGCCTGCATGTGTCTGACATGAAAAGAAACTTGCAGACTGTAGAGTAGACGATGCTTGTAGTCTATATTGAGTAGCCATCATTGCATGAGCTAAAAAGAATTGTTATAAGCAAGAAAAGTGGAACTTTACACAGAACTCGGCCAAAGTCTAAACTTTTGCTCTAGATAAAACCTGGACAACCATTATTTTTTAATTCGTTTGTTACGGCCATGATCTGCCTGACCATTGTTTCTACTGGACGTATTGCTGGGTTCATCCTGGTCTAATCCACTACCAAACTTTTGTCGATACACTTTATCGAGCATCTTGTATTCACGGTCCAACTTGCCACCTCGATGCTCAGTATCCTCATCGTCATCAAAGTCTTCTGTACTATTGCGCATTCCAGCCATTTTGCCTCGACGATCACCTGCCTTGACGCCAAACAAAAATGCTGCTTTTGGCATATGCACCTGCTGTTCCTTGTACGCTGTCCACTCTTCCAATGTATCAAAATCAAATCTCCCAAGCTGACGCTTCTTATTTGCCTGGGTTCCATGATCCATTTGAGTAATATCCCCTCGTCCATCGTCTCCTTCAATATCCGAGTCACCATCAGACTGGAACGCGTCCTCATAAGTATTAGATCCAGACATGCCAGAATCTAGCGGGGCCAGCGCAGCAAGTCTTCCTGGATTAATCAAAGACGCTGCTTGCTTGTCCGTATCCATGTTGTCTGTCCCACTGCTTTTTTTTAATTGTTGCTGTCCAATGGTTGGAAGGGCAGAAGCTGCCACCATTTGCCTCATAATCTGCTCTGCTGTGCCATCTCCTCGCAATGCATTAAGCATTCCAGCGCTTTGCTTAAGTATTGTAGATAGCGTTGTTGAAGGCTGATCAGCTTCTTTTGTTTGTGCTACTACAGGGTGTGGATCATCTGGAGAGAGAAAATACGGAGTGGGCACTGCATTGACCAAGAGCGCATCTCGTTTTTGTTTAGGAACAATAACTGGAACATAGTCTGACCCAGCATCAGAAAAAATGCTACGTCAATCATGGGAAAGGCGTGAGTATGATTCATATCATTTCAAAAATATTCAGGTCAATCATTACAGTCCTCATGGTTGCTTACTCGGACCCACTGTCATCCTCTTTTTCAACACCAGATTTTTTCACAGCCAAAGCCACTGGTTTCTGGATACTATGATCGTCATTGGAATCGTCATCATCAGAATCCAAATCGCTCATGCGTCCAACATCCAAATCCTTACGTGGCTTTTTTGGTATGGTGGCAGCAGACGCCTCGGCTGGCTTACTAGAACTTGTATTGATTCCTGAGCTTTCGGTAGATGGATCCTCGCCTTTTAAAAACTCAAACAGACCAATCAATTTCTCGACAATCATCTGAGATTCTGGTGTAGCTTGTCTCTAACCATGGTTGTCAGATTCCAAATTTAATTTAATGATTCAAAAATAAATGCATAGTGCTCAACTGTATCTTCCTGGATGTCGTTTTTGGATCGAACTAGAGTAGATGGCATATCATCGCTTCCGATATACTTTCCGGCAGCACTACCATCCATGTTGCCATCAAACCCAAGCTTCCAGACAAAAGCCATACGTCCATAACTAAATAGATCGTTTCTGGCAGGTGGTGGAGCCAATTTACCTACACGCATGCCTAGATCGTATATGCGCTGAAGGGCTGGTGTTGAACATGTTACAGGCCCTGTTGCACCATGCATGGATTCAACATACGCAACTGCTTCCTGTGCACTGTATTCACAATACACATCAACTTTATGTTGCAAAACTCGGTACGATCTATAATTTAGACTAGAATCCATTCAGTTACCTTTTTTCAGCTGCATTCTGAAGTCGCATCTCAAGGCGAGTTTGACGGAGTTGGTGGATATCTAATCCTTTTGCAGGAGCCAGGTCTCCAGACGGATCTGTTTGTGCAAGGTTTTTGCTATGATCAGGATGACTTGCTACCTCCTCATCCATCTGCACATCGTCACTCTTTCTAAATCTCGGCCATGGGTTTAAAATTTTCAAGATTACTAGACCAATTGGGTATATTCAACAGCGCTGCAGCCAAAGAGTGTCGACTCACTTTGCATAGAGTAGGTTTAGGATAGATTGTGGGTTGGCAAAATCCTCAGCCTCGATTCCCTCTCGTCTTTCCTTGGCTCGATCTCTATATGTGGGTGTATCGTCATCTTTCAAAGGTCGCCGACTTGGCTCAGTTTTAGTCGCTTCCCTAAACCCATACCAAGTCAGCCCTGCATTAGTCTTTTGGAAATGAACAAGTTGCATGCGACAAATGGGTTACTTTTTTGGCTGAGGTAGGTTGCGAGATGCACCAGGTCGATGAAAGAATGTGGGTCTAGCAAGCGCAGGTTTGGTTGACGATGGCTTGGCTGCATCTCCACCATCTGTGTGTTCTTGCACCAATTTACGGAACGCTTCCTGGTCCATGATAATTTGAAAACCTGAATGTCAGGGTAAACTAAACCTTGTCATTTTTACCGATTGTCCAAGATGGACAGCTCAATACTACAGTCGAGCACTGTTCTGGTTGTATTCACGTAAACCAGAACACTATCTTGCAGTTGCTGCCTGGAAGAGGGGTTGAATATTCATGTTAATACATTCTCAATTCTTCAAAAGTATCTAGTAAATTGTACAATTATTTCATGAAACTGGCAGTTTATTATGTACTTTGGCACCCTTATTTAGTGATTCATTCTACGTGAATACCGACTGACATGCAGATAATACTGTTTAAAACAAAATAATTTCACATACTGGAAACGATAGTAGGCTTAGTCAGGGATACATATACATTTAAAGGTTCGAAACAGATCCCTTTCTGCTCGAATGCTTTAGTCCCATCAAGGCCTGGATAGCCACCTCCTCAACACTGTAGGATAGATTGTTAGAGGTGCATCTGGGAAGTGTTGTGGTATAATCCAGTGGTAAGGGTCGATCAAATGTTGCTGGACTCACGGGAGTATTTAGGATTGTGGATGTCGAGGTTGGCAGTGGAGACTGATCCATCAGGGATGGTGGTGCTAGCTCAGGTTTGACAGAAGAAATGACTTGGTAAGGTGGGGTTGAAATTATGGTTGCAGACAGAGGCGGAGTGTAGCTGTTGGATAAAGGCATCGAATCTGGCTCGGCAGAAGCAGCCAACGCAGGAAGTGCAGCATTGATAGTATTGTCTGCGTATCTGTCATGAAAAAGCAATATAAATATACGTGTTGATCAACAATAATACAGTATATCCAAGACTCACCGACACGTCATGGATTGGCTTGAAAGTGAAGGTCTATCAAAGGAAGGCGGCGAGTGAGGGCTTATTTTCAAAGTATTCATAGAAGGGTAATGATGCAAGCCATCGAGCGCACCAGAAGCTTCGGAATTAGAGCGTAATGGCGGCAATATGGGCGATGTCAGCATGGCAGATGAAGATGGCCATCTCATTAAATGGGATCCGCTATCACTGGGAAAAGATTTGGAGATGGATGCTGATTGGATGTGAGGCGATAAGTTTGCTTGGCTATGTAGATCCGAAACATGTTGGTAAGTTTTGAGGGCGGCGGGAACGGGAAGTCTAAAGGGTGGTCGCTGCTGTAGCGCAACCGAAGGCCGCAACGCAATGGGACTAGATATAGCAGCTTGAGAAGGAGTCCGATGGTGATGAGAAAACGAGCCAGAAGCCAATGTGCTAGCAGATTGTCCTGCATGAGTATCTTGATCTGGGTGAGCATGGTACATGCTAGATTCGACCATTTTGTCATGAATACTTGGCCGAGTATGTTCAAAATTGTCATCGCCTGGTAACAAGCGCTGCCATGAATCCAATTGGGCTGTAACTTCTCCGCGACTTGGACTGTGTGCGTGGTACCCAAACGAATAACCTATCTGCGGCGCAACAGCAGCTCTCGAGCCGAAGGGGTCTGAAGTGCGGAACGATCCCATAGCATTGTTAAAGTCGGCCACTTCTTTAGTAGGGCTGTGATAATGCTGGTGATAATTAGTACTATTACTGTTATTGTAATTAGCAGCATTTTCATATATGCCAGATGCTTGGTAAAAGGTAGGCTGAATCAATGTTGATGACGAAAAAGGAGAGGCAAGCGAGGTACCAGTCATTGACGATGCGCTGGTGGACCCTGTAGGTGCAGAGTCAGTTGAAACAGCTAATGAAGTATGGCTTGCAATGGATGTACTGGATACAGTATGGGGTTGCAATGTGCCTATAAAAGTAGAACCCGACTTTCCAACGAGGTTAGCACCTGATAGTCGTCGTTCTGTCTGTCTTTTGTTTTGAAACCAGATCTGCACGGCCCTGCATGTCATTCCTGTTTGCTCGGCAAGGTATTGTCGCATGGGAAGTGGAGGAAACCTATTTTCGCTGTAGGCTGCATGCAGCAAGCGCAACTGAGCGTCAGATATTCGCAATCGCTTTTGGCGATAAACCGGGATTGGATTTGGTTGCTCAGAAAATGACTGCATACTGTTAAAAGACCTATTCGGTGCTGATGGTTGTGCAATATGACTGGTCGAAGTAACGGACGAGGTGGAAGTAGGATGTGGATAGCGAGGGTAAGAATGGGGATTTGATTCAAAAGGTAATTGTATGCAATATTTGTTTAAATGATTAGATACAAAGTGGGATGGATAAGCAAGGGGGTAATGCCAATCAAGCGTTAGATGCGATTGCATTATTAAATAGCCTGATTTGCGTCAGGCTGATCAATTTATTGAAAAGCAGCTGTTCAGATTCTAATTGGGACCAATTAGCAAAGCTTTGAAGTCGCGATAACAGCTAAATGAACAGCTAAAAAGGGTCAATTTTTTGAAAGCAGACTGATGAGTAGAGCGACTCGACTTGTTTTAATCAAATTTGATTAGTATAATTGGACTGGTTAAGCTGTATATTTCTCACAATTAATTTACCTTTCTGGTGGATCTTGAAGAGGAGTTGTTGAATTCACATGAACCTATCTGGTTTGAATTCTCATGTACAGCTGTAATAAGCATTTGTCGAGTATTTTTTTGGCATTCGGAAAATTGCAAATTCACACTAGTTTTAATACAAGCCGTTTGCAATTTCCCATAGATTTGCTTATTGTTTATATTTGCTATTGGTATGGCTTTATCTTGGCTATTACAGCCATATTCATGTAAAATGGAGCACTATTTATTTTGCAATGATTGCTTCGGAATAAACAATTGTTATGCTTTCCTACTACAGATTGACTACCCTGCTTCAATAAACATTCTCAATTACTGTTCATTACTCTCGACTTTTGTGGTTTGTAATTGCACACCGTACAAACCCATTTTTATGAACACAGCTGTGTAGTTTATGAGCAACTGAAACTCTAGCTCACAGCATTGCTGCTTGTTGGCCAGTCGGTCACCATGCTTAATCAGTAAATCTGTAGCCTTGCGGAATGGTATGTTTTTAGAATCAAATGAGCATTAAAGATGTCTTTTCAATGCCATTATTTGGATAATCCGGAAATACCAAAACATTTGCAGCTTCTTTAACCAACCTCCAAGCTTAACGTTCATCATATGATTCATACAAAATAAAGCCATAGGCTTGATCCGAGATCATCTTTTCTAAACCCGCCCTTTCTCCTTTTTGTATAACCCTGAAATTTTATGATCATCAGCTTGGAACCGAATTCATCCATTGTAATCTGGAGATTAGATTCGACTGTTGCCAAACTCTGTACAAACTCATGTATTTTAAAGCCCAGATATGTTCTAGTTCAAGAGAACAAAGATTGAAGTTTAACACAGCTGCTGCTTTCATTCGGTTACCAGGAAAAGAGTAACCAAAGAATTCGCAGCTGCTCAGCAGTAAATATGGGAAAAGCCATTATTCCATAAGACTAACAGTGTATTGTTTGTTTAGTGTTTCATTAGGTGAGTCGGCTATAATAGCTATGTTTTGTGCATGATAATAGATGGGTACTATTGAGGTTTTTTTCAATTTTGGTATATTCTAATCTTTGATCCAAGTTTGATACTAGCACAACTAGAGTATGCAATCATCTATGTTTAATCACACAGATTCAAGTAGATTTGATTAGATTCAAGCAGTCACTTTTCAAATGTCTTGACAATCACCAAACAGCTTATAAAGAATGTCAGATTAGAGTTTGATTCTACTCGAAGCAATGAGTGGATCTTGACATGACATAAAAGTCGAATAATTGCGATTGTCCGCCTCGTGTTCTTTCCTGCTGCATACTCGATTTTCATCGGATTCTTACTATCATGTCTCGTATTATCGTTGTTGGTGGTGGTCTTGCTGGCCTCTCTGCTGCTCATACTGTTCTTGAACGTGGTGGTTCTGTTCTTTTGCTTGATAAGAATGCCTTTCTTGGAGGTATTTGGACTATTTGCTTACCCTGGCTTCATTGTCAATGCCCTCGTTTCTGAATCCATCTCAGCAACATGATATAAAACACTCTGCATCTAGATTCCCCATCACTCTGTTATATCCAGTTTAAATCCTAGTATCCATTTTTACCAAACACCATCCGTGCACTATCCATGTGTTGAAAATACTTGCTGTCATTCAAGACTTGATTCATGTTTCTATTATTGGACTCACCACTTGTAATATATTCAGGAAACTCTACCAAGGCCACATCCGGCATCAACGGTGCTGGCACTGCAACTCAAATCAAGCTTGGCATTCCTGTAAGTTCTTTTGTCGGTCTGCATAACCTCGTCGAGTCTGCTGTCTGCATGCAAGTTTAGATCTCACCTGTGTTACCAATGCAAACGGCTTGATCTTGTCACTTTTGCCCATCCCATGACACATCTCTTGCCAAGAGCTTTGATACCACGTGAAACCCCTCGATTTTAAACTTTCTATTCTTGAACAATAATTAGGACAACTCGCAAATATTTTATGAAGACTCTGCAAAGTCTGCTCGTGCCGAAATCGTCCCTGCTTTGACAAAAGTTCTGACCTATCAGTCTGGGTCAGCAGTGGAATGGATTCAAGACAAATTCAAGGTCGACTTATCCCTTGTGTCTCGTCTTGGTGGTCACTCTCATCCACGTACTCATCGTGGAACTGAGCAGTTTCCTGGTATGACCATCACCTATGCTCTGATGGAAACGTTTGAAGATACCGCCAAAGCCACGCCTGCTCTTGCTCAAGTTATCAAAAAGGCAAATGTGGTCAAGCTTTTGACCGAGGGCTCCAAGGTTGTAGGTGTGGAGTATGTCAAGGATGGGAAGCCATTCAAGGAAATGGGACCTGTTATTCTTGCCACCGGTGGTTACGCTGCCGATTTTACTAATACCTCTCTTCTCAAAAAATACCGGCAAGTCTCCAATCTCTTGGTTACACTGTCTCCAATTCTGTCCGAGTTTATTCTAATGACTTTCTTTTTTTAGTCCTGAGCTATGGGATCTTCCTACTACAAATGGTGATCATTGCACTGGTGATGGAATCAAAATGACTCTGGCTGTTGGAGGCAACACCATTCATATGGACAAAGTGCAGGTTCATCCTACTGGTCTAGTTGATCCCAAAGAACCAGATGCAAAGGTTAAATTCCTTGCTGCCGAGGCTCTTCGTGGTGTTGGTGGTTTGCTTTTGGATGCCAATGGAAACCGCTTTGCAGATGAATTGGGCCATCGTGACTACGTTACTGGCCAGATGTGGAAGAACAAGGGTCCATTCCGTCTTGTTCTTAATGGCAAAGCTGGCAAAGAAATAGAATGGCACTGCAAGGTAATTTTATGCATTTCTCTTTCGACTATTTATCTTGCATCCAATTCAAAACTGCTGGTTCATCTGACATTTGCCATGACTGTCTAATCTATAGCACTATATGGGTCGCGGTCTTATGAAGCACTATAAAGGTGCTGCTGCCGTTTCCCAAGACACTGGCATGCCACTCAAAAATCTGGAGTCGACGTTTTCTACCTACAACAACATTGCCAAGACCAAGAACGATCCATTTGGTAAAAAGTTTTTCCACAACACTCCATTTGTGATGGATGACGAGTACTGGGTTGCCGTTGTTTGCCCAGTTCTTCACTTTACCATGGGTGGAGTTCAGATTGATGATCAGTCCAAGGTTCTTTCTCCCAGTGGTCCCATTTCTGGCCTGTTTGCTTGCGGTGAAATGGCTGGCGGGTAAGTTTTTATCGTGTACTGTTTTACAAACTATGTGCTCACTTTTCAACCATCTAGTGTTCATGGTGCCAATCGTCTTGGAGGATCTTCTCTTTTGGGATGCGTAGTTTATGGTCGTGTTGCTGGTGCAACGTGAGTGACTGTTGTAAATTTTGCATTGCGTACAATTCAATTATTAACTCAAATCTTGCGCTCAACGTCAGTGCTGCTGCCTATCTCATGAATCAATTCTCTGCTGAGCGTCGACTTGGTGCAGTTGCTGGACACTTGGCCGCTGCTCCAGTGACTGTTACTGTTGGAGGTGTGACGGTGTCTGTTACTCAAGGCGGTGCTTCTGCCTGTCCAGCATCTGGTGCAACAACCTCCTCTAGCCATGACTCACATCCGACCGAATCGGCCAGTCCTGCATCTGCATCTGCTCCAACCAAACTCAAGGAATATGACCTTGCTGAAGTTGCAAAACACAACAAGGATACTGATTGTTGGGTGGTTGTCAATGGTCAAGTGCTTGATGCAACCAACTTTTTAGCTGATCATCCAGGTGGCAAAAAAGCCATTATGATTTATGCTGGACGCGATGCTACCGAAGAATGCAAGTTGATTGATTTTGTCCATCTGAATTGAAGACTATTTGCCAAGTTGAACTGACTGATATCTTTTGAATCAATCTAGTCAATATGATGCACAAGCCCGAGGTTGTCGAAAAGTATGCACCCGAGACTGTCATTGGCACTCTCAAAAAATAGGTATACAAGCCATTTAGCAGTTGAATGTCTTTTATGATTTTAAAGAAACTACATTGGGTACATTAAACGACTGCTCAAATATATATTTTTTGCTTGTTTTACATTTGTTTAAAGTGAGTAGACATGAGAGTTGTTGCATCTGTAAGCCATCCAGTTATTATACATCTCTCCTATTCAATACATCCAGTCCCATTTGTGAATGAATACTCAACTATCAGTCCTAAATATATTGGAACATAAAAATGAATTTAAAAGATTGGGAATGCAGTTCCAACCATGCATAGAGAATCCAACTTGTCAGTTCTCGACCACCAATGGTATTTCAGGCCATTAAAAATGTTCCTTTCTTAAAACAAACTTGACACGATTATCGGAAGCTTGATCGGCGTGTTTTTTGATTACTTTTGCTAAAGCACCGGGTCCACAATAAAAGATGCCTACTTCAACCTGTGGATCTCTTACATCAGCTACATTGAGTTTGATCCCATTCAACAACTGACTCCAAGCGGGTCGACCATAATGAGTTCGACTTTGTAGCTCTGTTAGTGGATCAACATCCATGTCGCTATTTAGTAAGATATTTTGGATATCGTCCACTGCCAGATTTCCAGTGAGATATGTGTGGATTTCAAGGAAAGAGCGAGGAATAGTTTCTTCCAATGATGCCAAAAGACTTTGAAACCACCCGAATGCTTCCTTGTCACGATTGATCCAAACAAAATAGACTTTTTTCAAAGGCATGGATGCTTTACGATAGTATCGGTACCAGACAGATTTGAGGAGAGATGCTGCAGGGGTGACACCGATACCTGCTCCCACAAGAACGGCAACTTTGTAGTTGTAAAGATCTTCTGCCGGAGCACCATATGGACCATCTATACGGATTTCTGGCAAGTCCATGCGCTTTTCAATGTCCTGTTCGTAGCATCCCAGCATTTTAGCAGCATTTTTTGTCCAATCGCCAACAATACGTATGTGGATAGATACAAAGCCTTCTTCAGGACTTGAAGAGATGGTAAATGGATGCCATTGGAAGGCAGAGATTGAGGGAATATTGAGGAATAGATACTGGCCAGGCATGTACTGGAAAGATGGTTTTTCAATTCTCAATTCCATTGTATTGCCAGAATGAAAAATGACTTTGCTCAACACGGTCGGCAATCTCGCCCGATATTCTCTCAATAAACGCTCGGCAATATACACACAAAAGATGGGGACAGTACCATAATTTGTGTTGTAGCCCTTGCATTTTCCAGTAGTAGACGATTTGACAAAGCAGCCAAACGAGTGAAAGAAAAGGCAAAAGTAAAAGGGCACAAAGAGATGATGTGTGTACCAAAAATACTCAAAGTTTTTGGTCTTGACATCGGACTTTGCAGAAGTGTACATAAAGAACATGATGATAAGCATGATATGGCCAGTCGCACCAGACCATGCAAGGTAATGAATCATCCAAGCCTTTAATCCGAGCGAGGGAAGCTTAGTTTCCACAAAGAAAAAGTTGGTGTAGTGAGCATTGGTATGCAAAAGACTGAAGAAGAGCATGGAGTAAGCGAGCCATTTGTGGAAGTAGAGATTGCTATCAATTGGGATATACTTGTTGAGGAATGATGAGCGAAAGAAACGGACGATATTGCGACAGACAGGAATGAGGAGAGCAGCACAATCCACGCCCAGTACTAGTCCAGCACCACGAGATATAGTCACTGAGGGGCCAATGGAGTTGAGAACCTGCAGTTCTGGATCATTCTTTTGCTTGCTACATGTCGAAACTGATTAGCATGAAGAAATAGAGCGAATTAACTTTACAATTAGACTTACAAGAAGCCGTAGACGAACAGTGCAATGTGGAAGCCCCAAAAAAGAACATGAAAGGCTACCAAACGAGCAGTGATTTCAACCATGAGTTTCCAAGGCTAACGTAACGAGATAGGACAATGGTGAATACGCAAAGAATAAAGTAAGCCAAGCAAGAATATCGAGCGGAAACTGCAATAGCAGCAAGTGATTAATGATGGCGAACAGGTCGATGACAAGAATTGTCAAGTAAACTAAATGCTATCCACTCCAACTTATAGCGAGTTGGACTGTTATTGCATTGACTTGCTAGTGGTGTGCGCCACAGCTGTACGCTCAGTTCACGACAAATCTCAACTTGCATTTGTATTGCTCTGGCTTTGCTTGTTCTCGGCTACTCACTGTCTTGTTCAATTTCAGACTTGTTGAAAACTAACATTCTAGAACTCATTCTGGAACCCACTCTGAAAACCACTCTTGACCTAATCCATCAACTCTGTAGCAACTCTTTTTATTGCCATCTTGTATCTGATGCTGGCGTTCGTGGCCAGACATCTTGTCGTGATAAACTTTGTGAGCCGCATGATATCATGCAACGCAATTGCGCCACTATGGCTTGAGAAACCCGCCAGCCATTCAATGCATTCAAACAACGGGCGCCTCTTTATGTTTTCAATTGTTGTTTGATGACTTGCTCTTATCAATCCGACAGTTGCTCATTTATATTTCAACTCTGTTTGCACCTCCTGCTGTATACTGCAGTATTTATTGCGCTTCAAGGGCTACTTTGAACTTGATCAAATCTGTATAGTCTTGAAAATTAAAGATATCAAGCAAGCTAGTCGTATCTTTGCAGCCGTCTACTAATTCAACTCTGTACTTTAACCATTCATGAAAGCTCCTACAAAACCAAAACGAAGTGCATTGCAAGAATGGATTCATTGGCAATCCATCACTGCTGCAATATGTAGGTCGATTCAGGATTTACTGTTTGGACTTTTCTGTGCAACTGTAATACCGAATCTTGTCAACTAACCAAATACCATACCTTTTATAACTGGATTGCTAGTTTTGATAAACGGAGGTCTTTATTCTTTTGGTTTTCAATATGAAACCACTCGCATATTTGGTCTGCAACTTCCTTTCCTATACATCCCCTTTTCTATCCCTGGGATCGTATCAGTCATTGGCGGCGTACTGGTTCTTCTGATTGAATGCCACGTTTCCTTTTTTGCCCTGTTGGACTTTCATATAGCTAAAATCTTACTTTTTATGCCACTGGGTCTGTTTGCCTTGCTGCAATTAACATTGGTTCAGCCTGCATGCTTGTTTGTTTTTATCTCGCTCGAGTTGGCATACAATGCCATCACCACCATGGGTGTATCAGATGGCAAGCATGAGGAACTTGGCACACGGGGGAAAACTGACAATGGAACAATGCTGCCTAGATGAGCAGATTATATTGGTTGGATCTGCCGCTAATAGTTGTGCACCAAATCATTCTCCTATATTATGCGCCAATGACTTGTGATACTATTTTGTTTGATCCCTACTTCTGATTCGTTCTTATAATGGACTTGATATCAGTGTTTTACCATTTAATAAATACTGTTGTATATTTTCATATGAGCATAGCTTAAATTGCTGATAACAAGACAAGGATCAAATTACAGATCTATTCATGTAAAATGGAACACTAAAATCAATGCGCATAAACAGTCATGTTTGATTGGTGCTAGTCTTACTGGGCAACAGTGTTTTTTGAACTCACTGGTCTTTTTTGATGCTTATTCTTGTACAACAATGCAGAGCGAATGTTCATATCTCTGCTTCAATACATTCCTGAGATGTTTTTTGAAGTAGAACGTATCTGATATTAGAATCGAGTTTCAATAAAAGAAATAATTAGTCAATTTCCAATAACGAATATGTAACAATTGTTTATTCGGGAACAAAAGAGTCATTACAAGATCAATACAGAAAAATATCATTTTACACGAATACGACTTTAAATACTCGCGGTTCCGTGTCACTCCGTTTAATGCCAGATGTATTTATGCAGGTTCACATGCGGATAATTACCCACCTATATCCGCTAGAAGAACTTCACCTTATAGCGATAGTGGCGTGATAGAATATTGCCATATTAATAGTGCTTTGTATGTACTGCGTATCCCAGGCCAAAGTTTTTTGCTTAGATACCAAGCATATATGGAAATCGATGTTAACTCGAGGTGAATGGGAAATTAAATGGTTTCAATAGGAATCTACTTTTATGTGATCCCTTTTTTTTGTACTCGGCTGTAATCTGTTTAGTTTTGGCTTGTCAATTCTTACAGTAAACTCGATGTTCATGCCCTGCGACCAACATAAACAAATGCAAATTTGAATATAAATTGCGTTTTCTATTTCACTGAAACAATTATTTATGCAATACCATCATCGAATTTGAGTACCTGGAAATTTTCTCCAATAGGACTGGACTTTTGTAAATAGTTTCATTTAGAGCACAATTATTCTAGCAATAATTATGACAGCTCTATTCACGTGAATTGGAACACTTGTATTATCTTGCAATACCTTTTGCTTTGGAATAAACAATGGCTGGATAGTCATTGTGCTTTGCTATTACAAATCAACTGCTTCATTAGATCTAGCAACCATTATACGGTGTTCGCAATCAAATTAGCTTTGAATTGACATGGTTTTGATTTGGCATAGCCATACATTGTATGATCACCCTATTTGAAACCAGATTCATACATTGCAATCCAGGTATTGGGGTTTGGTGTTGTCAACCAAGCTCTTGTATTCTAATCTCAGATATGTTTGCGCTCTAGTTCAAGAAACCAGCATTGCGCATTTCGGGAGCAACTGTTGTTTCTATGCCAATCATTTAATGTTTACTTGTAATGTTCATTTGAAGTTTGAAGTGGAACAAGTTTGGGATATACTGGAACAGGTGGGTGCTGCTTGAACATTTTCCGGTATTTCTGTAGCAAAATAAGTATGGCGCAGAAAGGTCCATGCGCTTAGACACTCAATGTTGCTCAGTAAAATCAACAATCGTCTCATGAGATTGACTGTTTATTATGTATCTTGACACTTTATTTAATCTCATTTTACATGAATATGACTGTGAATGAAGCTGGCTGATAGATTGCTACGCCTCATACAAATCACGATGGTGGCGCTTGGTATTATAAACAGACAGACAGGCGTGTTCAAGCTGCAAGAATCAAGCAAAATTTCACAAAATGGCGCCGATACAGTCAGCACACAGGCAGGCGAATTTGCTTTATTGGCGCAACAAACGAAACCAGCAAGAGGCGCGTCTGCTATAGTTTGGGGCACTTGATTTATAATCCATATATGGGTAATCATGCTAACTCAATTTTCACCATTTTGGACTTTTGAATTCTAAACATTTTGTCGATAATTTTAACCTTTAAAAAGATTTGTTTTGCAGTTGTTGTTACCCATGTCTACAAAAGAAGAATTGCAGTTATGGATTGATGGTGCCAAGGCTTACAAACAGGGTGACCTAGAAACTGCTCTCCTTCATTTTGAGCCCATCACCTCATTATCCAAAGTTGCATTCAATGTCGGAATGATCTATACTCGCTTCAATGACCATGCCTCGGCTGATATGCTGTACTCGAGTGCACTAGCTTCTGATCCGTTTTTGGCTGTAGCTTTCTTACAAAAGGCATATGCCTACTTTATGCTGGAGGATTACTCCAGGGCTGAACGGTGCTATAATAAACTGTTTGAGGTGAGTTGCATGAATGCAGCCTTGTCAGCCACGGTCAACCGCATATTGACGTATTTCTGCATTTTGCATTGTATAGCTTTTAAGAGAAAATGACTACATTGACTATGCCCAACTCGGACTCAAATACCGACTCTACAGATGCGAAGTGCATTTCAACAAAGCCATGTGCGCCTTTATGTCGGCTGATAATGCCCGTGGCGTACAAGGGATTGCAGCTGCCCAAAAATGTGCAAGATCTGCCGACCATCAGGCCATCATTGCTTCTGCCGCTAGGGGTGGTATCAACGATATTACACTGTTTACTGTGCCATATGAGGCTATTTTTGAAGTGCCCGAATGCAAGGTAAAGAATCTGGATCAACGCTCATTCATGAAGGACGCAAAGGTGGTTATCACTACCGATGAGAATGAGTCGTTTGCTGGGTTTACCGGTGCTGCCATTTTGAACCCTGCTCTATCCGACTCCACTCTTGACTATCCAAAAGGCGATGACGGCAAACCTGCTGTTGCACTCACCATTCTTCGTCGTCCCACACTAGCCAGTGTGTCTACTGCCATTCCACAGTCTCCAACTGACCGATCTCCCTTGTCTGCTTCGCAAACAATCCCGCCGCCAAGATCTCGAGCATCTTCACTGCCTGAAAAAGGCAGCTCTTCTACCATCAGCAGATCTCAGAGTCGACCAGCAGACAACACCAACTTTTTACCTCGACCATCAACTCGCAGACAACTTTCTGCCAATCCCATCATGGAAAACGATCTTGGCTTTATCGGGCGATCCAATTCTACCACATCCACTATTGATCGCTATAATCGAGATGCATCTACTTTACAGAGATCTTTACCTCGTAGCAACACCGATCCCGATCGTCTAACATCACCTGTAGCTCAACAGTATTCACAACGCTCTAAAAACCCTAATGCTACAGAATTTCCATTCGATTACGCTGATAAATCATTCTCATCCAGTTTGGGTAGATCCACAACTTCGAGAGAAAAGAATCCAGATATGTTTAAAGCCAAGATTCACTTTGAGGGACGTACATTTGCTATAAACATGGCTCGAGACATCGACTTGGCTACATTTGGTGACATTGTTTGTTCCAAACAAGGAATTAACACACTGGCTCAGATTTCTTATCCGGATGAAGATGATCCAGACTCGATGATTACTGTTGGTGATGATGACGATCTTTTGCTGGCCATTTCAAGTAGCAAAGGCTCGACTGTACATTTTTACTGCAAAGAGTCAAACGACTTACTGGACTTTTATTAGTAACAGCAAATCATGACACATCAATTCAAGGTTTATACACTTGAATGTTTAGATGGTGTTTAAATCAAATAAGCTTTTTCAGTTGATTTTATTCCGCAATCCAAATCAGCTACATTTGACCAAATCTTTTTTACATGTCTACTATGTTGTTTTTCCATAAAATACCCGGCAACTGTTTGATTTTTTCAACATTATTTTGTCCGCACTTTACCGCTGTACTCGTAAAATGAGATTAAATAAAGTGTCAAGATACATAATAAACAGTCAATCTCATGAGACGATTGTTGATTTTACTGAGCAACATTGAGTGTCTAAGCGCATGGACCTTTCTGTGCCATACTTATTTTGCTACAGAAATACCGGAAAATGTTCAAGCAGCACCCACCTGTTCCAGTATATCCCAAACTTGTTCCACTTCAAACTTCAAATGAACATTACAAATAAACATTAAATGATTGGCATAGAAACAACAGTTGCTCCCGAAATGCGCAATGTTGGTTTCTTGAACTAGAGCGCAGACATATCTGAGATTAAAATACAAGAGCTTGGTTGACAACACCAAACCCCAATACCTGGATTGCAATGTATGAATCTGGTTTCAAATAGGGTGATCATACAATGTATGGCTATGCCAAATCAAAACCATGTCAATTCAAAGCTAATTTGATTGCGAACACCGTATAATGGTTGCTAGATCTAATGAAGCAGTTGATTTGTAATAGCAAAGCACAATGACTATCCAGCCATTGTTTATTCCAAAGCAAAAGGTATTGCAAGATAATACAAGTGTTCCAACTCACGTGGATAAAGCTATAAACTATTGGTAATACATCAAATCACTTTTGGTGTATTACTGTTTGTTTTTATTATATTGTACTAGTATCATCGATCCATGTCATGTCATAGTCTATTTTGAATCAAATCAAATACATCAGTGGCTTGATTTACGATTGACACCTGCTATCGCCTGATAGCAATCAGACAAAAGAAATCCAACGCATAGTGCCTATATTCCAATACACACGCAGCCAATCAGCATTCACCCTACAACTGCTGCATCAGCAATGATTGGCTGGATTGTAAAACACTCCGATGCTTATTTTCCAACACGTCAACAACTATAAAAGAACCAAACAGCAGGCGAGTCAGATTTTCCCCAGTCGACCAACTCTTCAGGATCATATGTAGAGTTCGTTGTACTATACTAGCTTTTTCAAAAGAGCTACACTTAACAACATGGATGATGAGACGAAGGACAACCACTCAAGGGGAAGTGCAGGACATTTTGTGACAATTGGGGTTTTTTTCATTTGAAGAGAATGCTAATTGTTCGATTTGTCTTGGTTGAAGACTACTCCTGATTGCTGGACTTGCCCTTGTGGCAGTCTGGCCAGGAAGGGTGGATGGCCCTGTCTGACATGTTGAAGTCATCTTGAAGTTTATGCATGTATGAGGTCAATTAAATTCCCAGTCTGGTATGCTTGATAAAGTGCAACCCATTTTGATTGCAGGTCATGCTCGGATTTTGGTTGAGTCCTCATGCATGTTTTTGACTCTAGCACTGCTTTTATATACTATAAATAAATATGATTATCACTAAAACTAGTCGAGTTGGATGGGTTGGGTTGATTGTTTAATGATTTAATATTCACTTGTATAAACCACTGTACAGCCGTTTATTGTAAACAGCAATTGTATTGATATCGATCTTCAGTTTATCAAAAACAAACCCATTTAAATCTGATACAATTTCATTGCAGTTATAAAAACCTTGTTGGTAAGCAAAAAGTTTATTGGCAATTCAAACTGCTAGAAAGATGGTACAAAGACTGGAGAATTATAGTGACACATGCTAAGGATGCCGTGAGCCATCATTTTCATCACCCCAGTCCAAATCCAACGCATCATCATCATCAATAACATGATGCGCAGGAGTATTACTGGCATTAACATCCCGATACCCGCCGCTATTTTGCTGAGCATCATCAAAACTAAACCGTCCAGCAACTGTAGTTCTTACAGTCGTGTATCCTTGAGCTCGTGTTAATCTCGTTCGAACCCAGTCGTAAGCTTTGTGGGCAACAACCACGCTTCCAACAAGCGAGTCAATAACAATAAGTCCTAGTGTACGTATACCGGTACCAATATTTTCACCGAGATTGGCTGGCGAAAACATGGATGAAGTAGATCTGTGGCCAGCCTCATCAGTATCCAACGGAAGCTGTACTGGTCCGTAGCTACTGCGACGAAACGACGATCTATTCAAGAAAGCAAATCCGCCATGTGTTCTTGAATAGGCTACAGCCCAAATACACAACCCAGCAATGCCCAGAGCCACCAGAATCATCCACAACCATGACCACAGCGAAGAAGCATATCCCACACTGACACAATGTGAAGTAGGAGGAAGAACCTTGTCTGCATTGATGCATTGCGAGATTCTCTTTTGTCGGTATCCTTGAAGAATACCAGCAGAACTGCACGTTTCTCCTGCCGCAACGGTTTGGGGATCCGGCACGCATTGATTATTTTGGCTATGGTATCCAGCAGCACATTCAAAATCTGGCATCTGACAGTCACAGTATTGAACATCTGCAGCTAAATCTTGGAACGCTTGACCAACCATGCATTCTCGATCAAGTTTACGTCTGTAATAGGTTGTATTGGAGCCAAAAAGACAACCACCACCAGGTTGAAGCAAAGATGGATTCCATCCTTCGTAATCGCTTTTACTGGGATTGTCGTGATTAATGACGCACTTACGGGGCCAGATCGTATCAAAGTCCAGATGCAAGGTAGCAAAAGACACACTAGCGTTGGCGCCATCACGCAGTTTGCCCATGACAACCATTTTGCTTGTCGTGCCGCTGGGATCGGTTAAAATATTAGATACCCGGATTTTCCCACCACTGCCAACACCAGCAATATCACCAATCCGTATTTGATGAATAGTCAAACCGCCATCAACCGAATACTTGATCGTATCTGTATATACCTCATCGTTTACAAGAACAATTATACCGCCATGATCACCAAACTCGAACATATGCGCTTCCTTGACAATCTCGGTCCATGTACGACCACCGTCGTGCGTGATGAATGTATCACCATCGGTAAAGTCTTTGAGATAACTACCAACATTGCCCACGCCCATCATGAATCCTACCGAGCCAGATGATGAAAAAAGATCGCGCTGATCATGTCGTTCAGTGTATGCATGCAAGTGAAGATAACATTCAGATCCACAGTCATATGTATTGTGGTTCGAATCAAGCTTTGGTGCAGCAAGGTAATTCCATGTATAGCCATCATCAAAGCTCATCTTGGTTTGCAGTTTTTTGGGATCACCTCGATTCATCTCCATGATATTGGAAACTTGATTGACAATAATCGATCCTCGGATGCCCTCAACCTTTTCAAAGTCGACATATCTAGTATAACCAATACATGTTCAAGTTAAAAATCATTATACTTGGGTTCCGCCTTGTGCTGAATGAAATAAAAGCATGATTCTTACCCAGCTCTATTCTGATTGACACCAACCAGCAACTCGGTATAGAAAGTGCCATTCCAGTTACTCTTCATCAATGTGCCGTGCTCACGACCCGGAGCCGCACTTTCAATAACATGAATAAACGCAGATCCAGTGTTGCTTTGCAAAACAGTGTACCCAGCTCGAACAAGATATTTGTCGGGAAAATACGCTTCCGCCCAATGTGCACCATCCAACGACACCTGAATAGATACCTCACGAGTTTCTGCGCTAGGCTATAAATATTCAATCATTCAGAGTTAGTATGTCTTTTACAATTCACGTTTTTTCAAACGACTTGTTTAAACTCTTGAAAGCAGTCAACTCACTACAGCAGCAACCATATATTCATCATAGATGGCAAATCCAGAAGTACGAAACAAGACTTGACGATCACTTCCACCTTTGCGTGCATCTTCAAATTTCACGAGTTCCATTGCAATTAAATTGCGTTGATCTCCTTGTGGGTTTACATACGTCGAGCACACAACACCTCTGTCAAACGTAGAATGAAATCCACTAGGTGTAGAAGACATCCACTTACATGTATGAACATACTTGGTCAGTAGTGTCCATGATTTCCCAAAATCAAATGTAACATGAGCTTCAGCATGGCAAGCGTTGGGATCAGCAGCGCAATCTGAAACGCCAATGTACAACAGGGCAGATTCATCTGTGGGATGTGGAGTAAGAAAATTGGAAACAAAGTTCCAATTGGTCGCCAAAGGAGTGGATAGCTGCGCAAATGACTTTGCATTGTCATTAGTATACAACAGTTTGTTTTCTCCAACGGTCATAAAGAAAGCACGATGTGGGTGAAATCGATCATTCATAATTGCCAAAATTTGACCTGCATTGGTAACAAATGGATCCGTAGCCCATGTTTTGCCCTGATCTCGTGAAATATACAGTACATGCTGTGTATCTTTGGCAACAATGGTCTCAGTTTGATTAAAGTAGTAGAAATCGTCAATTTCAGTAGCAAGCAAGTGCGCAGTAACAGAAACTTGACCAGTTACAGATCCTGGCACACTGCACTCACGATCTATCTTTCCGGTAAGATCCTTGCCTCCCTTGCAGCGCGAGAGAGAAATTTTGCGATATCCTGATGAGCCTTTGTATGTTGTTCCAAGAGGACAGTTCATGGGCTGGTCAGGATTGGTTGAATACAAACTACACGTGCCAGCATCGTTACGGAAAAAGTTGAAATCGCATTCATAATCAACGTCAGCGCATTCACACGTCTTCTTGTCAGCAACAACATGCTCAAAGCCTGCACCAACATAGCAAACAGCATCCGATTTACGTCTGCGATAAATAGCCTCTTCTCCAAAAAAGCATCGCTTGTTATCAGTTGAACCAGGCAGGCTACCAGGATACCACATCTCAAAATCGGCATTGAGATCACATTTGCGTGAAAACAGTTTTTCAAAGTCTACTGATATGAGAGCCGTTGCTAGTTCATCGGAACTGCTGGACGCATCCGTTTGAGATGAAATATAGTGGCCAGTAATAACTACTTTGCGCGATTCAGCTCCCTGGCGCGTAGTAACATCTTCAATACGAACAGAACGGTCAGAGAATTTATGTTCAGCCCATGTGGTTCCAAAATCCCAAGAATAAAACAGTGTATCCACCGGCTTCTCATCATTTACAAGAACAATCAAACCGCCATAATCAGCAATAGCCCATTTGTGAGCATCTTTGCGCACTTCGATCCAACTGCGTCCAGCATCACGCGAAATAAATACATTCCCAAGATTGTAAGCAAGGAGTTGATCTCCAGCATTGCCTACACCAATTAATAGGCCAGCCGCACCCTTGGATGAGTGTGAGATACTTAGCCCAAACGTAGAAGTCATAGAGGTAATTCCATGCAGATGCAGGTTACACTTTTGAGCACTAGGATCAGACGTACACACGATCCGAGCACCAGTGGAGTCAACCTCGGGAGCAACAAGAGATGTCCAGCTTGATCCATCATCAAATGACATTCGGGTCTGAATTGCTTCCTTCTGGCCCAGAGGTCCAAATACTACATTGGTTATGATTATACCAGGTATCTCATTGATTTTCTCAAAATCAACACGGCCACGATCGCTGCGATGAGTTTTGCCCAAAACCTTTGAAAAATACTCGCCATTTTCGTTGGATTTGAACATTACTCCTGATCGACCATTGTCGACAGCTGTCATCTCGGCATCCAAAAACACACCACCGGTAGTTGATTCAAGAATAGTAAACCGGCTATGGGAAACCGAAACTCCTGGTGGAAACTTGGTTTCAATAAATTGCTGAGCGTCCGTTGAAACCATCAACTTGCTGGTCAGAGATCCAGTAGAAGCATGCGAACCATCAATGATAGTATCCACAAGCATGATGCCATCCACAACAAAAAAGTCAAACACATCTGCATCAACAACTACAAGCTCTGATTGGCCGTTATTGGTGAGGAGAACAAGATGAGCAGGGTTATTTGATCTGGATGAAAGATTGCTGCGCAACTCATCTTGTGAAACACGGCCGTCTTTGTATTTAAAAGTAGAGCAAATAATGGCATCCACAGCAAGGCTTTTGTCTTTGAATCCAAAATCACGAGCCCACAAACACTTGTTGCTCCATGTGTCTATCTGAGTAAATGTCTTGCCGGCATCTTTGGTCATATAAGTTGTGGTGTGGCAAGTAGTTGGATCTAAACCACATTTTTGTCCACCAGCAACGTAAACATACCAATCCGGCTCGTCTGGGTGAAAGTCTATGATTTTGATGCCAAAAACATTATAGGGCTCGGGAACAGCCAGCAGCTTGATGTCGTGATTGGCATCATCCAATGCATTATCAGAAACAAAGATCTGGTCATTGGTAAAAATGAATGTACGCTTGTGATTGGACTCGTGAAAAGCAACGCGAAGGACTTGCTTATTTTGAAGTAAAGCGCTGTGTACATAAGAGAGAACCCAAGTGACACCATCATCAGCACTGCGCCAAATTTGGCCAGTATGAGTGAGCGCAAAAACAATAGTAGTTTCTTTCAAATAAGCAATCTGATCGATACGCTCTGATATAGTTGACACATGAGATACAGGTCTGTTGGCGGAAGGAGGTCTGACTACTGGGCCTCCAGGACCTCCTCTAGTAATTTTACCACATGTACGCTCTACTGGCTTAGTCTTGCTCTGATCTCCGTTGGTGCACACATCGCCGGGAATCTTGCGATACCCAGATCTGCCCATATACTTTTCACCTTCTTTGCAACCAAGCGGCTGATCACGAAGCGGCCCAGTATGAGAACAAACCAGTGCAGTTGAAGAAACGGAAGGTTCAAACTCGATATCACACTCGTAGTCGGCATCTGAGCAAGAACAAATGGATGTTACAGAAATAGGGTTCTTGAATTTATCTCCAATAAAGCAATTCGCATCAGCACGAACACGATAGTATCCGATAGTTTTTCCCAGCAAACACTCGGCCGTTTTTGAATCTACGGAGCTGCGAGGTGTCCAAAGTTCAAAATCTTCACTTTTTTCTGGAGAGTCTGGATTCATATTGCATTTGCGTTTTTGTAAATGTTCAAAATCAAGTTGAAATATGGTGGTGGAACCATACTGTCCTCCAAACTCATTCGCGATCAGCAACATCCGTTGTGATGTTGAGCTTGGATCTAACAGAGTGACAAGGGGCTGCCACGGTTTATCATTTATGGTCAATGGTAGAGTTACCCAAGTTTTGCCGCGGTTCCATGTGTATAGCACTTTGTCAGACTGGGGAATATCAGGAACTAGGACAATCACAGCACCCATATCAAGAATCTCAAATTTGGCAGGTCCGCGCATCACCATTTTCCACGTTAGTCCTGCATCGTCTGACATGAATGTGTCGCAGAGTGCATAATCCTGTAGGATGGCTCCGACGGATCCAACACCAATCAAGATACCTGGAGCAGATTGGGTAGAATAAACACTGCCAATATTGCGATAAGAGGTAGTCGAGTGAAGATGCAGTGAGCATTTTGAACCAGCAGCAGTCGAGGGTGTGCATCCCCAAGCCTTGCCATCAATGTCCAACGAAGGTGGTTTCAAAGGCTGCCATCTTGCACCGTTATCAAATGAAATCACAGATGCAAGCCATTTGGTAGAAGCAGTGCGATCAGCAATCTCACGCCAATTGGAAACGATATTAGCCATCAAAATTCCATCAAAAATAGGGGATTTGATGCGCTCAAAATCCACTTGTCCGCGAGACAGATCTCTATTTGTATAGTCGAGCGATTTGATAAAGTATGTGCCATCCGAGTCCGACTTGTACATGGTTCCAAAGGGCAATGGTAGATATGTTTTTGGGTCTGAAAAAAGAACATCGACAAAGAGCGAATCGGCGGACGATTCCAAAATAGTATATCCCACCTGTGCTCTGAATTTAGTTTGCGGAAATATAGCTTTAACAAAAGTACTCCCATCCTTGGATGTACTCAAGTGAACATCAATATTGGATTCAGAACCGCTTACTGCCATAAGCCATTCATGAGAAATGCCAACAATTGGCATATTTGAAGCTACAATACTCTTGGTTCCATCGGCAAAAAACGTATCACTTTTGACCAACTGCAGTTTGGTAGGGTTCTTGACATCCACTCTTCCATACTGCTCATTGACGGGCCATTCAGTGCATAAAACAGTGTTTACCAGTTCAGTGGCTTTAGGATTAACATTTTGTGCCCAAACACAATCAGAAGTCCATGGCAATAGCAATTTTATAGTTTGAAAACTGTCAGTGGTATAGTATGTGTCTTCTCGACACGATACCTCACCTTTCTCGGTGATGCATTTTCGACCGCGGTACATTATGTAGGATGGTTTAGTGGCATGAAAAGAGAGAGAATTGGCCAGATTATTGGCATTTAAAAGATCTGTGCTAAATGGTCTCCAAGACACACCACGATCGGTTGTAATATAGTGTTTCTTTTGGCGTGTAAGCAAAATAGCCTAATTATACATTGGAATCGTCAATATATGAAGAATTAATTGGTGACGGATCAGCACACGAAAGAAATAAATGTGATGATGAGCAAGGCTCGATGATGTGTAAAACCTACTGTGGTTTCCTTGGCATGCATGTGTTGAATAAGAACAGATGAGCCAGATACTTCTGCAGAAATACCATTGGCCTTTTCCCAAGTTTTTCCCTCGTTGCTAGAATGCCAAACCGAACCCAATGGACCACTTTCTTGCAGTAGGACATGCTTTGGATATGAAATGACAAGTTACAAAAAAGGTTAGATCAAGTCTTGATATGTAAACTTGACAAAGATCAATAGGGATAAAGCGACATGAGAGATGTTTCTGGTATAATCTTGTATTACCAAGACAGAAACTACATGTTTCAGTCATGATAATAGCAGACAACTAACCTCTGAGTTTTCAAAGTAAAACATGCGAGCAGGAATACTATCCAACTTGGAAGTAAATACACCAACGTCATTGTCCAATTCATGAACGATTGAGCCCCGAGTCTGAGCAGCAGACAGAGTTGCAGGGAAAGGAGTGTTCTGGAATGGGATAGTTCGTCTGTCATACAAATCAGCAAGACTATTTCCTAGGACAGTATTTGGAACAGCCAGGGTGAAACTGGCTGTTAGAATAGAAAAGGCAGCAGCCAAGTGTAGTAGCAACATGTGAGACACTTGGGCTATGACAACCAAAGCAAAAGTATAACAGCGATTAAGTTAAAAATAGCAAGTAGAACAAGAGATCGTTGTACAGTGGTGATGAGTTGATCGTAGCTGAATGCAATAATAGGTTTAAATGGTCAACTCAAAGTTATTCAAAACGACCTTCAAATCCGCGTGGATTGAACACTCCGCCCATTACTATTGTCATGCATTCTCCGACCAGCAACTCAACGCTGTGTTCACACGTTGAGATTCATGCTGTTGTAAGTGTATTTGCTCGTGTTGGACTCCGACTGTTGTTGTCTTGTACTGGTTTGAACTGCATCTCAATCAATAACTGATGTTTAAAACAATCCATTTCTAAATAGTATACAATAAAGACTGTGTTTATCGTATTATACAAACTTGTTTTAAACTTGGTTTTTTTTATCAAACTTGCAATGCGAATATTTTATGTGAATACGTTGTAAACGCTGTAAATGTTGAATCCAAAAATTGTGTTTTTTACCAGATATTCAAACATGAATGTTCAATTTCCTACTATTGGTTTCAACGCCAACAAGACAAAGGTTGATAGTCTTGAATTCAAATCTGCTTTGCTTCTCAAATGATTGAATGGTTTCATGTTAAAACCATGCATGTATCGCATCAAGTTTTACTGTTGATACTCGGCATTATTGCATTCATGTGGCTAATACTATTCGAGTCTAGGTTCAACTCAAAGTAGCTCTCAATAGGCTTAAACTTGTGCAGCAAAAGAAAGCATCCATAAATCAGCAGGCTCGCAAGGAAATAGCCTTGCTTTTGGAAAAAGGCAAGGAAGAGAGCGCAAGGGTCAGAGTGAGTGTAGATTGTTTTTAATTACAATTCTTGATCAAATCTGAATCACTAACCAATGATTTGATCAAGGTAGAGCATATTATTCATGATGACTATTTCATCGAAGCATTGGAGCTGATTGAACTCTATACTGAAACTTTACTGGCTCGATTCGGTATTGTAGAGTCCATGAAGTAAGGATTGGAATCAATCGTGTTGTTCAAGACCAACTTTCAATCTAATGTTCATGATTTCATAGAACTTGCGACCCAGGCATTGCAGAAGCTGTCAACACCATCATCTATGCTGCACCTCGTATCGATATCAAGGAACTTCACTTTGTGCGCGACCAACTCGTTAGCAAATATGGCAAGGATTTTGGTAGTGCTGCCATGGAAAACTTTGGTTACCGAGTAAATGACAGGGTAATATGCTTTATCTTCAACCTGATCTTGCAATTCAACACAAGTTGTGCGATTATGATATTAAACTGGACTAAACTTGTTTGCTGGATTGATTTTAGATTGTACAAAAACTAAAGGCACAGACACCAGATCGAAAGCTTGTTGATCAATATCTGGTCACAATTGCTGGTGCCTACAACGTGAATTGGGAACCGCCAATTGCTCCACCTTCACCGATTGTAATGAAAACAGTATTACCCTTACCACCAGCTTTAGAGCTGAACGAGTTTCAGAAACCCGAATACCAGTCTAATGAACCTGACATAAAATATCCTCCAGCTCAACCAGGTCAAGTGTTTCGTCAAATGACAATGACTCGCGAACCTGCCATACAACAACACGCGGCAACTGTTCAGACTGGTGCTATATACGATCCTGGCCAGTTTAATCAAGTATACGTTCAGCAACCTATCTTGGAGAGAGCTCCTATGGCAGAAAATTATCCCATGCAAGTGCCAATGCAGTATGGAAACTCATCTATGCCGACGATAGCTCCACCCCTACAACAACAGCAGGTGTATCAGCAAGCAACTTCTCCTATGCAGTACAACAACCCTTCAATGCAAGTGTTTCCGGGTCAACCTCCACATCAAGAACCTGGATATTTTTATGGACAACTCCAGCAAGTATGTATTTAATTTTATTATTTTTAATCTGACAATCGAATCTGGTTGTTTTGAATTATAAATGAATTACATATATCCACAACAGTGCATTCACTCACACTTGCCATGTATATTTAGCTACCGGCCTTTCCTGCAACACCTCCAGTTCATGATATATCTAATACGGTAAATAGCAATTCATCTAGCTCAAATATGCCTGATATCAGCGATGAGACTCCTGACTTTGATCAGCTTGCCAAACGCTTCGAAGCTCTTAAAAAGCGAAAATAGATTATACTTTTATTTCATTTTTAATTGGTTTTGGGGATATTGATACATGGAAACTGCCTTGAATAATGATTAAATATTTATGGCACTTTCTATTCTTTCAAATACAATATTCATTATATAATTCACACGCAATCAGTGTATAGTTTTGAGTTGAGATTGTCTTTTGGCATAGTCATATGTGGTGGGAATGATTGTTTTATAAGATTGACTTTGTATTTCAACATTTTTATTTGGAATTTCATTTTACATGAATACAGCTGCAGAATTGAATGAAGCCAAAAGGATATGAGCTAAAAACACTGTTTTGGTCTAGCTATCGATATGGATACAAAGCTCATGCATATAGAGACTCAACTAAAGCCTTTTGCATAAAAAGCATGACTTGCACCAGACATTACTACTTTTCATCTGCAGCTTCTACAGCTTCATTACCACAAACTCCATCTACTAAAAAACTGAATTATGCTTGCATGTCATCAGTATCCAAAACTAATGCCAGTGCATATCAACCTCGACTTCCTCGACCTAGTCTTCGTCGTGCAGCAGCACATAAAGAACCTACTGCAACTGTGCTACATTCTACAAACAATCCGAGTCTGCAAATACCATCACCTTTGGACACATTTCTGCAATCTCTACAGCAAGGCCGGTTCAAGGCAGCCATCAGCCTCATGATCAAGATCCAGCAAACGAATCCAGCATTGTTGGCAAACTTGCCCATTCAGCACTATACCCTTCTCATCACTGGTTACTACTATAACAAAAGTAATTTACCTACACCACCGCCATTGTCTGAGCGTATTGTGCAAATATACTCCAGTCTTGCTTTCATGCATTCCAACAACATTATCTTGGAATACGATACCCTTTTGATTGCTCTGGAAATCTATGGCCAAATGGGTGAACCAGATCAAATTGCATCAGTTTATAGCACATTAGTGAAACGAGGCTACTCGCAAACGGATCCATCATTGCTTCGAGCAATGTGTCGGGCATACATTTTTAGCGACAATGAACCGGCAGGTCTGGACTATTTCGCTCAACTTACACTTTTTAAACAATCTACATTCGACTACAATTCTTTAATAGATGCGTATGCTCTCAAGGGAAATGAGGCAGGCATGTTTTCGGTCCTGGATAAGATGCAAGGAGCTGGTCTTGAAATGAATGCAAACACCATCGCTATTATCACACAGTACTTTTCATCACGCAAGTGCTTGGATATGGTTAAAGCATACATATCTCACTTTAAGAACCTTGGTGGAGTTTTGAATCAGAAATTGTATCGATTTCAAATGAGTTTGGCGAATGGAGAGGGCGAGTTTGATCAAGTTATGAGGCTTGTGGATGAGATGAAGGCAGCTGGAATTCAAATCAACGACACGATTCGTATAGAAAAACTGATTGCCTATGCTGGAATGGGTGATGCTCAATCCATGTGGAAACTCTATAAGCAACTGGCACGATCCACACACATCTCTAGGCGAGGCAGTTTAGCCATGGTCAAAATGCTTGGTCCTGCTACCCATCTAGCCGTTATGGACCAAGTTCGTGTCGATTCTTTGCATTTTACCCTCTCACCTTATCGAGTTCTTTCTGATCTGTTGTCCGGATACGCCATCATTCCAGATATCTTGTCGGCACGACGTATTCTCGTTGAACTGGAACAAATCGACGGGGTAATGGAAAATGCTTATATACTTGTTCTGTGGGCATACTATAACTCCAATGATGTAAATGGAGCAATAGAATATGCCATGGAAATCGGAGCTTCTCAGACGCCTGTAGGCATAGAATTTTGGTATGCATTGCTGGTGTGTGTAATTAAATTCGAGCCAAATGCACTCGATACAACAGTAGGGTTTATTCAAAAAAAATACCCAGATATAAATATTGAACATCATATTTTTAGTGCAAGACTAAGAGCTAGAGTTGAATCAAAACCCCATGCTTATAACTTGTCCAATGGTTTTGGCAGTGTGGTTTGAATTCGTGTATATAATAAATATTTAATATTTTTGTCAAAATAGCAATACTTGTTGCCGAGTATGCTAACCTGCTACTTGTATGGTGTTTTATTATATCGGTATAGTGTTGATTTGAATAGTAGGAGCATCTACCGATCGTGTCTTTTACTACAGCGACAATCGGTTGCTCCTCACAATTGATTCAGGACAACGTCACTCATTTGGTTTAGGTCTGACACAATCCCCAACATTCCACCTACGGTTTAAGCCATCTAGAACAATCGTGCCATTTACAAACAAAAGATTCACGCTGTTAAAGTGCTGCAACAGTCTACTTGGTACTATCAAAAGATGACAAAAGTGGGTCGAGATATAAATATCCTTATTCCTTGTTACTAGATGTAAAAAACAAGTCACGCATGTAAAAATAAACTGGCGACAAAACAAAAATGAGCTCCCTGTGGGTGTCGAACCCACGGCCTTGCGGTTAAAAGCCGCACGCTCTACCACTGAGCTAAGGGAGCACATGTCTCTGTAAAATTTACTAGATATATATTTTTACCTTTGATAATTGTTTGCATAAAATGGAATATTTTTGTATCATTTTGGAATAAACCATGTTAAATATTCACTGTGCCTTCCTACTAGAAATTGACTGCTTTAGTTTTTATTTATAGTTTTTCAATAAATACAATGTCCATATATGATGCTCACAGTCAAATTATAGTTTGGAATGACCTTTTCATTGTTGTATTCTAAAAACTCGGATGCGTTCGCGTTCTAGCTCAAAAAATAAATATTGGACATGCCAGGACTGCAACTGTTGTTTCCATGCCAATCACTACAATCAATATCACCCAACCTTGTCAAACAATTCATAACACGATGCTGTTTAGTAGATTTAATGTAAATCATTATTTTATAGGACTGAATGTTTGTTATGCACTTTGTCTTATCTAGTGTTTATTTTACGTGGATAAAGCTGTAAACTATTGGTAATACATCAAATCACTTTTGGTGTATTACTGTTTGTTTTTATTATATTGTACTAGTATCATCGATCCATGCCATGTCATAGTCTATTTTGAATCAAATCAAATACATCAGTGGCTTGATTTACGATTGACACCTGCTATCGCCTGATAGCAATCAGACAAAAGAAATCCAACGCATAGTGCCTATATTCCAATACACACGCAGCCAATCAGCATTCACCCTACAACTGCTGCATCAGCAATGATTGGCTAGATTGTAAAACACTCCGATGCTTATTTTCCAACACGTCAACAACTATAAAAGAACCAAACAGCAGGCGAGTCAGATTTTCCCCAGTCGACCAACTCTTCAGGATCATATGTAGAGTTCGTTGTACTATACTAGCTTTTTCAAAAGAGCTACACTTAACAACATGGATGATGAGACGAAGGACAACCACTCAAGGGGAAGTGCAGGACATTTTGTGACAATTGGGGTTTTTTTCATTTGAAGAAGATGCTAGTTGTTCGATTTGTCTTGGTTGAAGACTACTCCTGATTGCTGGACTTGCCCTTGTGGCAGTCTGGCCAGGAAGGGTGGATGGCCCTGTCTGACATGTTGAAGTCATCTTGAAGTTTATGCATGTATGAGGTCAATTAAATTCCCAGTCTGGTATGCTTGATAAAGTGCAACCCATTTTGATTGCAGGTCATGCTCGGATTTTGGTTGAGTCCTCATGCATGTTTTTGACTCTAGCACTGCTTTTATATACTATAAATAAATATGATTATCACTAAAACTAGTCGAGTTGGATGGGTTGATTGATGCTTACAATGATTCAACATTTACTCATTTAATAAACCACTGTACAGCCGTTTATTGTAAACAACAATCGTATTGATATCGATCTGCTGATTTGATCGAGTTTAAAGCATAGATTGATTTTAGCAGTAATTCAATATTTGCCTGCTTAAACCACTTTATTCAATCGTTGGTTGTAAGCATAGCTGCATTGGTATTGATTTGATCGAGTTTAGAGCATTGACTTGTTTAATACTCCACTGTACAGCCATTCATTATAAGCACAGCTATATTGATACCGATCTTATTAGTTTGGCTGTGGGTTCAAACCATTGGCAACGTAGTCTACTCTTTGCAGCAATACGTGCTTGTTTGATCTAAACCTCCATTCGTTCAGCATCTCATTATAAGCATGACCATTGATATCGATCTGTTAGTCCGGCTGTGGGCCAAGAGCTTTGGCAGTGAAATCTTCAACTCTTGGAATAATAGATTTTTGATCTCTAATTAACTCAAGCCATTATTTGTGCCATCCGTGTAAAGTCATTCTATTCAGCTAATCAGATTTTAGCCACCTCTACGCATCAAGTGGCTCATGGATGAGGCAATGAATGATTTGTTCTTTTTTTCAAGAATATCTTGTCCAAAGCCCATGCCAAGTAATTGCACGAGCTTCATGCATCATGTTGAACTGCTTCCTATTTTGAGTATATAAAGCCTTTGAGTTTCTTGGTTGAGATGCAGTGGTTCATCGTATTTAATTCTCTTCTCAATGTTGTTTTGGCTTTCTGTTGCTGCGTTCAATGCGCTTCTGGTTATTGGTGCACCATTAAACAACACCTGCACTACACCTAGTGTTCGGTCGGAATGGCGTGAATTAAACTCCACGCAGCAGCACGACTATATTCAAGCTGTTGTCTGCATGATGAACAAACCTAGTATTTATACTGACAATCGTACTCAAAGCCGACACGCTGATTTTGGATGGTTGCACTTTCAAATGATGAATACTGTTCATCAATCTGCATCGTTTCTTCCGTGGCATCGAGTGTTTCTCCATGCATACGAGGTTTCTTTGAAAACTGAATGCAACTACAAAGGATTTCTTCCGTAAGTTTAACTGATCTATAACGTGGATTCTCCATTGAATTGTTCATTTCCCTGACCATCTTGTTACATCATAGATTCTGGGACTGGACGGTAGATTCTCAAGCTCCTGAACGTGCTCCAGTGTGGGGTGACAAGGCCTTTGGTACAGATGGTGACCCATCTACTGATACACACTGTCTTATTGACGGCCCGTTTGTAAACTACACCATCACTGTTCCAGAAACCGTTTGTATTTCGCGTACAATTTCTCAACTCACAACCTATTCTAGTTACTACTCTCCCGAAAGTGTTCATCAGATTATTTCTTCCAGTCACAACTTTTCAGAATTTTCAACGTCGTTGGAGTTTGGACCTCATGCCGTTGTGCATGTAGGAGTCGGTGGCTCAATGTCCGAAGTAATAATTAGTGCTCATGGTAATTAAATATTGACTTTATTCCGAGAATCGAGCCGAGTTGAACTGATTTGATTTTGGTTTTAGATCCCATCTTTTATCTCCACCACGCAAATGTTGATCGTATCTGGAGTCTATGGCAAAAGCGATATCCCAAATTGGCCAATACCTACTTTGGTCAACTACCAGATGGGAAAAATGTAAACGTCACTGACAGTCTTGAATTGCTTTCAGTTTCCAATACTCTCAAAGATCCCACTGTATCCATGTCACTGAGCACAACTGGATCTACTCCGTTCTGCTATATTTACTCGAATTCTGTTCGACCCAATCAGTCTCCCTCAAAGTCTAGTAGACAGCTTATGCCTAGAAGCCCGATTTCTTTCAAGTCTACGGTTCAAATGATCATTGCTGCCAAGAGAATTGCTTCTGCTGTGGACAAATACGCATATGGTATAGAGCAGGGCATCACTCCAAAGACATCTGATCGTGATGATCGAAAAAGGCTTCGCTGCCCCCCTCGTATAGGCGAATCCATGAGTCAACAGTTGAAAATGAGTCCAGAGCAGAAAGTTGAAAACCATCATCGAGAAGATATGAACTGCGCCTTTATTCATTTTGTCAATAGCAATGCTACCCAATACCAGTCTCCTGTATCTCTCGAGTTTACAGGTCCAAGTATGGGATACCACTCTGTCTCCGAATCAGAGTTTGAAGAAGAGTATCAGTTTGTTCAAAAGCTGCACGACATATTTGGAGATGCCTTTAAACAGGCAGTGTAGTTTAGCCATGTTAAATATATACTTTTTATTGCAATGGTCATCTTGTTTGAATGAGTTTGTGGTGGAGCAGGTTGACATGACCTCGTCTTGGGTTGGGTTCAGATTCGGTGAATTGTTCAACCCGATACAGAAAGCTGCAATGTTGATTACACTGTAAAGCATCCGATTGAATCGTCATTCATCTAGCTTGGTAGTCTCAGCAACTTTATGTGTATACGGTTAGCGGACTACGCTTGGCTGATGCAATAAGAAAAGGGCTGAACTAACCAACGGTACACCTGATGTACGCTTATTGACAGAATGGGTATGAATGCAAAGCATGCTTGAAATCGGTATTCCAACTCGGTCAAATCTATGTTTCTGCCACATTACGTAGATACGCGATAGGGCTAAACTCATCTCCATGCGTCATGGAATCAAAAGCACAACCTTGCTTTCGATACACTAAAAGTGCCAACTACTTGTTCACAGATCGTATTCAAAAACGCCGACCCAATCAGCAAGCAAAACTGCATTGTTCATTGCATCTCCTTGTTGGCCAGTTCAAATCTATCATCAAAATAGAGTGATCTAGACCCTATCTATGGGTGCGTGTTGCATAGTTTAACTTGAGCGTGATCTATCAACTACATGGTTCTTTGAATTGTGGCTACAAGGCTCTAATCAGCTACTTGGTAACAGGTTTATAAAAGATATGATGGGTTTGAAAGTAGTCGACTAGCTAAAGAGCCAATACAGTCTCGGAGATCTTGAAAAGGTCAATCATGTCGCTAGCTTGATTGATAAAGTATTACTAAAATACTTGCCGGTGTATAGTAAATCATGTATGTAATGCTAAAGTAGATAGCAATGGTCTAGATCAAGTCTACTAGTAGCCCATCAAAATAAATGTCAAAAAGTATGGATCTATACAATATTTAATGATTAAATATTGCACAAGGTTTAGATTCAAAATAATTCCGTTTCATTGTATCCATGATTAACGTAGATTTTAGGCAGCGCGAGCATTGTATCTCGCTTACACCTTGCACCTTCTATATCTGTATTACATGTGTCCGTATGGTGCTTCAGTTTTCTGCAAAGAAAATACGCATGAGGTGGTTCTACGCCCTTGTTCCGTCCATAGTATCCATCTAATCGCGAATGAATATGGAATCCGTTGCGACCGTAAAATCCCAACGCCTGCTCGTTAGTGGTTTGAACATGAAGACACAGGTGGTCTAAAGTACAGTCATGCTTTATGTTGTTCATGATTGTATCAAGAAGCATCGAACCTAGCATGGAGCGCATTTAAACATGTATCAACAAAATAGTGCAATCATTGCAACTAGACAGGTTACTACAAATGCACTGAATAAAATAGTGTGCTGGAAATGATTCAAAAACATACCTATTTTGAGTCGTCTGTACGGTGCCAAGACACTAAGAGTCATAATATATACACGAAATAGTGAATCGGAACAGGCTTCTTTGCGGCATGTAATGCCACCAACTGCCTGTCCATTTAAATAAGCTATATTGAATAGTTTAGAAAGTATTTTGCAAGCGTTTCATGGTACTACAATCAACAACTCACCTAAGCAGCTCATTTCAACTGAATGAGTCTGAATGACATCCTTATAAAATTGATCATTATATGTTACAGGTAATACGGATAAATTTAAAATACGCAGGTCAGCAATTGTGTTTTCGTCTATCGAACGAAATATCATTTGATGTCGTCCGTCCACACAAACACGTCGTTGCATTAATGGTCTTAACGAGGTAAATGACGCGAATGAATCATTCAACCCCGTTTCAGATAAAGTACGAGCCCAGTAATTCGTTTGAGCCTGATGCTGTTTGTGATCGCTATATCGTGTAGTGAAGTTCGATGCAGTAGGTGTAATGGACATGCCAAGTGGCTGTGCATGCCCATTACATTGCTGCTGATGCATTGTGCTGCGGGCTGTAGAGGTGTGAGCATTTGCAATTGGAGTAGCAGTATGCGATCGCATAGTATTGTTGAGAGCAAAATGTGGGTGAGCTGGAGTGGGAGGAGTGAGTTTTTCTATTGCAGTGGCAGCATCAGAGTGGATGAGCGATGATGTGGACGACAAGAGTGAGTACTGCAATGGAGAAAAAATATCCAAAGCAGTGTGGTATTCAATTGGCGAATGGTAGTTGGAGCTAGTGGTTTTATTCATGGCAATCGAGTCCAAATAAGAATCCTGTTGATGACTATCAAATCAAATTCATAGGCAGAGTAGGTTTAAATTGTCAATTTGATTCATGCTCAGGGTAAAGGAGGATAAAAATGGTCGAGTTTAATCAAAAACATCAATACCAATAGTTTGCTGCCAGTTGGAAGCAGACTTGACTGGCTCATAAAATAGTTTAAACATTACCTGCTATCATCTGCGAATACTCCTACACCATCACAATCGCCAGACATGGGAGGTGAAACAAGGCCGGTATTATCACACAGTGCGGGATGCTGGAAGATGGACGGAGCCAAGGCAATGTTGGTGTCAGATGTGTGGCTACTAAGGGTCGTTGTGCTGTGGCTGCTTATCGAGTCATTGGAGGATTCTTGGGGAATTCTTGCAAAGCTCTTGATGCAGATGGCCGATGAAGCAGATGTGGAATTAGGAACTGTCATGGCTGTTTGCAATTGAGATGTGCCTAATGGCATTGAGGGATATTCTTGTGTTGTATCAGATATGTCTGCCGACAGCTGGGGTCTAGTCATGCTCGGCTGTTCATAACCAATTGGCTCAGACGGAGCATGGGGTAAATGGCGACTGTTAGTATCGGCATGCATGCCAAGAGTTGTGAATGATTGTTGATAATCATATATCATCGACTGATTGCGTGTAGTTGGCTTCTTGCTCTTTACACTGGTTCTGCTTTGTGAGTAGAATGTACATGGACTATTGCGACTCTTGCTGATTGATGGCTGACAGCGTGTTCTATTAGGCAAAGGCTCAGTCACGCTGCTCATGGTACAATCAATCTAGTATTGCAATGAGCAAGTGTTGCTATGTGTAGTACTGAAAACAAACGTGTTATGGGTCAGATATATGCCAACTTGGGCTTGCTTTTGCATACGAGCGGAGTCTAGCAATATCTTGTCGGAGCGATAGCGTTCATTGATTATTGAGCTTCTGTGTAATTCTACCATTTGTAACCATGTATTTTATATGCTCTGGATACTATTCTTGCAAAAGATGGTTCTATACTACAATGGATTGGCTGTTGCATTCATAACCACTCCTTATTGCGTGATGTATTCATGTGTGCATATATCTGGAGTTATCGTTTTAGCGTTATTGGCTTATAGCAGAATGCCAATCGATACTACGCAGTTGAACTTCAAGTCTTACTTTTATATCTTGCCATTGTTGGCACATGTGTGATCAAACAGCTGTACTTATTCTGGAGATAAGCTCTGCATAATATCCAGATCCCACGGACACTAGGATACTTTTTGATCGTATAGATCGAATAGACACTAGAAGATATGGCCTTTTTGCTTTATTTCCAGCAGAACAACTGGGTTTCAACTTTCATGCAAGACAAAAACATCACATTAAAAACTAAATGGGGATGGAGTGTTTTTACTGAGCAGGTGCAGCACCTGAAGCACCTGCACTACCATCATTACCAGCAGCAGACTGACGACGCGCACGGCCCTCCATATCACCATATTGCACAACTAGACTTCTTGCCTTGCTATACAAGTTCCTCAAAAACATTGGAACACGATCATTTCCCACAATCCACATATTCAATCTTTGATCCATCCCAGCTACAACCTGTTTCGTTACTGGTGAAAAGGAATAGCGGAAACTCAAGAATTGACCATAGACCAAAGGTGTAAAAAAGGATGTGTGACCAGTGAAAATTGTCACAATTGTCATGGGCATAATAACCCATACTTCGGTGTTGGATACAAAGTAGATGGCTTTGGCATGATTGGTTTGAACAAATTTACCAATGGCTTGAGAGAGCGAGTTGACAGTTGGAGTGGTGGTGCCAATCAGATTGGGAAGGATCTCGTTGCGAGTGTAATTGAGAATGTGCAAGGTTGAAAAGGTTGCATAAGGCACAAGTGCAACTATGTATAAAAATCAGCAATAGATGAGCATTGTGTTGCAATCAGGATCTCTAAAGTGTAGCTTAAATATGGTATGTACCTGAAAGAGGAGCAGATGTCACCCAAATAAGTGCAAGCATAAAATACTGTGTGTTTTCATCACGAACAAGTCTCTGAAGGTACTCTGTATTGAATTGGGGAATCTATATGCAACCCAATCAAGATGGGATCAGTCGTCAAAAACACCATTTGTATCATTTCGAATTGTCATCAGATTCACTTACACCATATGACTTGTATAAAATGATTCCATAGCTACTCAAATTGAATTAGATAAATAGTAATAAACGTGAAATATTAACAAGGCACATTCTCACCTGAGAAGTGTACCATACAAGGCTTTATAGTAACCCTTGTGGCCCGTAGAAAACAGACCAAATGCAAAGAATAGCGCAGCTTGAATAACTGAGGCAAGATTGCAAGACATCAATAAAAATTCAAAAACAAATTAGTGATCATTCAAACCAATGCATCTCCACAAAGTTTGAAAAGAACAGCATTCATCATAGATCCTCAGATCTAAACCATGACATGAATGGTAATTGTAGATTTAAAAAACCAGAATGCGGCCATATGCAACCCCTAAATGTCAGTTCAGGCATATTTGAGAGTGGTTGAAGCCATATATTGCCAGGTAGAGTGTGAGAACAAATGCCGATAAAGCCTCGAGTGAGGGAATATTGGCACAAGCGACTCCTTGCATATTTAGATTGCATTACAGGATCAACTCAACAGTAGCCAGGGAAATGATGGCAAAAGCTCCATTTTCCCATTGCAAAATGGCAGATCCACACTAAGCAGACACATCAGTTCAAGTGGGCAGCCAGCTCATACAGCCAGCTACAATAGGCTAGCATTAGTAAAATGTCATGGATATTTGTTGCAGCGATAGTGCAGATATTTTGGCTCGAGTAGTCTTCAGTCACACTCGACCAGGTCGCCTATATCTTGCCAAAAATAAGAGAAATCGACTAGAGAACAATGTGGAATGGCATTGGCGACATCCACAGTACTAGCCTACAGATTCAATAGAGTGGATGCAAAAAGAATGGGTAGCGACCCTATAATCAATCACTACCGATACTCGAGATATACTGAGTATCTGCATAGCAGGAATGGTTACAACACACCAGTGGTCAAGTGGCCAAGGAACCATAGAAACTGCAGGTGAAAAACTACTCGTTGAATACGAGCCTGAAAGCTAGTGGCAGGAGCACTCTGAGGCTGCTGTTGTCTTTGTGATTGTTGGTCTGCCATTCACAGCTGTATTCACGTAAAATGGAACACTAAATAAAGGTGCCAAAGTGCATAATAAACCGCCAGTCTTATGGAATGATTGGTGACCAATTTACACAAATTTACAATATTGTTCTTTCAATTCTTTAATTCATTCGTCTTTGTTCATTTTGTACAACTGAATCAATGTGGACATTGCAGTTTTAGTCACTCTTTGACTCTCCTTTCACCTAGCCCGAACATTGAGTGATTGACACGGAAACCATTGCTTCAATCTTGGGTTAGATCGCGAACGTATCTGATATTAGAATACAAGAGTTTCTAATAGTAAAATAACAAATATTTAACCATTTTGTATTCCCGAGCAAAATAAGACTGCAAATACAACTGTTCAAGACGGAATGGCTGGCTTCAGGAAAAATAATACAGAGTTGGAAAAATTAAAAGCAGAAAACTTGATCAACCCACTTGCTGAAATACAGCCGTTGTTTATTTTATTAATAAGAATCATTCATTTTGACATTTGTTTCTCCAAGTCTGCTAGGGTTAACTTGCCAGTACTTTTTCGCATCACATCCAAACAAGTATTAAAGTGATTCACAAAACATTCTGATTCAGCATCAGAAACTGCGGCCTGATCACATCCAACAGTAACACTCATATCATTTCCAATTGTAATCACTCCAAGCGAAAACAATGCTCTTGACCCTTCAAACGACGAATTCAACGTCCCACCAAATCGGTTCAGTCTAAACCGTTCATCTTCTTGCTTTGCATCAGGGGGTGCACAGTCATAGTCCCATGCCCCCAAATTTGCCATTTCCACCGACATAGTTCGAGTGAGTTTGGCCAGATCAGCTTTTTTGGACAAAAAATTCCAAACCTTTGGGTGTCGAAAACACCAGTTTGTCAGCTTCATTCGCCGCATAGAGGTAAACAGTCCAGATCCAATACGCTTCTTGACGCGTCGACTGCGATCCCAAAGATCATCTTTGGGCGTAAGCCGCATGGATGGATCAGAAATGGAACCACCATATCCACCAAAAACTCGAGTAGATGGGTCAGCTTTCTTGTCCACTCCATTCAACAGCTGTGATCCAGGAATCAAGTGTCGCATCGATGTGGTCACAACCCATCCTTGATGTGTCGGAAGAGGTAGTCCAAGATATTTAGACTGCTTAGCATACACTGCTCGCGTAGATGCTAGTGCAGCAACAATCATTGCTGACGCAACAGTTGTTTTGTTCTTTTTGACTGCTGCACGAAGGTCTTTGGAAAACTCGGCACTAAACATGGTAAGTCTTAGAATTGTACGCGGGGTGGTGGAAAGGACAGTTGAATAGCACGGAGCATGTATCAGTTGAGATTGGCTTTCAGAAAATGCAGTCGATTCAAGAACTACATAAGAGTTTTCAGTAGAAGGTGGAATAATCTCAATAGTTGGTGCTAGTGTATTGGGAGTTTTGACTCCGGTTGCATACATGGGCTCTGTCGTATAAGGAGTGGTGGGAGAACTAGGAAGAGAAGGCGTGCCAAGATCGATTTCATCAGAGAGATGAAATTTTTTGAATTTGTTTTTAATGTCTTTTCGAAGATGCTGGCGAATGAGACCCGCAGCAGCTAACAATATAAAGGTGATGAAAAATGGGCATTAGACACCATGATTTCCAGCCAGCTTAAAAGCAAAACACTTACGAGGAATAATTTCAAGCGTATTGGCCTTGATTAAATTATCCAATAGTGGTGGAGGATCAGAATTAACCAAAACATTTTTTAGATCCAAAGTATTCTGATTCAAAACATCTGCTGTAGCCAGCTCAAAAAACGATCGTGCAAAAGCCCACATGGACAAACCATCACCAATACAGTGATGGAATGTAAACACAATGTCAAAACAGGGCATGGTGCTAGCGGATTTTGCTCTTGTGTCGTCAGTTTCAGACTTGGAATTTTCATTAGTGGAAACCAAAGTGTCATTAAAAGAAATACCCGCTCCTCGCCACTCTTTTGGGGCAGTCATGGCAATGCGCCATAGCGGTTTGGTTTGACTTGTAACATCAAAATTGGTATTGATTTCGTCGTTAAGCGTCTGAAGCCAAGTAGTGGAATCAATACGATCAACAAAACGAAGTGGAGGTTGAAGATCAGCAGCCCTGGTAGCAAGAAGATGAGCAGTTTGGGTTTCATAATCAACATATGAGCAAAGACGATAATGCTGAGCCTGTGCTAAACGAAGAAGATCGAGTATGCGATGCTCTGAAATATGTTTAGCTTGTGGTGGTAGACGCAAGTTACCATGAACAGCCATAATGACCTAGTAATAGATTGCATTTTAAAAGGTTTGAAAATCACATGGCTAGATCAAAAGATGCTTTCAAGACAGCGTGAAGGGCATTAAGGAGGATCACGGTATCAAATCAATTTCAAATTTGATTAAGCTCGACCGATACGATATAGGAGCAAAGATGATATGAATACAAAGTTGAACAGGATATAGCGAGTATGAATTAGATTCAAACAGCACCATGATGAGATGGTATTTAGACAGTCACCTACCTGGTTCTTATCCTTTGCGATATGATGAAAATGCTGCTCAACAATAGTAAGACCATTTGTAGGAAGCAGCGGTTTGAGTTTGCGTTTGGAGATTCCAGCAGCACCAGTAATGAGGCGTTGTAAGTTGGCATTGACAGGCTTTCCTGTGACACCAGAAGATGGAGCGGTAGTAGTGTTGAGTTCAGTAGTGTTAGTGGGAGGATGGTTCCTACCAAGAGAGTGGAATGTAGTTTTGGGATGATTATCAAGAGGCATATAAGATTGCTGATTGGTAGTGGTGGAAGTTATCATGGAAGCTGAGATGGAATTCTGAGCTGTATCTACACCTGTATCAGCAGGAGTTTGTTTCTGTGTAGTTTCAGATACATCCATACAGTGTGATCAGTAGCTGTTAAACTATAAGAGTATATGAGGTAACAAGGTATGGTTTGAGTAATTCAAATCAGATGCTGACGATATCCAAGAAAACTTCAAATAAACTCACAGCTGCTTATTGAAGGGCGATTGGCCAAATGCCGTATTTCGATTGCTATTAAACCAACAAGCAATTCATTATATCAAGTTGCTCGAGTCCATCTTGCATGATTCTATTCGACATTGAATCTTGTCATTCGAAACAGTCTTTGAAACAATCCTTTCCAAAGTCGAACCATTTCATTACAATTGTGGTCACCACTGCATCTTGGTGCTGATTAATACGTTCACCGTTTGTTATTGAAACCCATCTAGTCAACCCTGACCATCTCATTCATGGCATCATCACATCCTATTGTTGTCCCGACTTCTAAAAACTCTGATCATTCAGCAGTCAAGGGAACCTTGAGTCTTCCTAGTGTTTCTGAACAACTTTTTGATTCTGTCATGAGTACTATTTCGGGAGTAGTCTGTCCTGTTGATAAAGGGTTTGATGTCGGCAGTCTTGATGAGGATGACACTCGCAATATAACCAATACTGGCTTACCTAGCTCATCATCAAGTCATACGATCCACTCTCCAACCAGTCCAGTCACTCCATCGTCAGAGAATCAATCGGTACTTCAATCCACAGTCTCTTCTGATGCTTCACTTATCACCAGCACTAATCATCCGCAGCCTGTTAAAGGTGTCAATCCTTTTGTATTGAAAATGATTGCTGCTACTGCCAGTATGAACGGTAAAAAACATCAGTTGTTTGCAGACTCCAGTCTTGGTGCCATTGAGAGAGTTGTACACCAAACACCCGAAACTAGCGATCAAATGCTCATGTCGCTTTTCCTTCGACTCCGATTGCCTCCACAAGTGAATCGTATCTCTGAACAGCGCATTCTGGATCTTATTAGATTGGCTCAAGCAAAACATTATCGATTGGCTTCATATATTGACCATACTACTTATGATACGGTTTTATTTGGAAACAAGGCTGCTGATTTACCACTACTGAGTAGATTTGTGTCTTCAGATGATGGATCGGCACATGAGATTTGGCAGAGAGTTGTAACCGAAGAAATCAATTCCAAATTTGACTTGCGAGATCCAACAACTCCATTGTGGCGAGTAGCAATTGTTGGTACTGGAGCGATTGCTGGAAATGGTATTCAACTTGTCCCCTCGTCTGAACAACCTGATTGTATTGGATCTTCAGTTGCAACATCATCCATAGTATTTGACTTGATATTCACCTTTCACCACTGTTTGGGCGATGGCTTGTCTATGTTGGCATTTGCACGAACTCTTCTTGCCGAATGCACTACGGCCAACTACAATGCCGAATCACTTCATCTTGACCAAGTATCCGTCGTGGCCAATCCTCCTGTTCTTTTGGACAATTATATTAAACCTTCGTTTTTTGGTATTGTTCCTGCTCTTGTTGTGCTTTTATTTACACATGGACCTTTTCAAAAGCTTCATAGATTTAAAGATCTCATTTCAGCATCGCAACCTTCAAAAGCATTGGCAAATTCACTTTCTCGTGCATCTATATCTTCAGATACCCCACTCTTGTCTGATGAGACGGATGAAAACTTGCAAAGTCATGATATGGCAACACATGTTGATTCAGATGATATCACCACAAGCGATACCTCGTCAACCTGCGAGCCTCTTTCTTCAACTAAAAAAGAACTGGCTCATGATCGTCTGCGTACCAAAGTCAGATTTCTTCAGTATGACGCTGCATTTACCGCGAATCTAATTCAATGCACCAGAACGACTAAAACAACGGTTGCAGCTGTACTGATTGTCAACGCGTTGGCTTGTGTACGAGCTGTCTTTGCTGATATAGCAAAGTCTACTGGCCAACCACTACCAAAACATCAGGGTTGGATAGCTACTACTAGTTTTCGACATTTAGTTCCTGAATCCATGCTGCTTTATGGTGCAGACAAACATACCGATCCAGCCACTATGCTATTTGGACTCTATGCGGGATCCATGTCCGAGTCATCTGTTGGGATAGACGATCATTACGAGTTTTGGGAACGATGTAGGAGAATAAAACGGACACTTGGAGGAGGAAGTGGACACCTCGATGCAATACGAAGAATCAAGTTGTTAAACTGGATTTGGCGAACGCCTTGGATGTATCGTCGAGCCATAAACCGTATCCATTTTAAACAAATGTCGCAAGCCTATTCAGTTGAAGTCGCTAACCTTGGTGCATGGGAATATCCAACTGTAACCGAGTCAGGATCTACTGATGGTATGAGTTCCAAAGAAATCCTAGAATGGTTTGGCGGAACATTAAGTGCTTCGTTTGAAGGATCTCGAGGGATATTTAATTTGGGCATCATTACTCTTGGAAAGAACATGTCGATTGCTGTTTCTTATGACTGCACAGTGGTTTCTGAAGATTGTGCCAAAACATTCATTGATTTGTTTGATAAAACACTAAAGGTCGCTTGTGAATCTATGGGCACGCAGATTCAACTGGGCAACATGCCTTGCTCGTGTAACGACGTGTAACTCTTCATACATGATTCCATGAGCTGCGCATGATGATTTGGAAATACAAATTTAAATAAATTCATTATGGGTTTGTAATGGTTTTTAAATCGAGTTTTTTTTGGTGGATTTATTTTTGATAAATGATAGTTTAGATTGAATGAGTACTAAGCGAGCACTATACGACAAACTCTTGTCATCGTACCCAATAACTCTCAAGGCCACTAAATCCAAAGGCCGTCATTTCGTTGCCAAATCTCAACTCCAACCAGGCACAACCGTATTAGTAGAATCACCCTGTGCATTCGTTCTTTTTAAAGACAATGCTCGGGATTACTGCAGTTATTGCATGAAACGGTTTAATAGAATGACTGCTGCGACTCGACCTGCATCAACAGAAACCAGTCTATTTTCCCTCTCATCGCAATCAGATTCATCCAACACCTGCATTGTATGCACAGACTGCAGGAACCAAACGTTTTGGTGTTCAGAATCATGCAAGAAAGCGGATCAAGCACATCAACTGATCTGTGCAGCCATTGTCGAGTTGCCTGGAATTGCTGGTATGCATTCAGTTGACTATGCTCTAGTTAGACTGATTGTGCAAGTGCTGGCCAACACGGCTGTTGAAGCCATATGGCAAATGGACAGTTCATGTAGAGTCGAGTCAACACCCATGGCCTGTATTAGTGATCTACTATCACATCAGAAATCTTATCAAGGTCCATGGCTAAATGCAATAGATTGTGCTGCCGAGGATATTGCTGCTTGTTTGAGTCATTTGAAAATAAATGACTCTTTGAAGAGTAAACAAGAAATTATCAAACTAGCCTGTCGCATCAACTCCAACAGGTAAGAGGGTTAAACTGCTGGTATCTTGAAACAGCATTCTACATCTAAATCCAATGGATCGAGCTGATCCACTCACTTGACACGTACCAATCCATTGTATTTGCTAATACAACCTATTCTAAACCAACATTAGCCATGGAGTATATGATGCAACAGGAAACAAAAGTGGTGAAATTGGTGTTGGCATGTTTCCGTTTGTAGCAATGCTGAACCATTCATGTGCACCAAACTGCGCATTTGTAACATCCCAATCAGGCCAGATGCTGGTACGCACATTGACACAGGTTTCTCCAGGCACTGAGTTGTGTGTCGGGTATATAGATCTTTTTACTCCAAGATGGGAACGTAGAGGGAAACTTCTCACTACTAAACTTTTTTGGTGCACATGTATTCGGTGTGGGCCTCGTGCTGAAGAAACTGTTGTTTTAACTACGCTGGATCCACCTACTATGGATCCAAATGTTGAAATGCACGAAAAATCGAATCTATGGCAAGAGCTGCAGTTGGATGGAGTGTTGTGTCTGTCGTGCAAATCATTGCTTGTTCCTACAATCGAAAATGGACAAGATATGGATGCAGATATACTTTTCAGGTGTTTGAGTAGCATCAAATTGATGGGCGACAATCCTTTAGACAAATGCGCCAATCCAACAATCTATTCAGTTCAAGATCGCCAATCTATTTTCGATCAACTTACAAAATATATTGAATCAGCACAGGATCTAATCAAAATTGACCAGCTTGCATCTGCCAAATGCGAATATGAATCAGCTCTGGCTTTTGCATACCTTAAACTTCATCCAAACAACCACCAGTTTCTACCGCTCTACACGAACCTTGTTGAAATTTCAATGCGGTTATCACAGCTCGACTCTGCTATCAAGTACTCTAGATGTGCAGTTGATCATCTTACGCAGTTGGTAGATTTGATTGGTGTTTCAAGACATATACCCGAACTGTCTGATCTAACGTGCAAGTATGCAGAAGTTTTGGAAATTGCAGCAGAGTGTATTCATGATGGTTTGACGATTGAAACGAATGCCAATGGTGAACAAATGAATGAGGCCAACCTGAGGGAGTTATCTGCGAAATGCTATACGCAATGCCTCGAAAGTCGACTAGTATGTTATGGTGTAGATCATCCAAAAACCAAACTGATTCAACAAAAGCTGCTCTAGTCAACTCATGGATCAACAGGATCTGATCATCATCTTGATTTACCCACAAAACGCATTCAATAAATTCAGAATTTACTATTGCTAATCTTTTGAAACAAATGATTTTCATTGCTGTATTCACGTAACATGACTACTTGTTCTATATCTTGCAAACTTTTCTTTGGAATACAACGATTGTATAATAGAGTCAAATTATAAACAACTGTTTTTTCCAAGTCAATCACCAAACGATCAGTCAATGAACGAGTCTAAAACATTGTTCAGTGCATTAATCATTTTATAAAACTCTTGTAATTGACACTTTTATTTCGTGTTTCATTTGACGTGAATACAATTGTAAAAAAAGAATCTAGCAGAATGACGACACTAGCAGCCTTGTTCAAGTCATCCTTACCATCAGAAACCCTATCCAGCCTTCAAAAAGCACCTGCGATCAATGACCAGATCATCACCTTGCTTTTGGACAACAAATGCTGCTTTCGATGTGTTCTTCGGTTTCTTGGAGACCGGCAATCCAAAACACATCAAATCATGCCAATGCATACACTTCCAGCTACAGTGAATGATTCAAATGCCGCACTGACTCGTCGCACTGCTATTGCCATGGAAGGTATAGGTGCTGTGTTTACTGCCCATACCTGCACCGACACTGAGAAAGATGCCCAACCTGTCGAAACCATGACTTCACCATTGCGTGTACAAGGTACTTTTCAAAGTTGGTATGAATCCATAATCGGCTCTTCATTCCAACTCAGTTATGTGAATCGTATCTATGGATCGATCCTGTGTTGATAATACTCTTGTGTTGCTTGGTTTAGGTATTCCAAAATGTGTTTGTCCAGCTTGTCTTGGGCTGCTTCAGATCGACTATAGCAGTTTAGCGACACAGGCTTATCAAAAGTATCTCAATAAGCCTTATATTCGAAATGAAATGACATTTTCTGTCTCAAATCGTATGCCTCCGCAGTTATCTATCAGGCAGAGATCGATTTCTCTTATGATTGAGAAAATGCTCGCATCAATGTAAATCCAAATGCATGTTTACACGAATGCGTAGATAGGAGTGCAAGATGTATTAACAGTTGGATGTAAAACAGTAGCAGTACTACAAGTGACGAGAAAATCGATATACCAACACCTATCGAGGTCAAGGAAATTTTTAAAAGTCTGATATGCGCTTCGTTTTCTCAAGAATCTGGTATGGTTTACGACGTCGAGGTAAGAGTATATTAAAATCTATACTATCCAGACATACTGTGGTCAAAGATTGCATTTGCATGAATATTTCAAGTGCTAATATGCGAATAACTCGTGTCGTGTAGAGTAAACTTTCACTGCAGTTGCATTTGGAACATCCAGCGACTGCCACTGATTTTATGTTTCTGACCAAGATTCCTCATGCAAAATTCAATGTCAAGACAACCAAACGAAAGGTAATTGAACTTTAAACCGGCATATGAAAACAATCCAATGTTTTTTTGTACTTACAATATATACTTGACTAGGGCGTCATGATATATGCTGGTGCATCTATTGAAAAAATTGCCAAAGCGGTTGCATTGGCCAAATATGAAGACTTTTATGCGTGAGCCATTTGTATTGATGTGATATTTTATGCAGCTGTTTGACTATATTTAAAAAATGAAACTAACTCTGATCTCCATTGTTGACTTGATTAGTCATGAACAGATTCCTCTTTCAGCAGTGGATCAGCTGCCCAGCATCTCCAATCTTGATTTCAATCATTCACAAATCTACATTGCAGGTATATTGTTTTGCTTATTTGTGAGACTTATACATGGTCGTATCATTTGGAACCAAAAACTGTGCAACGTTATACAATACAAGGCTTACGCATTGCATTTTACACGCAACTCTATAACTAGGTAGATACTGCAAGCTTCAGCGTGGAATTTCCAACTCTCCATGGATAATTGGAGGAAAACGATTGACAGAACATTCTGTTGAGGAACTTGTTGGAAGCCATATCGATCTTTTTTTTGGTGTTTCAGGTGAGTTTTCACACGGTTTAATGGATACACTATCGAGCCATGTATGGTTTAGCTTGTATTGATCTATTTGGTCTGTAGAGCATAAATTTTCGTCTGCTGGTCGCGAGGATGGAGACGTGCTTATGCTTGGTACTGGACGGCCGTTTTATTACGAGTTGATTAATCCGTATAGATGTGTTGCAACCGAGTCTGAGCTGGCCACTCTGCAACGTAAAATCAATGATAGCAACAAAGACATGGTATCTGTACGTGACGTGCAAATTGTAACTCGGTAAGGAATCAAGGTTTAAAAACACATATTTGGTGATTTGATAAATGTGTATTCATCATGTCATTCTATGATAATTTGGGTAATGGGGCTGGGCTCATGTTATATTAGAGAATCAACTTCAATCATGAAAGACTCTGCTTCGAGTAAATCTAAATCATACAGCTGTGTAGTCGAGTTTTCCAAACCAGTGTCCATGTTTATTTTGGATGAAATTGCCAAACGAACCGATATTGCCGTGGCACAAAAGAATCCGACGCGTGTGCCTCGTCGAGCAGATCTTTTGCGACACAAGATGATCGAAACCATTGAATTTGTGCCTATTGAAATGAGTCTCATGGAAGATGACTCAGAGGGAGTAAAAACTGTTCGAGTGAATATGAAGACTTCAGCTGGTACGTATGTCAAAGAGTTTGTTCACGGAGATAATGGACGGACTGAACCGTGTTTGGCATCGTTGGTTGGAGTTGAATCTGCAAAAGTGATTGAATTGGATGTGCTGGAAATTCATTTGAGTTGGCCTCCAGCCAAACATAGAGAATAAACAAAGACCAAACGTTGCGAATGCGTTTATTGAAATTTGGTTTGCTCTCAGTGTATTTAAACTTTTGTTAATACATGCTGCTGACTTATTCGAGTAGCTGCTAGACAATCCTGAAATGCTACCTGGGATCGCTTTGCAAGTGGCTGTCTGCTGATTTGAATGACAAGAGCCTCTATCGCTCGTGTTTCCTTACCGCAGGTTGTTTAGCAAACAGCCTTCCAAAACTCTCGTTGATTTTCAAACGGATGCGCACATAGGTGGTGGAGTCACAAAAGTAGCCGAAACAGCCGAAACAACACACTCGTGGTTGATGAATTTCATGCAAGTATCTGCAAACACATGATACACACCAATGATGATGACTGCTGACATTCTTTTTATCTTTGCATTTTCATCTTCTTTATACCAACCCAACGTGATCTTACCAGATGGTTGTAGCAATCACTGCAGTTAGAATACTACTATGGAGTGCATTGTTTTGGGTTGTCCAGACCCGTGCCCATCGTAAACCCAGATTCAGTAAGAACATCACCTACGAACTTGGAGCACCAGTGATCACTAATCAAGTCGATGTATACTGTGAGTCTTGCCAACATTTGCTGTAATGACGAGTCATGATAGTGTGGTTGTGCTAAATCATTTTGTTTTTGGGTTTAGACATCTATTACGGAAACTGGACTCCAAGCCAAAAAGCTTTGGTGGAGGACTTTACTAATGGACTCGGAGCATCCTCATGGTGGGGCATCATGACCAAATACTATTATCAGGCAACAGCATCGTCAGTCAAAATCCCAATCAAGGGATCGGTATCGTTAAGTGGAGCTGTAGCCGACCCAAACTACACTTTGGGTAGGTCACTCTCTGGTTCGGCACTCACAAACATAATCTATTCATACACTTCTACCGGTCGCCTTCCACTCAATACTCAAACGGGTGTTTACTTTGTCCTTACAAGCAGTGACGTAAATGTATCTCATGTCGACACGGCTCAAGGAGACACTGAAGTATTTTGTGAGGATTATTGTGGATTTCATAATACTGCTCGACTGCAGTCGGGTGATGTAATAAACTATGGACATACAGGGGATGCGACACATTGTCCAGGAAATGGATGCACACCTGCAATGAACCTGCAGGCATCCCCTAATGGTGATATAGGAGTCGATGCAGCAGTGTCAGTGATTGCCCACGAGCTTGCTGAAGCAGTATCAAATCCTGATCCAATGGGCAGTAGAGCTTGGCAAGATATGCTGTCGGCAGAGAATGGTGACAAGTGTGCGTTTGTATTTGGAGAAACCTCGACCAATGCCAATGGAGCTAGCTATAATATGGGCTGGGGTCAACGCAAGTTCTTGGTGCAGCAAAACTGGGATCCAGAAGTTCAAGCTTGTGTTTCTGGATACGATCGCAATCTGAGGTGATCAAGCCATGACAAGCACGGCTAAACTCGTTCCATTTGTTTTGTGGATAAGACTGTATTGCAAGACAGTACAGATTTAAACTATTCCATGTACAATATTTTTTTGAACAATATACTTTATTGAAGACTATTTGATACTACTAGCCTGGCGTAGAATTCAAACTTTAGATTGAGCTAGTTGAAAGATTGCCTCAACTGCATCATTTGTGGTGGAAGTCGGAGTTTCTTGTCTAAACATCAACTACAATTAGTTCAATTCACTAGAAAACACTGTACTCCATGCTTACCTCGATGGTTTATGCTATACAAGAAATTGGCGAGCACATTTGCCTCGTCAATCTCATGTTGGTGAAAATGGTTTGCGACTGCATCCACCAATGCATCACGCTCAGTTTGCACTGGATGGTTTATATCGTTTATATTTACCAGTTTAGCAGATTTACTAGGTCTTCCGCGCGGTCGTTTGGCATGTAAAACTGGGATGGGTGTTGATGCGCTGCGAATGTGTGAGTGGGCACTAATGGGACTTGCTCGAAGGGATGATGCTGCCTGGAGCAGATTAGAATCAAAATCAAATATCTTTCCGTACTTTAATAGCGAATGATCGCTTAGTAGTGAAAAATCGAGACTAGGATAAGTGGGGTTTTCAGATACAGGCTTGATTAAAGTATTAGTCATGGCTATACTAGTAGTATAAATGTAGAATGGAACTGGAGCTGGAACTGGAACTGGGATAAAATACATTTTTTCAAAGGGTCAAGTGATTGGCGACACCAATTGGTGTGTATGGAGTTCGTCATGCACTCGACACATGAAAAGTTTGTGCCAAGCAAGCCATTCGTACCACACGAAATGCCATCCATACCATTCTCAATGTGCTTACTCTACATTTGCATATGCAAATCACGACTTGGATATATGATGAGATGACAAGTCAGAGGTATATGCATAACCATGGATTGAGTGCTAGTTAATACAACATTAGCAAACAAATGATCCTCCCATCGCATTAATGATGGAACATGAATGCAAGGCATTGAATTGAATTGAATAAACATGGCCTTGAACAGTAACGTATTATACATATATTCATCAGCAAGCCAATGAATTATTCCCAATCCGTCAAGATTAAACCACTTTGGTTCAAATCAGTATATCACCACACTCATAAGAGTGACATCAAGCATCCATATTTGGAGCATTATTAAATAAAAGCGTATATATACTACTACACTAGCATTCATAAAAAGGACATTGCAATTCCAAAAAAGTAGTCAACTCCATTATAAAAGAATAGCGATGGCATAAGGGTTAAAGAAACTGGTCAAGCCAAATCACCAACACTAAGATATAAAAGAATTGCTCAAGATTGCAAATACGTTATGGTTCAGTATTTTTAAATAAATTACCTCGTCTAGTGTGCCATGCAAGGAAAGTGATCCAGCAGACGAAGATTGGTTCATGGGTAGGTGGTTTGTGCCCATGTGTTTACGTTTAGAACTATATTGCTGGCCTGAAGCGGTTTGGATGGCATTTTCGGTAGTGGTGGTAGTGGATGATTGGTGCAGTCGAGTAGTGGACATTTTTTGAATAAATGATTTTCAAATCGATTGCAAATTAGAATGTATGATGAGTTGTGGAGAGATAGTTTAAACCAGTATGCGCTGCTGTTTGGTTTAAAAAGTCGAATTGGAGGAAAGATTGATGCGTCGTGTGTTCAAGGTCGAATGTCAATCTGGTGTAAGCAAATTTGGGCTATTGACAACAATGAGTGTGGATTCAAGACAAAAGGAACGAATCATTGGTACAAATCAAAATGCATCTTTGAATGGAAGCGGTTGGGTGTGGCAATCTCTTTCTGTCAGCCTAAGCACAAGGCCAAGAAAGCACAATGCATTTACTCTAGTACTAAAGCCACTCAAATGCCACCAGCTTTTAATAGATTGGTCCATCTAATCCTACATGATGCATGACATCTTACAGACTGTTATTGGATAGTAGGCACTCGTTGGTAATGCATATTCAGCAGAATTGACCTGCTAGTTTTGAATTGGCATGTATGCAACTGTTTCATGTGTCCTTTTATTTTCCAATCTATCCTTGCTTCTACACAATCATCTTTGCAGCCGGATTCACGTAAAACAGAACCCTATCTTGCAGCGACTCTGCTTTGGAGTATGCAATGGTTAGAGAACACAGTGTTGAACAGTAGATTGAGTGTGGATCATTATTCCACAAGACTGGCTGTTTATTATGTATTTTGGTATCCTTATTGTTTCATTTACATGAATACGGCTGTATATAAAATAAACAGACGCTATGGGTAATTCAGTCAAGCTGGTCTCGAGTAAAACAATACACTGGCTTTGAACCCAAGCATTTTTCGCTCAGGCGCGGGAAGCTGCTCCTCCGAGTTTATATGTAATAGTTTAATTAGCATGACAACCAAATCAGATGCCATATACAATCGCTCAGTGTTTTGTTTGCTACCATTCCAATTGTAAATTGTATTAGTGTTTAGAAACAGCTCAAGTCTGGTGAGGAAACGGACGAGTGGCAGCAGAAACAATCGACTTACTTTGACATATCAGGATGATTGTTGATTGGATCATTTCTGTGAAACGTCTTGTATAGCACCTTGATGGCTGGGCGTTGTTTCACCTTGACTCGGCCAGTTTCTCGAATACGCACCGATTGAATATGAGTGGAAAACAACCATATCTGTATCAAATCATAATACCCCACAACATATTGGAATGGGTCATGCCAAGGTCAGTAGACACTCATTGGATCACTCTCTAGCTCAAGGCAATCTCAAGTTTATCTCAACTTACATAAAGCAATGGCTTGGCCTCATTTAAACTATCCTCATCATGGATATAAAAACGATATGTGGCATGGGCATTGGCAATATCCATAATCTCTTCTATAAAACAGTCTGGAAATGAAGTATGCAATGGTCGTCTGTATAAAAGCAGTACAGGTTACACACTATTCAAGCACTAATACATGGTAATTTTCCAGATAACAAGACCTACCCAGAACCTATCATGGCATCAATTCTGTACTTGAACAGCTTGACAATCTTGACTTGCTGTAAATCTATCACGATTAAATGAGTATCCAAGCATTCAAATCTATCATGTAATCATAGGGTTGAAAATTCAAGAGCAGGATACAGAAAGTATAGTACTGTACCAGTAGAATCAAGTGCAGCGCCATCATCCATAAAACACTCTCCAACAGGATGCCTACACCTTTTGCACACTACTCGAATCCATCGTGTAGATCTAAAAATACTCTGCAAAGTATAAAACTATAGTTGGCAAAACAATCTACCAACAAAAAGCATCATGAAACAAAACAAGATAATGTGCTCTATAATTGTAGCCCTGCACTCATTGCTTGAAGTGCAGAGGTGTCTATTAAGAACGTCCACGTTGCCAATAAAAAGATCGAGTGGTGATATAGGAAGTCTGTATCAGCAAAACAAAGGTTTCCCTTTTAAACCTACGAAAGCGGTTATTGCTTTCTTTGATACTTCCAACAGGCTATTACAGCTATAAAAAATGTCTAGATGATACTGTACAGCTTACCTCGTTTCCGGTATATATAATCGCGAGGCGATCCATTTGCATGGTATCTGGATGCAGTAGAATGTACGAGTCGCCTACAAGAACAGCGTTTTTCTGTGCAAGAATGAGTCCTCCTTGCTGCCCTTGCAGTGTCGACGAATAATCTTCATGATGACAAGCCCAGCACTCCAGCATCTCATGCCAATGTTGTGATGGCAGATCTACGTGCCGTTCAAAGAGGTTATGGGCTGCAGATGGATCTGATTGAGATGTGTTGGTTAGGTTGAATTTACAGTTGTGGCATTGTATAGATTGGCTACTTGACCAATTTTGAGCAGCAGTCATGTCGGTATGAGCAGAGTCTGGAGTGATACTGGTGGTAGTTTCGATTGAGTCCATAGACTGAATAGCAAGTGACAGAGTGACATAATGGCCAGATTGATTGATATTGAGTGTGGATGGATCAACAGTTTCAGAAAAACAAAGAAACGTATCAGAAAGAGGATCGGATTCTGCACTGTTGATGGTTGTCAAGTCGATGGTGTTGGGAGTAATCAGCACACGAGTTGATTTTGAATGTGATGGAGCAAGCGTGAGTTTCAGTTGTTTAAGACTGGAAAGTAGTTGGCAATTTATCCAAGACATAGTGGTAGCCATTCAAGTATGATCTAGCAATAGTAGATGAAATGAAGAAATCGGCTTTTTTCTTTTTTTGGTTTAATCCATCAAGTTGGTGGGTCACCTTACAACCACTACAAACAGGAGCCCCATTATTGGGGAATTTGTTTCTGTATTAGTACTTGGACGATCTATTCCAGACTCTATCCTTGATACACATTGCAATGGCTGATAACCCCAACCAATTCAATCTGCAACAGTTGCAGCAACTACAGCAACAACAGATGTACTATTACAATCAACAATATCAACAGCCTTTTACTCAACAATCCTATCAACAGCCATACCATGCCGGAAATGGTGTACAGTATGGTCAGCAGCCTCACCGTAATAATGATGTTCGGCCTGGTGACTGGAACTGCTCAGAGTGTAACTCTCATAACTTTGCTTCTAGAACTGCTTGTTTCCGATGTAAGGCGGTCAAACCTGGAGGAGGTGCTTCTGGATATGGTGGAAATGAGTCAGCCACTACCCAACCCAACTATTATAACAACCAGTACCAAGACCAACACGACCAGCACCGTCATCCCCATCAACATCGCCATTCCAATATGCATCAACATAAACCCTACGACCGTCAACACCCAACAAAGGGACGCATGTTGGCTGGAGACTGGATCTGCCAAATGTGTCAAAAACACAACTTTGCATCCAGACAACAATGTTTCCAATGTGGTGCCAATGGCGCTGGTGCTGTCCGTCATGTTGATCGTCCTGGTGACTGGAAATGCTCGTCATGCACATACTTGAATTTTGCTTCACGCACTGCATGCTACAAATGTCAAGCTCAAAAACTTACCGATCTAGAATATCCTGCTGGTAGTCCATCTGCTGGTGCACCTGCAAATGGTGCTGTAACTTGGGATTCAGTTGCCACCAATTGGACAGCTCCTCCTGGAGCTACTGGCGTTTCCTCACTGCCAGCGATTGGCACTGGCGCTGCGCCAGCTCATTATGCAACCATGTTTTCCTCCAATAACGATCCTGCTGGAAGCAGTGCTGCCAATAGGCCAGAAGAGGATGCTCCTCTGGCCGCTGCAGCAGATGCTGCATGGCAAGCTTTGGCACCAGTCAAATCTGTCAGGCCAGCTACTTTTATTCAATCGACGACTACTTGTATCAATCCACCTTCATTATCTAGTAATATTTTTTCCCAACTCACTATTCCTGCTCAAGAAAGTCAAGATCTTGCTGAAGATGCTGGTGAGGATACCCAGGACCAAGAAGTCCACGATGAATATGATCCCAACGAACACGAAGCATACGATCCATCTGAGCCTGCAGGTTTATTGGCTGTATTGGACGCGCCAATTCCTGACTATGATGAAAGGGAAGAAGCAGATGAAGAGTATACTCCCGAAATACCTACACAAGATGAAGAGTATACACCTGAAATACCTACACAAGATGAAGAGCCATATGAGCCGTGATGTCTACGGCTGTTCATTACACATTTAGCTTTTGGTTGGACTCGAACATTGCTAGAGTCTCACTCCGTTTTCTTGGAGAGGTTAACCTCTTCGTACCACTTTTTTATGTTCTGCTAAAGGAAATAAACTGACTCCCAATTTAAATCCGGGAGTCTTAAAATGTATTCTCATTTGTTGTTGGAAAACAATAGTTTATTGAAAAAATTATTTTTACGGTCACCCGATGAAAAGATTCAAGTTGCAGTCTCAAGTTGAATGGGCCATGGAGATTGAAACAAGTCGGATAAAAATTGAAATAGGTTGAATCAGTGAGGTTGACAAAAGTGCATAGAGCTAGAAATGAAGTAGTTATGGTTACTAATGTTGTCCATTTGCTGAGATTACTCGTCTTGGTTGGAAGAACGCGATCTTCTCGAATGGTTATGATTTGAATGTCGAGAGTCTTGATCATTGTCCTGAGAATCATCATCATCATTATCATCGTCATCATCAGGAAGTGCGGCCTTGGAATGTTTAGGTGTGCCACTTCCACCCTGTGAATCACCATCATCTTGAAATTGTGGACGTCTAGCGGGAGGTCGTCGAGGTGGATCATCCCATTGAGGTGGAATAGGCCATTGAGACTGTTCAGGTGGACCGCCCCATTGAGGTGGAGCAGGCCATCCAGGCGGAGCAGGCTGTCTAGGCGGATTATTCCATTCAGATGGACCAGGCCATTCAGGCCGTCTAGGCGGTTCATCCCATTGAGGTCGTCTAGGCGGTTCATCCCATTGAGGCCGTCTAGGCGGATTATCCCACTCAGGCCGTCTAACTCGAGGGGGAGGTGTGGGTCTATGTTGATCACCATCATCATGAAGACTAACAGGTCCAGAGACGTCAGCTTGTGCTCCACCATTATGCGGATCTTGATTATCCTGTCCAACATCACTTGGGGGAGGTGATGAGATTGGAGGGCCGGAAGATTCTCCAGTGGAACCAGCTGGAGGTGGGGTTTGTCCATTGGGATCCCAAACAGGCTTATCATCTACCGGTGCTTGTCGCTTTTCCAAACTATTGCCTATGATCCCATCGCTTTCAGGAATCAAGCTGGAATTACCTGTAAGAGGGAGAGAAACTACGTTGAGAGCAGTAGCTATCATTGTAATCAAAACGGTACTCACAACCGAGAAAATCATGATTTAATATTATGAATATTAAGCTTTTTGAAGTTGTGATTGAAGGGTGTGCAACTTGAAAAGAAATAAGTGTTTAATCAGATTCTTTGAGTAATAGGATAGGAAGTCAAGGGCTGTAGTGAATGAACTAATAATGTAGGACGCATCGTGAGTTTATAACCTTTTACTTTCTGTGTTAAGCAGCACCAAAAAATGTAATATAGTTGCAGAATAGCACAGGAATCATCATGTGTGTGGTTGTGATAAGTCGTAGAAACACCAAACTGCTATATATTGGTGCGTAGATACTTGTGCGTAGGAACACCGTGTGGCGTGACTATAAGCAACCACTCAAAGGCTAGTCTCAATCCTGCGCATTAAGAGCATCTGCTTGGTATGCGCTATAGATACCTTGAATTTCGTTGATACTATACTATTTAACCGCATGCAAGATATGAAAATAAATCTTGCCGAGAGTGGTTGGTAGAATAGCTAAAATATAGATACCAAGTTTTGATTAAAACAATACATTATGGATATCAAAAATGAATATTTGTACAAATAAAATAAACTTTTTTCAAGAGCGGTCACTGGTCTAAGGGTTATGATTCTCGCTTAGGGTGCGAGGGGTTCCCGGTTCGAGTCCGGGGTGACCCCACTCTTTTGTCAATTTTTGAACTGACAGTTGCAAGGCTGTAAAGCTGTACATAGCAACGTGTTTGGTTGACTATGTTTATATAGCAGTCGACCGTTTTTAATATCTGAGCAAAACTGCGGTCGTATTCATGTCAACCACAACACCCCAGCGCAGTTGACTGACGATTGTCATGGAAACAACAGTTGTATTTTGGAGACGTGCAATTTCAAAACATTCAACGCAACATCAGAGTAATTGAATCTGGTTTCAAGCTTGGACTGTACAATGTACGGCCATACCAAGAAAGGACACAAAAAATAATCTCAGCCCAAACTACAGTTTGATGTGCATCATATGATGAACGTTGTGTCAGAGGCTGATTAAGGGAGCTCTAATGCTTTGATATTTCAGGATTTTCCGAACAATGATATTAGGGCATTTTTTAATGCCCATTTGATTCTAGACAGTATACCATTCTACAAGACTAGAGATTCAGTATGGTTTAGCGACTGACCAACCAACAGTAATGTCGCGAGATATAGTTTTATACTGCTCATAAACAGCACAGCTACTTTGATAAGGATGAAATGTACGGCGTGCCATTCCACAAACTGAGGAAGAATTGAGTGCCAACTCGAGAGGCAGTGCAGTTACTTTTAGTAGGAAGGCATAACGAATGTTTAGCCATTGTATAGTCGAAAGCAAAATAAAGTCACCGTAAGATAAATACAAGTGTTTCATTTACGTGAATACAGCTGCAAACAGACCATTCAAGTTAGAGAGCGACCCGCAGGCTGATCTACATATCGTATCTGTTCAACCCCTTATTCAGGTTGCTTGCATCCCTCATTCCTATCGAGCATTTGCCAGACTTTCGAGTCATTTAAATATTGCTCCGTCGTCAACAATTCTACATTGAGCCATGGCTGTCTTTGCTGCCCAGCGTATCCTGCTGCGTCCTATTGTTGCCTGCTCGCTGCGACACTCTCTAGAAACCATTGTGCTCTGCTTCCTGCTTGCTTCTGTCTGCTACTTCTCTCTAGTGCATTTGGGTTCACCATCTGCAGCAAAGACTACAGACATCCATTTCAACCTGCTTGCTACCACTCTCCAGTTAAACAAACCTTCTGTTAGCGATGATTCTGCCAATCCATTCAGTCCTCTTCCTTCTCCCAGTCACCACACCTCTGTCCTTTACAGCTCCAAAATTAGAGTGACTGTTTACAATGGCAGCATCACTGATGGTGTGGATGCCACCTCCATTGCTGGGAAATTCATTGATGGCAAAGGGGATCTGGATGCATCCATCAGCTCGTCTGCTGATTCGCTTCTGCTCAAACAGGTGGTTATCTCGGAGCCTAAACCTCACCAGCATCCAGCGTCTGCTTCTCCGCCCATCCCTGCCGGTGTGCTAACACAAACCGTCCTAGCTACTGCTTTACATTTCCAGCAGGCTGTTGCCAATCTAGTAGTGCATGATTCGCTTGGAAATGTCTTTACTCTTTCAGATCTGTGTCAAAAGGTAGCCTCGGATAGTCAGCAGGATTGTGTTGTGCATTCTCCACTCTCTCTCTGGGACAATAAGGAGTCGGTGCTGATGGCTGATCCTAATATCATGGATACCATTTCCCGTGCTGCAATAAAAGAGCATCCTGACTGTGCCCATCCAGAGAATGCTGATCTGGTCGATGCTGGCTTTATTGGTCTTCGCACCGTCCTTACCGATAAGACTAACCCTCGTGTCGTTGGTGCATCTGCCATTGTTCTCTCCTATATGCTGAATGTGTCCACTTCTGCCCAAGCTAGACTGGCTAATGTCTGGGAGCAGCGTCTTGCCTCGCTGCATGTCAACAATATGTATCCTCATGACTACTCGCTGCAGTTTAAGTCTGTGCTGCCCGATGGCACACTTGCTTTGAATTTTTCTGAAACTGTCTCTCAAATGGTCCAGTATGTTGAGGTGAGTTGATTTTGCATTTTTTGTTTTCAACAAAATGGATTTGTCATCTAAATTGATGTTTTAGGTTTCCAACCAAAGCGATTTGCTTGTGGTTACCATCAGCTTCTTGTTGATGCACGGCACATTTATTATGCTGTTTACCAATATGCGTCGTATTGGTTCCAAGTTTACTCTAGGTAATTTTATCGTATCTATTTGCGTTCACGTTGGAATGGCTTTATACTGTTTGTAGTCTTGTTTTAGTCGATCGTCTAATTTGAATGTGCTGTGATGATTGGCTCTATCTAGGCTTTGCTGTTCTCTTGAATAGCACATTTGCGCTACTTGCTGGTCTTTTGCTTACCAAAGTATCCGGAATTTCACTAAACGTATTCCAGCTGTTTGAAGCCATTCCATTTTTTGTTGTCAGTGTCGGATTCGAGAAACCCTATGTGCTCAGTCGTGCTGTTGTCAAGGCAGCAAACACTGAATCTGACGAACCTTTTAGAGACAAGATCTGGACTGGAGTGTCATCTGTTGCTGGATCGCTGATTGCAGATTATCTGATTGAAATTACCATTCTTGTTCTAGGTGGCATTTCTGGCATTCGAGGAGTCATTGGCGAGTTTTGCTTTTTTGCCGCGTACATCCTCATCTTTGACTGTGTATTCTTGTTCACCTTTTATGTGTCGGTGTTGGCGCTAAAGCTCGATCTCAAGCGTGTCTATATGCGGGACCATCCTGTTGACAGCATAAAGGAGGGCATTTTACATCCTGGATCTGGAGAAATGGTCATTGGCGGATCTTCATCAATTCATTCGGATAAGCTTAACAAGGACAGTTTAATTTCTCGAGCCAAACTTATCATGATTCTCGGTTTCCTTGCTACCCATGCCTTGAATGCTACTGGCACCTTTGATGACATGACATCTTTTATGCCCAAGGTGCTTGATTCTCCAATGCCTGGTGCAGCTCCAATCATTCGAATGATCTCTTCACAACCCAACTCCAACTCTCCTGTCAACATCTACATTTCCGATCCACATGTCATGCATCCCCTTCGGTACGAATTGGATGATATAGAAACCATTGCCGGAGGTACTCAAAACAGTCTGATTAGTCCTGTATCTCTTTTGATTCTTTGGATCTTTTCAATGGTTGTTGTTGTTGGATTTATCTCGTATCGATGGCAACGTCCTCTTTCTCTTGACAGTGCTTCTGTTACGGAAGAAGATGTCATTGAGCAAACACTTGTCGAGGATAGTATTGCGTCTGATTCTGGTATCGATGCAAAGGCTCTTGTCACTAGCGCAACCCCCTTTTCCGAAACTGCATTGACTTGTTTAAAGGCTGATTCTCGTACAGATTCAAAGCTAGAAATGGCCAAAGCAACCGTTTTGGAAAATCCAGTTTCAATTTCTACCGAGTTGCAATCCCAAGTCCAAGATTCTCTTACCAAGATCCTGTCTGGAAATGCTGAACAGGTCTCTGACCAAGACATTCTTGATCTTGTGGATGCTGGCAAGATTCCTGCTTATGCACTTGAAAAAAAGCTTGGCGACTTTACTCGTGCTGTACGTATTCGCCGCTCGCTTATTTCTCGTACTGCCAAATCCGATCTTTCTGCATCTTTATTACCTGTTGACCATTACGATTATTCCAAGGTTTTGGGTGTGTGCTGTGAAAATGTGATTGGCTACTTGCCACTGCCTGTCGGTGTTGCTGGGCCCTTGACCATTGATTCCGAAGTGTACCAGATTCCGATGGCCACCACTGAAGGTTGCTTGGTTGCTTCAACATCGCGTGGATGCAAGGCGATTTCTCTTGGTGGAGGTGCAACCACGGTTCTTACTGGTGATGGTATGGCTCGTGGTCCAGTCGTATCATTTCCATCTGCAAAGCGTGCGGGAGAACTCAAGGCATGGCTAGACGACGAAGGATTTGCGATTATCAAGGCTGCTTTCGAGTCAACCAGCAGGTTTGCAAAACTCCAGTCCCTCAAAGTACGTTTAGCAGGCAGACTGATGTTTGCTCGTTTTGTGACACGAACAGGCGATGCTATGGGTATGAACATGATCTCCAAAGGTGTTGAAAAATCATTGGCAGAAATGCAGTCTCGGTATCCCGATATGCAGGTTATTGCAATCTCTGGTAACTACTGCACAGACAAGAAACCTGCTGCTCTTAACTGGATTGAAGGTCGTGGCAAGTCTGTTGTTGCCGAAGCTATGATTCCAGGAAAGATTGTCACGGATGTGCTAAAGACGACAGTTGCTGCACTAGTTGAGCTTAATATCTGCAAGAATTTAATTGGATCTGCTATGGCTGGATCTGTAGGTGGATTTAATGCCCACGCAGCCAATATTTTGACGGCAGTGTTTCTTGCTACAGGACAAGATCCAGCACAGAATGTCGAGTCATCCAATTGTATCACTTTAATGGAAAGTTGCAATGACGGTCAAGATCTTTACATTTCATGCTCAATGCCATGTATTGAGGTGGGAACTGTTGGTGGAGGCACTGCTCTTGCTCCCCAAGCAGCGTGTTTGGACATGCTAGGCGTGCGTGGCCCTCATCTTGAGCGTCCCGGAGAGAATGCTCAGCGTCTTGCAAGAATAATTTGTGCTGCTGTAATGGCTGGTGAACTCTCGCTCTGCGCTGCACTTGCTGCTGGTCATTTGGTCAGATCTCACATGATCCATAACCGCGGTGGTGCTCATACTACTACGGTGCCAACTCCTTCTGCCTCTGAGCCTATTGTTGGCTCTTGCATCAAGTCGTAACGACACTATTATTATTTTTGACTCATATAATCTTGTCCAGCTTTTTATTTTCACAAATACTATGTTTAGATCCCATATCATCCAGCCTTTTAAAAATATCACGACTTTGCACTTTTATTCAGAATACTGGCATTTGCTTTGGCTGACTGGGTTATATTTTTGATCCAGCAGCCAGTCTTTTGAATGCCAATTCTTTAATATGGCTTTTTCCAGACTTTTTCCTCGACCTTTAGGTGTTTTATTTCGATGACAATCTTGCCTTTAAAGGACAAGATTGTGTTTCTGATTAGATTTGTGATTTTTGGTAGATGAAATGAAACCATCAAGATTTCCACAAGTTTATTTGTCATCATTTTATATGAATCGGATTGTATTGCCATGAACAGAATCTAAAAAGTAGTCCGAGTGGTTGATACTTTTATTGCGTCAGTTTATCCAGTTGGTTCTGCAGTGATTGCTGCTCTGCACGCAGTATGTCCAAACTATTCGCATCATCAGCCTCCATAGCATGGTGCTCAAACTGGAGTCGTAGGTTTTCTAATGCGATAAAAGCAATGGATGAAAAAAGCATAAAGCTAGACAATGGACGACCAAACCGCTGAGTCCATGTGAGTTTCTTTTGTAGTTGATCTACCACCATCGAAATACATATATTTATGAATGAGGTTTAGCTATCCATGATTTGGAATTGGGTAGGTCAAGGAAATGTATTTTACCTGGTTGAAGAGTGGATGTGTTTCTTGATGATAAAGCAGTTCGTTGCGATGAAGTGGACATCAGTGTTGATTGCAAAAACTGCAGCTTTCCCAGGAATCTTGCATGCATTATCATGTCGAATGCAGTAATCTAAAACTTGGTCAACAGTGGAAAGAAGTTGGAATTCGATAAAAACTCTTTCCAAACACATTCAACTGTTTAAAAACCGATTGTCCATCTATTTCGGTTGATCCAGTTTATCGATATGATCAATCCACTCTTTCAAGCCAAACCAAGACTGTTGAATGCACTCGGTTTGGTTCAGTACAGATTACCCCATGCACCGACCCATTGCATATTCACTACATCTACAATACTTCCAACCAACCATTTTTACCGACCACTCATCACTCCATCGCAGACTGCCCTTTCCCAGTCAAAAAACATTCTTTTGGCTCTCTACACTCTTCGCCAACCCATTATCGAGATTACTTTATGGCTAACGGTCATCTCTATGGCATGGGGACTCCGACAAACCAAAAAGGATATGATTAATACGACGGAAAAGTTTGATGCCTGTAAAAAGTCGCTTGTTCAAGAGAATCATGAACTTCGAAATAGAATTGAATTGATTACTAGCGGCGACAAAACTTCACTTGGTGGATCATCTAATCAGTTTACCGAGTTGGATGATGAAGGCTTGAGCAAACCTAAATTTGGGTTGTATTAGACTGAGCAATTCCAATAAATTATCTGTCGAGTTGTCATCTGGTTTAGTTGAAACTAGTTTGTATTATACGATGAACGCTGTCTATTCAAGCCAGTTTCTAGCAGGAAAACAAAACGAATATTCAACGATTGTCTGTTCTGAAGCAAGAATACAAATGTGAACAGACTTTAAATGTGGCCATTATCGCTGGAAATTCAAACTCTACTTTCCTCAAACAAAAATGGCCTCGTTTATCACAGCCATCTTGGATTGGCTACGAAGCCTATTCTTTAAACAAGGTTAGTGGATACATCCTTGCAGTCAATATAACTTGGTGTTTGTCTGTCCTGTGGTCGACAGCACCACTTGTGCTTTTCGAAGTTGGCCGAGCGAACAAGCTGTAAAGAGTCTAGTCAAACTGTAACTATATGGACAGGCCAGGTTCCATCCTTTGTTCTTGTGGAAAGAATACCAGTGCGACCCAATGCTCAATATACAGTACACAGTTCAAACAAGAATAAAAGGACCGACTTGCTTCAAGAGTCATTGACGATTCTTGATAGTCCGGAATTGAACAGATTGCTATAGCTTGCTGGCTAGCCAGAGCAACTTCATTTACCATGGCTTTAACTCACCCTTGTTTCTTTGGTTGGTTTAGAAATGGAGCTGACCCTTGTGGGATTACAGAATTCTGGGAAAACCACCCTTGTTAGCGTCATTGCCGTAAGTGATCGTGGGCTGCACATGAACACTATAGTGCACCTGTATTAATGTTTTGCTGTATTCTGTAGAATGGCCAATTTACAGAGGATATGATTCCCACAGTAGGATTCAATATGCGGTCAGTCATGCATTCATGTACTGGTTTATATTTGATGGTAGCTAATTATGCTTTATTTCTGGCGAGTATAGTAAAGTAACAAAAGGATCTGTAGTAATGAAATTATGGGATTTGGGCGGTCAAGCTCGGTAAGAGGATTGTATATGTATGTACACAGCTCGCAGACTAACGAATTGTAATGCAATTGGATAATAGCTTCCGTAGCATGTGGGAAAGATATTGTAGAGGTGAATTAAATTGTCAGATTGGTGGTTTAGTCTAGTAATCTAACTGAGTCGTTCAACTTTATTCAGGAGTCAATGCCATAGTTTATGTGGTTGATTCAGCTGATCATGCCAAAATTTCATCTGCCAAAACCGAACTTCACAGTCTTCTTGAACGTCCTTTGCTTTCCGGAATTCCTGTACTCGTTCTCGGAAACAAAAATGATTTGCCAGATGCACTTTCTGTTGAGGATCTCATTGAGCAACTTGGCCTCAAAAGCATCACAAACCGACAGGTTTCGTGCTACTCCATTTCTGCAAAAAACTCGACAAACATCGACATCACTATCCAGTGGTTGATGAAACACGCTACCTCGAAATAAGGTTTTGCAATACCATCTTGATGACTGTCTCGATCTCGTGCAATAGCCCATCTCACTTTTGGTTTGAACCTAATCGACTGGTAGCTCGATCTCTCCAGCTATTATCTTTGACTTTTTTACTGCAACCCCAAGCCTTTTGATAGTGATTTGAAAATTCCAATATAAATTGAAACCAAGAAATGGTTAAACTTGTGGAACTTTTATCTTTTAACCAATAACACATGGATCAAGTACTGATAACTAGTGCATGCTGGTATTGTAGATTTGGGTTTAGATTGTGATTCAAACTGGCAAAATTTCAGCATTGACAAAACTAAAAGTGTACGACCAGGACGGGACTCGAACCCGCAACCTCTGGATTCGAAGTCCAACGCGCTATCCATTGCGCCACCCGGCCGATACTCTTGATACCAATTTTTTATCATCATATTTCTAAAATAAAAACCACAGTATTATTAGCATGTGTTGACAGAGTTTAAAATGGTTGTTCATTTACAGCTATATTTGGATTTCTTGCCTAAAAATAAACAATATCTAAATACTCATTGTGCTCTCGTATTAGAAATTGATTTTAAACACAAAGTCTGTCATGTAATACAAAATGTAGTTTGACAACATCAGAATAGTCGAGTCCAATATGGATTGAACTGAATAAATTTGAAGATTGTTCCAGTGTGGAATTCACTGGAACAAATGGAACGTAAACACTGTTTAGTAAATTTAATGTGAATTGACACCAATCATTCCACGTGACTTGTTGCTTATCACACTTTTTTATTTTTTTATTTTTTGAATGCAATTGTAAATCCCAACTCATGGACTGCATAGTGAACTGATGTCTCATGGTATGTAATTGTATTAATATATAGTCTGTATTTTATATTGCTGTATTTGCTCAATGATGAGAACTTGCAAACTACCCTGAATCTCCTGTGTAGACCATTCTGCAATATACACCAAGATCGTTGAGAGCATTTTGATATCTGCAATATAGAATACATGTGTTTGGATGTTGTTATGTTTTGTTTCTATACTGATAACCCATTCATTTTATCTTCTACTTTTTTACTGATCCGAACGCTAATAGCTGGTTGTGCAGAGTAACATGCTGTACAAGTAGCTGATAAATACCATACCTGTAAGTTATTCTTGTATTGATTCCAGTTGTATTCCAATATAAAACACTGTATCATCTTTCCACTTGATGACAATCTTTGTGAGTGAGCTCTGTGATGACCATCTTAAACTACAATTCCCTGATGGTTAGATGTACAAAACTTTTGCAATGCAGATGGAGTCTAATGATGTTTAATACTAACATTTAATCTTTTCAATAAACCTATTGATGCAGTGCACCATTGGTTTTGTGTATGATCCTACATTCAAGACCTATGATGCGATCTTGGTGTTTTGATATCATTGTTCCTATGATGGTTGTAATTTGCGTCTTATCGGTTTTGTGGGGGAGCAATCGCCTTGCACCCAATAACTACGAAACCAGAATTGATGTCACTTTTTGTGCTGAGGAACTTGATACCAATCAATAGATCCAATTCATTTTATTTTGCATGTGTTGATTGGCAGTCATGCCAATTAACCCGAGTGTACAGTGAACCCAATAAAATTAAGATATCAACTACAAAATGTTATCCAGTTTCATATTATTTGCCTTGCTTTAGCTCTTCCAATTGAGTAGCCATTTGTTGGTACTTGCGCTGCAATCCATGCTTTTCCTCCTCCAAATCTTCAATTTGGTCCGCCATTCGACTTTTCTCTGTTAGCAGGGCAGCCACTTTACCATATGCGTTTTTGACTTCCACGTTCAGTTCTTCAATTGTAGCAGTAAAGTCATCTGCCTGCTGCTGTGAAGCCTTGAGAATCGCGGCAGTAGCTTGTTGAGCTGTCGGATCTAATGTTTGTCTTCGCTGAGCATCAGCCTGTGCAAGTCGTTCACCTAATTTGCTAATCTTGGTCAAGTATTGAGTGTTGTCATTCTCCAACTCTTCAATACGCATTTGCGCTTGAGAAACCATGGCTTGGAGTTTTTTGATATCTTCCTCAGAATCAGCTATGCTAGATTGCAACGCTGCAATCTTTTCATAACTTTTTGCCAATTCAGCATGCAAGGTCTCCACTTCGCTTTCTTTACCGTCCTTTGGCCCGTGTGCATTCACCGCACTCCGCAATGACAAAATCTCAATCTCATACGTCTCGATCATTTTTACATTATCTCCGTTAATCGACGACTGCATGTCCAGATCTTGCTTGAGCGTTACAATTGCATTTTCCTTGTCTGTCAACTCGCTATTGATGAGATCAAGTTGTTGACGCACTTGTTGTAACTCTGCTTGAATAGCTTCGTCAGGGTTGGCCGCATTCATGTTCTGCTGTAGTTGAGAAAGTAGTTCCTCTTCCTTGGTTTGTATTTGTTGAAGCGATTGTTCAAGAAGTTCAATGGTGTTGTCTCTGTCTTCTAGTTCTGCCTTGAGATCGTCAACCAGCTGGGTTAGATTGGGATCAGTTGGCAATGCAACAGAGCGTGTAGTGGTTTCCTGAGCTGCCTTTTCATCGTGAACCGTGGCAAGCTTGGTTTCCAACTCTTGAACTCGAGTAGCATATGCTGCAGCTCCCGCTTCCACCTCTGCTTTGGCCAATGCTAAATCCTCCAGCTGCTTCGAGGCATGGGATATGTGCTGATCCTTGGTATCTAACTGGCTTTTAAGCTCATCAATGGTTGAAAGATGAAGTGCAACAGCAGGATCAGGTTCAGGGGTTTCTACTGCAACAGGCAGTATAGCACGCTCCTTATGCGCAGCATTGAGAGCCTCAACTTGAGTATCGCGTTCTTGAATCTGACTAGTCAAATGCTTTAAAGAAGTCTCATGCTCCAAAATGGATTGATTCAATACTGTAATCTGCTCATCCCGGTCCTTGAGTTGACTCGTCAAATCAGACAAGGTCATTTTGTGTTCTGCAATATCTTGCTGGAATACTGTAATCTGCTCATCCCGACTTTTAATCTGACCATGCAGCTCATCCAGCTCGCCAACAGACTTGGTATTCTCTTCAAGTTGACCAGTAAGGTGACGAATATGCTGCTCACGCGCATTGGCATCCATCATTATAGACTTTATATGACTAGCATGTTCCTGGTTCTCATTCTCCAATGCATCACGTTCAGTTTGAGCTTGAGCTAATTTGGCTTTAAGCGCATCAATATCTGCAAAGGCTGTGTGATTAGCAGCAGTAACTTCGGCAAGATCTCCACTAAGCTCACGGATACGCTTCTCAAGCTGAGTAATACGACTGGTGAGTTCAGAAATTTGACGCTCCTTTTCAGCAATTTCTGTGGATGAAACAGTATTACCGGCGTCCAACGTAGACGTTTTGGCAGAACTTGAAGCATCGTCAAGGCTTCGGGAAACGTTAGTAGAAGCAGCTTCAGCTTTTTGTTGCAATGCAGTAATTTGTGAACGAAGCTGCTCGACAGAATTTATTTCGCTCTGCAATTTGGTTTCAAGTTCAGTAATATACACCTGTCCTTGATCAAGGCTCTGTTGAAGAGACTCGCTATGTTTGGTATGAGTGGCAACCTTTTCAGAAAGTATCTCTGATTGTCGGGTAGCTTCAAGATGCTGTCCCTTAATATGGGCATATTCAGAGTCATGGGCTCGAGTCACCTCGTCAAGCTGTTGCTGAAGCTGAGCAAGTTCAGTCTCGCGTACTTTGAGGTTTGCAAGCGACTGGTCTAGCTGTGCTTCAGATTCTTGAAGCATCGATTCAATTTCGGAAAACTGGGCATCCTTTGTGGAAAGCTGTTCAATATACGAAATGGAAGTCATTCGATTTTCATCCAATTGCGATTGAAGACTGTCAATCTCATTTCGCAAAGTCTCAATCTCTGCTTTCAAACTGTCAGATTCAGAAACATGGTCATCAGTGGTGTTTTCAGATGTCTTTGCACCACGTTCAACATTTGCCATTTCGGAATTAAGACGATCCAACTCAATCGATGCCAAATCAAGTTTTTCTTCCAGCTTAAGCACAAGTTGAGATTTTTGAAACAGCTCTTCTTCAAGTGTATCCAAGCGTTCAAGATTTTGATCATTGAGATCCTCAAGTCGAAAGACATCTTCCTTCCATCGGAGAGCATCTTGCTCATTCCATTTTTTGGCATCTGCGATATGCTTTTCAAGCTCATCAATACGAAATTGTGCCTTGGTCATCTCTACTGCATGTTGCTTGGATAGTTTGGTGTTTTCAGTTTTGCTTTCAACTGGCAGAGTCGACACTTGAGTATTAGCATCTGTCGAGTCAGTAGGAACTAGATTTCTCTCTACAGAAGCATCAGTTGTAGCAGATGGGACTGCCATACTCTTTTGCGTGACAGTGAGAGTTTCAACAGAATGTTCCAACTCGAGCATTTTCTTTTCAGCTACTTCCAAAGCTGACTTTGATAATGACAATTCCTTTTCTAAATCCTTGATATTGGCTTTAAGTTGAGTAGTTTCCTCAGTAGTGTCTTTTTCATCTGCAGAATTAGGATTTTTGCTTCGTTCCTTGTACAGCTGGAAACGCTCACATGCTTCCTCATGGTTCCATTGTAGCTCTTGATGATTAATCTGCAGCATTTGATGAGCCTCGGTAAGATTAGAAAGTGCTTCATTGGCGGATATGAGCTCCTGTTGTAGTTTAGCATTGGATGAAACCAGTGATGCATTTTCCATTTGAAGATCACCAACTTTAATGTGGAATTCTTTGCTATCTCGGTTGAGTTTACGTTCGCTAGCCATAATGAGGGCATGAGGTGAAGAAGATGCAGGATTGCCATTGCGACTGGAAGTGGGTAAAGATCGTTCAGATGGGGTAAGCGTGGTGCCCATAGATGTGTCTGCTTCCGTGTCAGCATCGCTATCTGCATCGCCCGCATTATCAGGAGACGACTTGGTCCGACTCGGCTCATTATCAGTAGATTTGGAAATAACAGCATTTTCTAGCTGCTCCTTGGTACGAGTCAGTTCAATCTCGATTGTTTTTGCCTTGGCAACGGCAGCAGTCAAAGTCGTTTGCAACTGTGTGTTAGTTTTCTTGAGCGATATCAGCTCAGCCTGTGACGATCCATTCTTTTGAAGCAGTGTTTTTGTTTCCTTGTCCAGCTGATCGATTCGTTCTTCATATGATTGAATCTGACGAGATTTCTCGTTGAGCTGATCTTGTAAAGTCGTTGTTTCTTGTTCCAATGCATCTACCGTAACATAAGCATCCTGCATAGTTTGTTCAAAGTCGCTGATTCTATTCTGAGCAGCGGTTAAAGATACCTGTAGATTTCCAATTTGAGCCTCCTTTGCATCGAGTGATTTCTCTTGTTCCATCACTCGAGGCATTAGATCGGCATGCTGACTCTGAGTTTTTCGCGTATCTTCCAACCGTTTGCGTAAAATGGCTTCGCTCTCTTTTGATTTTTCAAGTTGTATTCGGACTTGAGCCAGCTCTTGCATAGTCGTTTTCTGACATGCCTCGGCAAGAATTCGACCTTCCTGATTGTGCTTGGAAGCTTTGGCCCATTGTCTGACTTTTGCTTGAACCTTTGTCAAATCGCTGGATGTTTCGCGTAGACTGTTTTCAAGTTCAGCGACTCGACGAGATTCCATTTCGGACGTGGATCCACCTGGAGTTTTGCGACGAGCGTCAACAAGTGATCTTAGATATGCTGCCTCATCCTCTGTCAACGTGTGCTTTTTTCCAAGATCCATTAATGTAGTTTCTTGCTATCAATAAAAAAGACAAAACATGATGAGCCATCTAATAAAACGTAGCATTTACTCCAAAAACCACACACTCACCCATGCGATGGCGTCCTTTGCTTTCTTCAATTCAGCACGAAAGTGCATCAAGGACTGGATTAGCTTCATCTTGAACGGATCCATCTGTGTTTTGTCATTATGTTTCAGCACGGCATCAAACACCTGACTATGGTCTATACCCAGACCTTCTGTTGCTCCTGAAGATTTCAAAACAACAACCTCTGATGCTAGCCAGTTTTGTTTGACCTTTAAATCGTGCAGCAGTCTATCCTTTGCATTCAACTCGGTAGTCAAGCGACGCGCTTCTGCAAGTAAATCATTCTGGGATAAAGCCGACAGATTTGACATGGTTGTTGTGGATTCGACAGTAATGGAATATTTTGAATTAGGTTGATCAGCAAATGACTCTGAAAGAAGTGGAGAGGATATGGATGGACTGCTTGGATAGTGGGACTGGCTTCGAGATGCAGCGTTGGGGGGTGTAGCAGGTCGCTGAGAAGACCCACTTCCTCGAATTTGAGAGCTAGTTGATGGTGGAGATGGTAGTGGGATGACTGGAGTGGGTCTTATTTGACGATATCCAGACGGCATTTGGTTAAGGTCTGAAGTATTTGATAAAGGTAAAAGTGACGGATTGGTATTTCCACCTTGAGATCTGCTGTTATTTCCATTTGAATAATCCATTGGTCGCAACTGTTTGGGTGATCCCAACGGAGCTGATAAAACAATGCATTCAAGAAATTTCAGATTAGTACAGCACATTGTTAATAATCGATCATTGCAAGCCATGGGTCGTTGTAGCGATGCTACCAATCAACGAATAGTGCATTCAATGAGTGTATACCCTCCATGATAAATAGCAGTGGTTCAAGGAGTTAATTATTAATACCAAACCATGGAGGATCTAGTCCAAAATGGTATGTGAATTGCGGCTTGATTTAGCCACATAATCATTGAGCCGTTGCAAATTAGAATTGGTTTATAAACAGGAATGGACTGGAAGCAGGATGAATACAACTCATGCACATTTAATAGAACAGTAAGACTCCAAAGCAGACACATTCGCTTACAGGACGACTTGTCATTTGTAGGACGTCGATAGGGCATTTGCTGGAGCAAAGGAGGCGTGGATTGTTGTTTTTGCTGCTGTTCACCAATACTCTTTAGTCCTGACATGGTAGCAGGACTGAATGTTAGACTAGACTTTCTAGGCTGAATGCGGTCACCGTTGATTTGATTAGAGTTGATGTTGAATGGTTCAGAAGGGTACTGTGGGCGGTCGGAAGTATGCTGCTGCTTATCTCCCATAATACAGCAGCAGTGTCAGAAGCAGCTTGTACGAATGAATTCAACACTATCGACTCTTGTAAGAAAATAGTCGATATTCACCACAATTGTAGTTTACCAGAAAGTATGAATGTTTCTGTTCGTATTCACGTAAAATGAAACACCAAATAAACTGCGATGCTCATGAAACGATAATTTCAAATTCATTGAATTGGTTTTGAATCTTTGTTAAACTAGTTTCTAGTATTTGTTGAGCATCTTTTGATTTTATATATTTCTGTAAATCATTCAATTCTTCTCGATCCTTGTCTTTCAGCTTTGAGAGTTGATCGGAACCGTTTGTCTTTCAGACGTTGTTCAGTCGCAGCTGCTTTGCTACACACCAATCAAGTATACATGGGTTTATATACAGTTTTATAGCATTCGACTGGTAACCCCAATAATACTTTTGGACTTACAAATGATCAACGCGACGAAGAGTGCTAGTAGATGGTCCATCAGATACTTGCGAGGCAGCAGCAATCAGATCGTATATCTTGTCAATGCAATCATTATAGTTCATATGCTGTGTTCTGAATCGATCTGATGTAACCACCAGTTCTCCCTTCTTGTTCATTCTACCTTGATTCTAAACCATTATAGAGTGTAGTGGGTCAGACATGTATTATGACAAGAATCATTGCGTCCAATCAACTCACTTGCTCAAGAATTCGCTGAACTACAGGTTGTGGTACCCATTCCATATCATACACTGTAAATCGAATATCTACTTTTGTATTCACTATATTGAATCATGCGTTACTAGCACGTTCAAATATCAAGACAACTGTTCCTGTCATCATGTGTTACTGATAATCAACTCATGTTTAAATTGCACCTTTGTTAACATTTTGGCCTCCAGGACCACTACTGCGTGAATACTGAACAGAAAGCTTATCTATATAGAATGGTGCTTTTGAGTAATACATTCCAGAATCTATACAACGCATTCAATCAGTTATACTGTACTTTCAGGGATAGAATCTCGGGTGAATCTTTGAATAAACGCCTTGCAAACATCACTGTCATCCTGGTGAGCCGTTGCAGCAAGAGCAGTTTTCCTGAATGTGCGCACCAGTGATGGTGTAGCAGAGACTATATGTCTGTGAATACCTTGCAGTAATGCAGACATGAAAAGGGAATAGTTATACCCTAGAAAACTATTCAAAAAACTGTTCAAAAAACTATCCAAAAAACTGTTTGACTTGAGCAGCACAATCTGCCATTTCAGCCATGTCGGACTTTGAAGACGACTTTATGGTCGAGGATGAAGACGAAGACTTTGGGTTCGAGTACGAGGATGATGATAATGAAGAGCCTGACATTGATCTAGAGAACAAGTACTATAATGCCAAGGGTGTGTTTTACATTGCTCATTGTATTGAATCTGCTGCTATCATTCAAGATGCTGTAAAGTCTGCTAGACTATACATGCAAATAAGCCTGCTATTTGCTGCAATGTTTAAACTCTGCATTCCAAATACTAGTTCATAACGTCAGGGTTGAAGTCATGCATTGATCCATGCTCAGTCTCCTGCTATTGATTCTAGCTATGACTTGAATCCTCATTCTACAACTCTTGTATTATCCAATGGCAACCACCATTCTCATGTACGTAGTTTAAGCTCTCAGGACACTCATCTCCACTTGTTTCTTCCTTGATAATTTCATAATCAATTGCTCAAGGCCACAAGGAAGACTCTCCTCAAGTAGCTCTCAAAGAATTTCGTTCTGTAATTGTTGCCGAGGAGGAAAAGGGTGATTGGTAAGGGCATGACTGTCAGTTGGATTCTACAATTGGACTCAATCTAACGCATTTCATTCGGTCATTACTCTCAGGGGATTCAAATCACTCAAACAGATCATCAAACTAAGCTTCAAATTGAATGATTATGCATCGGTCAGTCTTGAGATTTTAGTCGACTCTAGAGTATTTCTTTGAATGCTCACAAGCTTTACAATCAATTTCAAAATGGTTTCTTGTAATTCTATATCTAATGTTTATTCGACAATATATGATATACAACAGGTTTTGAGCCATTATACTGAGCTTCTAACATATACCAGATCTGCAGTGACTCGAAACTATAGCGAAAAAAGCATCAACAACATTCTTGACTTTGTGTCTGGATCCTCAGATATGTCGTTTTTAGAAAGCTTTTATTTTATCACGCTCAAGGATCTAGAAGATTCAAAAAATGATGCAAGTATCCCATGTGCATATATTCATAGTACATGCATGTCGATTGTATGGAAAAAACAATCTACTGTTTGAAAATATTTACCTGGTTTTTGTACACTTTAGCGGCTTTGGGTCAAGACAAATTTGAAACTGGCCAAACTATGGCTTGATCGTCAAGAATACACTCGACTGACCAAGGTATTGTGATTTTCTTGATTATACCTTCTTGGCTACTGTAGAGTTTAGCTTGACTGTCTCACCACTTTCTATATGATGTCTAAACGGTTTAGATTATTCGTCAACTGCATCTTTCATGTCAAAATGATAATGGTACGGATGATCAACGCAAGGGAACTTTGTTGCTAGAAATTTTTGCACTCGAGATTCAGATGTATACAGAAACAAAAAACAACAAAAAGCTCAAGGTAGAATCATGTTGTATATTTAAATCGACTTTGGAAAACATGCAACTCACGTTTATTTTCATGAAATTATATCTAGTATGTATATCAACAATGTCTTCATGTCAAATCAGCTATTCCACATCCTCGTATTATGGGTGCGTTGGTATACTTTTAAAATCATCGCTTTTAAATCTTTTATAATAATCTTTTTTGTTTCTAGGCATCATTCGCGAATGTGGTGGTAAAATGCATATGGGCGAAGGTAACTTGCGCCTTGATGTATGCATCCTTGATACAACATACTGATCCATGTTATTGTTGACTACAGCTGAATGGGAAAAAGCGCAAACCGACTTTTTTGAAGCATTTAAAAGCTATGATGAAGCTGGAAGTGTTCAGCGAATACAATGCCTCAAGTAAGTTGAAAGCGTGTTGGATTCAAAGAGGAGATGGGATGTGTAAAACCACATCCACGACTCACTATTTGGAAACTCTCATGTGTTAGATACCTTGTGCTCGCAAACATGCTTGCAGAGTCTCAGATCAATCCCTTTGATTCGCAAGAAACCAGTCCTTACAAAAATGACGGTCAAATTGTTGCCATGACAAATCTGGTCAATGCATACCAACGCAAGGAAATTAATGAATTTGAACGCATCTTACGGACCAACCGTGCAACTATTATGGATGATCCATTTATTCGTACTCATATCGATGGCGTACTCAAGAGCATCCGTATGCAAGTTCTTGTAAAATTGATCAAGCCTTACACAAGAATCGATATTTCATTCATTTCCAAAGTAATCAAACTGTATTGTGGTGTATGGTTTACACTGTTTTATTCAATTCTACATTTCATACTCTAACCTTGAACATGTGCAGAAACTCAACGTGCCTGATACAGAAGTAGAGGAGCTTTTAGTGAATTTGATTCTGGACAATAAGATTGCAGGAAAAATTGATCAGATTAACCAGTGTATTGAGCTTGAGCAAGAGTAAGTGCACGTTTACTTGAGATTGCCCGTTTTTTTCTACTGCTTGAGTAGTGCATGTGCAATGTTTATGAGCTTGGTAAAATGCTAATCTGACCTTGTTTAAATATGATTTTAGATCGTCAAATTTCCAGTACGATGCAATGCTGGGATGGACCAACAACATACAGACTCTTTACAAAAACGTTTTTGCTCGAATCACTCAATAAATGCGCTTTTCGGTTCATCATAGCTACACCATGTCATGTTGTTGATGAGTTGTACTCTAGTGTTTATTATGCTATACAAGTTGGTTGCAATGCAGCGACTGGACTGTACCACGCCCATGTCCCTGCAATCAGCATCCCCAAAAACTGAGACATGCAGATGGACGCAAGGCAGTAGATGTAACTGGAACGAACAGGCAATAAGGATAGTTCCATGGCAAATGTGGAAATGGTGGTCAAGCATCCACAAAAGCCGTCGGCTAGTCCGACCAGCACCGCGCACGGCACAGATCCTGACACAGATATGGTTTTTAAAATATAGATACCAATGAGGATCATGCTACCCACGACATTGACTATAGAAAAGTGAGTCTACAACGACTTGGCAATAAGAAACAGTATACAGTAATCCAATGATTTTACCTAAAAAAGTACCAATGGGAAACGTAGAGTAAAGCCCATTGTATTGAGAAAGGATATACCGAATCAATGTTCCAAAAGGAGAGAACAACAGCGTGAATGCAATGCTTGTAGTTGATACACCAGCTATGACTACGCCCACACCGGATATATATACAATCAAACACAGTACAAGCGGTATCCAGATATCGCCTAAACAAGATTCAAGGCGTGATTGCAATGAATCCAGTTTGGCTTTCGTAGCTGGCTCAAGGGCTTGTAGATTTAGAACAGGAAAAAGAGAGGCTACATGTAGCCCAGTTGCTAGTGAAATGGATGACATTCCTATTGTCAATCCAATGAGTGCTAATCCTGCAATAATCTATATTTAACGCGAGAATGAGACCGCATAACCTATATATGGAGTATTTCAACTAGGATGGTTTCATACATTGTTGATGGGTGATCGTCTTGTCAAACCAAGTCCTGAAAATTCCTGATATGTCAGCAATGTAAACGATGAAAACGTTGTGATGGAACCTAACATGACAATACAAGATAAATAGATTACATTTGCATGAATACAATGGTGAATATCGACCAGTTTTAATAGTGGTAAAACTCACCACAGAGACCAGTGGAAAGACCAACCAACAGATTTGGAAACCTGAGCATTAATAGAATGAGATGGATAAATACTTGGAATATACAATCAAAATGATATCCAAATCGCTTTACATTTACCTGCTTGCAAGTTCCTGTTTGTTGTAACTGATCCAACCCATTATTACACATCCAACAACTTGAGGATATAGAATGGGTACAACTGGTGCTTCATCATAAGTATGCATATGCAACAACCCAATTCTGATAAGCACTCCAATACAGGACCATAATATCAATTGCAATACCAGCGGAATAGTAAACGTCAAATTTAAACCTCTACAATGGGAAATGGGCTCTTGAACATGTAATGGCTCATTGACAAAAGACTGCCGTAAAATGTATGAAGATGAATCCACCATGTCATTTACACCATCTGTTACAATCGTATTATGTTGTGGTTGTAGCAAGTTGGCATCAGTAACTTGCATTGTAAGTTAATTAGGAATCTACCGTTTTATTCGTTGTAATCCAGATATCGAGTTGAATTGCTGATGCTGTCAATTAAACTAAAATCTTCCAAATGCATTAATGTTTTCAAATCAACAGTATGACGTTTAAATGTTTATTCGTTATACTAATAAGATAACTTTAGAATGCACAATCCATGTCAATCAAGTCAGCTTTTGTATAGAAATCACACTTTATTTGCTTGGTTACATGAGATGCATGGCTACGGAAAGCAGGGTAAGAGCAATAGTGATGACCATCTTATTGGCATAGTCGGACAAACAACCAGATTTCATCTTTTCTGGTGTGGGATTGATACTGATACGACTGACTATAGAATCTGTCAATAGTGGCCATCCCATAGCTTGCATAATACTCTGTATGTTGGGTCCGTATATGCCTCCATTTAATCCTACATTTCGAGTATTGGCAGCAATAATACTATCCAAAGTGTATCCAGTAAGGTTTTGCATGGCAGGGATCATGAGAAAATCAGGACCATTCCAGTATTGCTCATAATCTAGATGTGCAATAGAGGATCCTGGTTGGAATATATCTTTCTTGGTTTGCAAATAGATACGAGAGGACCCAGTTTTAGGCTTGAAGTATATGGATCGAACTCCAGCTGTGACGGCAGAAAATACTTGTCGAGCCGCATTGTATGGGCCCCCAGATACTTGAAACGCTTTAATGTAGTCAATAATGTTAATATCGGTACTGGGAAATGATGCAATGGCTCTGGCCATGTCTTTGAGGGCAGCGTTATCAGACGATCGCTGTTGAAATGTGTCAAAAATGTTGATGGGTTCCATGTTGGATACAATAGAGTTTTCAGGAGTAGTGCCATTGGCATAGACCAACGGAGCCAAGTATGAAGAGTCTTTTGTCAAGCCTTGGTATACAGAATAGTACGATGCCCAGGCAGTATCAAAGCCTAGACCATGAGTCAATTCGTGACAGACAACAAACTCGAAATCGGTTTCAGTGGGTTGAATTGGCCGATTAAAGCCCTACACATTGAAATGTTTAATTAGTAAATAGGTGGTTTCAACTGCGTGTAACAGTCAATGGTGGCACTGCTTGAACGACTACCAATGGCACCCTTTGCTGTTACATGCAGTAGGACAGATCTATAGGATGAAAACACTTACTCTAAAGTAGAAGGAATAGTCTGCATTAAACTCTGCAAGGATATCAAACTTGTTAAATTCGAGTACATGATCTCTTGGAAGCTGTTTAACCAGTGCTTGAGGATAGAATGCCCAATCGTCTGATTCACCAGTTTTTGCAGAAAAGTAGGCTGCAGCAGAAGCTTGGCCAAGTGTATTGTTTAACATGCAGCCCTGACCTGGTGGGGCAGAGTTGCAAAACGATCGATATCTTGCCTGTACATTGATAGTCTTTGTTATCTGCATGGATTTGGCAATGAGTTGTCCAGCCCGTTCAAATCCAGCTCGAGCCTGAGCACAAACATCAGGTGGAGCGTCTGTACAAATAAAGGTGAACTGAAAAGGCTGCACGGCTACTCGCTGAACTCCTAATCGTGTTATCCCATCAGTGATGGGACTTAGAGTTGATAAAAAAGATGACTTGCGTCTCGTCTGATCAAAAGGACTATCACGATCATATCGAATGATTGTGACAGTATTTTGTTCTCCTAATGTATCTTCTGATATAGGTACCGCTATCAATCCCTGTACAAGTAATTGTAGCAAAAGTATATAAACGAGCATAGTTGTTTCCAACCGTTGAAGCTATTTACGAGCAAGGCTTGATTGCTGTTTTTGAATAGAGTGAGTGAATGTGCAGTTAGGTGGTGTATAAATACCCAAATAGAACAAGTATCTAGTAGCCAGCTTAATTTGAGCTTGTGATCCTATCCAGAGTGCCAGTCTGCAAGTATGATACGGCTGTAATGTCCAACAACGATTCTTTATGGAGTTGCTGCTGCTATGTAAGTAGCAAGTTGTTGAAAGTTAATAATACAACGATGAAAATTTAAAGATGGAATAAGAAATGTATAATGTGAAATCAATCAAATAAACTTGCACGAATAACTCCAATTCTGTTTATTTGATATTCAATTCTCCACCACCACTCGACATGCACCAACTTGACAACAAATCGCAAGTATTCACTATCATAGTTCCACTACAGAAGCACTGATGAACTACGCCACTTGCGTTGTTTGCTTGAATCTGAGTATTCTGATAAGCTTCAACCACGAAGCCGCGTCGCCACCACCCAATATTTTATGAGGCGTTCGAGTCAAGTCACCAGCTGTGATTCCCAGTCTATTGCTATTGATTTTTCTCAATATGCTTTATGGCTAGTGTATAACAGTATTTGGGATTAAACTGGTTAGCTTCAATCACCTTGAAGTTGGAGATTAACCAAGTGGCATGATTGATAGTGTATAACTGCAAGAAGAATCAAGCAGTATGCCACTTTGATATATTGGGTCAACTATCAAGCCCATCAATATCATGTTTTGGTGTTCTAAACTAATCTGCAGTGAATTCGCATATGGTTTGAATACCGTATTACAAATTAAAACCAAAGTGAATGTTTAGTTGATTGTTGATACCATCACTCAAGCCTGTGATTGAATGATGGTAGAAATCAATGGTTTGAAATGCAAATCATAAATTTATCTTCACTTTGATCTTGGGTTAACAAGCATGAAGCTGACTACTGTTCAAATCCCTGCGATTGCCAAACATACTGCCACTGTGGTGTTCCTGCATGGTCTGGGAGACTCTGGCTATGGCTGGTATGCATTTTACGATCAGATTCTATGCTGCATGAGTAATAACAGATGTGTACTGTTTTGAATATGGATTAGGCAACCAGTCGGCGAGATGTTGGCACCAAGACTTCCTCATATCAAGTGGATATTTCCAAATGCACCAAACATTCCAGTGACATTGAATGGTGGTGCAGTGATGCCAGCTTGGTAAGCTGCAGTATGTTGTACTTGGATCGTAATGTTTCTACTCCAATTACAACTAATGATCTATATAACAGGTATGACATTACTTCGCTCAATGGTAATGGACGAGAGGATAAGCCTGGGTTGCTGGCATCTGCCAAGACTAGTATGTACAACACTTGTTTCTATATGAATATTGAACCTATCATTACTTTATAAACTAATCTCAATTCGATACTTTTCTAGTCCATGAGCTTATTGCTACTGAAGCCGATTTGGGAATCCCAACAAATAGAATCCTGCTCGGTGGATTCTCTCAAGGAGCTGTCATATCTTTGCTTGCTAGCCTTACATCTGAATCCAAATATGCTGGAGTAGTAGCATTGAGTGGGTATCTTGCACTCCGAAACGAGATCTCCGAGGTTGGTTGCTAGTGATCTTGCAGCATATAAATTCAACCTACATTACAAAAAGTCTTGTTGACGTGCTAATCAAATCTACTTGTCTGCTAATTATTCCAAATAGCTCAAGAAAACAATCAATGATACCACTCCATTTTTCATGGCACATGGACATGAGGACGAGGTGGTTAAATATGAGTACGGAAAACTGTCGTCTGAATATCTCAAGAATCAACTCAAGTTGAATGTTGATTTTAAAACGTATCATGGGATGGGACACTCTACCCATCCCAAAGAGTTGGAAGAACTTGAACTTTTTATTAAGCAAGTGCTTGATCCTACTGCAACAGGCTCCAATAAATAACTGACTAAAATCAAATATGTTTTGAATGTTTGGTGAATTAGAATTATAAACATTTGAAATCATCGTTTTGTAGATTCAAGAAAGCATCATGACCAACTTTGCAATAGTTTGAAACCATTCCAATGACATTAGACTGTTGTTGCAGTCTTTGAGAAGCGCAAGTCGTTCAACTGACTGTGTCAGCAACTCAAATTGTCTCTCTAATACAAACACAATGTTTTTGTCATTCAAATCAACTTTCAATACAAAATCATTGATCATTGCTGGCAATTTCTCATTGGTCTCCGTTCTCATCTCATTTGTCACAGGCTGTAAACTCCAAAATTCAAGATTAGAAATTTCAATACTTGACCATCCACTGCAGAACAAGCCAGTTGTTTGATACAAGACCATGCATTTATTTGGAAAGGCCAAGGCTGCTCAAACCACCCCAAAAGATGCTATCGTCAAGCTACGAGAGTCACTTGAAATGTTGGAAAAGAGGGAAAAATACTTGCAGACCAAGATTGATGCTGAACTCAAGATAGCAAAGCTGAATGCCGCCAAGAACAAACGAGGTGAGATGGTGGGTTTGTCCGGACTTGGTCCATAAAGAAAAGTAATCTGGCTAGGGTTGATGGCTTCTTTTAGCTGTATTGCATAGGGTCACTGTGTTGTGCATTCAGTAGTAAGCTTTATCAAGTCTTGCAGTGGGGATTGGGGTAGGACAGCATGTATCTGAGACTTTGAACAAGTCATGGCTTTTGGCAGCACATTGTCTGAATATACAACTGAAGATCAAGGGAATGGGACCAGTACCTCATTAACATGGGTGAATTCTAGGCTTTATTTGACACATGATGGCCCAAGATCTCTATGGAGACTCCAAAAGATGTGTGCTTCATCTGTTGATTCATCACTTGTTACCAAGGATCACTCTAAATTAGACCAGTTCATTTAGTTTTCAATTCAAAGCAACTGTGGTGCCATGTGTAAAAATCATGTTGCATCAAGAACCATCATTAACTATTAATTTCTTGATTGTTTGATTACTCATGACTGAATGAATCAGTTGCGCTTATGGCACTGAAGCGTAAAAAGACATATGAAGAGCAGATTAACAAGATCATGGGCTCTCGAATGACGTTGGAAACACAGGCAATGGCAATCGAGAACGCTAGTGTCAATCTGGAAACAATGCAAGCAATGAAGGCTGGTGCCGACGCTATGAAACAGATTCATGGAAAACTGTACGTTTTATTAATATGGCTTGACAAACACCCATGTCAGGGTGATTCAATCCATCACCAGATACCTGCGTTATGATCAAAACACTAATAGTTGATTTTTGTACAATCTTGATCATTTCACAACACGTACACTTCTATCATACAGTAACATTGACAAAGTCGACGATACGATGGACGATATTAGAGAGCAAATGGATTTGGCAAACGAGATTTCGGATGCTATTTCGCAACCCGTCGGATTTGGCACCGAATTTGACGAAGATGAGCTTAATGAAGAGCTTGAGCTTATGGAGCAAGAGGCATTGGATGCACAGCTTTTGGATACCGGTGTTGATTTAAATACTGCACCTGCAGTACCCTCCACAGCTGTTCCAGGTAAGTCGCATATTCATCGCGAGATATTCACATGTACATCAATGGTTCAAACATGACTCACAATTCATATGTTTGGAAAATGCTACAGCAATCGCGCAAGCACCCAGGCCTGTCAAGAAGCCTGCTGTTGAAGAAGAAGATGCTGAACTGGCCGAGTTGCAAGCAAGCATGGCAATGTGATGTGCAATGGCATTAATTCTTGAATCCAATATATATCGTTTTAAATATTTGAATTGAACAAAAGATTGAATCTGATTTGATCAACACTAAATTGCTTCGCCTCTTCATTTTTGTGCTGGAGATATTGATTCAACCAAATCTGCAATGCTTGCACACTTTTGCATCAAGGACTACAGCAATTCATTCCAAGTCATCAAAACTGCTCAAGACGAAAGAAGCACTTTTCCATTGCGAGCCATTTCGTTGCTCTTGGCAATGGCTTGGAGAACCTGATCCATTGGGAAAATCTCACCACTATGAGGAGCAACAATGCCCTTGCTCATAAGATCCATGGCTTCTGAGCATGCAGCCTGACGCTGCGCACTCGACATCTTCATAAGTGTAGATCCAAGCCAAAATCCCTTGACGGTAATATCGCGGAAAATAAGCGATGGGACGAATACAGCACCTTCAACACCCTTGAGAACACCATACACCAAAACTGTAGCGCTGTCACGAATAGACATCGTAATGGCCGACGTGACTTCAGCACCAACACAGTCAATGGCTGCATAAGGTTTCTTACCACCCATGGAGTGTGCGATTGCTGCAGCAATCTCAGCCGAGGTAGTAAGACCGTCTGTACTGACGACAATATCTGCACCAATAGCCTTGAGTTCTTCAATCTGGGCAGTACGGCGAACAAGATTGACAGTCTAAATCCATGAAAATAACCCATAATTTGATAGTAGACAATGTGAGTAGCAATATAAAAGCATTGATAGGGTTGCAAGTATTAAATAATGATCATCATTGACTCAAAGAAACCATAAACGTGGTATTACCTTGATTCCGCGATGCTTGGCAAGTTGAATGGTCTGACGCCCAAGAGTAGATCCGGCAGCACTCTGCAACAGATATTCTCCCTAAATCAACTCGGCGTAAATTGTAAGTAACAGTAGTTGAGCATTGCGGTGTAGATCGTGATGCGATGCTAGCAACAGTATAAATACCTTTGGAATATTCAGTTGATCGAGCATGCAAATCACAGTTACTGGATTGACGATCAGTTGGGCAGCACTTTCATCTGAAACATTGTCGGGAACATTCTGTAGAATAGCATTTTATCAGAATAATTCGACAATCAAACATGATCGACGCTTGACATACCACAAAATCATGCTTTCCAACCCTGACATATTCTTGCCAAGAACCGATGCCTTCATAAGCATTGAAAAATGGCACAACTCGCTGTCCAATCTTGACTGCAGTGCCCCAATCAACACATGGTACTGTTAGTATGAGATGAATGAAAATCAATACACTCGATGATCGGTAAACTGGCAGATGACCTTACCATCAGTAACGTTGGCACCCACTTCAGCAACAACACCATACCCTTCCAACTAGATCGACAATTTGTTGAATAGTGTATTGACAAGAGTGAGTGATTACACACTGCATTGAGCTCGGCCACAGCATTACAACTTACTCCTGGAGTGGATGGATGCGACTGGGGTTTGTAACCAGGGTATGCACCCATAATGGAAAGGCAATCTGCTGGATTCTAACAGATCTCCAATGCAGACCGAATTAGTCACTGTTTTCTAGCATGCGAATCAAGCATTGGTATAGGGAGCTGGATTTATACTAATAGGCAGTAGATTCATTATACCCATACAACATAGGTTGAAACTCACAATCGGACGAAGTTTAACATTGACGAGGACTTGGTCAGGACCAACACTGGGACGGACAGTCTCTACCACTTTTACGACATCGGTAGGCTGACCAAATTTACTGATAACGACTGATTTGTTGGACATGTTGGATTTGATTGACGATCTGCAGATTGCTTTTATAGTTTCCAGTTGTATTCACGTAAAATCAAATCCTAAACAAGAATGTCAAAATATATAAACAGTCAGTCCCATGACATGATTCGTGTCAATCATACCGAGTTTACTGGATATTCTGTTTTCGGAACTTGAGCTACATTTTGCTGTTCATGTTAACCATTGAACAGCAATATCGCGAGTAGATTCTTGAATGTTTCCAACAATTTAACAAGAATGGTCTTGCACTGTATGATCTTAGACATCAAGAATGTTCATCAAGTCAATTTCTATAAGCATAGCGAATGTTCAATCATTGTTTATTCCAAAGCAATCACCGCAAGAGATATACAGGTATTACATTTCACGTGAATACAACTGTAAATATGATATGACAATTCTCATCAGGTCAAGTCTTGTACAGAAACATGCTCTACATCTATCAATTATTGCAAAATCTCCATTTTAAAAAACTTGAATCATTCTAGTCACCAAATAAAACTGTTTGACTTTATGTGTTTAGTATTGTTTACCATCCTGAAGAGTGACGAGCATAGTCAACAACCAGCCATCCATTGGTAGCAGGATTATATTCAACTTCTGAATCCACTAATTGTGCTTTGGTGAATGCAATCGCGTATGAAGCTGTCAAGATTACATCCTCACTACCCACTACAATCTCTCCTTTGCGATTGCGAAACAACAGAATTTCCTGGGTGGTGAATCCAATTAGAATGATTGGCACTTCATCGTTGAGAAGTTTCAGTTGACGGATATCAACACCACGTATATCCAGTAGTTTGCTATCTGACACAAGTCCTTGCTGCTTTTGTGATTCAAATCCGGCAGTCAGTTTAGCAAGCGCCTAGTGATATTTAACATGAATTGGATTCAGCCGATTTAAAGTAGAGTCTCGCCCATTCAAGCATCTACAACTGCAAGTTGAAATCAGAATTTGAATGCATTGAAACTTACTGCTTCGCTACACCACTCCTTGAGAGTATCTGCATCCCCCTTCAAAAATGCTTCCATCAGTTCGGGAATAGTATACTGAGTGGTTTCCTTGAGAAAAGCATCTACAGAAAATGTAGGCTCTACTTGCTTAAATGCACGAATGGTTCGCGCATGCTCAGACTCCTCTACCTTGGTACTGGCAAGAAAGTTTCGTACGCGGGACATCAAAGGACTCTCGCTCTGTTCAACAGATCTACGAGCAGCAAAGAGGGTTCGACCAAGAGTGCTCTCTTCTAAAAACTTGCGCCACGCCTCTGTCATTTCGCTAGACTTGTGCATAACAACATTGCTGCCAGCCTCGGGATCTGCCAAAACGGGACGGCTTGGATCTTGAACCACTGACAATGGATTGCGCTTCCTGTACGAGTCAAGACGCTCTTGCTTCTCTTTTTCTCTAACCTCCTTGGGTTTGTATTCTGTGTAAAATGCATTGGATGAGCTTTCAACGACTTCCTTGATTCCAGAAGAAATGGCTTTTGCAGCTGTGGTATTTGCGATGGGCTCGGCAGCCTATTAGTTTAAACACATTTTCATCAATTTGGTTGTTGGGATATCATAGAATCTTTACACAACACTAGAATGACAACCTTTTGAGATACATAGGCAACACCCTCGACAGTTTTTGCAATCGCTTGACCAGTCATTTTAACAACAGGAGTATCGAGTGTCTTGTCCACTACAGCTCCAACAGCATTCATAACCTTTGAAGTGGTCTCGGAGGTTTTTGTAACAGCCTCTCTTGCTCGAGTGACTGCATCAGATTCAGCAATTTTGGTAGATTGTTCTCCAAGCTGTTTGACATTTTCCTGAAACTCTTTGTTCTCGTCAATCTGTCGTTTGATGGATTCGGAAAAGACAGAAAAGACATTAACAGCTCTTGCCTGCGAATACGATGGACTGTATCGGGGAATCAATGCCGATACCAAGTTGCGCTGTTGATTGACGATGGAAATAGTTTCAAAAATAAAATACCAATCAATACTTTTGTATATTCTCAACAAAGGGGATCGTATCATTGAAACATCAATGACCAAGTTGTGATCGAGTTTGCATATCACTAGTTGAGCCATTGATGACACACTATTAGAAACAAAGTAACATACTTTTGTCCGCTGTCGAATAAATAAATGTTTGGTTAGGCCAGTTAATGCAGCCGCTGTATTCATGATTGTGCACAATGGTAATAGAATGTAATCGAGTGTTTCAATGCAGTTGTTTTTACAGCTCAAGACAAAAAGAATGAGAACGCGGAAAAAAAATTATTTATATTTTAAGCCAATTTCATGCTTCATGAACATTCTGATGGCATCAGACTGCTGTTGCAGTCTTTGAGAAGCGCAGATTGTTCAACTAGCCGTGCTAACAAGTCAGATTGTCGTCATGATACAAGAAACACGATTGATGGATTTTCTATCATTCAAATCAGCAGACAATCTACCAATACTTGCAAAACAACACGCCAGTGGTGATGATTACTATTACTCAATTTATCTCTTCGTTTTTATACTTTTTATCATCAGTCGTAAAGGAACATAACATTTTATTTTTCAAATAGATTCACTGGTTAATAGATGCATCTTGTCACCATGCATGTAATAGATGGTTTCCTTGTTTGAATAACTCGAATCTGTTTGATCAACATTGATCGTGCCAAGATTCATATGACTGTTGGATCAAGATTTAACGCTCAAATCCTATTCAATTCAGTCAAACAAGCGCAATGCAAAGCCTCTCCAACACGTTGTAATCCTCAAGTTATTGCAGCCATTTATAGCAATAATTCAGCAATCGTGACTTATTTCAACCCAGCGAATCATGCCAACAACAAACGCTTCCATTACGCATATCGTCTACCCGCAGCTGCTCAAACTAGCCGTGGCTGAAGGCGACCTTCCTTTGTTGCGTAGGTTGTTGCAATCAAAGAACTTGCCTCCAAATGTGCCTGACCCAGAAAATGGATGGCCAATGCTGTTTTATGCTATCGCATGGCATCAGAACGAACTACTCGAGTTCTTTCTGAGCAACTGGAGTGAAGCTTCTCATCTATCCAAGGTAAAGGAATGCTTGATGTGGTTTGACCGTGGTCTGTGCTGTCAAGATATGACTGCATTAGATGGAGTGCAATCATCTAGAAACGACTTATTGTCAAAACTACAGTTATCTAGCATGACTTGCCAAAACTCTTGACAAGACCAAGTCCAGCACCATGCTCATCTCTTTTTATTTAAAGGATTTCAAGGATAATACAGCATTGATGATTGCCATTGAGTATGGAAATATCACTGTAAGTCAAACGTTTGGTGTGTTGATTGCACTCGTGCGTATCTAATCGAGCCAACATATTAACCATCATAAATAGGCGTTCAATTTATGCTTGGAAAGGTATCCTGATTTGATATCAGCAATGAGCAAGCAGGGAAAGACAGCCCTCACAATAGCAACAGAAAAGGGTCACGCAGATATGATCCAAGCTTTACTCGAACAAAAAGCTGATGTGAATTCTGTAGATGGAAATGGATCTACACCATTGCACCATGCTGCAGCGTATGGCCACACAGAATGTGTAGATATTTTACTGAAACATGGGGCGAATCTACATATTGTCAACAAAATGGGATGGAAACCTTTTGACTATTCTTTTTCGTTTGATCTTGCTAGGAAACTCGAAGGTTTGTTTTTGAATGTGTGACCACTGCATTTGGCTTGTATTTCTATGCTTTGCGTGTTTAAATCCATCGACTAATTTCAAGTATCCTGTAAACATAATGGGCAATATCAGCAATGATGACAACAGCGTAATTCGTATAAATACAAATCTCTAGACACCCAATATATTTATTGATAAAAACAATTGACCAATACAATTTACAGTATTGATTTCTTTCAAACGCTGACTTTTAAATTTTGGCCGATACAGTATATTTTAATGGTGTAAATTTACCCGTAGCTAAAGGCTCAGATTCATCCGTTTTAGGAGATGTGTTGACTCGGACAACTCCTTCTTGGGCAGTGGACATCACCAATCGTCCATCTTGCGTGTACACCCTGCCATGAGCAAACCCTCGCCCACCAATAGATCGTGGGCTCTCCATGACGTACAAAAGCCATTCATCAGCCCTAAACGGTGCATGAAACCACTATTTCTCACAACAGTATCCAGTGTCAATTAAATGCGTTCAAAATACTATGATGTATTGGACATGGAATGACTCACAATAGCGTGATCGAGACTGGTCAGCATGGTCAGCTTGCGATGTCCACCAAGACGAGCAAGACCATGTGGAATAAGACTAGTGTTGAGCAGTTCATGCTAAATACGACCAATACATGAGGTTATAGCAGATATTGCAGCATCTTGTCTACGATCTTTATAGACCTACATCAGAACAATACGCCGCAACACAATGATGAAATGCTATACCATCCGGAAGTCTCCCAATTGCTCGCATCCATACCATCTGCATTTAAAACATTAGATTTTACTAGTCACAACTTTTTAAAAGTTTAGTTTTGACTTTCCTGAATAGGGTCCCTTGAGTCCAAATTCAATCGTCGATGACCAACAGGTCGAATATCAACTGCAATAGGCTGGATTATACTACAATTAAAATGCAATCTACCCATCACGCATCTATGGTCATTTAAAAGTCAAATTCAACAGATAATGAAACTACCTGTTCCAATCGCATTTGAATGGTTTTGTGGTATTTTTCAGCGCGTGGATCTTCGAGCCATTCTCGAAGACGCTGTTCAGTGCTAAATGAATCAATATCAGCAAGTGTCGGTCAGCGATAGTCGTGCTTTTGATAGTTATGACTTGGGCAGTGGCTTACCTTTTCAATGACTCGGGCAGTGGGACATTTGGCATGTCATACTAAAATCGATAGGCAACAAGTAATAAGATGTAAACAGCCATACTGTTTTTTACATCAAACACTATGGTAGTTAAAAAACACAAAAGGATCTCATGACAACTTACTTGATGAGCCAGAGGCGAGAATTCCTCAACCTGAAAGGAGCACATGAGCATAAATATGACACGGCCTCGTTGCCGGGCAGTCACAGTACGACTAGCGTACGATTTTCCTGTGCGTTTACATTTAGTACATGACTACCATTTTACAGCCGTATTCACGTAAAATAAAACACTGAATAGGAGTGACAAAATACACAGTAAACAGTTTCAGTAAATGATTGGAACCAAATTCACTGGGAAACATTGTTTTTTAAACTTTCTAGTTGACTGGTCTTTGTGCTCATTTTTTATAAAACAGCTGAGCGAATGTTTACATTGCATCACCCTTCCAGTCAACCTATACTTGTTCAATCTTCAACTCTTCTTTCATCCACCCAAACATTATAATGCAGAGTGATTGGTATGAGAGCAACAGTTGAATTCCGAGTTATGGAGTCTTTGTTCTCTTGAAAAATAGTGCAGTCAACTTTTAATAGTGAAACAACAGATATCCAACCATTGCGAGATAAATAGCAAATGCTCCATTTTACGTGAATACGACTGTAATAGCATTTCACATCTGAAAAGGATTAAAAACTGACCATCACGAATTCTGTAAACACGATATATAATTGGAAGTGAATGATCTCCAGCCAAAAGAAAGTAACTGTGAAGAGACTGCAGTAGTTGAGTCAATATGAATGTAAAAAGTTTTGGTTAGCATCCATTTAGGGTGTTGATTAAGATTAGAATATTCGTTGAATCACTCCAGCCAGATTACTGACATGAACTTGAAACTTGGAGTCTACTGTTTTTGCAGCAGCACTGAGTGCAAGACCCACTACCTGCCCACCTAAATACAATAGTATTAATAGCAGTCTCAGTATACAGTCAAGGCTGCTTCACTTGCATGCTCAAAAAGTTCAAGTCGATAAGCTTGATCAAACACTACCAAAAACTCCCCGATTTCCAGCAGGGGTCCATAGCTGCTTGCTCCGATAAAGATTAGAGTCAATGTCTGTATTCAGTCAATTATTCAAGTAGATTAGCATATCCATGATAATAGGTTAGAGCTATATAGCAACGACTTGAAACGTGAATACTGCTCTTTCAACATAAAGATGAGTGTATTGAGCTCTAATGCGTCAATTACTTACACTCCAGGTCAAGAGCAAGTTCTATGGGTGCGACAGTCTGTTGCGCTGAATCTTCCATTACCATATATGTGCAGATCCGTTTGAAGGTTAAAAGAACTTTGAAAGATACAGCTTTACGTTTCCGTGCTTGACAAATGGTAGCTGACAACAGCAATAATAAGTGTTCAGCGCGTGAACAGGATCATCAATTCTCTCCTTGTTGTGACCACAATCAGCATGTACATGACAGCAAGTTGTGGCAAACGGTTTTGTTTCAAAACTAGAGGTGATTGCTGCGTTAAACTGTCTCGCTTGACTGTAGGTGCGTTGATAACGCGGGATTTGGAGAATACCATTCTGTGCTCAGTGTCTTGTAGATCCTGTCCTGAATGTAAACTCACCATCGTTGCTAGACAGAGCAGCTATCCATGCGCAAACGACAATACACGATTTTTCCAAAAGGTGATCATCCCAGTCGATTAATATGTCAACTAACCCAGCAATTTGATACGAATCATTTCATAAGATTGACTGTTTATTATACTGACTCTTATTTAGTACCCCGTTTACATGAATACAGCGGTGAATTATAGCCAATCAAACAAGTATATCCAATGCAATAAATATAATGATAAACCTATACAATTCGAGCAAAATAGCAGATTACCATCATGCAATGTCCATCGAAATATCGCCTGTGGTTGTGGTGGATTGTGATAATCGCCTAATTGGCGACAAGACTCGGCGATGAGTTCTTGAATCTGAGTTGCGAATCGTACTATTGTATCCAGATCGATTGGGGGATGGAACTTTTAATCTTATGCCAGCGCTAGGATCAAATCGAATATTAGGCCTGAACAATACGAGTTGAGCATGTGCAGGATTGAATCGCATTCCTTGGCCTGCATCCAGTTCTTGCCAAGACCTTGTCAGTAGTACTTTTGGAATACCTCGAAACATTACTTGGCCAGTGGTAGTATGATCGTTGTCTTCCAGATCAGTTTCCCGCCCAGACTCGTCATCTTCTAAAATTGAATTGAGTATGAATTCTGAAGCTGCATCCTTTCCATTTGATTTATGTCGCTGTACATCCGGCTTTTTGTGAGATGACGGTGGAGAATCTTTTCTTTGTTTAAGCAATGTGTTGGGAGGCGACTGTCTGACTGGATGCTCAAGTTCATGCGAGCATTCTAATAAATAGTCGGCAGAGCCAAAAAGTGGTGAATCTGGAGCATGGTGGCTTGGGAAGGAAGCAAGAGTAAGCTTTGACAGTGTGTCTTGAAGGTCATTAAGCAATGCTATCTTTTTACGTGGGTTTAAATCTAAACCAGGTGTATCCGAATGGTGCACCGACTTGCTGTTACGGCCTGGATCGCATATAGGAGAATGTTGTGTCAGAGTGATGACAGAGTCATGTTCAATCTCGTTGACTGCCATATGTTTCAGTTTATCTAGCACCAAATTTGTTTGTATATTGGCATGTGGTATGGAAGATGAATGAGCAACGGAAAGTTTTCCCAGTTTTTCCAACAAGACTGTATCTTGAGAATCAAGTCGGTCAAGACGACGGTAAGAGGCATTGTCTATCAAGTTGGTTTTAGTTGTGTAGCAGCGAGTGTCGATGCTGGGTTTGCTGACTGAATTGCTGCGATCCAAAGTATGGTTCGAGTCCAGACTCAAACCATCATCGACATCCATGTCAGCCATGGCAAGAAAAGTGCGTTTCTTGTTATATGACATTACAAGAAAGAGAAGACTGCTTGAATAAAACCGTTTTATGGCTCTTTAAACTGGTTCTAGAATGAAATCAAGTCGAAACAAAACTGAAGCTTTTGTGATTTTGGACAAAATTCCAGACAATTTGGCCAATATTTCTCGCTGGAATCTTGACTGCTTTCAACGGTATTCCAAGTTGCCTGAAATTCTTAAACTCTTGAATATTTGGATTCATTCGTTGTTGCCAACAATCGACTTTTGTATCCAAATCATCCCACTTTCATTCCAGTCCTGACAATACTCTTACAGCCTTTGATTCTACTTTTTCCATGGCCAACATTCTCGCTTTGATCCAAACGGTGGTTCCTGTGCCTCTACTTGGCCCAATCATCAATATTGTCGAGCTTATTTCGACTGGCATTCTGGGCATGAGAGCCAACCAGTTTGCTTTCCGTGCATTTGGTGAACGACTTTGTCTGTTTGTGGTCACTCTCAATGAACATGCCAAAATCAAAAGCTCCGATGGTGATGTTCCTGCAGTCATCAAGGACAATATTTCTGCTATTCAAAAACTGATGGAGCAGATTGAGGATTATGTTGATAGACATACCAGAATGAACGTTATCAGGCAGTTTCTAAAGCATTCTGATATTACTCGTCGTTTAGAACTATTTGATCAGCAACTAGTATCATACACACAGGTATATGGATGATTTGCATTGTACAAAACCATACAACCTTTTCTTGCTGATCGTCTAATGTTCATTCGTTGCGTTGTCTATGTGCTCAACATTCATTTGCATTTAGAATTTGCAATTGAGAATTCAGTTTGATCAGCATCAGATGGTTGCTGAAATCAAAAATGATCAGATGAATACACTTCAAGCATTGGAAAAAATGCAGATTAATGAACAGTGAGTGCATTGATTATCTCTATTCAACATCCAAATACCCGCTTTATTGACACTTTGTTTACACATGGTTTGACCCCATTCTAGGCTTCTTGAAACGCTTGTAGACATTGACCGTCTTGATATCGACGACTTTTCTCCTGAACTTCGTCCTCAAGTTCAAAACCTACTTAAAAATGCTAGAAACCACATCTCAAACAGATCCACACGAGGTCTCAAGTCAAGTAAAGACTGGACTGTGGAAAATTTCGAGGTTGAAATAGATTATCGCAATCCGATTGGACAAGGTGGGTTCGGTGTTATTTACAAAGGTCGTTGGAAGGGCCAAACAGTTGCTGTCAAGGTGGTTTCTTCTTCCCACAGAACCGATGCATCAGATCTCATAGAAAAAGAGGCTGCAATCTGGTATAATCTAAACGATCCCAATATTGTCAAGCTCTGGCGTGTTTGTGTAAATGCTGATAATCCATTCATTGTCATGCCTCTTATGCGCTGCGACGCAGCAGCATATATTCGAGATAACCCTCAAACAGAAATGGCGGTTCGTACGTATATTATATTGCAGATTGCTAGCGGCATGAAATACCTGCATGATTTGTCTCATCCAATTATTCATGGAGATCTCAAGGCCAATAATGTGTTGATTGGGATGAATGGAGAAGTTGCTTTGTCCGACTTTGGCATGGCGTCACTCAAACAATTTTGCTACAGCAAAAACCATCACGAACCACAGACTTTTGCTACTCGATGGATCGCCCCGGAAAAATATAATGCCGATTATACTTCAGCCACGCCAGCTGATGTATTTTCATTTGCCATGACTTGTGTAGAGATTTTATCGGGTCAAGCTCCATTCCCTGATGAAAAATACGATGATGTGGTTAAAGATGCCATTATCTCGGGAAGTCGACCGAAACAACCTCCAGGGGTTTCTGATGCTTTATGGCAAATTGTAACAAGCTGTTGGCATCACGATCCAGAACAGCGTCCTACCTTTGGTCATGTTATGAGCAGGCTTACTCGTGAGCATACCAAGCGTCTTCCGCCTTTTAATGCTGATTCCTTTCAAAGTTTATCCCACATTTATCCAGGTAATTTTTCGATTCAATACCTTTTCGATTCAATCATCTAGTCAAGTGTTGTTGAATCAATGTTTTTTATTGTTTAGAGCTGCATGAAAATCATTTTCCACCTTCTTTTGTGTCCAATTCCACTCAAGCTCTGCCATTGCGTTCATCTTACAATCGAGATGATAGAGGCTCCTTTACTGTTGGCTCATTTGCTCCTTCAGCGCAGCCTCCATCTTACAACTCACACAATAGCTCAGCTATACTTCGTCACAATTCTAAAGTTGACAGGACCGATTACCCAACGCGTACAGCAGGCTCGACTGGTTATACAGGACCAATAGATTTGGCTCAAGGAGTTGGCTTACAATTGAATTTGAACAATAGCCAAGCTTCCGAGTTGGTTTATGGTCAAACTATTTATAATGCATCTAGCTCCTCTTTTGCAAATCCTACTCAACAGCAAAGACAACAATCCAGCTATTCGTCTTTTCAAAATATACAGACGATCGGAACTCCAAATGGCTTGACTCAATCTGCATACAAAATGTCTGTTTCTCCTCAGCCTATTGAGTACAACACTGTTACTTCTAGCGTGCATCAATCCACATCACCACGTCCATTGGCAAATTTTCCATCATCGCCTAAATCAGGATATTTGGAGCCTTATGCTAATATCGGGGGTTCGGTACCAAACAGTTTTGTTGCTCCTTACACGAATTCTTCGCCTTCGTTACATTACTCGGCTTCTGCACGTGGCAGTGATATTGATTTATTGTTACGACTATTTCCTTCCTGGGCACAATCCCATGGTATTACTGTATCAAATTTTCAAAATATTGTTGATACAGTGAATGAGGACAATGTCAAACAGCCTATTCTCCGTGCTGGTTATGATGGACGCATTCATGAATTGTATGTTTATATTGTTATTGTGCCGTTTTGTGGTCTTGTTGATTTAATTTATTGAGAATGCTGCTTGCTTTATTTGGGTGTTTAGGCGCATTTTGAACATGCCGATTCGTAATCCTCTGCCATCCGAGATTGTACTTTTTGCAAATCTTGGTCACTTGTAAGTGGTGGTTATTTTTAAATTCTTATATGCGACTTTGATATGGCTAGTACCATTCATCATCTTTACTTATTGAATATAAATTGTAGGTGGATTGAGCGCTGCTGTTTAAATGGACATATTCCGTCAACGATAGGCAATCTGACTTCCATTACTCGACTGTAAGCATAATAGAGCTTTTGCTTTGGCAACTATATAGTTTTATTTTTAAAAATGCTTGATACTTTGGATGCATGTGTTTAATTGTTTTGTACTTTTTAGTGATCTTACCAATAATGAGTTGTCAGGGTCAATACCTGAATCTATTGGAAATCTACATCAGTTAAAGCATCTGTAAGTTGAATGGTGCCTTTGATAAATATCGAAACGTTTGACTTTTCTAAACAACCATGCAGTGATTTGAGTTGTAATAAGCTATCTGGATCCATCACACCATCGCTATTTAACCTTGTCCAACTTGAATTTCTGTAAGTATTGACCATTATACGATTGCACTGGAATGAATTTTTGGCTGATATTTCCACCATTGGTTTTAGCAATTTAAGCACCAATAGTTTATCTGGAGTAATCCCTAATGAGATTGGACAACTATGGAGGCTCAAGGGAGTGTAAGTCTATCAATATTGCTCAATTCAATATCTTTGAATTGTATACTAATTTGATTAATTTGCATGTATCACCAATTCATTAGCGATTTGGAGGGAAATAAATTTAATGGGCGAATTCCTAGCGGATTGGGTAATCTCAAGCAGCTCCAGACACTGTAAGCAAGATTTGATGTAGTTTAAAGTTTGGTTTGTATAAAAGCTTCGAGTTTGGTGTGGATTGGCAACTAACTCTAGCTTTGCCTTTTGTATTTGGCATGTTTGTTGCTAGGGATCTTTCCAACAATGAGTTTTCAGGCGATGTTTCACCAGAATTGTCTAATATGCAATCTCTGACTCAAGTTAATATGGACTGGCATCTTTTATCGTCGATACCGACTTTTATCTACCAACTTCGGGCCATGAATTAGCGTGATTGAATAGCAAGCTAAATCTATATCTACTTTAAGTTTGATATTTCAGTAGCTTGATATTCAACTTTTAACTATACAATAAACAAGATCTGTATATGCTAGATATTCAAGAGTGTAAATGATTTATGATCGAGTCTGAAAATATGATAATTAATCACGTGACCATTTTCACAATAATTTGAATATTTGTTGCCGACCATTCTTGTGAACAAACCAAATGAACTCAAAAAACCAGCAGCAACCGTATAGGCAGAATAGTCACTCTGAACTCGGAGACTCTGCAAATAGTAATGTATGGATTGTGTGCTGATAAAGATCTGCTTTTTAATGCATATGAAATCGCACATTGGTCCTGTTATCTGTACTGACAACTTGACTTGACACCATCTTTAATGCGCATATTTAGCTCATGCCATTAGGATACAGAGACGGTCATATGCAAAACCCATCTCATACTATCTGGAAACCTCCATCTGTTCCTGCAGCATCTCCGGCATTGACAGATACGCCAGTGAGTCAATACTTGATTGATATTCAGCATGCACAATCACTTTCAAATCTCAATAATTAAACACTGATTGAATCATGTGGCATGATGTTTTAGTCTGTATGGACAGCATTCAAAAATCCCGAAGGAAAACCTTATTATTTCAACAGTGTTACTCAGCAAAGCGTATGGGACAAGCCAGATGAACTAAAAACTCCACTCGAGGTACGCTATACTCTTGAATACTATGCTGATGACAATAATTCTATTGAATGACCCAACTGATTTTCATAAATCTGTGCGTATTTTAAACTGGATTTAGCTGATACTGGATGCTTCCCATTGGAAAGAATACGCTACTCCGGAAGGGAAAAAGTACTATAGCAATTCTGAAACCAAAGAAACTGTGTGGGATCTACCAGCAGAGATTCAAGGTGAGCTTTATGTTTTACGAGATCCAAAGTGTATACGTTTGAATAGCATTTTTGCTTGAACGGCTATTAAATCTTTTTGGTATGATGAAATGGTTTAATGCGTGAACAGAAAAACTCAAAAAGGAAATGGCAGTAAAGGAGGAAGTTGAAAAGAAAGAAATTGAAAAGAACGATAAAATTCCCGATCCATCTGGAGCAGCTGTCTTAGGTCTTGACACTCCCCAAGTCGCGGTGGCACAGATCGTTCTTGATTTTAAAACTAAAGAAGAAGCCGAAGAAGCTTTCAAGAAAATGCTTTGTGAAACAGTAAGTTTGGCTTACTGTTTAAATTCAATAGATGCCAGTTTGATTGTCGATCTACTTGGCTCATGTGTGTTTTGGAATCATATGGCATAGCCTGGCATTGATTGCACAAGTTCTTGGGAATCAGTTATTCGAAAAACATATAGCAAGCCATACTATCGATCTCTTAGAACACTTGCTGAACGCAAGGCAACATTTGAAAAATGGTGCCGAGACACTCGCTTAGCTCAAAGCGATGCTAGACGTGAAAAGAAAGAAAAGGATCGCGCTGCACTTATAGCTTTGTTTAAATCGCATCCTGAAATTACTGGAAATACCCCATTTGCGACTGCTACCTTTATACTAGCAAAAGAAGGCGATTTTGCCAATGTGGAAAAGGAATTTAGACAACTCGTATATCAGGAATATACTGATAAGCTTGTCAAAACTGAACAGGTATATACTAGACTTTTACTGTTTATGCATTTAAGCTATTTTTAGAAGCCCATTAAACTTTTTTGAATTCATTTACAGGAAGCTGCGCGTGAATTACGGCGTAAAAATAAGGAAAAGGCAAAAGCCATTTTTAATGAACTACCAATTACATACAAAACGACTTGGAAAGAGGCACAGGCCATTATGTCTGAGCATGGTGGTTTCCGTGCAGATGCAGATCTTAATGCAATGGAGCCCGTGGATATTTTAACTGTATTTGAAGACCACGTTATTACTTTGGATACTGCTGCTCGACATGATCGCGATACATGGCAACGTGCTATTCGACGCAAAGAACGTAAGATTCGCGATGATGTCCGTGCTCTTTTAGACGAACTTTGTTCCTCTGGCTTGATACATGCAAAAGCAAAATGGAAGGACGTATATCCTCACATCAAAGAAGATTCTCGCTTTAATGCCATTCTTGGCCAACCTGGATCTACCCCACTTGAACTATTTTGGGATATGATTTGTGATCTTGAAGGAAAATATCGTTTTGACAAGCGGGTTGTTGGTAATTATATCAAGGTGAGTTGTCTAGTTATTCTATATCTCATTATTCAAGCTAGTGTGTGTGCTGTTTACCTATGCCAATTCAACATGATTAATGAATTTTCTCTCACATACTGCATACATTTCTAGGATAATAAAATCGATATTACTCCAAAAAGCAAGTTTGATGAATTCATTAAACAACATAGTTCAAAACTAAGCCAAGTCAATCGATCTCATCTACGGTATATATTTGAAGACGTAAGTATATTTGAAATATTTAAATCTATGAAACTGATTTGTAATTAAAAGTAAACATGATTTACCTTGGTTCTGATGTATTACCAAGTATCAATTCAAGGCTTTTGCTCGAATCAAGGAAGAAAAGAAGAATCATGAACGTAGACTACGAAAACGGATGGATGCATTCAAATCTTTGTTGAAACATTTGCCGGGTACTCCAATCAAAACGGATGACGAGTTTTCCAACATAATGAGTCGAGTACAAGGCAAACCTGAATATGATGCATTGGACGCAAGTCAAAGACGCGAGGTATTTGACAAATATATTGTCAGACTCAAGGAAAACCAAAGCAAAGGTGCCGATCCCAGTGACATGGATGACATTGAAGATGGAGAAGATATTGAAGATGGAGAAGGGGAAGATGATGGTAAGCGTCGTAAAATAAGTCGTAATTCACGGGATCGCAGACAAAACTATCGCAGTAGACGATCCCGATCTATATCACCTCGATCAAGTAATGGCTCTGTTGATGGATATCGTGACCGTAGTCGTACAGTTTCAAGTAAACGCAAGGTATGGTGCTTGTTCAGTATATTGTAGTTGAATTCTTGGTACATTGTTATCATGTCTAATCCACGATTGTCATTCTTTTATTAACTGGTGATTTGAACATTTTTGAATAAAGAACCGATCTGTTTCTGGATCGGAATCCGATATATCTGATGGCCACCGCAGCTCCTCCAATTACAAAAAGGAAAAGCGCTCCAGACATTATGATGCTGATCATGAGGAAAGATTTAGTCGGAGTGAGCGTTCTAAGCGGCAGGACAAGGCTCGTGAGTCTTCGACCGAGGAAGAAGGAGAGCTGCATGCATAAACCCTGACAGTCTTTAAAGAGACTTGTCTAATCTAGTTTATCGCTGAAAATAAAGATTCCTTGTTTTACCTTTTTACATGAATCTGGTTGTAAATGAGTTGACACGTGACAACATGTCAAACGCGCAAGACAATATCGATTCAAATGTTCACTAGAAACCCCGCTCATTCAAGTCCATCTAAAGTATATTGGAATCCATCATACATCGTACAGCAAACAGATATAACAAACATGGCAGAAAATTCAGAAACAGCTCATCTATCTGATGGAAGCCGCAGACCATCCAAAGTCAATGTCGGACTTTCAAAGGCTAGTTTGGTTGGCTCTAGAATGAATCTGGCAGGATCTAAAATGAACCTAGCTGGCTCAAGAGGAAACCTATTTGGTTCTAAAGCAAATATTGCTGGATCTCGATACGGGTCAATTCGCAATTTAACCAATAAAAACAACGCCATTGCTGCCGAGCAGACTAGCAGTAATCCCACTACTGCTATTGTTTATGAAAACACGTATAAGCTTAAGCCTGATAAGAGGTATGTTTGCAGATTTATCCAAGTGTGCAGTTTAATATATAGTCTAATGTGCAGGACAAAGAAAGCTGCAGGTATCACGGTTTGAATTATACTATTGGATAGTAGTGTATATGAAACGGGCTATAATAGTCATGGATGGTCATTTTCTTATTCATGTGGTTAATCTAATTCTACATTGCTCAAAAAAGATACTTGGAGAAATTGTGATTTATCGAGTCTAGAGAATAATCTATGGGTGCAGCATATACTGACGGATTGTAGTTTTGATGTTTTCAAACCATTGGACATAGGTTTCCTACCAACACAGTCAAATTGATCATTGAAGAAACACTGGCAAAGCATCTGGCAAAAGTCAAATATGACTGCGATATTGTTCCTGAGCTCGTCAAAACCATTGCTAATGATGTCATGCAGTCTGTTAAAGGTAAGGATTTTGCTCAATAGCTTTCATTTCAGTTGGTAGATGTGCGTACTGCCATTATATCCAATTATGGAAATGCCAAACCAGATTTAACCCGACATACTGAATGTAAATTATAATATATAAAGGGTTGGAACTGGATCGATACAAGATTGTTGTTGATGTGAATGTTGGCGAGTTTAAAGGCCAGGGAATCAAAGTAGCTTCCAGAGCTGTTTGGGACACAACAACAGACAGTTATGCATCTGCATCATTTAAAAACGTATGTGGTGTCTTGAAACTGGTGCTGTTTAAACTATTCGTATGATTCGCTAGTGTACTGACAGCCAACTATTGACATTACATATTTTATACTTTTATACTTTTTGAAATGACTAGGCAACTCTTTTTGCCGTTGCTATCGTATTTGGATGCTATTATGAATAAACCTTTTCGCGCATCTCGATATCATTTGCAGAATATCCAGTTTTGGTGTGATGCCATATCTTTGATTTAAACAAGTCAAGCCTAGTGTGAATTAAAAGGTGGCAGATCACATAAAATAGGTTCCACATGGAGTTTATTACTCTTTAAAGGCATCAGACTTTAATCTGTGACAGTTATTCGCCATGCTTGAGCACATTGACAAATTCGCGATAGTTGAAGCCATCATTTCGACCAACTGGAGCACCCTTGTACATAATATCAACCTGCATTCAAACATACCGGTATGTCAATTCTACTGTTTCGATATTTTAGAGATAAAGCAGCGCTACATGAATCATTTGTGGATGGAAATACAAGACATTAAAATACCTCATCATCGGTAAAGCGATCCCCCATGGTAGTCATGGCTTCACGCAACACTTCGGCATTAATAAATCCAGTTTTTCCTTCGTCGAAACATTCGAATGCTTGTAAAATATCCTCCTCGGGATCGGTCCCACTCATTTTTTCTCCCATCAGAGTCAGAAACATTGTAAAATTAATACTTCCAGGTGCTTCACTGGTCATACTATCAATATACTCATTCGTTGGATTTTGACCTAAATAGAATATCCAGAACAGTTGCAACATTGAATGTGTCAGTCTAATGTGTGCAAAATCGGTGTCAGATACTATGCATATCCCACGCTGCCATTATAGCACCAGATTCAATAAATCACTCAAAGCAAAGGGTAGTTTACAATTCCAAAATCCATCGATACCAATACAATGACAAACCATGCTCTTACCCAAAGAAGCAAGCATATCTTTGATATCCTCCTTGTCCAAAAAGCCATCGTTATCATGATCAATCAGGGAAAATGCTTCTTTGAATTCGCCAATCTGCTTTTGGTCAAACATGGCGAATACATTCGAATTCTGACGTGCAGCACGCTTCTTCTTATCCTTGCGTTGTGACTAAATAAGTTGTCATTCGAATGCAGTATGAAGAGATACATTAGCAGAGGTTAGTGACAGGGTTGAAATTAGACAAGACTAAACGAGCAGGTCTGATGGATAGCAACTATTGACATGGCGCGTCATAGTAGCATGTAAGATATCAATAGACTGGAAATGCCAGTTTGTCCATTGCTATCATCTGGTTTATTGCCAAAAACAGTAGTGCTGTAAGCAAATATGAGTGGTTGAAATACATAGTATGCAATACACTACAAGAGCTTTGAAATGGCAAGTCCAAAACCAGCCATCACTTTACAAGGGTTTATTGCCATTTATACCATAATTCCTATTCAAGTTTTTGGTGTTGGGTAAAAGTTGTTGAATAACCCAATTTTCAAGGCGTGACCAACACCTGCTGGATAAACAATTGTTGCCAACTTTTATTTCTTCTACCTTTTACCCATCTGGATCATGCATATTCTCTTTCCGAAAAGATTGACTGTTTCTGGGTTGACTGTACTGGAAAGTTACTCTGCAGCCCATTCACGAGCATTGCTGTTTAAGGTCAGCACACTTTTGGAATCGTATATTTTTAAAACACATGAAACGACTAGCATATTATTGGCCATTTGACTGAATTCGTTGTGTGCATTGACATGGCTACTCGACAAAAATCAATGTTAACTCATTGTTTATGACACACTTTATCTGAATCCATCCCCAACTGTTTATTAGGCTGGCCCTCTTTGTGTTCGTGGAAATGCAACCGCAAAATTATCTGCTGCTCCTGCTGAACAAGAGAAACTTGCATTTTCTAAACGACTTGAAAACGGGCCTGGGCTTGGCGACTTTGTTTCTCAGTCGACCCAGCTATCAATGGAAGAGGCACTCGAGCTGGATGGATCGTCTAGTCTTCAACAGCTTACAAAAAAAAAGTAAATTTATATGCAAAACAATATATCCGACTGGTTTAAATTCTGATGTGAAATATACTGCCAACATGATTGCTAATGCTGTATACCTATGTTACAGACACACAAAATTGCCAGAATGGCTCAAGACAGATATTCCAGTTGGTGATAGCTTCAAAAAGATCAAAAGTGATTTGCGAGGCTTGAAACTCCATACGGTAATCTAAATCCGAGTATTAGATGTCGAATATATCATGGATGCTTGATATTGAACGAATAGCTGCAATAGAAATTGTATTTAATTGTATCCTGTTGATTTTCTGAATGATCGCAATTCAACGATTGTACTGCTAGGTTTGTGAGGAAGCCAAATGCCCAAACATTGGCGAATGTTGGGGTGGTGGTGAGGAAAAAACTGCAACTGCAACCATTATGGTAAGACATACATTTAAATTTATTTCTGGCATGCTGCACCGACTGTAATGCGTGCATCTTGCGGACCGTGTCTGACCTGAATACTTGTGTTGTTCCGTTTTGGTGTTTGCAATGTCATTTAAATTAGTTAATGGGTGACGAATGCACTCGTGGGTGTAGATTTTGCTCTGTCAAGACCAATCGGAAACCCAAGGCGCTCGACCCTAATGAGCCGGAACATACAGCTGAAGCCATTTCTCGATGGGGCTTGGGTTACATTGTAATGACATCAGTAGATCGCGATGGTAAGCTTGAATATTGCTATGTCTTGTTTCTATATTCAAGCTGACATGTTGGTTTATAACTAAAATGTAGACCTTCCTGACGGAGGTGCGAGCCATTTTGCAAACACTGTTAGACTTACCAAGAAAAAGTGTGTAGTTTGCATTAAAATGCAGCATAATTGTTGAATCAAACCAAATGCTCTGTAACTGAATTTGTAATTTAGGGTTTTATCTAATATATTTTTATTTGTGATATAGAGCACCCAAGATTCTGGTCGAGTGTTTGACTGGAGATTTCAGAGGAAATCTCGACGATGTTGAGACTGTCGCACTTTCAGGATTAGATGTCTATGCACACAATATTGAAACGGTTGAGAATCTACAGCCATATGTTCGTGACCGCCGGGCAGGATTTCGGCAATCACTTTCTGTCCTTGAGCATGCCAAAAAGGTCCGTCCAGATCTTATTACAAAAACATCTATGATGCTGGGACTAGGTGAGACAGACGAGGAAGTTATACATACTCTTGAAGAATTACGCAAGGTTGATGTAGATGTAGTGACATTTGGCCAATATATGCGGCCCACTACTAAGCACATGAAAGTGTCAGAGTATGTACACCCAGAGAAATTCCAGCACTGGGCAGATGTAGCTAAACAGATGGGATTCAAGTATGTGGCCAGTGGTCCGCTTGTGCGATCGAGTTACAAGGCTGGCGAGTTTTATATCAAGAATATGCTCAAAGAACAACAGATGAAGGCGTCAATACAGCAGTCGGAAAATAGCAGCACATTGAATCAAGACGAGATTCGGCTTAATGCATAGTTGGTTGTTTTTGGTTCAATTTGAATAAAATTTACAATGCATACTCCATAGCTTTCTAGCGATTGATAAACCCAGCAGTATCAACGTAATGATCAGCATTATTAAAGAGCAGTTCCATTGAGCACATGTATAGCTGAATAGTAGATTAAAAGTACTGCATTGGTATTTCTTAAGTTCGACAGACATGATAATGATTCTATGTATGCATGCCGAATAGGTTAGAAATATGTAGTTTTTGACCAGATGGATTGAAAGGCTTACCCAACGAGAAAGAGTATAATGTCCGTAATGACTCTAATAACTCGCGAAGCAGTAGGTTTACTTTTGCCATCAACGTAGTCAATCATGATTGGTTGGTTCTTTTGACAAGGTACTGAATGATGGGATAAAAGACATTGTCTTATAAAATGGACCAGCGGAAATAGAATAGTTGAAATGCATACTAGAAACCCCCACAACATGGACACAATCAACTGTGAACGATCAGGATTCACAGTAACTTGGGATGGTTGATTGCTCCATGCATATCCCGACAATATCATTGCACTGATGACACTACTAGAAGTACCACATACTTGAATACCATTCAAGAGTTTATATTAGTCTACACGTTTAAACCATTTATAGCTCGTGTATATAATGCTTACCAGCTGTAAAAAATCGCAGAATAGGCATGATGAAATAAAAGATTATAATATGAACAAGTAGGGAAATTGAGCTGGGTATTTATTTGAATCCATAACACATCAATATTGATTAGACTGGGCGTAGATTCCGCTGGTTTAGTTGAATTTCATTGAGTATTTTGGTGGTGCATTCAGTCTGCTATTTTACAAACGCATGACAGTAGTATATACAAGACACCGAGTGATACCCGTTTTGTTGGTTGATACTCACTGATAGCTTGATGAAAATGTGTCAAACCATGACTTTTATGACAACACTGTACAAACTGTACGAGTTTAAAAGATTATTGGTGAATATTGTCCAGTTTGATTGTTGACTGCGTTTATTTTGGTTGATTCGAGTTTCATTCTTTTGTCAAAAAAACAACATCAAATGAATATTGAAACAACAAAGACAGCAACAACACAACTGTTGAATGAATACTACCAAATCAGCACTCAAGCCATACCAACACAGAGAGTCAAGTCTGAATGGCAGGATGACAACAAACGAGGTTTGTTTTTGGGAATCATCCAAGAGGGAGAAACCTCACACATCACTCGACTGCACAACCTGCTGGCTGCCAACCAATTTGCAGAGCAGCAGCAGTTCTCAACCAAGATCCAGTTGGCAGACCCAGAACATCATTGTACATTCATTGATGACATGTTTGGGTATTACATACTGCCATTCCACAAAGACTACAACGATTCATCCAGCTGGCACACTCCAGTTTCATCAAACCCAACATCAAGAACCAACTCTGCTGATGATCTGGACTATGTTGCAAAAGTGAGTGAGCTACAGCACAAGGACTTGAACAAGGTGGTTGAGAAGAGAGACAGTGTCTGCTTGTTTTGCTGGAATAAGCTGTCCTTGCAAGGAGCACACATCATATCCCAAAAGAACATTGGAATGGCATACAACGAACCATCCATCCTGCTACGATCTGGTTTGACGCAGAAACATCAAATACAGAACGGACTGTTGTTGTGTATCAAGTGCCATAGCCAATTCGGTAAACTAAGGCGATATGTCGATGTAGTGGATGACAAACTGGTGATCAAAGTGATCAATGAGACGAATGACTCAACAAGTGACAAACACAAGAATTGGGAACGAACTGTTAGAGTGCTCAAGTTGATTCGGTCCTATATGCAAGAGAGATGGACTGACAATCGACAAGCAGTTGAATCCAACGATGAAATGGCATTGTATTTCATTCACAACAATCCAACTCGACTACCAAACAGGAACGCACTAGAGTTCCACAAGACAACATGTCTTATTTGGCGTATGGCTGGTGGTGTAGAATCTGACGATGAGTATTGTCCATATGATGATGACGATGGCTGTACTCCTGTGGATTACCGGAGTAAGAGCATCGAAAAATGGATGGACTCAAGTGCTACCTTGATTATTGAAAATGTTCAATAAAGTTGTGTATTCATTACAAGAGACTGGTTTCTGTTACAGCAATAGTTGTCATTGTAGTGAGTGTGAATACCAACAGTTGATGTTGACACTTGAATTCAAGCAATAATGAAAGCAACTCAAATGTCTCTTTCCATTGCAGTGAGACAGTTTGTCAACCAACAATCTCTCATCAATTGACGACACATTCAGATTCCAGTGATGATGATGTTGCTACCAATGATCGTGGAACTGATAGTGCAGTCTTTTTACACTGTGGTGAGACAACTCGGTATCATGTCAATCATGTCCATTGTTGTGGAAATCACTTGTTAATCTACTCTGAATGAACAAGTCTCTTTTCCGTGTTTAATCAATGTATCTTTATATCTGCTTGAATAAAGCACTTGTGATTGTTTCTATTTATTGTTCTGGAATTATGTTTTTGCTTTCTTTACCCTTTTTTTACTCTCCTTCTCCTTCTCAAGATCGGAATTCAATGAATAGTACTATCTGTATGTTTTCTGGTTTTTATCCTTGTTTCTTTGATAATAGTCTCGATACCATTGTCACAATTGCTCATTTTCATTTGGGTTGCAATGATTCCAATTCCGTATGCGTTCAAGATATTCATTGTGGTATTGATTTCAAAATTCATTGTATAGTATTACCCAACACAATAATTTCATGTAAATACATTAGTCTTTTCATGTAGCGGTTCAAGAGTATATTCCACTAACTCGGCAATTTCACGCTTGTTCCGACGCTCCGTTTGGATCAATGGCCGTTCTCATACTGGTGTATCAAATGCACCTGGAAAATCAAGTAATATTTTGTAATTCATAAATGTTGTACCGTTGCTCGAGCTGAACTGCCTTATTGTTTTGTAGTAGATAGGAGTATCCATCTCCCGCATATATTTGATAATCAGATTTGATAAATGTTGGCACATATCCCTTCTGAAAAGCCTTCACTTTCAAGATTCTGACCTTGTCACCAATTCCAAAATAATCACTGAATCCAGATGCCCTACAGTATACAGAGCTTGGATTTTACAGAGTTATGTTTTCAGGTGTCATTTGTAACTCTATTGACAGCGTGATTGTAATTATAGACCAAATCATTCAGAACGACAATGTATATATGTGTGTTTCTGCTTTCCTGATATATGCTGATCAATTGATCAACTGTACAATAGTCCTGCTGAATCTCTGTACAATACCTAGCCTTTTATGGTCACTGACGTCAACAGTAATGTGTCTGACATTCACTGATTTTAATCACTTTTGAAATGTCATATTCAAGAACTCTGTTCTGTTGTCGCTTTGGATTAGCATTGGTTGATTTCTATCCAATATGTTAGCCATGGCATCTGTTGTATCGGACTTTCACTTTAACACAGACACGAAAGCCTTTCTACTAAACACATCAACAGCGCAAAACAAGTATATCTAAGTGTATATAGCCAGCATTCCAATGTGAGTATTTGTAAACCCCTATCAAACTGATTTGTCACTGCTTGTTGCTTGAATACACGATCATCGGCTTGTATGATATAGAGTGATTGATATGCCTTGTTATTTGATGGCTCACCTGTTCATTAATAAAAGCTTATTTTTTAATGGTATTTGTTTGTCAAATGTCAAGTGCAATTTGTGGGCAGATGATAATCCAGTATTTGGGTTGCAATACAGTTGTGCTAATTCATTTATTTCATCATATTCATCCAACATTTAAATATTATAGAATTCGGGTAGGAATGTTTCAAATCCGACTCTTGTCCGCTTATGATTGAATACTGCATTCCGCTGTTGATCAAAGTGCAAGTATTGATTTGATTGTCATTGACTCTGAATTCATTGCTGACACTCTTGGCTGTTGTTGCTTTGTAGAGCATTCAAGTATTTCTGTTTCACGATTATCGTTTCTTGTTAATTCTTTTGGTACTAACCTTGTTTTTTCACCCATACAATAGTGCATCTCGCTTGCTAATGCCATGATACCGTATCATTTGTATTCCAGCCATGGATGTTTGTTTTTTGGAATTCATCCATCAGATGTGGTTTAATGACATGTTCCAACTTGCCGCTGGATATACCAAAATACGCACAATCAGTGTCCATGATACAGTATTGATGGTCACTTTGATCAATGCAATAGTTGACAAAGTCATGGTAAAACTGAAGCATTCACAACTTTGCCAACTGATACACGGCAAAGCCGATCTGAACTGGACAGCTTTGTTTGAACAATGTCTTTTTAAAACGGATTTCATCACCTTTATTAATATCTTGATGCACAGTATAATTGGTTTGTCCAACATTCTTGATATAGTTGTCCAGATTCACCATCTTGACTGTTTTGTGTTTCAGGAAGTTTGCAATACATTTCCCGTATGATGAATTGTCAATCAATTACATCATTCTCATGTAGTGTGTAGGCTTGATTGGTATCTCCAGCTCGCATGTCATTCGAAACATGATCCATGAATGCATTGAACAGTGTGTTACACTCGTATTTTACAGTACAAGCTACACTGGAAGCATCCAAACATTTATTCATGTACCATTTTAGCAACTCTGTATGGAATAACACTTTATTTCCAAAGAAACTGTCAATTAGTTTGTTACACTTGTAGTTTGGGTTTACCCGATCTTGTGGTTCAGCGCATATATCGTTGAACACAAGTCCCACATTGTTGAATATTGGCGGCATCTCGGCAAAGACATTCCAGAGTTGATTCGGCACGGTAATGTCACATTCAATAACACCAAATAGTGATTCTGCCATGACATGTTTGATGATGTTACGGTACGGCGCTATGACCTGATGGTTACCGCATAGCATGTCTTGACCAATGACATATATACAAGGCATTAGCATTATATCACAGAATTTGTCGACAGAGCTTATCTCGTCTTGTTCTTGTCCTGTCCTGTCCATGATAATGATGCAATACGATGCTTGATGGTCCAACGACATTGTATATGTATGTATGACACAACACATCATTGCGTTTGAATAATTGAAATTCACAGTATTTATTATTCATCTGTCAGTGGTATGTCAATGCTCATCCTGTAATTGGAATGTCATGTTTATGGATATCCAGATTCAAGTATTGGATCAAATAGCAACGCATTTTGGTTGCTTCTGTCGTGGGTTTACGTTCAAGTTGTTGTAGTCATTCAGTATATCGAATATATTGGTGTTGTTGACGATCTCATTGTAAACCAATGTTGGTACGGCTTTGCACTTTATATCATTACCGAACCATTTCCTGGATGGAATATGTCAATGTTTGACGTGCTCAATCACATTCACAGTATATGGTCCCAAATCTGGATATTCGTCGACATACTTGTATATATTCTGGGCTACTCTGGGTAAATACACCCATTTACAGTTCAGCATTGAATACTGTCAAGAGCTGATCTATGGATGTATTGCGAGGTACTGCGAGGTATTGGGTGACAAGTATGACAGAGTGTCTTTGAATGTAAACGACCTGTTTGAAATCATTTGGTAGTTATTGTTACATTTGATGATGCTGTCCATTTCAGTGTTTCCGAAAGTTGAAATTCGCATCCCCAAACATTCAACTTTGTAACCCATTTGCTTGTGAGATGTGCTTGATTTTGCATGGTCGTTTGATACAAGATATTCATCGATCATCCGTCAATGGGTAATATCATCAGACTTGGACAACATTCACCAATAGTCTTTGATTTAAACTTGTACAGTTTGTACAGTGTTGTCTGTCATAAAAGTCATGGTTTGACACATTTTCATCAAGCTATCAGTATCAACCAACAAAACTGGTCTCGTTGGTCAATATACTACTCATGATCATTGGAGATTGAAAGCTTGCGCTGCAACCATTGCCCGATTTCAAGTCTTAATCTTATGAAACATATCAATTCAAAAATCTAAATGGAATAGCTGTTAAACATTGTAGTTTATTCCACTACATCAAATTTCATCGGATTGTGCTAGCTAGCTCTTCCAAAACTGCCGACGATCCTAAATTAATCCGAATTTGTGCCAGTTCATCACCACGAGTAAAACCTAGATTTAAAATAGCAATAGGTTTTCCTGTAGATGCTGCTCGTTTTACCAGCCGTAGTGCAGAATAAACCTGCAACGAACTCCCAACAACCAACAACGCCTTGGCATCATCAATCATCTTGAAGGATGTATCTCGAACGGTCATGGGCATGTTTTCTCCAAAAAACACAACACTTGAATGTTGCACAATAAGAATTTAATCCATGATTAGCATCCTTGGATTATCACAGAGCACAGACAGTACTTGGTTATCATTGTTGAGCAATTTGGTTACTTTGGTTTTAATAAGCCGTTACATTCTGGACAATGCGGGTATTTAAAATGATTGTAGTCCCATTTAATCTATAAAGCAAAAGGATCCAAATATACTAGTCAGATCCACCCAACGAGACAAAAAGATAAACCATGACAAGACTAACCTCTACGTCTCCATCGGGATTTAAGCTAGAGGCCACATCAGCATTTGATTTCTCCGGATTGAGTCGCTGCCATTCATACACAATCGGGTTTATTTTTTGAAGCTGTTCCTGCATTGCACTCCGCTGCAGTTTATATCCACACGAGATGCAGTTTACCCAATGCAGCGTTCCATGAATTTCCAACAAATTTGGGTTTTCGATTACAACTGCTCGTCGATGTAAGCCGTCCACATTTTGTGTAATGCATCCGGCAATGTGAGATCTAGATTCTAGGGCAGCAATAGCATGATGGGATGCGTTGGGTTGAGCTTGACTTACTTTGGGCCAACCGAGGAAACTTCGAGCCCAATATCGCTGACGAAACTCGTGAGGACCAACAAACTGCTGGTATTGGATGGGTTTGAAGTCTTTGTTACGGGAGTAGATTCCCTGTGGGCCTCTGTAATCTGGTATTCCTGAGTCAGTGGAAACTCCAGCACCTGTGCATGTCGATTGATAATTGAAATGTGTAGAATAGTTAGTCAAGATCGCAGACCAGTGTCAGCAGTGTTGCGATGGCTAATGGTACCAGTAAGAAGCACAGTTTGTCCATGATGACGCATGAGGAAGTCGACAAGCTTGCTGGCGCTGTCTTTCACGGTACCCATCACTCGATTGTGCATGACTTGAGCCGACATTTGGAACAACTGTCAAGTGTTGGGTCAGCTTGCAATATCTGAGTCGGAACAAGAATTTGTTGCGGATCTGTAAGATTGCTTCATTCAACACAATGCATCGAATTCGACTACACAAATCATGATAGTCTAACGAGGTATTTCATTCATAAGTAGACATGATATCCAATCACATCTTGATTGAGTGGATTCAATCTTGCAAATTTGATCTTTTTATTACTGTATTTACGTAAATGAAATACTAAATAAACGATTACATCACAGTTCTAGTACATCCCACACTGTTCAATCTCCAACTTTCCCTTCATTACAAGCAAACATTGAATAATCAGCATGAAACAGTTGCATTCCTGAAACGTGCAATTTCTATCGACTAGAGCGCGAATGTACAAAGCAATCAAACTATAATTTGGATTGCAATGGATGGGTTTGGTATAGCCATACATTATACGACTGCCGAGTTTGAAACCAAACTCTTCCATTGCAATCCAGATATTGGGTTCGGCTTGCATCATATAATGGTCAATGTATTGATTAAAGTTGATTTCTGATAGAAAGCGCAGCAAGTATTCGACTATTATTTCAAAAGCAAAATAAACATGGCAATACAAGTTCCATCTTGCGTGAATATGGGGTTATTGCTGAGTTTGGATGGCCTTGGCATAAAAAAACATGCTTAGAATAACAACTTTCCTTTAGCTCCAACTTCTACTATTCAATTCCAACATGACCCCTCTCTCATTTGTTCTTGCAGTTTTGGCCATTACCCAGCCAGCGATGGCCCACTTTCAGCTCATGTCACCTGCTCCCCGTATCTACGACGACCTTCTTGAACTAGATGCTCCATGTGGTGGCAGCAATACCACTACGGTTCGACATCCCTTTCCTATCAGTAAGTTACCAAATTTTTGTTGTAATGGGCAATATTCCCGCAGTGTATGTTTGTTAAATCCCTCACTTGTCACTCTATACTCTATACTGAGGGATTTCATATTGTGTTCCAACTGGAGTAGAGTCTTGATAAAGGACATGCTAGTGCATTTGGCCTATCCTACTTTTCCAACATACCAATCAACTAAAGTGTATCCATACCAACCATTGTGGCGCAGACACTGCCAATCATTCTACCACATGAACAATCTCCAAAACCTATTCATTGATAACACTAACCCTTTGCATCTCATGATCTAATTTGAATTTTAGAGGGTGGGACTGTGACCATACAAGCCTATCATCCCAATGCTGCAGTGACATTTGGCATATCATTGCTTAAAGCTCCCATGACCAATGCAGACTTTAGCACCCCATGGCAGCCAGCCCGAACTATTGGTGCGGTAGGGTCGTACCCATTTGCTAACCTTGACATGTCCACCATCAGTGGAGTTGCCGTTGGAACCAACGCGACCTTGCAGATCACATTCAATGGTGGTGATGGTATGTTATACCAATGTACAGACATTACATTTACGGCTGCAACGGCTTCTAGCGCAGCATGGAGTAGTTTTGTCAGTATTCGTGGGGTTGTTAGTCTGCCGTCGGGTTTAGCTTGGCTTGCTGCCGTTGTGTTGTTAATGTAGTGGCAGGCGTACACTTTTGAAAAATAAAAATGATCCAGTTTTATTCCAAGCCAGGGTTGTAGGCTAGTATCTACAATCGTATATTCACGTAAAACACTAGACTAAAATACATAACAGTCATGTTGGACTGGTGCCAATCTTACTGGGCAACAGTGTTTTTGAACTCACTGGTCTTTTTTGATGCCTATTCTTGTACAAAAATACAGAGTGAATATTCACATCCTTGACATCTTTTCAACCTCCAATCCAAACATTGGGTGGCCGGCATGGAAACAACAGCTGCAATCTTGAGATATGTTGAACTAGATCGCAAACGTATCTGATATTAGAATAGAGTTTCAATAACATTGAATATTTAACCATTGTTTATTCCAGAGCAAAGTAGAGACTCCAACTGCAAGATCAATACAGAAAAGTGTTTCATTTACGTGAATACGGCTGTAAATGCTAAACCTCTCAACTATCAAAACACTCCAAATTGAAATTTTGGCAACTATAATCAACGACGATCCTTGTTTTGGCTTTCTTGTTCAACCCTTGCAAGCAGCATAAACTGAGCCTTAGATACTGCGTCTGCAGTTCCAGTAAGAGTAATAACACGACGACGCTGTCCTGGCTGTGGATCACCAATCTTGACCTGATGGATTATAATACAAATCATGAGTTAGTTGTAAAATAGACACTTGATCTGCTCGCATCAACTCGATAAATCTGCAAATACCTGACAGCCCGAAGAAATACGAACTTCGTTGATCTTGCAACCACCTTTACCAATGATTGCACCAACGCATTCATCAGGAATAGTAATTTGCTCAACCTTGGTGACCCCATCGCTTGCACCAACACCGCCCCCATATCCAGCGGAAGCCATCATCTGCATTTGATTTGGTGCTCCATAAGCTTGGTGATAGCCATAAACGGCCATCTGATTAGCAGCCTGTTGCTGAGCCATACCCTGCATTGCATTGTAGTAGCCTTGGTGACCAACACCGCCTTGACCGCCTTGCATGCCAGCTTGTGCGCCATAAGCAGCAGCCATGTTGGCATATCCCATCGATCTCTGCGCGACAGCTGCTGCATGTTGCATATTGGCATGTCCGCCCATTCCATGACCACCGTGTGGTATACCACCGTATTGCATTCCACCCATAGCACCCATACCATAGACAGCAGCAGCATTGGCAGCAACAGCCTGAGGAGAGTATAAAATTGTATCGGTATGTTTATCATTGACCTCGCCAACCAATAAACAGATCCGCGTAACAGCGATTTCCAAACACGAAGGAGTACCAATTACAGTGACAACTCTCTCGGTAGAGTTGGGTAGAGGATCGCCTTGAGCCAGCACACGACATCCAGAAACTTCCTGGATTTCCTTAATGCGTACACCTTGGCGACCAATAATATATCCAATGCGAGATTGTGGGACAAGAAGACGCAAAGTCACAGTGCGAGATTGGGGATCCGTATTTTGGTTGTCATGCTGTTGACCGGCAAGTTTAGTTGAGATCATCATATAGGCACGACCGTTTGCTTCAGCAGCTCCAAGTACAGTTACCACACGATCAAATACGCCTGGCACCTGACCCGAGACTGTCACACGAGAGCCAGTGGTGTCACGAATCTCAACAACATGTGATCCGCCTTTCCCAATGACTACACCGGCTTCTTTGGGAGAAATAAGAGAGCGCATGCGAATAGGCCTTGATTCGCGAGTCTCGGCATTAGAATCGGAGGGAGCCGTTGTTCTACCACTCTGGCCTCCATTTCCTGAATAGTTGTTACCGTGAGATCCGTGGTGATGGTTGTTGTTTCCAGATGCGTTGTAGTTATTATAAGTGCCATTAGATCCTGAATTAGGCTTTGATGTGGTTACACGAGCATTGTCCTCAGTAAAGGCAAGAGGAGTGACTTCTTCATCGTCTGATACAATTAATGAAATGGTGGATAGCTCAGCGGTATTGCTCTCATCGGTTGCTTGGCGTTTATAGCGATTTGCCCGATTACCACCATTACTACCATCCGAGGTAGAGTCTAGTGATCTTTTGCGGTCAGGAGAGCCCATGTGATTGGTACTGTTTCCAGAAAATCCCAACACCCGATTCAATTGGCTATACATGCATATTATTGAAACAGAAGCACATTATAATATGGAGTCGCAGAGTCAAGGTTCATCAAATTAAAAAGTGTAAGAACGAGAATAAATGTAGTCGAGATATCAAGGAGTAGTTTACAGAAAAATGAATATAGCGTTTGGACAAAAACATGGCAGAACCAACAAGACATTACAGAATATAAAGTGAATACCATAATCAAGAGATTCACATGAGCAACAGGGTTAAACCGAAAACACAGTCATAGTATCGATACAAGCAGTGGTTTCAATTATAAACGAGATGTTGAATGACCATTTGAAGCAAATAGTTGGAACAGTCATTTTGCAGATCAAAGAGCACCAGTCGGAAATAGAGCGAATCACCACATTAGAATTGGATGGACGTGAGGATTGTAAAGAGACGACAAGAGTGGTGCGGATAGACGGTTGTTTGAATGCAGCAAGTATATAAATATGAAAGAATAGAAGACAAGGTATATTAGGACATCAAGGAGACTGGCATATGGTTAAAGTGGATAAACAAACGGCAAGTTACGACAGTTCATGCAAGACACAAAGGATGGATGTAGACAGGGAAGACTGAGTGCGTACGCTATAGACAGGAAAGGAGTAACTTGGAATGCAGTGGATTGGCAGTAGAGTCCAAACCAGTCTTGATTGCCAATTCGTTTGGATAAAGCGAGGTGAAGTTGTGTGAATTGTTGGTGCAAACCTTGTTCTTGCTGCATTCTGAAAATCGCTTCATTCTGATCCACTGCACGGTTGGAGTCTAGATTACGATGATCACACTGCGTCTTGCCATCTATACTAGACTGTCTTGCCAACTCTACTAGACTGTCTTGCCATCTCTATTAGACTGTCGATCTGTCAGACTATTTCAATACACCTGAGGTTACGATGTTGTGGCAAGACGCTTTTGTCATCTGCACTTTTATTGTGAATATCTTGGTTTCATCTCGTCATTCCACAACAAGGATTCGATATTATGCCAAGACTCGGCACTGCGGGCGTGAACCCAACTACATCCTCAGACCAGATTCTTGCTCCTATACTTGACAATGCTGCCATCAAAAAAGGAAAACTTTCCATTTTCTCCAACAGTCGCAACTTGGCTCTGCAGAAACAAAAGGTGGGTTTGATTTCTATGGATGGAAATCTTTTATTCTGTTCTGAACTTTACATCTTTTAAAGTGTTACCAAGATATGCTCAAATAAAGCCGCTATTTGGTAACTAACCCTAACCCTAAACCACAATGTATCTTGGCAACCAATCTGATATTCACGATCATGGATGTATTCCTGTTTGATTTTACAATATCCAACGCCTTTCTTGATATCAATTTTCGTGACATTCTATCCACGGTCATCATATTCAATACAACCCTACGCGTTCATATCAGACTACCAAAAATGCAGAGTTGAAAACACTACCGAGCCACAACCCACCTATCCTAACACAAACCCCATCCTCTTCAAGTCTGACACATCGCCTTAAATCTAGATTTTCTCAAATCAAGGCATCAGCCATTGCTGTGTCAAAACGACCAAAATCAGATAACGCTATTGGCAGTGATGTGGACTCTAGCACCACAGACAAAAATTTACCCAGTGACTCAGAAAACAGGCTTTCTAGACAGAATAGTCTGGAATCTAAATCAACCCATTCAATATCCTCATCAGTGCTTTCCAACCAGTTCATAGGTGCAGATACTTTATCAAAACTAAACTCACAGCAATCAAATACTAAGTTGTCCAAACATGCCCATCTTACAAAAGTCGTTGAGGGAGAGTCCACAAGTCATCATAAACACAGTCAGGTACTGTCTAAATTATTTGATCGCGACCAAACCAAACTACCTGGACACCTCGAACCACCTATTCGCCATGCCAGCCTAGACTCCATTGGATCTCAATCTCAAACTAGCAAAAGCATTTCATCCATCAACTTGGTAAGCAAAGACTCTGTTATTATACACATAAAGATAGCTTATATGAGCAAACTCAGAATGACATTCAAAAAGCAGTGCCATGTATTCCAGATACAACCACAACACAAGATTCTGAGGATAAAAAACTTGACGTGGGCAACATTGCTGAAAAGAATTTCAAGTTGGATATACAAACCGAGCTGCCTTTCAAATCATCTCCATTGGTTTGGTTCAAAGAGCCCCCACACTCTAGCCAGTCTACCAAGAATGAAGCCAAGGTTGATGCCAAATCAAGTTTACCGCAAAAAAAATCTGCTCTTCAACAGTACTGCAAAACAATTGTACACATTCTCCGACGCAATGAGAAGCATCATGACAAGAAATTCACAAATGAAAATCTCGACAAACAAACAAAAGTTACTTCTACATCTAGTCTACACACTGTCGATCAGTCACAAAGTGGCATTACAGACAGCTCTAATCCATGTATATCCTCGCTAGATTCACTATCGGCTACAGATGATGTGGATGAAGCTTCATTGCAGCAACCAGATGATCCAAGGGTGATTTCTTCGCGTCTACAAAAGCCTGATTCAGATGTGGGCGAATCTTCCAAAAATAACCTCACCAAAAAAGTTATCAAATATTTTCGAGGAAACCAACTTAATCATCACAACGACCGCACTGGACAGTTTATGCTTGATGAAAACACGGATGATCCTGATTTGCAAGCCGCACTCGCAATCATCCGTGATTATATGATTGCTTCATCTGAACAAGAGCCTTCACTGCAACTTAAAACGTATCAAGATCTGGTAAAAAAGGTTTACAAGTTGGTTAAAAGTGCAAAAAAGAGGATCAAGAGTACAGTAAAGCATGTCGGAACATCACATGGCTGGGCCAACTCTGGACCGATAAAAAATGATCTGATTTCCGATCCCGGTATCAACCTGTTTGTAGAAAGTGTTGAAAAACGATTAGAACAAGAGGAATTTTTTCATCAAACGCTTGCTGTACATAGAGCTGGTGTCTCTGCTTACACTGTAGAAATTGAACCTGTTCGCGTGCCAAAATATGGTGGTATGCTGGAACAGCGTATTTTTGACTCCAAGGTAAACGCTGGTATACCAACCAGTATCAAAACCAATGCCTTTGAAAAGCAAACCTCAGAGAAACTTAAAGGAAGATACTGTGATATTGATAACGGCGAGGATGACGCAGTATCACTCAGAAATGATGATGATGATGACACCAACGATGTTGTTTACGGCACATCCAAGTATCGAGTAATTGATTTGATCAAATCCAAAGATCTTACTTTTGACGATTTGATGCTTGATGCCAAGCGTGTTTCTCAAAACGTACTTGCTGGACAATCGGAATCAACTCTTGCATACACCTCTTCAAGAGGATCGCTGGCTATTCCTATTTCAGAGGGCCAGCGATCCAGTAAAAGCTATTATCAACTTAGTTTAGAACGCAAAAAAAGCTTAAACAGCAACAATCGACTAAACAGTGCAAGTATGTTTTTAAAAGCATTTCCCAGCTGTGATCGCATTTGCAACCAACCTACAAAGTTTAGCAGTGCTGTGATGGACTGTGAAAAAACCACTCTGGATTTTGACTCTACCTTGCCTGCTGTAAAACCTCCCAAGCATGCGCATACAGATGACAAGGAACCTGAGTCAAAAATTACTCAACCCAATGCTAACTCGGCTTCATCATTTACAAAAAGTCCCTCCAGATTTGTGTTGGAACCAGCTGGTAATCAGCCTGGAATTGATGTGGATAATTTACTCACTCGTATATTGGGTGACGATGATTTTAAACGTACGCTTGTCGGCCCTCATCTTTTTAACCGCGAAGCACATCCAAATCTGTTTGGCGAAGAGTCTGGTGCACCATTGATGTCTGAACACGATCAATTCTACTCTCACAAAAACGATATGTCATCCCACGTAGACGAGAGTGATGCTGACAACGAGTCTATTTGCTCTTTTGTGGATCGTGGTCCTACTTGGCGCGACTTTAAACATTTTTCTCAAAAGTTGGAGCCATCTTATGAGGATGAAAATGTTGCCAGTGGGTTAGATCGAGTCGGCCTGATTGATTATGATTCTGATGAAGACGATGTAATGCAAAGCCACCCACTGCAGAGATCTAATAGCGAGTCTTGCGACTTGTTTGAATTGGAGCTTTTGTTTGAACAGCATCGTAAACGAAACAGGGCAGCCTATAAGAGCGGACACAGTGACTTTTCCTCAAATTTGAAGCCAAACGGCCAGTCATTTGATCAAACTGCTCCAGCGGTGCAACTTGGACCTGCTCAGCTAGGAGCAGTGAGTGCAGCAGCCGATGAGTATCTACGACAGTCTCGTATGAATCCAACATCAAATATAGTCAATGCACTAGGCACATCTGTAACTGGTGCCAATACGACACGATGGCATATGCAGTATCCATTGAGGTCATCTGAATCTGCTATTGAGAGTCTATCCGCCAAACGGCTACGTAGCAGTGCAGGCATGAAATCGATTGACAATTTTCTCTGTAGTCAAGAGGCAGCAACTACTTTGGACAATGTTCCAGAAAACACATGGGATGATCTTGCAGGTGTAACAAACTTGTCCCGTACTGCTGAATTTAAAAGTCTTATAGGATATATATTTGGAGATCAGAAAAAAGGTGCTGCAAACGACCAACTGAATAGTGATGTATGTGTAGATGGATACGGCGCAGATGAAATGATCCCACTTGATTGTGATTATCCTGTATTGTCAGAGACCGATGGCATGACCGATTCTGATAATGAAAGTGAAGCAGCCGCCAACAATCGAAGATACACTTACGAAGAATTATGGCCAACAACTGAGGCTGAAATGCGTGTATGTCAAGAACTTGACTCGTCATTATCACTGGATGAAGAGGTCAATATGCTCATGTGTACAGAAAATCTCCAACAAGAATTATCCGAAGCACTTGCAACCAACTTAGTTCATCAAAACCAATAAATATATCTCTCATCTTGGCTGGTTTGTTATTGCATGTTGCAACGTGTCAGATCAGTGATTTACAGTTATATTCATGTAAAATGGAGCACTATTTCGCAATGACTGTTTGGGTTTGAAATAGTCCATGGCCAAATATCCAATATGTTTTTCTACTACAAATCGATTGCATTGTTCAATAAACACAATGTCCATTATACAAATTAAATATAGTTTTAAACTGAGTATTCTTCATTTGCAAGTCATACACCACGATCACCGGATTTCATTCATGGCAATCCAGATGTTGGGGTTGATTGTTTTCAAGTGTGTACAAACTCTTGTATCCTAATATCAGATACGTTTGCGCTCTGACTTAGAGCAGACTGCACATCTTGGGAATACATCAGCTGTTTTCATGCCAATTATTCAATGTTTGCTATAGAGTTGGAGATTAAGCGTTCAAAGCAGTGCCCATATTAGTTTCAATACATCTCATACCCTTGACACTTGTTTGGCTGTTTTATCCAAAAAGACCACAAAACCAGTGAGCTTCAAGTTCAGAGGATACAATGGTGTCCCCAGTAGGTTTAGCGAAAACTGGTTGTTTATTATGCATCTTGACGCCTCTATTAATGGTCTGTTGCGTGAATATGTCTGCAAGTGCAGTATCATGCGATGGTGGTTGTATTAAATTATGCGGCTTATATTGAATCGAGTATGAAATCTGAAGTGATGCATTGTTATGCAATTTATGTTTGGATCAGTGACCTTTGAATGACGAATGACTCGTGGAAATAGGTGTGGCATCTGAAATGCCACATTATCGCACAGTTTACGCATGGGCTTATGACTTGTGAATGCTGGATGACTCATAAAGAAGCAATCGAGATGTTGCAACCACGGCAATATCTTGCCATATGCTTAGATGCTTGCAAAATAGCTGTTATTTAAACAGCCAATCACAATTTGCCACGGTATTTGGCGTTGCCAATATTAAGCCGATTTAAACTCGCCCAGATGAGCAACTATAAAAGAAGGCCCAAGATACTACACTATTGGACTATTAGTGATTGCACTGAGCATTCTATTGTACTATTGATTTGATATTTACTTTCAAGCTACGAAAAATGTGTGAATCTGAATCGTCTTGTACTGCACCTCCCTGTCTTCGTGCTGAACATCGTGGGCATGGACATCATGGACCAAAGTCAGACTTTGTAGGGCATCACGGTCATGAACATCACGGCCATGGACATCACGGGGGTCCACATCATGGGCATCATGAAGGTCCGCATCATGGACACCACGGGGGTCCACATCATGAGCATCACGGAGGTCCACATCATGAGCATCACGGAGGTCCACATCATGAGCATCACGGAGGTCCACATCATGGACACCACGGAGGTCCACATCATGGACCAAAACCAGACTTTGTAGGGCACCACGGACATAAACATCATGGGCATCACAAAGGTCCACATCATGATCGCAAACACCATAAAATTGGTGCTTCGCTCTCTAAACAAGTTCGTAATGCCATCATTGACTTGATCAAACAAGCAGATCATCTTGACTTTGATCATCACGGAAAACATCATGGAAAACATCACGGAAAGCATCATGGAAAGCATCACGAGAAGCATTTGAGTAGTCAGCATGAACACCATGCTCATCACAGTAAGTATTTACACCATTTGCTCAACAATGTCAATCATTTTAACCAACACTTTCTCATGGAAAAACTAGAAAAGCATCATGATCTTAAACACCATGGCCCTAAGCATCATGGTCCCAAGCATCATGGTCCTAAGCGACATGCACACAAGGGAAGCTCGTCTGGATCTTCAGATTCAGATTCCTCGAGTTCAAAATCTTCAAAATCATCAAAGTCTTCGAAATCAGGATCCTCAAGCTCAAGCTCAGGATCTTCAAGCGACAGTGACTCTAGCTCGTCTACATCTTCCGCCAAAAGCCATCATTGCAAATGCTGTGCAAAAAAGTCTCAAGATGTAAAGGATGTAAAGGAGACTGTGGTGGACCAGACCGAGCAGAGCAGTGCAGTTTCTGTATCTGAACTTGAACCTGAACAAATCAAATCAGATGCTCCAAAGTCAGCCGAAGAGACTCCAAGCAAGATCTGATCAAAGCAAGCATTGGAAATGATATTTGAATCAAAAGCCTGATATGATCAAACAATTCTCATTCTGAAATAAAAATTACTCTCAATTTCATCCAACCAACTGGAATAACAAGTTTACTGTTTAATCATTTTATTCAATAGAAATACGTTGTACATTGGGGTCACTAGTGACTTCTTCCAGCCTTTCAAATTCAACATGTAGCAAATGATCAGCAAAGGAAGCACTTAGTTTGGATATATCTGCCGAGTCGGAGATATGGAACTGGCGAGTAAAGGACGTGGAGAAATTCTCGCTGTCATGGTTCCCCTTGAGTATCAGCATACGGCGGGAAGCGTCCAAATCAAGTTCCAGCTCATCCCTGGTGATTGGCTCTGGAATTGGTATTTGGTATGTGATTTTGTGGTTTGATTGTGGTGCCTGGACTGTTTTCTGAGAAGCTAGAGTCGAATCAGTCTTTTGGGTTTCAACTGTCTCCTTTGTGGTAAACTTTTGAGTTTTCAGGGCCAGAATGTCCTCGAGTATTTGGCTGGCATCATCTTTTTGGGATGTTTCTTGTTTTTCCCGAGTATCTGGACAGAGCGCATACATGGCGTAGGGCATGTGGTAGTTGGAGGTAGGCTGGCGATAGAACAAGAGCCGTTCAACAGCAGACTCGTTTGACCTTTCCCGCATAGGGACGAGCATTGGGTGATGGATTATTTGATGAGGGTTGATGCAGATCATGTTTGATTATCGACTAGAATGTATTGATGAAAAGTGAACGGGACAATCCTCCACTTTTATACTCGCAAATACCTGTAAACCTCTGCAGATCAGCTTCATGAATCCACTGGAATTTGCTAGAATTCATCCAATGCTTGCCATGACTTTCAGTGTCTGAGCAACGCGTCTGCTTCATGCAAATGGAAGTTTCGGTTGCTGTCCAGAAATTTCTAGAAGCTTAAATGTTTGCATTGAATGGCATTCATGAGTCTATAAATAACTGCAACATTCACCATGCAACCCAACAACAAACTTGATCAATCAAATACTGAAACAACATGCTTCGATTTGCTACTTTTCCTCAGTCTGTTTACTACGAACCACCAATCTATCGCCTGGTCCAACAAGATGACTCTGACCAGGACGATTCTGCGTTTGTGTCCGACTATCCCATCAGATATTGCAGAAACTGTAGAGCTCCATCTCAAACACCCGGTCTACAGCCCATCTACATTACTGATGGTTCTGCTCCAGCCATTCGTCACCAGCAACCAGTCCGACGACCACGCAAGCAGCGGCAGCAAGTATTTCGTTCTCGACCTCAGTCGCAGCGTGCTAGCATATCCGACTCTCCACTATTTCAGGACTTGTTTGAAACCGATCGTGACGTAACTGACTCTGCTCGCCTGGATGTGTGGGATCTACTGCATGAGATTCTCGGTGACTCGACAAAGCAGAAACATCCACAAGTACGACCTGATCATAAAATCAAGTCCAAAACAGAAGCGACTCCAGTCTCCAACTTAATCCGTATCAATATTGTCGATCGCGAACCAGCTGGTAAAAGCGATACAGTTGAGCCTGTGCATGTAGAAACAACCACACAACTAGACAATGTTGATAGTCATTTGAACAGTGAGTCTGCTGGTGACGAACACAATGAAACTGCTGCTTCAATGGAGATTGACAAAGAACCTGATGCTGAAACGTCACTCCTTCAACCAGATCCATCAGTGGATCAACCAGTGGATCAACCCAGTGACCAACTGGCTCAATCACCTCCATCTGAATGGACGTCGATCGATCACTTGGAACCCACGTTACTCTCAATATCACAGAATAAACACCCAGTCCAAGAAGCAGCTCAAGAAACAGATACTGCGTATATTTACCGAATGCAAATCCCTGACGGTGTGACTCAAGGCATGCTGGATGTGCAAGTAGATGAAGTAAGCAGACTAACTCATATCAAGACTCCTGGTGAATTCTCAAAGTCTATTCAGCTTCCAGACAATGCCGATCTCAGCAGTCTTTCTGCAACAATTGGCAGCAGTGATAATATTTTAGAGATTGTTCTTGACAAGATGTCTGCTTAAACTCGACCCATTTCTCCATCCAATGTTTAATAAATTTATTTTAACCATCAATTGACATTGCATAGTTTGAAGAGGAATATTAGCGAGTGTGGGTTCCAAAAGTTAGTATGCGGCAAATCAAGCTACTCCGACAGCCGGTTTTCTAAACCATTTGAGTGCGCCTAAAATATGTGGTGCAGGATAAATACCCACCAGACGATGCTCACATATTCGACCTTTTGAATCAAATAAATACTCAAACACTCCTTGGTATTCAACCTTTGTTACATTGACAAGATTCAGTAATCGTGGACGACCTTCAAATGACCACTTCACAATCAAGCGAACTTGAGATGAGTCCAGCTCTTTGTGAAGATATGTGGTTGCAGTATCAGGAGACGAGGGTCGATCATGGTTGGGAAAAGTAGAGTCTGGAGCAGAGTTTCCGTCAGATAAACCACCCGTATCGTCATTGGAATGTCCATTTGGTCTAGTCAACGTGTTGTAGTCGCTTGAATGTACTTGTCGAATGCTCATGATCTCAAATGACGTTTCTTCAAAACAGCATTTGGCCGACATGCGCACAAATTCAGCAACCGATCGATAATATTTGATTCCTTGACTTGAAAAATGGGAATAATGGGGATCAGTAAATACAATATCGTCAGCGTATATCTCTGGATGGGTAAGACCCTGCTCAAAAAAATAGGGAAGCTCGTCTCGAATAACCTGCGTAGCTTTTCCAGCATTAAGATAGAATATATCCAAGTCGTATTTATGGTGAGAAACAGAAGATTTGTAAAACTGTGACGAATCATGACCATTTGTGTGGTTTGTATGTTGATGGGTTTCAAAGGGTGTCATTGGGTTGAAAAGACCAGATGCATATGCATGTGGAGTGACACTGATATTAGATACTGGTAAATGGCGTGAAAAAGTGTTGGCAGGAAAAATACTCTTGGATAGTATAGAAGGTGGTAGAGTATGATGCTGAGTAGTAGTGATTGGATGAGTTGGTGGATTTTTATCGTCAATAGCAGAACTCTGTTGAAGCAGGTTGGAATAAGTGTTTAGACGACCAAAATCATGCAATGGAGGTAAAATTCTAAAGCCAGAAGACATATGAGAGAGTTCTAGTTCAGCTTGATCCATCTCAGAAGGTAATACAAATCGATTCATATGACGATGGTGCAATGAGTCGGAACGTTTGGTGGACCATGAGGCCAGTCCAGCCCACCAAGAGGACTGAGTTGTAGCATTCAACTGGCTGGTATTAGACACGCTGCTAAATGCATGTATACGCATATGCACTGTGCTTTGTACAAGAGAAACTCCAGTAGTTGTATTAACAAGAGCACCCACTAGTCGCAGGTTTCTACATAGTGTCATGGCTTAATATCAGCTCAACAACCTTGTTGACTTGACCTTGTATTAAAAAAAAGCCGAGTTTAAAACACTTGAAACTCATCACCAACAATCACGTGCAGTTTGATTCGATTTTATTGTAGATCAATATGCAGCACCAAACATTGCAATTCTTGTCAACTGGCAATAGTGTCGAGTTTATCGATTTATTTCGTAACCTCATGAATAGCCTCGGCAAGGTATTTAACGTTACCACTTGTGATGCCTGCAATGGAGATACGACCATCACGAGTTAGGTACACAGAGTAGTCCTTGCGAATGCGATCGACTTGCTCGGGTGTCATTCCAGAAAAACAAAACATGCCAATCTGAGAAGTGACGTGAGCCCACGAGTGCTTGGATTTAAATGTGTCCTCAAGGTGTCCACGAAGCTGAGCACGCATAGAAATAATACGATCTGCCATTCCCTTGACTTCGCCTCTCCTATATAAATACACATTTTAGTCAAACTCGATGCAAATCAACAGCTCGCATTTTATAAAAATTCATCAAGCCATGTGTACCATTGCTTGCTGAGTTTGGGATTTTTGAGAATCTCATTGACAATACGAGGTCCACTCAAAGGTGGATTAGAATAAAGAGGACGAATGATGATTTTGATTTGGGAATCAACACGCTTGGCTTCTTCCGCAGAGTCGGAAATAACAGAGAAAAGACCAACACGTTCACCATAGAGACCCATGTTTTTGGAAAAGGATTGAGCAAGCAGAATCTTGTGACCTTGAGCAACAAAGTGGCGAACGGCAAAAGCATCTACGTTAGTGTCGCCGGATGCAAAGCCTTGATAAGCCATGTCAAAGAAAGGGGTAATATTTTTGGCCTTGGCAATCTTTCCAAGTTCTATCCATTGTTCCTGAGAAGGATCGACACCTGTGGGATTGTGCGCACAGGCATGAAAAAGAACTATAGATCCGCTGGGGATTTTCTAAAAGATGGGTAAAGAACAAGCAAAAATTGATCCAGTTATTACGAGTCAAATACAACACATGGTATGAATTGACGACACATACGTTGAGATCTTCGCACATGCCCTTGAAATCAAGACCATTTGTGGATTTGTCAAAGTAGCGATACTGACCAACTTCAAGACCAGAGTCCTTGAATATGGGTGTATGGTTTCCCCAGCTGAGTATAAAGATGGAGCAAACATACAATTATAAGTTTCCAGAAATATATATAGTCAAGCTACTTACTCACCTGGGGTTGGGAATGTAAATCTTTTTGCCACCTGCACCCTGAAAATAGCGGCTAAGGAAAATGCCTCCAATACGAAGTGCACCAGTGCCAGAAATGGATTGAGCAGTGGAGATCTATATTTTAGAGATATTAAATCATAAATATAGATTTGTGACCAACCCGATACAGTACTGTACGCACACCAAAAGAATGCGGGTCCATATGTAGATCAGCAAATAATGATGTCAAATTAGATTTACCAAGCCATCCTTGAGTGACTTGCAATCTTTTCCATAAGCAAGTTCGGCAGATAGTTGGTTGAACTCGGCATCACCGGAAATTCCAAGATACTCTTTATTCATGGCTATTTTAAAGATTTTTTCATCAGCCTATTTAATTCGAACAAGTAGAGCAGGCAGATGAGGAATTTAAAGTTAGACGTGCTATAAAGATCAGTAGAATCTGGCTTACATTTCATACCAGAAAATAGCAAAGCCATTTATTAGTAGAAACATGTATGGCCCATCAATTCTGTACAAATAAATTAATAGCAAATAGACAGTACCAGAAGAACAGAGGGGAGCACATATGGCATATTCCTGTCGTCACGGTAAGCGCCTACACCCAGATTCATTTTTTTGGGGTTGGTATCTGCCTTGAAGGCCTCAGTTACTCCCAGAATAGCATCGGGAGGACCTAATAAACAAATTAAAATAAGTTGAATAAAATAGCACGGTTTTCAGTATGGAGATGCTTAATGACTGAGCATCCATAGTATATATTTACCCATAGGGACATTGGACCAGGTAGAGAGAGTAGCCGAGACAGGTCTAATATGAGGCCGTGATAGAGTGGCAGGAATGGAGACAGAGCGTCCCAGCATTCCAAATGAGACAGAGCGAGAAGAGGTGCTAGAACGAATGATCCGTGCGAGCATGGTTAGGATAGATGTATGGCTAAGCAGCCGAGTGTTCTAAAGCCATTTTAAAGCATTGAAAGAGCGAACACGATCACTTGCAGTCAGAACAAAACACTCGAGCCAATCGACTCTGCCAAAGTACTCGAACCACTTGGATCTACCAGACAAGAGTATAGATCCAACTCAGTCGTTCGTAGCAACTTGTCACGTACTAGTTTAATTCATTCCCTGTGTTACGAGTTAAATCTCAGTCATTCATAGTAGCTAAAATGAATCAAATGCTATCAGCAACACTGTAGGTTTGACTTCAATGTATAGTCATGACTATACTATACTGTTACTGAACAGTGTCATTGTTTCTACAATTTGTCTAATTCTTGTATGCTGCCATCTAGTGACCGGAAACGAATTCTTTCTCTGGTTGCTGCGTCAGCTGCTGGAGCAATCTTGCTTCAACGGCATTATGCTGCCAAAGCTAAACAGTCTCGGATAAAAGAAATGGCTCATCAGCATGTCGATACTGCTGATGGCTCGTTTAAAGTGGACAAGAGTGTCAAGGTAATCTTTTCATCGTTTTTGCTATTGTGCAATTGAGTTTTTGCATTTCATGCTGGCCAGCCATCGCGAATAACTGCCGGTTTCTATTCAACTTACATGTATCGCTTTATATTCTCCAATCAACTTTGTTGCTTAGGTGGCTGTTGATGGTCGTTTTTTTAAGCAGCTCGTGCATATTCTTAAAATATGCATTCCTTCTTGGAGATCCTCTACTGTACTTATTATTATGCTGCATACATTCTTTCTGGTGCTACGAACTCATCTGACTGTGATTGTTGCTCGAATTGAAGGTCGACTTGTCAAGAATATGGTATTTTTATTTCTCTACAAAACAACTGTTCAAGCCCAACAATTAAGCTTTCATTCTTTAGGTTGCTGCCGATGGAAAATCATTTTTGAAAGGGTTAGGGTTTTTTATGGCAATTTCTATTCCTGCCACATTCACAAATAGTATGGTGAGTCATTTCATGATATAGCATCAAGAGATTCATCTGTTTGTAATTTGAATGGCAATCTTACTACTTGGAAAACGCCAAATTTTAGATCAAATATCTTCAGTCCAAGTTTGCTGTTTCATTGAGGTCCAAATTGACCCGACACGTCCACTCGCTGTATATGAGCAACAACACTTACTACAAAGCTATTAATTTGGATAACCGTATTCAGGGTGCTGATCAGTAAAGTAGATGCTTTAAACTGCCATGGCAGGAATTTATCTAGTTTATAGGTTTTAGACTGTCGTGATTGACTTTTTCAATTCAAATTGTAATAGGTTGATTACTACGGATATCAACAGGTTCTGTATTGCATCTGCAAGTCTTTATTCCAATGTAGGAAAGCCGTTATTGGATATCATTATCTTCAACTACCAACTTGCTCGAAGTATTGGCATGAATGGAATGTGGGGATTGGCACTCAATTATGTCATTACTGCCGTGATTTTACGAGCCGTGACTCCGCCGTTTGGTAAAATGGCCGCAGAAGAAGCTAGGCTTGAAGTATGGCAATCTGTTATGATATAGCACTGCATGTTCCACAATATACAATCTAATAGTTACTAATGGGTTCTGAACACATAGGGTGATTTCCGCAGTGCCCATTCTCGTCTCATCACTAATGCAGAAGAAATTGCATTTTACAATGGCGAAGACCTTGAAAAATCTATTTTGGACAGGACCTATTCAAATCTGATCAAGCATATCAACGATATATACCGTATTCGGATTGTGTACAATATGTTTGAAGATTTCCTTATCAAGTACAGCTGGTCGGCTATAGGATTGATTATTGCTAGTATTCCAGTGTTTTTCCCTAACATGGCTGGCGACCGAACTCGGAGAGAGGAGCAGGCTTTGATGGATGAGATAAAGATTTCCGAATGCGGGGAAGTGGAGGGAGAACTCGAGATTTCAGGAGTAGTCAAGTCAGATAGTTTGTTTACTGGTAATAGAACCCAGGGTTTTATTACCAACAAAAGGTAGGATAGGCTATGCTGGAATGTATGGTGTTCAAACTGCTCCACTTTTAGCTCTTCAATACCTGGCCATTACCAAGACTCACATTTTAAATTTTAGACTCATGGTATCTCTTGCAGATGCAGGTGGCCGTATTATGTACTCGTACAAGGAGCTGTCTGAGCTTGCTGGATACACATACCGCGTCTACAATATGATCCGTGTTCTCGAGGACCTAAATAAAAACAAATTTGTGCGACCAGAAACAACCAACAATTCGCCATACTCGATTGAACAGTGCAACGGCATTGTGGAGTATAAAGAAAAAGGTAACACATCTGGTAATGGTTGAATGTGAGACAAGACTAAGATTTGACTGTTTTATATTTCTTAGCGGGAATTTCATTTAGTCATACGCCGATTGTTACACCTTATGGAGATACAGTCTTGGTGGAGAACCTCACACTAAATATTATGCCTGAAAGTCATTTGATGATTACTGGACCCAATGGTGCTGGAAAATCCAGTATCATGCGCGTGTTGGCTGGCATTTGGCCTCATTTTGCTGGTACCATTGTACGACCCTTGCCTGAGCTTACCTCAATCATGTACATCCCACAACGACCCTATCTTGCAATTGGCACGTTGCGTGATCAGATTATTTATCCGCATTCATACAAAGATATGCAGCATACAGGACGAACAGATGCCGAATTGCAAGACATTCTCAAAATTGTATACTTGGATTACATTCCGACGCGTGAAGGTGGACTGGATGCAGTCAAGGAGTGGAAAGATGTGTTTTCTGGAGGTGAGTTTTAGGATACATGGTTTATTGCATTCTAATTTTCACTGCCATGAATACACCTGTAAATAATTTTGGATGTCTTTTGCAGGAGAAAAGCAGCGTATTCAACTTGCTCGACTGTTTTACCACAAACCCAAATTTGCAATTTTGGACGAGGCGACATCAGCCGTGTCTAACGACGTCGAATCTCTCCTCTATACCTCTGCAAAAGAGGCTGGTATGACGCTTATTACGATATCTCATCGACCCTCGTTATTCAAATATCACCCATATCTACTGCGTATAGGTGAAGGGGCAACACAAAAGATGTGGGCATTGGAAAAGATTGGCACGACCAAGTCGTTGGTAGAAAGTGTTGCGTCGGAGATCAAAAAACTCAAAGGACAGCTGGGTAATATGGATTCTTTGCGATCGCGGTTGAGCGAAATCAATCAACAATTGTCTTTGGATATCAAGGGTGAAGGATTGAAGCATGCCAACCGGAATTTGATTTGATGCAGATGCGTGCATGTGAAATGAATGTGCTTTTCAACTATTTCAAGATTGGTTTTTAGTATTCAAAATTAATCAGCCATGCAGAATATGAAGAGTATCGCAGAAAACAGCTCTAGATTTATTCAAATACTTTGATATAATAGGGAAATACTAATAGAGATCAAACCAGCAAGTAGAATAGAAACGATCCAAAAGATAAGGGAGTTGAGATGCGAAGTCGTGTAAAATGAAAAAACAATATATATACAAAGTACGAAGATACCATTGTGACAAGTGAAAGACTAGAAATAGTCTGTAAAGTCCTTGACAGCACCATTTAAAAAATGTTCAATAAGATACAAGTAAACATCACAGTGATAATGACAATCGCTTTGATGGCCTCATTGCTGTTTCAACTGTAGATCGTTTGGAGCGTTTTCCAAATATATCTGTTTTCTTTGAGCTGTGCGGAATAATACCATCAAAGCTGAAATCTGTGGCAAAATTGGATGTGGTGGGTGAAGTAGAATGACTCGTATCAGCAGTAGCTAAAGAAGAAGCCATCAGTTTTCTTCTTGATCCACGACCTCCAACCGTGCTCGGAAAATAGTGTACCCAAGACTTTGAGTGAAATGTCCTGAGTTTGTGTAAAGCAGCCAAAAGATAGGTTCTTTCTTCTTCAGGCTGCATCAAAACAGCGATTTCTATTCGCTCCAGATCAGCCATCAGCTCGGTATAAAATGTACCAATAGTTTTGAATTGAGCTTTCTCGATACGATCTAAATAGTGATCCAAAACTGCAGTTGGATTGTTTGCAGAACCATTGCTATCGGTAGCTGGAGCAACAGATGATGAAATTAGCGCAAAGATATCAATATATTCTGGCTGAGATTTGAACGATTTCACAATATAGCAGAGAATTTCTCTTGCGTAATCAGAAGGCGAGTCTGATTCTAACTGCGGACACGATTTGGTAGGCCATTTTCCGGTGCTCATGGCTCGAGAAAAGTGACCATGAGCACCATTGATATGCGTAGTATCGGTTGGAGTATTTGGGGTAGTGACTGATGGTGTGGTGGTAGTTTTTTCTCCGTCAGTAATAGCAATGCTGCTGGTGGTAGATCCAGGGCTAAAACCATCAGATTTAGCAGTGTTATCCGACGCAGAGTTGAAGCAAATGGCCGACATATCTACGCCACTATCCATCTGTAAAGCAGAGGTGTTGACGTGAATTGATTTTTTTGGAACTTGTCTTGGAAAATCATAATTGATTAAATTGGTATCTTTAGATATTTTTGGTATAGAAACTGGCTGGATCATTGCATGTGTACTAGCTGGGGTATGCTGTGCAAGGGAACAGACAAAAACTGCACGATGTGCAGTTTTTTCAGTCAGAAACGACTCTTTATCCACACTTGATAATGAACAATGCTCTATGGAACTAGCATTGGTAGAGTTTTGAGTAGATGACTCGGATACCAATGATGGAGGTTTCAAAACAATTACTGCGCGCTTTCCAATGGCTTTTTTTGTCTTGCTTGATTTGGCAGTAGACAGCTCTTTTGCACTATTGCGAGCAAGATTGCTACCTCCTGCAGCATTTCCATGCTTCAAAGTGCCATGTTTACCACCACAAGCAGCCTTGAATTTTTGAGATGTATGACTACACTTTGCAGTATGATCAGCCGACGCATTGTAATGGCAAATACGAGGAGTTAATTTTTGAACCATAGTCTCGTTGGTAGATAAAGCGCAAGACCATATCGACAACAATGCCTCTACAGAATCTCTTTCTAACAATCCAATATCTTCTAGTGGTGCAGTATCGGGTTTGGAAGAAAACGATGCCAAACGTGGAGGTTTTGAAGGGTATACTGTAGACGAATCAGACTGATTCTGGTGCATGCTTTCTACTCGGATCATGACGGTTGGAGTCTTTGGAGCATTTGTAAAGCGTGACTGCATGGATGGCAATGCGATTGGAGATTTTTGTGGCAATATTTTGAATGTTGACTGTAGCTGTGGGTAGGATGGCGAGCCAGACTCTGTCATATCTAAATCAGAGATGCACTCATCAAAAACTTGATCTGAAGGGCGTAACACTCGGTTGGAATCTCCACTTAGACCCATACTTAGATTGCGATAGAACAAACCCCACAAGAAATTGTGCTCGGCAGGTAAACAAGACTCATGTTTTGACCGATTGGCCATAATGGGCAAGGCCATCATCAGCATATCTCGCAGTGCATCAAAGATTCCAAACGAGTGGTCAAAAAGCGATGCTCTTTCAACATCCATATTGTAGCCTAATGTACTTTCAATAATATCGCAGACGATTGTAAATGTGTGTTTGTTCTTTGGGAATAGTTTGTAGAGTCGATCAATCACTATAAGGTAGTTGATTCTAATACAACAGCACATGAGAAAAAGATGACAATCTACATACGAACAGCCATGCCAGAATCTTACACTTGACGGTCGAAATCCCTTGCTAGCTCAGAGATGGAGTGACACTTTTGCTGGTTAAAGTAAAACTTCTTGAGGGAAGCGTTCAACCAGTCGGAGGCCATACAGAATACAAGTCTAGACAGAGCGATTGAAGGGATGATCTCGATGGTTTTAAATGGGCTTGCAAGGGTGAGTCGAGCCAGAAACACAAGTGGTGATGACAGTCAAGGACAAGACCTGCACAGTTGATAAGAAGCTTCCTGATAGCTATTTACAGCAAATGACAGTAGCTGAATAAAGGCTGGAACCAGTCTTGAAGGAATCCGTTGCACTTACAAAAGGGAATACACTAAAGTTTGTCAGTAGAGTTTCAAGGACAGATTGGAGTCTAAACTGAATATCGTTGATACAATTAAAGACTATATCTCAGTCTCTACAGATGGCCTAAATGGTGGGAGTGCAAGTCGTTGCAAAGTCGAAATTTGAACTTTATCAAGTGAAGCGCCAATTGAATGTCCAAATTGATTCTTGCCAATACAAAACCTGCTGTTTCTTGCAAATACTTTAAGAAACTCTCAAGCCAAAGTAGCACTAAGTTGGTTTAGTAAAAGACAACTCCAGTCTGTCCCGCTTGGTCCAAAAAGTTAAAACAAGTCGGCAAACTCGGACGCGTCGGAATGTTAATGTCCAACACAAGATGTTAGTATGACTGACATTCTTAGTCTAGCCAGTTGCTCTGAGTTGCTGTTGTGTTCTTGCAAACTGAAACACTAGAAAAGGGTGTCAAATTGTACCATAAACAGTCATGAAATGGCAATTCGCATCGCATTGACTGAACAATATTTGTCTTTTAAACTCGCTAATTCTTTGGTTTTGGTGCTCATTTTGATGATTGAAATAAGTTGCATTACTGAGACGTGGGTTTTTTGTTGGCTTGAACTAGGGTGTGAGTATATCTGAAAGTTTTAGGATACAACAATCATGAGTTTGGTCGAAAACAGTCGAGTTTGATATTTGAGTTGTAATACATGAATCTGTGTTCAAACTTGTTGATTGTACAATGTATGGTTACCAAATGTGCACAAAGTATAGATTCAATACTATAATCTGATTGTGTCATATGATGGTTGTTGTATATCAAACAAGTAGTCAATGTGTAGTAGCAACCAACTGTTTATTTCACACATCAACACTGTTATTTAGTGGTCCATTTACATCAATACTGCTGTTAATACTACACCATGCTGAGTAAACATTGCATACATTACACTGCAAACTGACACAACACTAATTGACCAATATCGAGACTGTTGATGGCATAATCTACATCCGACTTTGAACAGGTGTATTGCTCCGTTTGTTGTACAATACACGACATGGTCAGTTGATGGTATCATGCAACCATGCAACTGACAAGTGATGGTAAGTCTGACTGATAGTTACAATCAACACTGGTTGTTATCATGTCATTGATGTATATGTAACAAACCATGCCAATGTATCAATCAACAACCCAGTAACTGTTGATGTAATACCAAACACAGTATACACAAACATACAGTATGCAATCAATAATACGGTTATTGGCTCATTCACAATACTCGACAAATATCAACACATACCAGAAAGCTTAAATTTATTCAAAATCAAATTCATCGATACCATCATCAATCTGAATCTGATTCTGGTTCTTCAAATTTCAAACTATGCTTTCTCATAAACCTTTTCAAGTCTTGTCTGATACTGGATGCTTTTGTGCTTAGCTTTCTAAACTCTTGTTTCAATTGGTCCTCAACTTCTAGGGTGTGTCTTGATTCAGATATTTCTTCCCCTCTTGATAACGCTGACTGTTGTCCCAATCTAATATTTGCATATGTATAATATTCTTGGTGTTTTTGTTTTGCCATTTTTTTAAACAACACAAGTCTTTTTATCATACCATCCAAGGTTCTCTGAAACTTTTTGTTTAATCCAGTCGCTTGATTTGAGCCAGCATTGGCAGAGTTGCCATGGGTCATTGGTTGTTGTTGGTATTGACTGGAAGTGCTTGGACCGGCTCGATCAATTGGTTGTTGCTGGTCTTGGTCATAATTTTTTGAAACGACTGCATCAATCGTTTTTTGCCAGTCTTCTGGAGTCCTTGAACTGATTTCATTCATCATGAGTTTCCAATATCTTCCAGAAGTGTTTGGACTAGGTTGGTTCATTGGATGTTGTTGGATTTGACTGGAAGTACTTGGACTGGGCTGATCAATTGGTTGTTTCCGACCTTGTTTGGAAGTACTCGGACCAGCTACATCAGTTGGATCTTGTTGATCTTTGTCAGAAGTGGTTAAATCGATTACATCGATTGGGCGTTTCCGGCCTTGTTTGGATATATTTGGACCAGCTACAATCACAGTCGGTCGGTGGTTTTGACTAGGAGTATTTGTATTGGGTTGATCCATTGGCTGTTGCTGGATTCGGTTAGGAAGACTTAAATCCATTGGCTGCTGTTGGTTTTGGTTGTGAGTACTCAAATCCATTGGTTCTTGCTGGTATTCATTGGAAGTAACTGGATTGGGCTCATTGGTTGAACCAGACACTTGACTGGAAGTGTCTGATGCTTTGGGTGAACCATTGTTATCAGTTGGGATCAGTATTGCATTAGCAGTTGCTGCCGCGGTCAGTAAGAATAAAATGTCGATGAATTTCATTGAGCTGACAAGTCTAAACGATTAATACAAAAACAGAGTGTCGAGACTGATGTCGAGTATAAAACTGAATGTATTGTATTTATACTTTTGTATAGTAGACCAACCCTTTTAGGTTGACCGACTACACAGAGTTACTTGATTGCTTGTAGTGGTTTACTATCAAACTAAACAACATGCTGCTTCCTAGTCATAATATTATATTGACCAATCTGATGATGCTTTTACAACCCTTTGCCAAGTGTTTTGAGAAACACGTCCTTCAAGGGTGTTGTGTAGCCTTGTAGACGCTCCCTTTAGTCGTATTCATGTGAAATGGATCACTTGTATTCATTGTGCAATGACTGTATTCTGTGTTGCAATATACAATAGTTACATGTTCAGTTGGCTGCTACTACACATTGACTACTTGTTTGATATACAACAACAACGATCATATGACACACAATCAGACTATAATGTTGAATCTACACTTTGTGCACTCTTAGTAATCATACATTGTACAATCAACAAGTTTGAACTCACATTCATGTATTGCGTTTAACTGTCGATGTTGTAAATATAACTCTGTACACTCATTTGTTGTATTTATCACCATCCAACTCAATCTCACCATTTCAATCAATCTTGGTCAATGTTGATGATTTACACGCCAATTCATTATCCAATCTTGTCTGACATTATTATTGGCTTTAATCACGTTTGGTTTGTACAACTGCCATGAGTTGTACTACCATTATCATTGTGTATCTGAACACCAAATATTCCAATACATCAATAATACCACAGTGTAAACAGTAATACAGTTGATCAGTATTGTGGCAAGACTTTTCATTCAAGTTTGTATTTGGAAATACTCGATGGTTTAATCACAACACACTATTTGTAATGCGATTGTCATTGATCTCATTCTAGTCCATTTGATTCCATCTGATTTATGATGATGTTTAGTAATCCATTACCATGTGTTGTAGTAAACTAGTTTGTTTATTGAACCAAATCTACAACAATCACATTCAGAATATTAATTTACAGTATTTCTAAATGCATGTTTGATAACAATCCAATTTTGTTACAACAAACTGATTAAAACAATACTAAAATGGAACAACTCGTTTGTGTGTTTTACAACAATCCAAACATGAACAATTGTTGGCAATTGTTGGACATTCGCATGAATGAAATTATCAAATCAAAATTTGATCAAAATTCAACTTTACTAATTTTATCAAACATGCGGTCGAATGATATCATGAAAGAGTTGATCAAACACCTGGAAGATTTGAAACTATTAACAACGGATGCTCAACTATACAAGGCTGATGAAATATGGGACAGACTGCTTGTATTGATACTGGAGCTGTACAATCAGAATCGCAGTAAGTTTAATAGCAATTGGATTATTGATGAATTCAAACTGTTGCTGACTTTGTGTTGGTTTGAAATGGTAGGGTCTACAGATGCACTGCAGCGCTTACAGAGTATTGAACTGCAAGATATCATAACCAAGTATTTGGAGTATAATCGACCCAGTTTACAGGTATTCATATATTGTAACAATAATGGATTGTTCATGACTAAACTAATCAACATGTGTTGTGTAGGTCAAAGTAATGGAGTTTACTAAAGTATTTTTGAGTATTGTACACTATGATGATCAGTTCAAAATATCACATCGATTAAGCAACCAAATTGTACAACTCATGCAATCACCAAGCCGTCAAGTCAAAATGGCGGCAAGTCATGATTGATATTGATTAAATGATTGTCATTCAACTCATCTAGTGTCAATATGCATATAGACGCTAAACGCATGTACAGAGTTGCTCAGTTATAGACGCTGGAGTGAAGAGAATGGATTTGACATCAAGCCAATGGTTGAGATTATTGTTCACGAGTCCGATCAAGAAGTGCTCGAATTGGCAATTGACCTGTTCTTGGAAGTTTGCCATAATATTGACGATGAAAATGTATGTTTACAATGATACAATATTGGATCAGTTTAGACAGTGTCTTGTCATGTCATGTTGATCTGATTGTATACTTGACATTGAACAATATCATTAGTTTGGCATCGTGTTGTCAAGACTCGTTTCACGACTGGAATCATACAATGGTTCAGTTGCTGCTGGTTTTATCAGTAGGCTCAAAACCATATTTTGTAATATTTATCGTCATGACCCAGTAAAAGCAGTGGAATGTGGCATCATTCCAGCAGTAGTCAATACGCTCAGGTATGTGGTGTTATGCATGAATGTGTGTCCAGTCATCACAATTGGTAAATTTGACATGGTTGGATTGATATGACATGAATACAGGAGTGTCGATCAAAAAGTGATTTATGAAAGCATTGTTGCTATTCGGAGTTTATGCAAACATGCAGGTTGTGAAATAGTTTCAGCCGAGTTTATAAGATCGGGGTTGATCCAAACACTTAGCAATTTATATATCAGATGGACCGGCAGCTCTGTACTAAAGCCACACATGATCGAAATAGCAGGAAGAGTTGCGTCCAATACACGTTACTTTCCTGTATCGCTTGTACGATCGTTGATTTTTGAGCAATTGACTATATCGATGTGTAATCTCAATATGGGTGGCTTTTTGTACCTGTTTGGATATGTCAACAACATGATTGAGAAATCTAAAAACAAGGCCGAGATGATCAAGGCGTTTCAAGAATATGGAATTGTGCAGCAACTCAACACTATTATTTCACGTAGAAGTATAGATCTGTATGATTATAATGGTATTGTAAAACTAATCAAGACACTTGTTGATTTTGCCGACAATCATCCAGACAGTTCAATATGTACCGAGTTGGATCAAGGCAGGATATTTGAAAGTCTAATGGCTATTGTACAATCGGATACTGCTGACTACAGAAACAAAAGGGTTGCTGAACAGACCATTGAAATGTATTTCCAGCATCGGGTTAATGTTGCTAGTTCGGACATTCAGCCATACAACGACAATGCCGAAATTGATATGAAATCTGGAATGGCCGGATATACACATGGAAAGGCACGCACACTTGTCGAGATGCAGTATATCCAGTATCTGCAATGTATACTTTGCAAACCCATGTGGTGGATCGATATCACAAACCAGCATATTGTGGAGCAATGGAAGGCTGACTCACTCGATCGGAATATATCACCATCAACATTTAATCTTGCATTGGAACAACTCGGGTTTTTTGTCAAACAGCTTGTTTGTAATGGCAGTGATGGATTTGGCACAATTGTCCCAGGACCTGTTGAACTGACGTATATACTGGACAACGGCATACCTGACAATGTATACACGCGATTGATGACAAATGTATCGGATCTTGAACATGGATCAAATCACAACACTGGTCAAATGGTGCACAATCTGATTGATGCATCAATGTACAGTGTTGTATATGGACAAACGATGATTGCACCACTGGATATACGACTCAAATACACCACAATGGTACCATGCGATATATTGCTATCGACTCGACTTGTTTCAGATATGCCCATCATTGAAGGCAATTCCGAGTTTATATCACTCAAGTCTCAATGTCTTCCGAGTGAATTCCGTGTCGAACAGGATGACAGTGTGACCATCAACTCATACATCAACAATCTGAATCCGATATGGCATCGAGACATGTACAAATGCATTGCCAAAATATTTAAATGTTTTGTCCCAATGTTTGAAAGTCTGTTCAGAACGATGGATCCAATGTTCAAGTATATTAATATTCGCAATGGCACAAAGGGATATGAACCGTCAAGTCAGTCATATCGTGGTGGTATGGAACCAGACACTCGAGTCATTCGTCCCGTGTATGTACCAACACTTCCGGAAAATTTTGAATCCAATTATGAATCAGCAGAGCCAGTGTCACTGCGTGGTCGTAATCTGCAAGTCATTGTCAAACTCACCAACATTCAACTGACACCATCCAAACCTAAATACGACGAGGGAAACTGGCACATTGAAGGTCCAATTAACGAATCGATTGTTGCAACTGGACTGTATTACTACGACGTGGAAAATATCACCACACCCAAACTCGATTTCCGCGAGGCTGTCGATTTTGAATATCAAATAGCATCTGAGATGTATTGGAAAGATGTGTATGGCATTATTAATCGAGAATCACGACGCAATCAGTATATAGGATCGCTTGAAGTATCAAATGGTCGATGTGTAGTTTATCCCAATCGATATCAACACAAAGAACAATCATTTGAACTTGCAGATCCAACTCAACCAGGACACTGCAAGATTCTGACATTTTTTGTAGTGAATCCATCTCGTCGGATTGTTTCGACTGCACATGTGGCTCCACAACAACCACAATGGTACAACTCGAGTCTTGACAAGACACCCATACCGCCTGAACTGTGGAATGATGCCACGCAGTATATTCAAGGTGTTCAATCACCAGCTAAAGCCAAACGCTATCAAGATGAATTGACAAGTGACCGAACTCGAATCATAAAGGCATACAACAAGGACATATATGAGCGGGTGTATAATCTTGATCGTTGGCGGTGAATTGTGAGGTTGTAATTTATACAACAATGAGTTGCAATGCCAGTCAGATCTATGCAATCAAATGGATCGAATAAATTGAATCAATCATGCCAATCTTGACAGTGATTGTTGATTATATTGACTGATTGTGTACAATTGATTGATACAAGTGATATGGATGCATCATTTGGTGTTGTTGAATCAGATCATTGCTTGATTCTGTCAATGTGATCAAATGGATTACTACAAAACTGGACATGCTCAAGTTGAATCAAGTATTGAATCGAGTATTGGATTGATATTTACACACAACCACAATTACAACCACAATTGCAATCAGCACAGTCTGAATATTAGACATTTGAACATCACATATCGAGTTGTGGATAAATGCGAGTTGTCATATTGGACTGTTTTTGTAGTTTATTAATGATTTGATTCACGACTGTTTGAATTCAAGGCTCAATATGGATTACAACTGGATTGTCGTTGTTTCCATTTGGAATGCCAAATCTGTCAATGTGTTGATTGATTCCTAGTTCATTGACCAATCCATTGATCAGTAATTGTTCAAATCAAAGTTGTATCCGAGTCGAGTTGTCAATCAGGATACCGTAACCTGACATCCAAACGATTATTCAAACGATTGTCCAAACCATCAATGATTGCCAGAATAAGCTTTGCGACTCGACTGCAATAACCACCACAATCATGGTCAGGTTAGTATGTTGATCCGTTTACAAAGTTCCAATACTGCAACAGATTCAACATACTCTTGAAAATGCTGCACACCACATGAATCCAGCAAACCCACTGATGAATTGAACCAATCAATTCATCAATGACATGACTCGATATTGGACATCGAGTTGCACACAGTTGGTAAAAAGTCACCGACATGCTCAGATAGTCAAACCTTGACTACAGGTTGATATCATCACCCAACACACCAAATACAACACACAATCTGGACGACTATTGGATCATATTGTGGATATCAATCAACGTAGCTACTGGTTCCAAACAACCATGTAAAATCATGTACAGTCATTACAGGACAATATGATACATTTCTGAATAGCATGTTGTAATCAACACGAGTGGAGTTGTGCAATAGACTTGTCATGGTTTACAATAGTTTGATATGAACATGATGACTCGGACTCTATTCAGTCGCATCAACTCGACTACAATTGGTCGTGTATATTATGATTGACACGATCAATTGTAGTCGAACTCGAATACAGATTGACTGTTGAATCACAATGCGTGGTATCAGCAACATGATGTGCTATATAGTGGAATGTATACGCTAATCTGACATGTGTCATGTAGTGTGTATTCGATCAATATGGGTATTAGCAATCAACAAGTCATACGATGTTTGTGTTCGAGTGATGCAATGGAATACAATGGAGTGGAGTGGAATGAGTGTATCAATCCAGAATACGAGTCAACCATGACATATGATCATGATATGTGGTTGATACAACTATAGTGACAATCGATATTGATATATCTACAACATGAAATGCCAACACAACGGTTGCAAGTCATTGATCACCAATGTGACATTGTGGTTTCAACATGAACTGCATTGTATTGATTCAGTTGATTGATTGAATTACCGAGTAATATGCAGTGATGATTGATCGTGTCGAGTTGAATGCAGAATATCACCAAACCACGACATGTTTGAACCATGCCAACCACAACACATATTGATGACCATTCAACAACTGAATATCAGCTCAGTTGCATATAGTTTTGTTTAAACATGCATTTGTTCATATTTTGGCACACTGACCCTTTTTAGGGTGGATAAGGGTGGAATACACAATAAGCTATACGATACTCGAATGCATAGTCAAGTTGCGGTTCAATCAATATTGCGGTTGTTATATAAATGGATATCCCTTCAAAGTTGGATATTGATGTCAAATCACCATCAACCCTGACAATAAAGCCAATCCCTTAGGACGGTCATCCAATATGCTTTTAATATTATCCGTTCAATAGCCGATATAAATACGATCCAGCCTTGCTTGTTCAATACCAATCATTACAACCTGCTCAACCAAACCAAACCAATACAATGAAACTCGCAGTCACAGTATTGGCATCGATCCTGTTTGCTTGCTCGGTTACTACAGCCAAACCAGTCAATCCCAGTGCAACTACAAGTGCTGAAGCTAGCACTTCAACCGTCACTCCCAGTGCACAAGTTACACCTTCAGTTGATCTTAGTAAACTTTCAAAGGATGATGTGGAGTTGTTTGGAGAATATCTAGAAGCGGATCAAGAATATGAAGAGATAAAGAAAGCGCGTGACTCGGCCAAATCTGAAGAGCTCAATCAAGAAAAATTGTCAAAGCGCCTAAGTGAAGAGAATTACAAGCTGTTCATAAAATATCTGAACAACAAGGATGATCCAGAGTATCAAGAAGAGAAAGAAAAAAAAATGCTGAAGATTAGAGAAGGGAACGAAAAATTCTTCAGCATTCAAGAAGAGCGTCTGAAACTCGATAAAGATTTTTGTTACGCTGATTGGTCGCTTCGTTTAGCCAGAAAAAAACTTGCAGAGCTCCTGTTCCAAAATGATCCGAATGCAGCATCACTGGATTCTCGAATCGAATTTCTGAAATCAAATCGCAATTTTGTTGAAGGTATCTACCAATCTCTTATTCTCCAACTAAACAAACAGCCAAAATCCGAGCAAGCCTCTACTAGTGGAACCCAGAACCAATCACAACATCATAAAAGTCCATCATCACCAAGCGAAGCGTCTACAGTTCAACACACTCAAGCATCATCCAGTACACAAAGAGCTTCCAAATCCCATTCTCGTTCTCGTTTATGGAAAACTTCCAAATCCAAGAATGAGCGCAAATCATTTTTGAGTCCACCCAGTTCTGAAGATTCAGATGAATCACCCGTTTGATTTGATTGCTAATCTGAACTGGTTTTGACTGACTCGATTGTGTTTTTATTTGAATAAAATACGATATGATACAATATGATTACCATTTGATATTTGATATTGGAAGTACATGTATGTGTGTATCGTGTCGATATGATATTGCTTGACATGTCATATTGACACATACAACACCAATACCAACAATAGTCATGTGTGTCGATATCAGATCCAACCAATTTGACTGGTTTGACTCGTTGATTGTGGTGTCAAAATGGTTGCATCAATAGCCTGACTGATTACACACATCAGTTGCAGTGTCAACTGTGTAGTGTGTCAAGTATCACATGTTGAATATGCAATGCCAACAATATGGTCATTATGCACATGTTGATGTATTCAGTGATCGTATACTGGTCGATTGGTGCAATATGATCACACACCAATGGAATGTAATAATCATGATATTTGCAGCAGTATACCATATTGCAACTGTTGATATCGCGCATCCAGTATCGACATGATCATCCAGATATACAGTGATGGATTCAAACAATGCATACAATGATTGATACACTTGGATCATGTATATTCAATCAATACCATGTATTACCAATACAATAGTATGCGTGATCATCGTGTACCAAACAACTACGATACACACTGGACTGATCCAATACACGAACGGCTTGAACATATCACACAATCAAACATGGACACACCACATTAAATATACATATAGTATCAGTTTGTCATTAATGAATTGTATTCAGTCGAGTTTATTGAGAGTCTGTTTGTGACTTTTGACAGTGTGGTGAGTGTTTTCAGGTACAACTACTTGATCGTTGTAGTTGATGATTATTAACACCGAAAGTCCTGACGTACATCATCCATGCAACAATAACCAGTTTTATTGCTATATATCTGTTTATCCATCAAATTTCTCATAATTAGGCTTTGAATGCTTACTACCACGACGAATACTACCAAGTCGCGAAAACGATCTCCTGAGAGTAGATCTGCCATCTGGAATTGAAGTACTTGGTTGTTCAGGAAATCTAACAATATGCATCAAATTCATGATCAGTATCAATCAACACATGCACACATCAATATCAAACAACTTACTGTGATGGTGACCAGATCACTCGATAACCGTTTGAAATAATAGGATATCCATCAGTCGAGACTTCGCATCCACATCCAGAACCAAATCCAATGCGTTTATGTGTTCGATCAAATGTGACTATAAGTCGGGCCATAAATGATGTACCAAGAACTGCATTGTCATTTGGACCAGCTTGTACAGCAAACAGGACTATAATTCAGCAGGTATATCAGTCAGGTTAATCAAACAACACATATTGCATACAATTGTCAAATATTTACAATCTTTAGAATTATAGCTTCGTAAATAGTCTTTGGGACCCAGTTTGATCGTTACAACGGAATCGTGGTTGTCATCAGTTACAGGAGTTTGAGCAAACACTGTAATTGTAATTGTCGGCAGCTTGACCCAATCGATATTATACTTGGATTTAGTCATTAGATGGTTGTTCTGTAGCTTCTTTTTAATTATTATTTTGCCGAGCTTGCTACTAATCATAGTATTCTTGATAGTGATCGCACCACTATTAAGGATATCATTGATCAGCACATCCACGACTGCTTGAGGAAAACGCATATACATAAAGCATGTATGTAGATATGAATACAAAGCACGTCCATTTTCCACAACTTGCTGAAATTCCTCGGGTAGATCCACTTGTTTGCCATTGACTAGTACACTCTTGATGTTGACAGTAAAATAATCGTTTGTCGGTGAATTTACCCATGCAATACTCCTTCCATCCGTTCCACATTTTTCAGCTACGTCCGTATTTCCTATATTGATGAAACTTTTTGAAGTCATTTCATACGGACATAGTTGAATGCCAATCTCGTTATTAGGAATAACACCATAATTGTACAAAATATCCATTGCAGTGGTTGGTGGATGATGCTTTGACAACGAGAAATAGGCAAACCCAAATACTCCTTGCTTGAGTTTTCCACCAATGCCAACTAGATCTGGCGATTGTTTTTGGATTGCTAGTACAGGTAAATCAATGTCAGTTATCCCAGTACCCGGAATCGTCACAGCTGCGTCGGAACTAATTCCTCTATACTCTTTGCCTTTGTAATTTATAGTAACGGGTTGCCCACTTGGAGTGTGTTGCGGAGTCAAACCTACATCGTTGCTTGAACTAGAAAGTGGTACAACTATATCGGAAAATGATGAATCGACTTGTAAACCCAACTATTTTAAACAAGTGTGAGATTGATTCAACGTGGTACAAATTGATATCAAACTACAATAAATGACATGATACATACATCAACTCCATCAACATTGACTTTAATTGTGAAACATTGATCAGCATCATGACCCAACTCAACGGGTGATCGTTTTGATAGCCTATTGTTTGACTGACTGTCAATTCCAATTGGTGATTCTAATGCAAGTCGAACTGCAGCAACCGCCTGTAACGCAAATATAACGCATTCTAGAGTAATCAGCATTGTATCGAGTAGTGTGATGGAAAGCTTCGAGTCTGGTAGATGACTGCCGTTTTATAATGATGGTCTGCAACTCAGCAATAATCGAATTGTATTGACCAACATTCCGAATGGAATCTGAACATGTGTGTATACACAATGTGACATGATCTGACAGTGTTTGAGTGGTTATTTAATGGTTATGTAATCAACTCAGTCGTGCATACAAGTTTGATATGGTCGTGTCAAGTCAAGACAATGGTCGCATTACAATCAAACTCGATCTGAACATTGAATATCACAATGTCCAAATTAAAGTTTCGAGTCAATTTAACTGTCTTTATCGAGAAAATGGTATCGAGTGTCTGCTATATATTACTACGCATACAATACTAGTAGTATATCAAGAGCATCTAATGGCACCGTTTTTCTTGGATGAGAATGTCGACTAAAATCAGCTGAAAGAAAAATAAATCATATTCAAAACTAAATAAATCTCAATAAATTTGTTATTTCTTTTTCTTTTTTTCCAACCTTTTAGTTATATGATGAGCACATTGTACCGATTTGCATGTCACTTTCCTCAAGTAAACTGTTTCCTTGTGCTATTGTAACAATATCACATTGTCTACGCTACTATTCTACACCTAAAAAAGTATTGAATCTATGGATCAAGCACAATAAAAGTACATCCGCCAAAATCCCCATCAAGAACTGTATCGGCATTGACGACTTGGCAGACAAGGTCAAGCAAAAATTCGACACCTATTGCCAAGTCGTTGTTTTTTAATTCACCGACAAGCAACACATCAAACCTAGGATGTCAATCAAAAGACTGCTCAAAACACATCTCATCAACACTAGTAAATACTTTTATTTGTTAAAATCATCCCGCTACTCGGGACTCAATTTCAACAAAAACTATATACATTGGACAAACTGATGATGACGGATACTTTACTGGTGAATACAATCAAAAAATACTCAGAAATGACCATGATTGATAAAGGTTATTAAAAATTCAAATGGTCCTGTTCATCATTCCTCACCAGACAATGTATTGCTTAGTTTCGATGGTATCAAGGATGGGAAAAGTATCAACTGTACAAGATGGCTCAACCTTTAATCATGGCAAAAAATAAGCGGACGCAATGGAGATACAGACACTACTATCCATGAGGACTTTTTTGATGGAGAAACTCGAAACCTCCTCCATCAATTTACCTACAAACAGACAAGTATATGCAAGCTTTTAGATTGACCGATTGATTGATTGTGTCAATACCGATTCCCAATATGTAATAGCACGACTAAGATGAATGGATAATCATGGATTTAACATTTCCACTCACGAATCCACTCAGTGTGAACATAGTATTGCAATAAAGTCAAAATACCAGCATGGAATCCTCAATATCTATCATTTGAATCAATACCCAAATCTCGGACCACAACGCATTTACAAATGAATGATGGTCAAGGAACGTCGAAAACATTGTTTCTGAAAATGAGATACCAAACTTGCATAAACAAAAACAAGATTTCAGCTCAGTCAAATTACACATTGCTATATATGGCCTACAGTTCAAATCTCAAATGAAGTAAATGCTAAATAATGGTATTTATTACAGCCAAAGATCACAACACCTGCAAATTAGCATAATTTCTAGTCTACTGATTAACAACTTATGAGTAAATCAAAATGGATATTGGTTTTTATGACAATAATAAGCATCTGGCCAATCCAGTCACCTGTCGGATAAATAGCAAGCATTACAGCTGTGTTCAGTAAAATGAAGCACTAAATATCAAGATACATAATACAGTCATGTTTGATTGGTGCCAATCTTACTGGACAACAATCTGCCCTTTTAAACTCATTAGTTCACTGGTCTTGATGTTCATTTTGTACAAAAATACAGAGCGAATGTTTACATTGGACTATCTGCATGGAAACAGCAGTTGCATTTCCGAGATGTTTCCTTGAACTAGATTGAAACGTATCTGATATTAGGATACAACAGAGCCTCCTATAGTCTAATAGTGTGTGTTTCATATGACGATCAATGTGTTTGGAGATTGATCAAGGCAGCAGTGAATGCTGTAATATTAACTTGTTAAACAATGACATGCAACATTCCCAAGCGGTCACTTTATTCTAGACAACATTCCATTCCACAAAACAACTCTAATTAGACATGGTTTACCAACTATTCAACAAACAGTGCGAGGTTTGGAACTACACTATACAGCATCATACTGTCCATTCTTGAACCCTGCTGACACCAAACAACTTGTAGCTTCAATAAATGAAATAATCCATTCCAATCACGAGTGTGACCATTGTTTATTCCAAGACAATCATTACAAGATCAATGCAGAAAAGTATTTCATTTACGTAAACACGGCTATAAATGATGACTTGGCAAACCATCAGTTTGCTTATCAGATCACGTGGAATCACAAACGCGTACAAATGCTCCCTCAATTGAAGTCGCGCAACAAATCCTTACTAAAAGTTTTTGATCTTATCAACCTTGAATTCATTAAAGGTAAGAGTGCTACACTCTTTGGCAAGTGGCGGCCATCTGCATGTGCATACCTGAAGCGAATACTACTGTGCTGCTTGAATGAGAAAAATCACTAGTTCGTGTGCTTACTGCTTTACTTTGTTTCTTGGCCTTGCTCATATGCGACACATTGACCTTTTGTGATTCATTTTCACCGCAATAGATGTCCATGCCCGCAGGTACTGCTCTTTTACCAGCTCTCTTGGCTGTTTCTCATTGTATACTTTGATACGACTCATTGAATACTTATTGCCCTGCTTGTTTGATTTTAATGATGCTGATATTTGACCACTGCGGCTGGTAATAGGAAACGCAACCAACGGAGCCAAGCTCTTCAAAACTCGTTGTGCTCAATGCCATGTTGTTGAAAAGGTATTCATTTATACGTCGCTATGTATGTTGAGCCATTTCAAGTTGGCATGTAACTTGATGCAGACTTCCAGCCTATGGATCTTTTTTTGCATCAATTTAGCAACAGCGTGGTGTTGCTTTGAGCAGTGGATCATGAGCTATTCGAGTTCTGAAATAATTTACTCTCGATAGATCATTTTTTTCACATCCTGTGTTAATCTATATTTTGACCACTTGATATAATACTTCTTATAACCGAATGCAACTTTGGTGCCATCTTTATTAATCGGCATTGTCTTGCACTCATTCATGATTGCTGCGAATTTCTATTCAACAGGGAGGTGCCCACAAGGTTGGGCCTAACCTTTATGGTCTTTTTGGTCGCACTTCTGGATCTTCTCCTGGCTTCTCTTACTCCGTTGCTATGGAGAAGAAGAAGGTTACATGGGACGAGGAGCAAATGTTCATCTATCTTGAAAATCCCAAAAAGTTTGTTCCTGGAGTAAGTTGTGACAATGGGCTTATGTATGTATGAATCATTGGCTCATGTGTGTTATAAAATTGAATCTAGACCAAGATGGTTTTTGCTGGTTTCAAGAAACCACAAGATCGTGCAGGTGAGTTTAAAGCTTGGTATTGTTTTTAGTTTAGAAATTGTGGACTGTGTTTAACTGTTTTCATTTATAGATGTTATTGCCTACATTAAGGAAGCCTCTTCCTAGTTTAATCTGGGCAGCTTTTACATATAAAGACCCCTTTTTACACAATCTTTATCTTGAAATTGAATGCAGTGACAAAAGTGATGGGAACATTGATAATCATGATATTCAAATCAACCAATGTTTACAAAAAACACCATACATAAAAGTGCAGTCGAATGAATCCTGTGCAAGTACCGTTTCAAATACGATACTGATGGTTGTCCATTCTCATTTATTTCATCTCCGTTTTCATGTCCTTTGTCGTCATCTGGAATGATATTCAGTATTTACTTGATCTAAAAAGCAAATACCAGTCCCAAAAGCTTGCCATTTTTATTTTCAACTCTTGATTGTGGGTAAAACCAATTCACTTACTGTGGAACAAAAGTAGAGTATTTTATAGCATATGACATTAGGAGATGAGCAAGTAACAGAGACCGTCAAGTTGGTTTCAGCTGATGGATTCGAGTTTGTGTTGGATAGAAAATATGCCATGGCATCTGGCACCATCAAGAGCATGCTGTCCTCCCCTGGTATGGTGCAGTCTAGCCAATTGACCTTTGGTTTCCTACTATTGGCTTGCTATTGAAAAAGGAAATGCCGGTGGATATAAGATCTACTCACATTTGAGTTCACCCTATAGGTCAGTTTACAGAGTCGCTACAAAACGAGATTCAGTTTCGGGATATCAAGTAATATTCACAATAGTAAATTACTGCAAACAGTGTCATGTATTCTCACTCTGCCTATTATTAATTTCCTAGGGCAGTGATTCTTGAAAAAGTATGTCGATACCTGTATTACAAGGTGCGATATGCCAACTCGATTCAAGAGATTCCCGAGTTTCCTATTGAGCCAGAGCTTGCATTGGAGCTGCTCATGGCTTCTGATTTTTTAGACTGCTGAGATCTGAGCTGGTTACTGGGAGTTTAATCTACAACGCACTGATGCAATCATGAAATAATAAACGGAAGCTCGTATTGATTCTAACTTGATCATTTTGTATCAGTTTATTGAGATGATATCTGGAGGTATGAATAGTGAAAGCAGTCAACTTTTGGCATTGGTCCAGTTAAATCTATAATAGTTTCAGACACTTTTACACAACTGCTACCGCCATACTCACGTAAGGTGGAACATTATCTTGCAGTGATCGCCTTGGAATATAAAATGGTTGAATATTCGTCCTACTATAAATTGACATTCTCAATGTCTGGAATTACACTAAACAAAACCACTTGTGAAATTGTCCGAGTTTTCAGTAAATTTAATGGAAATTATCGAGATTGGCTGTTTATCGTGTATTTTGACATTTTGTCCAGTTTCATTTTACGTGAATATAGCAGTGAATCTGATTTAAACATGGCTTCTCAGCGGGCTACTAGGATGCAACGAGAGCTGACTATGCTCCAATCGCCTCCTCCTGGAATTACTGTATGGACAGAAGGCGACAATATATACAGACTGTCTGCTGGTATAGTTTTTCTATCTGATAACATGTATAGTTTGAATTGGACTAAAATGTTATATGGGTAGTCATTCGAGGCTTGATTGGATCGCCTTATGCTGATGGTCTGTTTAAGCTGGATATACAAATACCTCCAAGGTAGACTCTTTCCCTGTACCCATTTCAACACATTATACTACTGACTTGTGAGCTGAATCAATGCACAATGAATTATAGGTTTCCCTTTGAACCACCATGCATCCAGTTTATTACTCCAATCTATCACCCAAACATTGATGACCATGGGCGTATCTGCCTAGATGTTTTGAAGATGCCTCCCAAGGTAATATCTCTAGTATGCTGTAGATATAGTATGTGCTTAAATTTGAATTATCTTGACAAGTGCATTAATATATCTAGGGATCTTGGAAACCTTCTATCCATTTGTCTGGCGTACTCAACTCAATTAGAATGCTCATGCTTGAACCCAACCCTGACGATCCACTTTCTGAGAATATCGTAAGTATAGAGTGAGCATAAGGAGTAATACATTGACTAAATGTGCAGCCTGTGTGTTGAAATGAATCTAGGCATCGGAGTTCAAGATGGACCATGCACTATTTACCAGCAAAGCAAAAGAGAGTACCAAACGACATGCTTCTGGATCTGGCTTTTCAACACCTGCAATAGTATCTGAATCATTAAAAAATTCTATATCCCATGCACCCGATGATACCAAGTCATGCCCGAATCCCCAACAAGGCAATGCAAGTCAAAACAATACTTTTTCTGATGCTTCGCTAGAAATCAAGTCTAGTTCTGAGCCAGAAACTGTAGTGAATTGCCCGTCACTCAGCAAAAGTCTAGTCTTAAACACTGCAGAGTCAAATTGTACTACATTGACAAAGGACTCATCTATAGCCACAGTAAGCAATTTCAAAGAAAACACGGACTCATGTTTAGCCAAGCGATCGTTCAAGAGCCTCAAGGCAGCCAAGGTTCGCAAGATACCGGTAGGTCAAGCGTCTGATGTAGTAAATAAGAGAGCACGTAACTCCAATGAATAAAAAGACTGAATTGTGGAGATTCAAACCGAGTCTTGAATGCAAACAATAACGATCGTGAAGAGTGTCATGAGTGATAAAATGCAGTTTCAAGACTTGTGAATGCCAACACGCTGATTTTGCTGGATGCTCACTTTGCAACTCCAAGACATCAACATTGCTATTTAGTCATGTCAGATTCTCTCAAAAAACCCAGCGATACCGCTGCTCCTGGTGGATGGGGTGCTGCTGGTGCTGTTCCTAGTGGAATTTCTCAAGGATGGGGTAAAACTCCTTTGGCTGATGGCAAGTTTGCTAATGAATCTGTTGCTGTCGGTACGTTTCTGCCTGATGCCATCGGCTGTGTAGAGTCGATCCATTCATTATATAATCCAACACTAACCACTTTGATGGTGCATTCTCCTGTGGTTTAAATGCATAAAGAAGGCACTGCTATTGACGAAATGACCACCAAAGTGCAGACACTCTCCACTGCAAACGAGCCAGATGAAGAGCCTGCAGTTTCAACAGCAAAGACCAATGGTTTAATCCCAGACAATCCTGAAAAAGAAGTTGTCGTCACCTTTGCAGATGAAACAAGTTCGAGTGCTTTGTACCAGTCGGTCTCGTCTTTTGAAGACCTTGGTCTGCATGAGAATCTTCTCAAGGGCATTTATGGTATGGGATACCAGCGACCATCCAAGATTCAAGCTAAAGCACTTCCTCTTCTGCTCATGAATCCACCAAAAAACATGATTGGCCAATCTCAGGCTGGAACAGGCAAGACGGCTGCATTCGTTCTTACTATGCTCACTCGAGTCGATCCCAGCATTCAAGCACCTCAGGCTATTTGTCTTGCTCCAGCTCGTGAACTTGCTCGACAGATTCTAGACAATGCTCGGGAGATGGGAAAGTATACCACCATCACAACATCGCATGCCATCAAGGATTCAATTAAAAAGGACGAAAAAGTCACCTCCCAAATCATTATTGGTACTCCTGGTACAGTTGCTGATTTGATCAAGCGTCGTGCGCTGGATTGCCGTCAGATCAAAATCTTTGTGCTAGATGAAGCTGACAACATGCTGGATCAACAAGGACTGGGAGATCAATCAATCCGTGTTAAAAAGTATGCCATTGACTGCCATTGATTCCGACTTCCAATTGCGTTTACTTATTTGCCAATGTTTTACTGTTATGTGGATTACACAAATCAACTCAGTCTTATGCCAAAAGGATGCCAGCTGGTATTGTTTTCAGCCACGTTTTCGGAAACTGTTCGTCAGTTTGCAGTTAAATTCGCTCCCAATGCAAATTCCATTTCGTTGCGCCAAGAAGAACTTTCCGTTGACTCAATCAAGCAGTTTTACATGGACTGCAAGAGTGAAGAGCATAAAGCAGAAGTTTTATGTGCCATTTATGGTCTCTTGACTATTGGCCAAAGTATTATTTTTGTTAGGGTGAGAAAATGTGGCTATTGAGTGGGATGTCAAGCCTATTGCAACCTTGCTCGCGTTAATCTGTTTGTTGTATATTTAGAAAAGAAGTGATGCCGATATGCTTAAAAACAAAATGATATCTCAAGGACATGCCGTGTCAGCATTGCATGGTAAACACGAGGCTGAAGATCGAGATAAAGCCATGGACGATTTTCGAGAAGGCCGATCCAAGGTACTCATCACAACCAATGTACTGGCACGAGGTATCGATATTTTGCAAGTCAATCTTGTCATCAATTACGATGTTCCTCTAGATATGAACAACAGACCAGATTCAGAGACATATCTACATCGTATTGGTCGTACCGGACGGTTTGGTCGTCAGGGAGTCAGTATCAACTTTGTGCACAACGACAAGTCGTACGAGGAGATGAAAGTGATTGAAAAGTATTTGGGACGAGAGATTGTACGAGTACCGACAGATGACTATATGAGTATTGAAAAGATTTTGAAAAAAGCAATGAAATAAGCATTTGGTAGCTTGATTTTTTACTACAAGTCAATCTTCAAACGTCAGTGCAAACAGCCAAATACATTCGAGATACTTGATGCTTAGGCTTACTACCAAAATAAATCAAAAGCTGATGTGATTTCTGGAAATTTCATCCAAATTAGAGCTTGCAGATTTCAATTGTAGTTGGAATTGAAGTTGCCGAATAAATGGTGACTTTGCAACATTCGTACTAGTGCCCATTGCATTCTTTATACTCAAGATGGTTATCCGAGACTAGATGAACAAAACATCATTTTTAATGATTTTAGCAGAAATCATTCAAGATTGTCAATGTGCTGTTGTCGCCACCAAACTTCAGCTAAATTTGTGTTGAAATGGTTTCAATGTTTGCACATCACAAACCATTTCAACTGTTAAGCCAGTCTTAAACCCGCTTGAATACATTCTAGTTTCACTTTAGCTTCATTCGTATAGTCTGTAAAAATGGTTGCATCAAGCTACTACAGTCACATCCCAGCTGTCCAATGCAGGTTTGTTTCGTCAACTAATATCAACTATTTGATTTCAATTCATGCATTGAACCAAGTGCCATGATCGTTGGTGCTACACCACGATCATTCTATTCTCAGTGATGATATACTGCTTGCTACTGCCATTCATATGACCAAGTATTGATTATATGAATGGAAGTTTTCAACTGCCGTTTTTACTCGATGGTGCCGTACAAATCGGTATTGTGGTTACAAGAAATAGTTGATATTCAAGTTATTCCTACTCTGGTTGATATGTATTGTAATGTATTATACTAACATTTGGATTTATAACTGGATTCATATTTGGATTTACAACTGGATTCATATTTGGACTTGCTCTTAAAACTGTATCAACTTGTTGCATATCCACACCATTGTTGGGCGTTACTTGAACACCTGTGTAAACAGCCAATGTGGCGAACCGTTTGATTTTGGGGACGAGTCTGCACATCGCTGCAAAACGGATGCAACATCACGCTACAACCAGAGCAGACCTGAACTACCTTCAATGCCTGCTCGATTCAAAGAACAAGCCAAATCCAATCATCGCATGTCAATGAAATATGCCGCGAGCACTCAAGGTAATTTGAGACCATGTTCAACTCATTGAAATTCAATACTAAATCATCTTTGTAGATGCATATCCAAATGCTCGCGATACATACAGCTCTCGAGTCGATTCTTTTCTAGACGTCTATGACAAGTCTGCATCTGCATTTGGCTCTTTTGATCAACATGGTCCAAGTCCTCTTGCTGGCACTAGTGAAAAAGCTCCTGCACTTTCCGAGTTCGATTTTGGTGACACTGAGGACTCGTATGGAAACTACAATAACTCGTATCTACAGGATGCTGATAAGACGAATGCTCATGCTAAAAATGCATACGGTAATTATGAAGATGAACTTGATTATTATGGCCAAGCCAACCAGTCCAAGCCATATATGGCTTCGCTTCCAGGTGGAAATGCGCCGCAAAATGACAATGTGATTGTGCCTAACTTGCCTATTGCTTCACAAGATGACAGCCGTTTGTTTGATAAACAGAACAACAGGATAAGTCCCAACTATAGCGACAAAGGAGATTTCAATGATCGTTTACCTAGACTCAATTCACAGAATGAGTCTGTCAAAATGAAAAATATGGTTCAGGACTTCAATAATGTACATATAGAGGAACAAGCCAATCGTCTTGCTTCTGGATCCTCTAACAAACCAGCTGAAGAAACCGGAGCCGCTTCAGCTGCTGCAACAACACCGGCAACAGGAATCCTTGGAGCGCTGGGCGGACTGCTTGGTCTTTCCGACAGTTTTGCTGGTAATGCAAAACAGGCTTCCGAGCTTAACCAATCCAAACCAGCCACACTCAGCAATCCCCGTAATGATCCCAAAACTAATTTGCGTACAGAGTTTGAAGATCCACAAAACAATGGTTCAAATGCTGTTAGACGAGGACCAAGCATTCGTTCTGACGCTCATCAAATGTCCAGATTCAATTCACAGAATGATCCTCGAGGACCGCCTCAAAATGGTGCTAACAATACATTTCGCGGCAACCCACAAAATGGTTTGCCTCCAGCTGGCTCTAATCGTATACCCACAGAAAATGGTTTGCGCAATAATGGCAATGTCGACGCTATCCGAACTCGGTCAAATGGCCAACGACCCCATGAAAACAATGCTCCCCATTATCACAATCCCATGCCCAATACGCACAATGGCAATGCTCCACCATTTAACATGCAGGCTCCCATTACACCTCCAGAATCTGAAAATCTTACAAAAACACACTATAAATGTGCCGACTGTAACCTGCCAATTCAAGATCTAACGCAAACATTTGAGATTGATGTTCTTGGATCGTGGTTCCACATTGACTGCTTCAAATGTTCATCGTGTCGTAGGCGGTTTGGAGATGATTTGCCCTATGTTCCACACCTTGGAAAGGCATTTTGTGAAATGGACTACGAAAAATACTTTTTGGAATCGTGTGCAGCATGGTAGGTGCATTGTTGTCAACAGCGATTGATAGCTTGAATTTAATATGAATTGTTTCAACCACTGCAATCTAGCAAAAAACCCATTACTGATGGCAGTGTAGCACGGGCATTTGGCCAGAGTTTTCACGAGCGTCATTTTATATGCTCAGTTTGTCGATGCCAAATTCAACCTGGGCGTCATTTTGAACACAGACAAAAGCTATACTGTCAAAAAGATTTTAGTCGACTTCCATCTGTTGATTGTGCCAGTTGTCGTGGTCCAATTCAGGGTGATAGCATTCACGCAATTGGTGCAGTGTATCATCGACAGTGCTTTAGCTGCACACATTGTCGTGTACCATTCCCTGATAAACGGTTTTTTGTGTATGAAAACAAACCCTATTGTCAGACCCATTACCATGAAAAGAATAACTCGTTGTGTGGAACCTGTAGTCGCCCAATTGAAGGTAAACGATTTGAATTTCACTATGATTTGCAGTGGGCCATGGATCTAATTTTATCATGTTTATTGTGTTGCAGGTATTTGTGTAGATGTTGCTGAACTGAGACGCAAATTTCATCCTCCCTGTTGGTGTTGTGCATACTGCAACCGTCCACTGACTGGCGTGTATTATGCTTACGGCTCACGAGCATACTGTGAAGAAGATATCGATATAGTATATCGTTCAGGCAACACCAAACAAGCGCCTACAAAGCGTCGAACAATCATGTCAGTCATGCGATAAACCATTTGAACAGATCCAACATGGGACAAGCGCACGGTATACCTGTATCAGTCTAGGATGTACTGCTCTAGTTTATCTTACCAGTCTGACCTACAAATGAAAGTTTATTCAACAGTCGTATTTACTAAAAATAGTTTATTTCATATAATATTCCTCTTCACAGCACAGCGATCACGAGAGGTGGAAGATAGGTGTGTGGTTTCAGCATAGGTAAACCAAACAACAAAATGAGCAATGGAGTTCTTGTGCAACGGAAGCTTAGAGAATATTAAGGGGTTAAGAGTAAATGATGGTCACCAGTTGCCAACTCGAATTTAAATCAAGAGTTTTTCAATTTCATTCTTGATGGCCTGAATCTGAACCAGAAGTTCGGAACCATCATTGGTGGTGACTGAAGCAGCAACAACAGGACGAGAAACACCACATGCACGACCCAGAGCAGTCTTTGAAGGAACAAATACATAGGGCACGTTCTAATAAAAACAGCATCAGGTTAGTCATCCAACGTTATTCACTTGTAGATACAGTGCCTACACCTGGTTGAAAATACGTACCTTGTCTTCACAAAGAAGGGGGAGATGAAGAAGAATCTCAAGAGGCTCCGTATCAGCAGCCATTACAATAAACTCGGAAATACCACGATTAAGAGTTTTGGTAGCTGCATAAATAATTCATCAACCCGACAAATTAAACAGCATCACATTCGAATCGGTTGAAAAAAATAACGTTTCGGTTAGTTTCATTCTGCACTAAAATCCAAGAATTGACAATACATCAAGCTGGGCTCTTGATGCCTAGACATGCGCATCAACTTTAAAAGTTCAGTTTACCTTCGTTGGCACCCTTTTTGAGCTGTTTGTAGTGACTTGCCTGTTGTACAAGATCAATGATCTTGTTGGCAAGCTGAGCATTTGCAAGAGGGAAAGCCTTTGGGTTAACGGCAGGAGCAGCAGTGTTGGTCATTTTGGAATGTATCAAATATAACGGATTCGTTGGTTGAGTTGAATGACAATAAAAAAGAAAAAATCAAATAAGTGGTATGTCACGTGTTCAATAAATTGTGTTGATTCATTTTGCTGGTGATAAATGGAATGAGAAATCGTCATTCTCGAGTGTTGTTCTCTTGCATCGATCAGAAAATCGTTTGTTATTTGAATGACAACTATTTTCTGTTTCACACTCACAATCCAACTTGTGTTGATCTTGTTTGGTACGAGAGCTTTGACGTTCCACTTATATCGAGTCGACACTAATTCAAAACAATCGTGCAACCTGCTTGATACTATCAGAATGTTTTTAAAACATAATGGGGTTGAATTACTCAAATATAGATAAATAATTGCGTTTATTTATAAAACTTTTCATGCAATGACCTGTGAAATTGGATCAAGGATTCAAATAAACTAGAATATCAACAATGTAGGTGGCCATGGTAAATAGCGATCAAATGGGTGTGAAGTATGGCCATGATTTTCACACACAACATATGGCTTGATCAAACAGGGATTACTTTTTCAACTCTATTAAATTGAAATATCAGCAAAGAGTGGATGGTGTAAGGCATTCTTTGCCGAGATTCGCGTATTCGGATCTATAGCTAACATCTTCTGAAGCAAGTCCAACAGTTTTTGTGATAACTCGTCGCTCCCATTAATAATACTCTACAGCAGTATTAGAATACAGAACATTCAAATTGTGCATCCCAAACTAGGCAATAATCCAGTTTAGACTTACAGTTAATGGTCTCACAAGAGAAACAAACTCGATGGATTTTGAATCAGTGTGGGTATTTGGGTACTTGACAAACCCCTGCTTGTTAAAAAATTGATTGGCAGAACTTTTGTCAAAGTCAGTATGTTATAAAAAGTGCATGTCAAAAAGGATGAATTATTAAAGATAAACATGAATCAAATTCTTACGGGCTTCTGCAAACCATACTGGATGGAAATTTACCAAGCACAATCTCCATCATTCGTAGATGCTCCAAATTGTCATGAGTTTGAAAGAGTGCTTTTCCAATGTAAAGCTCTGCCAAAATGCAGCCAATAGACCACTACAATACATTGAACCAAACGGTAAAGGGATTTAGTAAATTCAAAATATTCGGATCTTGTAAACCAATCTTAATACAGTATTCTTACCACATCGCAGGGATATGACCATTTGACACCAAGAATAATTTCTGGCGCTCGGTAATGCCGAGTAGACACAATATTACTATGGAAATCCTGTTTTAACGTAGCACTGCCAAAATCTATAAGCATAAGCCCGGTATTAATCAGTGCGCGACAGGGTGGTTTTAAAGAATGCCGTTCAAACTAAAAAGTCAACCCATTAGCAAATCCCTTATTAATACAGTTTGTATTCAAAAAAGATCAAGGCAAGTAAATCCGTACCAATATTTGACGGGATTCAGTACTTTCAAGCATCAAATTTTCTACATCAGAAATTAGTCGTCAAAGTTGTATAATGCCCTCAATTTTCATGTCTTCAAAGCATCATACACGCTTACCAGGCTTTAAATCAGTATGAGTAATACCCAGACTATGAAGGTATGCTGCTGCTACCAAAATCTGATGAGCAAACGACTGAATATGCAATGTAGAAAACGGAGAAAAAAAGTTTGCTTTGAAGTAGTCAAATAGACTTTGACTCAAAAGATCAAATACCATGCAGATGTGGTTATGAAATTCAAAAGTCTCACGAAGATGAATGCATCGTCTAGTTTTTTCAAAGAATAGACAACGAATTGCATAAGAAAAAGGTCAATGTTGTATTCAAAAGGCAAAAACTAGATCAAACATACTTGGAGTTGCCTGGATCGTGTAATTCTATCAATTCAAGTACATTGAGCTCAATTTTCGCTGCTTCTCGATATTTAGGGATTGCCTTGATAATTTTAATGGCAACACGTTTGTTTTGATGTTTATCAAAGGCTTCAACTACTTTTCCAAATGTGCCTTGGCCTAGTAGTTTTAAAATTTGAACTACAGGTGTAATATGTAGCAATAAAAGTTTGTGTAAATTAGAAACGCAGCACGATATGGTTAATAAATGAATGCAATTTGGTCTACTTACATCGTGGGGTAATGTAATCATAAATACGAATGCACAAATGACCGTCAGCATCATCTACATCCTGTGTCTAAATAAGCATGTAAGTATTTTTAAAATGTCAATGAGCACCAAAGTAATACAAGTCGCTCAACACAAATGATCTCAAGATGAGCATGGGGAAAATATTGCACGTAAACTGGTCTAATAAATATGTAGTGCTAATGATAAAACTACCTTTAGTTTCTGTCTCTTGGACTGTTGTTTTGGTAGCCCAGAATTGTCGTGCTGTTTTTTACTGGTGGTTGTCTTGCTCACAACTACACGCTTTGTAGGAACATCCATCGTTAGTATAGTACTCTTTTTTTGTTTTAGCTGCAGACGTGGTTTGGATTGGCGAGATGTTGGCTGGGTTCTGGCAGTATGCATAGAGATATTTGTTTGATAATTCTCCAAATGTGTTGATAGTTGCTGAGGAGCTAGAAATGGATTCGATATCATGTTGTGAGTTGTTGAATTATAAACAGAATGATCTATCAATGTAGAATCAGCAAGTAGGTTAGATTTGCACTGTAAGATACAAGGACAGAAAACAGCATGCCGAGCCATAGACCCAAGTGCATTTATAGCAATCTTTCACTAGATTGAAGCAAATTCTAGAATGAGGTGTTTAAATTATACTAAAACCCGCTATACCTTGCAATGAAACCTTTTCCATTGTGCTAGTGGAATATTCATTGACCTCAGACTAAAATATCAAGAACAATGTAGTCTGGTGACATTGAACAGGGAGCATTCAAGCATAGACTCGACATGAGATGTGGAAAAGCAATTCAGTACTTACTGCCATTTACAGAAATCGAATTGCAGCCAATCGGATAGGCAGGGATTAAATAGGGAGCAGCAGCAGAACCAACCGTATACATCAAACCGCCATGATTAAATATCGCGCCTGTGTCAAGTGTGCACTCAGCTGCCAATGCCACTGAAGTCAAAGGAGTTGCTGAGGACTGCGAGTCAGACTCATACGACCCGGGAGTTATAAATGAATTTTGTTTTTTAGTTATTCTTCGAGGTCGAAGAAAATATCTACTGGTTGACGTAGTCAGAGGTATTACCGACTGGCCAGTAGGAATGGGTTCCAAAGGAACTTGCACTACACTATTATTTGAGTCTATGCTTGTACGAGGCAATGCTACCATTCGAGTATGGGATTGATTTCCCAAAAACTGTGGTATATTGTGCATGCGTAACGATGCTGCCGAGTCCAGTTTGACTTGAGAAAAACTTTCCTGTATAGGTACTGAACCTGTATGCAATAGAATGATCCAAGTCAATTTTTATATTTTAAAGCAATATACATTAATAGCGTATTTTCACGTAAAATGGAACACAATAAGGGTGCCAATTCACACCAAATTTACTGTTCAATATTGTTTTTTGAACTCTAGTTGGTCAGTCTTTGCTCATCCTTGTACAAACAACTGAACAACTGAACAACTGCTCACAGTTCTAGTACATTCCACATTAAAACAGTCAAACCCAATACGTGGATTGAAATGGGTGGATTTGGCAATTGTACAACTGCATGGCTATGCCAAGAATGAAGAAAGGGGTAACCAGTTCAAAACTAGTTGGATTGTATTATATGATGAACACTCTATTGAGGAGGAGTTGAGGAAGCAGTAACTTGAGAAACCCGAATATTTAACCACTGTATATCCCAGATCAAAGGTATTCCATTTTACATGTATTCATGTAAAATGTAAGTTTCTGCTGTTATTTAGTAAAGCTTCAATGGGTACAATTCAAATGCATTTCCATATATAAATTGGCTACACTTGCTGACAATCAGCATTTGTATGGCAATTGATCTCTTTCAAACATAGCCAACCTGCCTTGGATTGAACAAAAGTGGCAAGGATATGGTATAAAGTTTAGGGCAGTCGAACGCCTCAACAGACAGCCAGAGTGCTGCTGACAAGTATTCTGAATATAATGACAGTTTTCTTGAATAGAACTCGAGCTGATTGCCAGTTCAAGTGATTGTTGTGGCATAAGTGCTAGATGTGTACGATACGAATTTGTGTCGCCGCCAGAATTTTTGGTATGAACTGTCATTTGCAAGCAGTGAGGCTGGTGGAATCTTTAAAATAGCTAGTAATATCGTAAAGGGTAAATGGATTTAATCCTTTTGCTTGAACACAAGTCTAGGCAAATCCTGACCCATAAAATGGCCGAGTTTAGAATAGGCTACAAACTAAAGACGAGATGAAAATGTTTATATTTCAATAACCCAATTTCGCCGTATTTTGAAAACATTCCGATATTACCAAACAAGCAGCTGTAGTATTTTGAAAACATGAATTGTGAAACTGCACGATTGTTGTAGGCTAGCGTACAGACTATATGTATGAATGCTGAAACTCGCATCAAAACCAACTCAAACAAGAGATGCTGTCATATATTGGATCGAGAGGACCAGCAAGCCATTCAGCAAACCAAACCAGCCGTGTTGACAGGTCAGATTGTCGCCACGATACAGGAAACACGAGCGATAAATAGTTCTGCCATTCAAATCAACAAACAAACAATCCACCGATATTTGCAACAACATCACCAAGAATGATAATTACTGGCGACCTCTTATTCCATCCCTCCATTCTCATTCCCTTTATCACCCATTGTAAAGGTCGTGTACATTATTTATTTCAAAGGTTGGCCACATCTGTCGTGTCATCATCAGCATGAATAATAAGACCTTCTTCCACATATCCAGCAAGAAGTGACCGCTGCTCTTGATCAATATGGTCATCGGTAGCTGTAACAGGGTTTTCATCGTGCAACACTTCTGTGTACACGTGTGCTGTCCTGGAATTGTAATAAAGGCACATGAAAAGTAAGACTGCTTGGAGCGTACCCCCTACTAGAAACGATACCCATGTTGTCCAGTTTGTACCTGGCTGAACCGCCAAAGAAAATGCAAATACAAACGAGCCTATTGAAATATTCCATTATAGCACATTATAGATTATAAGTCTAATCCAATCAATGGTCAACTGCGTCGCTTGATCAGAAAACCTACCTGGGCATTGCATGGCAAGCATAGCTACACTCAACGCACCCCCAGACTAATAGGTCCACAATTAAAGGTATGTTGGTTAAGCATCAAAGTGCACTCGACAAGGTTGGATGCAACATTTAACTACCTTTGCCTTCCAAGTGTGGATGATCTGAGGAACAAACTGCACCACACCGCTAGATGCAGCCGTCACTCCAAGAATTCCAGCCCACCAAAGCCGCACCTGTGTAAATATCTGTGGATCTTGAATCTGGAAAATGGATACAAGCGATATGACAACAAAGATCGCATACACAATGATCATGGCACCAATGCCTTTGATGCGGCGCCATGCTGCGCTGGATCCAGTGCTCTCTGACCCTTCAAACTCGCCAAAAGTCACTAGTGGCAGTGCCAGTTCAACTGGATAGTTTAAATAAAATAATACAACACTAAAGATTTGACAAGTGTGAGATGAATCGTACATTCCAAAGTTGAAGGTGACTATCATGGTACCTACATGATACAAAAGCCGCACAATTGCACGCTGACTTGCGTTATTCCAAGCGTATCTTCCATACAGTACTGCAATGACCACTGATAAACAAAGCAATGTATTCCAAGTCAAAATAAGCCTATGCTATGCATAGCCGAATCCATACAAACAAATCTCGGTCCACTTACCTCCGTCGTACAGCAAACTATTGAATTATATTGAAGCAGAATGACATTGCCAATCGTAGAAAAGCACCCAATAGCTCCAAGGAATAGAAAATAAATAGACAATCCAGCACTACTCCTGCTTGAAGCAATTTTGTGAATCTAAAATAGGATCCAAAACAACATAGGTTACTAATCGAGTTTTATGCAATGGTGAATTGGGAATTCAGCAAATGGTTGCATAGAGCTATCAGCTGATGATTGTAGAGTTGATGCTATTTCACAGCCATATTCACGTCAAATGAAACGTCAAGGGCGTCGGAGTGCATAATAAACATCTAGTTTTGTGAAATGGTTGATGTCAAACCCATTGGATAGCATTCAGCTCCCTGACAAAACCCATTGGATTTTCTTTTGGTGATTGGTATGAAAACAACAGATGCATTCCTGAGATATGCAATCTTTGTTTTCTTGAATTAGAGCGTGAACGTATCTGTAAGTTTAGGGTATTCAACAGTCAAATCCAATACATGGATCTGGTGATCGTACGGTGTATGGCAATGCCAAATGGAAGAAGTAGGTTTAAATAAGTGTGTGCAATCATATGATGGGCGTTGTATCTGAAACAATAGTCGAGGATTCTATTGAAACAATCCACTCCTAATAGAAAAGCACAACGAATATTTAATCATTGCTCATTCTAAAGCAAAGTGACTGCAAGATAGTGTTTCGTTTTGTATGAATGGCTGTAAATAGGGATGGTATTTATACCATCCGTCAGCGGGTTTCGTCACTGTTTAGTCAAGACTCACTGCCTGTCATGTAGATTCTAGCAATAATCAAACAAGTATAGAGCAAGATAGAGCCATATACCTGTGGAAAGTAGGACACCATCACTCCAGTGATAATGAAGCACCCTAGTAAGACTTTGATTGAACTATGTGATATAGGACACGCATCGCTGTCTATATATAGAAAGTAGCCATCTGTAGCCATTTCTGATGAAACCGGAATAAAGTGACTATTTAAAGAATACAATATAACCACTTTTGGGTAAAATAGTCCAACTGATTGATAGAATTGATGGTAAACTACAAGATGACTTCAAAGCTAAATTTATCAACTTCAGCTGCGCTTTTCATTGCAATACTCGACAGGTTAATATTGTGGAAAGTTGGGATCTTTTAAACTATTGCATAAAACCATCCAGAAAGTCATATTTGGCAACCAAGAGTTTACTGTACGCACTGTCTTGCACGAAACACTATTCTTGATAACATGTGTCAATTCATGCAACTTTGATTGCTGCAGGCTAATTATTCGAGTTTTTAGTACAAACTCCAATGTTTTAATAGACAAAGAAACCAACTGAAACAAGATTGTATTACCAAAGTCGCAGGAAACCCAAAAGGCGAGGATCAATACAATGAAACTAATGTCAAACAAATTTTTATAAATTGCTAAACATGGTCACATTATTGTAAAGAATAAAATAACAATAAGGAATTCTGATTGCATGGTTCTATGGTGTAGTTGGTTATCACATGTCCTTAACACGGACAAGGTCTCCAGTTCAATCCTGGATGGAATCATTTTGTTTTTTACAAAATTGAGATTGAATGCAAAGTATTTTTAAACTAGCATAGTTGAACACCAATTTTTTTAAATTCAATTGCTGTTTTTATTTCAAATCCGGATACAGATAACAATCAATGTATCCGTTTATGCACTCACTCGTGCTTGAGGATCAAAACTGTACGCGAGGGAATGTAGACCTGCATAGTCATCATCAGAAATCAGTATTGGCTACTACTCATCACAACTGCAAATAAAATTTAAAAGCAAGTTTTGGCTTACCTGAATCCAGTTGGGACGCCCATTCCATGTTTCTTTAGTAGGAATATATTGGCAATCTTCAGCGATACGTGAGTGTCCACCAAACTCTGGACGATCAGAATGCAATGCAACACTGTGTGTGGTGTTCCATATCGTACCAACACGATAGTCGGCAAAGCTCTGCGTTGGATGGAAATTGAAGATCCAAAGAAGGTTTCCTCGCTCAAATACAATCACCTTGTCACCCTCATTTTTGAGACTCACAAACTAATCAAATCACATTACAATTCAGTATGCCAGTTAAAGTCATACATACTATATTATCTTGGTGTTTTAAATGACCCATGTCGGGTTAAATAAAACACTTGAATACCATTCATGTTGAATTACCTGTCCAGAGCTAAGCCAATCATACTGTGACTCCAGCTGATGCATTGCACGCTCCCAATTGTTGAGATATCTGAATCGAAGTAGCGGGTCATCTACAAGATTATACTGTCGACGAGCATAATGGAAGCTGCTACCGTTACCTTCCCTTGGAAAGTCCTACATTATTTAAAAATAATCATGTCAATTCTGCAATAAAAACTGATGCATTGCGGGATTTACTTACTAGCCACTCGGGGTGTCCAAATTCATTGCCCATAAATGTAAGATATCCTTCGCCACCTAGAGCATACGTAATCATTCTGATGACCAAGTAAAAATGCATTGAATGCTGTTAGCTATTAGTTTAATATTCTACACGTCAGGCATCAACTTACCGAATCAATTTGTGCAAAGCCAAGCCGCGATCAATAATAGGCGTCATGGGCGATAGGTCCGACATAAAGTCATACATCTCCTTATCCATAAGCCAAAAAGCCAACGTCTTGTCACCGACAAGAGCTTGATCGTGACTCTCTGCATATGCAATAGCAGGTTCCTAACATACACAACAATGGATTTACTTGAAATGCCATAATTTTGGACTTAAACAGATGTAGCATACCTTCCATCGCCTATTGGTCAAAGTAAAGACAATATTTCCCATTTCCCATTGATCATCCTATAAATCATTGTACAAATAAAGTCAGTTAAAGAATCCAATCAGTCAAAATAAATAGAATGCCAACACACAGTTTTCTCCTTGAGTGTCTTGATCCACATGTCTGGAATTGCCATGCTTAGTCTATAATCAAACCCGACACCACCTTCCGATACAGGCCGGCATAGCGTAGGCATACCCGACACATCTACAAGTTACACATAAAAAGCACCAGCAATTAGATACAATCAACTAATGATACAGCATGCTTAAAAACAACGCTTACCCTCAGCAATGGTAATTGCAGCTGGATTCAAGCTATGCACAAGATGATTGGCCAGCATCAAGTATAAAACAGCCTCCATGTCCACGCTGTCTCCAAAGTATTCATGATAATTTCCGCTAAACCCAGTTCCAATACCGTGATGAAGATACAGCATACTTGTTACACCATCAAATCGAAATCCATCAAATTTGTAATTGTCCATCCAGTATCTAAGATTTGAAAGCAGAAACCGAAGAACCTCGTGGTGGCCGTAGTTGAACAGACGGCTTCCCCATAGTTCATGACGACCACGACTGCCTTCGTGAAAGTAGTGGTGATCTGTTGGCGGTATTCACAAACCGATAAATATAAACACATTAATTAAAATGATTTACAATAATATAAACAAGTATAGTGTCTCGAATAACTTACCAGTTCCATCAAATTGATTAATACCGTCCAAAATATTGTCAGATGCGTGAGAATGCACCACATCAAGCAAGACAATAATTCCAAGTGAGTGTGCAGTATCAATAAGTTCCATCAGATCTTCAGGTGAACCTATACAATTATCCATTAGAATTTTAGATGGTATGTTTGGCAAGCGTTGTTTATAGTAAAGAGGTTGCGAGGTATAAATCAAACCCTTACCACAGCGACTTGTTGGAGCAAAAAAATTAGTGACCTGATAACCAAAACTGGCATAGTAAGGATGTTCCATGATTGCCATAAGCTGAATTGTATTGTAACCAACATTGGCGATTCTAGGAAGAACATCGCGAGTGAATTCCTTGTATGTAGCAACACGACCATGGGGAGAAGCAATGCCAACTGCATTGTTTCAGAAAAATCAAAGTCAAAAAACAGAACCAAGCCAAAACATGCCAATGCCATTCTACAAGGGTTGCATATCTTACCATGGGCTTCATAGATTCGTAGAGATGTGGGGCGAGCGGGACGTGGGTGACGAAACTGGTATTTTTGTGGAGGATTCCAAAATACACTTTCATAAACGGGACTAACAGATAGATCTTGAGTAGCACGATGGATCCACGCAGGAATGCGTTCAATGCGTTGTCCATCATGCTTGATCATGGACAACTATAAACAAAAGCGACGGGAAGCATGACCACAAATGAAGGACAGAGATTGACATGACATTATTGTTACTGGTCGAGTTTATGAATCAAGTCAGTAATCATAGTCAACACACCTTGACTTTGGTGTTGTGCTGGATGCTTGGAGATCCATCTTTTTTGTGGGGTAACACAATCTCCCATACACCATACGAGTCGACCTTCATTGGATGGGAATCTCGATTCCATTGATCTTAAAATCCATCCATTTGCGACATGAATTAAATACTAGGCGTTTCACTAGAACGTAGTTTATAAACAGGAGAATGTGAGGTAGCTTACTGAATTCACCAGTAAGGAATGCAGCCTTGACGCCTGGTGCCCATTCACGATAGGTGATGGCAGTACTTGACACATTAAAGCCAAACCTATTAGTGCCGGATGAAAACTGAGCAATTCCACCCTCAGTTTGATCAATCTTGGTTAATGCGGCCTGGAAAAGCGAATGCCTGCATTCAGTTGAAATCACACAAGGGTCAAGTGGAGAGAACAAGAATAGTATTTTAGTACAGCTCAAGAGAGCTTAGATAAAGTTGAATCTTGTCAAGACAGACAGTAGACTTGTGTTAATCTGCACTAACCAAGATCACAAACTACTCACCTGTGTTCAAGAGCAGATCGTTGATGTTCCAAGTATGGATCATCTTGAAACAGCACGTCCAGTGGAGATGATTTAGCAGTAGCAACCAATGCAGTCTTTGCAGACGTGGATGCAGTAGAAGCAGCAGTAGAAGGATTGGTCGGCATTGGTGATAAAGTTGATTTACTGCCGTATTCAGATAAAATGAAACTGAATAAGAATATTAAAATCTATCATAAACGGCCAGTCATGACACTTTACACCGCATTAACTGGTCGGCATTGTGCTTTGAGCTCATTAAAGTTTGTTTTTTTCTCGTGGTGATTAATACGCTTACATTCTCAAGATTCTTTCAACTAGAATGCAACCGTATTAGAGATTTAAAAATACATGATTTTATACAGAAAAATCATCATTTGAATGTGTTCATCATATAATGAACATTGTGTTGATTGAAACAGTTGGTTTATAATAAGAGTATTCAATCATTACACATTCCAAAGTTATAGTCAAAGTATTTTATTTTTACGTGAATACAACTAAAAAAATATTTAAATTATTCATATTTTCCCATCAATCCAACAACAGTATCATCAGCATGGTCAAACCACAATCAAAACAACCATCTGAAAAGTCAACTTCAAATTTAATGCAAGTAAATGATGCAACAGAATTAGTTGCATCAAAAGCAAGCGAACGGCTGCATTTGAAGGCTGCACTTCCATCAAAAATTATTGATATATCGTCACTTAATGCTGTTCCGTTTCTAACACAGGATGCTGAGCATTCAGGTGCATGGCTCGATGCTAGTGCATGGTTATTCAAAATGGGTATGCTTCTGCTTTTTTTACTTTAGTTGTTGGATTGAATAGTGTGGTTTAGACTTGTTCATGAGCACTAAAAAAACCAATCCATTCAAGTTTGTGCATTCACTCGAATCCAATGCATTAATTCTATTTTTGAAAAATCATACTAATACAACTCGATCCCCCTTACTTTGATTACAGTCAAGACATTCGAGCCATTTGATACTACTCCCTTACCTGAATTGTATACAAAGGGATTTGATCTTGAGCAGGTCTGGGAGCAAATCAGACTACTTAATGAGCCTCTTGTTCCGTATCTATCCAAGATGGCGAGTGATTTCCCAAAATCAGACAATGATTCTATTGAAGAGACTGATGATGATACTTTGAATAATCTAAACGGGGATGATGAGCAAGAGTTTGAGGATGATAGCGAATTAGACGAGAGTGAGTTGGAAAGTGATCAAGAATCATCAAATTATTTAGATTTGGAAGCCGAAGAAGACAATCAAGGCAGTCAAGACAGCGAAGACAGCGAAGACAACGAAGAGTTAAACAGTGCATCTGACAATGAAGAGTTTGAAGTGGATTTTCCTGATCAAGAAAGCGATCAAGAAACTGCTGGACCCATCAAACGCAAGCGATCAGTCGTTGATGACGATTTTTTTTCACTCGAGGAAATGGAAAAGTTTGCTGACATGGGAGAGCGTCATGATATCAAAGCCGCTCGTAAAGCCAACATGAAAGACGACGATAGTGATGATGATGAGAGTGAAAAAGACGACATGTTTTCATTTGATTCTGGTGTGTAAATTTGGCATTGTTAATGATTTCAATTGAACCATGTGTATTTAGTTGCTAATTACTCGATGTGTACATTAGATATACTCAATAGCAACCTTGATGATGAAGACGAAGATAATGCAAACGGTGAATTCATGTATTTATTTTACAATTTGGTCTGTCAATTATTGTGCTAATACATTTTATATAAAAACAGATATCCGATATGAAGATTTCTTTGAAGGCATTGACAAAGATGCTGACACCAAGCCATCTAAAAAACAGCGCGCACGTCCGTCTTGGCAAGATCGTGATGACATGGACAGAGATGAGGACATTGAACCCACGGACATGGACACTAGCGTCAATGAAGATCAAGAGGTTGATGATACATCATTATACACCAGCCATAAGCAGACTCTCTTTGAAGATGATGCCGAGCCTATTCAGGGCGAAACTTTGTCTACATTTGAGAAACAACAGGCTAGACTTCAAAAAGCTATCCAACAGCTTGAATCAGAAGCTATGCAAGAAAAACCATGGGCTATGAAGGGTGAAGTATCGTCTCGTGCACGCCCCAAGAATTCTCTTTTGGAAGAGGATCTGGAGATTGAACATACAGCCAAGCCTGTGCCTGTTATCACCGAAGAATCTACACTAACACTGGAGACATTGATTACCCAACGTATCAAGGATCAAGTCTGGGATGATGTGACTCGCAAAGCTCCACCAAAAGATACTGTATATGATCCCAATCGCAAATTTGAGCTCATTGATGAAAAAAGCACAAAGTCTCTTGCCCAAGTTTATGAAGACGAGTACCTTCGTCAATCCAACAAAGACCAACCAACTGAAAAAGATATTGCTTTGAATCAAAAGCATGAGGAAGTCAAGACGTTGTTCCAAACTCTTTGTCAGGATCTAGATATACTATCCAACTGGCATTATACACCCAAAGCAGCGACATTGGAAGTGGAAGTTTTGCCACCCGTGAGTGTACCTGCTATTCAGATGGAAGAAGTTACTCCTGCTGCAGTCTCGGATGCTATGCTTGCTGCACCCAAGGAGGTATATCAAGGTAATGTAGCCAAATCCCAAATGGAGATGGACGCGGCAGATAAACGCAAGGCACGACTCAAGGCCAAGCGCGAAGTCCAGCGTGAACATAAGATGCGCGAGACTGCCAAGAAAGAGCGAGAAGCTGCTACAGGTGTATTGGCGTCTCAACTGACTAAAGAAAAGGCCATGAAGCAACTCATGGGACAGAGTAATGTTACGATTGTTGGAGATAAGACTAGCAAGCGACAGATGGGTAGAGTATCAACCGAAGCCAAGGGTGGAAAAACTAAGCTGGGCAAGAGAGATATGCAAGCCACTGTTGTCCAGGTTGGTGGCAAGGTTGGACAAACCAAAACACGCATTGATAAACCTTCAGATCTTAGACTATAGTTCTGTCCAAGATTTTTTCAAAAACTATTGAAAGATTAGGATAAAGTGACCCAAAAGGCTGCATAAATGAACATGATTATTCTGAAGCATCATGGCATATTTAGTGTTTAAACCAGTCGACTTTGCAAAAACTATGGATATATGAGCAATATTCACAAGACCAACATTTTATTTGTAGGTTGTAAAAATGTAGGATCGAAATCAAATAAACAATGCCAAGCATAGTCCATCTGAAAAAAATACAGCTTAAATGAAAATGTAGGCTAGTTTTTCTTGGCAAGACTAATAAGACCAAGCTCAAGCTGAACCTGTTCTCCAGTGAGCATGGAAGGATATTTTTTGATAGAAACTTCGTTTCTAAAGGGTGTAAGAGGCTCAAGCGTTTGGTCCGAAGCAAGATGGAAAAAGAGAGTAGATGAAATGCGCCATAAAGGACGACCTGCTTCACGCTGACGCTTAATAGCATCAAGAGTGGAAGGAACAACAACAACCTCGTGATATCCAGCTTTGATGTGACCACCAGTAATCCACTCCATCTGTTTTCCAGCCTGTACCAGCAATGACCCATCGGGAATCTTTACCAAAAGCTTTTCGCCACTTGGGGTCCAAACGTGCAGACCGGGAAAGCGGGATTTGCCATGAATTGTGAGGAAGTTGAGATCACTGGTCCATTGATAAAATATCAAACGTTAGCATCGACTGTGCAAAAATTGAATAATCATGGTTTGTCAATCTGAGCACGACTTACGTATGGAAGCCAGCAAGAACCGAGTCAACTTCACCAAATTTCTCAAGATCACTGCCAGTTGGAGCAAGAAGATGAGGACCGTATTTGGCTCGAGAAGAGAATGCATCGCGTGGAAGTCCAAGACCTGTAGCTGTCATTTCAGAAACGACGGTAACGGCGTCAAGCATACGGGTTCCCCAGTGGTTCATCTGGTTTGTCCAGTCAGGAATGGCTGGTTAAAGTGTACCATGAACAGTAAAGTGTTGGTAAATTACTCGCGTCAATCAGTCCAGCGGATTTGTGAGTTTTTTAGAACAAATCGAAAAATGCATTATAAATCTTACCTTCAGGGATAACAGGAGCAGCATTCAAATCGGGAAAATTGGTTTCAGTGGGACGTTCGCCCATGCGCCAAAACTAGGTGCGAAACAAAAGATGAGCCAATAAAATAGGTCAAGATAAAAAACAAGAGCAACTTACAAAGCGCCATTTTTTGTCAGGCTTGGTAAAGTCTAGAGGACGATCTTCTGCATTCATCTAATAGACCAAACAAGTAAATTAGTTGACATTACATAATATCAAGCATTCGAGACTACAATCCTTAGTTTTTAAATTAGAACGCATGTGTTTTTAAATATACGAGTTTAATTGAAGACACCTGAACCCAATATCTGGTTTCAAACTTGATTATACAATGCATGGTCATGCAAAAAAGGAAAAGAACAAGTTTAAGCCAGTTTGATTGTATCCTATAATGAACATTGTGCTTGAAAGACGAATTGAAAATGTCTATCGAGGTAGTCAATTCCAATAGAAAGGCATAACAAGTCTTCAACCATTGCACATCTTAAAGGAGCAATCACTGCAAGATAATGTTGCATTTTACGTGATTACGAGTATAATATGAATGGCCAACTATGCAAATTAGTCCAAAGATCAAATGAACTACTCGCTTGAATGGCAAAGTCACAGATGTCATGAACCAAGTCTCGACTATTTTCAGTGGATAGATTTAACTATTTATAATAGCCTGTTCCTAGCCATCTAATCAAACTGCGATATAGAACAAGATGGGATCAGTCGTATAAAAGTAAACACTTACACTTTCAACCAACGACATGCAGTTTTCATCACGACCACAACGAGGCTCTTCGGTATTTTCAGGAGTAGCGCCGACTTGGTAATGGACATCGGGACGGATATCTTTCAACTTGGTATCATAGTCCTGAGCAAAGTAATCTTCGAGCAAGTTCAGAAAGGCAGTATTCTCACTCTCCGAGACCCTGGGATCGAGAACAGCAAAAGCAGAGTATTTTTTAAGTGCTTCAGCAGCCTACACAATAACAGTTGGGAATGCATTGGAAGGTTTTCATGAATGCATTGAAAGCAACCAATATTTAGTATTCATTATATTACAGCTCAAGAACCAGCAAAACGGCAGTTCATATTAATTGACAATGGAAGCAATCTTCACACAATAGGACAGTGCACGAGCTGTCTGATGCTCCCTGGCACGACAGCAATAAAATAAATTGGTATATGCAATGATTACCTTTTTGCATTCAGCAAGGGATGCCTCGGAAGTAGGATCCTTCATGAAAGGCGCCAGGTTGATGGCAGGAAGTAAGATTGTAGTAGCGACCATTGTTACGATAGTGTTTGCGATGATTGAGAGTTGGTTATAAAGAGCTTGATGGATTGTAGGCGAAGATAGCGAGTCGTTACGTTAACTGATTCATTTAAGCGCATCGACTCCAATCCAACTCACTGGCTGTGATGCTCATAGCCAGAGTTTACCACCATGTGACTAACGCTTGCTTTCATTGAATAATCCGGTCGCGCTTGGAAAGCGCAGCAAAAACAAGCTCAATATGACGCAAAAAACTTTATTTCTATTGTGATGGCTTCAAATGAATCCTAAATCAGCATTGCAATCCAAGAAACAGTCGTTGTTTTTGGATGGATTGCTCTTCCTTGTCCTATACTCATAGACCATCCCAAACTGTTAGCTACAATCTAATCTCAACCCATCTGCATTGGTCTTGCATAGATTGAACATGGTTCAGTCTACATTGCTCATAAAAACTCACCCTGTGCCAGCCAATCATGCACACATTGAGTTTTTGAAGTAATGCCTTTTCGTTGGATCGCATTGTTTCTTGATCAATATGATCGCGTGCAATTTGCTCTGGACGTTTTGATTTCGTGGCTGATTGTAAAGTCTGCTGCGTATTTTGGATCTGAGAGTATTTAGGTTGCTGCACAGCTTGTTGTGGTGGTATTGGTGTTGGTTGAATGGGCTCCTGCCATGCATAGTTAGGTGCTACTGCTGCCATTGGCTAATCTCGCATTCAAACAGTTAAATTCATCAACACCTACTTTCATGCACAATAAGATGTATCGCCAAAAATACTCACTTGATTAAACTGCGAATGTGTTGTAGCACTTTGAAATACATTGTTTCTAGAATGTGCCATTGCAAGTCTACTATTTATATAGTCTTTCTGTTTTTCCTGGATCTGAATACGCTGACTCTCAATTTCTTGCTTTCCTGTTTGAATTTGTTGCTGGATCAAGTCTGCATTGGTCTGAATCTCCATGAGTTTTAATCTCTCGCGTGCTAAACAGATATATCCAGTAAACTCATTATAAATACTAGATCCATATATTCAGATTTCAACCATATTGAATACGTACATGCTTCGCCATGAAGCAATGCTGCATTTCGGATCGTGCTCTCCATGTAACTTTTTTCTTCTTCAGCTACACTCTTTTCAATTTTCAGTCGAGTTTTGAGAGCTTCAACTCGTATCTTTTCAGCTCGTAAAACTGCTCGATCTCGATAAAGCTGGGCCATACCATCCTGTAAAGCTTGAACTTCGCTTTGCAGTGTAAATTGTTCTAAAGTATGTCCATCAAAGTCAGTTTGGATAGCTGTTGATGGCATTGATGTTTGTTTCCACATATATCCAAGATTTATACTATACCAACGTGTTTCTCGTCTTCATAGCGAGACTTTGATAGCAATAGCTCTTGTTCAAGCTGGCGGTTAGCACGTTCCAGAGATGCTACGTGTGCTGCTTTACTGGCTAGCTTTTTTCTTTCATCAGATAAGCTAGCCATCATGGTCCTTCGCTCAAGCTCCCAGGAATCACGGCTATGATTCAATTCAGTTTGATCGTTTTGCAATTTTAACATTAGCTCATACTTTTCTTGTTGAGTTTGTTCAATCTGAGCACTCAATCGCATTTTTTCTTTATGGATCAAGGACATGTCTTGTTCTTGTTTAAACGTTGTTTCTTTCAATGCAATTTCCATTCTATGCATGATTTCAAGCGTCTAAATGACTTGCAAGTTAATCACTCTGACTAATTCAAAATCACTGTGATTGGGCAATCCAACAAAAATCTTCAATCTACGCAACGAATCTACCTTGGATTTATCATTTTCTATGCATTGTTTTTCTCTTTGTAAAGCTTCCAACTGATCATTAACAAGACATTCTTTTTCTTTCAATGCGTTTTCTCTATCTGTAAGCAATGTGGAATGATCCCCATGGATTCGACTTTGCAAACCTCCAATGAGATTCGAGTTTGTTTCCAACTTTTCCGTCAATTCAGCAAGCTGGCGAGTATTTTCAGTATTGGAAACAATCTTTTGCATCTGTGCATACAAGCATATTAATAAAAGGCACGTTGAGCAACACCACAAAAGTTTATAATAAATCGGCAACCATCACCACTATTTTTACCTCGTCTAAATGAGCTTGTTTTAAATCACATATTTTCCTTTCATATTCTGTGCAAACTTTTTCCAATTCAGTTTGAGATTCTTTTTTGGTCTAGTTTTCATGATTAACAAAACATTCTATTCAAATAAATCATACACTTTTTTAATTTTACATTAAAATCAAGTTGATATGCCTTACATTTTCAATATTGCCTTTTACTTGTGACATTTCAGTTTTGTGTTTGTCCTCGAGATCCTGGATTGCCTCGATGTGTTTCCTTTTAATTTCTTCAACTTCGTCAACGTGCTTTGTTTTCATTTCCATTTGTAAAATTGCACTCTAGTAATATGAATCACAAAATAATGAGTCGTGTTTTGTAGCCAAACAAGGTTTAAAGCGTAGCAATGATTTACATGTTTGCGCTCCTCATCGAGCTGTTCATTGAGCTGTTCAATTTTTTGTTCAGCCTTGTGCAAATTCTCCATGATAATCTCGAGTTTCTTTGGAGTAGCTTTTTTTGCGGACAATGATTCGACAGACAAGTTTACCAAAGATTTTTTCTTGGTATTTTCAAGGTGCTCTTTAAATACAATTATAAATTCATGTTAGCTTCAGGCACATTGACATAAAACGACAAATTGTATATTACCCTGTGATTTTAAAACGACTGTTGTTTGTAATGCAGTGGATTGAATCCGAGGGGTTGGTGTTTTATGACTCGAGGATACAGCCAAATCCAATTTTTCTGATTCATCATCGTCGGTATCACTAAGCACTGCCAGTGATGAAAGTGAATCTGATTTGAGCGTTTCTGCCTATCATTTTATTACTATTTTTGTTAGGTAATTTAGTTGTAGTTTCAAAAAATAAATAAACTGTATAACCAACAATAGTAAAATACAATGTGTGATGTTTGTTGCTCCTTGGCTGGCAGTAAAAACGGTATATGAGTGTCAATTTGTGAATAAACCTGCGGCTGCGTCCAGCTATTTGAATTGGAATCTACTATTGGCAAGTTTTGGGGTGATTGATTTTGCTCAATCTCCACTGGTTTGCTCAATACTTTGGGACGATCGGTCAAAACTAGACACATCAAATGTATCTATGCATTAGCATCTTGGTTTGTTTTGCAACACATGCAATGACAATATGGTTTGAAATATAGTTTAATCTTACAAGGTAAACTGACAGGTGTTGAAGAAAGTGGAGTTGGATGTGCAATAGCTGTTTGAGTAGGAGATGCAAATACTGACGATCCTTTCATTAGTCCTGCAATCATATTCATAGGATCAGACATGTTGGTATTAACTGGTGCCGATGAATTAGGTCCTCGTCGTCGTCCACCGAATGGTTTGTTATCAAGCATAAATGATGGCAGACCATCATTGTCATTTTTACTGGATTCATTTGAGATCGGTTTAGTTGTAGGATTAGTTGCGGCAAAAGATAAGGTTGGTACCATTTCACTTGAATTCTTGGGTTGTAGCAGAGTGATATGCTGACTTGCATTCTTATCGCGTCCTAATCCATGCAAACCATCAGATTCAACTTTCAGTGGTACTGAATTGTTTGGAACAAATGGCGTAAATACAGCTTTTGAACTCCGTGTGCTGGCAATTGGTGATGGTGATTTGAGAATTGAGGTGTCTTTTTCTATCAAAGATGATGTAGCTGAAGCAGATGTGTTGATTACTGAATCAGTCTGCGCTGGCTTTAAATCAAGTTTTTTAGATTTTCCACCCCCAAGTCCCAACAGATCCAGCATATCATCATCTCCAATATCATCCATGTCCTGTGTTTAAAATCCAATTTAGTTTCAATACACTAGCAATACATTTGCAAGTTTTGATTTTAAAATACCTTTTTGATTACTGCTGGCTGATTTAATTTTTGACGGCGTCCTTGATTACGATTGTTTGCTGCATCAATTAAACTTTCACTTTCTGCTGTATCAAAAATACTATCGTGTTGTTTTGATTTGGTCTTATTTTCCATCAATGTGGTAGTTTGTGCTGGAAACGTTAGTGATGATTGGTCCGAGGATGGGTTTAAAAACGATTTGCCTTTTGTTGTTTCTGTATCTTCGGGATTAGTTGTGCCAAGTATGGTGGAGGAGTTCCAAGAAGGGGTTGATGGTTTTATTTCAACGGAATCTTTGATTAGTTCTGTTCGAAATGAAGACTCCTTTATGGCAGATTGAGCACTTGCTGAACCAGCGCGCCTTCCACTGCTAGCACTAGTGCTATTCTTTGGTTTTCCAAATAGTTGCGAATCCATATCATCCATGTCTTGTAATGACGATAGAATGTTATTCAAGTCATCATTGTCATTTTTTTGGCTTGCCAGTTTGTTGGTTGGTACTGATGGATGTTCATGTAAAAAGCCACCACTGTTGTTTATAGATGCCGGTTTTGGCATGGCTGATATAGTCATGGGTTTTACTGTTGTTCGTGGCATAGATGATTTTGATTGTGGTATATCATGGGTTAAAGTGTGGCCAGATGGAGCGATATCCTATGTAGATTCATGGGGTTGATTTCAAATATATAACAATGATAAATGATACTGATTCGATCTCACTTGTATAAAATCATTAAACATTTATAAATGTATTTACAGTAGACCTACTTTGACTGATGGGACAGTTTCTGCAACTATCAACAATCAATTTACAGTATTAGTGAAATATACCAAGCATAGCTTCAATAGATAAACAGCATACCATAGCTGGGTGTACTTGGCTTGGACCTTCTTGAAGTTTTATTCTTACTGCTATCACTGCCCAGACCAAGAATATCAGCAAAATCGTCTTCTAAATCCAAATCAAGTTTTCCAGCGGGTTTGTTATTACTACCGACAGGAATTAGCCCACCAGTAAGTGCAGATGAGCCTGAAGATATCCACGGACTACCATTTGATTCTGGTGGAAAGTTCATATTTCAATATGTTAAATTATAGCGTTTTATACACGATGCATTCAAGTTTTAGTTTAAATTGAGCACGTTCATGAATTGAGATATTATAACGACACGTCCAACTTTACAGCAATATTCACGTAAAATGAAACAAGAGTTGAAATGTCAAAGTTGACCATCAGTTGAAACATTGACAATGTATTCAATAAGAATAGAGTTGATTTTTAATGTTTCCAATTTTGATAGTTTATTTGATGAGAATGCACGCAGTGAGATTAGACGAGCCATTCAATTATGGAATTTCAGAAAATGTTCGGTGCAATAAAGTCTAAAATCGGATATTCAAGTTTTTTGATAAGTTGAGCACTCGCTTATAACACACACTTTTGTGGTTTAATGCGAGTCTTCACTAGAGAAACTCTTGTGTGTCTAGTCAATGCACTGATTGCAAGTCTCATTCCAACATGCTTGCATCAGCACTTGTTTCCACTCAGTTTTCAAACACTCGAGCTCATCACGTGTTGAGATCTTTCACGAATGAACAGCAAATAGTTGGAATCTTCAACTTGCAGTTGGACTTGCAGTTTAATCAAAAGGTGTTGTCAAGGCATTAATACATATGAATTCATACTGCAGTTGAATGGAAACTATACGCTTGGTTTACATGGTTTCTATCTGACAGCATTAAAATATTAAGCATCTGTCATTTGACTTGGTTTCCAACTATTAATGAATATGAACAGTCTAGTCTTATTAAACCCTAAACTATTTTTGTATATTCAACTTGTGTTTATTCGAATAGGTGATTTCTTCAACATTTACGTCATGGTAAAGTGGTTCCTATTGCTGCTTCTCTTGGGATTCCAAGTTCAGGGTCAGAATGAGAATGGACCACAAGATACTGTCATCACTGACGAGCATTCTCAACAGGTGTTTCAGGTAATATCCCCGGTTTGGAGTGTGTTTAATTTATGCCTGGATAGTGCTGGATTGGTTTGCCTTTGCAAAATCTTATTGTTGTCATGGCTCAATTCTTAACCATTCCATTGTACTTGAATCGTTAGAATATCGAGCCAAAAGTCTCGTTTCCTGGATCTGAATCCAGTCAAACTGGTACGTATCTATTTTTCATAATGATCCAAAGTCTTGTTATAAACGTTGACAGTTATTCGATTGCTACGGTTTTTTCAACCAGATGAAGCTGCCAATTTATACGCGGATGCGATTGGTATTCTCGAGTCGCTTGCTCCAAAAAATCTGATTAAATCAAATCGACAAAATACAAAGGCGTATGGAGCAGCTACAGAACAGAATCAGCTTGAGCAAATGGAGGATTTGCTGAATGATCTTGTTGGATTGATTGGTCGATTATTTTATTCCCGAGTATCATGGATTCGCAATCTTTTTACCTTTACCTTGCATACTCCTGTACATTTTAAGCCCGAAACTGATTCTCACGTTGATTTTGACAACGAAAATCAAATGATTCGTGATGGAAATATCGATATTCCTTTGATTGAAGAGTCAGACTCGCCTGCATTGAAACGAGCCAAAGCTGTCAAATGGCTGTATGTTGCAGCATTTCAAATGGATAGTTTGCCTGCTCTCAAGACTCTTGGTGATATGTATTTGTTTAGTGAATTTGGACACCAGAGAAATGCAACCGCTGCCTTTCAGTTTTATCTGGCTCTTGCCACAAAAGGAGATCCACACGGACAATTTATTGTTGGTAAAATGTACGCTACTGGGGTTGGGATTCAACGCAATTATCCAAAGGTATTTTTCATGACCGTTCTCTACTGTGCTGAAATATAGTTGGTATTTATTCAATGCCTTTTATAGGCACTTGTATATATGACGTTTTCTTCGCTTGGAAACTATTTACTTGCACATCAAACTCTTGGCTACTGGCACGCTGTAGGAATTACTATGCCTAAAGATTGCGAATCAGCCGGCTGGCATTATTCTGTGGTTGCCTCGGCAGGTGATGAATGCTGGTACTTTTTGATTGTGGGGTTTGCTTGGTTACTAAAATGGGTGCCATGTTTTATCTATTTTCTACTAGGCGTTGAGCAGTTTCGTGATGGCCCATTAGGAGGAAGAGTGTTTCCCGAACATCCACTTCGCCTATTTGAAAAAGAAGGTGGCATTTTTGGTGAAGGTGCAAGTGGATCTGAAAGTCATGGCAAGCGAAAAACGAATGCAGGCATCCTCAGTAATGATGACATTTTGACATTTTATCGTCTCCAGGCAGAAACGGGAGATCCATACGCCCAAGTATGTAAAGGAATTTTGTTGATTTAACCAACCGTTTTGACTGACTTTATTTGGATCCCAGCTTATTACTGCCCAGCTATATTATCAAGGAACAGACACGACTGAAAAAGACTATTCCAAAGCATTAAAGTTTTTTGAGCGTGCTGCCAATCAGCATCCAGGCATGGCTGCCATTAATTCAGCAGACGTGTCTCAGACTACACTTCAAGCTGCACGGTCTGCAGCAAAGGCAGCAGGATTTCTTGGTGTCATGCACAGTCGAGGCGAAGGTGTTGAGGTGGATTTGGTCAAGGCACGCATGTGGTACGAGCGTGGTGTGGCTCAGGATGGTGCTGCAAGTTTTACTGGCCTTGGTGTTATGTACATGAAGGGTTTGGGCGGACTTCCTAAAGACGAAGCAAAAGGAGTCAAACTTTTTGAGCAAGGCGTAGCGCATGATAATGCCGATGCCATGGTATATCTGGCCGAGCATCTTATGAGTATGTATTTGGCCAAGTTGTTTTTGAATTGATGCACAAATACTTATGCCGTGATCTCTTCATTTAGAGGCACCTCGCGTGGATCTTACTCAAGTTACCAAGTTGCTGAACAAAGCGGCTCAAACGAGCAATTTGCTTGCTTACTATCACATGGGTCGTATGTTTCTTAAAGGCCAAGGGGTAGTCACAAACTGTAAATTTGCGCTTACTTATTTGAAAACCGTATCTGAGCGTGCCAACTGGAAAGATACCGCTTTGAGTGATGCAGAAGAAGCCTTGGAGAGAGGTGATCGTGAAACAGCTTTCCTGCATTATCTCTTTGCTGCTGAGCGTGGGTATGAAGTGGCTCAAGCCAATGCAGCATGGATGCTGGATCGTGGAATGTACACTCCATCTACATCTCTTTTATGGATGGACGAAAAACTTGCTGACCCATATGAATTTGCCATGCATTTGTGGAATCGTGCTTCCAACCAGGGCAACGACGATGCTCGCGTCAAAATTGGCGATTACTTTTACTATGGTCTTGGAATGAAAGGCTTGCCTAGTACTCACAGGGATGATGCGGACGAAGAATCATTTGAAACAGTTTACAAGCCATCGTTGATAGAGAGACTGCTAGGTGTTACATTTATCTTTGACAAGGCGCGTGTATCAAGACCTAGCTATGAGCGTGCTGCTACATACTACCAAGTAGCAGCCGAGACAGAATATTCATCTATTGCCATGTATAATCTAGGGTATATGCATGAGCACGGACTGGGTGCAATCAAGGATCTTCATCTTGCAAAGCGATGGTATGACATGGCTTTGTCCACCAACCCTTCAGCATTTATTGCTGTTCATATTGCACTTTCAGGCTTGATGATCAAATGGGGTGTGGCATATATACTTGGTGTGATTGGATTCAAATCAATTGGAGTTGATGAAGCTGATACCTTGACTACACACCACTCGGTTGTGGATGAAGCACCACTTCCACCTCCATCGTCCAGCTCTCATACAGAGGAAGTTGAGATGGATGATAACCTTGTATCGGGCAATCTGTTTGCCATTTTGCTATTTCTGGCAGCAACAGGGCTTATGTTTTGGCGAAATCGATTGGAACATCAGCACCGGGCGGAAGAGGCAGCAGCAGCACAACAGGCAGCAAGATTGGCTGAAAATCAAAATGTACCCGCTGCTGCACATACTGCAATGGAACACACTCAACAAGCCACTGCTTTTCCTGACGAATTATCATCTGCTCCAAAAATGACACGAGAGACTCGGAATGTTTCTGCCCAGTCCACATCTAAATCCGGGATGGAGCACACCTTGCCGGTTGCATCAGGTTCTGAATCAGCACAGCCATCTGATTCTACGAGTATTGAATCGAATATGAATCATCAGTCTGCCTCGGTCGACTATTCACTCAATTCTACACGATCCGCCTTTTTAAAAGCAGCAGAATTGCGAAAACGTGTAGTGGAGCACCAGCAAGTAGATGATCAAAGTAAACACACAAAGGGTACAGATGAATCTGACCACAATGAATGATATGATTAGTTTTAATGTTGTTTTTGATTTGAAAAGTTTAAAATCTGGTAGTTTATTCCAAAGTAATAAAGATGAACAAATAGCCCTAAAATGTGAGATGATGCCAAAAAGTGCGCCTCATAGCGCTGCATACAATCTATTCCCGAACAAATGTCGGAATGTCATTGTCTGTTATCGGGTTTTCAGGGTAAAGCTTGATTGTTTTTTCTGCAAGATGTTTCCACTCCTTGGCAATACTAATTGGACCAGCACCCATAAGAGCAGCAGCTCCGCGAAGTAAAATGCATGTACGAACTGCCATGATAAGGTGTTCTGGGATTGACTTTGTGGCATCTTTTTCGTTTAGATATTCAAGATATTTTTGGAGACTCATGCCTAGTCCATTCCAACACAGATCAATGCAGTGAATGGTTGGGTAACGTTAGTTGAGAGATTCTAAATTCGAGTCAAGATTGCAATTGAATGTCCAAATCTACCTTCACAAGCTTCTTCATCATCACGATCTAATCCAATGACAGCGGTTTTATAAAGCACATGATCGTCGTTTTTTTCAGTTTGGAATCCAAGAGCCTTGACGAATGAAATGGTTTCGTTTTTGACACCTTCGCCCTTTTCAAGCAATAGCATCAATTCGGCAAGCTGGCGACGTTCTTTTTTGGTAAGCATCTTGACTTGTCCGTAATCAATCAGTCCAATCTTGCCGTTGGGCAAAATCAAAATATTTCCAGCTTGATGATTATGCAATATAAAAATGTGAATGGCATTAGCTGATTGACGTGGCAAAACAAAACATTACATTTTTAGAATCACATTCACTAACGATGGGGATCGCCGTTAAAAATGCCATCGATAAGTATTTCTTTTCCGTGAACCTCCACTAAAGTTTTGAAAATATTTTTGATATCGATTGGTTTTTGAGCATACGGAATGTTTGGAGCGATCCACCCGAGTGTCCAGTTGTAGATTCCGGCCATAGTGGACCAACTGACATCAGCAACCGTGTAGATTGAGTTTCGAACACCCATCCATGTTGTGAATTTTCCAGTCTGCAGCACATCCAAAGTGGTGCCGAGTCGACGAGCAATGCGTTGTGCATCAACAATGACGGCGTCAATAAGCTTTACGCCCGGAATGTATTCCATGACAAGAACGTCCTTGTTGCTGAATTCCTTGATGGGTTTTGGAATCACAACATTTTTGTAAAATGGCATGATATTCTTGCGTACAGTATCTAAAGCCCAAGCTTCCTTGTCAAAATAAAATTCCTCCAAAACTTGTCGTTCAAGTTCGTCCATTGCAGGAATCTGTTCTGGCTGAGCAAGTTTTGCAAACTAGTCATGCAAATCAAACCAAAATCAGTAGTGGCCAGTTAATTTTATAGACAGATTGATGTTGCCATCTAGCATTAACATGTTTGGAAATGGGATTGATAAAATGTCATGTCATACCTGTTTGCTAGTAACAATGTCTTGCCGAAAAAGAGAGTCTGCATCTGGATACTGGATCTTGACCACCACAACACGGCCATCGTACAGTTTGGCTTTATGAACCTGACCGATAGAAGCTGCTCCAATAGACACGTCATCGAATTCAGCAAACATGCTGTTGATAGAACGCCCAAGAGCATTTTCAATAATCAAGCGAGCTTCAGTCCCACTCAAAGCAGGTACTCGATCCAATAACTCAGAAAAATAGTTGCGATAGATTTCTGGAGCAATATCTTTGCGAGTGGCAAGAATCTGGCCTAGTTTGATATATATGCCACGCAGTTCCAAGAGCAGAGCCAAAACCTGTGGAGCATATTGCTGATGTAATTCGTTCCAAGCCTTTTCCTTGATCTCATCAGAAGAGTCTTTCAGTCTCCATTCCTGAATGCGATATTGTAGATAAATGGGACCCATTTTACGCCAAAAAAAAGTGGATCGCTCAAGTTTTTGAAAAATAAGTGGATCTTGGACATACTCGATGGTAGAAACAGCCATAACAGCACCTAACAAGAACATGGATGTATTTTTAAAAAACAGGCCTATTCTTGGACCATTAGAAGAATGGGATTGATGAGCAGTACTCAATGAGCGAGTGGAAACGAGTGTAGAAGCAATTGATTTTTTACTAGCAGCGAATGGCTGCATTCGCCATATAGTTCTGATTATAGATAATGCCATGACTTTAGTTTTCTTTTGAGAAAACCTTGAATTCAAACATCGATACTCAAATATTCAACCGAGAGTGGACAACTCAACCCGTGTCAATGCTCGAGTAAGACGTATGGATTGACGATCTGTTCATATTAGAGAATCCATGCAAGATGACGATGATTATCAAAGTGAAATTGCAGTCATTTCAGTAACACCAAGACTATAAGACGCACGGACATTTGAATTTCTTTCCTTCACCAACAAAAATGTTTTCTGGAGCCGCATTGCGAGTAGGTTCTCATGCTGTTCAATGAGGATTGAATTGCATAGATAGTGGTTGATGTCGCAATGCTGGGTTGGCTCATTGAGCAGAATTGCGTTTTTCAATCCTGGCTTGGCATCCCTTGTGGAGTTGTTACTAACCCACTCGGTGTCTGGCTGCCATTGAATCTTTGGTTACTAACTTTTATTCTATATTACAACTTGTGTCTTGAATTGGCTTATTCAACTATAGAAGTCTGCTAGGATTGGTGAGTAGTTCTTCAAGATAATACCATCATCACGACTCTGACTCTATCGAGGTCTGATGGTGCTTTGATCTTATTATTTGAATATTCAATTCTCCGCATATCTTGTTTTAATTCATATCTAGTTCAACACCGATCTTTTCATGCATCGGCCTTTACTCAGAGGATTTCTACCACTCAGACATTGAGAGCCTCGGCTGCCCAAGTAAGGATTGATGGAATCTTGTTTTAAACTTCTTGATCCAGTTGCATGGGTGTCAAGGGCATGTCTTTAAACCCGATCAATCGGTTGGAAAATAATCTGATGTCGGTGTTTTCAAGCATACTCTAGTGTTGAGTTTGTATTACAACAGTATCTATAATATGATGTTTACTTTTCTATATTTGAAATATTCAGTCTACCATTTCTGCAGCATATCCAATTATTGATCACACCTACGATGCACTAGTTGTTGGTGCTGGTGGTGCTGGTCTTCGTGCTGCATTTGGTCTTGCCAAGGAAGGCTTAAAGACTGCATGCATCACCAAGCTTTTTCCTACCCGATCTCACACCGTTGCTGCTCAGGGTGGTATCAATGCTGCCCTTGCAAACATGACTGAAGATGATTGGAGGTGGCACATGTACGACACCGTCAAGGGATCAGATTGGCTTGGTAAGTGTATTTTTTAAAGTATAATAGTGGTGGCATACCAGCCTTGCTGATTTTATGGCGGTATAGGTGATCAGGATGCTATACACTACATGTGTCGTGAAGCTCCACAGTCTGTCATTGAGCTAGAGCACTTTGGTGTTCCTTTTTCTCGTACTCCCGAGGGCAAGATCTATCAGCGCGCATTTGGTGGTCAGAGTCTGAAGTTTGGAAAGGGTAAGAATCAATCCATTGCTCCAACTATGGTTTTGACACGTTATACTGTTTGATTGCTGAGATTCTGCAATGACTTGTCATAGGTGGTCAGGCTTACCGCTGTGCTGCTGTTGCTGACAGAACTGGCCATGCCATTCTCCATACTCTATATGGTCAGTCGCTGCGTCATGACACCACTTTTTTTATCGAGTATTTTGCTCTTGATCTTATCATGGAAAACGGTAAATAATGCAACACCATTCAAGTTGGTTCATGATTGATACGAGTTTATTGGGTTTCAAGACGTTTAAACTTATATCAATGAATGAACATGTGCTAGGCGAGTGCCGTGGTGTGATTGCACTCAACATGGAAGATGGTACTATTCATCGTTTCCGATCCCACAAAACCGTTCTTGCTACAGGTGGATACGGACGTGCATATTTTTCGTGTACCTCGGCTCATACTTGCACTGGTGATGGAAATGCCATGGTTACGCGTGCTGGTCTTCCCTTGCAGGATCTAGAGTTTGTGCAGTTTCATCCTACTGGTATCTATGGTGCTGGATGTCTCATCACTGAAGGTTCTCGTGGCGAGGGTGGCTATTTGCTCAATTCCGAGGGAGAGCCGTTTATGGCCAGATATGCACCTACTGCCAAGGATCTTGCCAGTCGAGACGTTGTATCTCGTTCCATGACCATTGAGATTCGCGAAGGCCGTGGTGTTGGTCCCCAAAAGGACCATCTTTACTTGCAGCTTAGTCATCTTCCAGCAGAGGTTCTCCACAGTCGTCTTCCAGGTATCTCTGAGACTGCTGCTATTTTTGCTGGTGTTGATGTCACCAAAGAGCCTATTCCTGTTCTCCCCACTGTTCACTACAACATGGGTGGAATTCCAACTCGCTATACTGGTGAAGTGATCAACTACGTTGATGGCAAGGATGTTGTTGTTCCTGGCCTTTATGCTGCTGGTGAAGCTGCATGCGTATCGGTACATGGTGCTAACCGTCTTGGTGCCAATTCTCTTCTTGATATTGTTGTCTTTGGTCGTGCCGCTGCTCTTCACATCAAGGATACTTTGGCCCCAGATACACCTCACAAACCACTTCCTGCCGATGCAGGTGCTGCCACTATTGCCAATTTAGACAAGTTGAGATACGCCAGTGGTGCCAACCCCACTGCTAATGTTAGACTTGAAATGCAAAAGGTCATGCAAACCGATGCTGCTGTGTTCCGTACCGAATCATCGCTTCTTGAGGGTGTAAAGAAGATTGATCAGGTTTCCACCAAGCTTAAGGATCTCAAGGTCACCGATCGTAGCTTGATTTGGTAAGTGCTGCTAGTCTAACAGCTGGGTTACATTGAGGATTTCAGGCTAACATTTTGCAAATGCTTTAGGAACACTGATCTTGTCGAGACGCTCGAGCTTCAAAATTTGATGACTAACGCTGTTCAGACCATGCATTCTGCATATGCGCGCAAGGAATCTCGCGGTGCTCATGCTCGCGAGGACTTTAAAGATCGTAATGATACCGAATGGATGAAACACACTTTATCCCGACATGATCTTGAAACGGGTGCTGTTTCGCTGGAGTATCGCAAAGTGATCTCTCACACACTGGATGAAAACGAAGCCAAGTCTGTTCCTCCTGTTGCTCGTGTCTACTAAACATTTTGATATATGGCTTTTAGATTGCCTGCATTTGTCAATCTTTTCTCTGATGTGTTTTGACGACTCGAGACAATAAAATTCCCTTTTCGTATTATTTTGAATGCATGTTTGGAAATCACTGTAGTTGATTTTATACCTCTGATTTTCATTCTAATCCACAAAAGTTTAAATTGAAAATTCGAATGGAATTCATAAACACATTGATATGCATGTATTAATTTTTGAAATCAACTGTAGTGTGGAGAAGTCTCGAGTCCATCTCAGCCCAACAGAACCAGCTTGACAACCATTCCTAACCCAATTCAAATTGCCATCTCTTGAAAACAGTGTCCAATGCGGGATGGGGTTTCAAGGAACGCTAAAAGACAAAGTAAGCAAAGCATATCAGAATTGGAGCAAGAAACTCACAAAGCGCCAATATCCAGTGAATTAGACTTTTCACCAGCTGCATTGGAATGCAACCAGGACGAGCACACTGCATCTTGCAGTATTATTTGTGATACATTTTGTCGGAATGGCCGTCTAAATGCCAGTTGTATTCACAGGATTGAATTAAGCTCAGATTCAATCCCAAAACTACTATTCAACCCAGTCAAGTCTTTAGGTCAGCAGCTGGAACAGGACCTGCAATCACACGCACCTCTGCCATTTATACCCAAGATATTTTTACAGCCCAAAAAGTTTCATATCAGGATTGTGGACACCAAGACATGCATCAGGTCTGGTGGGCTGAAACCTGTAGCTACGGTTTTATCCACTGCTGATACTTTAGTGAATCTACTTGCATGTAACATTCAAAAAAATCTGTATTGCCATGAAAAACTGCTATTCAAAGGACAATCCGCTCATATCAAGGACTCTGTTGGCAACACACTGCTACATGGTTTAAATGCTCTCAAAACTGATAAGCTTTTTCGCGTCAATTCAATCACGCAGTCTAGGTTATATGATCCATTCCCCAATATATTGCATATAGATTCCAAACCTCATGATGGATTGAGACCATTGAGATATGCAATGAACCACAACTCACTTTTGTCAATTGATTCAGTATCACAGACACCTTTGCGTGTGTTTGTGATGAATAGATTGAAATTAGATCACCCAGAACTCGTAGATTCATTGTTATCGCAAATCAACGAGTCCAAAAATGAGCCAAACACTCGGTACACCATTCAGTCAAAAGAATCAAACAGTAGCCCAGGTAAAGTATCTTGCGAATAAGAACAAGCGGTTTTGTATTTAGTTTGTTTTGATGATTCAAGAGTATGCTTATTGAATAGTACTGTATATTACATATCATTTGAATGCAACCGTTTTAATATTTTAGTCACAGTCGATGATAGTGTGAAAAGTCGCCTACTTTGTGACAGGCACAGCAGTCAAGACACTGATATTTTAAATATGGCATCACAGTCTAAAAATTGTACCATTTTGCAACACACCACTGATGCACTGGAGTTTAACATGCCCACTCCAATATCAAGTCAAGAAAGTTTATCTCGATGTTTGACCACAACATCATCTATCGAGCCAACCCATTTAATACCCAACGCATCCATCCAAAAAAAGACGCCATCTAAACCATCAAACTCGCTAAAGTCTATTTTAAAGCAGCGACCTGTTGCCTCCAAACCAAGTGCTGATGCGTGTCAACAATTAATACAGCATCCAAAACACGATATTTATCCCATAAGTAGTACGTCTATAGCAAATCGACATTCTTCAGTTTTATCTGCTGTGCCGAGTGTGGGTGGTTATGCAGCAGCATTTCGCAAAAACCCAACTATCCACTTTGATTTTAATGTTTATCGACATTTCCAGACCTACAAAGATCCAGTGGTCAAAAGGGATAAAAAACCGACACTACGGCATTTGAAAAAAGTAAACACTTTAGATACTCAAGTACCAGACAATGAAACGGCCGTAGATAAACCTAAACCAGTAGTCTTGAAACGTCAATCACAAACATCTTTAGCAACAGACACTCACTTGAGACGATCAACACAGTTTGAATTAACACCAAATGATTTTAATTCATGTCGTGTAGAGGATTCTAATGAAACCCAAGTTACACAAGATTCTGTAAAGTTTCCGTTTAAACCGAAATTAATAACTGAAACTCATAGCATGCCACAAAAACCCTTGGTTGCCGAGACAAGACGATCAAGACGTTCCGAACCTCAATGTTTTACCATGGCATCTGCAAACAAAGTATCAACCTGTGAAATAACAAACCTACCTAGAGGTTTGAACAGACCAGTTTATTCCAATCTACAACCAGCAGGACTTTCACAACACACACAGGGTTCAGTGAATACTTTTCGTCGATTCTACAAACCAGCTGCAGATTACAAGCAAGATTCACGGCTTCGAACGAGTGAGCAAACAGACGGAATGTATCATTTAATAAATGATGAGTGGGATATCTATCCACGAATACAGCCAGCTTGTAACAGGGCAACCCATCGAATCCAGTCACAACATATGTCTTATCCCTCACAACAATACCAACATACATGGATGAATGAGTACGACCCACAACCGCCCAGTCAGGAATATTATTTTTATTAAGCAAAGGATTGGTTTTAGACTTTAGAGCGCGATTGTGCCTTCATCCTGGTGATTTCTTCCAAACCAAAGGATCATTGAACTAAAGAAATAAATATGGATGAAAGTAGAAACACAATGAGTTGAGTGAACAAGCTATAAAAGGTACAAAGAGATGCAAATTACCTGAAGAATATGAGAAAGTTTTGGATTGTGATGGCTTGACCGAGATAAAAGGCATCTCCAGACACGTTTGGAATAATAAACTTGAGACTAAGAACAGCCAAAGCTCCACCAAGAGAACCCAATGCCATCGTCACACCCAGAAAAGCACACGCTCTTGCCTTGCATGCGACACTAGGTCCGGAATATTCAAAGTCGTCTGCATTTAGAGTTTCACGATCGATAAGATTGACACTATAATTTGAATACACAAGTCAACAAGTGTGTTCAGAACAGCCAAGAGAAGAAGACTTACATGATCAATGCAACAGTTGAGATGATGCCAGGGGCCCAATCTTCAAACCCAACTTGAACGACAGGAATAGAACCAGCTTTTGAGCCATTGAATGCAATGCCATCAATAAACAGCCACCATCCAATAGCAAACTATAGTAATACCAAGACAATCCAGGGTTGAAAATGAGACTCGATTGAATCAGATTTAAATTGCAACAAGCATATTTGAAATGCATTAAACAGACAAGCAATGCGTTGAATTACCAGCGCACCGGCAGTATAACCAATAGCTTGTCTACGAACTAGATCCAGCATAGAAGTAGAATGCAAACACATGTTCTTGAGTGTAAAGCAAGCATCACCACAGTAGAATGGAGAGCGACGGGATGAATTGGGTCTGTGAATGTTCAAGGCAGGGCCTCCTGGACCAGTGTTTGAGCCAAGAAAGGGAGTTGTTGGAACAGGGACTCCAGTGGCAGGATGCTGCATGTTGCTGTCCGTGTCCATAGAGAGAGGTTGATAGCGAGGCATTGAAAGTATTTTGAATAAAGGCTTGAAATCAAAGAGATTAAAAATTGATTCTTATCAACAGATTCTTGTTAACAGATTCTTACTAATAAATTCTTATCAACAGATTCTTATTAACAGATTCTTATTAATAGATTCTTACTAATAAATCAACTCTCTTTTAAACTGTTTCTTCAAGAATGGCCAAAATAACTTATTTTATGGCCAAAATTCAATCAATTCTTAAAACAGTTGCACTGCAATTTATTCAACTTTCACTTGTTTTGCGTGGATTGTTCGTAAACTGCCCATGTCGCTACTCATGCCAGATAGACCTGCGTCGTCTGCTACGTCCTTGGCATCTAGATACCGTCCAGAGTTGTCATGGGATCAGATTGTGTCTGCAGAAATTGCCAGTGTGACGAGCAGCATGCGTCGTAATGCTCGCTGGAGTATTGACCGGAACCATAGGCAGGACTCGCTGATTCAAGCAACTCTGAATCAGCAAAACCATCGGCAGAATAATGCAGAACAGGATGACAGTTCTTCTCCTCATCTCACCGCCGGTCGAACAAACGGTGCCTCTGGCTCAAACGCTTATGATTATCTCGCTGATATTTCATTGCGTGAAAGCTCTGGGCTTGAATACCTTCGCATGTTCACTGATCTGGCATCAAGGCGTGATCCTTCTTTACGGGCTGGTCCATTTCCAACTCTACCTGTAAGTACAGTCACAGAATTTCGTGTTGTGTTGGCAAGGCACTTAATTCAAAGTTAAACCTCTGGATTTACTCTTGATCCAATCAACTGTCATGCTATACTTTCTAGCCACTATCTTGCTGTGAATAGTCTTGTTTACTTTTTTAAATACTGTTTATATAGGAGAGTTTGTTGTTGCAAGGCTTTTCTCGACTTAAAGCAAGACTGACCATTATCCAAAGTAGGTTCATACTCTGCGTCCAATCGTTTATCATGGTCGTTGTTATAGTAAAGTCATGATGCTAACTGGAATACATATCCCACTAAATAGATTTGCGCGATCTTGACCCTTTGCATTTATTGGATCCTTTCTTGAATGTCATCAAAAGTGGCGAAACAAATGGTCATATTACTGGTGTAGCTCTTGAAAGTGTCGAAACATTCATCAACTATCGTGTTCTTGGCAAGTGATCGATATTGGATTTATTCTAGTGCAATCTCTGGTGTATTCAAATACAGTCGTACCTTTTGTTTCCTGATTGAAGCTGACCAAAATTGAATACCATGTACAGATCCTCACCATCCAGATCTTTCCAGTGCGGTTGTTGCGCTTGCTGATGCTGTCACCCATTGCAGATTCGAAGGAACAGATATTGTTTCCGACGAAGTCGTCTTATCTCGTGTTTTGCGTCTTTTTCGAACTATTGTTCTTTCCGATGCCGGGAAAAAGTGTTTAGATGACAAGTCTCTGTGTGCTATGGTGGAGGTATCTTTTGGAATTCACTATCCATCACGTATCAGTGGTAAATGATTCATTGTTGCTTGTATGCCAAAGTTTTGTGTAAATTCTAAAAAACCACCTGGTGGTTAACTGTATTTTTATATTTAGAAATGCTTCGAAAATCAGCAGAAGAAACCTTGCTGGTGCTTGTTCAAAGCGCTTTTGAGCGGTAATTAAATTCATCTAAACGATTTACTTGATAGTGCTGATATCTCGAAACTCATTTTCTGTTTATGGATCAATCTACCAACTCAGTCTTGCAGTCATTACAAAGGAACGTGAACATCGACAGACTTTGAAATCCAAAGTTTCAATGAGTCGTGGCTTACGGAATCACGCATCATCTACTCTTAGCGAGGACTACATTTCTCCACTCAGATATGGCGGACTAGAAAATGAAACCAGTCAGAGTGAGTTGATCGACTTCAATTCATCTCCAAATCGACAGCAAAAGGAATTGACGAATTCCTCGCAAGACTTGACAGCTGTTTCTTCACAACCCTTTGGGCTTCCTGCTATTTTGGAGATTACTCGAGTATTGATTACTTTGATTGATCCTTCAAACAGAACACAGACAGATAGTCTACATCGCGTTTTAGGTCTGCGTTTACTGCGACGTGGGCTTGAGATCTCTGGCAAGTCTTTAGGAAAATGGATTGGCTTTGGCTATGCAGTGAGTGAGCAATTAAAAAAAACACCTGAAAAATCACGCAAGCCTGAAGTCACTCGACGAACAAGCTGTTCTATGGAAATGAAAATCACTACTGAACACCCTGCACAAGTCGTTAGTGTACATCCCAATGGAGATATGCTTCATTCGGATGGATTACATCGCATTGTAGACGTAGGCAGTCCTCAGTTGATTCCCGAATTGAGAAATAACGAGGTCACAGACATAACCTTGGACTCTACTAGTCTGAGTGATGAAAGCGAGCAACCATTGTTGGATAAAAAAACTCACGAGACAATTGCATCTGAACAGACTTTGGCACCAGATATCACTTTGAAACAAGATTTGACGTGTGATGATAAGAAACCGTTACTGGAAGACACTGAGCAAGATCTTGAAAACAATGCTTCTCTTTTGACGACTACTCATCAAGAACTGCATGCTGACTTACATGCTGATTTTCAGCGTATGGCTATTAGTTTAAGAGATATGATTACCAATGATCTTTGCAAACATCTTTTTTTACTTTTATACAACTCCAATGTGACATTCACCAATCCGCCTTCTTGGCAAACTCTCTCGCTACTTACGCAGCTTTTAAAAACAATTTTGGCGCTTTTTAACACAGTTCGCGAGTATTTATTTCCACAACAGCAATGGCTTATTCAGTTTCTAATCCAGCAGTGCGTGTCTGGTGTTGTTGGTTGGGATATCGAAGATTGGGCTACTCCAAGTGGTTCATTCAATGACTATGTTCGCTCTCGTGGTGAAACTTCCCCTGTATCTGGAAATCAGCGTCTTGGCTATGAGATTATTGTTGGTGAAGTGCGTGAAATCTATCTTGAAACTCTTCTTCAGCTAGCTCGATCCCCTTCGTTTTTTGTGGATATGTATGTGTACTATGACAGCGACATGATGTCTTCTTGCCATCTGTTTGAAGAATTGTTGGGATTTTTGTCAAAATCCTCTTTTCCAGATCTCACACCTGGTGGACCAGCCACATCTAGTATCCATCAAGCACAATGCTTTGACGGTTTGCTGCTGTTTTTGAGACGTTTGGTCGATCGACGCAACATGATTGGTCGGCTTCCCGAAGTCTTATCCCACAACATTTTTGAACCAAAGCCCAGCAATGCAGCTGTTTCGGATCTGTTTTCTGGTACTGAACAAGAAACCGCCGCATATGCTCCTCAAACACTAGTAAATAATCGCAAACGAAAGCGAATCATGAGTGAAGGCGCGGCAAAATTCAATGCTTCATTAAAAGAGGGAATCAAGTTTTTCCAAGAGCATGGGATTTTGCCTGATCCTCTTACGCCCATTTCCATGGCTCATTTTTTTGCATATACGCCCAATTTAAGCAAAAAGTTTATTGGTGAATATTTTTCAAAGCCGCAAAATGTAGAAACGCTTGGGTTATTTGTCGAACTATTTGATTTTCATGGCAAGCGAATTGACGAGGCAATGCGAATTTTACTGGAAAAGTTTAGGATTCCTGGCGAGTCTCAGCAAATTGAGCGAGTAATGGATGCATTTTCAAAATGGTATTTCGAGTCTATCCAAGACGACCCCAACCGTGAGATTGCTACAGAAAGCGACACCGCGGTGCTTGCATTTTCAGTCATTATGCTGAATACTGATCAACACAACCCACAAGTCAAACGACGCATGACATTCCATGATTATTCCCGTAATGTGCGTGGACTCAATAGTGGCAAAGACTTTTCAATAGACTATCTCAGGGAAATATATGATGCAATCAAGCACACAGAAATTGTAATGGCTGAAGAGCAAGGAGGCGAGCTGAGTTTTAATTTCAAGTGGCGACAAATCTTGGCTCGTGCACCTGAGATTGTTCAGCTTTCAAATCGAGATACGACAGTTTACAATAAGGACATGTTTATATCTATATGGGGGCCTATGCTTGCTGCTATTTTCTATACGTTTGACAATGCAGAGGACAATATGTCGCTTCAAAAGGCAATTGCTGGAGTACAGCACTGCGCAGTACTTGCATCACACTATGATCTTTCTCATGTATTTGATTATATTATTATATCACTACTACGAATGACTGGGTTGAACAAATCCAGTCGTGTTCTTCCTGTAGAAAAAGACATTGCTGCGTTGCAGCTGATGTTTGAGCCTCAGCTGCTAGATACTGCTTCTTTGTCCGACTCGGAGCTTACACTCTTGCGACGTCGCGAGCGTGCACATCAGCCTGATCGCTGGCTAGTTGATTTTGGAGGCAATTATCGAGGACAGGCAGCAGCGGTTCTTGCATTCAATCTTGCTAGTGACTATGGCAATACGATTCGCGAGTCCTGGAAGCATGTATGATTACTCTGATGTTTTTTGTATCTTGATTTAAACTTCAACTCACATTTTTATGGTTGATTCTAGATTATTTATTCAATTGGAAATCTATTTCTTCATCAAATTCTTCCAATATCTTTGCTGGCTGTTGAGCATTTTGGACATGACAATGTTCTCATTCCACGAGTTAAGCCTTCTACTTTAAATAAGCAGGCCAACGAGGTGACATCTACTCGCAAGGAGGCTGGCATATTCTCCACTCTATCCCAGCTACTTTCTTTGGGCTCACAGCAATACAACGACGACTATGATCTTCATCCAGACGATATAGTTTATGAACGCATGGCATCAGAGTGTGTCACCTTGTGCAGAATCGAAGAACTGATTGCAGATACAAGGTGAGTGATGGTTTATGTTATTGAATTCGTGTTGCAATCTATTCAACCAGACCTATTCTTATGTCAAGGTTTCTGGAGGAACCTACTCTTACAAATCTGGTGACTACATTGATTGAAGCGTGCTACACGGATCCAGTAAAAATGGATGGAGCACATAATTCATTGGCCGATCAGCAGCCACTTGTGAAAGAGCCCGTTGCTTCACAGGACAAAGTATTTTCTGAATCGTGTGTATTTCAGCTTGAGCTGCTGCTCAATATTACGCTACGTAACCGTGATCGTATCCAAATTCTCTGGCCACAGATTTCGGCTCATCTGATGGAAGTATTCAGCAATCCCACTTTTGCACCTCCTGCTTTCCTTGATCATGCTGTTTCCTGTTTACTCCGTCTTTTATTGCGCCTACTTCACGTGGTATGCAACTACTTTTGAATACGTTTGCGTCATACTTGTTTAATTATTTTCATTTAATTTGACTGCTTTAAATTTGATTGAAACATGTCATTCAGGAGGAGATTCAGACGGAGATCTTTGGACTATTGGATAAAGTATCCAAATTCCCCGCTGATCTAATGCATGCAGTTGGCGAATCTCTTGTTGCTGGTCTCTTGTCTGTTTTAATGACCAACATTTCGATTGTTGCCAAACATCAGTCTCGTTGGTTGACTGTTTTGCATGTTCTCTCGGCGACCTCGAGCCATCCAGGTGCTGCCTCATTTGGATTCGAAGCTGCTTGCCTGCTTGTTTCCAATCATCCCGACTCACCAGTCACTGCAGATAATTTTGGCGAGTGTGTTGATTTGCTTATTTCATTTGTAACTGCTACTGCTTCCAGCACGGGTGCCATCACTACTTCTACAGAGCTGCAACCTTTGATTTCAAATGTGCAAATCGGTCATGTTAGCGGTCACACATCACCTGCTCGCGTATCTGTTCGTGAACAACGATCACAGACGGAAGCAAGATCGCCTCTTTTGGTACATCGTGCCGAGCCTATTTGGTATGCGGCAGTTGTATTTTAAAACCCTTTTTGGTAGTTAAAAGAGATTGAACTGACATTTCTATTATTTGTTTGATAGTTCAACCCAGTTATCACCGTTAGATAGAGCTTTGATGGCAATAGAGAAACTGTATAAACTTCAGACCAAGATTCCAAAACTAATCGAGACCACTGGGATACAATCCAAACGAGGTATAATTGTCTGTTTTAATAGTACATGCATGAATTCAGAGTTTTATGTTTGTGATTTCACATGTATAATATGGTTGCTAATTAAATGTGTAGCCTGGTTTGAGTTTTGGCTCCCAGTTTTATCAGGACTAAGCCAACTTTGTTACCACCCACTACGCGAAGTACGACAACAAGCACTCACACTCCTTCAACGCAGCTTACTTTCAACCGAGTTGGAAATGAGTTTAGGTGAAACTGCAACCATTGTTTCTGTCGAGTGTCGTGTCGACTGCTTTGATAACGTGTTATACCCACTGCTGGATGAGCTACTCAGACCAGAAGTTTATCGACTCAATCCACATGGAATTGAAGAAACACGTGTGAGAGCAGTCGCATTGCTTTCCAAAATCTTCTTGAGGTTTATGCCACTGCTAGTCAACAGTAAAGAATTACCACGGATCTGGGTCCGTATTCTCCAGTATGTGTGTCAGTTTCTTGGTGCTGGCGGACGACAGCGCCGTGAATTTGTGGTAAGCATTGTCAAAGTCTTGTAGGTTTGCAGCTTTATGTTTTAACTCGTGTATATTTCTAGGTTGAAGGAGTTCAAGAATCGCTCAAAAATCTGTTGCTGGTGCTTTCGGCAGAAGGGATTCTTTGGCAGCCCAAATCCACAGACAATCCAGCAGATGTAAATCTGTGGGAGCTAACGTGGTCTACTATTGGCCAATTTCTTCCCAGTCTGCAAGATGAACTTTTCCCGCCTACTCAAGTTTTACCTCTGCAGCCTGCTGCACTGTCCGAGGCATTGCCATCTCAAACAGGTCAGCCAGCTGACTCTGGCGCAACACAAGAAGCAAGTCTTCCCTCTGAATAAATCCGACTTTTCAACAAATAGAATCTTAATTGTTTCATGATCCATGTAATCCTTTTTAATAACAAATTACCACTGAAAATCTAGACAGATGAGAAGGAATTTGTTTTATAAAAACACAATCATGATCGTTTCAGAAAAAACAGCCATAGCAATACCACTGCATAATAAAAGCAATGTAAACTACAGACGACGACCACGACGACCACCCTTCCTTCTGGTAGAATCGGAGGGGACGGGAGTGACATCTTCAATACGGCCAATTCTCATACCAGCACGGGCAAGAGCACGAAGAGCACTCTGGGCACCAGGTCCAGGAGTTTTAGTACCGGTACCACCGGTAGCACGGAGCTTGATATGAAGAGCGGTGATGCCAACTTCCTTGCACTTGACGGCAACATCCTGAGCAGCCAACATAGCAGCGTAAGGAGAAGACTCGTCACGATCAGCTTTGACCTTCATGCCACCAGTAACACGGACAATGGTTTCACGTCCAGTCAGATCAGTGACATGCTATATTGTATCAAATGGGTATCAGATATCCAGACGGAACCAACACAGATGATACAAGATCCTGTAAAATCACTTACAACAAAGGTGTCGTTGAAGCTGGCGAAAATGCGAGCAACACCAAAGACGTTCTCGCCTTCAAGTGCCTTGGGACCAAGCTGGACATTCTCCTGCTGCTGAACCTTTTTAACTTTGGGTGCCTACGATCAAGATTTCAACATGACGGTAAGTAAATGAATACAAAGCAACAATGAGCTCTAGCCGACATTGAATCGAGTCATAAAACTCTGACTTCTCTCTCTGTCTATATCCAATCCATACTAATCCCTTGTACTGTACACTATTGTCCAGTGAAAGTTACTCGAAAGGGTTGTGCACATTGGCGAGTTTCCAATACACTCAATCTGACTTTAAACCTTGGCTTGAGAACCAATCCAGGTTAAATGCATGCATGAGCTTGTTGGTAAATATAACGGATGGATGGATGAGAGAGGATGTCGGATTCAATGGCAGGCCGACTCGCCGGTCAGGGGTCATAGTGGCATTTACCATTGATGTCTCGTTAAATTGTTTGTCGTGGGGAAAACAGGCGAAAACACACTTTGCTGTAAAACCAAGTTGTATGGGTCACGTGTTTTAAACTGCACTTTCTGATATTCTGGAAATCTGGATAGATTGTGTTGGAAACTCGATCGTACTCTAAATGTAAATTCAAAAGGTTGGAAATCATAAGTTGAAACCATTGTGCAGTATTTTCTCAAGTGTGTCATGTTTGATCGGTATTACGAGAAAAATGACTGCCATGAAACTAATACTGATTAATGGTAGAGTAGTAACAGCTGTCATTCATTTGCAGTCGTATTCGCGTAAAATGAAACACTTGCATTTATCTTGTGGTAATTGACTCTATTTTGCTTTAGAATATACATTTGTTGAATATTTGTTGCGCATTCTTGATATACATTGATTTGAATAAACATTATCAACTTTTCAATAAACAGTGTCCATTATATGACGCACACAGTTATACTATTTTTCTGTACATTTGGCGATTATACATTGTACAATCAACAAGTTTGGACTCAGATCCATGTATTGTGTTTGACTGTCAATATTGTCAATACAACACTGTACACTCATTTGTTGTATTCTGAGTCACGGATACGATCGCAATCTAGTCCAGTAACAATCATGACACATGTCAGTAATGCAACTGTTGTTTACATGTCAATCACCCAATATTTAATTTTAAAAAAAGGAAAGTTGGAGGTTGAAAGAATGTCTAGGATGTGAAATGTGATGTAAACATCTGTATTTTTGTACAAGAATGAGCATAGAGGAGAAAGACCAGTGAATTAATGAGTTCAAAAAGCATAATGCTGCTCATCAAGTTTTGCACCAATCCAGCACGAGACAAGCCGTTTATCGTGTGTTTTGACTTGTGTTTCATTATATGTGAGTGCGGCTGCAAATAAATGATATGTGCAACATATACTCATTTATTGGTTGATCTAGAAAACGATCGCTTTCTACTAAGAATTCCAGTTAAAGGGAATTTAGAGGCCTGCTTGAGTTGACTTATATCCGCATCTGTATCTAAATGAACAGCATATCTGCCATGATTCAATAGTTTCTTTCGATTTACTTTTTCGGCTTCGCCTGATGCTTCTTGGATATGGTCTGCAAGTTTTGTATTTTTTTCCATAATAAATCCAATTGCTGATAATAGTTTACAAAGTCAAGGTTAGCTGCAACAAACGTGAATCAATACATATCAAGCACTTTAAACAACTCACATTCTCCTTTTCCATTATTGTTTCTTCCAACACGTCCTATTCTGTGCAGGTAATCGGCAGCATTTTTTGGAAAATCAAAATGAATTACTTTGGTAACATCTTTAAAATCAACACCACGAGATACAATATCCGTCGCAATCAAAATATGAATGTCGTCATTCGATGCAGTTTCTGTATCAGGAGTAACGTACATTTCTGAAAAACCAACAATAAAGCGTGATCTTTCTGCTCGATTTAGATCACCATGAGCAATGGAAAGAGTTACATTTCGAGGTAATGGCGGCTCTTGCATTTTAAGTTTGGTAGCCAAATCATCGTGTATTTTATCTGATCGACCTCCAGTACCACAAAATACTAACCACTTTTCAGACTTGGTACCTTGATCAAGCCGATCTGCAGCATTTTTTACTAAACCAACCAAGGTTTCCATCTTGGCATCCAGCTCGGCATTGCTATCTACTTCTGCAGACTTTGGCATTGCAATAAACTGCTCGTGAATATTGGTCGATACCTTGTGTAGAAAACTCGAGCTTACAACGGTTACATCGCCAAGTGCTTTGAAAATCAACGCACGGGGCACTTTGGATGTCTTGGCTTTTATAGGGGCCAAAGTGGCTGCCGCAAACACCATTTGCAATGGGTTTGATTCATGCCGATTGATAATAATACGACGTGCCATTTCCAATATATCAAAACCTGGACCTTCTTCAATTGCCAAGTCAGCTTCATCTAGAACAATCGCTTGTGTATGCTTTAAAAACGCTCTTAGATCTTTTTCCCGCTTGTAATGATTTAAAATCCCTGCGGCAGAAGCTATAGCAATATCTGGACTAGCCAATCTTGAGCTTGGGATACCTGCTGGAAGTGGTATCAGAGTACATGTAAGTGGTAGTCGAGTTTCATTGCGACTTTTGAGTATCTTTTCCAAAACTTGCATAATCTGGAGCTGAAGGTGTAGCGTGGTAGTCAAAAGCAAACATCGGGGAGATTTATTGTATGGATCCGTCGATTTTTTTTCTGCAGTCTCCAGCAATCTATCTATAATTGGAATCAAATAAGCTAATTGATAAAGGTTGGTGAGTGAATAGAACGTGCCAAGCCACAATGGCTTCTATTTCCAAACGCTGCATACCTAGAGTTTTTCCAGATCCTGTCTCTGCAGTGATGATTGTATGTTTTCCACTTTTAACAAGGTTGAATGCCTAGATTGGTTCAAGATGTCAAGACATGTTGAAAATTTGAAATTAAAGATTGATAAGAAATGCTCACCTTTTGCTGGATATTGGTTGGTTTAAAAATATTGTTTTCAGAAAGGTTTGCAGCCAGCTCTGGATGAATGAGCTTAAAGTAGTTTTCGACAGTGCTGTCAGGCTCTTCCACTGTGGCTATTGGATTGTTTCCACTTGTATAATGCCGAGTAGCTTTATGTATTGCATGCATATTCCAGTCCACTGATGGATATTTCCAACTTGGCAATGCTCTATTGAATGTGATTATGGATGAAACCGACACAGATGGCTTTCCAACAGGCGTCACATATTTCCATATATAACCCAAAGACAATCGCACATTGCTGGACATTTTCAAGAAATAAAAACTGGCAAGATTTGAATTATTTGACAGGATTGATAATTCATTAAAAATTCAACTGTTTTTTGCAAGCTACTCGGCAAGCTTCACAAGTGTTGGACACATACTCAAGACATGGCCAAACGGACTGCCTCGGGAAAGACAAAAACACTGGCTCAAACACATTTATCCGAGTTGGAACATGACAGGACTAAAGATACAACGGCAACACATGATGTCGCCTTGCAAGCAAAACCTCGACCAAAAACAACTAAAGTAGTGGTATCAAACCATATATGGCAGTATATGCTTGTTCAAATGTAATGATTATTGAACTTTACAGGTTTTGGTTTACAAATGCATAAACTAATCTCCAGTATTGATATCAGTGATTTTGCAAACCCAGCCGATCAGCCAGCCAATTTTGACGAGGCCATCTTTAAAAACATCATTGTAGTTTCGTTGCGCAAGACGTATGGAATTGTAGGCGCAGCGATCTCTGTTAGTTTGTTACACTTTGAATCTGGACGATCATGCATTCGTGTGCCATTCGAGTAAGTCATTCGCGGCAATCAATCTGTTTTGGTATCCTAGATTGGGATATTATGCGTCTAACAACATTTTTCAAGGCAAGCAGCAGTAGTATCAAGTGCATTGGCACTATGCTTGGAATATGATGGAGCAAGCTGTCGTATTCAAGTCATTGGACAGTCTCCATTTCTATGCTCATTGGCATTTCACCCTGTTTAAACCCTAATACATTTGCACTTTCAAGTTTATTTTCTCAATTCAATTGCATATTGAGCCAAAGTAGAGTTCCATGGATGTTTTTATCGAGTTGCACGTACAGTGTCGGGTTGTTTGCAGATGGAATTGCAATACTTGATACGTTTTTAAATGATGTAGGGTATAAGAATCTTGCGTCTACGGGGATACTTGTCGCCAAACTCTTTAATGTATCGCTTGTGCTTTTTGACTGCCCAAAAATACATTTGCACTGCTCCAACAATTGTAAAAAACCACACTATCATGAATAACAGCCAATTTTCAAAACAAAATACATGTTAGAGTTGTCGAGATACTGCAGATTGGACTTTGCCACAAACAGTACGATTGGCATTGAAATCAAATCAGAGATACTTACCAGCCAATGATCCGGTAATCAGAGAGAGTACGATCCATCCAAGAATTTCAAAAAAATAGTTTGGACAAGTCACATGGTTGAATCCGTAGCCCATTGGAATCTAGACAGAGTAATGTTCAGCAACAGTCTTGATATAGATTAATTCAAGTTTCAAAGTTTCTATTGCAATACAACTTACATTTCGAACACGAGTTCCAACAGGACGGAGGTTTCGCAAAGTGATGTGTGTCATCAAGTTTGAAACCTCGGCAAACAACCATATCAAAAGAAGCGGACCGAGAAACATGGGCTCTGTGAGGCCTTTAAAATATCCATGTTCATAGCCTGGCTGATAAAGGGGATAGGCAATCATAATGCCACCAATCACCCAATAATGGAAGCAATTTTTTGGAAGATTGCCAAGTGGCATAGTATCATTGCTAAATGAGCAAGACACATGCAGATCATAGTTAATACCAATCAGTCGAATAATGCCTAAACTCGGCGAATATCACTTGTTCCAAACTGGTCAATTCAAGAAATACCTGAAACGATGCAGATGAACCGTTTCCAGCTCGCGTTTGAAATAGTGGAGAATGATCATCATGAACGAGATCCTAGTTTGCTTTGGCGTCAGCATGCATTTGAAAAGCCATACACATATCAAGTTACGATACATACATCTGAACAGTAGTGCGACGAGGTGTAACGGATATCTCTTCTTGAGCAGGAGCAGCATAGAATATGCTTTGTCCCATGTACAAAGTCGTATGAATCAACAATGGTCCAAGGTATTCAATCAAGAATACAGTTCTCCAATCAATCTGTGGACCTATTGAATCAAGAATTGTGTTAGACTCAAAATGCCAACATCTGTCGAATAGTAGCCAAAATAAAGTACTTGCCAAGATCTTTGAAGTATACTTTTTCTGTAGCGAGAATGTAAATTTACAATAAACCGCCAATGTGATATAAACAAGTCAGGCATGATAAATAACAAAGCGTCAGTTTAATAGACCAAGGTGTTGTCACTAAGCAGTGAGATTTATCATTCGAGTAGCAATTGTCAAATGGTCTGTTCACCATTCTTTTTAATTTCGTATTTAGAAAGAGGGTCGCCTTTCTGCAAGACTAGAGTGCCTTCTGGACCTGCAGTTCAAATAGAATTCAAAACGGATTAGATAACAAGTTTAGACTCTTGATGCTTTCCATTCATGACACTATCATGAAATCTCGAATGGTTCTAGTAATAAATTACTAGAGTTGGTGTATGCAAGATCATTGTATAAAAACTTACGTTGTAGCATCAGACGCTGACGGGAAATGGTATATTTAGGTTCTATAGTAGATCAGTTCAAGCCATCAGTTTACAAATATCTAATACGCTGATCAACAGTATACCCAATCTCGAGTTGGCGTATAAAAACAATTTTTTCCCATCCATTGAATGGTCACTTTCTGGAACCCCTTGTTGCTCTCAACCCAAAGTAGCTGCAATAGCAGTTATGAAAGTATGAAAAAATGTTACTCATACCAGCTGCAGCAATGGCTTTACAAATATCATCAACGTATCCATTTGCAAGATCAAGCTCGAGTTCCTCCAGAAGAACGCTGCCGTTCTTTGTAGTGACAGTTGTCATGCTAGACTAAAAACAAGTTTGCAAAGAGGAAGAATTGAATCAACGTTTTGTATTTTTATTCGACTTGCAGATCCAAGCCATCTTTTTGAAAGAATTGTTTGGATTTAAATGTCTTGTGAAGCCAGCTCATGCATTATCCAAATGATCGCAGTGTAGCTTATGCATGCTCAAATCTGGTAACTGGCTAGTCTAAAAGAGCAAAGGATTCGAGTGTAAAGAGTCAATTCTTCAGCATGGATATGCAGCAGAAGCATTACCTGTCTTGTACTGAGGGGAATATGTGTATTGGTAAAGCAGAAGGGGTGGTACAGTAGTGTTGGATTCCTTTCACTTCAAGGTCGATTGTTACCCCCACACCTTGTCTTAATCCACACCAACATAAAACACGTGCTTTAAGCATCCATGACTGAAGCAGTTGAAGTGGATCGTTATATTACAATCAGTAGCTGTTCAAACTGTCTGCTCGAATCATATAATATTTTCCAGCTTAACTGTTATTCTGTATTAAAATGCTCTCCAAAAGAGCTCTGAGTAAGTGTCTTGTAGAAACTGATTAGACAATGAATGAACAGTATAATGCGAGAATTCCAATTCGTATACATGAAATTATGCTTATTACAAAAATACTCGAGTCTAATCGTAATCACTGCTTACTTTATTAGATGGGTGTTGCTACACATCTACAATCAATCCACCAGTTGTTGGTAACCCTGAATTCTCTATCAACGTCACGGTCATCTCAGCTGATATCCTGGGAATTGCACCTGCTCCAGTTGTCACCATCAACTTTCCCTGGGAGTTTGAGATTGCTCAGCTGCCTTTATCTGCTGTTGATAGTGTATTCTGTCAACCACCAACATATGTCGAAAATGCGCAAATCAACTGCACAACTAGCTCTACATCCATGTTTTCGGCCGTACTCGGTATCACAACGACAGGTGTTCCAACAAACCCACTTTCAGTGTTTTTAAAGCCCAATGGAGCACCAGATTTAATCGAAGAGTGCGTTTTTGCAGTGTCTTGTACACCCTCGATTCCTCCAGGAAAAACTCCCCCGCTCACATTACCACCCACAACAAACTCGACCGATTCCACACGAGGCTCTACCAATAACACTGATTCATCCCCCTTGGCAAAAAGCCCATATCTACGTACTGATCAGATATCCACAATCATATTCTCCACCATTGGATCTATCCTGTTCGTTGCTCTGATCATCATGATGTGTTGCTGGAGAAAGCATCGCCGTCGTGAACAAGAATCAGAAGCACTTTATCGCAAAGGTGTTTTGTCTCTAAGCAATAACAGAACAAGCACGACAGTAGAACTTACTACAGCAGAACAGCTCATGGCAGCACAGATCGCTGAACGTCTTGCACGTCAGTATGGCGGAGACCAAAACGCCCCCATCATAAATGTATCCCAAGCTACACTTTTACGTGAGGGGCGGTCAATAGCACCGCAGCCAGAAAGTCGCGACTTGTCCGAACTTGCCAATTACCAATCTACACGACCCAAGAGTCTCGATAGCAAGTCATCGACACCATATAGTGAAAAATTTCCTCCTCCAATCCGTCATAGTGTTATTCAGTTTGGAGACTTGCTTGATCAGTTTCAAATGCCGCAAGGACGCGAAATGCCTCGTCCTAGTGTCAGCAGTGCAGGTGGAAGCGTATTTGATATGCGTAGAATGTCACTTATCTCAAACAAAGCAAAGGATGCTGATGGTGCAAAGATCAAAACGGCTCATTATTCCATGGCTGCAGATTCAGTCAGAACCATTGCTCCTGTGATGGAAACCCCAGATTGGACCGGTGCTTCAAATTCCGATGATATTCCACCTATGCCTAATGAAATTAAAGCTCAAAAAAGCCAAACAAGCACAATGGTTCCGGCTAAAAGCATAGATAGCCAATTGGCCGAAAGCACTTCAGACTCGTCAGATACGCATATTTTATCTAACATGATTGAATCCCCAGAATCAAACGCTTGGAAACACAAAAGCAACTCAACTGCAAGCCCACCAACAAATGGACACGCAGGTCCTTCTGGTATTGTTATCACCATGCCACACTCTTCCCATGACGAATCCCTAGATGCCTTTTCCGGCTCATTCTATGCAGATGATGATGTAGACACTCCTTTGTCAACACCCTTACTTTCCCGTGCACACAATCGCACCTAGCTATAATATTTTACCAATAATAAACTGTGCATATCTAAATATGTACTGTATGGTCCTGGGCATCATACTTTAGAAAATAAAAACAAGTGTGTCAATACGATTGTTTTCCCAAGAGTTGATTAGGATGGAAAGTTCAAGCTAACAAGGTATAATGCTACAAAATTCATTAAACCAGCTTAAACTTGGCTGCCAAACACTTTACAAAGCAAAAATATCTAATAGCATTTTTATTAATACGAATCCCGCTATTTCCATCTAGCTCAGCATACACTTTAATCAAACGAAAAATACTTCATTAAACGTAATACCTCACACATTGGTTGTTTTAAAAGATGGCCAAACACAGCAGCCCTCATGCAGTTTAATAGTACATATCAAAGTGAAAGCTGCGATAGAATTTTGTTGCAAACCTTTTTGTAGTTCCACACACCTCCTGTCAGGCGTTTAAAGTGTACACCATGCAAATTCATTCTAGGAACTTTGCAAATCTCGATTTGGAAAGTAACCATGTTTGATTTGGCAGAAAACGTACCATTGCTGTGAATTGATCCGGTAGTAGACAATGATTTTCCTATAGTGGCCTGAGTTGCAGTGCGACTTGGACTTGCATGAGTAGATGCACCAGATGGAGCTCCTAAATCTATTTCGGTTCCTGCGTTGGAATGGACAGAATGACTATCTGCATCATGCGAATCGCGTTGAGCAAATCCTTCGTTTTCGGGTAGATTCCCTGAACCATACCCATCACCTTTTCCTGCCATTAGCATATCTGAAACATCCGCTTCACAGTGCACAATATACTTGTTTTCAGTAAACCACGTGGCGTTGCTGTTTTTGAGAACCTCGATCACTTGATTTAGAATTTCATCGGGGCTCTTGGACGATGTGGTAGAGACATTAAGAAACCATCCGCTTACAGCACGAAGATCTTCTTTTAGCTTTCCAGCAGCAGATGTTTTACGAGTAGAAGGAGTAGCTGGAGAACCAGAGGCATAAATTGATTGCACACTGCCGGTATTACTACCGAGATTGGAAATGATGCTATTTTTGTGCGTGATAGAGGTTTGACTTCCACCATATTTGGCGCTCGCTGCAGCAAGAATATTGGCTGGTACTGATTGGCGACGAAACAAATCTTTGTAGTCTACGCTGGGTTTAGGATCGTGTGTGTTTTTAGGAATACGAAGACTGCTAGCAACACCAATGTTTTCATACTTGCTTGGAAGGGGAGGAAGATCCTCTTTGCGGTTTACTGGGTATTCGTTAAGAAGAGCATGCGGGTGCATGACTCGATGAGGTTCTGGCTGTTTGGGAGAGCCAGCCGTATCCAAATTGGAAAGCGTAGGTTTAGCTTGGCGTTGAGAAGTTGAATAGTTTCCAAAAAGATTGTGCGAAGAAATATGATCTGCAGTTTGTTGGGACTCTGAGCGATCATGATGTACAAAAGTGCTAGGTTTAGGTATTCCAGTTGAAGTAGATGCTCTTCGTGACGAATCACATGTAGCCAACACAGGAGTGCTGTTATAATCCTTGTTTCTACTACCGACTGCTTTATTTTGTTCCTTGGCACATTCAGCTTGAGATTTTTGCAAATTTAGTTGCGATTGTAGTGTACTACCACTACCGGCCTCGTGTCGACTGATCTGGGTTACAGAATGACGCGAACCATTAGATTCTTCAGCCACGGGAACTGGTTTACTTATACTTGCAGACTTTGACAATGAACTTTCTTCTGGTTCCAAATGCACAGCGGGAGACTTGGGCTGCTGCCTTTGCCTTTCCTCACGCAATCGCTGCTGTTCTCGAGTAACCATTTCAAAAAGTAGGTAGTATGTTGCGCGAATAGGGTTCGGTTTTGTAAGATCTTGGTTTGGAGAAAATGCCAAGTGAATTTCTTCAAGCTTATATCCAAAAATTTGTAGACGATTTGTAATGTCTTTGGACAGCTTTGCTGGATCGTTGATGATTTTTCGAGGAGGAATATAGTTTTGGGGAATAAATTCGTAGTCTTCATTGACCCATGGGTGAGAAAGTACTTCTGCAAGAGTTGCACGTTTTTTGGGCTCCACAGTGATTAGTCTACCAATCAGATGTCGAGCATCTTTAAACCATATTGGATAACAATTGTTAGATTTGCACATGTATTGAGCTAAAAATGGATTGATACTAATAGACAAGACATAACCTACTTGGCATCAAATAATCCGGGCATTTATAGCTTCCAGTTGAAATTTTTTTGTACAACTCCTTCATATTGTCATCATCAAATGGCAAGTGTCCGCACAGTAGTGCAAACAAAATCACACCTAAACAGTAAATCATACATGTGAGTATATCCTTGCAATCTAATGAAATGAATGATCCTGCAGCATTTTCCAGCAGTATCTTACCAAGACTCCACATGTCAACCTCTGGTCCTTCGTACTTTTTTCCTAGAATCATTTCTGGTGCAGCATAAAACGGAGATCTAATTAAAAATAGTTTGCAAGATTGTTAAAATTAAAGAACAACATGCAAGTTGACTGCATTACTAAAATATTGCTAAATATAAACGTTGACAAGATCTTACCCGCAAAATGTATCAAGTAGTCCATTTTGAGTAAAGTTATTTCCAAATCCAAAATCTATAATTTTGATACTTTTTTTGCTATCCAATAACAAATTTTCTGAAAAAACATGTTAGTATGCACACATTTGTTTTAGTTGGATAGTAATGTCAAAAACTACGATAAATGTGTACCTGGTTTCAAATCACGATGAATGACCGCATTCTATATTTTTGATCAATGATAGTATTTAGTTTTATACACTGAAATTCAAACCAGATGATAAGCGCCAATAGCTTGCTAAACCAAAATAATGTACCTGGTGGCAATAGTCTACAGCACTCAGTACCATTCTAAAAAAACTGCGTGCTTCCTTTTCCTTTACTCGTTTATGCGCCACAATGTAGTCGAACAGCTCTCCACCCACCGCATACTCCATGACAATGTATATAAAGTCGTTTGTTTCGACCACATCATGGACCTTGACAATATGTGGATGATTGAGCAATTTGAGAAACCTGATCTCACGTTGGAGGCGAGCTACTTGTTTGCCAGATTGAATTTGTGACTTTTCAATAACCTTGACAGCCACCTAAAGTCATTGAATCAGTGTTTACAACAGGAAATACCATGAGAATCACACTTGGTTGTTAAATTAAATAGACAATACTGCAATCCATTCCATCAATGCAGATAGAATCAACCCATCTCTGCTTGGATACCCTGTTTGGTTTCCATGCTTGATCAAGCTTGGGATAACGCGTTTGTTATCAAATGGAAAAGGTGGCAGGTATCAAGACTGCAATCCTCCACTCCAACTCTCTGCGACTCTGGAAATGTACACGAAACAAATTGCAATACCTTTTCATCTGTTAATGTATGAACACCAAGACGGACTTTGCCATATGTTCCCTGGCCAATAGTTTTTTCTAAACGATAATTTCCAACAGTGATCTCGCTGTCAGGAGCATCAGATTTGAAATTCAATGCATGACGAGTTTGCGAGGCTTCTTTTTGTGAATGTGCGACTGCGTCGCTCATAATTGTAATGTACTAAAAGTGTTTGTAATATCCGAGTTACTATACTAATTATGCAAAAAACAATAAATTAAATCAATGACTTGTTTAGACAATATTTGTGTAGTGGATTTGAAAATAGTGTGGAGAATTCAATATGCAATTTTCCAATACATATTACCTTGACACAATATGAATACAAATAAGCTTTTGAATAGCGCTGATGAGTAAAAGTGTACTAGACACTTGAGCAGCTGATGACTGATCAGTAGATGGATACCCAGAAAAGACTTGGAGCGTAGTATTGATGAAGACTATACCGAAATTCCACTTGGAGCGTGATGGTCAACTTTCACACTGGATTCAGCTGTTATTAGTTACGTCAAGTTTACTGGATCAAGTATTTTGTTTATATAAATAGAATGTAGTTACTATTAAGATGGTTTAAAAATTACAGCTGTCAAGCAGCTCTGGTACTATAATAATCAAGATATATTAACTATCAGTATCAACTACGTAGGTAAGTGTATTACGAACGCGATTTCAATGATAATAAATAACAAATTGAAATTTCAAAGATCCGTTTTACAGTTGTATTTATCTTGCAGTTATTGCTTTTCTTTGGAATAAGCAATGGTTATATATCTGCTGTGTCTTTCTACTAGAAATTAACCGTTTATTCCATTGTCACTCTCTACATCTGGAATCATATGTCGTACAAAACCGCCTTTTATTAAAGTGATTGTTGGCAGGTTTAACAATGAACAATACAAGAGCTTTATACCTCGCGACATTATGTTTGTCGAACGGTTGGCAGACCATGCTTAATCATTGAATTTGCGACTTTATCAATAAGATGTTGTCTGGAATCAATAAACGTTAGAAAATCTTGAAATATCAAGCCATCTGCAATTTCCTTGACCTCCAAATACAATGACCATTGTATGATGCCACAGAATCAAATTATAGTCTTAAGCTGAGATTGTTTTCATTTGGCATAACCATACATTGTACGATCGACAAGTTTAAAATCGGATATCAAGTTTTTGTTTTCAATACAACTTTGTGCAAACTCATGTATCGTAAAAACTTGGATACGTTTGTGTTTTAATTCAAGAAAAGGTTGCACGTCTCAGGAATGCAACAGTTGTTTCCATGCCGATCACCATTAAAAACACCAACCCATTCTAAAGAGCTTATTGGACATAATATTGTCCAGTAGATTTTACACTAACCATTTCACGAGACTAGCTGCTTACCATGTGCTCTTGTTTAGTGTTCCATTCTACATGAATATGACTGTAAATGAATCAACTCCAGGCATTTATAGCAGGACAAAGTATAGCTTGGGATCATGGCACCTGATGATACCATTATGGATTTTTAAAATTGCTAATTTGAACCTGCCAATGAATTTACCATTGACCATTTGTGCAGATACATTCGTTTGAACCGAATTAGATCAGACAAGATATGCTGGCAGTATGTATATTTTAGTCAGCAGCAGTCTGAGTTTTGAGCGTATTAGAGTCGGTGGATGTAATAGGGGTAATATTGACATACTTTTTTTATGAATAGCAAAATACTATTGAGGGTATATTATGGTAGATTTCCTTTAGATTCATATCAACATACCAATAAGATTAGATGTCCTAATGTGCCAATATCGCTCTTCAAATATAGAAAACACTTCACTTGTCCATAGTATTGCCAAGCAACTTACCATTTTATTTACTGCAACACCCAACATCTTTAAACACTTGATGGGCCAGACATGCTTTTAATTACTGCTGAAGATTGTATATCAGATAAGCAATCGCGTAGGCTTGAACCAATATACCCATGAAAACAAAGGATGTGAGAACGAGGGAAAATATTGTTTGGTTATATAGAAAGGTTCTACTTTCATCACATTTCTGCAAGCATTCTGACGGCATCAAGCAGGTTGCTGTTGCATCCTTTTTAAAATGAGTTTTGATTAGTAAAACTGCGATTGCTTCAGATTAGCGTACAAACTGTATAGATGAAATGCCAAGCCTCGTGTCAGAGCAAGACCAAAAGGACATTGTCATGTATTGAATCAAGAGGAGCAACAGGACGTTCACAAAGTCAGATTGTCGCCGATATATAAGAGACACAAGCGATAGATGATTCTGCCATTCAAATCAGCAGATGGAGTAATCTACAGATATTTGCAAAAGAACAATATTGTCAATAAAGAATTAAGCCCAACCACACAAGTATGGCGAATGAAATTTACGCAAGTGCTTTTCAAAAACATGATACACTGACTAATGGAACTAGGGTAAGCTAGCATGCTTGGTTTGGACCGTATTTTTGAACCGTATATATATCTAAATTATATAAATAAGAATATATGTTTCAAACTAAAGAATGAGCTGCTTGTTAGCTTGGTCGATAAGAAATCGGAGATTTTGGCTGTCGGCTGTCAAGGTATTTATTTGATATAATGAATATTCGCGCTTTCCTTGTAATCTGCACATCCAAACATACGTTTGCATTCTTTAATCACTCGTTCAACCACTATTTGTTACTGAAATATGGCCCGTATAATACCCAACATACCTACAGCCAGTTCCTTTACAGTGTTGCTACTAGCTCTACTATTCAGTAGCATTGTTTCAGCCGTTAATAGCACTGCCACGCCAGGTAATTTAACTTCTAGCAGTTCATCTAAAATCACTTGCCACTCCGCTCTTTGTAATTAGACTTGTGCCACAAACTGAAAATTACTGTTTTCATCCTCTGTAGCATATGGCGCACCAAAACCTACTGATGCCACTATACAAGACTCTGTTTATGGAGCTACTACTAGTCACCAAAAAAACATAGTAGCACCATGGCCATCGTCTGTTTCAAAAGAGCATCCCAACTTTACTGTATCTGATCATCCAGCCATGATGATGGATGGTGCTATGGCTCTTGCCAACTACAGCAGTCCAGCCGACGGTCCCCACCTTGTTGGTACGTATACTTTGCATTTCACCAATTTGCAAGTTTTTTGTAGATTTGATGGATTATAGATTCACCATGCTATTATAAACCTTGCTGCTCATCACTTTGAATCGACATTGCTATTTGATCATATATTTTACTGATTGAATCTATATTTCTTTTGAATTCAGACTTTTTCAACATTAATCCATACAATATTGCCACTGCTGTCATTCTCATTCTCAGTGGGATTTCATTTGCATTTAATGGCCATAGAATGTTTCGATCTATGCTTTTCATTGCAGGCTTTTATGTATTCTCAATCGTCACCCTTGTAGTCATAGGAGTTCTCGAATCTCGTAATTATATCACATTGGGCAGCAACCAGGAATGGATTGTTTTTACTGCGTGCATTATTGGTGGCTTGATTGGAGGAGGTATCTTTCAATGTCTTTGGAAACTTTCGTTTATGTTTATCGGAGCCATGCTTGGTGTAGCACTCGCTTCATTTATCTTGCAATTCTCCTTCTCCAGTGCTCTGCAAACGACTCCAGGCAGATATATTTTTTTTTCGGCAATGGCTATTGTCGGTGCTATCCTGGTGCAGCTTTTTGAAGTACCGTTGCTGATTGTGTCTACCGCGGTGGTTGGATCAGGTAGCTTTTTCGTAGGAATTGATTTTTTTGTCAAATCTGGATTCGGCCAGGCTGTTTATAATACTATTTTCCAACAAGCGATCGTGCCAGCAAGTAGTAACGCCGAGTATATTATGATGGGGATGTTTGTGTTTGTTGCCTTGTTGGGAATGATGGTCCAGTTTTATCATGTGAGAAATGGATCTGTGTCGAGTGCTAGTCCATATACCAATCGCAAGAATTACGTATCCAGCGTTTGATATACCAAAATCAGCTTTTATTTATAATCCACATTTATATATAATTGAATTGCAGCCGTATTTGCGTAAAATGAAACACAAAGTAGGGGTGCTGAAATACATAATAAACATTCAATTTCCAGTAGGAAGCACGACGAATATTTAGCCATTGTTTATGCCAAGGCAAGATAAACATATGTCACTTTACGGCAATACGGCTGTAATTTGGCTTTTTTATACATTTACATATCGTTTTAGCACCCTTAATTGATAACATGCTATCTCCATTTGTAATGGTTTAAAAAACTACTGGCTTTATTTTGTAGTGCAATAAATGTTGGATGGCTTATGTACTTGATGTGGTGTACTTTATCAACTGCTTGGCTATTGTAGAATATTTGGCATTAGCCAATAACTTGAACAATACTATTACTAGCTGTAAACGCGCCAACTTGTATTTAGTTTTATGAATAAGCATTTTGTTGTTCCAATTGGTAAGCCATTGATGTCTATTCAAACTAGAAAGCAGTATTTTGAGCAAAATTCAAACAACCGAAGCCTTTGTTAAACCTCGTGTTAATGTGGTCAGATTTGTAGTTACTTGAACTTCGCGACGTATCTGGTCAAACTCAATCTTTTCCTTCAACAACAAAAACATTATGGGAGAGTGGCTACTTTCAACAGCCAACAGTAGTGTTGCATGCGACCCAGCTGCTCATGTCGTGACAAATGAGCATGATCTATTTGTTCGAGTTTTGCTCATGCTGTTTATGATTACTGCTGCACTTAACTTGGCTCATTTTCTTAAACATAAAAATTTTACCTATATTGGAGAGTCGGCTGTCTATATTCTATTGGGTAAGACGATTTTATTTTGTTTATAAAGAGATATCTTGAAACTATCTGGTGTAAATGGTTTGAATGATTCATGTCCTATTGTTGAGTGTGCTTTTTGACTGACTCAAGTTACTCAAGTTACTCAAATACAAGCTTATGCATTATCTTGTATTGAGCTTGTAAAAGCGTAAACACTATTTAAACTGTTGATTCTATACTTCATCCTACCTTGAAATGATGTATTGATAGCTTTGGGTCAATATCCAATGCTTTAGAAGCTGCTACTTTGAGCCTGGTATACAATTCCTCGAGTTAAACCTTGTCGCTATATTAGACACGGTTGCTCGCGTTTTCAAACTTTGGTATCCAATTCCTCAGCATGGCAATTTCAAGTCAAATGCTCACTGATATTAACTACAGCCCTGTATATGAATTTTCTAATCTGTATTGTTTATAGGGCTATTGGTTTCTGCGGGATGGACATCCATGACGTATGACCCCGGAAACACGGCAATTCAACTCAACTCCGAGTTTTTCTCCCTTGTCCTACTGCCTCCCATTATTTTCGAGGTATCGACTTGAATTGCTTTGCTGAAAATTGAACACATAAGATTTGTCAATCATATTTCATTTCTTGCTGAAAATGAAATAGGCTCTAGATTTACAAGCGTACTAACGAATGCTGCTATTAAAATCTCTTTCAACTTTTATAATTTATAATCTAGGGTGGATTTAATCTTCAACGCAAGTCTTTTTTTAGTAATATTATCCCGATTCTTAGCTTGGCTCTTTTTGGCGCGTTTTATTCGACGTTTGTTACTTCTGCCATCATGTGGGGCTTCTCACAGCTGATTATGGATAGTGGATGGACTGTGATTGAATCTCTTGTGTTTGGTGCTTTAATTTCTTCAACCGATCCTGTTACCGTTTTATCACTTCTTCCTGCCAATGTTGATCGTCGTCTCTATATGTTGATTTTTGGTGAGAGCGCTCTCAATGACGCTGTTGCCATTATCCTCTATCGCTTTTTTACCGGCCTTCAAGCAGAGGCAGCTGATCTTGGCGTTCTTCCCTTTTTTGTTTCTGTTCTTACCTCATTTGGTGTATTCCTCGGTTCATTTTGCGTTGGTGTTGTTATTGCTCTCATTTTTGCCAAAATCACAAAGCACGTATGGATTACAGGATACGACGGTGCCATTTACGAAATGGTCATGCTGATTATTTTTGCTTACTCGAGCTACTTGCTTGCAGAAGTGTTGTCTTTGACGGGAATCATTAGTGTCTTTTTCTGTGGAATTACCATGTCGCATTATGCATACAGTAATTTGACTGAATTGACTCAGCGTACGATGAAGGTCACGATTCGAATGATTAGCTTGATGTGTGAGGGGTTCATTTTCTTATACCTTGGGCTTGGTCTAATGTCATTTGGAACTGTCTACGATCCAATTATTGTTGGCTGTGCAATTGTAAGTGCTTTTGAATTGTATTTGTAGAGTATAAAAATGCCAATTTGACTCACGCCATACTTGGTATGATTCCGATTGTTTTACACCATTTTGATTTAGCTGGCTATTCTTGTTTCTAGAACGCATGTTTTCGTTATTTGCTCGATCCAGCGGTATTTTCCCGGTCAGCAGTCCATTCCCTTTAATCAACAGACTCTCATGTGGTTTTCTGGTCTTCGCGGCGCAGTGGCATTTGCTTTAGGAGTCACCTTTCTTGAGCATCCCAACTTTACCAAACTTGTTAAGGACCAAATTTTTGGCACAACAGTTCTTGTTGTTGTCTTTACTGTGATTGTATTTGGTGGTCTGACTCCATATATGCTTAAATGGCTAAAAATCACATCGGATGATGATGGTCAAGGTGAGCATACTATGCTTCCAACTCATGATGCTGGTGCAGAAGCTGCTCGTCGCGCCAAGGAAGAAGAGAAAAAAGCCGAGGAAGAAAATACTATTACAGAGACTGATCTTGAGCAACCTGTCTTTGGATGGCTGTACCGACTTGATGCAAAGTATATTCGCCCACACTTTTCACACAATGCAAAGGATCATATCCAGGCTTTGGCTGTGATTCATCGTAGGGAATCAAAAATTGAATCTCGACAGGCTTCAATGATGGACACTCATGCTCATATTCGGTCAAGTTTCCATAGCATTTCTGGGTTCCAAAATACTGTTCAATCGCCTTCTACTTACTCGGCAAAAAAGGCTGAAGTAGCTCAAAACGACGAGTTTGATGATCAGGCCAAGTTGATTGATAAGACTACACACGCAGAAGAGATTGCTCTTGAGGCTATCAATCTGAATTAGGAAGCAGTTCGTTCATTAATTTATCAGCTTCGTTTTGAACAATGGTTTTTTACTTTTCATTAATTGATCTTTTTATCGTTTCCGACTTTTTAACTTTTAGAATTAACTACACAAAAACCTTATTTTATTCCTGTTAACAAAGTATGCAGTTGGAGAGTTGATTGGAGATTATAAAACTACACAAATATCACTTGTAGAGTGTTTACGAGGTTCCTATTGAATAGGTTTGAGCTAGCCAAAAATTACATCATTTGTGAAACAGCATGGTTACCAGCCTACTAATTATAATCCAAGAGCGATAGGTTGGCTTAGTATTTTGTCTAGCAGTGGTAATATTTGAAACACACACACCAAAGTACAATGGTTATAGCTATTCATTTCTTGCTAGTTATATATTACAGATATATTGCAGAAGATTAGAACTACCTGCCAAAATGGGGAATATTGCGAAGTTGATTAATGGAATATTCTAGATGAGCAAGGTCATCAATTGAATCGGTAATATCGTTTGGACGAATATGCTTGATCTGGGAAAACGGTAGCAGATTGCCATTGCTATCGAGTAACAATGCCTGCAGCTTTTCTAACTGAGCTTCAAAACAGGCACAAAAAACCGTTGACAATGGAAATTTTGCTATCGAGTCGATGAAGCTGGACAGGGGAGTATTGAGAGAGCTGACAAACGGAGAGTAGGGCAAATGATCGGACGTAGGAGATACTGGTGTGTTTAAAACGGGATCTGAGAAAGAGTGGTTATGCAAGGTTTGCTGATTATTTTGACTTTGAAATAAAGTAACTGCCGATTGTGATTGGATGTCAGAACTCTGATATGTGCCGAGATGGTCGACGTGACGATCCAACACAGTGGCAGGTATATCAACAATGCTACGAGGTAAATCACAATCTGGTTCAAATGACTGATCAGATGAAAGGTTTGGCTGACATAGGATATCCATGTTCATAAAGTAATCAGAAAGGAATAGCAGTCGTTCTCTCAGAACTGGCCCTTCACGATATGTAGGGTCTAATGCTGTAAATAAAACCTGGTTTGAAGAATCAGAAATTAAACGAGATGCTCTTCTGGATGATTGGTGAGGATATTGAACGGCTTGGTAGGACCAGCCGAGTCCAAGAGCATCTGAAGTGGTTGTGTCAGTAGGTGTATCGGCTACTGACAGAGTATTGTCACCACCAGACTGCTCAAGTGTGATGAATGGCAATCCATTTGAAAAGTGAACATCGTCAATATCATTGTCCATATAGTATCTATTATAGCCACCACCCGACTGATCGTCTTGGTAACTGAAGCCACTTTCTTCATTTGTATGAAGCGACAATAAGCTCTCTGGAGGATCGTATGCGATTGGCGACGATACAATTGTAGCTGTGGTGGTGTAGTGGGGCTGATGATTCTGTTCAGCAGGATACTGGCTAGAACGGTGACCATATACTGCATACCGTCGTCTTATTCTACTCTGCTGGGCTTGTAGCCCATCAATGGATCGATGACCACTAGGGTCATTGACTACTGTTTCTACTGAAGAGTATGACCTTGAATTTAGAAATAGACGAATGTCGTCGGCATCAAGTGGATAGTCAAACCGACCAAGTTCGTCATCATCCTCATCGTCCTCGTCATCTTGGACATTGTCATCATAAACATGACTGTTAAGTGGAGGGATTGATATTGTAAATGAACTGTAGCTCGATAGTTGGTTATTGGAAATATATGTAATTTCAAGTGCAGAATTGTGATCAGGAGATTGATCCGATAGCTGCGGAGAAGATGAGTTGGTTTCTGACCTATTGTAATAGTGATCAATAGGCATTTGATGATTTGCAATAAGATTGGATAGCAAGTTTGATGGACATCAACTATTGAATTAGAGCAATCAGTCACGTGAGTAAAAACTGAAAGCAGACCATTGCAATCTATTTTAGAACTCATGGCTATATTCACGCCAAATGGAATATTAAGGGTCAGTGCATCATAAACAGTCAGTTATTGAAACAGCCAAATCAAATCTCTGGTTTCAAACTTGATTGTACAATGCATGCCAAATGAGAACAATCTCGGCTCAACTATAGTTTGTGAGCATCACAATTTTTAACAGGAAAGCATAGCAGATATTTGACTCTTGTTTATTCCAAAGCAATGACTGCAAGAGTTTTATTTTACATGAATACGATTGTAAAACTGACTCGATGACGCATGCTAATTCAAGTTTAATTCATCTATTCTGTAGCTATTTATCTAGACACATCAATGGTTTAGTGAGAGTCTTGAATAATACTTTACCGTTTTAGAGTGATATCTAGTTATTCAAGATGGAATAAAACAATCAGTCCAAAATACCAACAATTGCAGTAACTTGTGTTTAGCCGCAAGGATGCTGAACAGACTTGGTGGTTTCACGTGAAACCAATAAACTTGTATACAAATGGCATTGAAATACAAAGTATTTTTCATTTGCATTTGCATGTGCACTAATTCCAGCCCTCTGTATATTTGTATTACAACATCATGGCTTGAAACAGTGGCTCTATATCTTCACATGTCAGACACGATATTACTGCTGTTTTGTCAGTATATCAGATGCTTGATCCAAGACATTGATCTGCCGTAATGCTATATTGTATATATCTAGTGACAGTTTAACTCGATAATATGTTTACAAAACCATACAATCAAGTGGCTGTATGATGTTGATTTTCATTTGCAATCACATTGATGTAAATGAGACCTTTCATGTTTATCTTGCTTTGAAATAAGCATAGAAAGTATCTGTTGTGCCTCTCTACTAGAGACTGACTGCTTATCCAATTGACAATCCTTGTATCTGGAATTATACGCCGTATAAAACCATTTTTTATTCAAGTGATGGCAGGGTTTAGGAATGAGCAATATGGAGATCTATACCTCGCGACATCTGTTGTTAAGCGGCTGACAAGCCATATTTAATCAGTGAATTTTGCTAGTGGTTTCAGGGACACAATTCTATTCAGTAAATTTGATATGAACTGAAACCGTCATTGTATAAGACTGTCATAGCTTGACTCTTGTTTGGCATTCCACTTTACATGAATACGGCTGTAAACTAGTAGAGCGCACGTGCAAATCCAGTTGTTCCAAATTGCACAAAAACTATAAAATAGCCGTTAAAACCCATTTTGGATTATAAATCTGCAATAGTCATCATTGGACTTTTCTAGCTGTATTCCTACTCCAATTACCGCATATATTCAAGGTTTGCTTCATCACTCTCCAATCTTTTCTTTCTTCTTTACTATTGCGTTTTGCTTAGTGCAGCGGCCTTTTATACTATGTAATGCACTGATGTCGTATTTGCACTGGTACAAGTCAATTTTATCAATCTGCTCGTTGAGTCAGCATCTACTGCCATAGCATGTTAATTTAAACCAAACAAGCTGTTGTATTCTGATCTATAATTTGCTGGCTGTATATTGTATACCCTTGTCAAACCACTTGTTCAAACAAGCTAAATTGAATCTGGTTGAGTTCTCTATTGAACTACTTCAAGTACTGTAGCTGACTGAAGAAACAGGTTGCTTAAAGTAGGGTTGGTGAAGCACAGCCATACTGTCATGCATGCTATAAGTTTCTATTCATTGCTTTGCAGTAACCACCATGCACAGCAATGATATTCATTGTCCAAAGTCTATCATTTAAATCTCTTTTGCTAATATATTCAGGGCAAAGACTTGATAGTTGGTTTAGACTGGTATACTTTGTATCTATCCAGACTCGGCAATAACTTGAATCTGGCATTTCCCTGACAGTCACCGCTTTCAAATCAAGCTTACATTTGCTGTTTTACCTAACATTTGTATCTGTCATTTTCTATTCAGATCAAAAGATGTCCTCCATGACCGATCGTGCTGTTGATGTTGCTCAAAATGTTGCCAAGACTGTGGAGCCATATGTCCCCACTATCGCCAAGGTAACTTGTTATATAGCTGTTTATTACTGTTTCATCCCATTGATTTCGCTATTTTACCTGGCTCTCATCTGACACATTATTGATATGACACACTACTTTGGATTCATCAATCTTGTACTCTTGGTTTACAGGATGCTGCTACCTATGCTGTCAGTACTGCTTCTTCAGCAGCGACTCTTGCAACTAGCACCGCTACCTCGGCATACAACTTTGCTACTGGCACTGCATCATCTGCCTATTGCTATGCTTCGCAGACTGTCAAGGTGGTCGTCACTGGTGCTACAACCACTATTACCACCTATACTCCCGGCCCTGTTCTCAATGCTGTCACCTCGGCCATTGATGGTGCAAAGGCCATTAGTCAAGATCCAGTTGGCTCTGTCAAGTCACATGTTCCTGTGATGGTAATTCATGCTGGCGAAAAAACCTACGAGATCATACATCCTACCTTTGACCGTGCTGCCCAGAGTGTTACTGCCGCAACTGGCTTTGTTGTCACCAAGGTCAACGGAACTGTCGAGTACATCACTGCTGTTCCTGCTGTGCATTCTTTAATTGAGCAGATTAATAAGCTTACCGCACCGGTTCTGTCTCGATTTGGTGTAAACAAGGGTGAAAACGGCGAGGTGGAGGCTGAGGGCATTGTTGGAGAAGTTCCTGTAGTCTCCGCAGCTCCAGAGATCCCAGAACCTGTTACCAAGGGCTATTAGACTAATTTGTTGCCAACCACTTACTCTTTCTCAATATATCAATATATATATGCTGGCTCATCATAAACTCGCCTTTTAAACATTACGATCCTTTGTTATTCTTTACAGCCGTATTCACGTAAAATAAATCACTTGTATTTATCTTGCATCCAGTCTCTCGGCTCCAGAATAAACAATGATCAAATATTCGTTATCTTTCTATAAGTTGATTGCTTTGGACATTCAAGTTTCTCAATGTCTGGAATTGCTTGACAGACGATTTATTCGAGTTGTTTTATGCAGGGTTTAAAAATCGGCAATATGGAACTCCAATCCTTGCATCGTTAAACAGTCGATAAACCATGTTTAATCGGACAGTTGTTTTGTGGAATAGAATCTGTCTGGAATAACATGCGTGTTTTGGAATGTTGCATATCGTTGTTTAAAAAGTCAATATTACCGCCTTTACAGTTCTCTTGATCAGTCTCAAAACACAGCGGCCATTATATGATGCAGCAATCAAGCTATAGCTTTGAACTGATATGTTTAGGCTTTGATTTCGCTTTTGCATAGCCATGCATTGTACGATCGCCAGACTCGTCCATTGCAATCCAGACATTGAATTGGTTTAGATATTCTCAATAAAGCCTAAACATATTTCTCGCCGATTTTTCTGTCATTCACAAGAAACTCCCAAGCCATCAATCAACGATTTGATGCGTTAGTTTGATGGCAATATATTACAAATTTCCACAAAAGTAGAAACTCATCGTAAAGACATGTTTCCAAAGGCACAATGTTATGTTGTTCAGTAAATGGCACCAATTCAACATTAGGCTGACCGTTTGTCATGCACTTTATCATTCCTGATTAATGTTTTACATGAATGCGGCTATAATGTGCATCACATTCTTTCAATTCTCCTGGCGACTATTTAGATTTTATTTTTGGAATTGCAATCTTGCTCGAGTATACTCATTTTCTAATCTGTTTACAAGGTGTTCTACGTTTGGAACATCAGAGATATTCATTACTCCGTGTCCTGCAGACCAGATATCTTTCCATGCCGATTTCTGTTTTGATGTATCTAGAACATTACAGCTAGGTTAGCCAAAAAATACAACAATCTTTGAACTCGGGACATTGATCTAATTACTTGCCCAGTTTAGAAAAGTCTTTGGCTTGCTCATGCAATGCGTGGTCTATTCTTTCTGGGTCAATCCCAACACGTTCCAGACTTGCGCGGAGAAAGTTGGCATGAACACCGCTGGGAATCATAAAGCAGACGATAGTATTAAAATCCAATATTCAAATTACACTAGAGTAGTATATATTGTGTAGTCCGTCTTACCTAATACCGGACGTGTAGATTGTTGGCAAAAACAGTGGTGCTGGACCAATCGATTCTGATACAATCATCTGCTTGTATTCTGGATCTGCTAGTGATTCTATTTACAGCAAAAATAGATTGTTGGCATTGGAATAGTAAGCCCAACACTAGGCCAATGTATATCCGACAATCAAAAGTAGATACCTTGAGTAGCAATGAATCGAGTACCCATGTAAGCCACATCTGCACCAAGAGATTGGGAAGCAAGAACTGCCTGGCCATCAGATATTCCACCAGCGAGACAGATCACACCATCAAATTCTCTTCGAAGTTGTGGGATGAATGCCATTGGTGAAGCTGCACCTGCATGACCACCTGCGCCTGCACATACTGCAATCAAACCATCTACTCCAGCCTGCTTCCACACAATCACTTGGATTAATTCGAGTTTACAGCCGTATTTGTGTAAAACCCAATATTTCGTTGAATATACACCACATGCATTCCATCATCCAACCATCTGTTTCTACTCTAATCAAATTGACAATCACACCTCAAAAAGCTACTAACCTTGATGGCCTTTCTTGCATGAACAATATTCGTCACATCGTGAAATACTACTCCACCATAGTCGTGGACAGCATCTACAACCTCGCTTGCTGCACCAAGAGCTGTAAGAACAAGTGGTACCTTGTGATCAACGATACACTTCAAATTGCCTTGAAGACGCTTATTGGATTTATGGACGATGAGATTAACGCCAAACGATGCTACAGAATAGGGATGTTTGGATTTGTTTGAGAGGGATGCTCGTATCTCGTGCAGCCAATCGTCAAGGATCTGGTCCGATCTAGCATTGAGCGCTGGGAGTGTGCCCAGGACTCCTATTGAATTGAAAGTTTAATAAAAATATGGACTGCGTAGAATGTGTCGAATCTCTATAAATACGAAACAGTCGAACCAACCTTGTCTGCAGGATTGAATTACTAGCTGAGGACCAGATACTAGAAACATGGGTGCAACAATAATAGGCAGCCGCAGTTGGCTCAGTATTTTATTTGCTTTTTTCATGTTAAAGTCAACTATTCAGATATGCGGTCTATCAAAATATAGATTTTGGATGAATGCCAAAATCTGATTGTCGAATCAATTATTCTAGTCCGCTGTGATGGATACTTTCAACTTGGAGTAAATAAAAATGTAATTCTTTATTACAACTGCATATCCAGTTGACTTGACCAAAACTACTCACCAGATTTAGAAATCAAACTCGTCCCTAAACATGGACACATCTGGTGATGCATCCACCCTATCAGCCATATCAGTCCGATTCATCAAAATAAATGTTCGTCGTAGTGAATCCCATAGCGTCAATGAAATATTGGCTTGGTTTTGATGATTCGTGCCATGCAAACTCAACGCACCCAAAAGGTGTTCTGCAGCTTCTTGATAGCACCCGATATTAAGACATCCAACACCCAAATTATACCTTGCGCGGACAAATGTGGGCTTGAGTTCTAATGCCTTGTGATATGCATCAATCGCTTCTTCGGCTATAGATTATGGAAACAATGTGCAAAGACAAGAATTTAGTGCGTCAAGTATATCACCAGTAAAGCCAAAGTGTACATACATCGTCCAGAATTAGCAAGGGTTGCACCCAGTCTGTTCCAGAGACGGTAATCATCTGGCCGAGCAGATAGGGCAGCCGTAAAGCAATCCACAGATTTGGTATAATCATTCATACTGTAAAACAAGAGTCCAAGTCCAATTTGAACTTCGGGATCAACCATTGACTTTTCTGTACCAACTGCACCCGCTGGGCCTTCATTCGCCGCTGCTAAATACATGGACAAAAGCTTATTATGAAATTCTTGAGTAGGATATACCACATAGGGCTGTTGATCGGCTGCCAGTGAAGAATTTTTTGCAATCTCGGGGTATTTTGTTGCAAGCCAGCGTTCAAGTGTGACATATGCTTGCAGATCTTGCTTTTCATTCGTATAACTTACGGCAAGACTCTAAAACAGGCGTAGTTGGGTTATTTCATAGTAATTGATTCCCGTTAGAAAGCTATATTATAGATAGTGTAAAGTTAGTGCCAGCATGCGTTACTTACAATGAGAGCAGATGCATTTGTCGGATCTTCTTGAACAGCCTTTTGCAAAGCAGCAATAGCAGCCAGTTCCTTTTCATTCTCTGCCTGAACATTTCCCAAATTCATCCAGGCAAGGGTGTCATTCGAGTCTCGTTGGACAGCAGCTTCAAATGCCAATGCAGCATCAGATAAACTCCCTCGCGTCTGCACTAATTCCATACCAATCCCACGTGGATCTGGATGGTCCATATACTTGTTGTGTTTTTCAAACACATATGGCACAAGCGGTCCTGATATCGGGTCTGGATCAATCATCTCACTCAACGAACCTAGCCCGTCTCTATCTGCTTCATTTAAAAGTCTATCTCTACCCAGCATAGATTCAAATTCGGCATTCCAGTCCTTGGTTGAATTGATGTTGGCGCCATTGCCCGCAATGTCCGTACCATATAGAGAGTTTGAATATTCAGCTGATTTCCAGACATCTTCAAACGTACTCTTCCACTCTTGCTCGTCTGTGTCTTTGGATATAGGTTCTTGTTTCAAATGCTTGTGAAATTCATTTTCCCAATCAAGCTGACTCGCTGGATCAAGTACAGAATCATCCAGATTGCAGTGTTCTTGACGAATAGAGCTGCGAACTGCATTAAACTGCTCATTCCATTGCTGCTCAAAAGCATCACGCTCAGCCTTTGAGACCTCTGGATGAAACATGGCATTGTTAGCACTCTCGTTAAATTGAGCAAAATCTGTATTCCAATTTGGATTTTTAAAATGCTGCTGGAGCAAAGGATCTTGAGCACAGGCAAAAGCTTGTTCAAATTCGGCGCCATTGAAATAGGATTGAGGATTTTGTAAATGACGCATATGGGCCTCATTAGCAAATTCATCAGCCCAAATATCTCCAGGTTTGTCAGTATGAGGTACGTTTTTGATCGATTGCTCTAATTCATGGCGGAGATTATGGAATTCAAAGGTGCTGTTGGATCCCTGTGGCATTCCAAGAAACTCATCCATTGTGCCACCATTTGGTAGTTCCATCCTTCCAGCCTATTAAATATTTGATGGTCACCAGGTTAAAGTCATGCGTATTAGGATATGAACCGAATACGTTTGGAATTATTTGATCAGCATCATATTGTCAACTCAACACAACCGAGAGTTTGGTATTATGAAGCACTCGTTGGATCATATAGATTTAAACCAAATTAGACCTACTCTGGCGAGCTCATGCCTTGCATCTCTGGACCAGAGTGCTGGCACAGGCATTCGGGATGGCATGGTAGTTAGTCTGTCAGAATGCAAACCTCCTCCTCGTTCAGAGTTGTGCTTGACAAGATGGGATAATGAGTTTCCTGTATCGCATTCTGCTCCTCCTCCCACCAAAGCTCCTAATAACCCACTGGCTCCATCACCTCTGTTTGGATTCATTGTCGACAATTGAATATGAATGCAAGTTGCAATGAATTTCGTTGGCTGAAAACTGAATTTTGATGTTTGAACAAACACATCACAAAGCATTTGCCATCATTCACTAATAGCAACTGTGCGATTGTCTTGTCCGTCCAATCCTGTTCAAGTGTATTCTATCAAGCCAGCATTGCACTCTTTGTTGCATCAAAACATGACATCTTTCAATATAATATCCTTTATTTCTGCCATCTCAATAGCTAACCAAAATGAGCTGTTTCAATACCCACTCGAAACTATATTATAATAAAATTGCTTTTGTGCTATCATCGATCTTTGATTCAAGATTGAATAAAATCATGTTGGTATATCACAATCGCATGTATCTAGCATCCTGAGGATGGGCTTGAATGCAGTTGAACATTCGGCTATTATTCTTATTTACACACCATCTTGAAGTTGCTTCTTTACGACCTCGGCATTCGTTTATCTGAATAATATTGCTTTATCTGCCCCAATGTCTTCAAACATTTGTAGTCCAGCATCTACTGTCGACAAGTCATTCATCAAAGATACGATTATATCTGAAACGCCACAGGTCTGTCCAAATTTAATGATTATATTGTGTAGTAGAGCCATGATATTAATTTTATAGTTCAAACATCTATGCACGTATACAACCATATTAGACACTTTTGATTGATGTTCGTGAACCAAGCGAAACCAGCGCTGGTATGATTCCCACTGCCCACAATATTCCGGTTGGGTCCCTCCAATCAGCACTTGCTTTAAATTCTGAAGAGTTCCGCAAGCAATACCATTTTGACAAGCCAGATTGCAACAAGAACATAACAGTCTACTGTCGTTCTGGAGTTCGTAGTGCAAAAGCTGCTCAATGTTTTATGGAAAATGGGTATACTAGGTAAAATATGCCAATCACTATTTTTATATCAATTGTCAATGTTTCTCACCCAAAATCTCCTTTTTATTGTCCTTGATCATCAATAGCATTTTGAACTATTCTGGTGGTTGGAATGACTGGTCAAGCTAATCTCATTTGATATCTCTTAAAGTACACCACTTTGATTTTCAAGACAAATGAACACTTGATCAGTATTGCAATACTCTTTCAACAATCAAGATATCTATATTCACTGACTCATTATACAAGGTTTTGAGAGTTGTATCAGACACCACGCTATTTGGTAGTCTGGGTACAGAAATATTTATTTTATTTCCAATTATAGTTACATTACTAGGCACGCTTTAGATTTTTTAGTCTTGGAAGCGTGACTGGCGTCTATCCTGCCCGTTTCTATACCTCCTACTCTCGGAACTCCCCCAGATCCACCCAAACCAACATTTCCTGATACTCCATTTACTCCTGGTTCCCCTCCATTTCCTGCACTTCCGCTATTGGAAGAGTCTCCGTTGTTGGGTGCCTGAAGCTGTGACGGTGCTCCTGTAACCAATCTCTGCATAAACAGCGAGCCATTGTCGTTGATTTTATTCTCTTTAGGTAATATGGCGGTCGCCATATCATTTTTTGATGAATCTGGACTAGTCAAAACCATACCAATCAGGCGATACGTCATAAACGATCCTATGTATATTCAACAAGGTATAAATCCAAAGTCAGTACATGGTGCAAATGTGCTTATAAAACACACCCGTGACGTTCAACAGCTTGTTAAGCATACCTTGACCACGAACCAGTATGGTGGAGGCTTGTTCATATGTACATTTCTCCTTGGTTTGATGATAGAATATGTCTGATACCAGTGTAGAGTTTGTGCTTCTTTCCAGTCGATACGCAAAGTGAACCATATTTGTCCACATGTCTTTTAAAGTTTGTGTTTCGGTTGCTATCTCAACAGGCAAAAAATCGCAATGAATACCAACACGGGCTCTAATGTTTCTTTGCGTCTTGCGATTATAGATATCGAGGGTAAAAAAAAGCTCATGTGCCATTGCAGCCACGGTTTCCGGTGTACCTGTATCGGGTCCAATATTTGCCAATAAAATATACATATTACCGCATCGCTTTGCTCGTTTTAAGGAAAAGCGATCAGATAGCACATCAACCATTTGTGAAAAATCTGACATGATCTCGACACTTTCTGTCGGTGTGAGTTGAGCAAGTGCGCGATTTTCTCCAGCAAGCTTCAAAGTCGATAAGCTGGGCACGCTGGAAGATGGATCTTTTTCTTTATTGGCACCAGAACCCATGACAGATTCCATATCATTTAAATGCGCAAGAGCCTGTGCCTGTGCCTGACCTTTTGGCCCTTTACTCGCTACAGGTTCAGTGAGTGGTAGACATTGCGCCAACAGTCCACTTCCATACGTTGTAGCTGGTAAACTATCTGTATCGTCAAACAAGGATACAAATCCTTTGGCAGGTGGGAACATGGGTTCAAGAATCATGATGATGGGAGCAAGTCCGTGAGTCTGTCCAAAAGGAGCCGAGTGCTTCTTCAATGCAGATGCTAACCCCTTAGAGTGTGCATGTGCCTGAGAAAATGCTTCAACCAAATCTACTGTTTCTAAAAACGCCGAAAATACTGCTGCTCCTGATGTAACAAACGACAATTCCTATATTTATAGTAGTCAAATCAAACGACAGTTAATTGATTTAATCTAGTTGCTACAAAAGATATGAATTGATCGTATGTTTTACAAATATACGATCAATTTCCAGTGTATTGAAGATACCTGAGCCGACAAATACCGATAGTTTCCTTCAAAAAACGCAGCTAATACACCGGTTGGCCGATTTGCACTCCATAAAAGCTCACTTGCACAACGCACAATATTTTTGTTGAGATAGTTGTCCACATCTTTAGTTATAGGCCCTGTTGCAAGTGAGTCTAAATGCAACGGTGCATTCAAAGGCTCTTTTTTAAGTGTCATCATTGCCAGTTCCTGAAAAATTTCGCCCTCAATAGTCAACGAAGAGGTTGCGTTTGGAGAAGTAGAATAAGCCTGTAAAACAGATTTTGTTACATTCCCATCCAACACAAATCTTAGCAAGAGTACGCTTGATGCTCGTAGTGCTTCTCTAATAATCCCCAATGCCTTTTCAACAGATCCAGACGCAATTGGACGTTCAATGTTGCGTGACTTTTCTACCATTTTGGCAATTCGAATATGTGCCTTGAGCATAGTTTCACGAAACTCCAGCTCTCGCTTTTGAGATATTGTCTCAATTTCTCCTGTTGCCCAAAATGCCATTTCATGTAGGATATTCATGTCCATCACACTAAATTGCGCTCGTGGAGATCCGCGAATGCTCAATGCACCGATGCGTTTACGATTTCCTGTTGTTAATGGAACACCAGCATAAAACTCTAGTCCTGGTTTTGCACGCATATGAACACATCGCGGATCAACGCGAGAATCTAAAATGGTGATGCCACGACCAGTGTCATCCTGCACAACCCACGAACAAAATGATTCATATCGAGGCTCTTCCTTGATTTGCATTGGGTTATTTGACCAGAATGTTGATTTCCAAATCACTTTATCTATATCAACAATACTAATAACACAGCATGTACCACCAAGTAACCTTGCAGTCATTTGGGTGATCTTGTTGAGTCGAGGTTGGTCAGTAAAATCGCCAATTCCTAGTGAATGAATGATGGAAAGTCGTTCTTTTTCTTCGGATTGTGAACCAAACCCAATGTTTATATTTGGGTTTGCATTTATCCCTGATAGACCAGTTGAATAAGTTGGTTTTCCTTCAGCGGGAAATACTGGCAATGAATCCGTTGTCAAAACATTTGTTAGACTGGGAATAAAACTGGGTGGTTTTTTTTCAATAGCCTCCGAGGTTCCGCTTATTTTTGTAGCAGACTCTGATGTCGAGGTCCATACTACAGAATTTGAAGTTCCTTGCGTAATAACTACGGGCTTGATTGTATCTGGAATAGCATTAGTTTGTGGATGAAGTGTTGGTGGCTGCTGAAGTATAACTGCAGTTCCTGTCTGAATTGCCGGAAATTGCTGGCGATTTGGATTTGAAGATGAGGTTGGAAACTGTATTTGATTCTGTTCTGAATTTTTTTGAAAAGATTGAACAGTATTTTTTGGATCTGGTTGGATTAGAGGTAATGCACAACCCAATTCATCTGCTGGCTTGAATGCCTCGCCAATTGTAACCGATCGCTTTTGCTTACGAGCAGACTTTTTTGCTTGAGACGGAGCCTCTAGTTGTTGCTGTTTCATGCGCTTCATTTGCTCTTGTTTTTGTAATTCTTGTAAATCCATCTGTTCGTATTGATGCATATCTGATTGGCCGGTTCTTTGATAACACACACTAGGATCCAAATAACGGTATCCGCGATTATCCGTAAAGCCAATATCGGGATACTGTATTGGAACAATTCCACCAAATGGATAGTTTCCCACAGGACTCTCTACAAAGTTTGAATGCATTTTTGTACCGGAATTCGGAAATAGTTGCGGATGATACTCTAAAGAGAAATTTCCTTTGCTTGGCAAATCCACAGACTCTGGATTCCTTGATGTGTGTGAATATGCATTTTGCAGGTTCCACCCATTAAATTGGTTAGGATACATCATCTGGTTAGAATACATTTGGTTTGACTGATCCCACATATTACGCGATGGATATTGGTTATCGCGTCCATATATATTTGGCATGGCAAACGATGGTTGTTGTACTGCTGGAGCCTGTTTTAGTTGTTGCCAAGTATTTGATGGTGATTGAAAGTATTGCTGCGCCTGTTCTTGCATTTGCCGTTTTTGTGGTGGCCGATACCTTTCAGGACTGATAGCTTCTTGTTGGTTGGTATTGGAATAACCCTCATGATCATGCTTTGTTTCAAGCACTGCACCTTTTGATTGGTGGATCAAATCATCCAGTTTTGGTGCATATGCTCCCACATCCGATTGTCCTCGCTTACGTCGAACACGAATACTCTCTTCGTGGCGATGGTCAAATGAGCCAGCTGGAGAATGAGGTGCTGGAGTAGAAGATAAATGACTAGTGTTTGACGACTGTTGAATATCATTATGACTTTGTATGGAGACTGGAGAATGGACATCTTTTGAGAACTTTGGTTTTAAATGATTTGGAGATATTGGGTCACAAGAATTTGGTGCCAGTGTATTTGACAATCCCGGTATTGACATTGCAACATTATGAAAGTCAGTCAACCTTTGCTCCTGATGTTCTATTGACCCTTCATTTCTTGTATTGTCATCACTAGACTGCTTCCGTCTCTCTGGGATGGAGACTGTACCTTCAGACGGTATGCTTTGGTGTTGGAGCGACGCGTGAAGATGCTTGAATGGATGTCCTTGCGAGACTGGTATATAATGGTTCTCTTGTAAAGGTAATGAGCGAAATTGACTAGCTGGTGTGTACTGCTCACTTTTGTCAGAGTGTGCTTTATCGTTGCTGCCGTGTTCCGTTTCTGTGCCAAGACCTGCAGCATGGCTAGGTGGTAGTGGGTTGGCTATAGACCCTGCATTAAATTCATTTAAAGTAGATGTAGCTCCTATATCCAATGTTCCTGACAGATATATTGGATTGGTTTTTCTTGGATAGGTAGCATCATCTTGTCCAGCTTTGAGGTTTGCATTATTGGAAGGTGATTTTAAGTGTAGATTCATAAGTTGTGTTTGTATACTAGCTTGATGTATTGCTGCCTCGTCAGTAGAATTCAAAGCCATTTGGATATTCATACCTTCACCCTCATGAATATACTGCATGGACATGACTAAAGATTGTTTAAAATCAAAAACTAAAAACTAGCTTAGGAAAGCTTGCTGGCCGGCTCTTGGATAGACCGCGTGTTGATACGAATCTGCTCGACTCGAGATTCTATCCAAAAAGCCCAAGCTTCACATTACTATACAATTGCATGTGCCAGAGTGTAAAATAAATCAGTTTATTCCGAGTATATGGTACTCACGCAACTGCTTGTTTTTCTACTTCAGGGTATAGTATCTTGGGTTCTAATAGATAGATTCACTCAAATCAACAACTGTAAAGATGACTTTGGGGTATTTTAACTCGACAAATTAACGTACCCACAGTGCTTTGGACCCCAGGAATGTCATAAGAGATTGTGACTCGCTTTGCAGAGGCTCGCTTTTTGTTTACTTCCTCCATTCGAGACAGTACAACCTGTTGGAAGCGCTCCGATATAGCAGGAAAACCCTTCATTACCTCTTCGAGATTTTTTCGTGTCAATACCATGCATATACAGTTTTCAATAGCTCTGACTGATGCTGTTCGAGGAATATCAAACAACACTCCAAGTTCACCTAGATACAATTCATCAACAAATCGTGTCAAGTGTCTAAAAGTTATTGTCACTGCTTATTCAGTTCTTAATGCATACCAAAAAATGATCCGCAGTTAATTACGCTGTATTGCACTTTGCCATTAGCAGAAACCACCTCGACTTTTCCTTTACTTAAAAAGTACATTTGCTGCCCAATGTCATGCTTGTAAATGATATACTCACCAGCGATAAAAACTGCCGGACGCATCCGTTGCTTGAGTCTGCGCTCCATTTCGGGGAGCTCACTTTCCAGTTGTGCCGTTGTAAAGTGCATTCCAGCATCAGAAATATTTAATGGTGTACTGGTTTTTTGGCTTGATTGTCCAAGATCTGGATGTGCTTTTAAAAACGAGTATATAAAATCATCGCCAAACCCAGGCACTTGGCTCGATGGGTTAGGTGTAATATTTGCCAAATCAAGCCATTCTCGCCTAACATCAGCCGAGTTTGATTTTTCAGTCTGACCACCATGATCGACAATCAAATTTGGATTGCATCCAGCCTGTAATGGTATTGAAGTGGACATGCTGTTTTTAAGAATTCCACGGATATGAGGTGCTGAATCTGTAGATGGTAATGTGATTGATTCAGCTACTGAAGAATTACTTTTAATGCTGACCGTATCTTCAGATCGTAAACTGTTGACTGAAGTCTTATTAATGGGTCCGGACCCTACATTTAGTTTGTTTTGGGAGTTGGATGTGGTTTGGAGTATATTCATGTATGCCAACTTGTGCCTATTGATTGGCTTTGAAGTAATCAAGGGATATGAGCTTAAAAGGTTTTCCTTGTATTTCTCGAAACAGCTGATTTCTGCTAAAGGTACTTTATCAGTTTTTCTCGCAAGTACCGATGATGATTTAGAAGGTTGGATGGGGCGTGGTTTAGGCTGTAGTAGCGCTGATGAGTTGTGTGAATAGTCTATAGCAACTGAACGACGCAGGTTTGAAATGGACGGTCTTCTAGATGACAAACTCATTGACCCTGATGTATCCAGCACATCTGAAAAGTGACTCAGCGAGTCAATCACTCCAAATGCTTCCAAAGTAGATAGCTTATCGTCTTGCGGAAAAGCCGAAAGAAGACTACTAAGTAGATTGGAGCTGTCTGTCAATGAACAACAAGTGGAATGTCGAGGGTTTTGAGGGCAGTCATGTAGTGATACGTAATTGGCTTGATTCATGGCCATTAATGGATCGTATCCTCGCTCTACCTCTTTCGCCAACGCATCGCTAGTAAATGCTTCAATGGTGTTTCGAAGATCGTTGCGACTATATGAATCATCTAGCCCATCGCCTATTTCCAATAATAGTGAGTCGGCATTGAATCTATGCGACATACTATGTAGAACCTGTTCTTTTGATGCGACTGAAGTACTTGCTTGTGGAAATGTGCTAGAGGCAAACGATCTCAATGGTAAACTTGCACGTCCATTGGCTTGTGTTGGATTAGATGTGGTGGCGGAAGATTTTTCATCTGAAGCCTGTTGAGCATTAGAAGGCCATTGTTGGACACAAGCATCAGAGTTACTTGGAAGCAGTCGCTTTTGATTCGAGTTACTCTCCTGGTATTTGCTGAGCCAAATGGCATGCCCAATAGCAATCGGAGTTTTTATTCTGCTCGAATTTGAAACATGATCATTTATGTTGGTTGTTTTTTCAGTGGTTGAGCATGTTTTCATGACCAGCGAGTCCAAACTACTTATGTCTGAAGTTGCCAAAGTGTTTCTGCGATTCCGATTTAAAGTGGAAATTCCACAACAGTCTCCAAAAACCACCGACAGAATAGACTTTTTTTTAGATATCGGAGATTGTGCAAATTGAGTAGAGTTTTGCATGGCAATATGGATGTATTTTTTGCTCGTTTGGATTGATTGCGATATCGTTGTAGTATAATCATTTTGGCGAGTTTTATTGCCTTTCAGTCCAGTCGCGTTGGTCATCATTACAGCTAGCGACAATGGGAATGATTGCTAACAATTTCATATTTATCTCTCCATTCTCATGTCCTTTTCGCTAGTTGTAAAAGCAGAGTGTGTGGATTCAATGCATTGTCTTGTTGCCGAATCTAATCTGAATTATATCGGCTATTATCATGAAAAATAAAGATACTTTTGACAGCATCAAGTTGGACAATCCACTTCATTTGAACATATATGATTGAAGGTAGACCAGAATTCCTAATCCGATGAATATAGTGGGAATGATGCCAAGTAGCACAAGAGTGTAAAGTGCTAAACTGCTTCAAGGTTTGTGGAGATTTAGAATCTACAATCAATAAAGACTTGAGAATTGCAGCAGCTATTGTGTTCATATTGCAATGCCTGGACTATTGTTATTTGCGTACTGCTATGGGCTATTGGGACTGGCTTCCATCCAAGTATCTGCCTATTGGATGACTGCACAAATCCCATTGCAGTTACTGCCAATTGTTGCTGATAAACCCTCTGTAACCAACAAACTATTACGCAGATGCAAACTGGTGCTGTTCGCCAACACTCATTCACCAGGAGCACCAAGAGGAACCGTCATTGCCTCTCCCTCTCATAAGAATCCAGACTATTACTACCATTGGGTGAGAGATGCATCCATATCTTTTATGTCTGTGCTAGACATGATACAGAGCAGTTCACAAGATCCAGCACAACCGCATCCAGAGCTGGAAAGACTGCTAGATGATTATGCTCAACTATCCAAACAACATCAAGAGTCACCATTTGCACGATCTGGGCTTGGAGAGCCCAAGTTTTATGTCGATGGGTCGCCGTTTATGGCTGAATGGGGGAGACCACAAAATGATGGGCCAGCACTACGAGCATTGGTTCTTGTAGAATATGCTCAGTTCATCCTCAAGCACAGACCTAGTCGCAAGGAATTTGTTCAAACACTGCTTTATGACAGTCGTCTGCCAACACAGTCTGTCATCAAGCGCGATCTAGAGTATATTTCACAACAATGGCATGCTCCATCGTTCGATTTATGGGAAGAGTCGCTAGGCACTCATTTTTTTACTAGAATGGTTCAGCATGCAGCTTTGGTTTCTGGGGCTCAGCTGGCGATGGCTTTGAATGATCGCCCTGCTGCAGATTGGTATCTAATACAGGCACAACACATTGAATCTGCATTGCATTTACACTGGGATCCTATCAAAAAACATTTGCTTGCCACAGTCGATTGGAAAGGAGGACTATCATCAAAGACATCGCAGTTGGATATTGCTGTCATTATTGCCTCGCTTGTAGCTACATCATTCAACTCCACGCATTCGGCCATTTATGCTCCATGGGATGATCGTATTTTATCTACTTTGATTCGATACACAGACACCATGTCTACACTCTACCCAATCAATGCCAACACATCTGCTCAAGTTGTCGTTGGACGCTATCCAGAGGATGTGTATGATGGTCTGGGATTTTCAAAAGGAAATCCATGGCCACTTGCAACGTGTGCTCTAGCTGAACATGTTTACAATGTTGTTGGGCATTGGTGCCAGGCACGCAGTATTTTACTCACTTACACCACATTGGATTATATCAATAGATATGCCGGATCAACTATTTCTGAACCGATTGGTACGCTTGGCGGAAGCATTATTTGGACAGACAAAGTGTTCAAGCAGATTGTACAGGCATTGGTTCAGCATGGCGATAAGATTATTGATCGAGTAAGCAGTTTAAGCAATTTAGAGGAAAACCATGGAAATTTGGAGTTGAGTGAACAATGGAATGCATCAACTGGAGCAAAACAAGGTGCACAGTTACTGACTTGGAGTGCCGTATCTCTACTCCGTGCCATTCGTTCCCGAAAACAAACTGCCGACAACTGTCATCCACTCATTACAAACTCAATTTGAAAATAGTTTTTATTTGTTACTTTAAAGAGTATGTATTTCAAGTATACAAGTATGCACTTGACTATTGAATAAAGTCGGTTTGAGTTTGTGTACTTGTAAATTTAATGTTGGAAAGAGTATAAACTGATAGAAAATCATAGAGTTATCTCAAATATTTGACATTGCAATCTTATGTTGAATCCACGACATGGCTCGTTGGGTTGGGCGGTGGTGACAAAAAGTTCATTGGACACATGCCTCGAGCTCCGCTTTCTAGATTTTCGCCATACCCCCATCCTATTTAAAATTGAAATGTAAAGTAAATGGGTGGGTTAAACTGCAATAAAAAAATAAGTCTACAACACTAGTCAGTTTTTCAAAGCATACCATCTGGGAATATCTGATAGATATTAACCAGGTCGCCCTTTTCCATTGCCAGTTCGTCTTCCATAACTGCTGCGTAGTGTGAAATTGCCTTCATATGAAGCACACTCGATCGCTGACCGTTTTTGGCCAAGCCATTTGCATCGTACAGTTCAATCACTTGAGAAAGGGTCGATGATATCGGATTATTGGCTGATTTTTTTGCACGTGGTAGTTTTGCATTATCCTCGTTGGGCTTTACATTTGGCATAGGATTGGGATACATTGCAAACGCATTGTTGGTTGTATCGTACACGTTGGATACGGCTTTGGAGTTGAACTCTGATCCACTGTTGGAAAAAATGCTAGCATGACGCACCATTACCCAGTTGATATTATTGAATGCAGTCGCGTCATCACCATGGCCAGCAGTGTTTGAGAAATCGGTATCAACTCGCGAAACTCCCCATTGAGATGGCTGGTTAGCTTCATCCATGTGTTCATTTATGTGCGAGTTTACTGGGATATTTGCAGAGACTAGCTGTTTCTCGGTCGGGGCAACATCAAACATCGGCTTATTGTCATTCTTGTAATTTACAGTTGGGGCATTGAATCCTTGATATGGCATGTTGGAAACTTGACTATTGTTTGAAAAAGCAGGTGTATTGACAGAATTAGGCAGAGCTTCCGAATTGAAAAAAGGAGGTGGTTGAGTTGTGACGATCGGATTGTAATAGCCAGATGGGTTATCATACGAATTTTGTTGTGGCCGAGTCCCAAGATACGAGTGATCATTTCGAGTATAGATTGCTTCTGGAACAGCAAACGGGGTGGAGTTTGAAAAGTATGGTATGTTTAGAGACTGACCAGCATTTTCTGATTTCGAACCAAGCGATTGTTGAGCCATGCCATCTGAATGTGGTACTGTCCATAGTTTAGACGGCGGAGCATAATCAGGTTCCTTGTCTTGAGAAAGTTTTAAATCATAGGAGTCAATGGGAAGCTGAGTGGAACGACTAGGCGTAGCACATGGAATCTGAGTTGAAAGATGCGAACTAGATTGGCTCCCAAATGGGTTTTTTGAAAGAAATTTAATTCGTTGCACCGGATTAGTCGACTGCTTGTAAAATTCCAAAGATTCTTTGTTTTGGTTAAATGTATCGTCAAGCTCCACATTATCATCGATAATGGATCTGTTTGGCCGCTTGGAAACAATGAATAGTTTTAAAAATAAAAAGAACAAGGCACAGAAAACTACACCGCCTATAATACCACCACCGACTCGTGCAAGAGTCAAGGATGTTGAAGGAGGACTTTCGGCCGACAAGGAGCTTATTAAAGAAGTAGGAGCTGTCAATGACAAAGTGGATAGCTCGGATATAGTTGGACTAAATGAAGACATGGGATCGGCATCGGACAGAGTTGGTACGAATGTTTGATCTGCTGCCCATGTACTGCTCGTTAGTAACGGTAAAGAGGTAATAGTCAACGGCGTGAAAATCCCCACTCCTGAAACTCCATCCAAAGTCTTGATCAAATGAGAATAAAAGCCGTGAGGCTAGTTTAGCACTTTGATTTATATAATTTTCTAGACAAACGCGGCAACTCAACTTACAGTCGGGCTTGCAAGTAATGAAACTGGCAATGTTTTTGTAATTGTGTTTGCAAGAGACGACACACTTGATCCTTGCACTAGGGTTGTCAATAAAGTAAATTCTGTAGCTGTAAAAGTATTTGAAGGAATAAATCCAGCAGGAACCTGTGATGGCACGATTGGCGACGAAGCAAATACCGATGGTAGAGTGGACTGTCCTGTATACGTCTACATTGAGATTAACCACAAACATGAGATTCATATTCAACGATACAAAAGCATATCACTTGAACTGAAATAGAAATGCAACCATGAAGTTTACAGCGACTATAATCCAGGATGGTGCATGCAATCCGCAGTACTCTTACCGTGGTCATTGGATTGTTGCTCGAGATTCCCAAAAAATTGTGCTGTGATACAGAAAATGACATAATGGATGAAGATACTGAATGAGTATTTTTTAGCAAGTCCTGTGGTCGAGTATCAAATTTGATTTTGAATGTACTATTAGTTGACATAAAACAAACTCGAATATAATCGGAAACAGTAGTTAAAGAAAAGGGTTTTACAGTGCCAGATATTTGAATTAACAATCTATATTAAGCCCCAATTTGCTAATCTGGTGCGGCCATCTGCTCAAGTGCCACATTGAATCCAAAGCTATTGATTTTATATATCGTCACAATTGAATTTACATCGCGTCTTAGTAGCTCCGTCTAAATGGCATCAAGTCGGAGTTTCAAGTTATTTGGGTGCAGCAACTATATGAAGTATCTCATAACCTACAGAAACGTGCCATCATTTAATGAGCCAGATTGAAAATGGCAACAGTTTAATCAGATTTGACTAGATCAACAATGAACAGACTGTTTGATTCATCAAGAGTTGATCAATGAGCTCGAGTAGTTTGAGAATAGATGTTTGCATTCAATGACTGAATCTTGCGATACTAAATTAACGGATTTCAACTGTATATTAATGACTGTATGAGCAGAATGCATTAATACAAAATAAACGAATAAAATGTGCAGCGAAATACTAGGAAACACTGCAAGCAGAATGAACAGAATAATCCAACTTGGCAGTGCATAAGCAAGATGGGCAGCAAATAGAAATTGGTTTTCAACTTGCCAGCAATCACACATTATGGATGCAGCCTTTTCTGCACAGTCGGGACCAATAGTACAGGTTACCAGCATCATAGACACACAGAATACAAAGTCAGTGTCTTTTATTCTCGGCAACACCGACCTGTCCGTTGCCAATGCTCTTCGTCGTACAATGATTGCCGAGGTTCCTACCGTCGCCATTGACTTGGTCGAGTTTGAAAGCAACAGTGTGAGTTCTGCTGTTGCATGCAATCATCTATCTATATATTACTTTATGACAATGACTGGCTGTAGGTCCAGTTGGTCTTGTTTATCATTGATACTAAACTAGTTATCCTATGATATTGGTCATGATCAACTATACTCATCAGTCGGTGCTTACTGACGAGTTTCTGGCTCATAGACTTGGACTGATCCCGCTCAACTCTGAGCAGGTTGGCACAATCACATATACCAGAGACTGCTCGTGTACACAATACTGTCCACAATGCTCAGTGGAGCTTCATCTCAATGTCCGGTGTGACGAAGAGTTTACTCGAGAAGTGACATCCAGAGATTTGATTTCATCACATTCGAGCATTATGCCCATCATTCATGGTGACGATGATTCTGGCATCATGATCGCCAAGCTGCGCAAAGGACAAGAGATTAACCTTCGTTGTATTGCAAAGAAAGGAACTGCAAAGGAGCATGCAAAATGGTCTCCATGTGCTGGTATAGCTTTTGAATATGATCCACATAACCGATTGCGACACACCACGTACTGGGTTGAAGATGATATCAAGTCGGAATGGCCTGTTTCTGCAAACGGTCTACTAGAACCAGAAGTCGTGGATGATGAGCCGTTTGATTTTAATGCCAAACCAGACAAGTTTTACATGACAGTAGAGGGAACAGGTGCAATCGATCCAAAGGAGATTGTAACCACTGCTTTACGTATTATGCAAACAAAACTCAGTCTGGTGCAAATGCTAATCAAGGAAATATCCGATGATAATGATGATTCTTCTAGAGCACAAATGAATGGCATGTACTAGACAGTATATTATTAGATGTTGAATTTTGGATGTGAAATGGACAATCTATCAAATCAATCTGCGACTGAAACGGATTATAATTCTTAAATGTACGAACGGTAGTTTGGATATTTGATTGTCTGCCAACAAACCATTTCAGTATACTGTAATAGGCAGATGCTTTCAATGTATTTGCAAAGAATAGTTTCAAAAGTTTTAAATTCCTGGCATGCAGTAATATCAAGCCATTTGATTCTTTAGTTTCTGAAATGAAATGCTTGCCCAAAATTCAAACTTTTGAATTGCATTAGTATGGACAGATTGACACAACTACAAGAGTGCCTTGGAAAGGTATTCACTTGGATTTATAAAATTACACTACCTATTGTTGTGAGATACTGGCTTGGATCGAATTGAGTGCCAATGACTGCATGCATGGCAAGGCATAACAGTCACAAGAGGACAGTCTAATGCACTTGTAGTGTCCAAGTATAGTTGCCATGTTTTGTTCTAACAACTGTTGCTGCTCCATTTTGGTATATATTGATAGCTTACAGAGATATTCTTCACTTCAACTGGCGTTCTACAACGAGATGCTCCTTTGATGTCCACTAATCCAGACTTGCCTATTACTTCCTGGAAGTCTGAGCAAATTGAAACAAACTGGCTTGCTAACAAAGGTATGTTTTAAAATGAAAGGACACTATATAGTCACAAGTATTTAAATTGAATGGGTTATTAGATCTAGCAAAAACAGCTGCCAAGGATATTGTTGAGACCGCCAAAGTCATTGATTTTTTGATAGATCAACTGCCTGGTATTTCTGAAAATGAGGAAGAGCAGGTATTAGTGCCTTTTGAGTATAGATTCTGGGTTATATATACAACGACGGATCGGATACAAACATTATCCTGTGCATTTAAAAACTGAATTAGATTCGAATACTCGGAGCATTGGAAGAGGAGAACAGGATCGCAGGAATAGAAATGGAGCAGGCCATTGAAGAGGCTGGTAAGTGATATGGTACCTTATGTTTTTGGCTAATAGAACACGAAGTATACCAATAGTATGATTTAAACTTTACTTTTGGCTGTTATGATAGAAAAACTTCGAGGGGAGATTCAGACATCATTACGAAGAATTGCAGATGAACACACAGATCTGCATGTCAAGATTAGCACCATGCTAAAATAATGACATTTTACAATAATAATAGCAATCATATATCATGCATAGTCTGGTGAATTTTGGACAAAGATGATCGATGAGCGTGACCGTTCAAATGGAACAATTGAAGCCACTCGAATTTGACATTTTGACTCGAGAATCGATTCGAGTTGAAGATTGCATTATTATAAATACTCCATGCAAACCATCACTGCGCAGACTTCGACTGCTCAGAGTAGCTTTGATTCTATACCTTCTTTGCATTGTTCTTTTTCTGCAAAATCCAATCCCATAGCAATTCGACAGCAGGCTTACCTCGACCGACTTGCCAGCATCCATTCTGCTGATGGAGTTTCTGCCAAGGACAAGGCTGAAATGATGCTTTGTCTGGCTCAGCAGTATATGGAGAAAACTCATGAACTATATTCTGATAATACACTGTCTGTGCAAGACTACTCGGATACACAGACAGAAGACCAGTTTCAATCAAAGTCTTTGTTTGATGATAATCAATATCCCAGCCGAGTAACAAGTTTAAAGTTTGATTCTACAGACAGAGTCTCTGTCAAGATGACCATTCAGGTATATTTTGATGTGGTACAAACCTTGAGCATGTGCAAGCTACACCTGCATAGAGCTGTTTTAGTGCTTTGAATGTGGCATTGATTTGGATTTAGTTGTCATAACATGCAGTTTGAATCATTTTTGACATGAAATAGAATATACCGGAACAACTCATGGTTAGGATATGGCAATACTTAGATGTGCACTCACTTCAGCAATCACAACAAGTCTGTATTCTATGGAACAATGCTATCATTCGGAACGATCATTTACTATGGCGCTACCTTGCAATCCATCGATATCCTCTTTCATCCAACTCCACTTTTAATCAAACTATGCCATTACCGAAATCATTTTGCAGCTGGAAAGCTTATTATGGCACTCACAATGCGATTGTTAATGGCCGACATGATTTCATCTCCATGCACGCAAGCTTTGTTATGCACAAGGCGTCTTGGTCTGATTTACGTATGAGATCTGTTGATACATTATGTAGTCGAAAAAATCGTACTGGAGAGGTTGAAACACACACAAGAGTATCTAATCCAGTGGTGTCAAACCAGTTTGTATCGTATTGTAAAGAAAATATACTGGCAAGCAATGCAAGTATGAATCATATACACAATGATCGACTTGATCGATCCAAGCTGCGGTTTCTGATGATTTGGCCAGTCAAGACATCAGACTTTTCATGTATGGTTTTGGATGGGTCATCCATATTCTGGATTGGAAATGCGCAAAAGACTGATGCTGGCGATTCCAATTCGGATACAAAAATTTATGCTTTGGATTTAAGCGAGACCGATCGCTCAAAGGCTCAGTTTACACTAGTTGGGCATCAACACACTGTAACAAAAATCATTGGTAATTCTGAAGGGCTACTGGTCTCAATTGACTCGGCGTACATTATCAAAGTATGGAAGATTGCGTCACGTCTTTGTATCAAGACAATTGATTCTCGTTTGTAAGTTTACTTGTGCTGTATTTTGTGAGATATCATTGGCATAAACCCATTATCATGCGTGATAAGTTTATTTGGTTATAACAATTGTTTTATTCTATGCCATATACAGAACTCTTGAATCGGACATTGCTTCGATTAATATCCATCACCACACTCTCGTCACTATCACATTCCACGGATTCACTCATATATGGAATGTCTACATGGATCATCCATTTGCAAGCTTCAGTATGCATTCAAACTACTCGTATGATAACAATGGTCATACGGTTGAAACCAACTCCAATTTTCATGTAGCAATCAGAGACTCATTTATTGGTGTTGGTGTGAATGATGGTTCGTATTTTTTGTATGAAATGTCACCTTTACAGGAATCCAAAAAGCCATCCGTGGAACACGAATATGATCCAAAACACATGTTGGTAAACCCCTGCACATCAGCAAGCAAGTTGGCCATTTTTAGACATCAAAACAGCTCACAAGCTTCTTCGTCCACCTGCATTATACCATCTACCAATGCACACAAATCGCCACTTTCAATTACATGCATTGCCAAACTCCGTGATGATGATATCGATATTCACAGGTTCACCTACGCGCCACATACATTTCATATTGGTACACATTATGTGATTACAAACGGAGCATATCCAGACGAACTTTCAACATGGTCACTGACACCATTAGCAAATGTAGTGCCATCTGTGCCGCATCAAGTACATCTGCGATCGATATATTCACTGCGGCCACCGTCATGTATGGTATCGATATCAAATGGATTGTTTTCAGGTAGCACAGATTTGTCCAATTTGGGATCTAATCCTGACATGACCACTACAGATGCATCTGGAAGTGTGTATCCAGCATATCCATTTATTCAGCCTGCGCAATCGTCTATTGCTCGACTTTCAAACCCCACACTAATACCACAGCATATTTGCCCCCCATGTCATTCCACTCGCACCAAGCACATGTATGCATCATCCGAAACCATTTCAATCCAAACCTCGGGATACTTTGTTCCCCCGTTTCGAGATGTGGTGTATTCTCGCATGGACGTGGATGAAACCATGTTGGTAAGCAACGTGGAGTTCCAAGGAAAGAAATCGTTGATTGTATGGGATTTCCGCGTGGAGCGAGTGAGAGAACGCCGGTTTGAGCTATGTGTAGTGGGCGGAAAGGATGTTTGGATATGTTTTGAAGTTATGGAAGATACAGCCTGTAGCGAGTCGAACTTGATGGAAGAGAGGGTGGATATACGCGAGTCGGGTATATCTGGAATGTGCGGTGATGGTTCATCTATCGCTTTTAAACAATCCGCTGCTGCTTGTGATGATGGCTTGGCTGGTTCTTCCCGTGATGAGCGTAAACCCAAATCAACTTTGAAGAGACAGCATCCGTCATGAAAAATCAGGCTGGAACTCTGCAGCATTTATTTACACAGCATATACCCTTACCCTCGGTGATGGCAATTTGATAAACTATACAACCTTTCAATGCATTAATTTGTTTGGCATTATCCAGCACTGTTTATCTCGTTAATGAGTAAAAAAATAAACATGACGAATATTCCAAAACTGACTCTTTAATATGTATTTTGCATGTCTATCATGATGATTAAAAAAGAAAGTTTGGCAATAAAAAACAAAAAACATTGAATGCAACGAGCCAGAAACAAGACTTGTACAAAGTCTTGGTCTTTTTAATTCCCAGAAACAGCCCAAAGTAAAAAGTAGGCATGTATAGATTACAATGGGCTATTTCCATGTTCGCGACGATGAAGCAAGAGCCGCTGCACCTTCACGTATTAGCCTGGTTGAACTCTTGCGCGCAGTAGCCATCTTTTGTGTATCGTTTCCCGACACCTTTATGCCAGACGTATTCATATAGACCGTGCCGCTGGCGGCTAGTCCACCTGCAGCCTGACCACCATGATCCATTTTTGAAAGATGCAAACGTGGCTTACGAGCCGCTAGCGAGGACTGCAGAGTATGACGTCGCTGATCAGAAGGTACTGCTGCTCGCGCTGTAGAGTCTGTAGAAACGGTATACATGATGGGTGGCAGTGAATCAGTCGAACACATACTCGCGTCAGCTTGTTGCTGAGAATAGGTCATGTTGCCAGAGCCATTTGCGCTGTGAGTGGTATGAGCGGTGTCTTTTGTATAATTCAGGTTCATAGTGTCTATATTGCTACAATGACTGCCTGGATAGGTAGTTTGGGTGGTTGCAGAATATCCATGAGTAGACAAACCAGCAGTCCCAAAAGTATGAACCGGAAGATCACCATTTTGATAAGGTTGAGCCTGATTCATACTTTTCAATCCATCATTCTTGCGTTGATAAGCCGATGCTACAGATGGCAACATACTCCTGCTGATTTGTGTGTAATCGAATGATGCACGTGTACGAAGAGTGTGAGATTCATTATTGTGTTCCCTAGACTGTTGCTGTATATGCTTGTGTGTAGTCATATGTTGCTGCTCACTCGTTTTTTCAGCAGCAGGAGCGGTCATGATACGAGCGGATCGAGTCGCAGTTGCAGCAGTAGATGGCAGAGTAGAGAGTGAAGAATACTTGATACGCCCCGTACTCAAATGGTTATCCGATACTTTTCCAGTCATTCTGGAAACATAAGTACTGCCTGTTTCAATCGCGGATGAAGTAGATATAACCGAAGTAGTATGTTTAGGAGCTGCCGATGCAGTTTTTGGCGTGGCTCTAGAATAGGTAGATGAAACAGGAATTTCAGGAATAACCGGAATGAATCGGACACCCGTGATAAAAGGATGATTAATGGCCTCGTGAGGTTTTATGCGAGTGCTGGCATCCCAGCTTAAACACTGGTCAAGAAAATCAAGAAACGCCATATCGGTGCATTTAAGCACAGATGAAAGTGTCTTGGTAGATGGTTTACGTTTTTTCCCCTTTGAATTGGGTACGAGTATAGGTTGGTTTCGGGAATCAAAAAACACTTTGGTTCGGGTGCCTTGAGATAAAACGCTCAGAGGAGGAACTCCTTTAATTTCCATAATGCAAGCAAGTTGCTCTTGCTCGTTTTCACCTGGAAAAAGCGGATATCCGGTATAAAGTTCGGCAAGAATGCAACCCATCGACCACATATCAATGGACATGTGATACGGGATTCCAAGAATAACTTCGGGACTGCGGTAGAAACGAGATTGAACATAGGTATAAAGGCGCTCATTCTCAAAGCAACTGCTGCCAAAATCAATCACTTTGATGTTATATTTAGGATGCAATGAATCAAAACCCTGGGGAATACGAGAACTCATAACTGAGCGACTAGAAGCGCTTGACGATGATGTCGAATTAGAATCAAACCGTGAAGGCTGCAAGTAGGTAACATCCCTCAATAAAATGTTTTCAGGTTTGAGATCACAGTGGACAATTTTGACATTGACAAGAGCATTTAGACAGTTTAATATTTGCTTGGCAAATCCGTGAATAACACCAAGATGCACTCCTTTAAATGATCCGGCTTTAAGCCATTCGTACAGATTGGTTCCAAGGAGCTCAAATGTTAAACAAAGATGACCACGAAAGTAAAAATGCTCAAAAATATGAATGAGAGAAAGGTTGTTTTCTGGATCTTCTTGACGAATTCGCTCAAGAACCTTGACTTCAATAGCGCCTTGTTTTTCAAATCGCTTCTTGTTACGAATAATCTTAAGAGCAACATTTGTTTTTGTCTTGTGGTCATAGCACTTGATCACCTGGCCAAACGAGCCTTTTCCAAGCAAAGAAAGAATTTCATAACGATAGCAGATATGATCGTGTCTAGTCAAGTACAGGTCGCCATGTGTGTCATCAAAACCTAAAGTGATTGAAAGCCAGATAAAAACAGTTTACATTGTCAGCGAGTCAACAATGTATAGTCATAAAAATATGTTTAAAACTCACCAGAGTTGCAAACGCTCCCATCACGATCCTTGGCAGTTCCCTCAATGTTCCAAGTTTCAGCCAAATCAGCACCAGTACGACGTTTGGATCCACCAACCTTTTCAATCTTTTGCGCACCAGCAAAGTAAATCTCGGGAAAATCATGAATCTCGACCAGCTCGTGAGCAGTCAAGAGAGATTTGAATTGCTTTACAGTAACTAGAATAAAAAACAAACTACCGTTAGCAAAATTTATCTACATGGACCCTACAATGTAGTTTACCTTCAGGTGTCAATGGAAGACGAACGCTGTTAGATTTGGGAGTCCGGTTAGTAGTGCAAGATGAATCAGCGTCAGTTTTACTTGGAATGGTATTTACAGCAGGAGGATTAGAGACGGCGTAGTAATTATGGTCGGTATTTTTAGATAGCATTTGTGGTTGTTGCTGAAATGTATAAGCGTCAATATGAGACTGTACTGGGTAATGCTGCGGTAAATATTGCTCATGTTGCTGGTTATTCTGTGGCTGAAGAACAGAAGATCTTGGAGGCAGTTGGCGTTGCTGTTGATACTGCATATATTGGGTGGTAACAGTTGAATGGGAGTCCAAAGCAGTATGAATAGACTTGACATCTGGCTGAGGTTTAAGCATCGCGTACAAGTCGGATGCAGTAGATTTGATGCGGGCAGGCATTAAAGCTACAGAGGCACCCGGAAGAGAGTGTTTGTTGTATTCATGAATGTAAGAATTCATATTCAACAAGTGTTAGTGATGCAAGTAAGCCAAAGCAGAAAGTAATGAATGGTTCAAGTCAGGGCTATTGGACTGCCCTTTGCAACATCGCGTTCAAGGTAATCTCCGCCTTATCTAAAACAAGAGCTTATAGCTAGATGTCAAGGAGCGGAGACCCAAGAAGGGTTGACAATGGCCATTAAGCAGGGAGAACAAAGAATTATAGCCACAAGCATAGTAAAAGTCACTTGAATTACCTTGCTGATCATGAATCTGGCCATTGGTGCTGGCCGTGTTGGATGTTGTCGAATAAGTGAATGCTGACGCACTTGACGACACTATCGATGATTTTGATCCCAACGTTTTGTTCATGGATAAAGAGTCCACAGACACTGGTGCATGTTGCACAGCAGTAGGGAATGACATTGAGCTTGATGGTTGCAAGTCTGACTGAGACGGTACATGAGCTGTCACTGGGTATTCATACTGCTTGTATAAATATGGTTTCTGTTGCTCATACTGTTTAGTCTGCTGCTCCTGTGGTATATGCTGTAGAGATGGTTTGTATACTACGTGCTGATCTATATCCTGATATAAAGAGCCATGGTCCATGTCCTGGTAATCTACACCTTGATGATGATCATTGTAGTGGTTCCAGGCCAGCTCAGTCTGCGAAAAGGCTTTCATGTCAACGAGGGTTTCAGATGCAGTAAAATTTTGGCTATTCGACTGAACAATTGGAGATGTCGGAGCAATAGAACAATGGTCAAGAGCAGTCGATGCAAGAGTTTGGGTAGAGTCAGTCACATCCTTATTAATGCAATCTATATGATTACTAGCGCAAGCAGCTGCTGCAGGGGGGGAAATTCGCTCATAGCAGGCATGCAAGACAGACCCTTCGGATCGCATCCTTGCCAAAAGGGCGGGATGGGTAGTAAAAGTGGTGGGCGAGGATTGTTTGCTATGCTGCAGGTCCGGATGACATTTATGGTTGTGAGGATGGACAGAGTGTGTATTGCTACCTGCTGGAGTGCCTATGTAATGCAATGGTGGTTTGGAATAGAGTCGCTGATCCATGCTCATATTTTGACTGCTGTTTGTGGATGGAGCAGCAGATGGAAGCCCTGAGCCATGAGGAGATGACACTACAGACGATCCATTGGGTGTGGTTGGGAAAGCCATGGCAACACTGGAATCGCTACTTGGAGCATGCAAAGGACAGCCTGCAGCAGTGCTATGGCCAGATGCTGGAGGAGTGGCTGGAGGACTGGATCGCATTACCAACTTGGATAGTCTTCTTCTCAAGGAATACCACTGTTCTTTGGGTGATTGAGCATTGGTTCCACTGTTACAGGAACTCTTTTGAAGTTGCACCACCAATGGTGCTGTCATGTCTGTAGATTCATCCACAAGATACTGATATTGCTGTTGATATTGCTCATGCGCGCTCGAGTCTATCTGCTGTTGCATAGTCCAATGATCGCAAATATTGGTATATAGGTGGTGATGCACACTGCTTCACACTGAGTTGAAGGAGAGTAGTGGATCAATTGTTGTTCTTATACCCAACTAAATTCTAACCCTTATGGCAATGCTTACTTGGTGCTGTGCCCGACTTTCTCGAATTGGCCTGAGCGAATCTTGAAGGGATGCGCGTTCCTTCCGTTGCAAGCTCTTGCACGGGTAGTTCTAGCCAAGTCTTTATGGTTGGCTCCAACCCCGTTCAATAAACTTGAATTGCAAGTATATTATTCTATCCAAAGTAACTGGTAAAATGCCTTTTCCCAACCAGTTCCACATTTCGGATCTCATTGGCATAACCAGCTCTTACACCACTCTAGATCTATCTTTTATCTCGAATATTAACTACAAATCAAGTGTTATGCACTATCCAACATTTATACATTGCAAATCTAGACACTGTTTGATCAATCAATATTTCTTCCTGCTGGGCTCAATGTCCTCATGCGATTCGTTTTAAATATTCCTTTAGGCTGCTTGTGGGGTCTGTTATTCGAAAGTCTTGATCCCCAACTGCCCCGTTCATCCAAGCTCTGGTTTGGTCCATTGTTCGTGCCGCTGTTCTTGTGCGTCTTCAACCACACTTGCCATATGCTCAGACACCCCTGGATAAACTTGTCCGAGTCAGTAAATGTAATAAACCGATTCGAAAAAGCAATAGAAGCTGGATCTCCTATGCATTCAAGAATAAACAGATTCAGCTCGACTGATCCCATGCGCAGAATGACCGCTTCGTACATCTTGATCATGCCAACCGCTGCACATATAAGAAAGGGATAACCGTAGAGACCATAGAGATCCCATAAACGAAGAAGAGACTGCAGTGGAAGTGGTCCATTCCAACTTCCTCCTGCTTGGGATGAAGCGGATGAACGTGAAATCCGACGAAGCGGATCAAAACAATGGACAAAAAGTGAATCTATCCATACCGGAACGTATTGTTTTGGTTCGATACTATGCGATTTCTACATTAAATTGTCAGTAAAACCCTAATCGGTAAATTAATCTACTTTCAATGTTAAAAGTACATACCAAATGATGTGCAACTTTGGGCAAACACTTTTCAAGCAAACAAGTGTATTGTTGACATGACTCTGTCTGCATACGGGACTTGTCCAAATATGCTGGATACATGCTATAGAATGTACCCAAAGCACCATCACTAGGTTTCTCTAAAATACTCATGGCAATCAAAAAAGCATTCTAGAAACTATAATTAGACCTTGTGGTTCAAAAACACTCCATCGTATAGATAAACAAGTATTACCTCTTCGTTTGTAACAGTCAGCAACAGCGCAATCCATGTCAAGACGATCTTTCTATACCCAAAATCTGGTAAAAGTTGCACGATAATTTGAGCAATCTTTGCAAGAATCTTGATACTAATAATCAAATGCATGGATTAGTCTTGTAAGCGCGAATAAAATACACTGAAAAACATACTTGGAATTGTTGTGAGTGGAAAAACTAATATGGTATCTCATGGTATGGGCCGCATCAAACAGAATCTCCTTGTCAATCAACAGCAACTGCGACCCCTATAAAAATGACATTGTCCATTAATGTATGAGTACAACTTTGTATGTCAATCAATTGCCTATACATGGCAAATCAATCAATACACACATGATATAGATTCAACAGATTTGTAGCTTTTTTAGAAAACCCTGAAGGATTTTGGAAATCATACATTCCACTCCGTTGCGAAAAAAGCTCTAGCCACACTTGACCTCTCCATATCTGTGGCACGCCCTTAACCAACCGCGTTGCAAACTCAAGATATAATGCAAACACTAATTAGTCAACAAAACCCATCATCAGAATGCCAGCACAGCAGTAGAGTTTACCTTGCGATGCAGAGAAAATTTGTGGATCATGTCAATATTTGCTCCATTGTCGTCCATAGAAACTTCGAGCTTTTTTGTTGTAGATCCAGTAATGCTGCTTAAACTCTTGGCAGAATGAGACATTCCATTCCATTTTTGAGCACGAATTAAATCTCGACGAATGATTGCATCATTTAAATATTTTGGAAGCATCCCATATACACATCCATAGTAGTCTGCATTGGTATATGTTGGAGTGGGTTCGGTTAATTTGGAGTCGGTATGCTTACGATGTGCAAGGATTGAAATGTCCAAACTTCCTTTATACTGGGGTTGCCGAATTAAACGTGTCGCAACGGCAGCTGAAGGTGATGACCAACTCTGTCTTTGACTGTTGAGTGTATTTGTTGTGTGTCTTCTAGAAACATGAACTTCCTGATTCGAGTCGATGGATTCTGAAGTTTTGATTTCATCTTTTGATTCGTTCACATCTATATTGATCACCTGTGGTACAGATGAAACCATCTTTATATTATCTATAACGTTTGGTACGACTGCGATTGTGTCACTTTGAATGGTGTGATCCGTAAAAGAAATCGCGGCAGTACCAGATGAGCAAGGCTCGTCAGAATCCAACGCATTTGCACTATCATGCATATCTCCAAAAGCGTTTAGCATTGCAAAAGAGTCATCAAATGGAGTCATGGGTGAAATAGTGGGCAACAGGTCCGTATGCACAACTTTAGTCGATGCATGGTTACAATCATCTACAGTGCTACTAGAGTGATTATGATTGGATAGATGAACATCTGGAGTATTTGAAGTAGAAATGACTGGATGATTTGCATTCTGAACATGCATGGATACGAATTCTTTGTGATCATCATTTGTATTTTCAGATGGGCTCTCTATTGGGACTGGAGACTTGGTCAAGAGCCTCAGACCCGACGCACCACGTACACGACGCTGTTGAATGGTTGCACCTTCGTGAGAATGATCTAGTATAGATGAATGCTGTGGAGTTTTCGCAATGTTTGCGTTGATCGTACTTCCCGTACTTTGAGAAGATACTGACGAGTCGATACTTTCCCGCGTAATACCATTAGACCGCACTGCATCCACACTGTCAGAGATGTGAGGAGATTTGGATTTAGAGCCAGAAGAAAACAGATTGCGCCAAAAGTATGACTTGCCAGTGGTTCCAGTCTTGCCCTGATCAGTAGACAAGGCCGAGTTTGTATTAGTACTGTCAGTGGACTGAGCATGCATCAAAGTGGGCGAGGATTCATGTGATTGGATCAATGTAGACTGAGGCACAGGTGCCAAGTTAAAGGAAGAGGGTTGATCATGAGTCGTGATGCTGTCTGGCGATGGAGTTGAAATAGGATTTGGCGGTACCCATGCATCAGAATCATGTCTGACAGCTTCTATTTCGGAATGCAACTCAGTCTGGTGGTTATGAATGCGATCACTCTTTATACCAGTGTCAACATCATGACCAGCAACAACAATCACCACTGGTTGTGAATGCACTGCTGCACTATATTCCCCAACAGTCACTTGTCTGAGATGCGCTGTGCTTTTGGGCGATTGCGATGGAATTCTAGAATTGCCAGAATAACCTTGAGCTTGTCTTAACCCAAACGCTCCCATTGACCTAGCAGTTGTCGGTGATGCCAATCCACTACTAGAAGTATCTCCTGGTGAATTCGCTCCCGTCGCATAAGAATGTGTCCACATACGAGAGTTCGCTCCATCCTGGCTACTCGTGGGTCGATGGTGCATACCAACCATCAGCTCAGATGATTTAGTATCAATTAATTCAAATGCTGGACTATTCAGACCATTGATCGAGGTTGGAGAGATTTCTGACCCCATATCCGTTTGCACATCGGATCCGATAAGATTAATCTGATTAATAATGTAATCAAAGTTATCAGGTTCCTGCATCATGTATTCAAGTCTATAAAACTGAATGTATGCTATGTTTTGAGACTACTGAGATGATCAATGGCTGGCAATCAATTCTATTGAAATGGACAACTGGAAGCAGTTTAGGGTTGTTTTACTATATCTGGTTTTGAATGGCTATAATAAGGCAGAATTTTTTCAGCCACAAATATGGGTTTGCAATCATTGTCAACCCGTTGGTTTTTATTCCCGTAAACTTGACTTCACAGCCATATTCATGTAAAATGAAACAAGAAATAAACGCTGATGGCTCAAAGGCACAATCTGACCAGTAATTTAACGAGAATCATTCCATGGAATCGACGGTTTGTTACACATGTTGACTCATTTTGTGTAAAACAACTAAACGAATGTTGGCATGCACAGTCGCATTTCTGAAACATTCAATATCTGTTTTTAAACTAGACAAACGTATCCGGGTTTTTAGAATACAGAGTTGGATTGAAAATAGTCGAGTTCGATATTTGGATTGCAATACATGAACCTGATAATCATACAATACATGATTGTACCAAAAGAGAAGAATGGACAGTTTAAGATTATAGTTTGTATAATCGTTGTTTATTGAACAAGCAGTTGATTTCCAACAATCATAAATATTCAACCATTGTTGATTACAAAGTAATCCCTGCAAGATAAATCCAAATGTTCTATTTTACGTGAATACTAGGCTGTAAATGAAACCTTGGCCATGAAATAGTATACCAATTCAAAACTTCATTTTTACATATCAAATCCGTGGCATTCTGTTTGCTTATATTAACTACTGACAGTTGCAATAGCTTCAGGCATTGCCACTACGGATCCAGTTGGCCCATCTGAAACTATTCCAGTGGGTGCACTGGCAATCTTGAAACTCAATTCTCGTCGCAAGTACTCTTTATAGCATCCTGTTGCTGTAGGTGGTGCTCCGCGCTGACTTTTTTCTGATGCTCCCCATGCATCGAGTTGCCTAAAGTAGCTTTCGTGAACATATGATAGTGCCTGCTGTACTACGGGGAATAGCGATACATTCCAGACTTTGGATTGTGTGTTTTCTCGCACCACCTGCAATGATCATGATCAAAAATAGCAAGAAACTTGATTAGAGTCATATATTAAATCAAAAACATCTTGACCTGCTACCTACAATGATATTGTCCTGTTGGTCGGCTGGCCACATGCTCACATTGTCATCAATAATAATGGGATCAATTGTTGGCAGGCCTGGTTCTCTCTCGGCACAGTACGGAAACAGCGATAGCAGATCCTTGGGTGGTCGTCGGGAACTCCAGGACTGTGAAATATACATATATTCATTCCGAGCAGAGTATGCAATACCCCGAATGACTGTTCGTGATGGATCTAAAACATTCACCACCATATCCACATAGGGTTGGTCTCCAAGCGAGCATACAGAAATCTCGTAATACTTTTGTGCCCAATCAAGAAACTCGTGAACTCGTTCTGTCAAAACAACCTTTCTACCATCGTGAAGATCTCTTACCCGATGCATCACCAATGGAACTTCAGATTCTGGAACATATCTCCCCGGCGCATTCCCAACGACACGCACAAGTGTGTCGTCTAGATCCAAGACAAGTGGTAGTTTACGTGTTCTCAATAACGCATCAGCTCGCTCTTGAATCACTTTGGCAATCATATCCCCTTTGCACAAATATCCAAACATATTTGTTCTCTCTTTGGATGGCTTGAGATGCAATCCCCATTGCTCGCCTGTAGTTTGTTCTCTTACCGTCACAAATGTACTTTTGCGTGTTCCTGCAATCTCTTGGAAAAAGACATGATCAGGCTCAGGCCAATCAAACACAAACGAGTGAGCAATACTGCATTGCTGTAAAATGCCAAAATAGGACCGGGGTAAAGCCTTTTCAACAATGTAATGAGGTTCAAGTACAAAGGAAGTTCCGTGTGGAATGGCAAACACCTCTCGTGTATTCAACACAACAGATATATCACCATACTCGGATGGAAGTTGAAGAATTGGCTTCCACTGCGATGCTTGCAGCAGAGTGGTCTCTGAACAAACAATATCTTGCAATGAGAGCTCATTTGAAAACTTGGCTCGTTTGGATGATTGATTGGTATCCACCTCGCTAGACTGCCGTTTGGGCCCACGAGGTACAGCTGTGATGGCATTATTTCCATTTGAGCTGCTCATGCTTTTAAAGTCTTCATCTGTACCAAATTTAGATACCAACCGGAAAATCTTTTTTGTCAAAGCCTACATGTACAATTATATTAGTTTTATGTATATAAAATAATTGACTCAATACCAAGTGTACACTGTCAATTCAAATCTTAAATCGTGATTTACCTTGGTAATAAGATCGTCACGCTCACGATTGACATAATCGTCCTTTGTCATTCCATTTGGAAGCCCAGCTAGGCCTAGTACTGGAGTAGTAGCCTTGGAGTTGGCAAGGGTAGGTCGTCTAAACCGATGCTGGTTGGACATTTGAGCTGAAGTAGCAGATGCTGAATATGCAAGGGCAGGCATGCCATCAACATCAACGGCACTTAAAGTAGAGGCAGATCTAATACTTGCAGAACTAGCAGCTGTGGTATTGATGGTTGAAGGCAATCCATTCTCTTGTACTTTACTAGGTTGTATAACGGATGAGCGAGCAGCATAATTCAACTTGGGCGAGACAGTTTGATCTCGATTAGGTTTTGAGAGAAATCCAAGAGTGTGTTTCTCATTCAAAGTCTGATCAACAGGACGATTGGGGTCGGATTGAAAACGCAGTGCATTGTGCTGTTGCCATTTATACTGCTGCGATCTATCTAACTGGTTATGAGTTTCTTGGCGCGATGTGCTATTTGCAAAAGGAGCTTGCTGTGGTTGAGGCTTTCGACGATCATGCCTTTTGTGAGAGCTATTTTGCGGATGCTGTGGCGAAGAAGGGAGTTGCTGTTGATATGATGATTGTTGAGGCTGTTGTTGCACAAAAGGACGTTGCTGTTGGATTTGAGTTGGAAGTGTAACTTGGTTAGTGGGATAAGATGGTATAGATGGAGTATAGTTTGAAGATACTGTAGGCATAACTCTTGGAGTAGATACTGGAGAAACTGTTTTAACATGATCTGAAACTTCTGTTTTCTGCCGAGAGCTGAAAGCAGTTGAAGGTTGTTGAAGAGTAGTAGCATTTAGCACCACCGAAGAATCAAAGGTGGGATTGGTCCACGTCGCGCCGGCAACGGACTGCTTTGAAATACCAACCTTTGAATAGTCTGTACTATGAGTGATATTGGTGGTTGGAAATTCGGGTAAAGTAAGAGCAGAGATGGGGATAGGAGGGGGATAGGGTGCGGTGGTCAGGGTACAATCAACAGTGGATGATGTCTGAGCCGCATCGGCATTAAAGGTCGAAGCAGCTGTGTTCATTTGCAGTTTATTAGACCATGGCTGATACGCATATTGAGGTGGTGGATATGAATCGTGACTATCCACAAGATTAGCTGTTGTTGGATGTACAGTGATGGTATCATAAGACTCGGATTCGCTCAACCGCCCATCGCCATCAAGCAAATCAGATATTGAGAATCTATTCATATGAAAGTAGTTTGCTGATAAAAGTAGTTTGAATCTATTATTGAAAAACACTAGTTTGCTAGATCAACTTGGTTGCAGATTCAAGTAAAATACGTGCACTTTCAGCTCTCTGCCAAACACAGACTCGGCAAATCCAGACCTTGTGGAAGGAGGGGTAAGTCGTCGTCGGCTGATCTTGACTTATTTCAGCATCAAAGTTATCCTGAGGACAACTATTACCAACACTATTGGCAGCACTTGTCCTATAGCAATCCACTATCAGCGACTATTTCATGCAGTGAGCATCTATGCGTTTAATTGGCTCAGTTAATTCTGAAGCCATTTTACTGTTGAGCAACCCTTGCTTCCGCTGGGCAAAACACTGCAACTTGCAGAAAATACCAACTAGATTCCACAAACAAACCCATTTACTTGGACTTGCAAATGGATACTCGCTGCTTATCACCGCCGTATCCACGTAAAATGAAGCACTAAACAAGAATGCCAAAATACACAATAGTTTCATGAATGGACTGTCAGTCTACTGGTCAGCACTGTTCTGACTGAACTCCTTGACAAGGCCTACATGAACTGTCGATTGGTCAAGCAGCAATATCACAAGGTATAGAACCCTTATGGTTTGTTCTTGAACCTTGCCAACAATCGCTTTAATAGAGAATGGTTTTGTACAGCGTAAGATTCCAGATACTGGGAATGTTGATTGAGTAGACAATCAGTGTTTAATAGGAAAGCATAACGGATATTCAAACACTGCTTATTCCAAAAGTAGTTGCTAAGATAGTGTTACACTTTGCATGAATACGACTACAACTGATAAACTTTATTCTAAAAGTGAATTATTAAAACGTCACATACATCTACTGGCTTCAATATGTACATGTTAAAACATTTGTTTCTTTAGACTAGAGCCAGGCCACAACACTCGGCTTGTTGATCAAAAGTGTTTTTGACTGGAATTTAGCTATTTTCAAGTCGCACATTCTTGTATACCACAACACCAAGCAGCAGATTTATCCAAGTACTCGGTTTAAATCGATATAAAATGCAATTGCTGGATATATAAAATAAACCCCAATTAACGCCATAGATTTATTAAACAAACCAACACAAGGCAGTGTCTTTGGATAACAGCAATATAAACCAAAACAGCCCATTCTAGACGCTGTAGCTACGCGTCCCATAACAACCGAATCTAATACCTTAGTCTATCAAATACAAACATGGCAACATTGATGAAACCATCAGAAAATATAGTTTCTCAGTCATGCTGCACTCCCCAGTTCAGTTCCCAAGTATCTCCTTGTGATTTGAGCATTGCTTTAATTCGAGAATTTTTAGCTGCTCGAGGATTGGAAAAAACTCTGGTCTGTTTCAAGACTGAAGTAAAGAATGTGTGTTTAGTATTTATCTAGTTACTACAGCATGCATGTCTGTAATCAAACCATTTAATACTAATGTGTTTAAATAGATGCCATCCATATCGAGTCGAGCAGCACTTGCTACCCATTTGAACATTACCAAAGCTGTTGCATCCAACAAAACAGCAGGTACATCTTTAAATGGATGAATTCAAGCGTGTATAGATTCAAACTGACCCATTGTTAATACACTTTTAATGTAGATATGCCTTTTGAAACTTACCTGGAGATACTAATTGACCAGATCTTGACAAGAACCGCGAAACTTGCATCCAAGTCCAATATAAAGTCTCGTAAAGAGTCTATTATGCAAAGCAATTCGCCCCATTCATCAACCAGCTCTACCTGTACAAAACATACTAAACCAACTTCTAGCTCAAAAGAAAGACCTTTTTCTGCAGTGTCCGCTCTTATTCACGCAACAACTCCAAGCGAGGCTCACAAGTCAATTATTGGTCGTCATATATCTAATCAACATCAAACTTGCAATAATTCGGGTATGATTGCTAACTGTTGGCAATCATGTATTCCATGTCATTCTTGACATTCCACTACTAAACTATAACAAACATGCTTGGTTCTATGTGTATTGCAGATTCAACTCTTTCCATACAAGATATTGATATCCAAATGCAAGAGATTGTAAACCGTAAAGTAGACCCCCACTCTTTCACTACTCGCCAATCTACTAGTGTATCTCCGCTCCCCGACCCATCTTCATTTCTAAAACTCTCTACCAATAGAAATAATGGTGGTTTAAATTCCCGTGCCGGTAACCCCAATCTACACACAGATATTCAAATCATTGACGATTTGGAGTTTTCAGATGAGGAAACAACGTATTTGGATGGGCCATGCGCATCGGCTTGGAATCAAAGTCAAGGATCACGCATTTCACCCTATTTGGCTAATGAGCTAAAGAAGCTTTTATTTTTAAATGAAAATGTACGAGGCCGTTGGTGGTTTGGTGATGAATGGCGAAACAAGGGGTTTATTTTTCAAGATAAAATCGATCTGGCATATGGTCTTGTTCAAGTCAAGGTAAGTCGTGTTGTTTTAAAAGCATTAGAGACTATGCATCGTAACGAGTGATGATTTACTGCTCGTATACATTGCTAATTTGATGCTTAGGGGGGTCCATGCGGTTTGCTTGCGTCTGTACAAGCATTTGTCATCAAGCATCTGCTACATTCAAAGGATTTTTCGGCAATCAAGTGGGTTTTCAAAAAAGTGTCGTTTGGCCAAGTATGCCTTGCTACTGACCTTGTTTACAATTTATGATTCTAGGCAAAATCGTTTGCGTCCAACCAGGCTTCAATCAAATCTTGCCCTTGCGCATGCGCTTGCGGATATGATCTGGCAAGCAGGACAGACACACCATCGGGCAACGGTAGTCATGTAAGTTTAGCAATGAATATATTTGCAACCCTATATAAACTAAGGTAGTGCAGTAGCCTGATTTGCAATCAATGCAACATTATTTGACAACTCGTGTAGATCTTTGCCAGACGCTACATTGGCGGATACAATTACGGATGGCATGGAATACCATACATTTGATACGCTTAAAGCAACCAAAGACTTTATTGATGCTCATATTGACCAGGTGATCGTATAGATTGCATGCCACTTGTTTTGATAGACACTCTTCATCTTTTGGTTTGAATCTAACCAAAATAATTGCAACTTACAAATAGTTCATGTCAAGTGATACAAGGAGCAATGGAATTATTCAATTTCTTTTTTCGTTGATACTTTCGCGGAGTGTGTCTGCTATCCAACAAGACATGGATGATCCAGATGGAAAACTGATGGGTCGGCACGGATATTGCACGCAGGTAACCGATTTAACTTTAATTTGTGCCTAGACCCATCTTGGTTTAAATTTGACTGACTTTACGGTGTGATAGGATATGGTTAATTTGGCTTTAAATGGTGTGGCTACATCCAACGTTCACGATGGTAATATAGATTTAGGAAATGAAACTATTCTCAAAGGTATTAAGAAACAATCAGTAATTGGACAGCTTTCTTTATTTGAGCATTACAACAACATCAAGGTAAATTTATTTTCTAATTATTACATCGTTCCGACCCGTTTATAAGCTTAGCAATCCAAGTGTTTAATTTGCTCGGTATTTATTCTTTCATGTTTACCATCAATTATCCCAATTTCTAAACGTAACTCGTTTCCATTAGGTTGGCGAATTCATGAAAATTCCTATACTTCCAATATTCGTTATATGTTCCGAATCCCATTATACCACTCTATTTAGTTTGAATCCAGTGCCAAAGTCTCGCCAAGAGTTACAATCCATCGCGTCATTTGAGCTGTTTTATTACGATGGATTGGCCAATCAGCAGGAGGAGATCAGACTAACAGTAATGTCAATGGCAAGACATCAATCAAGCACTACAACCATAGGTGTGCCCAAAAACCGTACTGATCTGATTCCACCTCTAGAGCTATGTATACGAACCAAGTGGATTGATTGCGTGGTGGATTGGAATGGAACCGAGCCTTTGCTATGATGGCATCGAGCTGGTGCCAAGATATTCAATAAAAATAGAGTTTTTGAAGAATCTGGTATTATAAAGCACACCATCTACATGATTCAATATAATGTAAAAGGCATGTCCGGTTTGCTTTATTCAACTTCAGAAGTGGGTGGTTTGGTTGGCGGTACAGCGCCCATATTGCTGAAATCAGCCCAATTAGTCTCGGATGATGACTCTCCAAAAGCAGAGTTATTATTGACACTATATAGCGCTTGCTCCAAATCTTTAGTATTGAATGCGCCATCCGCGTCACTTGAGCCTTCAATATTGCTCGCTCCGCGACTCTAAACAGTTGTATTTCCATAAAAATGAGTGTCAGCAGTGTATGATGTGATAAAGCCATCGCAATGTATCAACCTATACTAATACTCACCTCTGATTGATTTTCGTCATCACCATCAACTCTAGATGAAGCCATATCGTCGCTCAGTGTTTCTTCATCGGGCTCACGAGCACGACTGCCGCCGACAAAGGGATCGTCCTAATACATTTAGCCAGCCAAACCCATGAGTGATGGTTGTTGTGCACACAATCAACCAAACAAGAGTCAACCAATCACTATACACACCATCTGAATAGCCTCTGCAATATCAAAGCTAACATCTTGTCCCTCGAGATCGCTAGAAACAGGTTGGCCAATTCATTAGCACAACAGAATCAGCGAATCAATATAAACAAAAGCACTTACTTCATCCATTGATGCTCTGCATCTTCGTCATCATCAGAACTATCACCGCCCAAGAAACGATCTGGTAGGTCCTTCACTAGCTGTTGACACAAATATCTTGCAAACTAAACAAAACTGATACATGAGCCACCCCTGGACAGGTCCACTATAGACCCTCCCAATGAGTAGTGGGTAGATGGAAAAAAGCAAAGGGAGGTGGAGGAAATGTACAGAGTTGTACCAAAATAAATGTAATGCCTCACCTGATCATTAAATGTATCGCTTTCTCCGGATGTGTTTCTACTGCCAGCAGCAGTTCCGTCTTCTTCTTCGTCGCTCCCATCCCGGCCAACTTCAGACTTTTTCCTAGGTTTGCTTGAATCGGACATATCTTCACCAAACTTTCCATTGCCAGGATTGTAACCAATAGTGCTACCAGCAAAAGCGGGCCCACTTCCAATCGGTATCTCGGGTCGTGTCCCGCCAAGAGGTTGTCGGTCTCGCTCGCGTGTTTCTCGGAGTGGGTGCGATACATACTCGCTCCATTGATCAGAGTTCATAAAATCTTGGCAATATATAGTTAGTTGACACGTGTGAATACACAAGCTAGTGACACCAGTCAAGATTTACAAAAATCATCTCAATATTACCGTGTAGTTCATCGTCAAGCTCTACATTGCACTTGTCAAACAATTTGCAAACTTCATCTGAAATATACGTTAAATGACCCATATACCCAAGTCTGACACCCTTGGGTTGCTCACTAAATGTTTGAAAGTACCGCCAAATAGTAGAATTAGTATATAGCACACCCAACACCATTTGTCAAGAGCAGTCCAATATAAATACACGCACACTTCGTAGTCGTTTTGATGTTGAGCATCAGTAATGTGAGCCATTAGATGAGCATCTTTAAAAATCTGTAAAATGAACGACGCGTTTACAAAAAACAGTTTAAACCATCAGTATAAGAAACTACTCAAATGTATCATCGACATAGCATGTCATACCGAAACAACCAGTCTCTTGACACTGATACGGAGCTCTCTCATTTTTTTCTGGCTAGTAATTTGAGAAATAGTCAAAGTAGCATCAATCTCACTTCCAGAAAGATCTGCAGCAGAGGGAGCAGGTCCAGCCATCGCCAATGGAGTTGGAATACTGCTTGTGTACGAATAAGTATTAAACACCTTGGCAATCATATCATACACAATAGAGTGAAAAAAGTTGTTCCATCTGAATTGGAAAAAATGGCTGATACAGACCACCATGATTTTCCCATCAACCAGTGAGTCTGTGAGTGACATGAGACCATCAATAACAGTATCGGTTGGTGCAACATAAGCAGGGATTTCACCAGCCTCGTTTGCTGGAGATGTGTAAGGAGGAGGCATGATTAGACTGTCAAAAAGTGGAGAGGAAGTAAATAGATATTGCAGATGCAGAAACTCGGCAAACAACTCGCATATTTTGAGTCGCTCTGAGCCTAATGCTTGACGCAGTTTTAATACGGGACGGACATATGCAGGATCAGTTGAAGAAGCGAGGCTGCGAGGAGTGGCTAATAGTTTGACAAACTCTGGTAAGCTGGCTTTGACAACATGCAACAAATCATTCATATCAACTGAAAGTGCATTTAGTCTCTCAGGCGTAGGATGTCTTGGGCATTGGCGATTGGCTTGTACTTGTACTAGATAGTCGTGATGCTGAATCTCGGCATTTTCAATTTCACTAAACAACCAAGATGAAAAGATAAACACATGAAACATATCCACGTCAAATTTTGAACATGGCAAGGCGTGTGCCCGTTTTTTAAATTTAAGCAGATGCTTACAAAGTAAATAGAAACACACCTGCAATATTTACGAATGAGCTCTACAATAATGTTGATGCCGTGTGTGAGACTGCTCGTGGCATGAGGTGCTTTTTGGTCAAGCATGAATAAAACAAGTTTCTGAAGTAAAATTTTACTGTAAGATTAGAATATAGAAACAAAATGTCAGTTTGATTAGAATTCAATATAACGCGTCCACAGTAGTCTATCACAAGTTTGGTTAAAGCGACGAATGAATTCAGTGTACCTTTTCATTTCATCGACCAACGTGTTTCCAGCTGGAGCAAAAAAACTGGGCGGCATATCGGAGGGGTGTGCACCTTCGGGTGTTTGTTCAGGCATCGATTGACTTTGATAACTGACAGTGATAATATCTATTAGCGTCTGAGATGCAGTTGTGTGAATCTCTGGATCCAGATTGGGGTCGAGCTGGGAAAATAAATGAGAAATCAAGCCTTGACTACCAAGCCACTACAGAATGTAATGCACGGATAAAAATAATATTAGCAGTCCAAAGAGTATCATTGGTTACATATTCCAGTACTCGATCAATGATTCTAACCTTGATGATACCAACTCCATCTGGAGCATCCTCGGCGGTGATCAGTCTTAAGATAAGGTCGGCAATTGTGGAAGTACCAATATGATTTAAAAGCAGTTTGACAGCGTTTGGATAAGAGCGAATAAAAGCAAGAGTCTAAAGTGTCAACAACCAGTAAGTAGATGCGGCAGTTTGCAAGGTTCATTTTTGAGATGCTAAAATCGCTGCGTGATAAAACAACTTACCAAACCAGTTCTTCTATTCAAAAGTGAGTAATTGACTCTGGAAAAGTAGCTTGCTTGCAATGGGTTAAGTGGAGCAGGTTTCTCCAATAGTTTCCAAAAATTGCCAAAAATTTCCGAGTTCATGACAAGGGCTTCGCAAATAGCAAATATTTCGCATCCGAAAACCTCGGATGCTACAAATGGAAATCTAGCGAATCCCAGACAAGTTAATACAAACCATTAGCATTTCAGACAAGATCAGAAGCTATATATGGACCCACACTTTTCCCCATATAGATTGTAAGCGGTATAAGCATTTGATCAACCTATCAAAATAATACTCACTTGAATTTCTTGGCCTCGTCCAAATCATCAGCAGTAATATATCCCAAAAGCTTTTCAATGTTGACAGGCTTGCATAGGCTTGAAACCCCAAGAGATTGATAGGATACGCAGTGTTCAAAATTTCCACAAATATCCACAGCGATACCGAAAAATGAGTGGTTAGTCACCCATTAAAAACAGACAAATATCGACATGTCATACAATTCAAACATGAAATTACTCGTCAGTAAAGCTGTTGGGCATATTTCCAAACGCATTCAAGCCAACTCAAGCTCGATCGTGATGCAATGGATACGACCAAAAGGTAGCTAGATAAGCTCTAGATTAACCAAGCATCAGATTGATTGGATTGAAGCAGAGATACGAAGCCGGATCGGACAAAATGAATGACCCAACTATCCTTGACTGGATTAGAAAGGCTATCAAAACATTGTCCATAAACACACTCGGCATAAATCCAAATAATTGATATACAAGAGGAGAGAGAAGCCAATAATATATAGAATACTCTAACGGGGATATTTCACCACACTTGCAACTCGGCCAAGTGGAACACATACAAGACAAGGGTGATTGTTTATAGCATACAGCCCAACACATACAAATCTATTAGCTTTGGACTCTGAGATTTGACTTCCTGCACAAGGTCATCTTCGCCCATGATATCTTCAAGAGTCGCACCATCTCTCTCAAGAATACTGTCAATCACCGAAGAGTTATGGAAACCGAAGCGCCAAAACATGCTAGTTGGATCTTGTAGTTTTAAAGAATTGGTTGGCTGAATGCAGTTGACCAAAACAGGTGTTGTTGCTGGCTGTTATATGGCAGTAGCTAAACAGATGGGTTCATGCAAAAGAGTTATAACAACAATGTAAGTTTATATGTAATCCAGTGAGCATGCAGTGAGCTATACGGGTGCTGCATTCAATTTGCATGCAGTACAAAGGAATGCAAGGTATCCAGCAACCCAATGTCTAATTACTGAGTGCACATCACACCTATTTGAAATGTAAAGCCCTTAGACTACGCTCTTCCTGTAGCCCTCTTATTAGCAAGATGCACTCGACTTGAACAAGAAGGAAATCCGTCTTTAAACCAATTTGCCCAAATTTGGTTTGCCCAAAATATTTGTTCGTTGGCTGTTCTTTTATTAGCCATATTCACATAAAACACTAAAATGTCAACTTGACAGTTTCAATAAATCCGCACTTGTTCAAACTGAACATCCAACTATTGTGTGATTGACATGGAAAAACAGTTGCGTTTATAAAATGCTTTGTTGATCTGGTGATTGCATAATTATATTGCTATATCAAAAATAGACAGCTTAAAACTATAGTTTGTATTTATTGAAACAACTAGTTTTTAACGATTGCAACGAATATTTAGTCATTGTTTATTCTAAAATAGTCACTGCAAGATAAATACAAGTGTCCCATTTTACGTGAATTCAGTTGTAATTGTATTTACTGCTCATAATGCAATAGCTATCCGAAGCATATCAACTATCCCAACAGGTCGCTTAAGTGTTTGTGCTAGATTTGCTAATGAATCATCTAATTTTTTCAAATCCACTCCACACAACATTTCAACCTGAAAAGGCAGCCCATTCACATTGCATTCTTGCCGATTAAACATTGCCTCGCTGCCTATACGCACTCCAACGCGTCGTCCTCCTTCCCACGAAAATACAATCAAAATGGGTCCATTGGGCGGTAACAAATCAAACTTTTGTACTGTAATCATTGTCATTGTTGTCTTGATCTGAGTAAGTTGTTCCAATAATGTCCATGTCCGCGCATCCGCTCCCTTATCATTAAAATATATGCATCAACACAATGAATTACACCACACATACATAGTACCGGCTTGAAATCTATACCTCTTTGAGATCGCCACCAATTGTGAGCTCTGTCGATTTTTCTGGAGACACGACAGTACAGTATTCATTGCCAAACAACAACGTTGCCTCATCTATACCAATTCCAAAATTAAACTCCAGTCATTATCCCTTCAAATAAGCTTGATATAGACAAATATTACCTATAAGTTCGTCGTCATCCCCGACTATATCAAAATCACATAGATCACCAACACCTTCATCACTTTCAAACTGCATCATTGCATCACCAAACCCATATGCAGTGCAGCTTGTTGAAGTCGGTAGTCCAAACTCCCTTTCAATCATAAGCTGCGCCAAAACATCAGGTGTTTTTACCGAGTCAAGTGTATCTTTGGTTGATACATTACTGGTACCGCTTGCTCGTATGGATTTTCTCGTGCTGAGCAAAGAAGCATTAGGTGTCGAAGGTGCATGATTGCGTGAATGAACCGTGCTATTTGGTGAATCAGCTAGCTTTTTTTTTGCTCCCGCTGTGGTAGTAACAGAAGTAGGCGTGGGCTGGGCCGATGCTGGTCCACTTGTGGCAAGTCCATCCCCTGAAGTAGTATATAAAAATAAGGATCTTTGTTTTGGAGATTGTGTATCATATTGCGCTTGGGATGAATTTATACTACCTGGTGTTCCAATATGCCCAGCCTCAGTTGTATTTGGAAATTGTCCAAGCGATCCCGTTTGTCCACCCTTTTCTAATACTTCACAGTAAGACTTGTATTTCTCCAAATGAGTCATGGTCGTATCGCATGCCACTGGTGCTAGATAGTATATTTCACGTGGAAGTGCTTCAAATTGTTCCGTAAGCATTTGTTTCTATAACGAGAATAGTTGAACAGTCGTATAACGATCAGCCAACATGATTTGTTAACACACATATATGCTACACGTTGAATCATTCTGACAATGCATCGTTTGTAGTTTGCCAAAAAACTTGCCATTGTTAACAACTTTGTGATTTTTTCCATTTCCTTTTCACCATTTCCATGCTGTTGCATCACATTCACATAGTGATCGATATTATGAAATATCGGGCTAATCAATTGCAGCTAAAACAGCCAATTAAAAGTAAACCAATAAGCTCATTAATAGTATCAATAATATCCACCAATGCAAAGTTATACTGTACACGTTTGTTGACATATTGTTTTTGCATATCATTAAGTGCCAATGGGTTTAAACGAAGACCTAGGCAGTAATAAACATTCGGGTTAAAATAAACATGCTGAATAGTGCATGTCAAACTCGTTGTAGATTCAACAAACCTGCAGTCAAGTGATTTCCTAAAGAAACAGGAGAGTCTTGAGAACGGCTCGGCATACTTGTAACAGGGTGATTAGTAGATGTCATCAGTGGAGATATATTTATACCTGATTGTTGCATGTGCATTTGTTGCTGTAAACCTAAAGAGGATAAAATGGATGGTGTTGATGGTGCAGTAGATTGCATCTGTTGCATTTTTGCTTGCTGAATTATTGCTGCTGTCTGTTTTTCTCCCTGTTGCTGCTGATTGACTCGTGCCGAGGTATTCGAATTTATTATAGAGGATGTGCCAGTAGGACGGAATTGGGTATTTCCCGGAAGTGTAGACGCGGTTACTAGTGGGCTTGTATTCGTACTAGCCAAGCCCATTATATGCTGATTCTGTTGCTGCTGCTGTTGTTGCTGCTGTTGTTGCTGTTGCATGAAATTGATGGCGTTTCTAATCTGCTGGTTTGTCGTTGTATTTGCATTGGCTTGATTAGTCATGTTTCTTTGCAAAAGTTGATTGTTTTGTGCAGCCGTCAGTCCTGTCAATTGAGTATTATTCAACAGCTGCTGTTGACGAAAATGTTCTTGTTGAATCATTGTAGCAGTGATTTGCTGCTGTAGTTGTGGCTGTTGAGCAAGGAATTGAGCCATCATGGCAGGATTGGAAAAGGTTTGTGTCAAATCTAGTGGATTGCCAATCTGATTGACTGGCAATTGCTGCTGTGCCTGAGTTGTTTTTTGTGGTGTAGATGACGCTTGAGTTGATGGAGATGTGTTTGAGGCTGCTCCAGCATCTATAAAATTTGGTAAAGGTTGCTAGATATATTAGAATACCAAAATACACCAACAGTCATTTGTGTTTTATACTGATCACAAAAATGAAATATAAATGGTATTTACTCTGTTCTCGAGATATAGTTAATCGCTTGCTAATTGCCATCATTTTTTGCTGCAGCAATGCCACATAATTATCCTGATAGTCGATTGCATGGAATTAAAACTTTAAAGTTAGTTAATCCAGAAACAGATCGTTTTAATAAGCATCGCTTTCAATGGTTGATAGCCTACTCTAGATTCAGCTCGGTCGTATATACCAGATTCGAAACTGGCAGCGAGGTTGCGGATCCGTTCTTCATTTTGAGCATTTGGTGGAATACCTTGACGAACCAAATCAGTCCTAAAAGAAAGCCGATGAAACATAAAATAGTATAGCAGTTTGCATAGTGTTGGTTACAAGGTAAAATAATATGCATGAAAGCACTCAAACCAGCAATACGATGACATGAAATCTATAGTTTTAAATGACATACAGTCGGTTGATAACATCATGTCGCTGCTGTTCAGAAAAAGCTGTACGCCAAAGTGGTCCCATCAACAGTTGTTGTTGTTGTTGCTGCTGTTGTTGCTGTTGTTGTTGTTGATGTAACAGCGATGCAGCCAGAGCCTGGTTGATATTATTCATGCTGATTCTTGATCAAATTGACCAAAGCAACAATTGATTTAAATTTAGAATTCAACTTATTTTCAACACTAAATTGCTCTCGTTGAATTCTCTTTATTATTATAATAATCTGACATGAATTTCATCAGTCTGACACTTGAGTTTGGAATACAGTCAAACTCATTGTAATAAACTATTAAATTGAGTTTGGCTTTTGAATCTAAATTCATTTGACAAACTAAATGGGTTAAAATCAATCCAGTTCACCTATTTACATTCAATCAAACTTTGTAATTCATATAGTAAACCCAAGAGAATTGTGATTTACAAATGCATTCATCATGGAATTGATTCATGTAATATCGAGATACTGTCAGTTTTTATGGTATTCCTTGAACGAATACGATCAGCTGTTGCCAAATCGAATCTGGTTTACATTTGGTATTCATCATTACAATTAGGAAATGACTGCTGCTGTAACCGAGGAAGTGAAGCAACTTGTCCAAGAAATCATGCGACTAGGAACTAAAAATAGTAACGGTGTCTGGGTTGTCAAATTCGGTGTCATTGTCAGAGATGAGCGTTGTGGGGATATCTTTGAAGCCCTGGTTGGAACACTCAAGGCTGCCAAAGTATAGTTTGATGTTTGCATACTGATGATGCATAGAATACATGTAATTTAATACGCTATCATTATACGTTGACATGTATTAATATAGAAACGTGGAGTGATTGATTATAAGTCTGAGCTCCTACTGCAGAACGTACACGACGACGTTGATATTATCTTGCTGACAGAAAGTCCTCAGCAATAAACTCGATTTGTTTAAACCACTAAAATTCATATTGATTATGAGCTTGCATATTTAGTACTGTGATATACTGTGAGCATCACTCTGACTTGTTCAAGTTTTGAATAAAGTTATATTCACTTACATTTCACTCTCAATACATGTGAATACTGTACAATACTAACAGTATTAAATAGATTCAATTCCTGTGTTAGCCAGACATTGTTGTAGATGGATTACAAGATACGATAAAATAGCAAAAATTGTTTGGCAATCTTATCAATACTCGACATCTATATCATGGCAAGTTACATTGGCGACAACTGCTTTTACAAGGATGAATTGATGGGTCAATATCCAGACCTTTATCATCAGCTCTAGTCAAATGCATGTCTTGTTTTCAGACCACTGACATTCACATTATTTATTCAATCAGTTCAATCCAAGAGGTTTTGGATACGATGACGACGATATGTTTGGAGGTCCAGCTGGGTTTGGTCGACGGCCATTAAGCGAGTTTGTAAGTGGTATTAATAGTGACTGGATTCATTGCAGACTTTGGAGATGAGCTGCTAGTGTCATGCTTGCAGCTCAGGACCATCAACCTGTTATTTAAAGTTGACTGAACCGCTTACATTGGCCTTGCCACTTGGACTTTTTGAATGAATAGAAGGAAGTTTATCGATGCTTCTCTATTGCGATGCTGCCTGGAAACGACAAAAAGAGTGCCAATTATGGTGGCAAGGGTACGATTGTGCTATAATGATCGACCAGTCGGTTATAATTCTGCTGATAGATCTGCATATCACTAATTACACCATTGCTGCTTTAACCCTAGTTTTCATGCCACCGTCTGCCTTGGCTAAACTATGTATTGTAATTTGAACGACTATTGATTGCAGATAACCCTTTTAGTAATGGCATTCCTAATCTCGCTCTATGATATATCGATCCCATACAATTAGCAAGTCTACATATTGAGTATCCCATGATATTTGAAATCAAGAACAACTCTCTACCCAACAAGACGCATGCAGGTGTTTTGGAGTTTATTGCTGAAGAAGGGCGTGTATATATTCCAAATTGGGTAAAGACTTTATGCTAGAATACAGTTTAGTAGAGTATCATTGACAAACCTTGTTGATTTAGATGATGCAAACCTTGCTACTACAAGAAGGACAGTTGGTTCAAATGAGAAGTACTTCTCTCCCATTGGGAAAATTCGTTAAAATCCAACCTCAATCTGTAGCATTTCTAGACATCACCGATCCAAAAGCAGTTCTTGAACAAGCATTTCGATCCTTCACGACACTGACTCAAGGAGACATCATCTCTATCAATTATAATGACAAGCTATATGATATTTTACTAATGGAAACTAAACCAGACGGCAACGGTATTTCCATCATTGAGACAGATCTAGAGGTAAATCGATGACATAAACAACTGTTTGATTGGGTCAGTACGGCTCATCAAGTGCATGACTTACAGGTAGACTTTGCTGCTCCGTTAGGATACGTTGATCCTGAACCAGTTCGTCGAGGTCCCGTGAACAAGGTAATTCCACGAGGCTTATTTTCAACTCACAAATTACATTTGCATATTCGTATTGATACCAAGTAATAACGCAATTGTTGATTGATCAGACTGCTACGAGTATAGAAGCACATACATTCAAGGGATCTGATCCGTTTTGTGCTTTTTTTGGTGGGGGTCTACGACTCAATGGCAAAGAAAACTCAGTCTCGTATGTGTATTTAAACCTTTGATGTCTGTAGGCTTTGATAATTGTAAATGCTGACACTATGCTTTTACACTGAAAGCAACGAGTCCGTGACTACTGCAACAGCATTGAAAGATCAAGCCCTTGCTCCTGCGGCTCTCCGGCTTCCACCAGGAAAACTTTTTTTTGGCTATCCAGTTATTCCAGTTAAATCCAAAGATAGTGAAGACTCTAAAGATGGTGCAAAGGTAATACACATCCTTACCAATTACAACATGATTTGTATCTGATGGCTATTTACTTCATATTTAGGACAAGGTAAAGTTTACAGGCGCTGGTCAGACACTTCGAGCAGCACGAGCTAGTGCACGGACTACTGCACAGAACAGCAAAACGTCCTTGGAAACTTTAGATACAGGTTCAAGTAGTCGTAAATGATTTGCTTTGTAATAGCAGAGCGTTATTGAGCGTTAATATGGCACTTGAACATGAATAACAGCAATATTTGAATCTATCCATTATATTTTTTGAATGCATGGCTAGTATATACGGTAGTGGTGTATAAAGAGCACTGTAAAACACTGCTTTTGTTTAATAATGCCAAAACGCGTAGCAGATTAAAGCCATATAATTTCGTATCGAGTAGCGTTTTTTGTGTTTTGAAACCAGCACTGACAAACAACTCTACTTGCAAAATGGCAAACCATGTTTAAAAAGGATTGTATTTTCAAAGACAAACAATGGAAACTATCAGAACCATCACTCATGCTGCCTTGATTGCCTTTACTAGCAGTTTGGATACGAGTCGTATTTATAAATGTAGATTGTGAATTCACAGCCTTAGTAGATGTTGGTATAGTATCTACATGTGGTTTGAAATTCAATGGTGACTATTTTACACCAAGATTGGGCCAAAATGATGCAATATTTTGTATTTACCGCGTATTCTTAGTCTTTTATTATTAAAGAAACATCAGTGCATTTGCCAGTGCATATTGACTTGATCTTATACATGGATACTTGCACATTGTTTGTAAACCATGTGATTTAATTCTTGATTTAATCCTTGATTCAGTCAGAATTGTTGGTGAAATGCCCTACAACTTTAGCTGGCAAGTTATATATTCAATAGACATTTTAAAGCATCGTTGGCTACAGTTTTGCAAAAAAATTGGGTTGTACTGAGCTCCTATATAGTTTACATGAGCGCAGGTTGTCGATTCAAATATTTTAGTGCTGCTGGCTTATCAATTTTTATGTGGTGCATCTATAAGTAGTCAAAATAGCAATCTAGATACCTCTTCTGAAGGTAGCAGGCTTGGATTGCATAGCAGTAGACCCCATGTGTTATGCCATCGATTTTGAGCCTTTTTGAGCTTTACAGCCTCATCGCTTGGTGCAGTAGAAACAGACTGATCTCCATCTTCTGATTGAGTTGGCAAATTAACTTCTATTGGTTCAGGAGCGTCCACTTTTACTACAGAGGCTAGTGCGGTTGGCTCAACAATAATTTTTGTGCTGTGTTCAAGGATATACGAGCACAACTGAGTAATCAGTCGTACTATTTCATATCGCTGTGGATTCATGAGAAGGACGTGTTGAATCGCATCTATGCCTGCTTGTTCGAGCCACACATCATCTGCAAACCATAGTCGGAAAAAGATTAAGCTTTTGGTCTTGACATGCAACTTTTATAGTACTAAAATGACACTATACCTTTGTACGACTCGTCCTTGTTGCATATCTGGATAATAAGTTCTTTGCAGCATTCAGGAATTAGGCCAAGGGGAATATTGCTAATTTTAAGTTTGATGTAATTAGCAAGAAGATCCCCAGTAAGCTTAATTTTCCCCTCTGCCTTGACCTTTTCAAATCCTTCAGCAACTAGAACATCGCGATCTTTTCTTGCACCCGACTGTCTATACCATTTGCCACTTTCCGCAATATCTACATCCAATACGATAATATGTCAATCCAAAGCATTTGATTTTGCTGCATCATAGGCTAATAAAGCTATTTATAATTCAACGGGCTTATATACAGACTCATACCTGCAGGATGCATGCAGTTGCTCATCATATGTTGTGCGGCAAGTTGAATCTCACGAAGCTCACAATCATCTAAGCAGCTTTTTATATGGTCTCGCTGCCCGTACAAAATAGCGAGATGTCTGGCATTAGATACATCCCAAGGCAGCCTAATATTTAATAAAAGTCAAATGTTAAACCAAGATGACAAAATTAAACAATATGTTTATAAATTGAAACCCTTACGCTTCAAGAAACACATTTGCCATGACCATCACTTCACGATAATCGCGTTCCACGCTGTGTTCAAGCTGAATTGGAGTCATGAATGTCAAGACTTGATCGATTGTTTGATCAACTAATATACTCAAGTCCATGTCGATCGAGTGCTGCAAATAACCGTACATTGCTGTTTGAATAAGATTTGAAAAATATTCCGAATCAAAATATCTGGCCTGGTGTTGCTCAAAAGCACTCAGTATATCATAGCACTTTTTTGCAAGCCTTTTTGGCTATATACATGATGATTTGAATAAATTTAGTAAATGAGTATTCAAACCCCATTGGGTACTGCATTTGGCATTTTTAAAATCAATAGGCAGTATATTCAATGGATCGCGCTTTACTGGCAAAATGTCTTTTTTCATGGTAGACTACAAAGAGCTTACCAGATATGTGATGGTAGCAACATGATTGATAAACACGACCAACGATTCCAAAATAATAAAATCAGGTACAGTCGGAGACTCATCGCTCTTTTGTCGTAGTACTGCAAGACTGTAGTCCAATAATTCCTTTGCAAACTATGATATGATCAGTATACATGAATAGTATTACGATTGCAATGTGTATCTACTTCTATTGGCTATTTCAAATAAATTCCACCAAAGAATACGAGATGAACAATCTTTTCAATGCACGTACTATGTTGACTTGGATAGCGTGTTGAGCTTGAACGGTATCGACTGTGTTGATAGAGCTTGATTGTAACGGAGTGACTCTAACCCAATAATGTTTTTGGAGTGTTTTTTGCATACCTGGAATGGAAAGAATGCTGCCTACAATGTACGCGGCCACCCACGGTTCTATAATTTACAATCCATTATACTAAATGAGTACTTGATATCACAAGCGTGCTTCAACTCAGACTTGCATCATGACAGAATCAATATTTTGAATTTTGTAGATTGAATACTTTCAACTCGACCATTTTAATGTTTCTCGAGTTGAAGCTTTTGAATACATACCCATCGCCACCAGGGTCTCCAATGAAGGCATATCGCGTGAATGTCGAGTTGCCAAAAAGGCAGAAACAATTGTTTTATCGTCTTCCTCCAAAGCGCATTCGTCAGCAGCTGGTGCTAGCATGGGCGGGATAGTAAATGGCGAGATTACTTTCATAGCATTGGGTTCGAGATTAAATTGTGGAGTTGGTTGAGCATAATGTGATACAGTGCCAAAATTTAAAGGCATTTTTGGCACTGACGGCTTTGCTAGTTTTTTGTTAAAAAACATGATTAGGTTGAACTAGATTCGATTTGAAATGGAACACCTTGTTGCCAGACACTTGATTATATAGAACGCAGTAAACACGTGACTTGTAGATAAGATTTAGTGCTTACAGCCGTATTTACAAATAAAACACCCGAGTCAAAATATACAAGTAGCCAATCTCATAAAATGATAAATGCCAGTTTACTGGACAAGATTGTGCCTTTCAAACACATTAAACTATACTATTCTTTTGATGATTAAACTAGAATGCAAACGTATCTAATATTTTAGAATGACAATGAGTATCAAACCCAATATCTGGATATTGTACAATGTATGGTTACACCAGAAAAGATGATTTCAGTTCAAATCTATAGCTTGATTGTGTGCATTATATGATGGTTGTGTTTATTAGTATGAAGCTGTATCTTACCACCACCCTCAAACCGCCTCCACCACAATTCTTTGCATAACCAAACTAAAAAGAAAACGGACGGTAGATAATGCATTCAAATAGTACACTGCAAACAAAATTTAATGCTGGGACCAATTAATGGATTTAAGATCGACACCTTCTTGAACCTATACAAGAATACAACAACCAAAATGGAGTGGTAAGTAAAATGCCGACTCATCCTTATTGATTGACAAGTTGGTGGTTGCAAACATGTATTACCATCTCCCATAGCGGGCTCATTTCACGCAGCCGTTCAACATGCTGCAACACCTCGTTAATCGCAAAATCGACCTCTTCGTCAGTTGTAAAGCGGCCAATACCAAATCGAATTGAAGAGTGTGCCATTTCATCATCAGCACCAAGTGCGCGAAGGACATATGAGGGTTCAAGAGATGCAGACGTGCATGCGCTCCCTGAAGACAAAGCAATCGCTTTAAGTGCCATCAAAAGGGACTCGCCTTCAACATAGGCAAATGACAGATTCACGCAGCCTGGATATGTCGAATCAGGATCTCCATTTCGTATAACATTCGGGATTTTGGAAGTTAATGTGTTGATAAGACGGTCAGACATCTTCTTGATGCGTTTGGAGTCGGACTAGAGGCGAGATATATACAAGGTTAAAATCACGTACAACGCATGTGTAAACCCATTATTTAGTAAACAAGTCAAAAATCTCTCGTCAGTCTCCCTGTGAAAATCCGCATGTCGACAATAAAAGATACTTGTATTCAACTTTGATCAATTCGATAAAGCAGGATTGGCGGCTCAATCAAAATTAGACAAGCACACGCACAATACCATACTATACCCAAATGTAAAGTACTCTTTTACAAAAGTCTGTTCTTGGATTTGCAAGATAATATCATCACTCGAGAGAAATTATTATAGCGACTATGCATCACAAGACTGACCTCCATTTCCAACTTTGCGAGTCTGCATGCTTCGCCAAAACCTGCAACAAGAGGAGTGGGAACAGTTCCACTACGAAGACCTCGTTCTTGGCCACCACCTGAAATAAGTGGTTCAAGACGAACACGAGGCCGTCTGCGAACATAAAGTGCTCCAATCCCTATTTTATGCGAATGAAATCAAATACAAAATTAGTATGATCGCGTTTTAAAACAAAGCCAACAATCGCCTGACTTGCCTTTGGGGCCATATATCTTGTGTCCAGAAATTGACATAAGATCAATGTTCATCTCGTTGACATCGATTGGAATCTTTCCAACTGCTTGAGCAGCATCAGTCTACAAACACAAATACTTTAGTGAATCCGTAAAAGCAAATCCAGTTCAATGTGTTGTATTTTGATTTAAATTCAAACTTGAATGTTTGCAAAAACTTACATGGAAAAAAACCTTGTGTTCGCGGCAGATACGTCCAATCTCCTTGATGGGTTGAATAACACCAATTTCATTGTTAACAGTCATTACAGAGACCAAAGCAGTGTCTGGTCGAATAGCGGCTTCCAAAACCTAATTCATTGTTATAGTAGTATAGCAGAACCCACGAAAAAAAGTGGCATGAGTTGAGCTTCAACAATACAAACAGCACTACGGATTCAAAATAATGATTACCTTGAGATCAACAAGGCCATTTGTCTGAACAGGTAAGAATGTAATGTCAAATCCTTCTTCTCCAAGCACACGGCATGAATCCAAAACACATTTGTGTTCAGTTTGAGTAGTGATAATATGTCGTTTCTTGCTCTTGTAAAATCGGGCAACACCTTTAATGGCCAGATTATTAGATTCAGTGGCTCCACTTGTGAAAATGATTTCTTTTGGATCAGCCCCAACCAGACTTGCAATTTCCTAGATTAGTACCAAGATATGCAAGTGATCAGACAACTGAGCAGACATAAAAGTGTGACAGCGTATCCAACTATTTCAGCAACACATGCTGTCATAACAGTTGAACAAACAGCTTACCGCACGACCAGCTTCAACTGCAGCTTCGGATTCCCAGCCAAATTGATGTGTGCGAGAATGAGGGTTTCCATACATTTCTGTAAAATAAGGCATCATCTTGGCAAGAACTCGAGGATCCATTGGTGTAGTAGCCTGATCAAAGCATTCAATAGTTGGTTAGTTTAAAGATAGCGTCAAGATTAGTTTTAAATAGATGGGAACATGATCGATGGCTAGATTCATAGTGAATGATCGCTTGCCTGTACATCCAGATAGATTGGACGAGGAGAAACAGTAGTGGATGTAGAAGTAGCTTTCGCATCCGAAATTCCAACCCCAGGTGCAGATATATTTGAATTGGGGGCGGATTGGTCAGCACAGTTGGTAGAATGAAGCCATTGTTTTTTCTGGTATTGGCATGACGCAATACGGAGCGCAGACATTACAGATGAGCATTGCAACGCATTAGTAGAAAATCCCAATCTTTGACTAAAATATCCTGTACGCTGAATTCTAGCAGTCCTAACAGAAGCAGTCAGTTGTTTAAAAGCGCTTTGTCGCATAGTAGCAGCAGCAGATGTTACTAGCCAATATCGAAAGTGTAAGCAGCCAACCAACAGGAAAGCAATTGAAAAATATTTTGAATTTGGCCAAATTTTAAATGGCCAAATTCAAGATTGGAGGGAATATCAGCTAATTTTGATTTCCAATTTCATCAACAACTGTAGGTTCATGCATTCACACTCTGGCATGTCGTCTTTGCCTGTCTTTAATCAAAGCCATTCTCGTAGCGAGTCAATAAGTAATGGACAAGACTCTAGTAGTGAAAATAGACACACTTCCTCTTTATCTGCTGTTCAATACAGCACAAATACTGCTAGTCGTACTCAAACATTAACGGCTACTCAGACACAAGAGTCCGTGACTACTCAACTAGAAACTGCTGGCGTCTTGCAGTTGGAGGGTAGAGGTCTTGATTCTAGTCAGCGAAGAGTGGCTTGGAACGATGATGTTATTGACAATGAGAACATGAATAAGAAAAAAAGCAAGAGTGAGTCAATCTTTGTAACATCGTTTTCAAGAATTTGTTTTTTCGACCTCGTTAAACCTATATTCCTGTATAGATGACTGCCATGTCTCTAATCCGTCTATATTACCATTCATTTTATATTCATAATATTGATTTTTGGTACATCATTTCAAATCTAGTTTGCTGTATCTATCGCAAGCCTCACCAACCCGATGCATCATCGTCGTCTGACTACTCATCTTTGGACGGAAGTGATCCAGATGAACCCAATGCATATGAAAGACAGTCTAAACCTTCTAAACGCTCCAAAAAGAAGCACAGTCAATCCCATAATGATTGCAATCATGACCACTCGTCAAATAAGGATTGTGATACTCCTTTATATTCATAATTAAACCAACAGTCTAAATAAACTAATTCATAGTTTTGTATTATAAAACTAAATCATAATTGTTGAAATTACAGTTATTCCGATTGATATGTCAACCCTTGAATAGACAACGTTCATATGATGCACACATCAAACTGTAATTTTGAATCCAACCTTTTTCTTTTGGTAAACTATATGCTATACGATCTCCAAACTCATTGATTTCAATTCAGATATTGGGATTGACTATTCTCAAGTTTTGTTGTATTCTAAACTCATACGCTCGCGTTCTAGTTTAGCAAAACATGGATTGTAGAAATATGACTGTTGCTTTCATGCTGGCCATTCAATATTTACTTGTAATAAAGAGTTGGAGACTGAACAAGTGTTGAGAATGTGGAATGTACTAGAACTAATTTAAACATTCGTTTAGTTTTTATCAAGTATTTGAGTACAACTGTAGCTGCCACAAAGCATACATTGAAGGAATATTATTTCAGTGTATTCAATTTGATTTGTTCAACAACTTTTTATATTCTATCACGATCCTGCCAATGGGACTGAAATGCCAGTAAAATTAGGAACAAGTTTCAATTGGAATTTTGGAAACTCTTTAGCAAATTATACCAATTCACCATGTCAGCCAAGCCAGGAAGCATCAAGAGAGCAGCTGCAAGTGATGCCTTTGCTTTTGATTGTTACCATTACAGTGTATATCGATTAACTCTGCTAGAAAAATGTGGCTCATTCCCATCATGCTAATATAACTTGTTGTCCTTGCAATACGACACTGGCTTTTGATATACATCTTGTGCGACCTATTTAGTTTCCGGTCGATCAAACTGCTGAGCATATTCGACATTTGGAGCAAACTATGACTCCAGAAGAACTCAGAAAGTACAAACTGCAGATACTCAGACCTTATCGTACCCGGAATATGGTTCTTTCGATGGGTCTATTTGGCAGTGTTGCAGCAATCTGTAAGCAGTTTGAACTTGATATTTTTATAATCTGGGATGATAGAACTTGTCATGCTGATTTTTTGCTATATGTATATATTTTAGATGCATATACCATGTACAAGATGAGGCCAGACGATTTCAATAAGCTTGAAACTATTGAGAAATTCAAAAACTCTGGAAAATAAAGTGCCAGTCTGATATATTCATGCTGAAACATCAATCTGCTACAAGTTGTTAAAGTAAAAAAGAAGAGTGTGCTGCATATTTAGCAACAAAACAGTTTATCATGATCGAATCAAAGTTCAAGAAGTTGAAACTGTTGCTGATGAAGCGGTAGAAAATAGCTTGAGCAGATCAACCGGATCTATATTCTTGGCTTCTTGAGCATCTCGCAGTTCAAAAGCACGCAACATACGTGCATATGTAGACTCACACGACTCGCCAAGGACATCGCTTGCAATCTGGTAGCGGTGGATTGTATCTTGTAAATGGTGCACCTATTTCAACAGTTTCCAATGGTCAGACTTTACACGTAGCAAATGCTTCATTTAATTCAACAGCCAGCAGAAATAGATTTTGAGCAAATTGAAAAAATAGTCTTACATTTAAAAGCATGTCATTTGTTATTACTTTGGAAAAATCAGAAAGTTCAGTTGAAAGGCTATTTTTCATGACAGATTCAAAACGAGGTGGCATGTAGTTTGCAATTTCTGATGTATCGTATGAGATTATGACATTTTGAGCTTCCGCAGCTTTTAGAATTTCGTGCTCCTTGTTGTGTCGTTCAATCACCGATTTCCACTGATCTTCCTCCAACTGATAACTAAATGAATGTGTTTAAATATCGAATGTTTGGTTAGTATGCTCAGCTGAAGCAATTGTTTGCATCAGTAGTTTGAAATATGCCAATCTTACGCAGCACGTTGCTTCTTGAACAAAATAATATTTGCAGCATGTTCCGTATTTGCAGGATGTGGTAATTTACCCGAGTTGGATTTTACTGTTGCATTTTCTTGAGCCGTCTCAATCCCATCAGTCTAACAAATATTTCACAAGAAATAACAATAGTTAATTCAAGCTTACCATCAGTAGTAGGATCGTATTATTATTTGATGACTCAAAGCATAGTGCAAGATGTAGAAACAACATACCGGACGGTGATACCAAGAAACGTTGATTTCTCTAGAGTGCAACGCAGCAATAATTTCTAATTGAATTTCTCGAACTGTCGTTTAAAATAAAATATGAAATCATTAACCATTGTCCAGTATCTATGCTAAACATTGTATCCCTACTCAAACATCATATTTACCAATTAAATCTACAGATCCACAGCTACTTGACATTCGATTGGGAAGTGTTTGCATTGCTTTTTGTGAGCACCATACAAGCAGCTGTCGCATACGAATTGGGTCAGACTGTTCTGCATCTAGTAAACGATAATATTGCTGGGGTTCAATTGTCTCGTGTGGTAGCCCTATAAGATTAGGATGTGTTTTACAAAACAATAGTTTGAATATACAATGTGAGTTTCAATACATCCGGTCCTGTCAATCGTTATTTGAAACGAGGCATTCAAACAAACACCCAACCGTCTTAAATAATCAATGCAATGGACCAATGTACATATGCGCATGGACGAAATTACCTGTAATACTGCTATCCAATGATGAGATACGCTTTCCACGCAGTCCTAAACTCGATCTACGTCGACGACCACCCTCTTCTCGAAACTTTTTATTCTTGATGATGCGAGGAGTATCTGATGTAGGCATAGGAAAAGTGATGTCCACACAAGTCTCACCACTCGGTAAATGTGTCAACTGGCAGTTGTTTTGAGGCTCTACTGTGGGTTCTCGCTGAACTGGCTGAACATCATTCTTTCTCCTTTTGACTGTAAATACAAAGCCCTTATCTATTGATATGAATAGTAGTAATGATATAAGTAGGTGCAATGACACATGATACTGTTCTGTTTAAACAGGTTAACATGCTTAATCTATTGCAAATAAACTGAGCCTCTACCTGAAAGCACATGCTAGCAAGATTGAGTTGACCAGTTTAATGTCAGGGTTAGGGTTAGCCAATAGCATACAGTCAAGTTGATTTATATGAGTATAGTATCATGCGTGGCTCGTGGTGGTTTCAGTATATAATTGCAATTGATACCTTTTGCATAGTTTCTAGTTGTCCGACTTGAAATGAAAACTACAATTTTACATGTCCAAATCACTCGATTTTAACAACTGGAAATCAATTTTCAATTTTGATTTTGGCTTTCTATTCACACATGGAATCTATTCTATCAACACTGCATGCACTGAATGAAAAGGCATCCAATACTTGTTATAAAAATCATGCTCAACTGACAAAGGTATAATCTGGGATTGACTTTAATACATCAATCCAACTATTGACTAATTGTCTCCAATGATCTTAAGCTTGAATTCAAATGCACACTGTTGCAGTTGCAAATAGATTGTATTGGTTTGGCAAACTTATTTCTCTCATCAAAGAAACCGGACAATGATTTTGTATTATCTGAAATACAAGACATCAGATCTAGGATGGAACAAGGTTTGATACGCTTACATTGAATCTAATAGGATGATTAATACTTATTTTGTAGTGAGTGTCTCCCCACTGTTTCCCGATCATATCTTTTTAGATTGCAACTGCTCGCTACATTGTAATGCATTAGACGTGTCTACTGATGAACAGAATGATGAACAGAAGGGGGAAGATCTGTATGATCAGCATCAACAATTGATACATCAAACTATGGCTGCACAGAAAAGTGTCGAGCAACTTCAAACAGAATTGGATGATATCAACAGGCAAGCATAGTTTATAATTCATCATAAACATACGCCAATATTTATACTAATAAAAATTGCTATTATAACAAATGCTTTTGGCAAGTCATTAGGTTTATGGATGAAGTGTTTCTCATGACGAGTCATTTGCAATAAAAAGCAGATAGTACAAGACAATCCAATTCATTGCGAGACATTCAAATATTATTCATTTGCTCATTTTACTCGCATAACCAACAACCGATATGATTCCAAAGTCCAAGCCATTATATCTAGTCCTGCTTCTTACGTTGAACACCCGACTTGCGTAACTTTTCTTTGTTGTATCTTGACGAGTTGCGTACACGTCGTCGATACTTTTTCCACTTGTGTTTGTTCATTTTTTTACGACGAATCTTGATAATGTTGATATGGCGTGCCAATTGCATAGAATCTTTCTTTATACACGGTAAAGCAATATCTATCTTATCGGATTGTGGTTGCGTAATATGTAAAGTACGACGAAATAACAAAGGCCTTTGGCGACCTCTATCAGTATGGATTGTGGGATGAGAGACGTCAGGACTGGAAAAAGACTCGAAAAAGTGATTCAAAAGTTGTGCATCATCGGTAAACACATTGCCTGACATGTTTCCATTTAATGCAAATGGCTGATCATGCCATGTTACAGCTTCATCAGATTGTGATGGCGGCACAAAAGGAGCAAATGAGTTGAAGATCTTGGCATACTCGTCATCATACCACTCTGCTAAAAGTGCAGTAACAACGCCATTTAGCATGACCCAACAAGATATATAGTTAGCATTCATACAAATGAAATTACAAGAGCTTGTCCACCAATCTGCAGCAATCTCCATGAGAGCCAACACTTTGTATTCATTTGCAGTGGAAATTGTCGAGAAAACGACAATTGAATTGAAAGGAAAAAAACATAAAAGTATTAGATCAAGAGTAATGCTTACCATTATCAATATGAGGAACAGTTCCTGGTTTATGTCTCTGCAGAGTGTGTTGATCAACCACATTCATAGAAAGGGCATGTGCAACATCATCCTCTGCAATCTCTTGATCAGCCGATGATGCTGAAGCCGATGTAGCAGATTGTGAATACAGAGGTTGGAATTCCAGCGGCAAGACAAACTGTGGGGCAAGAGGTCGATGTTGTGAGTAGAACCCAGTTTCTGCTACAGATTCCAACATCATATCATCGCAGCTAGTATGTTTCTGAGTGGTAAGGCCAACGAGAGATTTGGATGAGCGTAGAGGAAGGCCAGAAAACAGACGGTAAGCAACGATCCTGCTGATAAATGAGGAAGTGCATGCAGTAGGAACAACTTTTTTGATTATTGAAAACCTGGATATCATCATGACCATAATTGGTGACTTCTTCCTGTTGATAGGACTAAAAACGTCTGTTCAATACAATAAACGAGTGCACGGACTGGTTGATAGTACAATTACAAAAGTTGGAAAACCATTCAAGTGAATTTACAAATTAGTTTTTGGTTTGTCAGATTCGCATTCTGTATCAATGACACTCTCAATGGAACAGCGACTGGCTACCTTTAATACTCGAGGAAAGTTTGCATGGCCATTCAAGTCTGAAAATACCACTTTAGGATCTTCACTCGATGCATCCACTCATTCCAAGTCCAAGGCTGCTGGTGTATCCAAATCAAAGAGTGCCAACCTTGATCCATCTGATGGTAACATTGAAGTGCCAACAAGCTCTGTACTTGCCAAGCAAGGCCTTATTCATACTCCAACTTCAAAAGATTCCATTCTATTGAAATGCACATATTGTGATAATTGCATACATGGGAATTCCTGGAACAACACACTTGTATCTGTCGGTTCTCAGGACTCTCTTCCACAGTCACCTATCGAGGCCCATTTCATAGATACACCAGCGTGCACTATGGCCAAGATATGGGCCACTTCGTTATTGGTCCGTACATACTGTGATCGAGGAGAGCCTATTCCACCATCCATCCATCCTAACAATGCCTCTATGCTGGCTGCCAGATTAGACACATTCAACAACGATTGGCCATATCAAAGTTCCAAAGGAGCCAACAAAGGTCTTGTTCCAATAAAGGTACTCATGTTGAACCTTGCTTTAGTTTATACCCAACAGTCGGCCATGGCCTGTCTATATGGGAATATAATGGTTTGCTTATGCATGCAACATTCTTTGCTAATCTGAGATGTGCAACCGTGTTGATAGATGGCAGCTGCCGGTTTATTATACTATCCTACATCCGATTCAAAAGACACTGTACTCTGTCCCTATTGCGACTTATCTCTTGATGGCTGGGAGTCGGGAGATTCACCAACGTAAGTCTACAAAAAATGCGTGTTGTACTTGGCAATTATAGCCGGTTTATTCTAAACGCTGTTCACAATGTCAGAAACGAGCACAAGAGACGCAACACTGAATGTCCGTTCTTTACCGTGACACCTTTTGATGAGCTGATCAAGCCACTTGATAAAGTTCAAAGCCGTAGTAAAACCGCTAGGGTTGGTGTCAAAACCGACACGTCTATGGATAGCGAACCATATAAAGTGAAACCCACATACAAAGCTCGGTCCAAGGAATCCGGATCAAGTTCTAAAAAAGACAATGGGTCCAACTCATCTATTTCAGTTGCATCGGAAAATACACTTTTACAAGGGTTGGTAAACACTCTTGCATCTCCTGGTAAACCATCGCGTGGTAAGCGGACTATAGCTTCAAAACCAAAATCTGTCAACAAAGCCAATGGTTTACTACTTCCATCCAGTCCAGGTTCCTTTGTCAATGAGGAAGATGCTGTATCAGGTAAGATGTGTTTTTTAAAAACGACAAGAAACCATGAGTCATGTTGCAGTAAATAGTCGACTTACTCGAGCAAATTTATGTTGACTAGACTTGCAAAATACTGATGAGCAAGAAACACAGGAGATAAAGATCAAATCAAAATCCTATACGACTAAAGAAAAAGAAAAAGAACCTGAAGCAGATTTGATAGAAGATACAGATGATGCCACTCAATATAGGAGCAAGAATACGGTTGCTGATAAATCTGCAAACAAGAAGCGAGAGCGTAAAACCAAGAGCAAAATAACAGTATCCAAAAAAGTTAAACCTGCTGTTGACGAGGTTGAGTCGAGCGAGCCACTACTCGTGCAGGATAAGAATGACAAAGACATTGCAGAGCTGACTGATACCACTCTAAACAATGCTTACATAGGAGCCAACGTCACTTCTGAAGAGAAAAATAATTTGACAAGTATAGTGGTTGGTAGATTTGATGAAGCTATTAGAGATATAAAGATTGATCGTGAAAGGATTGAGCCATCGGATGATTCGGATTTCGATACTGCAGCTGGTCATGGCAAGCCAAAGGCAAAAGCTGTAGCAGCAAAGCGTGTTCGACGTGACAACCCAAATGTATGCATTAAAACCAAGATCGCAGTCAAGGACTCTGATGCTAACACAGATGAAGAAATAGCAGTTGTTTCTCGATTGAGGCCCAGAGTATCCAATTCGATGGCACAGAGCGAGTCATCAATGGCTTCACCTACATCACAATCTAGTGAAGTAGATTCTGAAAAATATTTTGAACCAGCTCCAAAGGCGACAGCTAAAAAAATAAAAAAGGACTCGGCTGTACTTTTACGACAAAAGGCGGTCAAGAAAATTGCAGACGAGTGCATGGATCTACCACTAGGAGAGTTTCTTGCACGGATGCGTGATTTATCTGTTTCCTGGGCACAAGAAACGTATAGTCAGCAATTGGAATTACTTGCATTGACTTTGAAGCTTGAATAAACATGGTTTGATTCATGTATTATGGTAGTAGTCCTATTGCAGCCATATTCATGTAAAATGAAGCACTAAATAAAGGCGTCGAATTACATAATAAAAGTCTCGAGTAGTGTGTCAGCATCAGATCAAACACAACATCTGGGTTGCAATGTATACATCTGATTTTAAGCTTGTTGATCGTATAACGTATGGTCATGTCAAAAGTAGAGAAAGGGAGGTTTAAAAATAGTGTCAATCTAAAACTATAATTTAACTTACATCATATAATGGATGCTGTGTTGATTGAAGAGTCGAGAATGTTTAAAGTCAATTTGTAGTAACAGACATTTAACCATCGTTTTTCAAAGCAATTATTGCAAGTAAATACAAATGGCTGTAAGTTTGGGCTAGGGTAGAATTTAGAGTTTAGCCATCAAATGCACACGTATTACCCTTTAGCCTAAGCACAAAATTTCAAACAAAACGGCAAAGCCAACAGATATGCGATCACCACTCGATTTTCATTTATTATTTAGGACTTATCCATCAATTGATAACCGCTTTCGAATACAACAGTAGGTGGGTTACCAAATTGTAGTATGCTCTCATTGTACTGTGTTTACCAAGAAATATAGAATGTGAAATAGCAGCCAAGGGTTAGTTCAACCTGCAGGTTTGCAGCAACCTAATCGGCCCCATCATCTTTTGCTGTTTGGTTGCAAATGATTCGAGACATGCGGGCTCCTCATTAAGCATTGCTGCCATAGAGATAACAGACACGAAACATTCGGGTCTCAGCAATTGAGGGTACTACCGAATATGGAGCAAGACAGGGTGAATGATGCTAAGCTGTATGGATTGGACATGGCTAGCACTTTGTAGGAATAACCATCTCGATTCATCCACCATGTTATTTCGACTCTGATTTTGTAAAATCAAAGCTTTTACCGAGGGGTCATCACTTGAACAATCAATTTGGCTGTTGCCATTTACGTTTGGATATACTCTAGATTGGCTTGACTATCCACAATTCTCCACTTGACCTCTACCACCGAGTATGCATTTGCTTTTGAGGACACTACAAAGCTCTGTAGCCAGTAATGGAGTTGTTATAGATGTATTAGAGAATCAGCCTCTAATGCATAGGCTTGTTTGTATGAGAGTGATTGTTCAGGCTATGCATATCTCTAGCAACATCTTGCAAACTTCTTAAAACCATCCAGTTGCTATATTAGTTTGCTGATTTGTTCACACCTTTATTGTTGGTGTTTTCACGGGATTGTTTATGACATGCGGCAACCTGGCTGATTCCGCGAATTTCACATTTCAATCCTCGCTGTCTAGTCAATAATGGTGCAAAAAACTGCAACTGATTTTGTCACAATTTGATGTCGTGTTTTGCTGGATTTGTAGGCTTGAGCTACTGAAAGGTGCCAGCCAAGCGCACGACTGACACTACTTGTTGGATGCGCATCTTGTGTTTTGAGTTGTCAGCGAATCTTCACTTTTGGGAGGTGGCGCTGTCTTGTTATTCCCTTGAACCTGATAGTCTTATTCGACTTGTTTTTTGTCTACCAACCTATTTTCAACTATCCTTCGTTGCTGATGTATGTATATTTTGCTCCGATTTAAAATTATTGCATTCCCCATGAATGCACATTCCTTCGAGCCTGCCCATCCATTCCCTTGAAGTCTTGACTGCCGAGTGGGTTACAAAGTATGGCGTTTTAGTTTACGTTTTTGGCTGCATAGTAGTGTGCATACAGCTCGTGTATCTCTAGTATATCGATTGTGCTGCAGACACTTCAACTTTTCAACTCTAAACTCTTGTTTCTTGTAGCCATTTGTTTGATCTGATTTGCCTAAGCTAACTATTGTGTTTTCTTGTGCTTGCTGCCATGAATCCAAAATATGGGCTTTAGACCACTTGGAACAGTTGACGTTTCCTTGCTGCTTTGAAATTAAAAGAGACTTATATATATTGGAACAGAATGGGTTGTGGAAGCAGTAGCGAACTCCAAGAGAATAGCAAGCGTAATGCACAAATCGAGAATACTATCAAAAAAGACATGGAGAATTTGCGCAACGAAGTCAAGCTTCTCTTGCTCGGTATGCTTTTTGGATGATTGACTATTGATGAAGGGCATTTACTCTGATGATTAATTGTACAATATTCAACTTGTAATATAGGTGCTGGTGAGTCTGGCAAGAGCACCATTCTCAAGCAAATGAATCTGATTCATGGCAGTGGCTACTCACGATATGAGCGAGAGAGCTACAAGGAAATTATCTTTTCAAACACCATCCAGTCAATGCGTGCCGTTTTGGAAGCTCAGCGTATGCTGCAGATTCCCTTTTCTAATCCTCGCTCAAACTCTTTCAAGGCCATTCTTGATCGTCTGCCACACCAAGTTGAGGTGGATGCCATGTCTCCAGAAATCGCCCAAGCAATCAAATGTCTGTACATGGATCATGGTGTTCGATCCTGTATTGAGCGTTCTCGCGAGTTTCAACTCAACGACTCTGCACAATAGTAAGTTTGGGTTTTGTCGGATTGTTTTGAATATAATGCGATAAAAGTGAATCAGTTGCTAATCTGTTTTTATGACGGATGAATGTTTAGTTATTTCGAGTGTATTGATCGTATTTCACAACGTGATTTTATGCCTTCTGACCAAGATGTGCTTCGATCTCGTGTCAAGACCACAGGTATTACTGAGACTACGTTCCATGTCGGAGAACTTACATACCGCATGTTTGATGTCGGTGGTCAACGATCTGAACGAAAGAAGTGGATCCATTGCTTTGAAAATGTGACTGCTATTGTGTTTCTGGTTGCCATTTCTGAATATGATCAGGTCCTGGTAGAAGACGAGACCGTCAATCGTATGCAGGAAGCCTTTGTTTTGTTCGAGTCTATTTGTAATAGCAAGTGGTTTGTGCAAACATCGATTATTTTGTTTTTGAACAAGATTGATCTGTTCAAGGAAAAGCTGGGCAAATCTCCATTGAATAGATACTTTCCTGATTACATTGGTGAGTTGATGTTGGATTGCTGTTATTGCTAATCAGGGTTTGCTCACTCCTTTCAATGTCGTGGTCTTGAATTCATAGGCGGATACAGTTATGAAAATGCATGTCAATATCTTTTACACAGACTGCTGTCTTTCCACCGTACACCAAACAAGCAGATCTATCCTCATTTCACATGTGCGACAGACACGTCTCAGGTCAAATTTGTCATGTCTGCTGTCAATGATATTCTTCTTCAGAGTAATCTTCGTGATGCTGGACTAGTGTTGTAAACATCTGCTATTCTGAGTACTGTGCTAAATAGTTTAGCTTAAATTAGAAGCAGGATCTGCTCATCTCCTTTTAACAGCTATTGCTTTCAATCTTTGACGCCTACTGGCGTTTCTATTTTAACTATGAATTCCTTGAATTTTTGCTCTTTTTGTTACCAGTCATATTTTAGAGCCTCAAAACCTCCCATAATTATGACTCTCCTCGTATGAATCAATACTTTAGGATTCTATTTTCAGTTATTTTTATTCTCAATCCTAACCTGCATTTTTATTTGCCCAAGAAACTCTATTTGATCCCATTTTTTGACAATCTGGTTTTTCTACCTGTGCTAGTACTAGGATCCCACTATAATTCTGTGGAATCTAATGTATTGATTCAATTTTGCAGATTGTAAATCCCAGAGTTGACCAATTTAAAATAGGGAATAAATTTGTTTATGAAGCGACTTTAAATTTGTAGACAAGTTTGGATGACACAATATTGCCCAGTAAGATTGGTCAGGGTTATGCACTGAATCCTGTGTAGTGTTTCATTTTACGTGAATATGGTTACAAGTAGGATGATTTAAAAGATGAAGCAATGAAAGCCTAGAGATTTACATTATTTCTAATTGACAAGATGTCGACTAGTAGATTATGATATGGCTCAAATACTTTCAAAGTCGAGCTAATTACCAAAACACGGAAATGTCAAGTTGAGTGACCCAATCATCACTTTTGAGAGTGTTCATTTGGTTTCCAATGAGCAACGGATCCAAAAACAGACACTATTTTTATTTGCTGATTGTCCTATTGTGGAGCAAACTTGAGAATAAACTAGTCACAAGGTGGCATAACAACGATCAAAATGTATTGTGGTTTGATAGAGAGTGGTGATGTCAAGCATTGGCTCCACAAGACGAGTACAATACTTGGCCAGTGTTTCCAAAATAATGAGCATGGAACATGCTGAATTACACATGAAAGGATTAGAAGTGGAGATAAAACGGCTTTAATCCAGAATATCTTATGTAATTGCTTAGTATGGAGGATGGTTCGAATGAAAAGGTAGATATCAAGATTTCCAATAGTATATTACAGTCAACCCATCAACGTAATGAGATACAGTAAATGACAAAAGTAAAATGGAATTCAAGAGAATAACAAGTTAGTTTCTACACGTTGTTGGCTCGACTAGTCAGAAACTTGAATACAAAACTATTGAAATCTGCAATAACGACGCGGTTAGCTCAAATAAGTTGACGGCTGTTCATTATTTTTAGCCACTTTGCGCATCCACGCACTTTGCATCAATTCTAATTTCTACACTACAGCAAAACAGTTACGCTTTTTCATCCATCAGCAAAACTCCTTATTCTTACCCCAACACAAACACACTGTAACCCACTTTTTAATAGACTAGCCGCAAAAGATGGGTTGTGGAATGAGCCAGGAGGACCAAGAGATGCGTCGTAAGAACGATGAAATCGACCAGGCACTCAAAAAGGAAAAGGCCAATCTAAAGAACGAGGTCAAGATGCTGTTGCTGGGTAAGACTTATGCTGTGTTTCTAGTTTTTAAATTGTAAAAGATTCAAATACAGCACTTTGGGGCTTCAAGATATCAACAGTCTCCATATGAACATGATGTCAAATGGAATAGAACAGTCTTGATAAAACAGAAGGGTGACAGGGATGTGTACTGTGCGGCTGTCTATTCTTGTATCAATACCATACGTCAACCCCAGTATATGGATGTATGCTTTCTGCCAGTAAATGCAAGCATGCTGGCCAACATGTATTTCCACTGTTGATGGGCCGTAAGGTCGGGCAAGATTTTATCAGAAGGCGACAGCCAGATACACAGGACGTGCAGTGAATATATATTCATTGACAACTCAACACTACCGTTATAATCCAACAGCAATATTCCAGCCATTGCCCACCTGCTCTAACTCATCAGCTAAATCAACAGTGTTAAAATACAACTGATGTGATGAGGCTTCTGGTCTCGCTCATTCCCTTGGTCCTGCTATACCTGTTGCTGCACCCAACTCTGCAAGCAACTGTTTATGTCTACTCAGATGCACTCCTAACTTGAGCTTCATCTCAAATACTTCATCAACCAGCTGGCGATGAATATGGCTTTTTATTCTGGACAAGACCCTGTTTCATTTCGTGATGTTTGTGGCGGTATTGGTAGGAGGGGTTTGCTTTACATTCAAAGTGTACTGCCGAACATCCTATTAACGATCCAAACCCTACTATAGATTTGGAATCGTGCTGTTTTTCTATAGACCTATCACCCTGCTCCCATCCCATAGAATCTACTGTCCCAGCTTGTATTCATAAATATGTATATTAAGAGAGTATTGGTTATTTCAAAGCCTATCTGCTTTATACCAAAAGTCTTATACAGCCTTGTTGATTCTTTGTATCCCCATAATTTGTTGGCTAGCGTGGTCTTGATTTGGGTATAATGGTGGCAGATTTGAAATGTATTACCAATGTGGAGAATGTGCATCTGCAGTAAGGCTTGGAGAATCTACTGTGTTTGGGACTCTTTGGTTTGAATACTAACAACTACTCTTTGCAGTTGCTTTGATTCTAAACATAGCTTATGCTTAATATCTTGTTTGCTCATATACTGATTTTATTTGCATCTATATTAAAACTTAGGTGCTGGTGAATCTGGCAAAAGCACCATTTTGAAACAGATGACACTGATTCATGGAAGTGGATACAGTCAGCAAGAAAAAGAGGCATTTAAAGAAATCATCTTTTCCAATACTGCACAGTCGCTTCGTGTTATTCTAGAGGCAATGCAAAACATGAACATCGGGCTAGAGATTCCAGCAAACGAGCAACATAGAGCCATTATATTTGATCTCCCGAATCAAATCGAGGCCGAAGATCTTCCCTCTGAAGTCACAACTGCTGTCAAGAATTTATGGACTGATGGAGGTGTTCAAACATGCTTTTCTCGTTCTAGAGAATATCAACTCAACGACTCTGCAAAATAGTATGTATTTGACTTGAAAAGTCTTGTTTGACTGTATCTACTTTACTCACCTTGCTTGATGCATTTTCACCCAATCATTGACTTTCAAATCAAATCAATACCTGACTTGTGGTGGGTTGGTACCATTTTCAATCTGACGAATGAATTTCCAGCTACTTTGAGTCTATTGACCGAATTGGTGCTCCTGGATACATGCCCACAGAACAAGATGTGCTTCGATCTCGTGTCAAGACCACAGGTATTACTGAGACTACGTTCCGTGTCGGAGAACTTACATACCGCATGTTTGATGTTGGTGGTCAACGATCTGAACGAAAGAAGTGGATCCATTGCTTTGAAAATGTGACTGCTATTGTGTTTCTGGTTGCCATTTCTGAATATGATCAGGTCCTGGTAGAAGACGAGACCGTCAACCGTATGCAGGAAGCCTTGACACTGTTTGACTCGATCTGTAACAGTCGTTGGTTTGTGCAAACATCGATTATTTTGTTTTTGAACAAGATTGATCTGTTCAAGGAAAAGTTGCCACGGTCGCCTATGGCCAAGTATTTCCCCGACTTTACTGCTGGAGAAAACTATGAAGCCGCATGCGATTACATGCTCAACCGATTTGTATCTTTGAACCAGTCTGAAAAGAAGCAGATTTACACACATTTTACTTGCGCAACAGATACATCTCAAATCAAGTTTGTCATGGCGGCTGTTAATGACATTATTATCCAAAATAATCTGCGTGATGTTGGATTGATGTAAATCCACTTACAGAAAAGAAAGAATTCAAACAATTTGAACATTCTAGTGCATGATTGCTGTCATTGTGCGTTCATAATTGTTCCTATCGTTTAAACTTTGATCTTCCTTTTATTACACTTCAGACTCTTTCTTTTTGGCATTCACTGCTTTCGTTTCCTTCTGACGATGCTTTGCCTTGGCTCAATCTCTTGGTTACCTTGTTTGTTGTCTTACTCTGTTGGGCAAGCTTCGTTTATAGCCATTTTTAAAGGAAAGTTCCTGAGCATTAAACCTCAAGTTTAAATTTTAAGCTTCCAGCAAGCATTTTACATTTTTATTATTTGAATTGCACAAGAGTGTATGAGTTGATGCATACCAAAGTGGTCTCAGATACAATATAAACCAACACTCTACACTGTTGGCTAAGAGTTTTTCATGATAGTAACAGGATCGAGTACAAGACCATTGCATTGGTTGAAGCTCAAGTTGCATTACTCACGTGGGCAGATGTTCAAGCTAGTCAAGAGCATTGATGCTCAACTCCAACGTTTAGTAAAACTATCGAGTCCAAGTGGAGTTTAATTGCCATTTATAATCCAACTCGAACAGAATATACTTGTTATGCAGGACAGTATTAGTGGAATCTCTTCAGATGAGATCGTTGATAATCCTAAACTATTAGACAATCCATCCAGTTCTAATTCAGCTGTACCAAAAGATGATGTCTTTGGGATTGTCACAACTGCAATAGAGACTCAGACTACTGATTCACTCTTTGTTGAACCCTCAAAGAATTCGTTGCAAAGTCATGACTTTCGTCCTACTACGTTTCATCAGCCAACAAGCTGCGACCTATGCTTCCAGTTTATCTGGGGTGTGTATAAGCAAGGCGAGCAATGTTCAGGTAAATACACTGCCTTGGAAATATAGAATTGATGGGCTGCAGTACGTTATCTAATAAGCTATGGTTTGGGTATACTGTCATCACGACCCAAGAGTGTGCATATGATGTGCATTATGGTTGCAAGGCATTTGTGTCGACAAAATGTTATCCAAAAGGTGCTTTATTTGAACTTGATTCTGCCAAACCATCCAAATCTATTCAACAAAAATCTACTTTGGTTTCTTCAAAACCACCAGCAATTGATTCTACAGAAAGTATCAAATCTCGTCATGTTAGTAGATCGTCGATACAAGAATCCAACACATTGGTGTCAGAGTTGCTGGTCAAGGCTCTACAGGAGTCGGACAAAGCCGAGCAGCAACTTAAAGATTTAAATCCGCCATTGGGTGTAATGACGATGCTCGAGGTCAATTCAAAGTTTGTAGCGAGACAAGGCCCATTGATTTGGATCCAAAACACTGCTACTGACATTATAATGTGGCGTAACCCTGTAACCACAGTTTGGTTTATTCTAGGCTATATCCTTGTTTGTAAGTTGATTGACTTTATTGTAGAATGCTGAAGTTTATTCACGTTCAGCACTGGTTTCAAAATTAACATTTAATGAGCAGGCACATCACCGATACTGTTTTCGATTTTGCCACAGATTGGTATTTTATACGTTATTACTACATCATACCTGGATCGTGTCAAAAAACTATCTATGGGTGAGACCATTCCACCACCAGATACACCTCACAAAATCACCATGACCAACACACAGTATTTGGCTCATCTCCAACACATCCAAAACACCATGCTTAGCATGGTTTCTGCATACGACTCTGGCTATACATTTTACTTGGCCTTGAACTGGTCCGATCCTGACAAAACGAACCGAATGCTATATAGCACACTTGTTTCCATGCTGATTTCTATACTCGTGTTTTCCTTGATACCGTTTCATCAAGTGCTGTTATGGGGTGGAGTGGGACTTTTTGCTGCAAACACTGCCATCATTAAAGCTGCTGGAATAACACTAACCCCCGTGATTTTGGACAAACTACAAAAACAAGTATTGACATTCAAAAAGCATATCCATACTGTTCGACAAACTGAATCGACCACAACCAACATCGAGGTCATTATATTTGAAAACCAGCGTTGGTGGGCAGGTATGACATTGTAATTCGTGTAATGTGCAGATTTATACCAAGATCTTTCAATTCTGTGCTTTGTGTGCACTATGAGCCTGATTCCTAACCTTGTTTTAATTTATAGGAATGGGATTTGTGCCACTTTTACTTCATATTGAACGACCGGCATGGAGTGACGCTACCGGATTACTCCCACTTCCACCCAAAAATGCGTACCAACTTCCCTCTAAAACAGAGACCGTGAAAGTTGATAAAAATGGCCATGAAGTCAGGAAGCAGCAAACATGGAAATGGGTAGATGACACATGGGAAGTGGATATGAAATGGACGCATGTCAATTCAGAAGGATGGCAGTTTTGTAACCAGACGTGGCAAGATCCACGAGCTAAACCCTCACTGGGTTCATTTACTCGTCGTCGTAAATGGATTAGACGTATGCACATGGTTCAGTAAATGTAAACCTTTATAAAGATCCGAGTCTTCAGCAAACTGTAATTTAAATGTAAAAAATGAACTTGGATATGGTTTATAATGTTGATACGAATTAGTTTCGAGGTTTATAACTTGTTTGATTCAATGCAACTCAATGACAGTACAAAAAATGATTGCAATTCATTGCATACGCAGCATATTGACTAGTAACATCTCGATAATTGTTTAGTGTGCGATCGAGATGGCAAGTCAGCTCATGGCAGAAAGTTGTCAAATTCCAACAAAAACAATTTCTCTTATCGATTTTTACATTCAATCCAACCAGCTATTGCACATCCACCTTTGCCTAGCATGACCACACTTGAAGATAAGGCTATTTGGGACAAGGCTACTGAGGACAATGAAGAATTCGCTGATGTTGGCGATGACATCCTGCGTGCCTCTACAGACGAGATAGCTAACCGTACCAAACTTCTTGAAAACGACCTCAAGATTATGAAGTCGGAACAGCTCCGCTTGCACCATGAGCAAAAGGCCATTCAGGAGAAGATTAAAGACAACCAGGAAAAGATTACTTTAAACAAGCAGTTGCCCTATCTGGTCTCCAATATTGTCGAGGTCAGCTACTGGATGTTGTATCAGTTATCCAGTTGTTGGTTTGACCCTGGCTGGGTTTGGGCTAGATTCAATATCGTTTAGCCCGTCTGGATGCAGATACTAGTTGACAAGTCTGTCAATGTCTATAGTTCAGTTTTGTTTTACAACACAATGACTAGTTGACAAACTGTCCTCTAGTGTATCTAATACCCTACATTGTATCAAACGAAAATAATCCTTGAATGATTTACAGTCATATTCACGTAAAATAGGACACTTGGATTCATCCTGCAGTCACTGTTTTACTTTGGAATAGCAAGTGGTTGAATATTTATGTCTTGCTACTGCACATCAACTTGAATACACTCTCGATTCTTGTTTCAAACAATATCCATCATATGGTGCTCACAAACTATAGTTTTGAATCTGTCTTTTTCTCCATTTTTGGTAATCATCCATTGTACGATCACCAGATTCACCCATTGCAATCCAGATACTGGTTTGACTGTTGTCATTCAAACCCCTGTATATTAATATCAGATACGTTTGTGCTCTAGTTCAAGTGAACAGGATTGTAGAAACACAATTGTTGTTTTTATGCCAATCATCAGGAGATTAACCAGTCAGCTTTAACGAGTTTAAAGGACATGATACTGTTCAGTAAACTGACCCATCATCTTATGGAACCGACTGTTTATTGTGTATTTTCACACTATTTAGTGTTTTATTTTACATGAATACGACTGTAAATCATCCTGTCGACTATTTACAGGCTTGCTTAGTGTGATTTGGATCATATCAAGTAAATGGATGCTAACTCTTTTCTATTTGTCTTGTCAACCCTTGCATGCTTGGTTTCTTGATCGTTGTGTGGGTATCTTGATCCTGATATATGGCCGGTATTGAATTCCTCGCGTCCAGATTTTGGATATGGATCCCAATGAAGAGCCCGAAGAAGATGGTGCAAATATCGATCTTGATGCTCATCGCAAAGGAAAGTGTGCTGTTATAAAGACTTCTACTAGACAGGTCAGTTAATCTCGTTCCATTTAAAGTATAGTCTTGATATTGGCATGTCACTAATTTATATATGCAAATGATTGTACTATTCTGTTAGACTATTTTTTTGCCAATGATTGGCCTTGTTGACTCTACCAAACTCAAGCCAGGTGATCTTGTAGGCGTCAACAAAGAATCCTATCTTATCTTGGATACTCTTCCTGCCGAGTGAGTTTTAGTATTTATTTTGCATGCAGAACAAACTATTGTTATTGCAGTTTTTGACCCAAATCATACTGCTGTGAATATAACCAGGTACGATGCTCGTGTCAAGGCAATGGAAGTCGATGAGAAGCCTACAGAAGACTACAACGATGTTGGTGGTCTTGATAAGCAAATTGAAGAAATGGTCGAGGCTATTGTGCTACCCATGACTCAGCGGGACCGATTCGTTAATCTTGGCATTAAACCCCCCAAAGGTGAGCCATTCATGTATATTGGCAAGATTGATGGTCAAGTACATGTGTAATTCCATACTGACTATTACACACTTGAAACGACTCCTTACATTTGGAAACAATAGGATGCCTCATGTATGGACCTCCTGGTACTGGCAAGACACTGCTTGCCCGTGCTTGTGCTGCACAAACTAATGCTTGTTTCTTGAAGCTTGCTGGTCCTCAGCTTGTACAAATGTTTATTGGCGACGGTGCAAAGTTGGTTCGTGACGCATTTAACCTTGCTAAAGAAAAGGCACCTGCCATCATTTTCATTGATGAGATTGATGCCATTGGTACCAAGCGTTTTGACTCTGAAAAATCAGGAGATCGTGAGGTCCAGCGTACCATGTTGGAGCTTCTTAATCAGCTCGATGGTTTCAGCAGTGATGATCGTATCAAGGTAGCAATTCCTTGCATCTATGTGCGTGTATCCTGCATGGTTTGAAGCTTGGTTGTTGACATATTTCTACGTTTGTGCAAAACATTTGTCTAGGTTATTGCTGCCACCAATCGTATTGATATTCTCGATCCTGCGCTTTTGCGTTCTGGTCGTCTGGATAGAAAAATTGAGTTTCCACATCCTAACGAAGAAGCTCGCGCAAGAATCATGCAGATTCACTCGCGTAAAATGACAGTCTCTCCAGACGTCAATTTTGATGAACTGGCGCGATCTTGTGATGAGTTTAATGGTGCCCAATGCAAAGCCATTTGTGTCGAGGCTGGTATGATTGCTCTCCGTCGTGGTGCTTCTGAAATCCAACACGAAGACTTTATGGAAGGTATTCAGGAAGTCCAAGCTAAAAAGAAAACAACACTGCAGTACTATGCATAAAACAAATTTAAACGTTTTTAAAAGTGTCATTGGGGTTGGAGGATTTAAATGATTGCTGCCATATTTGACAATTCTTATTAGCATCAACAGTTTTTACAATCTGATACATTACATACCAAGCTGTTTTTTATTGCAGTTTTTAAATATCAAAAAGTTTCAATACTCTCTAAAGCCTGGATAACATGCTTGATTTTCTGGCAATCGCTAGTCAAACACGAGCAGCAGTTGTCGATTGCTGTAGCAGCATCCGAACACAACCGCTCCACCACAAAATGAGCAGCCGATGCATGTGAGGAAGCAACATTCAAGTCAATCACTGGAATGGAAGAGTCGCGTTTGGATGCATAATATTGACTACAGGTTGTGTCGCCAAGGGTTTGAGCACTATGCCTTTGAGATGCTTCGACTGCAGCTTGGTAAATGAGCTCCATCTGTGTACGGGATAAGATATCAGCGCCGTCGAGCTGTTTGAGAATAAGTCGACGAAGTTCGTTGGGAATGGCGCAGAAACTTGTTGCAGTTGCCAACCTTTTCGTATCAACTCTATGGCAATCATTTTGATACGCTGTACCGTTGGCATCCACACAATTTTGATTTAACCCAGCAGGACGTGCAGGAAGTAGTACACTAGCATAGTTCAGTAGCCGTTTTGCAACAATCGGTACTAGTCGAGTGTGTGCTTCTTTTGATCCACGTTTAGCAGCCATCCCATACAATTTTTCAGCAGTTTCTAAACATTTTTTTGTGCCAATACCAAACTCGTATGAAATGGCCGTGGAAAGAATGGACAGAACGTGATTCTGTCGAGCGGCTTTTTCAAACCATGCAAGTGCAAGGTAGTCGTTATGTTGGAGGCCAAATCCTTCATGGTAGCAGCGTGCCAAGTTATACTGGGCATGAGGATGCCCACACAACGCGGCCCGAGTATAATACTGAACTGCTTGGTGTGGATTTGCTTCAACTCCAATTCCCTGTTCCAAAAATATACCCAGTACATTTTGGGCATTGATGGATCCATACGAAGCTGCACGCATGTACCATTCGTAAGCTCGCCCGTAGTTTTGTTCAATCCCCATACCGCGCTCAAATAATGTACCGATATTATATATAGCAGCAGCCTCTCGTTTTGCAGCAGCTTTGGTGTACCACTCTAGCCCGATCGCTGTGCTCAACGTGCATCCAGACCCCTCAAGATAAAGATTACCCAAAACATTTTGAGCAGCGGGAAGACCCTGTTGAGCAGCTTGTTTACACCATTGAAAGGCCAATGCGTAGTCCTTTTGTGTGGATATTCCATTGTAGTAGCAAAGTGCAAGACAAAACTGTGCTGCTGCAAGTCCAGACTCTGCAGCAGTTATCAACCATGCTCTTGCCAAACAGTTGTTTTGCCCACATTTGGCACGCCAGTAAGCTGATTCAACGTGATTGATTTTGATGTCGGGTCGTCCATGAGTTTTGAGAAATTCAAGACGACCTTGAGCAAATCCACTGTTGCTGGTTGCAGCTTGTATGTATAATCTAAAGGTTGGATCAATTTATTCAAGTTAGTTAATCAAACCACATTTACGCTCAACAATTTGGGAATTAGGTCAGACTTGTATTGGCTGGTCGAAACTGCATAAAGACGAACCATGCCTGCAGTCTCAATTCGGTAAATATGTACAAAAATACTCGTGAATGGAATTACCTTTCAGCCAAAATGTGATCAACTTGAAGCTCAGCAAGACCAAATTCAAAACAAAATGCCAACAAGGCAGTTGCTTCTGGAAACCCGCCCAAATGCGATTTGAGCAAGTGTCCCAGTCCAGACTTTTTAGGTTTGACTCTTTGATCACCATCAAGCTGAACTTCAGGTCCTGCTTTGACTAGAGTAAATATTGATGCAATCCTTGTTGGTTGAGATGCTTTTCGAACTTGCATAAGCTTTGTAAATGCCAATTGAAAGTGTACAACACTTGATAGTGAATATGAGCTCATGGTTTAATCAAGTGTTAATGTATGTTTAAAAGGTTTGGCCGAGTCAAAATGTAGTATGTTGCTAGAATTGAAAATATGTACGAGGGTGTATGCTATAGGTGCACCACTGGATAGTACAGCAATAATATATAATGAAATGGGGTTTGAAGGGGATGGAATAGCCATCGACTGGGACAAATTTCCGCTTTATATCATTTCGTTTAGCCTACAATCTTATGCAGTTTCAACTTGTTCAGTCCATATAAAAACAACATCAGCTCAGTTTAAAACATTGTACCACCACCACCCCTCACTCAAACAACCACCGACTGTGCCTTCAAACTATTCTAAACGCGACGCGTTTCAGTTGCAATGGTTTCGTTTCAATGGGTTTCAGAGCGTCTGTTTTTGGACACTAGCACAATTGCCATTTATAATGTGCAATGTTTTATTAGATATGATTTATCAATATTTATTAGGTCCACACAGCCCTTATAATGACAGTAATGGTAACAATACTATTGATGGAGAATCTAAAGCATCTTGGTTGCCTTCACATTGAGCCCCACCGAGACTATTATCAAAAGAAAAACAAAAGAGCCGATCAGCACCATCCATTTTTGTTTTTGTGTCAAGACTCGCGGTTTGGTCATTTGATCAAGTCTTGGTAGCTCATGTCTGTTGTATTTGCGCAAAACTCCAACATCGTTGTTGTATGGTTTTAAGTTGGAATGACTCGGATCTGATTCTCCTTGCATCTGTATGGGTGTTTTTGAAATTGAGCATCTACCAAGAGATAAATCCCCCGCAAATCCCGATGAAATACCTAATCTGGTCAGGTGGATGGACTTTAAGGCTGGTTGTAGTGTGCTGGAGTTGGACTGACTGCATACATCAAGGCCCAAGCACTTTTTGGGAAACACTCCTATCAAGCCTGTTGTTTCATTTTTGCCCAAAACCCACTCTGAAACAGTAGTTAGTATTCAGTGGAAATTATGGAATATCGTTTTTCGCATATCCAGTGGTTGTATATATCGTGATAAGCAGGTATACCAAGGTTGAAATACAAGATGAAACAAAATATAAACATGTCAGTATTGACCTTGATTGGTTTTTCCACATTGACTCCACACATTCCTATATACACTATGGTAAACATGCATAACATGGTGATGGATTTAATCTATATTCGTACCATCTTTAAAGTTTCGACTCACAACAATGCGATCTCCAAAAACAATCTGGATCTCATCCGATAACTGTGGCGAATACTCGGCAATTGCATATTGAGCACGCTGTTGATTGCTGGGAACATCGAATTGACTAAAAAGAGGTGATGTTCGAGCAATTTCATTTCCACGAAGATATGCAACAACTGATTTACTAGGTTTTAATGTCGAGGTTGGTCCTGGCTCTGTGCAAGGAATAGAGCATACAGATGTGTTGGGATTTGATAAATTGGGCGGCACAAGTGATGATACTGTTTCGACTTTGAGGTTGTGCACATTCAAATTAGACTGGGTCGAGCATAATGCTGTGATATCAAGTGTTGATTTTTCTTGCTGGAGGTTTTCCGTTACTGGAATAAAGTACAATGAATAAGACATTAATTGCATGTAAGCTTTGTGATATATTGATAGATAAATATACTCGAGAGTCGAACCTTGACTGGCAGTGTCCATAGGAACAATAGAGAGATTGAATTTATTGATTGTCTGTGTAGTGGATTTCAATGCATTTTCCAATAATGGGTCAGTTGTATTGTCTAATTTCTCCAATCCCATTAAATGGCTGCTTGATGCGAGTAGACTGGCTTTATCTACTGTACTATCAACCTGCTTTGGATTGGTTTTGTCCATAAAATGGTTTTATAAAAATACCTATGACTGGTTCTAAATTGATAGTTTGGAAATATTAGGCAATGATATGTATTTCACGTATTCATACTAAATGGTTTTAAAGCAGGCAGCATGAGTATTGAATATTTAGGCTTTTTGTCATGGATCCAAGCCCCACATGCTCCACCACTATATTCACATACAGCCGTATTCACGCAAAATGAAACATTGCTATTGATCTTGTATTGACTCTATCTTGCTCCAGAATAAACAATACATATTCGTTGCTATTGGAAAATGATTGCTTTTTCTATAAATGCTCCAAATTCTCTGGTGTCTGGAATTTTCCGACTATGAAACCATTCCAAACAGTAAAATAATCTTCTGCACAGTTTCAAGAATCGACAGTAAGAGGTTGTGTAATGTAGTTCCAATCCTCGCACTATTTGTTGAACAGTTGGTAAACCATGTCTAATCAGACAGAGAGTTTGTGGAATGGAATGTTGTTCAAAATATATGACAATTTGGAAATATCGCATGCTATTGTTTAGAAAGTCTTGAATGTATTGGAACAGAGATGTGATGTGAACATTTGCTCTGTATTTTTGTACAAGGATGAGCACAAAGAAAGACCAGCGAGTTAAAGAGCTCAAAGGGCACAATGTTGTTCAGTAAGTTTGGCACTAATCAAACATGAGATTGCTTATTATGTATTTTGACTTGGTATCCTATTTTATGTGAATACAGCGATAAAGTAAACTTGGGTGTCGAGTCACGATACGATATCATGCAAGCAAGTCGTGCATGTACAAGCATAGATTGATGGTGTTGCAAGTGTGTTGGTCAACTCATGTATGGTGGTCCCAGTGATGGTGTCAGAGTTGTGACTGTACCGCCAGTATGATACCATCAGAAGCTTGACGAATTGAACATTCAGCGCTTCATGGTCAGTATTGTCAATGTGAATATTGACAATGATTGGGCCTCGTCACGACAGATTGTGTTGTTGTCCACAGTTGCGACATTCATGGATGCAGTACTTGCCGACTGTTTTGATGGCAATACATACGCAACATGTATGCAGTAGTCTATTGACAGCATTACTAGATGATCTGATGCAGATCCGTAAATCTGATTGAATCACAATTTACCGTGTCCATCATAAATTCAGAATCTCACATTTAATCTGAAATTCTCAATGAATATTCATAAACCCAAAACTATTCTAATGAATGATTTATTTCACTTGATGGAGTCCAACATGCACAATACTTTTTAGATTGATTATAGTTGTCGTGGATAGAAATGGTATAGAAACCAACAAGCAAAAAATGCATCAAACTCAGGCGAATTCGTTAAAGTCACGAATACGATACCAGCTTTGAGGATCAGGTTGACGCAGAGACTCACCAACGGTGACAAACTTGAATCCAAATCCACTATATTTTTCAATAATTTTTCGAATACCGAGATGACCATTTTTAACATCCTCATGATTGAGTGTGATGAGCGATTCGACCTCTATATTAGACATGGGAAAGTCACCACGGCCCTGATCAAAACTGGCAAGCATCGCTTCACCTGAATCATCTACATCGCCAATTCTCAAGTCGCCGCTATTCAGATTACTTCCAACAACAATATATCCCATATCCATAAGTTGCCTAATCACTTCCGGACTAGTGTGGCTATAAGGAAGTCGCATGTAGATTGGACTGGCACCAATCACATTTTGAATCATCCAATCATTATTAAGCATTTCAAGAGCAACTTCCTCGGGTGAAATTCCGTTAAGTTTGGAATAAGACAGACTTCCAGATCCAACCTGATGACCTTCGTCACATATTCTTTTTACAATGGCTTGTACTTCGCTGTCGTATAAATTGCTAGTTTTGAATCCACTGACAAAAAATGTTGCTCGAGCACCCAGCTCCTTGAGTACATCAAGAATTTTTGGAACGTTGTGAACATCAGTACCTCCGTCAAACGCCAGAGCAATATGACCACCTAGTCCGCCGGTTTTACGAACCCTACGATAATAGTCGAATTCGGCGGGACTCGAATCGAATTCTGGAAGCTTCGTGATTGGAAGTTTGCAGATACCAAATAGACCTTGACATCCAACACTGCAATGAGCGGTTGTAGTTCCACATTCACCATCACGCGAGCAACAAGATTCTGGTGGACACACTTTGTTGACTCGACGTCCACACGTATTATCATCCGTCAGAGTGAGCGAAGCTTTGATAGCAGGACTAAGATCATTTCCACATTCACCATACAAGGGATCGCATTGGGCCACGCAGTGCGAAACATCCACTCCACAATAGCCGCGGTCGGAACAGCATAACGATCCCTTGCATCTGCCATGTTTTGGTCCACATTTATCAGATTTTAAAACGAGTTCATGCAAGTTTTTACTGGATACTTCTGCACCTTTGTCTTTTTGTTCCCGAGTCTTGCTAGGCTCAGATTCAGTATCAGATTCAGCATCAGATTCAAGATCAGAATCAGCAACAAACTCAGTATCAGATTCAATATCAGATTCAAGATCAGAATCAGTAACAAGCTCGGTATCAAATTCAGTAGCAGGTTCAGTAGCAGGTAGATTCTTCACTGCACAATGACCATATCCGCGTTGACAATTCTTGCCACACGAGTCGGTTTCTCTGTTACAGACTCCGTATTCGGAGCAACATAAATCATCTGGACAAATGGTTTTTGCTTTTGGACCGCACTTCAAGTCACTGGATACAGGCAGATTCAAGATTCCATCGTTGCTTGTAACAAACGGAGCTGATTTGGGTAAAACTAATCATGTATTTACTCGTGAGTATCCCAATCAACAGTATATACAACCATACATATTGTTGTTTTACCTTGAGCGCTACAAACAGCGGCAAACGCCAACACGCCAACTTTAAGCATAAGCATGATGAATTCTATATGCAATCAATCAAAAATCCGTAGTTGAAATGGTTGACTGCGAACAATATCCTGATATTGCGTTGGGGATGATGACCATTTAAATGTGTAAAACACATTGAAACGATCACCCTAAATCCTAACATCGCAATCATTCAAATATCCGAAATAAGCTCGCCCTTTTCAAGATTCCTGAGTACTCAGGTCAAAGCATATTGGCTGCATACACTTAAATAGGGTTTTGATGACCGTTGATAATGAGGGTGTGTGATCAGGGTTCTGGAGTAAGACAATGTCAATCAGCTGTGACAAAGTCGACAGCGGAGATTACCAACGAGTCGAAAACACCAAAATTTACAGTCTAAAATAAGCAATATAGTATAAAGTGATTAGCCAATCATGACAGATTTGCTCAACAAGGATTTGTGGAGTGCAAGATGACACGCCAACTGCCAACCAAGTCATGCAAGCTTAATGACTGCATGTTGTCGGCTGTAAATTAATATTGTTCATATCTATAGCATCTGTTCCTGGACCAACTTATCCCAATCGTCATTTCTTCCATTGTGCTACTGCTGCTGGCTATACTGCCAACAATGGTGCTTTTCTTGGTGTTCCGTGCCGTACAATCTACGAAAATATGGCCAATCATGGAAACTCGTACAAGTTCTATTCTCCTCAACTCAAGTCTACACCACTGTTGTACCGCAATCTGCGCAACATTTACAACTGGATGAGAATCAAAAACATGAGCACGTTTTTTGAAGATGCCAGAGCCGGTTCACTACCCCAATACTCGTTTATTGATCCTGATTGGCTCAAAAACGACAATCATCCTCCAAACAACCTGCATGCTGGCGAGCAATATGTCAAAGACATATACGAAGCCATTCGTGCCGGTCCTCAATGGAAAAACACTGTATTTGTACTGACATATGATGAAAATGGTGGTTTTTACGATCATGTTGCACCACCAACATGTGTTCCTCGACCCGACAATATCAATCCCGACTCGAATGTTGGAGATTTCCAGTTTGACCGTCTTGGTCCTCGTGTACCAACAATCATCATTTCACCATATGTCAGCAAGGGTGCAGTTTATCACTCTGACGACACGAGTCGTTTCTTTGAACACTCGTCGATCCCAGCTACTCTCAAAAAACTATTTAACCTTCCCAACTTCCTTACACCGCGTGATGCAGCAGCTCTTGTATTTGATGATGTTATTTCATTGAGCAAACCACGTACCGACTGTATTCAAACTCTTGCCACTGTATAATGCATTGGGTTATGTAGATTGTCATATACATTTATATTGCATTATGTCAATACGACGTTGTTTTGAATACGACTGTAAAATAAACTTGGGTGTTAAACCACAAGATTATCTCATGCAAGCAAACCATACGAGTGTATTTTGGCAGTGCTACAAGTTTGTTGACCAACTCATGTATGGCAGTATCAGCACAAACTCGACTGATCCAACAGCCATGTATACACATTGTTGTCAGTTACATCGAGTGTTTGTCCAAATAGGTCGATTCAAATGGGTTGCATATAACCGACCAATCCAGCATTCATACATTGTCAAACAACCATAATGCACAATACCACCAAGTGTGCAATTATACCTGCACCGATCAGTCGTTGCACAGTATGCATCAGTCAATGTCAAACATATGTGTGTCTGCAACTAAATTGCAGTCCATGACACATCCACACGATCCAACATGACAAATCATGTATCATGAGTCCGAGATTGATCAAAAACATGATCATGGTAAACACAGCATGTTGTTGCATATCAGACTCGATATATCGAGTGACAGTTGCACACTGGCTGATGGTGCACAGCGTATCAGTCACAATACATGCACGGTATTGCATTGCAGTCATTGGATGACAGTCGTTTGCAATGTGATACCGATCGACATACATCAGCATGGTGTGATGTGACCATAATCATGGTGGAATGTATTGGAGTTGACATTGTGAGTTGACAATCGATACACCATGCACATGACTGGAACATATATATTCGAATGTGGTTTGGTTTGTGTCATATTGATCATGCAATCACATCGGTGCAACGAGTGAGTGAGCTGATGGCGATCTGAACCCATTTCAACAACAAGGGGTTGACAGTCATGGATTTGCTGCATTCAATGTGTGTCGCACACCGTTGTTGACTGTTGACTGTGTATGCAGATCAAGTCATCACCAACCAGATCCAGTGCATACATGATCATTAATAGAATGACTGCCAAGAATATTCGTGTCCGAAAGTTGATTGTGAGTTGGTGGTTTGCAAGAATTGAACACAACCAACATGGTATTGGATACAGCAACCTGATTATAGTTCAAACATATGGTGTGATACAGTGGTTTGTGAAATACAACATCCAGATATTTGTAGTGTTGAACATGACGAATATGTTGTTCGTGTAGCATCATATCAATTGGTAATTTGAAATCAAAGTATTGACCAACGCTTTGCAAGTATTAATGACTGAATCAAAAAGCATAATGGTTCCAAAGAGTCGCTTGCAGCATGTCAAGCAATATCATATCGACACGATACACACATGCATGCCAACATCATCAATGTGTACAACTATGCAATATACAATCAACTGTATTGTATTGGAAATACAAGTGTCAATGTACAATATGATACCATACCAACCAAAACCGTGTACAATGATCAGATATAATGCATGCACATACAAATTTATTGTATTTTATTGTATTCAAGCAAAAATACAATGAACTCGACTGAAACCAGTTCAGATTAGCAATCAAATCAATCGTCTGATTCATCAGATGAATTGTCCGAATCAGATGGGTCGTTTAAATCAGATGGGTCGTTCAAATCAGATGGGTCGTTCAAATCAGATGAATCGTCCGAATCAGATTGACTCGAAAATGATTTGGAAGTGTTCTGTGCACAAGATCCAGAAAAAAAACCCCATGCACTAGAAAAAAGTCGAGAAAAGATTCCCTGCGTACTGGATAATGTTTGAATGGACTGATCTGTTGGCGTTTCATTCGATGACGAGGGCAAACTTTCGTGGTGTTGTGGTTGATCCTGGATTCCACTAGTAGATGCTTGCTCGGATCCTGACTGTTGGCTTGGCACAGAACTGCGAAATGAGTTGACGAGTTCCATAAACCTGGGATCTGATTCCAAAAGTTTCATGTAGTAGTCAACTGGTTGATTCAGATTTTTCCCAAACAGGTGCTCCACAAGTAGTGATTTTATTCCAGTCAATTTCCAATCCATATGACGACATTTGGAGTTTGAATGCTTTTTTACAAGGTCGATAAGAATTCTTGCTTGTTTGTCAAACTCAACTTCAACCATCTTGAATATATCCCTATGCCTTGGAAGACCACTCTTCTGATATTTATCTAAAGACTTGTAATATTTTTCACGTAGCTGGCTTATTATCATTTCCTGGCCCTGTTTTTGAATCTGTAGCATGTCATGCATTATCTTTGCATTGTCATAATCTTTCCCCGTCTTTGCGTATTCTTTAATCAAATCTAGAACCTCTTTTGAAAATTTACTAAAATCAATTGAAGCTGTGACTTGTGCGCTGGGAATGTCCGTTGAGGTGCTAAATTCAGCATTTGTAGTCGAACTGGGAATGTCCGTTGAGGTGCTATATTCAGCATTTGTAGTCGAACTGGGAATGCCGGTTGAAGTGCTATACTCAGCATTTGTAGTCGAACTGGGAAGAATTGGATTGGCTGTAGTAACCGAGCAAGCGACTAAAACTGATGCCAATACAGCGATTGATAATTTCATTTTACTGATTTGCTTAAACAAGTTGTGAACGATTGTCGTTCAACACGTTGGGTTTAGATTGTATTTATATCTATTGTTGGATGGGTAGTATTAGTGTGCTTTTTGAATGACCGTCCTAAGGGACTAGTGTTGTTATCAATTTTAAACTTTAAAGGGACATTCCTTTATGAGGGTTTGTAATCTTGATTAAACCGCTGTTTGTGTATTCAGGTATCGTATGGGTAGTTGATTATGCAGTTTCACTCTTTTATACCCTAAAAACGGCTGGTGAATCAAAACACAGTCGGGTACATATTCAGAATAGTATTACATAGCTATATGTAATGACTTTGACATTCAGCTATTAGCTGATTACCAATGTGTTGTAATATTTTATGCCTTTCAAAATGGCAAGTGATTGGCATGATTCAATATGTCGTGGTTTAGTAATCACTTTGATTAAGCTCGACACAATCAATCATCACTGCACATTACTCGGTAATTCAATCAATCAACTGAATCAATCCAATGCAGTCCATGTTGCAGCCACAATGTCACGTTGATGATCAGTGACTTGCAACTGTTGTGTTGGCATTTCATGTTGTGTGCTATTATATCAACATCGATTATCACTATATAGTTGTATCAACCACACATTATGATCATATGTCATGGTTGACTCGTATTCTGGATTGATGCATTCATTCCACTCCATTACATTGTATCACTCGAGCAACTCGTTGTATGACTCATTGTATATACACTGCAATTTGATCCAGTCACTCAACATTACAACATTGTTGAGCATCAATCAACAACTGCAATCGATATCAAACTACCGTGTACAATCAATTGCAGTCCACACCAGTTATAGTTGATGGCAAATGTCACAGTGTATGTTGATGGTGTTGCATTCGAGTGCATGTCAACCACACACAACTGGTACATGCATGACCAATGACGACACTTGACGACTGCAACGATTGATACCAACCATATCGAGTGAGTTGATATATTGCATTGACATTGGATGCGCGATATGATATACTGTTGCAAGTATATGATGGTTCACACTTTGTTAGTATGTTTGATCATATTGCACCAATTGACCAGTATACGATCACTGGATACATTGCATGTTGATATTTATCACTGCAAGTATATATTGATGATAGTCGTATTGATACAGCCAACACAAACATGTCAACCATGTAAATCTGTTGCATGCATAGGGTCACTTACAATACTACTTGATTATCAATGTCAATGACGTGTCGGACATACTATCCAATGGTTTCAATATACATAGTTTGTAGTTGGACACGATCGGTATTTGTATACACATGCTGTAGTTGTATGCATTGCACTTGCCGAGTTGTGGATTGTGCATTTGTTGGATGCAACTGTTGATATTGATTGGGACGACGATCGATGTTTCCGGTTGTGGTTGTAGTGTATGCTATATCATCAAATGACATGTTATGTGATCATACTGCATACATTACACTAGACAGCAGACTACATGCAAATGATTGATACTGATCATTGCAAGTACACAACAATGTGACAAGTGACTGTCAAATCAAATATGGTTGATATGTTGAATTATGGACAGATTTGTTGTATATACTGGATGTGGATGTGAATACAAAACATCGGCTGATACATATCGTACCATTCAAGACCAAAACAATGTGATGTGACGTCCAATGTCAGTTTGTAGCATGTCAATGGAATATGTGCGAATATGTGCGAATATTAAACATGGGTTTGTGAATACTTTCAGATTTGAAGATCGTGAACATATGATGGCATATTGATGGTTGTCATTATTGGCAAGTGTGTTGCAGTTGATTGAAGATACGAAAGAATGGATCAATATTCGATTATGTTGTTTATTAACAAGGAAGTGAGTGTGTTTATAAAATAGGAGACAAGAAAGTCATGTGAATTCCAGTTCAAACGTCATTGTTGATGGTTTTTGATTGTTAAACTATTCAGAAATGTCTCACATTCACACACTACTAATGTCTCACACAATGCAAGTCAACACTCTCACACTAGTAATGTCTCACATTAATGAGACATTAATTCTGGTGTAAATTTGACTAATTTCCAAATATTTAAATCGTGTGAATTGTCTTGAAATATCCCAAAATTTTGTTATTTTGACTCGATTAAAAAGTCGATTTTTGTTTTACAATTTGACAAATAAATTGCTTTTTTACTCTTTTTCTTTTCATAAAATGCCAAAACGATTCCTCAATGTTGAATATGGCACTATTTCTACTGAAATCGATGTGACTGACTTTGAAGACCCGAGTGACGTTCAGGATGCTATCAAAGCAGAGTATGGTCCTGCTATGGCTGACATTGATGCTCCTCAACTGCAACTCTACACCAACAGTAACAAGGACCAACTAATCAACACCTGAGCCTTATTCAACTCCCTTCCTCAAGAATACTTTACTCAAGATGGTTCTTGTGTTGTCATTGGTGTTTACCCTCCACCTTCAAGACAACCTACTCAAACTGACCTAGTTCCAACATCTGCAGCAGCCTCACCCGCACTACTGGATTTTTGGACTGCTTTCACAAACTACCCTAACCCTCTTGAAGGAAACACTGTTGTCCAACTTCCAGCAGACGTATTCATCCTTGGAAACCATTCAATTGGATCATCCATTTACATCCGTCCTTGTTATCCTAAACTTTTTGAAAAATCACTATCTATTGTGCAATCTGCTGATATACGTCATTTGATCATCCTTGGAAATCTTGGAATTGGCAAGACATATTTTGGTTACTTTTTGCTGTTGCATCTTGCTCGCTCTGGTGCTACAGTCGTGTATGAGAGTGGAGTTGATCAAAAAAGATATCTGCTTACTCCCAATGGTTATTCGAAGGAGGAAAGCATGCTTTTTGGCAAATCTTGGATTCCTCGTCAACATTCTACATTGTTGATGGCTCGGCACCTGTTGATGTTGATGCCAAGACCATTCTTGTTACTTTACCTCGTTGGGAAATTTGGCATCGGTTTTGCAAGGGGTCCTGCGACATTCGGTATATGCCAGTGTGGTCAAAAGAAGAATTGCATTCCTGTCGCTCAATGCTGTTTCCTACAGTCCCACAAGAATTGGTACAAAGTCTGTATTTGAAGTGGGGAGGAATTGCTCGTTATGTTCTTAAATATGCATTGGTAAAAGAACAACAGGATTTTCTCGACAAAGCTTTAAATATTTCCAATATCGATTCAGTTGTCAAGTCTTTTGGTAAATATGGTGAAAACCTAGACGCTTCAAGTTGTTTGATTCATAGATCAGTCAAGGATGGCTTCCACAGTGGTCCTTATCAGTTTGCTTTTGACTATGTGGTTGATGAAATTTACAACCGTGTCTATGCCAGAGACCGAGATCATCTTATCAGATTTGTTTCTGTTACTCGAGAAATTGGTGAAACTGGTCAACTTAATAGGGAATTATTCAAAAAGCACGCTCATACAGTCATCGCTAAAGGTGGTTCATTCAAGATTCGTGATTTACGTACCAAGCTGGAGTCTACACTTCAACTGCCGATGGATCTTAGTACTTTGTTATTGTCCAACAATTCTCAAGTTCAAGACGCAACGAATTGCTATTTCCGTCCCATTAGCAATATTTTTGAATCTGTTGATTCGTTCATCAAGCCAAATCTACTTTTCCAAATGACCGGTGCCAAAGATCATCCTTGCAAACAGACTGGGATTTGTGGTGTTTTGGAAATACTTGGTAATCCGTCAAAACCAGAACTGTATTTTGTTGTACCTCCTGATCGTTTTGCCTGTTTTACACGCCAAAGCTACCACGGAACAGATGGTCAAGTGTTGTCACAAAACGATACTATTGCGAGTGTTAAGAAGTTGACTCGATTTGTTTTGACGTTTAAACCATCTCATCAATAAGGTATGTAGACTAGAATTAATGATTTTTATTGGCTGCATAACGCTAATCCTAACTCTGTTTCTCGACCTCGTTCTACACAACACACGGCGTTTGATTTCTTAAAGGTGAATAATATCGTATGGGTTCCATTGGACAACAAACCTCACTTTGTGGAAATGACCACTTTCATTGTCAGGAACTTCCCAATCGTGTAATTTAATCGCTTTGGTTTTGAAACCTATAGTTTCTTGTAAATAATTGCATATCTCAAGACTGTTTTTCACCATACAGTTTTGAAACTAATATTTTGATTCAAGAACAAACTGCATTTTCCTTTTTCTTTTGCAAATAAAAGTTGTTTTGTTGCTTACAATTATGATCAATCAATTGACTGCCAAACTGTACAGCAGTTTGGTTGACATTGGATTTGTCCGATCAATAGTCTCGGGTTTCAAACTTGAATCAAACTCCCAGCTGACGAAACACTGCAGGGATTGTTACAAGCACAAAAGCAGCTGTTTCAAGAGATGCTGGTATTATACAAGGAGTACCAGAAAGTATACTCTTACAAAGAATTGTTTGCAACTGGATTGAATCAAATAGCCATACGTGATAAACAGCGGGTTGATTCTGGTTTTATTCCCAATCAATGGTATTGAAAAAAACAACCGAGGATGAGCCAGGACCAAGAGTTGGAGGCTAGACACAATTATGAATGGAATATGCTAGAGTATCAAAAAGATGATCAAAGAAAGCGTGAAATTCAACAGATCAGCAATGATGTCCAAATGCATAGTGTAATCAAGCAGATTTGAATCCATTTTGGCATTGCAAGACACAATATCACATTTGGAAGAGTTGATTGGAAATATAAAGACTCGTACTCGATAAACACGTACTTGTCAATGGTTTGATTTTATACTCTATCATTCTTACAACAAGACCCAGCTAAACCCAGTCTGATGTGTATATTAACACTTAGTACTGGTTAAAAACTACCCATTGTATCCAATTCGAGGCATCAAGTATGAGTCTGGCACAAATAGCTCGTATTTATTATGAATTACAAGCAAAGCTATTGACTATTCTACCCTAATACTTTTGACTTGAATTCCTTTCTGCGAATAATTTATGTTTTGACAACTTTGTACATGATTTAGCAGTAAGTGTCGGTTAAAAAGCTGGTATCATCGGGTGTTCTATCTATACTACTTTCAATCGATCGAATGTCAATATGTTTGTACAACAGTTTGGTACAACTGACTGTCCATGGATTATTATCACATGGGTCAATACTGACCTGATTTGCGATATTCAGTGTTGTTGGAATATCAACACAACATCAACACCAAACATCAGATTGACACTGCACGTTGATGTTGATGAATGCAACATGAATATTGAAACAATGCATCATAATGCGTACAAGTCGCAGATTGCAGTTCAAACTCAATGCAAAGTGCACATTGTTACAGTTTGGTCATGAACAAAGCGATACGCACAATGTGCAGTTCATGTCTACGACTCGACTGATTGGTAGACAACGACCATTTGCATTGTTGAACAGTAAACTGAACAGTAAATGACCATCAAACGCATGGCTTGGTATCGACATTCAAGCAATCACCATGATTGTAATATTTGCAAGTTTCCCACAAGTTGTTTACAAACGACCATCAATTGACAATGACATGCATGTGCATGTGCATGGTTGACTATACAATATACTACATGAACCAATATTACTGACTGAATACAAGTCACAACTGCAAGTATCCATGTGGCAATGAACTGACATTGGTGTTGATATCGAATTGATTGACTAATCGATCATCATCAATTGCATCAGTGATTGGTATATGCAGCTGATATACACCATGTCCGAGTTTGATACATGTCGATATATGCGTGTCAATCAGCAATGCATATTTGTGGTCATTACAGTCGAATGTGAGTCGAGTCGATCATTAAACCAACAAATCAATGATTGCAGTCTAAATGTGGTGCGATTTGATGCAACATGACAATATATTATCCAGCAGGTTCAACATACACAACACCGATATCCAATACATCACACATGAATACAATGCATATACAAGCAGTAGCAATGACCAACTCAAACCAACAGTGACAGAGTTACTCATCAACATATACTCGATTATCAGTCGAGTCTGCATATATCAACTAGTTGCAACACGTCATAATCAATGTGGATTGTATTGTTCACCAATCGATCATGACAGCTAATCAATACCAATCATGTAGTCAATACAATCACCAACATATCGATGCTTGTTGATTGGCGGTTACAACTCGTCAATTGCATCCAATGTTACAGGTGATGCACATCTGATTACTGCAAATCAACAACTTGTCAAGCATATCATAGTGTGTATTGCCAACGGACCATGCAATTACAAATCAATGTATACGTGATCAGCATTTGATATTTGATGGTGATGAACCAACCATGATTGATTGTATCATGTAACTAATACAGTTGCATTGTCTGGTATGTATGATCGACCCAGTCATGTCAAACAGTAACTAATGTGTGTATATCAAGTTTGAGTTGCATGGACACATCAAGGTGTTTGATAACGAGTCCAACGTGATGATACAAACCCAATATTATATGAATATCCAAGTTGATGAATCAAGTCGAGGTTTGCAAAGTGTCAATGTCAGGTCAATCAAACGAACCAGTCAACCATTATATTGTGACTAGTGATGGCACGGTTTGAATGTCAACGAGTTGAACAGTCGACAATATTGGATGATTGTGATTTGGTCAAACTGCAACACTTGCATACCACTGAATTGGTTTGATGTGTGTGGTGTAAGCAGTATGCATAAACTCGTTGATATCATGGACTATAACCAATATACACCACACATATACAGTGGTAAACATCAACGTGTGGTGTGTCCAGTGATCGTATATTGGTCGATTGGTGCAATATGATCATGTCACATACTATTATATTGGTGACAATGTGTTGTTGAACAGATGAGGTCCAGAGTGTTTGCAACATAAATGGAGTGGATGTACAGCATTTATTGTGTACCATCATGTAATGATATCACCTGTAATATATTGTGTAGCGGCATTATAGTGCGACAATATACTCTGGTCACTAACCCTGATATCAGGGTTTAAATCAAGCAATGGGCAATTGTATAAAGGGGATCCCTTTAAAGTTATGTTGACATTCATAACAGCAAATCAATGCTAACCCCGACAACACAAATCCCTTAGGACGGTCATTCAAGGAATATGCTTTTAATATTATCAATCTAATAATGTATACAAATACGACACCAAACCGACGTATTGAGCAACAATCATTACAACTTGCCTAACCAAACCAATACAATGAAACTATCAATTGCCGTACTGTCATCAATCCTTGCTGTCTGTTCGGTTACGATTGCCAATCCAGTTGATCCCAGTTCGACCATGAGTGCTGAAGCTAGCACTCCGACAGCCTCTTCAAGCGGAGCTTCAGCTGGTGAAGTTCTCCGTGCGCTTTCTCCTAGCACAAATGTACTTGGGGGATATTGCGATCGACTCGATACTACTGAACTGTCGTTGATGGAAGAAATTGCAAAAGCTCGGGTTAAATCTGTAAAAGCGTTTAAACTACTTGAAGATAGACGTTTTGAGCTTGTTATTCAAACAGGACTGCTTACTAAAGAGAGGGAAGACCTCGAAAATATGATTCAAGCTCCGAGTCGGAAATTGAGTTCTGCTCAAGACAACTATGAGGAGTCTCGTCAACGTTGTATAAGACTTCAATATACTGTAGAGGATTACGTTTCGAGACTTTCGGATAGGACGGAGGAAAGTAAAGAGTTGGCAAAAAAACTTACAAGCCATTCTTCGTTTGGAGTAACACCGGATGGTGATGATGGTCAACCAAAATCATTTTACGTATATCAGGATTGCTTCAAGTATTTCTACAATCGCTTATCACAGTGATTGCCACAATTCGAGCATGGTGCAACTTTCCAAGATTCTGGTGTTCAACAACAACCTTCTCAATCATAGACTCGTCATATTGTTGCAACTCAAAATGGACCATCATCCAGGATATGTTGTAATGCAGCGTATATTGCATGTTGGTTTAATTGTCATTTGTCATATACTCGATGTCGTTCATTCAATAAACATCCTGTATTGCCAAACCATAGTGTATTATATTTATGGTTTGATCATATTGCACCAATCAATTACCATGCATTGTATTGATTACTGCAGTGTCATTGCTGAATCCATGCGATTGTGTATATTTGTCATTTGGGGTTACCAGTCAACCCATTCCATTTGACACCAACTCATTGGTACCACTGGACTATTTGATCCAAATGATACGAATGATCCGGTTGGTTTTGATAATTTGACAGTATCCACAAACCCATGTTTAATATTCGCACATATTCGCACATATTCCATTGACATACTACAGACTGACATTGAACGTCACATCACATTGTTTTTATTAATGAGTATAGGTTTTTATTGTAAAAGTAAAACAAACTGAAAGATACGAGTCTTTCAATATGTATAATGTAATGTAATTTGCTGCTATACAAAAGATTGGTCAAAAGAGAGCTTGGACGATAATCAGGAAGTTGTCAAATGAGTTGAATCAACAAAATAGATATGAGATTAATAAATAGTTTCAGAGTTATTTGAGAGACTATTTTTATTTGATCTTGGATAAATTAGGGAGTGTGCAATGCAAGTACTAGTGCTTGCTTGTTAATGATTAAAGCTTAGAGATATCCTGCTTGGGTATTACAACAGATACACACTAATCATTTGAACTGTACGTAAACGGTCAATGTCGGATTGCTTTAACATCAGAAAGTTTAAATTTATTCAAAATCAAATTTATTGGCACATCATCAATCTGAATCTGCTTTCGGTTCTTGAAATTCTAAACCATGCTTTTCCGTAAACTTTTTCAATTCTTGTCTGGCACCGTATACTTTATTCCTTGCCGCTACATACTCTTGTTTCAATCGGATTTCATCCTCTGGACTGTGCCTTGGTTCGGATATATCTTTGCCCATTGCTAACGCCGACCATTTCCTGTATCCAAAAGTCATAAATTTATGATATTCTTGGCGTTTTTTGTTTCGTATTTCTATAGATGACGCGAGTCTTTTTCTCATGCGATCAAAGGTTTTCTGATATTTTTCGTTCAATATAATCATTCGACTTGAACTAGTACTGGAAGAATCAGCTTCGTTCATTGGTTGTTGCTGGTCTTGGTTGGAAGTGCTTGAATTAATTATATCCATTATTTCCTGCCAGTCTTCGTCGGGAATTTGTGGAATAGGCTCATTGATTGAACCAGATACTTGGTTGAAAATGTCTGAACTGAGCTCATCAATTGGTTGCTGTTGGTCTTGGTTGGGTTTTTTTGAATGAATTATATCCATTATTTCTTGCCAGTCTTCGTCAGGAATTTGTGGAATAGGCTCATTGGTTGAACCAGACACTTGACTGGAAGTGCCTGAACTGGATTCATCCATTGGTTGTTGTTGGTCTTGACTGAAAATGCTTAAATCAAGCTCATCCATTACTTCTTGCCAGTCGTCGGAAGTGTCTGGATTAGGTTCATCAGTTGGACCAGACACTTGACTGGAAGTGCCTGATGCTTGTGGTGAACCATTGTTATCAGTCGGTATCAATATTGCATTAGCGGTTGCTGCCGCACTCAGCACGAATAGAATATCAACCAATCTCATCAGACTGGTCAATGGGTTTAAACGATTAATACAAAAGTAGAGTGTCGAGATTGGTGTCGATTATAAAACTGAGCGTAATCGATTGTATTTGTATGTTTTGTATAGCAAACCAACCCTAACCCTTATAGGTTAACCAATTATACAGGGTTACTTGATTGCTTGTAGTGGTTTACTATCAAACCATAGTATGCTGCTCCCTAGCCATAATATCATATTGATCAATTTGATGATCGTGTCGATTGAATTATGCTTTTACGACCCTTTGATCAGGTATATTGAAAAGCACACCCTTCATGAGTGTTGTTTAACCGCAAACGCTTTGTTTTACAACCGTATTCATGTAAAATGGATCACTTTGATATTCATCATGCAATATACAATGATTACATATACAATGGTTACTACACATTGACTGTATTGCGTGTTTGATATACAACGATCATAATATGACACACAATCAGACTATAATGTTGAATCTACACCTTGTGCACTCTTAGTAATCATACATTGTATGGTCACCAAGTTTGAACCCATATTCATGTATTGTGTTTGACTGTCAATATTGTCAATACAACTCTGTAAACACATTTGTTGTATTCTGAATCACGGATACGATCGCAATCTAATTCAACAACAATCATGACACATGTCAGTAATGCAACTGTCTATTACACACCAACACTGTTATTTAGTGGTCCATTTGTCAGAATATTTCGAGCTTCGTGATTTGTTTTGTATGTAGAATAGTATAATGTAAAAAAGTAGAATATAATCTGTAACTGTTAGTAGTTATCAGAAGAGAACAAATCAGAAGTGTAAGAGGAAGTTGCACTTTAAATCAAGACCAGCAAACTTAGTCTTTTCAAGAGTAGTGAAAAGGTGTGATAAAGTAGTTGGACAGATGAAATAGTTTGAAGAGTTATTTATTGATAAGAGTAAGCATTCTAGCTTTTATAGTAGTTGATTGTTTGTGTCTTGTGATACGAACAATTAACACGTTTGATGATGAGAGGTTGTAAACGAGAGTTACAACCAATAGTGTTGATTTCTGGAGTTAGTAAATTTAATAATGGCATCGTCTACCCGTTTATAGAGAGCTCGAGTCCTAGAAATGAGTGTAATGGAGTTACTGTGCACATGGATTTTTGGTGATGAAAGGATTTAACTTGTGTTTAAGTTTGGCGCTTTTTAGAACTAGCTTTGCCACAGGTTACCGCTTAAGAGTATCCGTCTGGATATTCCAACAATATTGTAATGACATTGGATGCGCGATATGATATACTGTTGCAAGTATATGATGGTTCACACTTTGTTAGTATGTTTGATCATATTGCACCAATTGACCAGTATACGATCACTGGATACATTGCATGTTGATATTTATCACTGCAAGTATATATTGATGATAGTCGTATTGATACAGCCAACACAAACATGTCAACCATGTAAATCTGTTGCATGCATAGGGTCACTTACAATACTACTTGATTATCAATGTCAATGACGTGTCGGACATACTATCCAATGGTTTCAATATACATAGCTTATAGTTGGACACGATCGGTATTTGTATACACATGCTGTAGTTGTATGCATTGCACTTGCCGAGTTGTGGATTGTGCATTTGTTTGATGCAACTGTTGATATTGATTGGGACGACGATCGATGTTTCCGGTTGTGGTTGTGGTGTATGCTATATGACCAGATGACATGTTATGTGATCATACTGCATACATTACACTAGACAGCAGACTACATGCAAATGATTGATACTGATCATTGCAAGTACACAACAATGTGACAAGTGACTGTCAAATCAAATATGGTTGATATGTTGAATTATGGACAGATTTGTTGTATATACTGGATGTGGATGTGAATACAAAACATCGGCTGATACATATCGTACCATTCAAGACCAAAACAATGTGATGTGACGTCCAATGTCAGTTTGTAGCATGTCAATGGAATATGTGCGAATATGTGCGAATATTAAACATGAGTTTGTGGATACTGTCAAATTGTCAAATTATCAAAACGAGCCGAATCATTCGTATCAAATAGTATAGTGATACCAATGAGTTGGTGTCAAATGGAATGGGTTGACTGGTAACCCCAAATGACAAATATACACAATTGCATGGATTCAGCAGTGACACTGCAGTAATCAATACAATGCATGGTAGTTGATTGGTGCAATATGATCAAGTCATTAATATAATACACTATTGTTTGGCAATACACGATGTTTATTGAATGAACGACATCGAGTATATGACAAATGACAATTAAACCAACATGCAATATACGCTGCATTACAACATATCCTGGATGATGGTCCATTTTGAGTTGCAACAATATGACGAGTCTATGATTGAGAAGGTTGTTGTTGAACACCAGAATCTTGAAAAGTTTCACATGCTCGGATTGTAGCAATCATTGTGATGATCCATCGTAGAAAACACCAAAGCATTTCATGAATTCGGGATATAGCTCCAGGTTTGGCGCACCAGTGACTATTACTCCAGTTGTACCATGTTTCACGAGATAACCATAAAGTTTCGATTGTAACTCGGTCCATTCTTTACGCACTTTTAAATGGATCTCATATAATTCACTCAACTCTTCTTCAAGATTTTTAAGAGTGGTATGGCTGGTTTCAATACCAGATTGAGTTTGAAAGATATTTAGTTCATAATTTGGAACGCTCTGATTTGTTGAAGTTGGATGTCCTTGCAAAAGTCTAAGTGATCTCCTTTGCTCGTCCAACAATTCTTTTTGCTCTTCAACCCTGGACTCTTTTAAATCGATTTCTTCAGCTTCTTGATTGAGCTTATGTTTGACATCTGCGTACTGTTTGATCAGTACTATTTCGTTCAGCGTAAATGGATGACAGTCAGACAGATATTGATGATATAGACCAGGAAATAAGGTGGAAGTAGGCTCGATACTTGTGGTCGAGCTGGGATCAACTGGATTGGAAACGGTGACCGAGCAGATAGCAAGGATTGATGACAGTACGGCAATTGATAGTTTCATTTTACTAGTTTGGTTGAGCAAGTTGTAATGATTGCCATTCGACACGTCGGTTTGGTGTCGTATTTATATCCGTCGAGTGGATAATATTAAGCATGTTACTCGGATGGTTATTTTGAGCAATCAATGTTGTTGTCAGGGTTGGTATTGATGTTATCAATGTCAAACTTTGAAAGAGTCTCCCTTTACATGATAATCCGCAATCTTGGCTAAACTATTGCATAAAAAAGTGTATATATTCATGTTGGGAATAGGCAGCCAAAGAGTGTAATGACAGTTGAGAAGTAATAAGGCTGATTGTTTATTAGTTATAGAATAGCTAATCTCTTAGTTGATATGATGTACGCTATTACTCACATCATTTAACTTGATTTCATATGAATTCTAGTAGTTCCATAATGCAACATGTTAGTGATGGATTGTCAAAGCAATACGCCCTTAATGATAGGCTTTCACATTACAACGTATTCTCAATAAACACTGATAAAAAACTAGGGCACTCAATTAAACATCTTGAACGCCAGAATCCTCGATTTTGATACTGCTTGTGTATTCAAATATCATATAGTTGATTGATTATGCAGTTTCCCGCCCTTTTGAGTCCTGAAAAGGGTTGGTGAGATACAGCCTGGGAGATCAGTGCATGTTCAAATAATATCGCATAGCCTATGTAATATGGCTTGACACTCGGCTATTACATGGCCATCAATATATGCTATGATATTTCATGCTTTTCAAAGTAGAAATTGATTGGTATGATTCAAACATGCTGTGGTTTGGTGATATTTTGCATTCAACTCGACACAATCAGCCATCACTGCATATTACTCAATCAATCAATTGAATCAATGCAATGCAGTCCATGTTGCAATCACAATGTCACATTGATAATCAATGACTTGCAACTGTTGTGTTGGCATTGCATGGTATGTGTTGCTATATCAATATCGATTGTCACTATATAGTTGTATTGACTACACATCATGATCATATGTCATGGTTGACTCGTATTCTGGATTGGTGCACTCATTCCATCACTCGAACACAAACATCGTATGACTTGTTGATTACTAATACCCATATTGATCGAATACACACTACATGACACATGTCAGGTTAGCGTATACATTCCATTATATATCACATCATGTTGCTGATACCACGCATTGTGATTCAACAGTCAATCTGTATTCGAGTTCAACTACAACTGATCGTGTCAATCATAATATACACAACCAATTGTAGTCGAGTTGATCCGACTGAATAGAGTCCGAGTCATCATGTTCATATCAAACCATTGTAAACCATGACAAGTCTATTGCACAACTCCACTCGTGTTGATTACAACATGCTATTCATAAATGTATCATATTGTCCTGTAATGACTGTACATGGTTGTACATGATTGTTTGGAACCAGTAGCTACGTTGATTGATATCCACAATATGATCCAGTAGTCGTCCAGATTGTGTGTTGTATTTGGTGTGTTGGGTGATGATATCAACCTGTAGTCAAGGTTTGACTATCTGAACATGTCGGTGACTTTTTACCAACTGTGTGCAACTCGATGTCCAATATCGAGTCATGTCATTGGTCAATTGATTGGTTCAATTCATCAGTGGGTTTGCTGGATCCATGTGGTGTGCATCACTTTCAAGAGTATGTTGAATCTGTTGCAGTATTGGAACTTTGTAGACGGATCAACATACTAACCTGACCATGATTGTGGTGGTTATTGCAGTCGAGTCGTAAAGCTTATTCTGGCAATCATTGATGGTTTCAACAATCGTTTGAATAATCGTTTGGATGTCAGGTTATGGTATTCTGATTGACAACTCGACTCGGATACAACTTATTTGGACAATTACTGATCAATGGATTGGACAATGGACTAGGAATCAATCAACACATTGACAGATTTACCATCCCAAATGGAAACAACGACAATCCAGTTGTAATCCATATTGAGCCTTGAATTCAAACAGTCGTGAATCAAATCATTAATAAACTACAAAAACAGTCCAATATGCCAACTCGCATTTATCCACAACTCGATATGTGATGTTCAAATGTCTAATATTCAGACTGTGCTGATTGCAATTGTGGTTGTAATTGTGGTTGTGTGTAAATATCAATCCAATACTCGATTCAATACTTGATTCAACTTGAGCATGCACAGTTTTGTAGTAATCCATTTGATCACATTGACAGAATCAAGCAATGATCTGATTCAACAACACCGAATGATGCATCCATATCACTTGTATCAATCAGTTGTACACAATCAGTCAATATAATCAACAATCACTGTCATGATTGTCATGATTGATTCAATTTATTCGATCCATTTAATTGCATAGATCCGACTGGCATTGCAACTCATTGTTGTAAAATCACAACCTCACAATCAATCAAGATAGTACACCTGCTCATATATGTATTTGTTGTATGCTGCTGTGATTTGAGTTTGGTCACTTGTCAATTCATCTCGATAGTGTTTGGCTTCAGCTGGTGATTGAACACCTTGAATATACTGCGTGGCATCATTCCACAGTTCAGGCGGTATGGGTGTCTTGTCAAGACTCGAGTTGTACCATTGTGGTTGTTGTGGAGCCACATGCGCAGTCGAAACAATCCGACAGACTGGATTCACTACAAAAAATGTCAGAATCTTGCAGTGTCCTGGTTGAGTTGGATCTGCAAGTTCAAATGATTGCTCTTTGTGCTGGTATCGATTGGGATAAACTACACATCGACCATTTGATACTTCAAGCGATCCTATATACTGATTGCGTGGCGATTCTTCATCAATAATGTCATACACATCTTTCCAATACATCTCAGATGCTTTTTTACGACGAAAACTATCAACAGCCACACGGAAATCGAGTTTGGGTGTGGTGATATTTTCCACGTCGTAGTAATACAGTCCAGTTGCAACAATCGATTCGTTAATTGGACCTTCAATGTGCCAGTTTCCCTCGTTGTATTTAGGTTTGGATGGTGTCAGTTGAATGTTGGTGAGTTTGACAATGACTTGTAGATTACGACCACGCAGTGATACTGGCATTCCTAATCCATAATCGGGTTTAAAATGTTCCGGAAGTGTTGGTACATATACGGGACGAATGACTTGAGTGTCTGGTTCCATACCACCACGACTTGATTTGTTTGGTGGTTTATATCCCTTTGTGCCATTGCAAATATCAATATACTTGAACCGTGGATCCATCGTTCTGATCAGACTTTCAAACATTGGGACAAAACATTTGAATATTTTGGCAATGCATTTGTACATGTCTCGATGCCATATCGGATTCAGATTGTTGATGTATGAGTTGATGGTCACACTGCCATCCTGTTCGACACGGAATTCACTCGGAAGCCATTGGAACTTGCGTGATATAAACCCGGAACTGCTGCCAATGATGGGCGTATCTGAAACAAGTCGAGTCGATAACAATATATCGCATGGTACCATTGTGGTGTATTTGAGTCGTATACTCAGTGGTGCAATCATCGTTTGTCCATATACAACACTGTACATTGATGCATCAATCAGATTGTGCACCATTTGACCAGTGTTGTGATTTGATCCATGTTCAAGATCCGATACATTTGTCATCAATCGCGTGTATACATTGTCAGGTATGCCATTGTCCAGTATATACGTCAGTTCAACAGGTCCTGGGACAATTGTGCCAAATCCATCACTGCCATTACAAACAAGCTGTTTGACAAAAAACTCGAGTTGTTCCAATGCAAGATTAAATGTTGATGGTGATATATTCCGATCGAGTGAGTCAGCCCTCCATTGCTCCACAATATGCTGGTTTGTGATATCGATCCACCACATGGGTTTGCAAAGTATAGATTGCAGATACTGGATATACTGCATCTCGACAAGTGTGCGTGCCTCTCCATGTTTATATCCGGCCATTCCAGATTTCATATAAATTTCGGCATTGTCCTTGTATGGCTGAATGTCTGGACTAGCAGTCTGAACCCGATGCTGGAAACACACTTCAATAATCAGGCTGGCAATATTTCTGTTTCTGTAGTCAGTATCATCCGATTTTACAATAGCCATCAGATTTTCAAGCATCCCACTTTGATCCAACTCGGTACGTATTGAACTGTCGGGGTGATTGTCGGCAAAATCAGCAAATGCTTTGAATAGTTTTACAATGCCAGTATCAGAATCATCATAGCCACTCAAATCTATATCTCTACGTGAAATAATAGTGTTGAGTTGCTTCACAATTCCATATTCTTGAAACGCCTTGATCATCTCGTCCTTGTTTGTAGATTTCTGAATCATGTCATTGAAATTATCAAATAGGCGCAAAGACTTACTCATATTGACATCACACATCGATATCGTCAATTGCTCAAAAACCAACGACCGTACAAGTAATACAGGAAAGTCGCGCATACCAGATGCAGCTGATCCAGCTATCTTGATTATGCGTGTTTTTAGTGCAGAGTTTTTGCTGTATCTGATACACAAGTCGCTAAGCGTTTGAATCAAACCCGATCTTATCAGCTCGGCTGAAATCACTTCACAATTTCTAATATCGCATAAACTCTGAATAGCAACAATACTTTGATCAATCACTGTTCGATCGACACTCCTGTATTCATGTCATGTCAATCCAACCATGTCAAATTTACCAATTGTGATGACTGGACACACATTCATGCATAACACCACATACCTGAGCGTATTGACTATTGCTGGAATGATGCCACATTTCACTGCTTTTACTGGGTTATGACAATGAATCTTCCAATACATGATTTGGAAAGTTTTGATAAAACCAGCAGCAACTGAACCATTGGATGATTCCAGTCGTGAAACAAGTCTTGACAACACGATGCCAAACTAATGATATTGTTCAATATCAAATATACAATCAGATCAACAAGACAAGACACTGTCTAAACTGATCCAATATTGTATCATTACAAACATACATTTTCATCGTCAATATCACTGCAAA